CGGCCCCCTCAGCACAAACACATATTCTCCCCCATAAGAATATCGGAATTACGTCAGCCTAACCACGTGATCATGCAAGTAGTAGATAGGTATAGTGGTTTACGAGTAGATCCTGCCAAGGCGCATCTACCAGCCTACCATCTACCATTCTACCAAAGAAGAACCCGGGATATATATAGGACCTCATGTATCTAGTTTAGTTCTTCGTGTTCAATTCCAACATTGTTACTTGTGTCTACTATTCAGGAACCTTTGTGACTCGTATAACTTGATTATAACTTGACAACACCACGGGAAGGCCTATATCTCGGTATAGACTAACTCGGCGCTCTACTTGGCATCGCTCCTCGATACCCTCGAAAGGACTTAGCCCGTATAAGGCCTGCTAGGCAACGGTACGGTTGAGAGGCAGATCGTTGAGGTTGGAAGTCAGCAAGACAAGGCAAGTATAACCCAGGGAATCTTCTAACATAGCGACGACCCGGAAGCAAGTGCGTAACAGGTATTCGTAATAAATCGGACCGTCTAGGACCTTTATAACCCTGATAACGATGAAGCCTATCGTCCGAAGGCTCTAAAAGAGCCACGGGAGCCTAAGTATCCGCTGGATACGGATCCGGAGGCTAAAAAGGAGTGGAGAGACCTCTTAGAGGTCTATAAAATTGGAGCCAACCGCTAGGAGAAGTAGCGGAAGGACCTTAATGAAGTGAATAAGTATATCATCACCTCCGTGGATAGTAGTCTCCGCGACGTAGTCCTCGAATTCGATACCCCGTATAACCGTCTAGTCTATCTAAAGACTAGGTTCGCGCGTACGCCCGCGTTTAAGGAGGAAATTCGGATGTAATAGGGAGCTTTCTCGACCGTAAAACTAGCTAGAGATATCGAGAAATAGCTTGCTTCTTAGACTAAACTAAGAGAGTAAGCGGCTAGTCTCTAGCTTCCTAAAGCCGAGAGCGCTAATTAGGACTTCCTATAAGTAGTCAAAGAGGTCTTACCGATCTAGTGGCAAGCTAAATATTAAGAGATCGTGATAAATAGAGCCTTATACGATACTTAGAGTCTTATCGAATCATTTAGAGCTCTATATCGGGAAATTGGCTAGTCCGATCTATCACCGTAAGCGCTACCGCTAGCGCTAAAGGGGTCTTTCTCCACTTAGTAGGGTTATTAGGAAGCAAAAAATGACTCTAGGAAGCCAAGGGAAGACGTCCCCTTCGAGAAAAGACTATGCCCCTACGGTAATAAGTATCCGAAGTATTAACCTACTACCTACTAGGTTATCAATAAATCAATTCGACCCGACGGATACCAGCCAAGGAAAGAGAATCTCTAGAAAATAGAGAAAGCTCTATTAGCCGACCCGGCATAGAGAAAATGGATCTAAGAAACCATCGAAAAATCGTTAAATATACCGGCAAACGTAGTCCAATTAAACCTAGGAAACATCTCCTTTTCAAGCTAGGAAATTGGGTCACAAACTACTATCTTAGCACTTCGCGACCGATAGATCCTCGACACCGGCTCTAGTGTCTATGTCTGTAATGAGAGAAGCTGGTTCGTTAACCTTATACTAGCTAGGGAGACTCTCGCGACGGGAGACGGAGGTATAGTAGTTATTGGACGTGGGATAGTGAAACTCACCGGCGCCGACCCGATAACAGGGTAAGAGAAGACCATTACCCTAAGTAATGCCTACTACGTACCTAGGTTTCATGTCAACCTAGTATCGTACGCAAGGTTACGAGAAAAGGGTGGTGAATGGTCTAAAGCCAAAGGGTATATCTAGGATCGCTAGGGCATCCCGATAGTTAGCCTATATCCTCGGAAGCAGCACGGGTTATAGATCTTTGACAAACCTAATGAAGCCATTTAGAACACTACCAATGTAGTGTCCTCGGCACTTTTAGGTTATTAGGGTAGGGATCACTTAAAGAAATGATAAAAACAAAGTGAGATTAAGATTTTGCGAGAGATTAGGACCGAAGGTAGGTAAATCAGAGAAATAGATGATTGAATTGATGATTATCTTTTGCTAGGTAGTCCTGCTCAATTTAAGTTAAGTCTCTCTGTTCTTCTTTTTGGATGTATTCGGCTTATTGCCTTATAGTACTGCATCCGTAGGAGTCCTAGGGTTGTATTCTTATTATTGTATTTTGAGGTTTCCTCGGATTTCTGGATGCAGTTTTCTTGAATGCGGTTGTCATGCATTTTTCTGTGTTCGTAATTCTTCCATGTTTTTCTGTAGTTCTTTGCTCTTCTTTGGAATTCTTAGATGTTCCATATTTTCTGTTGTCTTGTTCCTTTTTGTATGTTTGCTTGTTTTGGAGTCTTCATGGAATTCTTAAGTATGGTTTTTGCATGTATTGTTTTTCTGTTCGAACTTGTGTTCAAGTTCTTGTGTCATATTGTACTTATGTTTGTAGCTTCTATTACGTCTCTTTTTTCTTGTTCTAAGTTTTCTTTATGTGTTTCTTCATATTCTTGTTCTTTTGTTAAATCTTGTTTTGTTTAATATTGATAGGCTTAGCGTGAGCTGACCGGGTCCAAATGCTAAGAATGGGGGTCCTTTTAATAGAGACCTAAAACTAACCTTCGGTATAACTTAAATAGAAAGGAACCTTTGTTCTAGCTACGCGAGATCCTATTATTATAGTACTAGCTATAATAAATACTCTCCTATCAAAACGACTGGACGAGGATCGAGGATCAATCATACCTAGAGCTACGGCGTAAATTACTCTGCTATGGACCTACCTATCCAATTCAAAGTACTTAGGGGTGTAGAGTTATAACTCATACTTTACGTGTTCTAAGAACTTTGGAACTTTCTAGGATATAACTAGCTATAGTGTGACGATTCTATTATAAGGATATTTATATACTAGGTCTAAAATAAAGCTATTTAAGCCCGCCATAGATCCTATCTATAACATTTCTTATAGAACACTCTTTATACACTGAGAAGACCATGGGCATAGTCATAACCAGCCTGCCCCCGATAGTGGGCACCATCCTAATAGATAATATCTCAATTATCTAGTGTAGTGGGGGAATTGCTTACTGCATGAAGTAGCGGTCTATGGATGATTCAGCACTCATGATGTATTTAAGACCTCTCTACTCTACGTAGAATAAGACAGACACATTCTTCTCTTCAGACCATCCCTATGTGCTCTCCATTCCTATAGCTCTACCTCTTGTTGGGTTTTGCGTATGCTCCTACTGCTATTGTCGACCCGTCTGTTTTGACCAGACTGCTATCACGCTATCCCATTTCACTAGGTTATATCTATGTTCTCAATTAGCGCGTACAACGCTCTAGAAATAGGAATCGTTGCGTTTGATATGTTTAAACACTACTACAGCCTATATTTCTAGAGTATCTAGGTCGCATCCTAGGGAATTATTCTATATACTCTTCCAACTATAGCTCGCTTTATCTCGTAAGTATCTAGCATCGCGACGTTAGTCCCCTTCGTGATTAGATAGTATACCATAGTCACCGGCTAGGCTATTGTACTTTTCTCGCGTCTACACCTTATTCTCTCCGACGTAAGAAAGCTTCGTTACGTTTTATAGATGATTATCATCAACGCTTTTATCCTATATATTCTAATGACCGTTCTCTTCTTCGGCCTTAACTACAGAGACGCACGTCTCGCTCGCCCTACCGTAATATTCGATCGAATCTAGCTAACGGCCTTTTGTGTACAAGATTCTATCATCTATAGCATTTACATCTACGAATCAGTACTGACTTTTAAGTAGATCAGTATGATTCGTGGTCATAATAGCCGTAGTGCAATCATTCATTTACTTTAGATCAATATTCTTATCGTGTTTCTCAACATCCTACTCCTTATCACAGAATATAAGCTTCACTACATTCAAGTAAGCTTTAAGACGGTGGTGTACAGCATTAAGCGAAAGTTAGAGTTTTCGGTGCTTAACCGACTCACTTCGCTAGTTCGCTCCTATACCTATCAGCGTGAATCTAGGGAGCGGCGGCGATCGAGTGGATAGAGTCTGTTTTATAAGCTTCCTCCATATTTAGCTACGGCATCGACGAGAGAATTGCGGCCTGTAGCTGCCTAGGGAGAAGTATCCGACCGCCCTATATTTCTAAGATGCATCAATGGAAATCGGGGAGCACCGCGCGAGATTTCCAGCGAATGTAAGACACCCCCGGAAGACGCTTTATACTCCCGACGTACTTCCGAGTGTCAGACACACACAACTCACGCTGGATCATCAGAAACTTTGCCTGCACTGGAATTGACTCGATATCTGGATTGGTGACATTTTCGGCCTGGTGGCTTTGGGTCGACCTTGATGGGTGATATTCTCGACTCTAATGTTGCACACCGATAGTCTGTGTGGTCAACAACAGAATCGACGTGGCACGATATGTCTTGGGTTACCCCGTCGCATAACCATGGAATTGATCTCCGATAATGATATGAGCAGACCTGGTGTAAAGGTAGTGATTGGACCTTGAGCCGAGCGAGCGGGATGCGAGTGGCTGACCTCGTCATGTTGGGTGAATGAAAGTGTGGGTGGTGTCGCGAACTGTCATCACTGGCTTGCATAGGGTCCCGGTAAAGCTCCTCCATGATTGAACGAGTGATCAAGGGTTTGGAATCAGCCACCACTGGCTGCTGTGGTAAAGTTAAATCAAGAATGCCTGCATGCGTTGGTATCTTTGGCGTCGTTGATGGTCGAACAACTGGAACCTGAATGTCTTCTGCTCGAGCAGCACGTTGCAGCCGCCCGCACGGATCCCAGATTTCATCGGCCGTCGGAAAATCCTCATAGCTCCTGAAGCAGTTTGGCAGCCACCAAAGTTTCCTCTTTTCTCGCTGGCGCTTTTATCTTTCAATGTCACCGGGATCCCACCAGACCCAGCTATAGTCGTGTCGCGTGGACTTCCATGCCATAGAGTCTCTCAGGCGAGCGATACAGTCACGAATGGCCTGTTTGTTCCTCTCATGGGTTGATCACGATACCCAGCCATACCATGTGCGAGCATAACGAGTGTTGACGGACCTCCTACCCTCCACCACCTTGTTTCGGTTGAATCGTCTGGTGAAACGGCCAGCCTTCCAGAACAGGACTGCCAGTACGAAGATGCCAATGGTTCCTGCGAAAAGATCGAAGAAAACCCTTGCATCAATCACCCTGCCTGTCTTGATTGGGGTGCTTGGAGATTCTTTGGGGGGACGAGAGACGCTGGGCGAACCATGATAGCCTTGTCGAGTAGCCAGTGATACCATCAGGGCCGACATTCACGGGTAAGAAATAGATATCTGAGTAAAACATTGATGTGAGATCACCGAGGTAGTGACCCCGAAGGGCATTGGAGGAAACAGCGAGGCAGTGGTCTTGCCCATCTCGACGGAATTCCAAGGTTCCTTCCAAGGTTGGACTGACCTGAATATCACGGAGATATACAGCCCTGAAGACTACATCGCAATAAAGCATTTCATTCGAGCAATCTTGCAAAGACCTGTCGGCACATTGCAAAAGAATTTATCACTGAAGGCTTACATCCATGACAGTCATAGGAGTGTCCAAAAATGACGCTGATATACCTTATCGACGACTGTCAAGGCTTTTAGAGCTTTGGTTCATACTCTATCAATTAATGGGTGCCCAGGTGGTTCAAGAATCTCGTCAGATCTCATTGGTTATTGCTAGTCCCGTGGTCTGGACTGCCGTCTAAGTCGCGCTCGCAAAACGCTCCGAATCGGGCTTAGTTGCTGACTCGGGAGTAGACACAGCCTTGGAACTTTGGAAAGTGCTCCACTACCCAAGATGCTTGTTATGACCCACTGGCGCTTGAGATGCAATCATCGCCTCGGGGGCCAGTGTTGGGGGGAAAATATCCTATTTTGGTCACCTTTGCGAGTATCCATTCAATTAATATCTCAGAATGAGATGCTGCCTGACGCTTCAGCATGATGTCAAAAATGATATAAAGGGTCAAAATATCCCTGAGAGACTTTTCTCTTACTCTCAGTCAATACTATATCTTCGTCGGCATGGCTTTAATCCGAATCGCAATTGTGGGAGCTGGTCCAGTGGGCCTACTGCTCGCTCGCTTGCTCCTCGATAAACCTGGCATTGAAGTGATTGTATTTGAATCAGATCAATCACCAGATTGCCGCGGACAGGGTGGAAGCTTGGATTTGCACCCGAATACCGCAATCGCCGCTCTGAAGGAAGCAGGCCTGTATGAGTTGTTTTTGAACCGTGCTCGCTTTGATGGAGAAGCTCTGGTCATCTGTGATAAAAGATTCACCAAATATGTCGACCTACCAGGAACTAGCGAGGATACATCCCGTGGTCGCCCGGAGATCGATCGATCATCCCTGCGTGAGATGCTCCTCCAATCTGTCCCTCCTGAGATGGTCAGATGGGGCTGGCGCTTATCCTCTATCGACGCGCGGCACAACTTGGTTTTCGAAAAAGGCACAGAGGGCGGATTCGGTCTCATTGTTGGCGCGGACGGTGCATGGAGCAAAACACGACAACTACTCTCAAGTCAAATGCCAACGTATTCTGGGATCAGTGGTATCACCTTTACCATCCCAGATGCCAAAGAGAGAGCACCGGAGTGCTACGACATTGTGAATCGAGGATCCGTATTCGCATACTCGGATGGAAAGGGGATTACTGGACAACAGGAAGGGAACGGGAGCTTGAACATCGCTGCCTGGTACAAGAAAAAAGAGGACTGGAAGGAGAGTTCAACACATGATGTCAGTACTGTTCAAGCAGCGAGGAACCAGGTGCTCGACATCTATCAGGACTGGGACTCACAACTGGTCGACCTCATCCGCCATGGTGAGAATCCAGTAGCCCGCTCCCTATACATGCTCCCTGTCGGTTGGAAATGGAAGCATCGCCGTGGAGTGACATTGATTGGGGATGCAGCACACGTAATGACACCTTTTGCTGGAGAAGGAGTCAATTTGGGTATGCAAGATGCACTTTTGCTGTCGCGGGCAATCCTCAAGGCATCCAGATCTTCAGACCCAATCTCTCAGCTCCCGATACAGGTCATGAGGTTTGAAGATGATCTCTTCGTGCGGGCAAGGAAGACTGCAGAGCTAACGCGAGATATGATGCAGTGGTGGTTCTTTACTGAAGACTCGCCCCGATCAGTTGTGGAGAAAGTTGCGATTCGTATGACAACGTTTCACAAATCAGGCCCTCTTGCTTATGTGACTCTTCCCTTTCTGACAGCAGGTGTATACGTGTACTATTATGTGTTCAAGTGGTTTCATTGAGATCATGTACAAGGCAAAATTGCATAGTTGTTAGATCAACATACACTTCCGAGGTTTCCGCTGGGCCGTTGGTCTGCCGTGCAGGAGACGTATGCTTTCACCGTTCTCTGATCTGCTTGATCTGAAGTAAAGGGAGACTCGGGATATAGATTTGGTGGCAAAATCTCGTCACGACGGTGGCCCGCAATTCGATATAAAAGTGACATGTCAGACTTGCGCCAACGTTTCTTTCACATATTGACCTCGTAAATATCCGTTGTCATAGTCCAAGGACGAAATGATGTCAGATTGATATTCAGCGGCTCGGGGGAGCCGAGGGAACTCCTTCCCGATTAGGCCACCACAGCCACACCGCTCGACCGTCCTATACGTGAGTTGAACTGTGAACGGACCTGCGGGTGACTCTGTGACTCCAAAGCTATATGTGTCCACTTCCTTCTCACTTCCCTCACTGAGCGGTGCTATCAAGTGGTCCAGTGAGGCATTCTGACGGGGGAGGCTCTTATTCACCACCCGATACTTGATCTCCAAAGCTGGGCTCCGTCGCAGCTTCTCGTTACGCCTGGAGAATCTCCACGCAGGCAAGAACTTGGAGTATGTGAACAAGGACCGGAAGAGAACAATGCCCTTTTTATACACGGTGGGCAAGATGGATCCTAGGTCGGAGGGAAGTCTGCCTGACGCCTCTCCCAGCTCGATCCTCCACCGCTCCAAGATAATCTCATCGTTATCTGATTGATATGGCTTTGCACGGGCGCCCTGCAGCGCCGCCAGCGAATCCCGCACGTCCCATCGCTTGCCATTTTCGTCCAAAATCACCAGGCTCTGGTTGTTTGTGAGCCCCTTCGTGTCTGGGTATGTTTCGATGACCAGAGGCGGTGGTCAATTGTCGGTGGCATCGCAGGTTCGCCATGCTCGCAGGGGTTCTCGGAGAATATCTGTGTCATCTAGCTCGACGTTGAACTAAACAGAGAGCGAGTGAGATTAGCATCTGATGCTTTCATTTGTCTGGTCTCCCCGACCAAACCCCACACACGGGTTACATACCCAGCGGTTGACCCTCGGGGACTCAGAGCCCTTATTATAGGAAGGAGGCAGTCTAACACGAGAGTGCAGAATGATCAAAGCTGCTTTTGTGTGATGATTCTGTTCCCAAGAAGATGAACGGTCAATAGACTGCGATAAGAGCCAGAAGGGGCGATCTCAATTCTCGTACCGATATGATTTGGTTAAGCCGGGTCAGGGCCTCCTTTCCCAGTGCCGCATTCCTGGCCTGTTCGGCCGGCTGTGGCCCAGCCTCTGTCCCTAGTCCTCTTGCTGAATGAGACCCAGTGTCGACGGTTGGGGACCTTGGGGCGGTGTCGTCGCCGTCTCGAGGCGTAGGTCGGGGGATATTTGGCACCAAAGACGGTGCTGGTGACCGTGGATGTTGATGCATGATCGCCTACTAATGCATTAGCCGGCGCCCCGGCCTGACATGAGAGTGATGGGAGAGGAGAAGCGTACCGTGAAGCGGAGATGTTATCGGGGAGCCGTTATCAACGCAATCGGGCAGCGATGGGTCCAGCGCTGTGGGCCATGCTCACAGAAAGATCTAGCTGTCGTTTTGTGATATAAAGACCTGTGGTTAGAGACGGACACGGTCGGGAGTGACGACGAGTTCAAGTCGGTTATCTAGCTGTATGAGCTTCTGTGACCAAAAGAAGGGGAAACAGATACATATATGAGCCGCCAGGGCTTCTCGACACTGTTCTCTCAAATTGAAAGCGCTTCTGGTTGCTGCCCTTAGACATAATGTACTTTGTCCTTGGAGAAATTGGAAAAAGGCCCGTGCAGAATACATCCTGTATCATCGAAAAAGTCCAGACTTGCACAAAGTGACAACATAATCCTGAGTTGATGATTCGTTCTCTGCCTAGATAGAAATGCCCATAGGTAGGGGCCCCACTTTTAGGGTGGGTTTTCATTGGATGAATTATATTTTGTGATGAATTCGGCGTTGAGAACTAGTCGAAAGTGTCGACAAAGGTTGTTGTTACTGGCGTGCTAGAAGAATATTCAGTGCCCGCTTTGCCAAATGACCGTAAGACTCTTAACTGCCTTACTCGGCTCGTCTCCTATTATGGACTTTCTATAACATATAAAAACAGCACTCTTAAGTACGCAATTGGCTATTCCCGTACTAGTCCGTACTGTAACGACCACGTTCCGATAGAAAGTGCTATAAAGATTTCGCTCACCGAGCCCTTATGTATGGTACTGGATACGTGAGGGAATTTAAATCCTGCGATCATCATTATATAGGTTCAATTCCATTATAACATTTTTGGACAAAACTACAGGACTCTGTTTGGAATGGCTCACCATACATCGCATTTTTGCACTTCGTTATAGGCCGCGAAGATGCATAACTTAATAGGCCGCCAAAAAAAGATGCATTGAGCAAAAATCAGGATTGATCATATTGCATAGGGATTTGATCACTGCAAGTAATATAAAAGGGGCCATGTTAGGCTATCTAAATGTCCTGTTCGGCGGGCAATTGTTTTAATCGAAATGGCTCCAACAACTCGTCGTTCTTTATGCCCAAAACTAGCGACGTATTGCGACATGCTACAGCTGCAGTGTCACTTTCCCAAGCCTCCACTTATAAAGATAGTCACTCGCTGTGGTCCCTCTGCCGGTCGTAACATCCGCACAGACTTAGCGAACTTGACACCCTCACTAGTAAAGGCAATTAAAACGAGCGTTAAATGTCGATATCGTGTTTCACGTGTCCTACCACTCCCACGGTCGTTAGTAAGATCCCGAAGAAAGGACAGCAATCGGAACATACGTAAGAAACACGCGGTTTCTGAGTAAGAGACAACACGACTAGATTGGATGCGACGACTTCGCCTAAGCCTCATAGGTGTTTCTAGGCTGAACAATGACTAGCCAATCATCTAGGCTCGAAATCTTGCTTATCGAAAGATCCACCTTCGTCGTTATATCGTTAGTTAGAATTAGTTTATAAGCAACTAAGTATAGTACAAGAACTCACGTGTTCTAAGCTCTAAATAATACAGCCTAAATATAAGTCTCTATTGAATAGGTCTTTTGAGAAGCGATAAGATATTCTTAGATATATAGAACGGCTAGTAGGTAATATGGCCGTTGCTCTGAGTTTATAGTCAATCATATGAAATCTATACTAAGAATTTCTGCAAGGTCATAAAAGTCCTATCGATCAAGGATATCTAAAAGACACGTAAGGAGGTGTATTGCGACTAGATAGCAGCTTTTTTACAGAAAATCTTCCCTCTATTATGGTAGAAGACGTTGAAAAATCATGAAGAGGATTGAAAATGGGACAGCAAACCCTTTTTTTGAATTCTGGACTATGAGAACGGATATCTTCTTGGTTACGAGTAGTTCATGCTATATACAATATAATCAAACGAGCTCGAATAATTCGCACTCTAGCGTAGTCTACGAGCCAAAAACAAAATCTAGACAATAACCAGAATCAGCTTTTAAAAGCTTGTCTTGCCTTTTTTATCCATATCTTATGCTGTTACAGAAAATCATGGGCTAAACGCTTTCTGCTGAAATACGTATATCATAGAGCTCTTACTTACTTCCCTATAGTTAGAAGGCTGATTGTAAGGAGAATGTCGATAAGTAAACGATAAATAACTAGATCTTTTAATAGTTAGTGAGGTTCATTTAATCGGGGACATTGAGATTACCTCTATGTAATCCCCTAAACGTCGGCTAGCGTGCCTACAATCGTAGCTATAAGTAGAAGCAATACCGTGACTGTAACGGATAATCGTCTAAGAGTGGACGTTTCCGTTTGCTTGTATATAAATATCTTCTTTTACTGGAGGGCTCAAAGGAAGCCTGGGTCACATGACACTCGGCAAAGCGGGGCATTCTCATCTGACCCCCGCGAAGGATCCATGGGTATAGTCAGGGCCCCCCTCGGGACCCCACTGATTCCGTCAAGAATCAGTATTGAACACAATACGAGACTACAGCGTTTCCTTCCCTTGGGACCATTCCTCCCTTGCCTGATTGACAGGCCATACACCTGTAATAACGTATACCCTTTACACTATCACACTTAAGCCTATTAAGTGCTAACACGGAAAGGATTAGCTATTCTACTTTAGTAAGCTTCTCGTATTCTAGTGTTCCCGATTTCTACTTACTATAGATTTAGGTAACCTTAAACTATTAGTTTATTATATCTATTTCACTATTTAAATCATAGAAGACTTAAGAGCTTAAAAACTGCTAGTATAAAGCTTAACGAATAGGATATTAAAAAAGTACCTCTAATTATATAGTATTGCACTATAGAAGTAAGCAATACAATCCTTCGTTAACTATATAAAATAGAGGATAAAGATAAATCTCTAGTTCTCTCCACTACGTAAAAATAGAATAAAGACCTGTAATTAGCTCACTATTTAGATATATCAATATTAAACAAAACAAGATTCAACAAAAGAATAAGAACATAAAGAAACACATAAAGAAAACTTAGAACAAGAAAAAAGAGACGTAATAGAAGCTACAAACATAAGTACAATATGACACAAGAACTTGAACACAAGTTCGAACAGAAAAACAATACATGCAAACACCATACTTAAAAATTCCATGAAGACTCCAAAACAAGCAAACATACAAAAAGGAACAAGACAACAGAAAATATGGAACATCTAAGAATTCCAAAGAAGAGCAAAGAACTACAGAAAAACATGGAAGAATTACGAACACAGAAAAATGCATGACAACCGCATTCAAGAAAATTGCATCCAAAAATCCGAGGAAACCTCAAAATACAATAATAAGAATATAACTCTAGGACTCCTACGGATGCAGTAATATAAGGCAATAAGCCGAATGCATCCAAAAAGAAGAACAGAGAGACTTGACTTAAATTGAGCAGGATTACCTAGCAAAAGATAATCATCAATTCAATCATCTATTTCTCTGATTTACCTACCTTCCGTCCTAGTCTCTCGCAAAATCTTAATCTCACTTTGTTTTTATCATTTCTTTAAATGATCCCTACCCTAATAACCTAAAAAGATATAGTAACAGAAAATTTGTACTAGCTATATAATTGCACTAGCAATAGAGAGAAATAAGGCTAACTATACCGTTATCAATATCTTTACTCCTAAGTTAACCTAGACTCTATAGTTCTTTAAGTTATTCTTAACGATAGACGCAAAAAGACTATATAGCAGCGAGACTAAAATTATAGCGATCGTAATAAGGATCGAGGAAAGCTTAGTATATCCGCGTATATCTTCTATATATTCCTAAATATTATATACCGTATAGAATATAGCTAGTAACCTACTACTATTAAAGAAGAAATATTTACGCCTAGCTAAGATAATAGTTAATAGGTTACTATAAAACTAGAAATATATAATCGGATTATACCTAGGGAGAGTTAATAGTGGCTAGAAATTGAACTCTGATCGATCTCTAGAAGTATATTGCTAACTTTGACCGTGGTAGAGTAAAGTAGTGAAGATAGATTAAAAGAAAAAGATATACTTGGGTCGGAGCACACTATCGTATGGAGCTCTCTGCTGAGAAGCACAACCTAATAATGCTTCTTGATGGAATTAATCCGTGAGTTTTCAAGTCGCTAGGCTGATAAAATGGTACTAAAGGTCGCGCAGACATAACCACGATGCTTCCCAAGGAATGCTGAAAAAAATATTCAAGGACATAGGTTCACTCAAGATAGAAGTTTCAACACTTGAGAGTCGTCTGGCTCTACCTGATAGTGTTGATCAGGACAATGAGCAGAAGGAGCTCACAAATTTGTCGAGGATCAAGCGACTAAGAAGGTCAATCCGATCAGTTGCTACCGCTGTCTCTACCACCAACCCAAATGAGGTTTTTGTTATCCCTCAGCCTGGACGCAGCTATTACACAGGTCGAGCTGAGTACTTGGAGATACTGCAGAATATACTCGTCGCTTTCACGGTCAACGAGCAGGATCTACAACAGCAACGCTTTGTTGTGTACGGCATGGGCGGATCGGGTAAGACACAGTTCTGCTGCAAATTCGCATAATAAAACCGCGAGAGGTACTTGGGCCTTTCGCCTTTCTTGTTAAAAGTCTTGCTAATTGCTGTGAGTCCGAAGTGACCCGGAAAGAATACCCAATACGCTGAACTATGCGGCAACTCTTGTCTGGTTTGCTCGGTACTCTTGACCAGTCACTCTCCGAAATGACCAGCAACGTGGTGCGCCACAGCGGCTTCGTCGCCCTCAAAGTCAGCGCACACGGGACATTTGAGAGAACCCGGTAACTGAGTGGTACCGCTTATATCCTCAAGCCTCTCCTCCACTTGCTCGTTCCGTCCAGCCTGTGTCTTTTTGCCCTTCTTCTTTCCCTTCGCGGGGCGTATGTACATATCCAGCCCAAGGGGCTCAGCTGAAGGCTCCTCCGGCCCATCAAGACGCATATCACGCGACGTAAAACGATTGCGTCTCCCGCTCAGATCACCTCCCTCTGCTCTTATTTGAATGTCGGGCGCGCTCTGTTGTGCGCGCTCTGCCCCTCCATCTATTTCCTGCGGCTCCCCGCTCCGGAGGCTCTGCACCCTTCCGACACGCCCGTCGGTAAGACGCACTTTGACGCCTCGTGGGTGATCGCCACGTGTAAGTAATTCGCTCACTGTGCCTGATACTGTACGCCCTGTGGGCTGGTCGGCTTTGAGAATTATATTGACGGATGTGCCCGGGTTGATGGCTCTGGAGGGGGGCACGCGGGGGTGGGAGGCGCGCGATCCCCCACGTCCGCCGCGTCGTTTTTGGCTATCCATTGAGAATATGGTGTACAAAGGATATGGAGATGTAGACGGAGGTGTTTGGCTGGCGCGGCTCGAAGCAGGGATTTTCAAAGAACCCTGCGGTGTGGGTTCCAAGTCGGGTAGATAAATTAGGAACATCAGACTTGGATGTGTTTACGTGTCACTGATTCTAGCCCTGGAGGAAGTGAGCGAATGTTTCTCTACTTTATCTATGGGATAACTAAGGCTTATCCTGGTGATTTCGTTTTCCAATTATGCTATTTTGCAAGGGCCGACCGGTACGTATTTTGGCGTGTTCGCCCTGCACTCTAATAATAGTTTAAGTAGGGTAGTGCTAAAAAGCCACCCCCCACCTCCCATAATTGAATCCGGCTACTCAAAATGCGCTACAAATCGACTAACTTCGTAGCGTTTATAATATGTGGAGGAGGGGGGTGGCTTTTCAGCTCTACCCTTTAAGTAGGGGGCCGGTCTAGTCGCTAGGCGCCGAGGCAGCCCGATAGAGACAGTATCTGTGAACGGTATTGAAAAGCTCATATAGAGGTCTCAATATATGTATTGTTCAGTGATTCGGCCCTGGATATAGAGACCAAGAGTTCAAGGTACCCTTGGCTTTGGTAGTGAGGCTTTGCTAGATTGCATTGACCCCTAGAACAATTTGTTTTGGGAGAAACGCTGGAACGCAATGGGTTGGATAACATGTACGTACGTATGAGCTCGTCTCGCCTACTATTTGCTTGACGAGATCGGCTTCCATGAGAATCATTCCAAAACATAATTTAAGGTAGAATGAAATGGAGTATATAACGTTTCAGTTCGAGTGAATATTGCTACCAACTAGAAGAGTATCTTGTAAGAGCTTTGAGGTGTATATAATTCCGAAAAAAAAAAGATCATATTTCGATGGCTACCATAGTGCGTTAGGATTCGATTATTTACGAAATCTATGATTTAAAGAAGCTTCACTCCTAAAGACATTTATGGAAGGCAGACTAGAGACTAGTCACGAGACACCTAGGTTGAGCTTTCTACTCTTGCTATGACACCGTTCCATAATTACGTTCAAGATTTGTATGGAATAGACTCTGAATGAAACAAAGAGAATGCCATCGTCGATGTTTTATTGTAGGAAGTTCGAATGGTCCCTGGTAAGGGGGCTCGGATGGAGCTTCAAACGTCTTTGGCTCTTGATACAGCTCTGCCATATCATGCGGAGGCTCTGTCGAAGATTTGACTACAGGCTCGGCTCCCAGAGAAACCTTTTTGACGCCAGCGTCCCGCACTCGTGGGTCCGTGCTACAGCGTAACCGCACGTCCAGTAAAAGTCGTAAGATCAGCATCACCGTGAATGGGGCCGTTTCCATCCACTTAGCACTAGACCCTAGTTATGCACTACTGTAGTCCCTGGCAGATCTTTCCTAGTATGGTAAACATTCAGCCCGTGGCGAGGCTGAGTGCTGTCCCCACATTAACTTATTATGGAACAGGTAAGTTACATGTTTTCCAGCCCCGACTACGAAGTAGGAGTAATAGTCCTGTACCACACCAAGAGGAATTTTACGCGGGTGTTGCCTCCCTAGGACTTGGTGAGGCCAACAACTCCGCACTTGACTCCTCTTCATACTACCGGGTAGCTTTGGGATGCTCTAGAGTTATGACAAAGCTGACAGGTCTTTCGAATGCCGCCAAGGTTGGCATCGGCCTTGGGATTTCTATTGGCGTGTTCCTTGCTGCCACTCTGGCATTTGGTTGCTTTTGTCTTCAACGACGGAAGCGACAGCAGCAAAACAACGCCGCAGAATATTCACCCTGTCGTCAACAGCTGGACAGCCAAAATGATGAAGGTGGCAAAAGACAAAACCAAACTATGTCCTTGTCCAGTTGGGCTTCAATAGCCATGGATTCATGGTATTATGAGACAATCGCACTCTGCTTTAGTATTGCGTGCTTCATGGCCACTATATGTGTACTGGAAGTGTACAATCAACAGTCAACCCCACAATTCTCGTATGGACTTACGCTGAATACTGTGATTTTAGTACTTGCAACTGCGTCCAAATCATCCTTGATATTTGTCGTTGGCGAATGCATCGGTGAATTGAAGTGGATTTGGTTTCGAGATGTCTTAGAGCCACTCTCAAATCTCCAGGCGTACGATAGTGCTAGCCGTGAACCCTGGGGCTCGATTTTGATCTTGTTAAACGACAAAGGCCGCTCTCTTGTTTCCATCGGGGCTTTGATTACTGTTCTAGCCCTCGCCTATGATCCGTTCGTTCAGCAGATCGTGAGGTACCACATCAGAGAAACAGTAAGCAACTCAGAAGTAGCAACGGCGAAAAAGTCAATCTCTTTATCAACATCTTTTGATATGAGTGCAACAGGCACAGGGTATGTGGATGCTACGGAACTCGCATTCTGGACAAATGAATTCTCGTTCAGTCCGACTTGCCCCTCAGGCAATTGCACCTGGCCCATATTCTATTCAACGGAGCTATGCAGCAGATGTGAAGATGTCACCTCTCACTCGACTCTGGTAGGCTGTGACCCGGGATCGTTCAATGCCAGTCTATCAGAGGACATGAAAATTTCCTGCAATGTCTCTCTACCACAAGGCGCCTGGTCATCGGATCCAATAACAATCACTGCATTTCGAGACCATTTCAAAATGGTCGTTCCGCAGGACATAATTTGGGACGTGAATCACGTGAACTCAAGGGACAGCAACGCAAGTTATTTTGGAATAGAAAATCTACTTTGGGTGGTTGCACACGCCGCCCTGACTGTTCCAGAGTCTTGGATGGGTTACACATGAGTTTCTACTGAGAAAATTCAAATCCACAGAGTTACAGAATGCGCAATGTTTTTCTGTGCGAGAGAATATAACATTTCCGTTTCTGATGGAAACCCCGAGGCCGATGTTTTGACGGAAAATTCCGGAACATACTTCTTTAACGAGGAAAGTCGTCTGACTTGCTGGGGAGCAAAAAACATGGCGCCTTTCGACCCGTCCGGAGACCTGGACATCCAAGACATTCCTGCAGGGATGGTTTTTTGCTCCCCATTACAATTCAATCTACCGGATCTCCCAGGTAACTCGACCTTGACATTTGGAATACAGAAAAACACTCCTCCATCTGCAAGTGAGGGGCCTTCACAGAGCATCACCTCCACAAAAATCCAAAAAATCCTTGACGTGGGCCTTGAAAAAGTGATTCAAAACATGGCGCTTTCAGTGTCCAAATTCTTTCGTGACAACAGCAATGAGACAGTGCAAGGTATTGCAACTGTCAGTGAATCCTACGTCGTGGTCTCCTGGCCTTGGTTGGCACTTCCAGCCACGCTACTCGCTTTCGGGGTAGTTCTTTTGGTCTCGACGTTTTCAGTGGATAAGCACCATAAGCTCAATCCTTGGAAGACTTCTAGTCTACGTACTCTCTATCACAGCCTCGACGATAATTCGATACCCGCGAATAGGGAGTATGGCTCTGTAAGCCAAATGGAGCAAATAGCAGGCGAGACTCGTGTGCGATTAGGGCCCTCTGGCACTCAGAGCAGATTGGTGTTTCAACAAAGATTAGCCAGGGAAGCTAGATGATTACGGCCAAGAAAATCCAAAGAAAATGATTGCATTCAATGAAAGTATAATTATAAAAAATTTAGTAGAATATGTCGTCACACTTACAGCCGGAGCTATAGGGGTCAAACACCAAGCGATATATTACGAATGTGTCGAGTGCATTTCGTACCGGCCAATCATACGATGTTCAAAACTGGGATTTTTTATGACCCCTATTTTTGGCAACATATAACTATATGGACGTAATTACTTGCTGAATAAGAAACAAACGAATAAAACAGGCGGGCCTACACTTCCTGGCATTTGACAGGAAGTGCTTGCCTAGGGTGGAAGCTGATTTCCCCAGTGACTGTATCTGGTACCGTTGGTTACGATGGAAGTAAGCTACCTGTAATAGTGCCGTACCTAATGGAGACCAGCCTGTCTGTCTAAACCCATTCAGTTTATCACATTCAGATTCATCCACATAGACCGACTGATATGACTAAAAGCGCGACTGGTTATGCATATAGAAATCCTTGGAGTTGGAATCAACCCCTTCTGCAACTAAGATATGCCCGACAGCTGCTTCGTACCCCCGAACTGCTGCCAATAATAGAGGGGAGCGGTCAAGGTTGTCCTTGAAGGCTGGATCAACATTATCTGCTGCTAAAAGAAGCTTGACAACTCCCTCGTATCCGGGTTGTTCTGCATATGAACGAGGGGAGTAGCCGGAGACGCTCTTGTAGTTCAGGTTAGCACCCACTGCCGATAGAAGCCTGATCAATTTTTCATGCTAGATATCATTGCCTGCAGTTGATACTCTAACACTCGGGTAATCAATACTGGATTGAGATGTCAGACCATGACTCGCAAAGTCTATAGCTGTAGCTCACGCGCTTTTGTGCATATGCGTATGTACCCAACCGTATTACGCTGCCTGATTAGAACTTTATTCGCTGGAACCTTTGGCCTAATGTTAACCCCGCCCACGAGACCTTGAAAAGTTAGTACTTAAACTTGGGTTCTGTTCTCTACTCCACATAATCATCATACTTCTTTATCTCTTTCCCACTGCCTCTTGATTCACCCCCATCCGAGACTTTGTCACAAATCTATGCAATTTACAATAAACTTCTTCTTATTAGCAGTACTGTTGTCTTGCTAAGCCATCCTAAGTCATTATTGATTTATTGTAAGTCGCTTCACCAACAATGGATATTAAATATGATGCTAATATATAGCTTATGCATTTTTAGATATCACCTTGCCAAATGGCCGAGGAGGCAACCTTGGCCGGCGCTTGTTTATCCTGCGGTACAAGCCTTTTTACGAAGGGAAAACCAGAGGTAAATCACGGTGCTACTAGGGCACTTACCTGCGTTGGATGTGGGACTGCGGTTGTGAATGTCGGTGTTAAATATGGAAGGACATTAATGGAAGCAAGGGGTGATGATAAAGGAAAATCTTCGTCGAGTCCAAACAAGCGATAATATGATAATTAAATTTTTAGAATAAATGTTAAGCCGGTGGCAGTCGTATTAACTTGTCAGACCATAATGTTATATGAAATGTACTTGCGTAAGATCTGTTTGTTAACCAGTAATTGGAAATGCGTGTCGTCACATAGCAGGGTTCATGATAGTTCTTCTCCCCTGTTTATATTCTCTTTATCTCAACGGAACTAGCCATCAATATCAACAATATCATTACAGTACTTATCTTCCTTGCTTATTTAGTAGTGATAGCCCTTTAGCACCTGCTGAAAAACGGTGTACGGCTATCTGTGTATACACTTGGCGATATTTATTCTCCTACATGGCTTCTTTTTGTTGAAGTACGAGGGGAAAAAACATCTTTTTAGCTTCATTCTAAAGTTCAATCAACATCCGCGTCACAAATTAGGTTCCCGAGGCTCCTAACACACCCAGTTGAAAGGTGGTCCTGGCATTATTAGCATTGTCTTACGAATACTGCAAAAGACCAGGTCTCTTTTGAACCGACCCGAAACATTTTACCAGACCCATAAATAGCGAAAGATAGAGGTAATAAAAGACAGATTTTCGATGTCTTTATTAATCGATAGAAATTGGTATTTAACAGGAGACAATGATCTGACCCTTTTCGACATTTAAAACGTAATAATACCCAACCTCCCTCTCACAAGAGGATCTGTAGTAACTCTATGACCATGAGACTTCTGTGGCAGATGTGCTCCCTGACACACTTCGTGTCTCTTGTGAGTGCTGATTCCGATTTTATCGGTACATGGTGTGATATATGCCTACCCGTGACGATTCCCGATGCACCTGGGCTTAGCTTCGATCTGACACCTCTATATGGGTAAGTATATCGGTCCCCTGGTTTTTTGAAAAAAGAATTATCTGACGGCATCCAGGACGGCCGTGGTGCATTATTTTAATGGAACTGTTGTAGAGGTTGCCAAGATTCCGGGGAATCCGGAATATCTCGAGCTTGTGGCACACCTAACTATACCCAAGCCATTACTGAAATCAACTCTGAATTATATGCTTAGTGGAATATCTCTTCCCAAACGTGTCGTCGCCGTGGAGAGACTGGTGGCGTTAGCTGAACCTAAAAACAGGCCGACCGATAAAAGCAGACGGTGTCGAAATCATTAGTGACTTACTCCAAGAACTATAATCGCCACCGAAACGGCAATCTCCTAGCCTCTTGATAGTGTTGCCGTTACAGAGCCGGGTTTCCAGACGTTTAGCTCGGCCACGTTTAACGCTGCGCTCCGAGTCATAGGTTTACGCACATGGGTACACGATAGCATTTATTACCCCTCTCGCTTAGTGGAAGGGGATGTTGTGTACGCAGCGAGCGGTTATGGTTTACGTATCAAATACTTGAATCGTTTCGAATGCGTGGATGAATTTGCAAATTCGCCAACTCCTACCGATTTTGTGATTTCCTACAACCACAATCTTTTATACAGTAGCATCATGGGCCTTGCTACCAGTGAAGCCTTCCCCTACATTTCAAGTCTTAGGGTGCAACTCGTGGACTAAAAGCTTGGCCTAGATGATCTTCTCGAGAATGATCAATACCAAACCGTATTCTGGACGTCTCCATGTGATTTCAAGATCCCACCACTATGCACGTATTTGATTTTCTCGCTGCGGTTGGCAACAACATAGTCATCTCTTCGGAAGCCAATCGTCGACCCGATATAGATAGAGCCACAAACATAACACCAGCGCGGGTTTGAATAATCTCACTCTTGGCATGATTCTCTGTTTATTCCGCTATCAGCATACCATGTTCTATGTTGCAGCTTCCGAACAGCATGCTAATTTATCTGCGGCACGGAAACCATATCGGCAGTCTGCCTTAGATCCAATCCTCATGTTGATGGTAGAAGCGCTGCACGTCCCTCTGTCTTATCGATCCTGGCGCTTATGCCCAAACCAGGTCAGCGTGGAAGCTCGGTTCCGTAGGCTCCACTCGAAAAGCCTTAGTGAAAACAGCACGATTTGTCGGTTTAAAGTCACTGAACTATGTTAATTTCACTGTCATGGCCGTTTACACCATATCGGATATTGAATGGAAGTTGATGCAGCATTTGACATCATGAGCCGACGGTCGCTGTGCGTGCGCTTGGAGACTCCGTTCCAAGTCTCCGGTTAGCCCTGCCCCTCCGAGACCAACGCCCTGCTGACCTTTGCAGACGAGGCTTTTTTGCTATTGATCCGGACCAGCAAGCTCTATAAGCCTTGTTATCAACTACCCGGCTCAACTAACAGCTCAATCAGCCTTCGACAATGCGTGTGCATTGGTAGCGTCGCGTGTACTGATTGGTAAATGCAGGGATCCTCTCATACAGTGGCGTCAGTTGGACTTCAGTTATCTATTAGATAGGCGCTACTTGTTAACGATGATCCTGCGCAAACAACATGATCCAATGAATGAAGGCCCGAAGAGAATAGCGAGGCTGAGGAGAAAAATCGGCTGAAGTGAAACAGAGTTCAACCAACGTACATGAGGCTGATATCCAAGAAACAGATGCGCACAATGTGCTCCTCTATAAGATAGAATGTTATTCTCTTTGAACCACTGTAAATGAAGCACAGAAAACCCGTCAACGGCCAAGATGAAGCAATCAAAGCAGAACCATCACTTCATCCCCCGGTTTATCTTGAGAAATTTTGTACCGCAGACTCAACCTCCTGCATCACCAGCTGGGGATGTTGAATCGACGAAAGGAAATAAACGGCGTGGCCGTGATTTCCTTGTAAATAAGATCGATCTTGAAAGATGCGTCCTCAGTCAGCGACCGGTTTCGACTGAGTTTTCCCTCGTGGACTTGTATCGTGATCCTGGTTTCTATGACAATCCTTATCATCTTGAGAAAAAGCTGTCAAATCTCGAATCTCAAGCGAGTGAGATCATTCGTCGCGCATCCAACTTGTTCTCTCAAGGCTTGACACTTGAACTCAATCGGATTGAGCTTGATAGGCTCCGGAAATTTCTTTTTCTAATGAAATATCGAAGTTCGGGCATGTTCGACCGATATAATCATGACCAGACCCATCAGTATGAGGCTGACGACCGCGAAAGGATGTTGATTTATATGCAGTCAAGAGGATTTACGAGGCCGCGTGATGTGTGGTTTGATAACCTGCGTCGGTTCTTGGATGTTGATATGGACCCTGCTAGGGCCTGGATTGATACTCTTAAAACGCAAATATACCCTGACGATGCTATGATGATGGGAATACATCTCATTTGGAGCTTTCTAGCATTTTGTGAGCCAATGGATCCAAAGGATGAGTTTCTCCTCACTGAGAACGCATACTCCATTTTTGAAGGTCCTTCGACGACGAAATATAACGTCATTACTCAAAAGGTGGAGGCCATCTGTTATACTGAATACCACAATTTTGCTCCTATATCCCCAAGGCTTATCATTGTCTTACGAAGCCATCTCCTTGATTCAGAAGGTCAATCGAGTGAATTGTTTCGAGAGACACGGAAGCAATTTGCGGCGGCAGTTCAATCTCAACATCTTAACCCAGACAAAGCGGGATCAATTCTGCACGATCTTCCTGTTCGGCAATGTGGCCATGTCTATACAGCATCGAATATTACTTCACGAGCCTCTTTTCGTGAAACTGATAGGTTTCGGTTTCAGTGCTTCAAACTCTCAACCCACCATACAACAATCATCAACAATTTATTCCTAGAAGAAGCCTACATCACCTCATCAATCGTGTATCACTCTCAAGAATCGCTGAAATTGACTTTAGAAGATTATTTCAAAGCGGAGACCGATGGCATGAAAGTTATTCATGACCCCGGTGAAAATCGTTACCGATACTTGATAGCACTTGAAAAGATTTCCCGTGATCTTGGGAGCTCTGCAAGTTGCAGAATGAATGTTCTTGACAGAAGTCCTTCACCTCCACGGGTGCTCATGTCGTCGTTTGTGGCTTTCAAAGTTGCAATCGGACTTCTACAAGATAAGGAGACAGAAAAGCTACCCGAAGCCTATTCACTGATGAAGCCAGGTATGCTAGCTAATTATCCGTTTCAAATATCTCTTTGTTAATGTGTTGAGGTCCAGGAGCAAACGAAAAGGTGTTTTGGGGCGACGCCCACCAAGCCGGTCTTATGATGATATTAAGGACCAAAGTTGATCGAGCTCTCAAAAGTTCATGCCTGTCGAATGAAGCAAAAATTGGTGTTCGCAGAAGCATAGGTGCTTTCTTCATGACATTCCCCTCCGAAAGGCTTTGGCTGTATCTGAAAATCTCACGAAATATGAACAAATTTGACGACCAAGACTTCACCAAACAGACTGCGGAGCTTGAACTTAGAGGCATAGAGGATACGTTTGCTAGATGTGAGTGTGGATTTGTCCTACGAACTTTTGTATCAATCGAATGCAGAAGGATTTAACTAATTTTGATTTAGACATAGCCTCTTCCCCTAGGCAGCGGAAGGATCTCGTGAAAACTATGTACTACGAAGCCATAGTATAGTTTGATTATCAATAGAAAGAATCCAGCCTTGCAAAACTTCAGCCCTGCCTTTAAAATCAAGCTGATTGAACAGAGAATGATATTATTGTATTTCGCACTATATGCTTGGTTGAAGGGATGAATCTCATGAAGCCAGCCACTAGACGGATGCAATTTAGTTTTATCATAAAACTATATACCACGGTGGCTTTCTCGGAATTATCTCGATTAAGAATATCGAACATCTAAGCAAGAAGTACACTAGACTCGTGATGCTTAGCTAGAGCTCCTGTTTTTAATACCAAGCAGGGCGGTACCTATCTGATCACCGGTTGCCTAGCCTTGTCGAGGGAAAGCCAAGCACAGCCTACAAGTTTGAGAGATACGTAAATATTTTCTTTTTGATGTTTAGGCTGCTGCGAGGAATTTCAAATTACATTCAGCTATGATGGAAGATGTCGTCAATCTCGAGCCTTGTTACTACCATGCGCTATCTCTTCACTCGTCTCTCCTTCCCAACCACCCACAGACTTGAATTCATTGAATGATATTGGTCCATACACTGTCTTTTTGCTCTGAACTTTGGAAATTATCATTCTTTTTGTCCTTTTCACGAGCAGACTTGGTACTTTAATGAACCATTTTAAGCGCTTTCCATGCTACGCCACGTCATAGGTACACGAACGTGTGGGCTATGACATGGCAGAAGCATAGCTCCGCCTTGCCGTACTTAGTATTCCCCTAAATGGGGCGGTGGAGCATGATTTGCAGGGATTTTATGTCTGGCTGCCTGTTTGTTGCCTGAAATTAGACTGCAGATAGAAACGATGGGGTGGCTTTTATAATTGGCCATAGACTCCCGTTAAGCTGGTCCACAGGCATAAGCTATGGATAGTGAGGCAATGAGGTCTCTTATCTCGGGGGCGCAATTTTACCTATTCACCAGGATATAAATACATTGAGCCATGGACTGTTGTTTTACTATTAACAATCTTTAATACCCTATTCCTTCCCTATTACGCTTACACTTATTAAAGCAGCCAATTTGAAATACCCAAGCTTAATATGGAGAGCCCAAATTACTTTTCTCGTTTCTCGACCTTTAATACGCGGACTACTACATCTGCGACAGAAGAGTTCAGTCGTCTAGCACTTGAAATGAAATGGAAAGAAGGTTCAAGAAGATACAAAAATGAACGGTCAAAATTCTTGAGATCTGAATTTAGTATCCATTTTGGCACCGATGCTACAAAGTTGGAGAATTGGCAGGCGCTATGTGTTGAGTTGGAGATTATTGATCCGATTCAAAGTATCAATCAGTGTCGAAAGGTGAGCTATTTTACCTTGAAAGTTCTCTGGTTTCTTTTGAGGCTGAATTTGTCAGGCCCTTGCAAAGGTGCATGTGAATCTGGTCGATTTAGTCGACTCCCGAAGAACCGGAAAGAAAGTCAAACATTTTGCAAGTCACAAGGCACTGAGAAACTACACCGTTGGAACTGGAAGGATATTTCCAAAGTCAGCTGCTAAGGAAGATGGGTTTCTCAAGGCCTTGCTTCGGCAGATCTTTTAGTTGCTAAGACTGCGTTACCGATAACCCGGAAAGAAGACATGAATGCGATCAAGTCATAATTCGAGATAGTTATTCAGGATAGTAACAGTTGAGGGGTGCAAATATGATCAAGACCTATTTTCACATTCACCAGTCGCCTTTCAAACCCTACATGTTCCAATGTGCCAATCTGCAACTAAAAAAGACGGTGGATATCAACGGCCAAGACATTTAATACGGACATAACTTTCTTTTTATTCTAGTTGCATGTGATATATAAAAAAGAGAGTACATATCTAAGATCTACCGTCGCGTTAACAAACTTCCTAGAGTGAAATGGCTAGATATCCATATAAATATAATCTCATACTTTCAAGGAAAAGATGATCCATTTATTATATTGGATTTTGTGCGTTCTGAAACTATAAGTTATACGCAATGATCCCGTTATTCAAATGTTAATATCACTCGCGGCCACTTGGGGCTTGAGTGTTTATATAACGCAAATAGTATGATAAAGCATATGTTCCGTAAAACCTAGATACTACGAGAGATATCAGGCTAAGTGAAAGACTATCGAATGGGCGTAACAGTGAAAGTCCCTAAAATTGAGTGCTTCACTAAAGATCACGCAGAGAACAAGCCTACCAAGGAAAACGTTCCCAAGAAGGCCGATGTCTAACAACAACACCGAAAACGAATATGGGAGATTCACCTACGCAATGAGAAGTAGGGCTCGTCTTGTGATTATTCTAATCAGGAACACTATTGAATCATTATAAAAAGAAAACGGAAAACCCAGAGGATGTGACTATTGAGGAGACGCTTCCTCTCAAGGCGATGAAAATGGACGTCTCCTATCGTTTTCTGCTCTTTGATGTCATGGGATGGCATTTGGACAATGCCCCCAATGAAAACATTGGCTCCGATAGTATCGTCGGTTTCTTTCTGATCGCCCTTTTTGGGCGGTCCATTCTATCAGATCAAATTTAAATGAAAAATAGTCCAATTGAAAGAAATAGACGGAGCTAGTGCTTGGATAGAGATTGGAATACGGGTATAGAAGCTAGGCTACCATTGAAGCTTTTATGTATTGTAGTGGGGAAATCACGACACTTATATGATTACTGCCTTAGGCAGTAATATCCTCGAGGAAGGGTTATAGGCAACCTGCGACTGTAGAGAAGGAGAGAGAGTTACAACAATGCCACTTATTTCCTGATTCAAGATTTATGATCATTATGCTCCTTGATATAGCATCTGATTATCCCTGATAGGCATCATCTGTCTAGAGCTCATAGACCTGACTTGTTGTTAGGTTTTCTTGCCACCATTTGTCGACCCGTCTGTTTTGACCAGACTGCCATCGAGCATCTCCCATTTCAGTATCTAAATCTATGACCTATCTTACAAAAAATTCCTGTGGATCTCCAAATGTTTCTAGATATAACGCGGGATAATGAAATAAACTTCTTATCTTATAGTATAAACGATTACTTCAGCCAAAACCCCATCGGCCTTTGACTTGATGAGACTATGTTAAGCCAGAGAGGGCTTGAAATTAACTCAAAGTACGGAGTAGCATGGAATTTGTGATTGATATAATTTTGATTATATTGATGATAGTAGAACTGTAAGCTAAATAGACATTTCGCAATATCATTAGCATGCGTTCTCGAATGCTTTAGTTTGGACACTTATACCTCGAGTCAGTCCTGCATTTCGTGTCGGGGAAATGTCTTCTAAGTTCTGCCAAGATTCGTCCCCGGAAGCTTATTGAAAGGAAAATTTAGAAAACCGCCATAGTCTCGCTTTAGCATACGACGGTGTTTGCCCCACAGTATGCCCCAATAGGGACCAAATGCCGGGTCCCCGTAAGAAAACCATATTACTGATCGTCCTGGCTAATCAGTAGGGAAATTCTTCTGTTTGAAACAAGGCATGGCAATGTGCTGCAGGAGCTTTACACGTACAAAATTACGAGTAAAGATTCACGAAACGTGGGAAGTAAAGCACATTCCGCTAGTTCCAAATGGGGATGCATCGGCATTCCGGGTTTCCAACGGCGAACCACTGTATTGTCAAATTGCACAGTTCAAAGTAGAGACATGGATTCCAATGTCAGTGCGGGCTATTTAAAACCATATTCAAATTTCGGAAAAGAAATTGGGGATTTTTTCCCCGACAGATTTGCCCTCACTGGAAAAGAAACACCGCTATTCGCAATACGTACTGGGAATACGGCTCTGAAGGACCCACACGATACTGGAACAAAATCATTAAAAACGGACATCATACCTGAAACTTGACTTAGAAACAATTGACATTCTTTTACACCTTCTGTTGTTACAACTAAATTTGAGCTTCTTCGCTGTTTCAAGCACAATATGGCCTCCAATTCAACCACAAAACCAGCTCCTGCAATGGCATCCGAAAATCTAGCCGCGGCGCTTCCCAACATGGCCATGTCGACTCAGGCCATACATGCGGACGACTTTGCCAGCTCCCATCGAGCTATCGCCCCGGCGATGCATGTCGCTGTCAATTATAGATATGCAAGAGACCCGGACCAGTTAGTTCAAGGCGAGAACAAAGATGTCAGTGAATCCTCTAGACTTGTGTGAGCTCCTTCTGATTGAATATGTAGCCAAATTCTCCCATGGAGCCGTTCGTATATTCACGCTACTCGGCTCCGAACAGCAATCGCTTCGAGACGGTTCTCAAGAATATCTTCCATGGAGGGATCATGACATACTCTACAGGCCTAGCCGCTTTTCACGCAATCATGGTCCTGTTGAATCCGAAGCGCGTGTTTATCGGAGAAGGATATCACGGTGTGCATGGAAACATTGATGTGATGACCAAGCTTACTGGCGTTCGAAAGCTATCTCTTGACCAGCTCGACCAGCTAGGTCCGGGGGATATTGTTCATATCGAGACACCTCTAAACCCGACAGGAGAAGCGCGTAATCTCTCCTATTACAGTGCAAAGGCGTGTGCTGTGGGAGCGTATCTAACCGTGGATTCAACATTCGCGCCTCCTCCCCTGCAAGATCCATTGCAGTTTGGTGCTGATATTATCCTCCACAGCGGTACAAAATACATCGGGGGGCATTCTGATATGATGTGTGGCATTCTTGTGGTTCATCCTGAACGTGTTAGGCAAGGATGGATCGACACCCTGTATTCAGAGAGACTTGTTCTGGGGAATGTCATGGGGAACCTTGAGGGCTGGCTAGGCCTTCGATCTCTCCGGACCCTTGAGCTTCGCGTGAAGCGGCAGTCGGAAACTGCTCAACATCTTGTTAGCTGGATTCATCGTGAGATACAGAATCCCTCTTCTGTGGTTGGTCGAGTCGTCGAACTCATCCGACACGCCTCATTGCAGGAGAAGGATCTCCAGGAAGGATGGCTAGAGTCGCAAATGCCGGGAGGGTTTGGACCAGTCTTTGCGATTTGTCTGAAGACAGCCGAACAAGCAAAACGGCTGCCAAGCAAGCTGTGTATCTTCCAGCATGCAACCAGCCTTGGCGATGTGGAGAGCTTGATTGAATGGAGAGCTATGAGTGATTCCACATGCGATACAAGACTTCTTCGTATCAGCTGCGGCCTAGAGGACCCGGTTGATCTGCAAAGGGATCTGCTCCAAGGGCTCAGCGCTCTTTGCGAGTAACAAGTTGCTTCTTCTACCTTCATCCGAAGTCGAAGAAATATTCAGATATACAGAATTATACTTGTGCGTTTGCTGGCGAAGCCCTTGATTGCCAGCTTCCCCTGGCCATAGAGAGCTAGCTATTTTCTCGGAATGGGAATAGTTTCTTAACTGATCACTCTACTTACTTGACAGTATTTTTACATCTATTGCTGTGTAAGAAATTCCTTGAGGAGAGATGAAAGAGAAAAGAGAAAAAGAGAGAAGGCGACGACGCCGGCGGGGGGGGGGGTTAAGTTACATTTGATTCTATCACTCTATCACACCTTGCCAATGTAGATACGTAATGACATCTCATGGAACTTTATACGGGGACCAAAAGTCGATTCTCTCTTGTTCCCCCGTTCTGAGTAGATTGTTTGGGTGCAACTTTCAAACGAAAGATGTGTTGCTTTGAAATTTGTAGATAGTGACTTTCCCGTTCACATGATAGTAGAAATGCTCGAGGGCAATTGCAATGAAATGTATCAATAATGCAACTCCCAGTAGGCCGAGGAAACATTTATTCTGATCCGGTCATACTTCTTCTCGCCTTCGACAGAGATGCTGCATCACCCATCGGAAGGCAAACAGGCAAGCTATCTTGACAAAGATTATGGGCCACGATATAAAAGCCCAACAATCCGGCAATAAATCCAAACGCGCCGCCTACCTTCATAATCGTCGCACTCAGAGCAATATTTCCATCCGCTCGGACAAAGTTTGCTGTTGCATCGAGACCGAAACATACTTCGATAGCAATAAACGTTCCAAAGTAAACCATGTTTCTAGAAAATAGATCAGACAATGGGAAACACGAGGAAAGAGCCAATACCAACATTGAGAAGCTTGCGATGAGGAAGATTGTGTTAAGGACCGTCCAAACTGTCATTCCATTTCAGTAATCACATTCTGTGGCATTTGAAAAGCAGTAGACTTACTCAGAACAAAAAACCCCATGGCATTATAGTATTCGGGTGTTTGGCCTCCGTAAGAATCTGCTATGCCGAGAGTGGGCAGCAAAATAGCGCCATAACCGCCATAGAATAGACCTAATCATGAGATAGAGATTCAGGTTAGTAACAATGGAAAATAGGATTACGCAGAGCCAAGCCACAAACCAAATGCACTGAGCACAGTATAGCCGAATGTGTTCCCTCTTACGATCTCCCACTGTGCCGAAATGAGTAGGGCGATGCAACCAACGAAGCAAAAGTTTCCGATGAAGACATTTTGGACGGAAACTCCCCGGAACTCCATCATGGCAAGTGAGAGTGTCAAAAGGGTCGTTGCAAAACCAGCCATCCCCAAAGGCGTCTGGTTACATGGGAATGTCAATTAGAGAAGAAACGTTTCCAGGTATTGAACTGTGGCTACTTACTGGATCGCCCAGCTTTTGTCCTAGTTGCATGTGGGAATGAGCAACAGATGCCGATGTCTCATAAGATAACATGTGTTTCGGACTTTGTTCTAGGATGGCCATGATCTGAATCTTTCTTCAAATAAAAAGGCAAATCGACGAAAGGGTCTCGACGACTTGTCTTATAGGACTGATACGGTGTATTATTCCGTGTATTAGTGTACGTTACGATCCACTTGAAATTCAACCTTGGAAAGCCGCTTTCCAAGGTGATGTAATAAATCTTTTTGGTGTGGTGTGGATTAGCAGTGCTGGTATCGGATTTGTGACGGTATCGATTTCTATCGGACACATATAGACAGATTTATACAGGCAAAAAGGGGTTGAGCTCAGAATGGTGAAAACTTTATCTAGTATTCTAGTATTAGGTGTATTAAGATTGAGTCTCGAAATGATTGCAACTCGTTCTAGAAAAGCATTGATTAAGTAAAGTGCTAAAAGCCACCCCCCAATAACGTGGATCCTGGTCGTTCCGGCATCCCGGCCGTTCCGGCAGTCACGTCAATTTTTCTTCTCCTCACTAAACCTGCTATTTTCAAACGCCCATCATGCCGCCAATCCGCGGTCAAAAAGCTCAGAAATCAGTTGAGCAGGAAGGTAGAATCCTACTGGCAATTAAGGCTATTAAAAATGGCCGGTTTACCTCTGTTGCTGCTGCTGCTCGCTCTTTCGAAGTCCCGCGGTCTACGCTACAAGACCGGATGAAAGGGATTACCAGTTGGTCTGACACAAGGGCTACAGGCCATAAATTCACCCAATTAGAAGAGGAATCAATCCAGGATTGGTTAATCTCTATGGATCATAGAGGTGCTGCTCTTACGATCGCTATGTTGAGAGATATGGCCAATTTACTACTCGAACACCGTGGAGATCATACCCCCCAGACTGTTAGCAAGAATTGGCCAACACAATACATTAAACGACATCCCGAGCTTTCTAGTCGATTCTCTCGCAGATATGACTATAAACGCGCCTTAATGGAAGATCCAAATACTATTATTGAGTGGTTTAAGCTTGTTGAAAAAACGATTGCTCAATATGGTATCACTTCGGATGATATCTATAACTTTGACGAATCGGGGTTTGCGATGGGAGTTAGTGCAACGACGAAGGTCATTACACAGTCATTTTATACCGGTCGGAGGGGCGTTTTACAACCTGGCAATCGGGAATGGGTGACTGTTATTGAAACAATCTGCGCCTCCGGGCGAGCGCTCCCACCATACGTTATCTTTAAAGGTAAAAGCTTTATGTCACGATGGTTCGACGACCTTCCAAAGTATTGGGCTCTCAACGTTAGTCCAAACGGCTGGACAAGCAATGAAATTGGCGTTGATTGGCTCCAAAAGCACTTCATTCCGCATACTATAAGTCAGACGAAAGGAAAACATCGTCTTTTAGTCCTCGACGGCCATGACAGTCATCTTACAGCAACATTCGATAAGATTTGCCAGGAAAACAATATCATACCAATCTGTATGCCTCCGCATACCTCTCATCTTTTACAGCCCCTTGATGTTAGTTGTTTTGCTGTGTTAAAGCGCTCTTATGGAACACGGGTTACGGAATATACTCGATTAGGCATCGATTCTATCGAAAAAGATGACTTCCTTGATATCTTTCCGGCGGCTCGTGACGACTCATTCAAAGAGCCTATTATTAAGAGTGCCTTCGCAGCTACTGGTTTAGTACCATTAGACCCCGATCGGGTGTTATCAAAGCTCAATATTCGTCTTCAATCTCCGCCTCTACCAGATCGACCAGTATCACAAGGCTCAACATCAGGTAGCAATATCTCTACCGGTATTCCTCGGACGACTAAGCAGCTAGAAAAACGCAAATCTAGGCTCAATTCTAGTCTAAATTCAGCTGCTAATAAGATCTCTTCGCCTACAAAACGTGATCTTCAACAGTTTTACAATATGTCGGTTAAACTGGTCCACGAGCATGTCTTAATGCGGGATGAAATCAAGCGTTTACGGGAGGGGAATAGGAAGCAGACTAGAAAAAGGGAGAAATCAAAGAAGCAAATACCTAACATAGGTAGTTTAACAGAGCTTCCAGATCCTACTACCAATATTGGTGGTAAGGAAGGTGTTAGTGTGAGATATATATCTCATCCTACACCTGCTCTGGAACCCCAGGGTGAACCTCCACTTCCTGTTTTGCCCCCTGTACGTCGGAAATTTACATGTTCTCAGTGCGGAGGAAAGGGGCATAGTTTTATTAAGTGTCCGCAGAAGGTTTAAATTGAATTCAATGGTGTTTTGCTGGTTTAAATGGCGTTTGAAAAATGTAATAAATTGTATATTTTGATGGGGTGACGGAACGGCCGGGATGCCGGAACGACCAGGATCCACGTTAATTAAATCTGAGTAATCAACTAGCGGCATTCCAAGGTTTTAACTAAGCGCTTTTTGGGTATTAGAATTCATATCAAATTTTACCTCTAACGTAGCATCAAATTGTTGGCATTTTAATGAATCTGCTAGCAATCTGCTACGTAAATCATGTACCTTGAGTGTTTAAGTCCCTTGAATCCCTTGCTCCATCAGATGAAAGTGATAAAATTGCGAAAAAAAAAATGGAATGCTTTGATTGACTTTTAACTAACACAGCCTATGGGTATACAATACCTCGATTTACTGTGCTGCCATATAGTAAAATTGCGTACTGCTTGCCCACTAAGGTCAAAAATTGTAAAACGTGACGCGGTCATTAAAGTCCCAAAAATCTAGCGGACTTCCAGGGTAAAATATGATGTAAATTACATTACTCAAAATACGCTACAAATCGACCAACTTCGTAGCGCTGATAAGATGTGGGAGGGGGTGCCTTTTTAGCAATTAACTTGATTAACTGCCGAAGATAGCTGACTGACACGCAATGTGAATCTCTTTGCTCATGTCACTCACACCCTCAAACATGCGAGCCCCTCTCATTGCACCAAGGATCGATTCGAGTCCCTGTCGAATCTCACGCATTGATCTTTCTACATCCTGAACCTCCGAATTCGCCTCTGGGCGATTGAGAAGGCAGTGGTATGATGCAAGATCTCCCGACACCAACGCAGCCCTCAGCCGATAGTAACACATGAGCAAGACATAGGAGCTCTGCATAGCCGAGCACGCAAAGAATGGTAGCAGAAAGATCTCCATACCATCATCTATCAATGCCTTTCCGACGTCCAATCTCGGGGAACGCTCGGGACTTGGCTTAGCCAATGTTACGGTTTCAAATCCACGAGATATAGCTAGCGCGGACTTAAGGCATATAACCGATGACTCTTCCTCAGTGAAGGGGAAGAACGAGTCAAGATTCTGGGAGCGCAATGAGCCCAAGCCTGCGTTTGTTCCCCTTTCGTCCACGATTGCTGCAAGGTCACAGAATCTTTCTAAAAACATGGGAATCTCCATGAAAGCCCGCGCTCGATGCAGCCGTATGCGAGCACTAGGATGAATTGTTAGAATGCCTGAAAATAATGAAGTAGAATTTTCGACTACCGCAACAGAGCGATTCCTTCTAGCTTACCAATGGATGAAAAGTGTCGAAATTGACCGCATATTCTGTGATGCAATGACATCGGGGCTTTTTCTGGATGCAGACTGTGGTAGGTAAATGGACCTCTTAATCTGGGTAGATAAATACGAATCAAATTGCACGATCCTTTCAGACGAATCAGATGAGACACTGGACGAAGAATTCTCATAGGTCTCGTTGCAGGCCTGAGGGATGGAGATCAACGATTGTTCAGCTTCTAGAAGCAATGACCATGGCTGGTATGACGTTAGCAAGAGAAAAAACTATGGCCAACATTCGACCTGTATATTGTATAGTAATTCAACAGGTGTTCAATACCTCTGATGAGCTTTGGGATGAAGGAAATGGGGTTGTTATCCTTGGGTCGGAAACAGATATGATCGGGGACTGATACTAATCAGCAGGTGGAAGATCCCCTCTCATTCGAGAAAGACTCACAGTCTGGTAATCAATGGAGGATAAATAAAGCCCTAGTATCTTGAAAAACCAGTAAGTAAATGAAAGAGTCCACACTACTCGTGCTGAACTTACGGCACTCCACCATGTTCGACGCTCTGCCTCTGTTGACGTATGGCCAAGAGCATGAAGTGATAGATCCATTGCGGCAGTCACTGCTTGATTAGCGCGACCGCGCATACGAGAAATGCTACCTCTTTGGCAGTATTCATAGACACTCAATACAACAAGAGCAAGAATTGGATACAGCCGAGATGATTCATCGAGGCTTATTTGCTCGTTGAATACATCACTAGCACGGGAAGATGCTCGGGTAATTCTGTCAATCTCGTTATCCACCTCATCGAATGCCGCTTCGGCGAAGAGATGTGCCAAGGATCGTTTCAGCGGTGTGCTGGAATCCACAGGAAGATGGGAATCCTGAGGAAGCGGTATCAAAACTAGAATGGCAGATATGGCCAGAGTAAGCGAGGATGTTGGCCAATGCGGCAGAGAGTTTCGAAGGCCGTCCGTGAAATTCGAGCAACTGATCGGAATGACCATGTCATGATATTCAATCGACGCAAGAGGGGGTAGTATCGGCAGAAATGGATGAATGTAAATATAGTATGCACTTAGTCTGTAAGAAGATCAGGTAAGTGTCATGAGAGAGGGCTGCATGAAACAACGTTGGAAGCATGACAGGAATCTTACATGTCTTCATCTGAAGCATACGTACGTATACATCCAACCTGGTTTTCCCTTTCATTGTCTGGTATCGGGTTCCGATCCTCTTCTATGGTCCCTCCTGAAGGCACACTCAGATCTAGTCTCCCGCGAAAGGGAGCTAGCAAATTGCTGATGCCATGTAAATCGTGGGTCTCTGATCCCCGATCGGTATGTGGAGAGCTATTTTCGGTAACGAATAATCTTTGTTGGGAGGCATAATCATCTGCAATAGGCCCTGTTTGAAGTGAAGAGAGTGGCGCAGCAACGTACTGCGAGCCATGCTTGGGTCGCCGGATGCCGCCGCGCTGACTTGGACGATAGGAACACGTCAATTGCCTTGTTGAACACTGGGTTTTGAATGAGAATAAGCCGAGTATGATGAAAGAGGATGTGAGATCTTACCCTACTACATGGTTGTCTCCCATCACATCGAATCTTGGCCTCCCGACTATGTACGGTTAGAAAGTCTCCACGGATAAGTGGACTATCACAATACCAAATTGTGCAAGCTGCCTTAGAAGGTGGCCTGCGGGTAGAGCGCATGTCTTGTATGGATTTTGCAGATCTGAGGCTGGATATGATAGCGTACAGAAGGTGGCTGACAATTGAAAGCCGGAATACCGAAACAATACCGGTAACGGTGTTTGATCTTTTGTTCGCCGGCTTGGCATTTTGAATCACCTGATATCTCGTCATACTCTAATACCAGCAGGGATTCCGGTCACGTGTGTACTGTTTCATCCATCTTCAGGTGTTGACTATGTATGTACGAAAAAGGGAAAGAGACACACGATTCACAACCAGAAGATCCTTAACTTAAGTTATCCGTAGATGTAACTTAGGCAACTAGGTTAGTCACCGATCAAGAGCTACCCTTAGTAATCTACTCGGTATTCGGCCGCTAGAGGTCATTAAAATCCTAGATAGTAGGTACTCAAGTCAATGACCCATGATGATACAATAACTCGATTTGTACCTCATTTATTTTCTGTCAAGCTCTTTTCCTCTTTTCTTTCTCTATGTTCATTGTGCCCATATCGAAACCGGAGATCACCAGTCCCTTCTACATGCCGTCTGTCAAAGATGTTTTCTGTCGGATTTTATCGCCAATCCAGCGCGGAATATCACAACGACAGCAGTCTAAATCACAGCAACCATTTCGAAAATGGAAAAAAAGCCAGCGTCGTCATTATGCAAAGTTTTTAAAGTCTAATTCACACAATGTATATCGGACTCTCGTATGGGCACAAAAAATGATTCAGCTTGAAATTTACCTTCGTGAAGTCGTCCAAGAAGAAAGCTCTATCCTGGCTACTTTCAAGGATGTCCAGAATGAAATCCCGCCAGAAAAGCGGGATAGGCTTCAGTTCCTCAATCAGGAATACTGGAAGACTACAATCAAGATCTATGAAAACGATTTAGGGGCTCCTGGTGGCTCTCTACGGAAGGCATATAAATCTCGAAAGCAGAACCCGAAATGGAGCAACTCAGGCTTTTTACGGGTAGATTGTGTTAATCGTCGGGGCTGCTGTAGCCGGAAATGTGGGTGTTGTCAGAACCCTCGACTGTATTCTACGCGTGAGGAGGGCCATGGCCATTGTACTAAGACATGTGGTTGTTGTCTAGAGCGGCGAGACTTTCCACTCGACGAAGAGCTGCAGACACTGGTTCAACCTACCTTCGATGTATCACGTCAAGCTCCTGATTCTTATAGCTCACGTCTTTTTGTTGCTTATACAGCAGGGCATGTTTGACAGTATATGCCAAGTGGCATGGTCCGTCTGTTTGCTTATAGTGCCCCCACTGTTTGATTATCACGAGCCCTCTCTATTCTTCGTCTCCAGTCTTCATCATTATTTCTTAGCTAGGGGAGCTTCATACATGTCTTTGACTCATGGCTCTGGAGCCCTCTTCTTCCTGCGTCAAGAGTGTGTAGGGTCTGTAGATCACCTGCTCCGCTCGTTTCAGTTGCTACTATTTACGTTACCCCTAAACTCCTCCTAGCTACGCATAAAGCAGAAGTTCAATATTTCCGATGGCCTTTTTCGTATTGAAAGATATATAGAAAATAAAATTATCATAATGTACTACATCATTGTCAAGCTGTAAATCGGAAGGCACTGGAATGGGATCCTCGATACTCGACAGGGCATTGGGGTGAAAAGGTATCACTAAGCAGAATTTCCAACAAGAGCGCCTGCATTCTTGAAATTTCATAATACTCACAGGGACGCTGAGAGTCATCGAGTAAAGTTTAGTCGCAGCACGTTTCAGGTGTCGAGATCATTATCTGGTTAAAGAGCGTTACAACCCGAAGACGGTCCACCTACTATTGGCCGAGCAGTGTCTACAGGGTCATATTTCAAGAATAAACGTCGTATTGGCTTCGTTGAAGCGAGGCCATAACAACTGGGAACAACATAGAGCCGGGGGTCTGTATTAAAACGAAAGCATGAAGGTGCACAAAATTGACGACAGAAAGAAAGGACAGAGGCTTGAGAGGTATACTTTTTGTTTTTCGGCCATCTGGTTCTTTCTTCTTTCATGCGCTAATCCTCACGCTACTGTTATACATCGAGTATTGACGTTATGTGGGGAGTGGTGTGTTTCGATCCATTTGGGATATATTATTCACATGATCCTGTAAATAATACACAGTTTTCTAAACGTTTTCCCGCACAGTTGCAAGTATCATCTCGATAAAGATAGAATTATGAGCAGAGCTACGAGGCTGCTATTAGAGTTCAGGCAAGTCAGACGTAAATAGAAAAGGCTACTAAGACCGCCCGGCGGCACTCATACTCTCACACCGTATCTAGTACGCACTCACGCTCACTTGTTGACTAAGTCAGTCAGCGCGGTCACGCAGCGTAGCCATGCAAGGCTACCTCAATGACCTTCAAATACTCACATTGCTCCTCTTATATGCCTAGATAACGCATCTTCTGCAATTATCAGGTCAGCCTGTGGATAGACCAATCAAAATCAAGTACAATAGTAGCGTACTATCGCATGTCCAATACTCCACTCTGCACACTCAGTGCAATGCACCACAGGCAATCAACATTCGGCTGAAATAAAGACAATTCTACCTTATCCAGCGGAGTTCTCCACCGGAGTGGGTCTCGGAGTCCCCACCTTGTACTAACTTACACGGTCTCTCGGATCGCCACGCCTCCGGAGTGCCAATTTATCCAAGCTTCACCCCCTGGAAGTCCTATCTCAACTGACTTCATGTGGCTTCTTATGATCTTACATTTAATGATGTTCTCTGATTGGATTAAGTGCCGGAAGTGTGCTCTCGGCCTGGCCTCGTCCTCTAAGATGGACTCCGCAAAGCTTCTCTCTTGGGATTTTGAACGATAATCGAACAACCTCTCTACCTGAGAAACAACAATGGTCTTATCTCTATGGCGCATATTGACCGATAACCCACATTCTCCAGCTATGGTGGTTTGATATCTAGAAGATAGCGGTCCTTGCAGGTCATGGGGGACAGGTATATTGATTTAGGCCATATCCCACCCCTCCTTAAACCCCAACATTGCAGCTCTCTTTTTCTTCCACAAAATCTGGTGAAGCAATTAAAATGTCAAAGTTGAATCCCTCTAATGAGCCCTCTGGCTCGGGCGAAGATTTCCACATCTCTGCGAAAGATGAAAAGCCCACATTTCACACCGCGAACGTGCCAGTGCACGAGGCCGATAATATTGCCGGCGAATTTGAAGAAATCAGTCATTTGAAACAAGGTCTTCATCAGAGACACATCCAGATGATTGCCTTGGCCGGCACTGTTGGAACGGGTCTCTTCCTCAGCTCTGGCAAAGCGATTGCTCATTCTGGTCCCCTTGGTGCATTCCTTGGATACCTAATCATGGGCTGCGTGGCCGGCGCTGTCACACTAGCGGTAGGTGAGATGGGTACACTTATGCCTCTTAATGGGGGCATTATCCGCTATGCGGAACATTTTATTGATCCGGCGTTGGCGTTTGCCAACGGTTATAATGTGGCATATTCTTATCTGGTGTCTATTCCCGCCGAGATCGTCGCTGCAGCCGTGCTGGTGCAGTATTGGTCCGACCTAAGCAGCGCTATTTGGATCACCATATTTGGAGTACTTATGTTGTTTACTGCGTTGGTCTTCGTAAGACTTTATGGAGAGCTGGAGTTCGCATTCTCAATCATGAAGATTCTGCTCATTATTGGAATCAATATCATGGTAAGTACATTTATTTCGATGGCTACACACATGGAAACGCAAAAATAACCTTAACCTATGTCCATTAGGCCCTGGTGATTACCTGTGGTGGTGGCCCTCGTCATGAATCCATTGGGTTTAGATACTGGCGGGATCCTGGCCCATTGGTGCAGTACCTTGGTATTAGTGGCTCTCTCGGGCGATTCCTTGGTGTTTGGACATCCATGAACAATGCCCTCTATGCCTATTCTGGCATTGAAACAATCACCGTTGCCGCCGGGGAAACAAAATCCCCGAGAAGGGCTATTCCACAGGCGGCCAAGAGAATCTTTCTTCGTATCTTGGTATTTTATGGTATGTTTGACCCTTCCTCTCCCGCCTAAATTCTTCAAGAAGAAGAAAATTATATTGGACCGTTCAAGAGCCTAACGGTACAATAACGAGACAGTCATTTCAATTTTCATGGTCGGCCTTGTGGTATCTTCCAACGACCCTGAGCTTACAACTTCTAATGGTACTGCATCTACATCTCCCTTTGTTCTCGCAGCTACTCGAGCAGGAATAAAGGTGGTCCCATCAATCATCAATGCCGTTGTTATTACCTCGGCCTGGTCCTCTGGCAACTCAAACATCCTTGGAGGATCGAGAGTGCTGGCGGGACTGGCTGTTAACGGTCATGCTCCGAAGGTCTTTGCTCGACTGAACAGATTCTCTGTTCCGTGGGTTGCAATCTCCTTTTATGGTATTTTCATGTGTCTAGGCTATATGTCGCTGTCATCGAGCGCCAACACAGTGTTTGACTGGCTGCAGGACCTTGTCTCTATCACCACTCTAACCAATTGGATCACTATTCTGATCACATACCTACGGTTTTACTATGGATGCAAAAAGCAAGGAATCTCAAGATCATCCCTACCATGGGCCACTGCATTCCAGCCATACATCTCCTGGGCCTCTCTGGCCATGCTCAGCATTCTTCTCATCACGGGTGGTTACTCGACTTTCATCAAAGGACAATGGAGTAACGAAACATTCGTTTCTTCCTATATCAACATCCCTCTTTTCTTGATCTTGTACTTCAGTTACAAGTACATTCGCAAGACGAAGATTGTTCCTCTGGAGGATATTCCGATTCAGCCATTCATCGATATTGCCAACCGTAATCCCGAGCCGCTACCGAAGCCATTAGTCGGTCTCAACAAACTACAATTTTTATGGAATTAACCGACCGCGAATAAGGGATTTTTGCTATCAACTTGATAGTTTGGAAAGAGGAAACGATTTAAATCTGTTGGTCGAGAACCTTGAATTAAGTTGGGTTTCAACTCGGACTTGGTATATCTTACCTCCTGGGATTCGAAGTGCGACGTACCATTTGCAACAGACCTAATATCCTACCCATAGACATCTTTAACTGTATTTCTTTGAACTTGCTCTCAGATATAATGTGATAAGAAAAACAATGATAACACCACGTTTGTTAATAATGATCTAGCTCAGTGCTCTTCAAGTGTTTATAGCGAATGCTTTCTATCGCATCAGTCCAATTGGAGCTTTACCACTCGCCGATGGGACTTAAGCAGGGACAAAACACCATATAATTTCGGAGATCAGCTGAATTCAACACATTTGTAGTTTCTGGTTGGTATCTCCTTACGTATTTACACCTAGTGACTGAAAAACATGTATCTCTACGCGAATCTTATTTTTGCAACTGCACTACAACCAGGCCCAATAATAAGACATTAAGTTGGGTTAAAATATACTTCAAAAATGCTTAAATGTTACCAATCTATAAGTGGCATCAAAATACTAGCGGGGGCAGCTTTTTACCACTTGACTTTATCTAACTCTCTGGCGCATCATCTAACTTGGTACCAGATTTAAAACCGCACGATGATCCTAGGATAGTTGTACCAGGGAGCATACCTGACGCTTTATCTCCTTATCGATACAAGATCAACAGGTTAAAAGAGCTTTGATTGCTTGATATCTAGTAGCTGCATCGCATAAGCTTGGAATATATAAACTTCCCGCGTTGAAGTCGTATAGGTTCGTTTCTGTCTATTTCTGTTTAACATCTATATACGTGAGTCGAATGCTGGTTTTACAGCCTTCTGTCAAAGAATGCTTTGAGACGTTTCTTTCTAGCGGTACGGAATAAAACATACTTCGTTTGAATAAAGGTCACTGTTCCCTTCAAGAATTCCTCGTCATCTACCTATAAACAGACTGTGCCTCCTCGATCACCTTATCGCTGCTCTCCTTTGGAGCCATCAGACGATCAAAGACTCTCTCCAGCCGGACCATTGCCTCGTCGATGATTTGATGGTGGACAACAACTCTCCCGCCCATCAATTTGATTCCTTCCTCCTTAGCGACGCGAATCGCCTCATCTACTGTGATACCACTGTACGGTAGATCCAAAAGTACCATGTTAGTCTCGACCGGTCGACCAAGTCTACCACCACGACTGAGCCACATTTTCTCAATAAGCTTTGCTTTAGTGTGGGTTCCTTGCAGTCGACCACCTTCGCCATTGGGTCCTTTACCGAAATTCTCCTCAACCGCCACCCGCGCTGCAGCTGATATGATTCCAGCTTGTCGGATTCCACCTCCAATACTCTTTCGCACCCATCTGCAGTGCTCCAGAGTTTCTTTCGGGCCGACGATAATGCTTCCAATGGGTGCAGCCAGGCCTTTGGAGAAACACATCTGAGCAGTATCAAAGCATTCCAGGTAATCGGTTAGGGAGCCAGCACCCGCAGCTACAGCCTCCCAAATTCTCGCACCGTCGAGGTGCATCTTGATACCGTTGGAGCGAGCAAATGAGGATATCCGTCGGACCTCTTCAAGGGGAGTGATGGTACCGGCTAGAGTGTTCTCTAGTGAGATCACTCTCGTTGGAGAGACATGGATGTTTTTGCTGATGATGGCCGTACGCTTAATGTCCTCCAGAGTTAGGTACAGTCCGTTTGCCGGGATGCACGGTTGCATGTGTGCTTGAGAAAGAGAGGAGCAGCCTCCAGCCTCAGAGTTGAGAATGTGAGAACGCTCATGGCAGAGAATAGCGTGGGGAGGTTGCGTCAAAAGTGATCGCAGGGCAATTTGGTTTCCCATTGTTCCCGACATGACGAGGAGACTGTCCTCCTTGCCGGTCAAGTTGGACATGAACTTTTCGAACTCCGTTGTCGTTTCATCTTCCTGATACACATCGTCCATCAACGAAGATTGCGCGATTGCTTGGAGCATGGATAGTGATGGAGTTGTGATAGTGTCGGTGCGGAAATCGTAGGCCGCAGGCCCAGGACCACACCAACAGCTTGCCACATTGATTTGCTGGACTGGCTGGCTACTGCCAGACTTGGGGAGAGAAACATCTAAGCTACCCATGGCGATGGAGACAAAAGGATTTTGGGATGAATGTTCCAATGTTGGACTTAATTTGAGTTAAATGTATCTTGGGTAGAACCAAACTATCCCAGTGGTTATAACTGTTCATCGTCAAATGCTCACTAAGCAGTCTGAACTAACCTGGGAATGTCAATCAGGCAATGATGGGTCCTCCCAACGGCGCTCGTATCGTTGGTTTGCTATCTTCTCTATTTGGTCCCTCCCAGCCACAGCCAATCAAAGCCAGTCAACAACAGAGCGGGGACTCCGTAGTTACTCCGAAGTCACTCCCTTTCCTTATCAGATTTCTCGGAGTACCTCTCATAGCACCGGAATCGATTTTCCTCTGATGTAAACCCCACAATACTGAGATTTCCGGCACAAGTTTCTGCAAAGGTATCGAAGGTGTGCAGATCCTTGAGAATAATCACCTGAGGACTATATCATTGTCCCCGGATCATCCCCATCAGATGACTACTTTGTTGATTTGCTTTACACAAATTCCCTCAAATCTCTTTCTATTCAAGAAGTTCAATAGTGAAACTGACGTGTCATTTCTTTCGGACTCAACCCTCACCAGCATATACATGATCAGGACTTGGAAGTCATCTAGGAGCAGTGTTTATGACAAACGAAACATCTGTTTACTTGCAAAATCACTTGTCTCCGATAAGTAACCACATAAAGCGAGCATGGGCCAGCAAGCGTGAATTGATCAATTAAAATTGGATATGCTGTAAAAGGTGTTCACCTTGTTGGAACAAGTGGCCAGTTGACCGCACTTGAATTGACACTAGCTTATTATTTTGGATGAACTATAGAGTCTGAAGATATACCTTGTTGAATTTAGACGCTATATTTCAATTTCCAGTGTTACTCTAGATACATTACTAGAATATTTGAATCAAACCGGTCGGCATTGTTCCATCACATTCGCCAAAGGGTAGGGAATCTCGGTCCCACTGATTCTACTGCTCACTCGCTAAACGAGTCAACTGACTTATTACGCGGTTGAATACCACCATATCTGCACGCCATGTTATCAGATGTACGATTTATCCTGGCTCTCTCCTGATTTGATGAATTCAGTACAGCGCAACTTGAATTCTTTATTCCTTTCCGATTTTACCATTAACTTAGTGTCGAGGGTGATAGCTTATGTAACCCTGTATCTTTCGCGCAAAATGGTCCAAGGTTTACCAAAAGATAAGAGAATTATGCACCTTGGTCATATCCTGGTATTGCAGGCATCGATCATCTTCACAACTTCATCTCGCTGTATCAAAAATTGCCGAGCCATTCGATTGTGATCGGAACAATTGGATATCCTCAAGGGTTCATAAAATCAGCAATAGTTCACAGGGGTATTTCCCCTCAATGATACGAACGCCATGCTCACAGAACCAAGGAAACGCCACAATGGTCAACTACAAGCTTGTGAGCCATGTCGCAAGGCCAAAATCCGCTGCGACCATGAAAATCCAGCCTGCTCACGCTGCGTTCGACGTGGTCTGAATTGCGTCTACCACCCGGCTCCTATGACCAAACGCCGCGTGCCAAGCTCTCATACAGCTACACGCTTCGACTTGACTCCGCCTGGAGGCCCAATGACCACCCCAGTTGTTAATAGCGAGTTCCATATCCCCATTGCAACTCACGACAGCTCTAGAACTCCTGCTGTTCCGGCAGAACCTGGTTCTGTTGCAAGCTCAAGGATGACAACCTGTTCCAATCGGAATGCGTCAGCCCGAGAAGAATTAGGAGAACACGAGACAACTCGGTTCTCTGCCGTTTTTCTCGAGAACATGAATAGCTTAGGTCCAGTAGTACTTGAAACAACGAAATTTAGCCACGCACTGGACCGAGAGCCTGGGGTGGCAACCTCAACTCACCTGGAGTTGGCTGTTAGAACACTTCTCAACTTTCCTACCGCTCGTACATGTGATATATTGATGGAGGGAATTGATCAGGTCTACGACGTCTGGCTGTCTCCAACCCATATTCGACATTGCCTCAATCAAGTGTGGACAGAATACGGTGCTGAGTTGGGAGAGCATCGGACTCGGGAGTCTGTATTGAAAATGGCCAATGACCTCTTCCTCAATCATACAAAGCCTCAATCAACGCCCCAATGTGACATCGACTGTGAATATGACCGAGTCGAGTGGGCGAATTGGTTTGGAGGGCCTGACCTGCGATGGGAAATGCTTGGCATCCTTTTCAGCTGGTTTGGGATTGCATTTAGATGCAAACAAGAGTGGGACCCTGTTTTTGACCTGGCTGAGCAGCACGGTCGAAATCGGAACACGGCAGCAGACAGAATGAGAGAATGTGCTGCTGCATGTATGAGAATGTGTGAGGAGAATTTCGAAACAAGTGATATCATGGTGATTTGCATGAAGAATAGCAGCAGGTTGCAAAGCATCATCATCAGTGATGAGAGTAAGTAGTGATCTGTGACCCAATCCTGGTATATAAAAATCTCGAAGCTCATCGCACCATAGGTGATCGTGTACAGGTCGATTATGGAACTGTCCGGAGCGCATTCATCTCCGCAGGATTGCATCGCCTTGGGACCCTCGAGGAACTGACACCCTTTTCTCAGCATCGGGCATTGCTTGCCTCATCGATGTACTATCAGGACAAGTGTCATAGTTTGTTTAATGCGCGACCACCGATGTTGAACGATCGCTACTGTCAATGTCCACTTCCACTTGATCTTTGCGAGGCAGATGTCTACGGTGGACGAGATAGACTCGCAGCAGCGCTTGCGAGACTTGACCCCAACGGTTGGAATTCAGATGGTCGAATTCTCACGTCGACATGGCTTCGAGCACTCGCGATGTTGAGTCCGATCCGCGAGAGCATGTTACAACTTTCTCTGAGTGTGAACCTAACATTCACAAAATCACAAATAGAGCAAGTCCTCCGCACATAAAACAACTGCATATTTTGCGCTAACATCCACTGCCTGCAGGGCGCTCATTTCCCAGTTAGAGAACACAGTCGAGTCATACCCCCCACATATTCAGTATTACAGCAACATTGCACAGCCATCAAAGTCAAATTCTTCCATCCATGGACAGAGCGCTCACGATAGGTACATCGTAACAAGGATACACCTGGACGTATTACAATGCAAGTTCCTTCTACAACGTCTGATTGTTTCACGGGGCCTCGGTGGTGGCCAAGACTTGTTTGATATTGCCCAGGAAACAATTTCTGTCATTGTGTCCCTGTGGCTTAATCGCGATCAAATTCAAAGCTTCCACCACGCCTTTGACTGGATTGTAAGTTTGGGTTGAAGCTTTCTGGTCACATGAACTGAAAAGTTAAAGGAACTGACATTTCTAGGCCGTATCATATGGGATGCCTTGTGCGGGAATTCTTTGCGTCGAGCTTCTCCGGGTGAGTGATTTGGCGCCTAGGACTTCAAGAAATCAGTCTTCAGCTACCGCTCATGATGTTGTCCAGCTGTCCCGGTCGGAAGTCGTTCAAAGCCTCATTATGTTCAAAGCTTTACTGGATTGGATACGACCAACGGATAATAATTCAAAGCTCAGCAGAAAGTTCAAAAACGTTCTCCAGAGAATTATCGACACCGTATTTGATGCTATGGAATCATTGCCGGGCGTGCAGCTTCAACAAGCACCGAACGAGAACCACTTCCGAAAGGATTACGGGGCGCAAGAGCATACGTCTGCAGAACAAAATATGTCCCATGTGACGGATGTTCAGCAGCATCTTGATCCTGAGCTCACCACCATGAACGATATGGATTGGCTGAACACTGTGGATTGGACGCAAGGAGATTGGCTTGAACAAAACAACCCGCCCTTTCTCTATTAGGAGCTATTAGTGGTCTCTTATAATAGATTATGGGCCATTGAACATCAGCGAAAAGTATTTCCATTCCATAGCCATTTCACCATCGGAGTGGGGTGCGGAGTCCGGAGTTGATAGGACTAAATCAGCCCATCACGTTTCATGTGCCTAACAGTCGCAATTAAATGCCGATAGATCGACATTTGGCGTGCTTATCTTTCGTCTGAGCTCACCAGTTTATTTATATCTTCTGGAAATGAGCGACCCCCGGCGCAATTGGCAATCATTCGATTTGTACGAACAAGGTTATTGAAAGGCTTAGCCCTGTTTTTTTGTGGAATTCGCAAGCTCAACCCCTATCAGTTGATTATATCTCCCCGACATGTCCTTGCAAGACGCCTTTGACAGAAGCCAATTCCCTGTTGATAATCCGACAGTTCCATTCTGGCATCGAGACCTCGACGCGCTGCACAATCACCGATCAACAGAAGAACTTCCGGCGTCAAGCGATGTTGTCATCATAGGTGCAGGCTACGCCGGAATTGCTACCGCTTACCATTTGGTTAAAGGAGAGGCAAGTGGGAAGAACCTCTCGGTCACGATACTCGAGGCCCGCGGAGTCTGCTCTGGCGCAACAGGACGGAATGGCGGCCACCTGCGGCCTGACCTTTACACCCCGATGACAAGGCTCATGGAACGAGTGGGTACGGATTTGGCTTTGGAGGTGCCTGAATTCGAAATCGCGCATTTACCTGCCTTGAAGGCCCTCATCGAAAAGGAAAATATCGACTGTGACTTCACCCTCACCAGGTCCATCGATGTATGGTGTAACGAAGAAGCCGCTCTCAAGGCTAAAAAGATGTTCGATACACTTCGCTCCCGTGACTTTGAATTCATGAAAGATGTCTTCTTCGTTCTCGGCGAAAATGCGGAGGGTATATCTGGTGTCAAGGGAGCCAAAGCATATGCTTCTTTTACGGCCGGAAGTCTGTGGCCATATAAACTCATTTTGCATCTCACCAAGGCGATTCTTGGAACCGGTTTAGTTAACCTCCAAACCCATACTCTGGTGACTTCTGTTACTCAGCAGTCTTCCGGTGCATTTGTTGTCACGACACCTCGAGGCTCAATTGTTGCCAAAAAGGTTGTGTACGCAAATAACGCCTATATCTCAGGCCTTCTTCCGCAGTACGCTCCAGCTATCGTACCATGCAAAGGACTCTGTACTCATATCTCTGTACCTGACGGCGAGAGAGCGCCTCTGCTAAACAACTCCTACATCGTGCGCGAAGAAGACAAAACGCTTTCTTATCTGATTCCTCGTCCGGATGGTACCATCGTTGTCGGCGGGGCAAGTTCAAGGCTTCAGTGTTTGCCAGATCAATGGTACAACAATACAGATGACTCTGTGCTGATTGAAGACATCAAGAATTATTTCGATGGCTTCATGCAGCGGAACTTCCACGGGTGGGAAAACAGCGGAGCTCAAGTGGACAAAGTATGGACCGGAATCATGGGCTACTCCTGGGATTCTCAGCCCCATGTTGGCGTCCTTCCTGGGCAACAAGATCAGTACGTTCTTGCAGGATTCAACGGCCATGGAATGCCCGTGGTGTACTTGTGTGCCCTGGGGGTTGCCAAGATGGTTGCCAACGGAATTGAATTTGAAAATACCGGTGTCCCGACGGTGTTTAAAACAACCAAGGAAAGACTCGAAAATGCGAAAAATGATCCTTCGGGGGAGACATCTTTGCTAAAAGTTGATGTTTTGTTGGCATCAATTGATTACAGACTTTCAGTAAATAGTATCAGTATGAGAGTAGAAGTCAATTTTTAGCATATCTGATCTTGGTTTCAAGATACGCGAAACCTTTCTAAAGCTCTTAGCGTCAGTGATTGGAGAGAAGAACTATGATAGAATTGACTGCCGATTTCGAAGGTCGATCTCAATGTAGCTGATTTTTGAAGGTACGCCGTCAAGCCCGTAATGAAGAAGTTTTATTTATCGGACAATTTCTGTTGAGGCGATAGCTATTGCGGCTGTTGTCTGCGTCCAAATTTTGTTGAATATCATGCATCGCTGAAGAAGTTGGAACAGGGATACATTTTACAGATTATATAAATATTTTGTGGTAACATAGCATATATAGAATCTAAAGGCTAGGAAGACGCAGCGATCATGCCATCGGCTAGGTCAATCAAGGTGTCGGCTGTGGCGTCCATCTTCGTATCAAAGATCTCAATACATGACTCCTTCTCATAGACTGAGCAATAAGCACCACGGAAACTATCAAGAAAAAATACGAGTTAGACACCTTTCCTTGGTTGATTTTGGAGTAAACAAAACTTACCCGGCCTTGACAGCTGCACTAACATCCCACATATGCGCCGCGACGAACCACTTTTGGTCCTCGGGAGCGAACTTTTCGAGCATGGGCTGATATGATCCCATAGCTGGCTTGATCATAGACAATGGAAACTCCAAAGCAGAGCCATGCGTCATAAACTCGTGGCAACTGACAAGGTTCTCAGCCGGCATGTCGAAGCCTGCTCGTTTGAAGTATCCGCCCACTCGTTCAGTGTCGCCCGTAGTCAAACACCAGATAGTGAAACCATTGTTCCTCAACTTCTCCATCATAGCTCGGCAGTCTGGTCGGAGTTCCAACTTCGAGTATGCGTCCTGACACAGATCTCTCTCTTCGTCGGTGGCAAAGGATCTAGGGTTTTCGACCCCGGACATGTACAACACGCGGTAAAAGAGAGCTTTGAACACCTCCTTGTACGGGGTGCTTCGCTTGGACATGTGCAGCATCAATGACTCCAGCTCGGACGCCTGCATCCATGCAAAACCGAATATTTTGGCATTCACGTTGTGCTCCAGTAGGCGCGGACCGAGGATATGGTCAATTGAGTTTAAAAAGACATCGAACGATACGCAGGTACCGACGACATCAAAAACTGCATGTTTCTGGGGAGCGATCATCTTATGGAGAGCACCGAAGTAGAGGTGAAGGAACAAAATGGAGATTACTCTGGGTATTGAAGATGTATTTTAGAAGTCCTCACGGTTCCTGGGCTTTGAATAGTATTTAAGAGCCACACCATCCCCAGTTTTATGTCCATACAATCTAAGAATGAAAGTCTCTCGACTACGGAATGGGGATGTCCGATATCTGGATTTCGTCTACAATCCATTCGAGCTCCCCCGCCTGAAAGGAGGGTTGGATTCCGTTCTGGTTAACTCCGGCCCCCACTCCGGCTATCAGAATTGTGATACCCCACTCCGTGATAACATGCCAGCTTCAGTGGCGCAACTCACGGAGAGTCACTGGAAACGAGAACGTTGATCCTATCAATGCCATCAGAGCAATACAGATGTAAAACAGTATGTCAATTTGCGAAGACATAACGGTAAAATGAATAGTGTATCATATCAACCGTTAAAATGCACCACTAACAGTAGCGAAGTGTGAACTTTCCCCCGATAACTCCGTAAGATAACTCCGTAGGATAAGTTGGTCCTTTTTGATTGGAGTGCCTAAGAGGGCAGCAAACGTCACGGTACCTTTTTCAGACACGTGCACGTGGGCGCATCAAAGGAATTCATTCACCTATTTATTTCCCCTTCTCTTCTATTTCAAGTCATTTGGTTGGGGATAAAAGCTGATCAATAGTAAAATTGGAACTACTTGCTGGAAACAAAGTCTTCCCGTCGCAAATTCGGCATACGAGAGTTCAGCAGAATGCCCAAAATCTTTCTCATCACCGGAAGCTCAACTGGCTTTGGCCATGACTTGGTACAGGAAGTACTAAACCGTGGAGACATTGCTATTGCGACCGCTCGCAATCCAGCATCATTGGAATTCGAAAACACCACAGAGAAGAACTATCTGCCGTTGGAGCTTGATGTGACAAGTGTCGAGTCCATCAAAGCTGCATTCGCCCAGGCTGTCAAGCACTTTGAGAGAATCGACGTGGTGGTGAACAACGCGGGATATGGTCTCTCGGGATGTTTCGAAGAATATACCGACGCCCAGATCCGAATGCAAATGGAAGTCAACTTTTTCGGTCTTGTCAACGTTACTCGAGAAGCCATGGCGACTATGAGAGATCAAACGCCTAGCGGTGGCGTAATTCAACAAGTTACCAGCGTGGGTGGACAACGCGGAGCTGCTACCTTCAGCCTCTACGCTGCAAGTAAATGGGCCGTTGAAGGCTTCACTGAGTCTATCGCAAAGGAAGTGAAGCCCGAGTGGGGTATCAAGTTTACATGTGTTGAACCAGGTGGTTTCAGGTGAGTTGGCTCCCCGTGAAAGACCAAAGAGCTACTTTTACTGATTCAACATGTGTCCCATTAGAACTGATTGGGCTGGTCGCTCAATGACATTTACTGATCGTCATCCGGCTTATGACCATTTGGATGCTAAGAAGACCATGATGGCCCGACATGGAACTCAGCCTGGCGATCCAAAGAAGGCAGCGAGAGCATTTTACGACCTGGCTGTTATGGATGAACCGCCCCTGAGAGTGCTGCTTGGTTCAGATGCTTACCCAGCTATTCTGGCAAAGTTGGAGGACCAGAGAAAAGACTTCATGAAGTACGAAGCAATCAGCTTGAGCACCGATGTATAGAAAATGAGCCTTATGTTTATGTTGATTTTGATGCTGTGCCTTGGATAAGAAACATAAATAAAAGTCTATCAGCTTGAGAATTTTCATGGTTATGATTCCAATAATGCTGACGACTACTATGTCCGTTCATATGGGTCTCGACAATTGATCGTCATTTCAACGACCATGTTCAAACAGATTCGTCTCGCTGTCTAACTATTGAACGGGAGTCGGATTTATCGTCTAGAAGAATCAATGATGTTCATAGTGGCACTGCCATGTCTTCTCTGTATCCAACCACATCCGAAACTCGGCACGGTGACTGTGGCTGAACTTTACATAGAAGTTACATGATATAAGGGGACAAAGGATGGTGTAGTAGAAAGATGTTCGCAACAATAGCGTCGACTTTTAGTTTGAAACGTCCAGGCTTAGTGGATCTCTTCGAAGGCCCGGGTAATGAACGATCTTCCCTGGATAATCACTTTCTCGCCAGGGATTCTCCATGAACCTGTACCCTCTCCTTCAAAGCCATTCTTTATAGATGGCACAGCATCTGCATCAGGGCCCACCACATACTTCTCCTTCCACCCAGAGCTCCACTCCTCCCTTCTAGCACTGACCTCACCTCCAACCCTCTTGACAGACCATGCACCGCTCTCATCTTTCTCACTGGAATGAGTCTGAGTCTGTTGAAAGGCCAAGTAGGTTCCCCAGATCCGACCCAAAAAGACCTTAGTCACCGTCGCCTGTCCGGACTGCTCCCCAGGAGTCAGGGGGGCATCATCGGACTCCAGAATCCACGAGATTCCTTTCTTGGCTCCTTCGGGGCCCTCTCGGAACGGCAGCTCCCGCCAAACCTCCTCAAAGGTTGTCATAGGTGCACCGGGAAGATCGGCTCGAGGCATCTCTCCAGTCTCAAGATCGGTACCATCGGATTGAGGGCTGAAGTTGCCGACATCCACAATTCCGATCTCGTTCAGAGAGTCCAACTCGCGCGTGAAGAGCACCTTGACTATATGATTGATCAGTTTATATTCGAATAATATGTCGCAATACATGGCACAGTGATATAATGTCAGGGTAACGTACGTGGGATCTCCTTAGGGTTTTCCTCAATTCTGGTACCGGCCATTGCCCAGTCAATGTTTCCAGACTTGATATCCATTCGCAAATCAACAAACCATTCTCCCACGGAGAGAACAATTGTGTCGGTTGTCTCTTCGGGGATTTCTGGGACCCATCGGAGCGAAAGGCGGGTCGAGAATCCGCAGGTTGAGCCTAGTTGAGCACCGGTGGTAGACATTGTGTACGGAAGACGAAACTTAGGTAGTGCTTGGTGTTCGCGGGGCTTGTTATAAGATGAGATCTAAGCACAGGTTATCCAGGGAGATTGTTCAAAGCCAATTGAAACTCATATCTGGTCAATTGTCTCGACAGTGTCGCTATATATGCCCCGCTGTCCCGCCTTATGTAATCCTCGATCTTCCGAATCGGGGATTTTGAAGCGATTCGGTTGAAGACGACTTGGTTTCGCGGGTTTCGGTAGAGTAAAGATAAGAATCCTATCGTACGTAATTAATAATCGCTTATATTCTAGACGAACACTTGCTAGCTGTGTAAAAGACGTGGGTTTGGCACTGTAGTGAATTGCATGTTGCGTTGCTTGGCACGTTTAACCAAGATCAAAGCCTCCGTTATCGCAGTGGTGATTGTTGTTGCTAATATACAGCTGAATTCGGCTTAGTTCCAGAGTTTGGTTATGTTGGCTTGAAGGCTGTGGGGGCTTTGGGCTGTAAGCAACGACAAGCCTCACACGACCAACGGCCGTTTTTGTTTCATTCGGTGGGTTTATCCATACTCATCATGTCAATTAGGCCAGGTTTCAGTCAAATCCGAGCAAAAAAAAAAAAAGAAAGATCTCAATGCTTAGCATCGATATGAAGAAGGCAAAATCAGTGCGGTGCGTTAGGCTAAGAGACTTAATACACAATATCCCAAATCAAGGCTTAACTGTGCTACCGCTAGGCTTGTTGAGAACACCATGGAAAATTCTTGTAGTATATCATTTAGTTGCGTATTAAGCTGCTGTACTCTATCACTAAAGCGTAATCCTCGGGCTGTTACTGATTCGTAGAGTATCCTAGACATATGAGATGAGAGGTGATATAGATGAAGAACCCGGAGACTATCTGGTTGCATGACCGCATCTCACGGGATTTTGACCACGTCTAATTACCAATGTGGTACAAATCCTGACCATGTGACTTTCTGAAACGCACTCTCCGGCAATAACCTCAGCCCAATGAAATCCTCTGTTAAGATAAATCCTCGACTCAAGCAATACATGACACAAGCAAAAGAGACTGGAACCAAAGCTCGAAGGGGTATTTCCAAGTCAAGATCCTGCTTAGGATCATGTTTCCTGAGTCTCTCCGCAAGATGGCTAATCATGCGTGTTTTAGTCCTTATTTTCACTTCAGTCTAGCCTGTAACCTTGCTTTTGTGAATCCTAATTGAAACATTTTCTTACGAATATTTAAGGGAAGAAGGCCCCCAAATAATCCATAGGCTAGAACGGTCACACTGGTTATACGCCAGAGTAACTTCTCTGTCGAGGAAGGGAAGTCGGAATTCCACGCAATAAGACATACAGAGCTGAAGAGAAGGATTGTTGGTGCAATGATCATCTCCGCCATTGCATCCACTCTTGGAATAGAAGAACTTGGAATGCGATCATATGGTCGTCGCTGGGGCCGAGTAAAAAAAGGTGTATTCATCCATGGATATAGTGAAGGATTTGTCTATAATATCTCAAGAATCGAGAAAAGAACTACTCATCTCTGGAGAGGAACTGGAGCGGTGACATCACCCATGCATAGGCAATGTTTACCCAGATTCCCTGGTAACTCAGCCCCCGCAGGAGGGCGCCGATGGCCCAGTACGAAGTGGATCATTTACCCAGCTCACTCCATTTTCCCCCACAGAAATCTATATTTGATACTCACAATCGTTTTCTGATTTACTAGGCCGAGTTGCTGTAATGGATTTGTCAAGTACTCGATATGGTGCGTACGAGATAGCAGTCCTCCCAATGTTGAGGACTAACTTTTTCAATTCAAAGACCAAGCCTGTTTCAAGAAGCAAAGAGAGACATCCCACCAGTACTGTCTCTTTGCAAGTGCACGTTCGCAGTAATTGCTTGAGAGCATAAATAGTTGACAAAAGAATAATTCCAACTACTTTCATGTCTCAAATAAGAAGAGTTCGTTCAGAGTTTTTAGCGTGGTACCTGGCTTTACGATCTAGAGCCTCTCGATAATAGCTGCGATAGCAAAGAGACGGAATCCGCTACGTTGAATGGAGGTCATTGGCTTTGTCGGGGACTTTGATAGCGCCCGCAGGACTTGAGCTGACTCACGTCGCTGCTTTTACCCAGCCGCAGAGTATGTAGCCGTGCTTGTCCACCGGCTGGCAACATTGGCAGCATCAGCAATAGGCTTTTTATCAAAAGAAATCTTTTTTCTAATAACGCCCGAAGTTGGCGGGTATTTTTCCTGCTTGATAACACTCGTTGGTACAATATCGCACCATGATCCGCGGTCGCAACTTTGGCAGCCTCTGCCGTGCATGCTTGACCCATGGATGCCTCTCATCGGGCAAATACCGGGAAATATGAAAATATTCCCCTTCTGGTAGGTAAGGTATCCAAGCAGAGCCAGGGTTGATCCCCAAAATGGCGAGATGCTTTCGTCGTGCGTAATTCCATGACTCCGCGATGAGGGCCCAATCAGCTTGTCTTTCCCAGGCAAACACAGCTCTTTTAAATTGAGAGCTCTTCAGTCCTTCGAAGAGTCTTTGTAGAGTGGGTTCATTTTCCAACACATGCCCCTCGACTAGTGCTTGAAATGCCCTCAACCGGGCGTCATCACCAACATCAACCATCTGAACAGGCGCATCACCTAAGAATCCAAATAGGCCAGACTTTAAAGCCGCTTGCCTAGTAATATGAAGAGATATTCCCGCCATGGTCACGTCAAGGCTGCTTTGACTCTCCGCGCAAGACTCAATGTCGCCCACCTCCTGGTTGTTTATGCCATGATAATGAAGCGACGGGCTGTGATAATCGAGATAGGGCGAACCACCACCATCAATGGCTGCCAATAAGTAAAAAGGACTAATGATATCAGCCACAACGGAAGGCTGCATCCCAAGCTTTTCTGCCCGACACAGGAACATGGCGATCGGACTGTCTGGGACGTCAGAACATCCCCAGGCAATATAGCGCAGTCTGGTCCAGTTGAAATGCAGCACATCGCGCCGAGGCTGCACCCAGATAGATGCCAAGCTAGTCGACTCTTCTAGCTCCACCCTGTGCCCTTCTTCCATTGCAATTTGCCGAGACTCACGGTTGATGCATGCAAGGGCTGGCGGTTGATCGTTTCGGTGCATTTCCATATTTGCCCAGCAGGATTGATTGGAGTCCAGCCCTTTGAAAAAGAACCAAGCAGCGTCTTCTTCTGCAATACGATATGGTAGGCAAAGCTTCCAAATCATACGGCGTAGCTCTAGGGGCAGCTTCAAAAAGCAGTGGAAGGAATCATTGTTTATCTGTACGCTTAATTGTGAGTCCCTACAATTTAAGGCGTGGGAGTCAATAAATAAACAAATACACCTACCATGGTCATATGAGAAACAACTGCAGATGTCTCCAGTGTTGTATGATGAAGTGCTGTTATCTCGTCACCTCACATACGATATACGAGGGCGTAAAATGCGAAGAAACGATCATTGAATGGGCAGGATGAGGAGTTTATAGAAAACAAGAGAACCTTGGCAGTGAGCTGGAGACGACCTCGGGAGGGGTTCGCGGTGGTTACCTAAACATTCGGGTCTCAACGATAAATACGCCAAATGATACCTCACACGTCACACATCAACTGCATTTCTCGTTTGACTCAGGGTCTGATAGATGATACAAACTACGTCAGAGTGATTCTAGTGCCACAGTCGTGTGGAGTGACCATTCAGGTTCAATCATCCAACTTTGACAGCCCCTGTTGCTTTGAAAGTCAGTACATAATGACTTCACAAGTAGGTAAATACTTAGTTGCATAATTCATGTCTTAATTTGGTCAATATTTAGGTTTAAGCAAAGATATCCTTACAGTGAATGGCACTCGTGAAAGTATTGGGAGTCCAACGGAGCCTATTTGTGAACAATATATTTTTATTGAATCGTCATCGTGCATGAACCAGCGGGACAACATCGTTATATACCGGAAGGCCCCATGGTGCTCCGCGTCATTTGATATTTTTGTTGCTTTGCAGCTCTACGGCCGCAAAAGGTTGAGGGCTCCTCCAACCAGATGCAAGCTGCCTGCCACAAAGATCTGCGCTCCACCTTCTTGGGTACTTATCTGCTTCGCCTGGTTCAACGCCCCCTCGATGGTTGGCTCTGTTGAGAGTACAGCCTCGCTATCGAAAACTTTCCACAGTGAAGAGTAGGTAGAGCAAAGATCCGGGAAAGGTGTCTCAGGCACTTTAAGGGTTTTGTCTGTGACGGAAATAGTTAGCTCTACGCGTGCATACAATAATCGGATCAATCACTTGCCTATTCTCGTGGTCCCATCAATTCTCTCCTCGTATGTGGTGAAGATAACGTAATCTGGCTTCGCATTGTGTCCTTGAAGAGCATGCGCTAAACTTTCCATTAAGTCCGCCCCGTCACGTTCTTCGGAGAAGTGACTGAAGATAAGAACACGGCATCTGAATCATGCAGTGCGCTGTGAGTCCAGTGAAATCTCGAATGAATGAAGCTGACCAACTCACCTCCGTGGTTTCACCTTATCAATGTTATTTGAATACCATTCTGCTGCTTGTGTGAGACTCAGAGGATTGTGTGCTCCGTCTACAAACCATTGAGACGCCCCGTCTTCGATAATCTCGAATCGCCCGAGCCATGAGAAGTCCTCGATGCCTTTGAGAATGTCTTCTGATTCCAAAATATGACCTGGTGCCTTGAGCTCTAGGAACGTTTTCGCGAGCTCAAGGGCTAGGGAGGAGTTGACTCGCTGTACTGGGACACTTAACGCTTTCGCTTTGGCGGGAAGATGTTCATTGATCGGAATGAACCTGAGACTGGTCTTCTTTTCAGCAGCGCGATCACGCAAGACTTTCATCGGTCCTTCTTCCTGAGGAACGGAGAAAGCAGGTGTTCCAGGCTTGAAAATCCCCGATTTGTGCCAAGCAATATTTTCGATCGTAGGACCTAGCTGATCAACGTGGTCCAGTCCAAGGGAGGTGATTCCCGTCGCGACAGGTCTCGGTATAACGTTTGTAGCATCGAACTCTCCACCATGGTGAGTTTCGAATATTGCCGCATCAACATTTTCCCTGATGAATGTATGGAATGCTAACAATGCCAAAAATTGTAGGTATCGAGGCTGTCTCGTTGTTTCGACTTCCTGTCCCAATCCTGAAGATGCAAGACTTTCCCACACTTCAAAGAAGTATTTCGTAAACATATCCTCCGTGATCGGTCGATTGTCGATTTGTATTCTCTCTCGAATACACTGCAGATCTGGGGAGGTATATAGCCCGATCCGTTTGGGAAATCCCGTTCTCAGCCCGTGCGCATGAAGAAACGAACGGGTGAACGCACAGGTACTCCCTTTACCCTTGGTCCCGGTGATATGAATAATATTAATATCGCTGACATCACTCTCCTGGGTCAGGTCAGATCGATAACGGTAGGAGTGGAATCCATTCATCTGTCATACCGAGTGTCCCAAGATCTGCAGCCACTCTTTCATTCCAACCAAACTGGGTATACCTCTGACGGTTGGGGTATCACCCGGAATCGCGGCATCCTGATTTATACGAGAAAGTGCTGGAGTTTTCGGTCGGGCTTTCCGCCGGCGCGTCGCTAGCAGTTTGAGCGCGTTCTGTGATGATTAGATAGAGTTTCAAACATTCTTGAAGAAATTACCTCGTAGCTGCGCTTCATAGTGGATAGTGCACTATCATATGAAGGTGGAAGATTGACTGCTATCTCAAAATGAATGTCCTCGTGGAGCAGGATGTCTTCTCAGCACGTGACATCACAAAACTAAACAGATCGCGGAATTCCTTCCGCCGATCGAACTACGGTGGAGACTATAGATCCCTTGATCTCACAGTGGCAAGGGTAAGGAAGTCAGGGCTCAATAAGAGAATTACTGTTGAGCATGGCCTGTATATTGAAACCACCCCCAATCGCATAAAGTTAACATAGCGCCATCCCAGCCACAATACACCAATTCCAATTCCATCTTGTCGCCTCAACCACATCGTCCACATTCAACATGCCGACTCCACTATCCACCAAAACCCGCCAAAGCTTGATACGCAGGCTCACAGGCCAGGAGGGGATACTCCAGAACCGTGAGACCAAGCCTCTCTCTGCAGCCGCCCTGATCATCTTCTGCATGGTCTGCTTCTGGCTGTCAGTGGGACCCCACGGCCACACGATGCCGACCGCTTTAAACAGCGAGACACTAGCATAGTAGGAATTTTCTGTTGTGTATGTAGAGTTCTGCGATATTTCCTTCAAGGGGGCGTCAAAGAACACGTATCGATCTTCATCGGCAACTACATGATCAAATAGTGTATTTCCTGTTCCGACGACAGTGATAGGTCCACGTGTAAGGGTCTTGCTGGTATCGTTCCATCGGGTCAACCAGCCACCGTGGTGTAAGGGAGCTAGTTGGCTGAGAAGAATTGGCCATGTTGCATTCCCATCTGTCTTGATGTCAATGAGAAGGGTGACGGTTGCCGTAGGATCAAGTTCGAAGATGCCAATTGATGCATTTGTGGAGGAATTCATGTTCAGATTGGAAAGTATTTTCTCCAATGGGTTGACGTAAAGGGTCTTCAATGTGCGATCGGATGATAAGGAGTGCTTTCGGTGGCCGACAAGAAGGTTATTGCCATCAAGCCAGACATCTGCCTCCACGCCTGTGCATCCGGCTGCAATAGCCTCGTATAGAGGTACTGAACGCCAGTAATCATTATGTGAATGGCAGGGGACAGGTTTGATCCCCTGACTGAAGTCTTTTGGCCAGGGACTCAGTGCAGAGACTGAATCTGCGGGTTCTTTCCATTTTTGTACGATTTTCTGCAGTCCGTTCGATGACACTGGAGGCTTGAGTCGATCCACCAGTGCAAGAACAAATGAGAACCACACTCTGAGAGATATTTAGCATCAAAATTTATTGGTGTATGGAAGACACCTACAGTACAAAGATACCTATCACTACAATGACGGTAAAAGCGACGACCAAAATTCGATTTCGGTTTGCTTTCTTCTTTCCCACGATTATTGGATTGAGTTTTGACTTGAAGCTCACAAGCCATCGAATAGTACCTTTCTGTTCAGAATCATAGAAAGAATATGTCGATATATCACAGGGAGTAGACGGTTGTCGGCCTGGTATGGATGTGACACTAAGTGAATCCGAGTGTCGAGATGGAAGACGGGAGAAAAGCGGAAGAACACCCATGGTTGGAATAATTCGCTCCCCTATATTAACGAATAGATAGAACTAAGGTCTCACGAATTTTATCTTTACTAAATGGAGATCTCAAGAGTATATAAGCACATGTTGGCGCAGGCGTAGCATGGAGATTCCCGAGCTTACATTGGACTGACCCATACCTGCTGATTCTCAAATATGACATAACGGCAATTCAGTTCCTGAAGAATTACCAAATTTTCGATTTTCTATTTTTATCGAGGTGAAGGATTCATGCAGCAACTGATCATTCGTGATTTAGGGGGCCGTGATGATGTTGGGGGCGGCAGGATTTGAGTTGATGAAACCAACAACATCACTTTATTCATAGACAGGGCAGACCAGGGTCAATCTCGAAATAAAACATTTTAATATTTAATCGGTCGCATTAGTAATATTAGGAACAGTTTGCATATGTCTCTAGGAAATCATGACAGCCATCATTTCGTGGCAAAATCATCTACTTCAAAGGTGCCATTTGTTTACAACTTCAATATACGTATCTGTCACGCAAAATAGAGGCTGCATATTATATTATTTAATGGACTACCATATTCAGGACAGAAAGCCACGCATGTGTATTTGTAGATTTACCGGATTACTTCGTTCAGACCCAGTAATTACAGGAACAGGAATGACTTTGGATTGCTTCGGAGAATTTTCAACTCTAGTAATGTCAAGGAAACATCAATGATTTGGGAACCCAATTCAAAATCAACAAAATGGCATCGGTATAGTGATAACGTATGAGAAAAAGGTTATTCGAAAGTATCGACGCTGGCCATGCCCCCTTGAAAGCTCAGAACCTCTACAGCATCAACAAACAGCTCTTGGCTGATACCTTCACCCAAATTCGCAATTAGAGTTGCTGTTGATGATTCACCACTTAATTCCAGGGATATATCCCCAATGGCAATTGTCAAACGCAGGTTGTCTTCAGGATCGGGTCCTTTAGAGGGCAACAGCCTTTCAGCTTGGTGGAACGCTCGATGGACCGGTGCCAGTTGAAATATCACGCTCGACGTATTGGGACTCTCAGGTGCGGAATCTTTGGGGAAGTATGCGCCGAATATGACATCCTCTTCTCCAGTCTTTCTAGAAACCAGGATAATTCTTGCTAGTTCAGTTGCGGATAAGCAAGATTTCACATCCTTGACGTCTACTTCCTGAGAAGAGTAGAGGGTCTCTGGTGCTTCAATCGGGAAGTCTTGGGGTAGAGTCATTGAAAGTTGACTTAGGAGCGGAAGATTCAGGATCAGCCCCTTGGAAGGAGGCTTTGTCTTGACCGACGGCACAAATAGTTCTTTCAACACTTCTTGTGCTCCAATCACCGATGATGGAGGAGTCGTGAATTGAAAGGGTTTGGCCGAATGTAAAGGGCCTAGGACTCGAGGTAGACCCAGAAATACGTTTTGCTTATTCAGGTCAGTAAAGCTTTCAAGTTAGGAGCGCAGGCTGATACACACCATTGAGCTACTGAGGATACTGTCAAAGGCTTTAAAAGATACAGCGTTTGATGACTGCCCGCCGTGCACGAATGCCGCCAATATGCAATCCGTCGTTACTTCAATCTCCGATGGAAAGGATTTCAGATTATCTGGATCAATCCCTGCAATATACAGCTGAGTAAGGAGCATCAAACGAAGCAGCGGCCTAAAATCCTTTTCCGGGATTGATCCGCTCGTCAACGTGGAGTTTGATGAAGGAAAATGTTCGGCAGGTGGGTACTGTGGCCCTTTCATTACTGCTGTTGGAAACTGCACATTGCGCTTGAAATTACCATACGTGATAATTTCAAGAGCTTTTCGAAGGTGATAATCGTCTCCAAGGTTTCGAGGTGATCCGGCTGGGGTGCCTTGCGGCTCTGTCATGCTCTGAAACAACAGGATTCGTTGCTCCGCGCTGAGACGATCAGGGTAAACGAGTGCTGCTTCATCATTGTCTCCATTCAGAAGCTTGCTTCTGTCCAGTTTGAGAAGAATCATCATGCCTGTGCGTAGTACATCCAGTGACAGAGTACGATGTGGGTCATTTTGGTATGGAAATGACCCTAGCCGCAGGAGGCATCGGTGAATGATCGGAGCAGCTTCAGCTATGTATGATTCCAACTCGGGAGGAAAAGTGCTGATCATGAAATCCTTCAAGTCGGACACCGTCCAGACTATAGCATGTTAGCCTCGTGAAGTAGAGAGTACGAGCAAACTCCAGGCCTTACATTTTGCCGAATCTGACTCGGTGCAGAAGACGTCGAAAATCATCTGAAACCATTCTCTTTTGGCAGAACTCAAAAATAGTCCCGATAGACGTACTTTAAATTGTTCCTGAAGTTCCTCTGGCGTCTGTCAGTAAATTGCTTTCTCGCAAGGATTCATCCCAAGTTCGTCATACCGCGGGTTTGTACTGGTGAAATAAACTCAGTAGAAGACTCTTTGGCTACGGATTGACCCATTGTTAAGTTTTGGATTCACTGCACTGTCGCGATGATGGAGGATTGAGATGTGGGATGAGGGGAAAAGGGTAGGAAGAAGATAAGTTGGCACCTCGATTGGCACCTCGATTGGCATTTAATCAGCTGACCCGGGGAATAAAGAAACCGACGTAAAGTCTGCCTTGTCTTGACACTTCAATTTGATTTGATATCTATTTCTTCGTCCTTGGGCGCAGAAAACCAACTGTACGTCATGCCGAGCATTTCTGGCCCCGATTTACCAACAAATGCGACACTGCCTTTTAGCGTGCATGACCCAACATGGGGCGGTTCGAAAATACGTCTCCGTCTGTCATGTTTCAGAATATGGGGCTAGAGAGTACTTTATATTATGTTGGTATTCTGCAGCAGAAGACGTCAAGGCTGTTCTCCTACTCTTAGGCCTCTGACTGCACCGATAACCGATCATTTCATTCTCGTTCCCAACCTTTTTACATTGTCCCTTATACAAAATGCGTCTTCAACTCTCATACATTGTCAGTGTCGCTATTTTGGCTACTTTTGTCAATGCAACAGGTTGCAACAAGTGTTTGAATCAGAATGAGGACGATATTCGCCTTGGCTGCTTCAACAAATGCAAAGATGCCTTCAATCCGAGCAGCGGCGAATACCAAGTGTGCCGCGACCAGTGCACCGAGATCGTCTTCAATGATCACTGCTGTACCTCATCTTGCAGCAGCAAGTCTGATGTGTGCCTCAATGACTACTTCCATCGCATAGGATTGACAAAACGCGACTCGTCTGATGAAGAAACCTTACATCGATCACAACTAGATGCGATCCGAGAGAATCCCAGTCTCCTTGACAAGCGAGCCTTGCTTGCGGGTGACGCACCGTACCATCTCATCCGAAACACTGAACAGTTGCGCTCCTTGAATCATCCGGATTTCAACGAGACTATTGTGCACGACGTGAGTGAGGATGGTGGTTTAGGAACTCTTGATCGCCGGGTCGACCACGGCAAGGTGTGCTGCTTAGCTGCCAAAGCAGTGCTGAATGCAGGGGCAATTCAAGTTGGGCCTGCCCTGCACAAAGACCAGTGGAGCGAGGAGGAATACGCTGGACTTGTGCTGGTCACCTTTGGCATTGCGGGTGCCTGGAGTTGCAACTACTGGTACAATGTGCAATGTATCTTTTTCAACGCGAACGCTGCTCCATAGCGAGTGAATTTTTGTACTATCTTTTTATCTTTAGTTATGATCTTATTTGGTTTTTGATTTACTGTTTTAAAGTCCTGTTCATAACCATTGGTAGTGAAGATGCGGCTTGGGGCCGTTGGTTTGTTTCAGCCCCCGCCCCCACGTTGAATCTTTCCTTTCAGCAGTTTGTCTTATATTGTCTCTAAACCCAGTTCTCATCTCATTACCCAAACATCTCGTCTCTATGGCTCAAGAATCTTCAACATTGATCTTCTTCCAGCGGGCTCTAGCAGTTGCTCTTACGATCACTGTGTGCCGTCAACTCGGTACATTCAACACACCTTTGTCTCTCTTTCTGCCCTCCAATGTTTTGACGGATACGCTCGACTCACTGATTTCTGCTACGGTCGCAACGGCTGCGCTCTTCTTTGCATGGCACATCGCGGGGCCGTTGAGAACAGACTCTTCTACTTTTTTCACCGCAAGTCTGAATTCTTCACGCTCTTTTCTCGCCAGCATTGTTCTTGTCTTCTCATTATGTGAAGACTCCCTTTTTAAAAGAGTTATTCTTGCCTTAGCTGTCGGGGCATGCTGGACTCTCGGGTGGAAGGTCACCGTGGCTGAGCAACGGAAGTCATATTGGCAATTTTTGAGACAAGCGCTGGTTTTGAAAGTGCTGGAGCTATGGCAGAAGGGCAACTTTTAAAGCTGATCCCTGGTTCAGTGGGTTTGATGTTTGGTTCAGAGGGGCTTTGTCAGGCCCGTTTTCTCCATAGTACAGCGTTCAATTTGAATCGGTGCAATACCCAGAGATTTCTCAAGCTATCACCCTTCACATTCTGTTTTATTACTTCAGTCAATATCATTGCTCGTGCTTTCAATTATGTTCTACCCGCCTTAGATTATTAATTTTGGTAATTGCCGTGTACTGTCTGACAAGCTAGTTCGGTTCAAAATCCGATGTGCTTAGCGTACGGATTCATATCAGGTCAGAAGACTTATTTCACGTTCTTGATAATATTGCGTATTTTTTGAGTCATACACACTGAAGCTAGAGTAGGACATTATAAAAGTTAGTCCAGAATACTGTGTAAGGAAATTGGTTGAGGTCAATATATCCAGGAGGGGATTATATATTTCTGATCTCTCTGCCCACCATTCATTCCATGAGTTATCCGAAAATGACTAATATTCCTAATTTCAGAATGCAAAGTCCTACCCGATCAGTTGAAAAATATAATGTCTAGTTGAGGAATGACGACTTCATTGCTATAGAGTAGAAGAGTGTAGAAGAAAAAAATGAGTTGTTTAAGTCTGGAGGTTCATCAATGTATGGTGAACCTCGAAAGTTATATACTGAAAAACTTCTGCTTAAACTAAACCTAACATAATGTCAATCCGATTCTCAACACAACCAACTAAACATATTTCTTCGCTGTATTTCAACCCTGTCACTCCGGCCATTCACTTCCGTAGTCGCAGTCCCATCATTGGATATTCTTCCACACTTCCTTGGTATAGACCATGCAGTTGTTTGTAACCAGGTTGTATGAAGACCACTTGCGGGCGTACTCCAAACCTGTAAACGTTAGAAACTTGAGATTACAAAAGCAGGTAAGCAACGAAAAGTGCTTGTCAAAATACCTTGGTTTGTGATATAAGCTTCTGTCGCTGAAGTCTCCCCCAGGTACTCATATTTACTGGTCTTGCTGACAGTGACCCATTCTCCCTTTTTCTCGTTGAAATAGTGGTTCGCCCACCACAGGTTGTCGACTTGCGATTCGACCTTCCCGCCAACTGGTGTTTGACCAAGCTTAGTGTCAGCTTCGTCACTGATCATCTCATATGCCTTGGCATCAAAGGCCTGACGTCCGGATCGTGTGGCACTGTTAAAGAACTGGCCCACAATAAGTCGGACATGCGAATAGTCTGGCAAGCACCTGTACTCTCCGTAGGCAGGGGCCCATTTCTCGCGGAAGGCGTATCGCTTGCCATTTTCAAGCTGCACGCCCTTTTGGGCTGCAGCGAGGGTCATGGCTTCATAATTGTCTCTGTCGACCGTCTTTTGGTCTGGAAAGCGATCTGCAGAATTGACTGCGAGGCAGACACTGATCAAGGCAAAGAGGAGAACAAGGACGCCGCTGAATGGCTTCATCTTAATAGTTTGGATGATGATGATGATGTTGATGCTATTGTTGTCTGAGTAGTTGGTATCGAAATTTGGACCGGACATCATCGTTTTATATCAATATGGGTGGTACAGAAAAGCGCAGCTTCAAGGACATATTCCATTTTAGCCCCCATGAATGCGATATTGGAAAAGCAACAGAAAGCCTCGAATGATGATGCCCAGGTGGTGTGGCGATTATCGCCAAGGAGAGGATGGATTTCAGCAGTACACCAACTTCAACGTTGCAACCCTTTCGGCCCCAATGGTGCAAATTGTCTTTGTCTTCTCATCTGAAGATTTGAAAATCGAGCCCAAAATTGAATTGTTGGAATTTGCTGTCCTCTGATTTGTCACTAGAAGTGCTAGAGTGGCTGGGGGCTTGGCTTTTAGGGGGCTGCCCCCAAGAACTAGTACAGTCTTAACCATTGTTTCATCGTATATTTAGAAATAGGAACATGATCTTACAATGGATAGCACCAAAGATCTCTTCGGCATTTTTTCGGAGTCTCTTTCCATAATGCGGGGCCCGTTTCTTCAGCTGGGCGTGCTGACGCTAACGTTAATGACATGAAACATGTCGCCCCCAGTTGAAGAAGATCTTACCCAGTTGAAGATCTTACGTTGGTTAATGCATTAAATTTGATCTTACCAACAATCGAGCTGCGCTGATCCATTATTGTGATTCTACATTCACGATTGGCTTTCTACATGGCCGTTGATCTATGAAAACGTGTTATTTTTGGCGAAACGCGAGTTCGCCTGAAAGTAGCCCCCGATACCAAGACTGAAAGGCGAAGAAGGATTCCTTTGCACCCCCACTAAGTCCAACATCTCGGTGACATCGTGATAAACTATTGGTAGGAGGGCAGAGTATGACTATGATGATCTCTCAGAACAAACTCCCAATTTCTCGTGCCTTACGTTGAGGCATTTCTAGAGGTACCAGCTAGCTCATAAATGAAGTATAGATCAATGTACGACTGAGGTATAAAGCTAGACAGATCTCCCTGCATTTTCAAATCCTCATCATCATCACAAATCACAAGAAAACAACAAGATCAAAACTACCAACACCAATCCAAAGAAAACCATCAAAGGCTCATCATCCTTTCAACCAGTCCAATGTATTTCTCCAAGATCACTATGTCCATCGGCCTCCTGGTCGCCGCCACCAGTGCAGCTCCCAGCTCATTCCCGCAACTCTCATCTGTCGCTGCTCGAGAGATCGTTGACTACGGCGTCTCTCCTCTGAGTGCTACTGATCTCGAGAAGCGCGAGATCATTGATCTGGGTGTCACCACCGATGGCTCCGATGATCTCGAGAAGCGTGGCAAAAGCAACTATGTCTCTAGCTGCGGTAGCAACTGGATGCCTATCGCGGATAACAAGAGCAAGAGTCAGTCTGGCTATCAGTCTGCGGTCGAGCAGTATTGCTACCACGTCACACACAGCCAGGATGGTTTGTCCACAGTCATTGGTGCTGGGCAAAAGCACGCTGCCGTCGTCAAGGGTGGATATTACTTGAAAAACGATGTTGCTGCGGCTGTTGACTGTAAGTTTCCTTGGTTGAAAGCCTTAAATGACATTCGCTTACTTTTGATATAGTTGAAATCCACAACAAGATGAAGGACGGTGACCACGTTCCTAACCAGTCGGACTGTGAGATCTATCTGATGAAGATGGCTGATTCCGACTCCAAATGCTATGGTAGCAAGAACAAGGACACCAAGGGTGGCACTTGGCAGATTGGAAGCGATGATGTTAGCTACCATGCTCTTCCCAAGGCCAACTCTACCTAAATTGGGAACGTTCAAGACTTTTAGTTGAACTGCACACTGCATTTGTTTTCGATCTTTTTTGGCTTGAGTTCCTGTTGATTTCCATGCTATACTGTCACGTTATTTTCATCAATATCAGTTAACCGTTTGTTTTACAAACTCGTTCTCGGCCTCTATTTCCTTCCCGAAAAATATCAAGCTTTTACCTTCTATCACCATCTCTTGGTCCTTTTCTCACAATATTTGTATTATCTTTGCATTTTTGGCTGTGATGAAAAACGCAAAATCCCCATTCACATTTATCTGAGCATACTGAAGAGCGATTTCATTAGGGACATTTGTGGTCAGATTCGTCCGCTATCAAGCCTCAATTACGTTATGGTTCTCGCGCGATGCTATTTGCTATTCATGTCAAACGAAGAAAAGTTGAAGGCCTGTCGCAATCCAACCTGGGCCCGGGCCTACGAAGGTGATTTGGAAATGACGAAGGAGAAGAAGATATCGCTTACCGTGCTTGCTTTGAAAGAAAACGGCTCTGAGTGTCTGGAAATCATAGCAGATACATTTGAGGAACACGGAGGTGATTTCAGGATCACGTCTACTGGGATAATTTGTTGGATTCTGACGATCTGAAAGAAAGCCTATCATCTGGGAACCAAGTGCCATTTTGCACGGATGTGGTCATGTGAAAATCCGGTGCAGATTATGTTTGTTTTAGATGAATTACTACAATGCTGCTGATGATCGCTATGTCTTTTGTTCTTCTTCATTGTGTTCCTGTCTTTATTCTGCCTCGGTATCTGCCTGCTTCCACGAACCTTCGTAGTGATGTGTTACAAAGGCATCCCCTTGGTCTGTTGGGTCTCCATTTTGAGCTGCAGCGAATGAAACGCCCGGCATGATGAGAACATCGCCGACTAGCTTAGGTTGTTTAATGCCCGAGAAGTCACGATCATCGACAGTTCGGCCTAACAATTGACTGAGGCTTTGTAAGATCGCAATAGTCATAATCTTGGGCCCGGTTACATTGACAACGTCCTGCAGCATCTCTAACTTAATTCCCGAGATCGTGACGCCGTTGATATAAGCGACCTCTTTCAACTTGCTCACAACGGAGTCAACAATCACTTGCAGATTGCGCGAGGACGGTTGCGCTGCAAATACCCAGTTACATAACTGGGATGCCACCTCTGTCCCGGGTCCTCGGTACGCAAAGTCGAATTCTAATCCGACAATCATATCAATATTGTGGTGCTTATATTGCACTGGCACCCAGTCGCTGTTCGGCTTCTCTGCTGTGATATCCAAGTCGCTCCAATACCCGCCCTCCGCGAGAACTATCAAGTAGCGAAGGAGGTCTGCTCGTAGGATTGGGATTGGGATTGCTTCGTAGACCTCGACAATATCTGGTCTCGTCTGTTGGAAATGGGCGCGGACAAATTCTTCCCCGGAGCGGTCTGTCAGCAATTCTTGTCGACATGAGGGATTTGTCTTTGTCCAACTGTTGATCCATGCGCGTTGCTTGTCCGATACATCGTTGGTTTTGGCAGAATGCCACACTTTGTCTGGGATGTTCAAAATTGCAGTCTTGGAATTAATTGAAGGACGCTTTTGCTCGCTGAGTGAGGGGTCCGCTCTCGGTGGTACAGCCAGATGTAGTGGATTCCATCCCATATAGAAGAAATAAGAAAATGTCAAGGAAACGGTGATAGCGATGGCTAATCGCACAGAGCGCGAGGTCTTAAGGCTGGATATCGACAACATCGAGTGATGAGGTGGGATGCTAGATATTCACATCCGTCCGGAGGGGCACTTCAGCATGCGTGGCCAGAGAGTAGAAAGGAAGAGAGTCAATGTAAGATACAAAAAGGTTGAAAGAGGCCCAATACTGCAGCGCTGGGAAAGAGCAGTGTTCCGTTGGTTCTGGTGGAGTCAACGGCTGAGCCCGAGCTTTCAGCCAATAAACATACTGCACTGGATCAGTCACGGTTTCTGATTGGCCAGGGTGGGTATCTGCAAGAGGTCATTGGTTCCCTGAACAGATGGCGAACCCTTGCCGGCAGATCTAGTGTGAAGCATGGGCAGCCGCCGCAACGTGTCCACAACGTGGCCAAACGAAGGCTAAGTCGAGTTGACGAAATGGTAGGGATACAAGCTGATACTTCTTTTCCTCAATCTTGCTTTGAAAAAAAACCTGGATACGGCGACCTGAAGATAGTGGAAAAAGTATCATAAATGAAATCTTGCTGTTGGTTGCAAGGTCAACGATGCTCATGACTGACTCAAGTCTTGAGTAAAAGGGGTGAGCACATTGAACATAGTCGGGGTGTTCCAGCCTCTACGGTGCCATTACGATGGAAGGTTCTAAGCAGGGTGTTAGGAAAAGGTAGTAGCTAGGACACGGTGAGACTACTAGAATTTGGGTAACAATAAATTTGATGGGTGTACCAAGAAAGGAAACAACCTGGTAAGCAAGATGTAAATCTACGATATCTTTTCTTCTCTACACATCCTCGCCGATCCCCTTCGGGTGATCAAAATTCTACGCGATAGCCAACAGTGCCAGTCTTGGATACTAGGGCACTTTACAGTATTACTATGACATGGTCCGTGCCACCCTAAGAATAATGTTCAACTTATTACTGTAGCATTGGGTGCAGCAATATAGACATGGTGACTTTTTGTAGTTCTAAAGATTTTTGTTTTCAAGTCTTTGGAAAGTTTTCCCTCCGTGTTTTTCGGTGTGCTTCAAGTATAAAATACAATTAAACCAACTTCCGTTGAGGTGGTATTTTACCCTAGGGGTTCTTTCGAACTGGAGGGTATGACGCCAATGGGTCGACAGGAGATAGGCTATGGGTCATGGAAGGGACAAATAACGATAGTCTGAATGATACGTCTAGAATCAAAAGGTAAAGCTTGGATTGGATGCATTGCTTCATATTTAACTATGCAACAGCTAGCTAAGATATTGTATCAGGTCGAATCAAGTACACACGAAGATCGTATGAGGGCGAAATTGTTGAATCCTAATTTAATACCTCAATTAGTCATGGATCATGAGTAAAGCGACCATATGATTGTGCAAATTTGAAAAAGCAAATCACAATTCAGCTGCTCAGAGACCAATATGAAACAATGTAGATTGCCACAGTTTCTACAATTTCTTTGCAGAAAGGGAAGTGGTCGGTCATCACCGTAGCTGGATTGTGGGCAAGGGATCCAAGGGGTTCAAGGCAGGCGTGCAACAAGGCAGGCGTGCAACAAGGCAGGGGTGCAACATACCCGGTCCAGTCGGCGCGTTCCCGCTAGTGGATAGGTGGCGGCAGGGAACTATTAACACCGGAAATAATATCCTAAAATCTGATATTGGTCTCAAGGACTCAACAGATCGTTCCTGCAGTTGAAAATACTCTGCGAGGTATGTCGATTCTTTGTAGTCTATGCGACCGCTACCTGTTAGTTGAGTTGAAAGTAAAGATGGCGATATTTGGCTTCCTGGGTACCCCCATAAATTGCACTGAAGTTCGCCACAATTGAACGAATTCAGCCAACTCACAGAGGCATAGAGACTTGAATTGTCGGTTTCGTGAGTGATCTTAAATACTAATCGCTGGCAGAGGCTAGGGCATCGGCCCTACTCCTTGCGTTCAGATTTTTATATGGAGCACATCGTCATTGATGGAGCCCTGCGACAGGAAGGTCCACTAGCCAGGGGATGTATGACGTTGGATACCACTTTTATTTCTCGGCATCTCTATCATTCCAGGAACACACTCGGCAAAATTTCGAGACAGAAATGAACTAAATCAAAGCCCCATAGGACTAGAGATTCTAGCTCACCCAAACTTTCACCGACTGCCTTTTTGCTGAGTCATAGCAAGAATTGCGCTCCATTGAGGTCTTTCAAGCACTTTGGGTCTCTATGGAGTCTACGTGAATTTTTTGTTAGTCATAGACGGAATGAGTTTGATCCCTTGTCCCTTGAATACAGTAGAGCGTGTGCGCAGAATACCAAGTTGTCGAGGCATGTTCCTGACCACGACTATCAAAGATCTCATACCGAGTCTACTGGCGTTGAATTACTTTTCAAGCTCCAATTATGAAACACTGGGTGGTAGGTTGCTGCCAGTGATTTTTTAGAAGGTCAGGTACCTGTACTTAATCGTGGTGTACAAAACAGAAGAGCTGGTTTCTCAACGTTCCAGGTCAAGGTGCGCTAGTCGTAGTTCATAGATGAATGTTCGTTGTGAAAGAAGAAACATTACAGCGCCTTTGTCCGTTGTAATGCTTTGCTCGTGATATGAGTTCGCTTAAAAAGGGTCTTTTTGGTTTACCAGTTTGACAATTGTATGTTGAAAGGCTACGATGCAAGTAGGAATGATGACCGGTACGACCGTACAATATAGATAATCTAACAGTAGATTACCGAGGTGTTTAAGTCTGGAGATTCTCATTTGTATGAGAACCTCCTTATATACCAGAAAACTCTGCCTTAAGCTAGTCCTAATTAGATTTCCCAGGTGATGAATCACTGCGGTTGCCGTCATGGCTCATTCATGGCATAAACCATGGCCGGCCACCATAAATCTCAACATTGTATATCGCGTTGCTTGTGCCTATCGGTCTCAAATAAGTAGCCACGGAATGTGTTGGAATATGTATCAAGATACATCAACAAGCCAAAGAGCCCCAGGTATTATCTCCTGTTTCTCTATCATCATCCTTGGAAATTAGGCACAAGTAAAGATATTTAGAATAGCATTCTTTCATGGGACAAGTGCATGAGGGCATGCATTGGTTATTGATCTGGACCACCCAACATTGCAGCAAGTTGGACAAAGCATTTATATATGAGTACAGCAGTGCTAATCAGATATTTTCCCAAGTTTTGTTTGACTTCTTAGCTCCAGAGTTGTGACATTATCATGCATGCCTGAACTGTAAGGCAGAAGTTCAAACTTTACGATGCTTTGTCAGCATTCAACGTCATTCGAAGTTCCCGAGGTCAGTCTGGAGAAGTTGAAACCAACCAAGCTCCCCCGGAGCTTTCTTTCATCATACGAAGCTTCTTCCTTATTCGAAATCAACACAATGAGCTCCAATCATGCCTCACCCCAGGCAGGCTCGGCCTCCGACCGCAATTCCCCTTCAGACTTCTCCGCGCAGGAATTCGCCGAACATAACCCCGCTCTAGCAAGGAACAACAAGCTCCTCCTGCGACCGGAGCTAGTGAGGAAGCCAGATCTATTCACACTGTACTTTGGTTTCTGGGGTCAGAGCAACTGGACTCGGGAAATGGGGTACATGATCACAAGTCGGGTGGAGAACCAATACGTTTTGACAGCGCGGTACCCAACCCAAGAGGAGATGGATGCGCATCTCGAGCACGGATCGCGAACGCTCTACTACCGGCGTATCCCAGTGCCTCTCGCCTCATTTGCAGGTGCCGCGTACTTTTACAACAAGGCTCGCAAATCGCCCGACTTCCCGAAGAACCCTACACCAAAGTTGCTCTTTGATACTGCGCGCCATATGTGGAAGTTCGACGTAAATGACTTCAAAAGGACGGTTACCTCGACTGCTTTCAAGATGTTTTTCCTTATGACCGCTGCCGCTATGGCAGCAAGCGGCTGGGCTGTCTCTTCTGACGCCATGTCCACATTGAGCGATCCACGCATGAAGCAGTTTGTCGAGGATATGCGGAAATCCAACCCAGAGGGTGTACGGAAGCGGAAGATGGAAGCTGCAAACGAGCGAGTTCGGAGTCTACGTCACGGCGACGCAGATATCGGTACTCAGATGCGACAGCAGAGTGGACAAGGCGGATTCTCAGGATCCGGTGGTTATTCTCAGGACAACTACGACTCTCCAGCGGCACCAGCTCCTCCCTCTGATACTGATTCATACAACACCACCTCTACCAGTTCTCAGTCTTCATACGAGCCCCAAGCCCAGTCAGAACAGCGCATCAACACCGGTGCAGTCTGGGCGCAGGGTAGAAACGCGCAGCCTGAACCCAAATCAGCATTGGATTTCTTGGATGACGATGATGCTAGCCCCACTGCTGCAGAATACCGCAATACCAAAATTGATGGTTCGCCCTCTGGTAGTGCTTGGGATCGTATTAGACGACAGAATGTGGGAGGACGCTCACCTCGCCAACCGCCTGGTATGACCAACCCCTACGCTGAGTTTTCGGACCATAGTCGGGAACAATATGGCACTGGTCAGGAGAGCGAGAAGGACCGAGCACAAGCAGACTTCGATCGAATGATCGAGGCAGAGCGAAATGCCGGCAGTGGTGGATCGTCTCGTAACCGTGGATGGTGAATTTGATGGTCTACTATACGTCCTTTGTTCTGTTTTTGTTTTTTCTTTGTATAACTACATCTTCTCCAGCACTTGGCCCGCATAAAAATATTTTCAATTTAGAGACACCGGAAACCGTCATCATTAGCCTTTGCAAGCATGTATGTTTAGATAAGACTAGCCTGATTATAAGAAAGTAGATTTCAACATAAGTGAGATGATTATAGACATCGCTGTCTGCAATTTTGAGAAAAGAAAAAGAGAACGTTGTATCAGATCCAAAGACTAGGGAAGAGGTATGCATGCATCAACCGCAGGTATAGAGCCGAAGATGGGAGATGGGATTCGAGTATAGAATAACTTGATAAGAGGCGTATAAGGAAATCCCAAATATATGAAAACGACAATGCGAGAGAGGGTATGGGCCCCAGAACAAATGGGAGACAAAAGCATAAAGACAATCCAAATGGGGACAAATAGAAACATGATGCATGATGCGTTGAAGTCCAGAACGTTGCAAATTCATAATTAAAGCCTAACGCAGAAACAAAAAAGCAAAAACAAGAGCAAGAGCAAGAGGGGAGAAGATTAGACGAAGTTCTGACCAGGCGAGACATAGCTTTGACTCGGAAGAATGTAATTCTGGTTCGAGGCGACACCGTGCGAATGAGAATGGGAATGCGTACTCTCATACTGCATCTCGGGCTCCGTGGCTTGTGACCATGGCTCGACACTGCGACTGGCGGTACTGCGCATGCGTGTCAAGCTCCGTAGTTTGTTGGTGAAGCTTTCGTTGGAACTTCTATTCCGGCGATGATCAAAAGACATACGTCGATTTCCGGATTGAGGACCAACACTCTGTGCATGGAGATTGAACGCCGGAGCGGCTGTCATAGCGCGCGGGAGGAGACGACCAAGGTCTTCGTTGTTGTCGATGGCAATGTCAATTGTAGCAGAGGAATCACGCGGAGAGATAGGGTCTGCGGACATCGGGAATGGAGGTGGAGGAGGTGGTGGAGGTGGTGTATTGAGATGTTGTAATTCAAGGAGAATTGGCGGAGGCGGTGGTGGTGGGATGTTGTCGTAGTTTACTGAGGGTCCTCGTTGCAATGCGTTCTCGATGGTCTCTTCGATGCTTACAGCCAGATTGGGAGAGGTGCCTGAGACGTAGCCGCCGGAGCTTGTGCGGCGGTGGGCTTTATTGCGGCTTCGACTGCTCGATCGGCTTCTTGGGAGAGCTGGGTTGAATCGTGGGTGCATGGGCAGGTCGTTGGGCATTGGAGCCATGCCATTGAAATGTCCCTCTGGAACTGGGACTGACATCGATCGACCAATTCTTTCGGCATCACCTTGGTACCTAGCACTGTTGAGGAACATACTTGTGTCTGAAGGAATGGCTGGCACTGAAGGAGGCCGTTCTTCGTCCTGTCCGCTTCCTCCATACTTGGGATGGCGCATAGCTCGAGGAGTTGCTGGAAGTCCTATTGGCATGCCGGAGCGGGAAGAATTGGAATCTGAGCTGCTTGGGTAGTCGGGAGATGCCTTGCTCTGGCTCATTTTGTTTCGAGACTGAGTTCGTGGGAAGTATGAGTTACCACCAGAAAATGGCGGAGGGCTTTCGATGGGACTTCTGACGCTTTGCAGCTCACCAGGGAAGGGAATGTTTGGTGCCGATGGGTTGCGTGCAAGAGATAGTCTCCGGGCCTCTAGTTCGGCAGCTGCGAACTCTCTCCTCTTCCTCTCTGCCATACTGACAAATGGCGTTGTTGGGGATGCAATATCTTGGAAGTCATTCGCAGTCGAGCTAGGCTGTGCATTGGAAAATGCACTTAAAGGGGGCTCCTGGCCAAAGACCTTGCTCGACAATAATTGAACAGACTCTGATGATTGATTCCATGGATCAGCTTTGGTCGTCGGCTGAACTTCTGACAGACTCTGGGATGTCTTGTGTCTGGATTCCGGGGACGCATCTCTTCTGGCACTTGCTGCACTTGTGCCTCTCTCAGCGCGACGGCGACTAGCACTACGATGCCGAGAGCGCAGCCTCTGCTGGTTACTCGCGACGAACTTCATTGGATCATCTGCACTGTCAGTCTGAGTAGGCTCATCTCCCGGGAAATACATGGGAAGAGGCGAAGATGGGGATCTAGTGCTAGATCCTTGCCGGTCATTGCTGCGGCCACGATTTGAAGGCTCTCGCTTGTCTGCAATACGGCTTGCTGTATGTCGGCTAGACGATCGTTGACGGTTTCGCGACTCCGGTCGTCTCATCTTACTTGAACTCCTAGTGCGCGACTTTGATTTCGGCTTGGACTTCGGCATTTCAAATTCCCCGGTCCCATGCCGTGCTACTTCCTCAGGAGACATGGGGACAGGCGAAGAGGGAGAGCGTTTAGCAGGTTGGATATAGCGACGGTCATTTCGGCCCTGAGTATCCTGCGAAGCATCTCGCGACTGGTGAACCCGTGAGCTCTGACTAGCTGTATCACCTGTGTTTCGCCTTCCACGCCCCGGTGTGTGAGGACCACGATACTTGCGCGCATGGAAGTTTGCTTCGTCTAGACTGCTGATGTATTGATCAATGCTTCGGCCACTGACGCTTGGACTCTTAGCAGAAGTGAAACTGTTCGCTGTCGAAGCCGTGCTCTTAGCGCTAGGAATCAAGGCCGAGCGATCTTGGTGACTTCGTTCGCTATCGAGTAGCTCAATCTGAAGGCCATCAGGTTTACGATCCCGAGAGCCATTACGGTGGTCATCGTTGGTCAGAGCTTCAAACACACCAGCGGCTGGAGATGGAAGACCCTTGATGGTGGCAAACTTGTCCATTCCTTGCACGGCAGTCTGGGGGCTGGGTTTCAGAGAGTCGGTGTTGGGCTCATATCTACCAGATGGTAACTCCAAAAGGCCACTTTCACTTTCCCTTTCGTCTTGGCTATGTTCATGGCCACTCGTCTCGTTCTCTGAAGTAGACCCATACTCATTTTGGCTAAATGAACCAGATCGCGAGAATGTCGGAGGGTGCACATCCACCGGAGTCTCTCCAATTGAGGGTAAACGGCGCCGGTTGAAAGAAGGGGTATTCGTTCGAGAAGTCATTGCATGACTTAAGCTTTGGATATTGTTCAGCTTCCAACCGAGGCCCCCAGGAGACAATGCAGAGTCCGGAACAGCAGATTCAGCGATTGGCGTGATTCCCGGTGCATTGGTTGGAGTACGGTCGTCTGACTTCAATCCAGGGAAGCGGAAGCGTTGATTTGGTTGCACATCGAATGAAGTAATAAGCTTCAATGCCGGAGTCTTTGCCGCAGGCTTCCCGTTAGATGTAGATCTGGGACGGATTGGGGGGCCATTATGCTTGAAATATTGGCCTGGGGAGGCCCCGGCGAAGCTAGGGGAGACTTGGTTCGAATCATCTCCGCAAAGGATGCCGCTTGCTGTGCGGATGGCGATGCCCATGGCTCAGATGGTTCCGCGCCTGTACACATGAAACAACGAATTGCGAGTTGTTGTTGAGAATGCGTGACTACATGTTCTCCCCACCGACGAACAAGATAAGATTGTCTCTGCCAGTCGGACGGCATAACAAGACATGTCATAAGGATAGCCTCCATGAAGTGATTTCGAGAAACATAGACTTCAATCGCATCGTTGCTATCGCCAAGTCCAAGCAAAATGGCAGCTGCAGTATGCGTGTCACCGACTTCGAGTAGCTTCTGGACAAATGCTTGTCCGACTTTGTTTGCTTGGGCATGACCAGTCATTTGGCTTAATGCAAGAAGCATCCAGTCAGACGTTGATACAGCTCCGGGAGCAACCATGGAAGCCATTTGATCTGTATCGGTTTCACCAAGCCATTGTGCCAAAAGAATGGCGCTCTGGCTTCCAACGGCATGGCGACTCACTATACAACGATAAGCATACGATTATCCCGTATGAAGTGGGTTTATCAACTCACATTCGTCCCTGATCAGATCTTCAATATCACCATCCCAGCCAAATACCACACTCAACATCTGCTGTCGTAAATCATCAGAAGTCAAATCCGGATCATCAAGAGGCGGTTGCTGCTTGTAAGGCACATCATTGAGCCGAGCACGAGTAAACGGAAACAAATCGACAATGCTCTTCTCAGCCGGACTTAGATGGACTTCATTCCGCAACCGCGATGCGGCCCTTGAACTTCTCACAGACGACATCGAAACCGAAGACGGATACGCAAAGGAAATGGCGGACACAGAAGGCTGCGGCGTATCACCGCCAGCCGAAGTCAAGGAGAATGTAGTAGCACTCTGGCCAGACCGACTCGGCGGCGAAAAAGGCCTGATTTTATATTTCGAAGATGATGCCTTTGAACTGACTGATTCCGTCCTACTGCGAGAAGAAGCAGGGCTAGTCAGATCTGCCCGTTGTCTGATACTTTCGATCCCATTTGCATCGAATGGTGTTCGTCGGGCCGCAGTCGATGGTTCCCGGATATCAGGAGGATCCTGCAGGCGACGCGGTGACATTGTCCTTGATCTGCTATTCTCCGATGTACCAGACCTCGACCCTACTGGCACATGTTGCACATTTGCAACCATTGCTGGATTCTCCAAATCATACTGCTGTACTGAATTTTGGGGACCGAGGGTGAAAAGAGTTGCGGTAGGGCCATAGTTGGCTAGTCCTCGAACACCATCAATTGTAGGAATCGGGTCGTAAGTAACGTGTTTGGTTCGGACGTCCCATGACCATGTTTCTCTTTTCTCAGATGTTAGCAACCTATGAAAGCTTCGATTGGAGCAGGATTACCTACCCTTCCAGATATTGAACCAGTCTTCCATTTTTCGACCATCCCATCCATTTGGGGTCAGCAGAACTCGAGTCAGATCGTTTCAGTACCCTAATCACTCGTGGTGACTCTTTTCCTGGCGGCTTTGCCACGCTCCAGACTCTAAGATCGCCATTGGAAGATTGAGTTGCCAGCATATCCGACTTTTGCTTTGATGAAGATGCATGCCAAGCGAGAGATATAATAGGAGACGGTCCTCGGGATGTAGTCAAAGTATGAAGAATGGTAAATTGAGGAAGAAGAGTTGCGATCAAGATAGAACCATTTTGATACCTAGACCAATTAGCCAACTGATTTTGTTCAATCACGACTAACTTACCCAATTGCATGTGTCCGACAATCTGTCGCAGGTGCCATAGCAGTAATTGGATCGAAAATTGTACGCGCAGAGATATGTTCCTGTGTTGAAGGCTCGAAAAGAATGACTTCGCCTTTCCCGTTTCCTATACTCCCGGTAAGCAAATCATCACAACCAATTGATAGAATCCATAGATCGCTCACCGAATGCGACATTTCCATTGCGCATCCATGCAGCCACTCGTAAATGCTCAAAGGAAGCAAACCGGGCAATTTCAGTGCCTGTAAAAATATCCCAAACAATCGCAGTCTGTCCAACATCGTAACTGACCACCAATCTCCCCGCACCCCGCTCGCTGACATTATCCACCGATATAAACTCGATATTTTCCTGGTGACTCTGAAAACGGCGCTCAATCGCTAATGTATCATGGTGAAGGCAAAAAATTGTCGATCCCTGGGCATAGAGAAATAGGGACGCTGTGGAAGCGCAAGCGTCGAACCGAGGCTGGGCAGGTTGCGGCGGAGGAGCCATTACTTTGGACAGTCCTCAAGGGTCGCGATTCTGTCACCAAGGTCCTTGAATCTGTCAGCTCAATGATTTCAATAGTACATGTGGTAAGTCAGGGAATTGTATCTGAGTGTAAATGGATTCAAGATGATTAGGTCTTCAATTCCCGAGTTGACCAAAGTTCCGGGAATGATAAGCTTGGACAAGAACCAAAATCACACGATATTAAGAAAAAGCGAGCAGAGATTCACTGACCTGATCAGCTTAACCAGGTCGGTTTCTAATCGGTCACGACCCTGAGTCTGGTCAACAGAAAAGAAAGACGGGCTTCAATGTGGTGCATAGCACATCTGGATTGCTCGGGAAACGAGTATTAAATAAGTGCCTAGACACGGGAAAGTGGGTAAGGGACAAGGGGTATCTCAAAGATCCAAGATCTGGGCCCTAATAAAGAACAGGTCGAGAAGAGAGGAAAGGCGAAAAGGAGGTGTGGCCGTTGTAGGGCAGGGGGGAATAAAACCAAGATAATTTCAGTGACACTAGAAATAAAATCACTCGCTTGCACGTTCATCACATAGATTAACGTGATGGAGGGGCTTAAGTTTGTGACAGGCCTGTGTGGAGAGGAAAAGAACCAGGGTTGAGTGTGTCTATATGCGATTATACATATAAGCAGGCGCCACTACCCGTGGATCCAGGAGAGAAAGGCGCATGCGTACCACAGGGAAGAAAAGGCGGTGCATTTGCAGGGCAAAGAAAAAGAGGGGACTCTAGTCGATCAGGAAGATTCAATAGTCGTTGGCGCTGGGGTATTCTGCTCGGCGCTTCATTTCCTGAGGGACCATACATTTATCCCATCCTGGGATCACGGAGAATCCACTAGCCGTCTCCGTAGATCGAGTCCAGTATGGAACATATTATTAGCGGAGACGGTGAGATCGAGCCTTTTTGGTGGCTGGGTTGCATGGCTGTGGTGCTGGGGGAGTGCACCAACGAGCATGCAGAAACGGCAGAAAGTCAGAGTTAGCCGGTTTAGATTGATGCAGAAGGATAGCCCGAATCACAGCCTAGTATCGGTCTCATCAGAGTGGATCTTTTGAACCAAATGACCCTTGTCTTCTGCATGGAGATCACCCAGTGCTCTACTGTATACTTCTAGGAGTCGTTGTTTCTTTTCCCTCGAGTTTGGATCATACTGACCCTGCAAGCAACCGACTCACACCTTCCTCAGATCCAAATTGTGATTTCTGAGACAGATGTGATTGGGATCCGTGCAGATGCTGTCAAGCTGCAGCTCCGTCACTTCGGCCGCCAATCACCGTCCATTCCCGATGATCCCCTCGGCGCCTACACCACACCACTCAACCAATGTCTGCACGTATCTTGCCTGTCCCTACTTAGTATGTCTTTTGATTTCACTGCCTTGAATTTGCCTCAGCCTATCGATGATTCCTTGGAAACTTTGAGAGCAAGGCCACGAGTTTCATCTGCGAACTAGTGTTTCCGATGCCTCACGACGATCTCGAGGCTTCTTTTTGTAATCTGCCCGATGATATGTGATGTGACTACCGTATAGCCAGTGCAGAAAGGGATTTGCATCCCTGCACGGGGAGTACATACGTATGTAGCTACTGTATAAGTTAAGTTACTGCACTTCCTATCTTAGTTGCCGCTTTTACGAAGGCGCTCAGAGTCAGGCTGCGTAAATCTCAGTCCGGGCTCAGACTTCAGATACATCACGTGACAGACACGTGAGGTCTAAAGAGAAGCGCCACAAGGAACTATAAGAGAGGCCATGTTTTGGGCCAATTCAAAAACACACCCTAAATGGATCAATTCACCCCTCCCAATATTATACTACACATAATATTAGTTTCATATTAGCGCATTTTCAGTTGTGTATTTAAAATCATATTTTACCTGAAAAATCCATCAAATTCGTGACATTTCAATGAACCAGATAAATTATCAATCTCATATATCCACTATGATATAGGGAGGGGTGTATTCCAGTCCATTTGGGCGGTATTCTAACATAACCCTATGTATTTGCCGCTCATACGGATAAAGATTCCATCTAAAAGAAAAATAAAGGAATACCCAAGAACGATAAGTCTTTAAACAACTATGAACTATCTGGTATCTACCGTGGAATCTGAGAGTCACTATTCTATGGGAAATTAGGAGCCATTGAGCCAAGACCTATGTGAGAACTGACAGTGTCAGAGCAAGAGAAGCTCAAGGTGAAAGACATTGAAAGTGACCGAAAGAACATTGTTATAAAGAAGCTACAAAGTTTGTAGCTCAGCACGAGGTCTCAAAGCAGCCTTGAAACTATCTAATTCTTAAGTAAACATCCTAAAGCCCAGCACTGACGTAAAACATCGAATAAGTTAACCAACGTAGACATTTCTATAATTCTCAGTCCAATTCACGTAGCTGTCTGTCCTTCCTCTACTGCTTCAGGTCAAAAGTACTCTCTCAAGGGTCATCCTGTTGGCCCTTCCACATAGAAGAAACTCCCTCGATGGTTTTCTCAGTGCCACCGTCAGTATTCAGGATATTGGTGGAGAGCTGCTATACATGTACAGTGAGCAAATCAGAGTGCTCAGGCAGGTACCCGCCCAGTGAGCGAGTCATCCAGCTGACAGTATAGAACAATCAGGTGATGCTGCACGTGAGCGACCCTGCTGATTATATATTAATCATGGACGTGCTCAGTTCTACGCGGTGAGCAAAAAGCGGCAAGGCCTGCGCACCCAAGCGGAAAGGTCGATTCTGGAGCTTGGGCCCTGTGATTGCATCGGGGACAGGCACAGTGACAGGCACGGCAGGATTGCCAATTGGACTGGGAAGAAGAGATTGCCATTGGGATGACAATTTCCGAGATACATATCTCACTGCAGCACTTGCCGACTTCACGGCTTGACTAGCTCAATCACCTTGGATATGAAGCACGAGTCACAATCTAATAAACCTTCATGGCTCTATACTACCTGATGAGAAGAGCCAGGATGCCGTGCACCAAGACGATTGGAACATATGTAATAGGTCGATAAGCAAATTCAATTAGACCAGGAAAGATGTATAGAGAGGTTATAAGTTAACTTATCGTTTCGATACCTCATGTCCCAGTCCGCCTTTCGTATCATCTGATCGCGGGGCTTATCTTCCCCGGATTACTGACTCACTTCAACACACCTCAGTACTCCAAGGGTGCTGCAACTTCTCCCGCGTGCAGGTCACATACGGTCTATCAAGTCCGCCCTATACCACATCCCAACGCCAACCTTGGCCGCCACCTAGTGTTCCCTCCAACATGCCCAACGAAACCATCGTGGTGATAGGGTGAGCACCCCACGCCGAAGACCCCGAAAACGACAATAATAAATCTACCGTATGCAGAGCAATGACCGCTGACACTACCATCCCACAAATAGAGCAGGCGTAATCGGCCTAACAACAGCCCTACGTATCCAACAATCCCTGGATTTCTCACAATCAATCCTCCTTGTAGCCCGCGATTTCCCATCAGACAACTCCGTCAATTACGCCTCGCCCTGGGCCGGAGCGCACTACCGCCCCGTACCAGGTTCAACGCCACAAGCACTGCGCGAGGCAAACCAAGCACAGCGCACCTATGAATATATGAAACGTGTTGCGGCCGACGAGCCCGGGTCTGGGGTTTCGTTTGTTCGTGGTGTTGAACATCTCGAGGCGCCACCGGCGGAGTACTTGGATGCGCAGAGTGTGAAGAACGTCTATTCGCATCTCGATGGGTTTCGGGCCTTGAAGAGTGGGGAAGTCCCTGATGGTGTTGTTTGGGGTGTCGAGTATGGCACTTATGTGGTCAATTCACCTGTTTATTGTGCGCATTTGCTGAGGAAATTTGTACTTGCGGGTGGAGAGGTGAGGCGGTTTGACCTTGTGAATCTGATGGAGGCATTCAGCTTGGCGAAGGGTGTTCGGACAGTGGTTAATTGTTCTGGGACTGGGATTGGGGATGCTAAGGCGTTCATTATTCGAGGTATGTTGTTTATCGAAGATGAATTAAGATGTGTTCAATTGGTGTTGACTTTTACTTGTAGGGCAAACTTGTCTTGTGCGCAATCCTGTGTCTGAGACTATCACTCGTCAGAATACGGATGGTTCTTGGTCTTTCTGTATCCCGCGTCCACTTGATGGTGGGACGATTATTGGGGGCACCAAGGAACCTCATAACTGGGACCCTAATCCTTCGCTGGAGACTAGAGAGCGGCTGCTTTCCAATGCAACCAAGTGGTTTCCTTTCACTCCGGAGAGTGGCGGCAAGTTTGATGTCATTCGTGATATTGTTGGTCGGCGACCTGCTCGAGAGGGCGGAATGCGGATTGAAGTCGAGAATATCACAGATGACCGGTATATGGTCCATGGGTATGGTGCCGGTGGTCGTGGCTTTGAGCTCTCCCGAGGTGTTGCGGAGGATGTCGCAGGGTTGATGCTCGAGAAGGGGCTGCTTCAGCCTAAGGCTTCACTGTAAATTATTGCTTAACGCGTGTAAATATTGCACATCGGAGTATGATCAGGAACATATGCCCGTGAGCAATTACATCAGTTACCAGGGTATTCAATATGAAAATAGAATATTTCAGGATAGAGAAGCATCAGGTCCATCAAGAATGAACGAACTTTTTGCTACCAAGAAAATAACAAGGTGCTATCAAAAGGTATATCGGCCGTATAATCTTCCATCACATCAGACACAGGACCTATAGCCTGTGCCTGTGGCCAGTCGGCCTTGAGCTATTTCTCTGCGCATGACGTTTGTAGAACACGCGTTGAGAGGTGAAAAGAACAAGGCAAACGACCGGGCCCTCAGTGATGTGCGAGGTAGCAGACAAAGCGAGCAACTTGGGCAAGCAATTGTAGCGATCACTCGGCATCGTGATCCGACTCCACGGCATCAAGACATAAGGTTGTATCTGGATGTTGTCCGTGAAGAAGGTTCCTGAAGGGCCCACGAATCTTGTCTCGCGAGAAGGTGAATGGGCTCAGCCCGCAGCTTCCGGTACGACCTCTGGCGCAGCCAAAGGTAGTTCTGTCCCGTGCACCTTGGCAAGACGTTCCTCTTCCTTCTGTTCGCGTAATTTCTCGGTCTCCTTTCGCAGGACAGACAAATTCCAAGTGCCATCGTCGTCCTCGCCATCCTCGAGCTCGCTGTCCTCCTCGGCCCAGTTGCCGCTTTCAAAGAGCGTACGACCGGTAGCATCCTTGGCTTGCTGTGCTTGGAACTCGGCAGCCTTCTTGTCCAGACGCTGCTTCTTCCATTGGGCAAACGATTCGGGGGTGACTGGCGTCAGTGTTCCGGTCAGCTTGTGACGCTCCGAGTCCAGCCAGTCCTCGAGGGTGAGTGTGTTCAATGGTGATTTGTCCTTGAGGGCCTTTTCAGCGGCTCTCTGCTCCTTGGTCTTCAGGATGAATCTGATAAAAGTATTAGCATCGCGAAAACCAATGACAGCGCTCTGACCAGAACATACCCAGGCGGCAAGCTGTGCTTGTACATGCACTTGTTTCCTCCGTTCGGGCAAGCCCAGAACCAACCATACTTCTGGTTTTCAACAGCCTCAATGAAGAACTTGCAAACCTTCTCGGTTGTTGTGCGAGGGTTTCCGTGCTTGCTGAGAACGACACTTCGTAGCTTCTCCTCGTCCCAATCATCCATGGTATCCTTCTGCTTCTTCTCTTCCTCGTCGACCTTCTCGTCACGCGAGTCGGTGTACAGATCCTTCTTGGCTGCCTTGCGCTCGACATTGGGGTCGTGTGAGAACTTGCACTTGCGACCCTTTTCACAGTGACCCTGCTTGTAGTAGACGCAAAGAACGGTCTTCGGGTCAACACCGAAGGGAACCTTTTGGACCTGTACGGGCTTGAACAGCTCGAGGGATTCCTTCTTGGCTTGCTCAGCAGCTCTCTTCTCGGCCTCACGCTGAGCCTGGGCAGCGGCCTTCTTCTTTTCGTCGGCGTTCTTGTTACTTGCGGCTTGTGCTTGCAACTGCGTCATCTGTTTCTTCGCGGCTCCACCTTTTTTCTGTCTTCGAGATTAGTTCGCGTCATGGCCGGAAAGGGATTGTCGCTGTTCGGTACGGCAGTCGAGCAGTCGAGCAGGGGGCTTTGAACACACGTTTTTCATTCCAAAGGTCTGTTTTCAGTCGAGTTAGCCATCACAATGTCCAAAATTTTTAACAAAAAAAAGTCACGGCGAGAGCATCTAAGACACGCACCTTATCCTCAACGGTCGCCTTCTTCTTCTTGGGCTGGTTGTCTTGCTTTTTGGGAGGCATGGTGACGGTTGTGCGGAAGTGACGTCGCTAATTCGAAGGTGAAAATCTGTAAAATGCGCCTGACCGAGGTGCGCGACCGTTATAATACAGATAAAGAAAAACTAATGCGACCCAATGAATGACGGGTTCGGAAAAGACGGTGCAATCGTAAACGCTGAAGGCCAAGAGTGCCAGAGGTTGCAGAATGAAGGTCGGACTGTGTGGCGCTGGACTGAGAATCTGCGATCGGCGTCTCTGCTTCCTATTGTGGAAGGTGGGGATGATGTGTCATTCACGCCTGAGGCATCGATTCAGGTCACGCTTCGATTATGTTCTATAGCGACTAAGTCGATGTTTATTACTTTTTTCTAGTTATCACTATGTCTTGCATCTGCCGGTATCGCTGGAATCATTGAGATATTGTATGTTTGTCATTCAGCATGCGTGGAGGCCACCACTCAATCTTTTGAGACCATATTCGACTATTTTTTAGTGCCCTATGACGTCTTCCGATCTCGTAGCCCTTAGATGTCGTCAAGGACCAGGCCATAAATTGATTGGCAAGTGCAGTGCCACTTCATGTGGTCTTGGTAGATAAATTACTCGCTAGCTGTATACATTTATATGGTAATTTGAGACAGCGCGACTGCTAGGAGGATATACAACCCCAGGCACAGCAGAATCCTAGGCGACACTGATTCTGTTCATGGTTCCACATCTCAAATAAGTGATACTGAAATGGACATAAGAAAATATGGATAGTTCGACTATGCAGAACGGAAGACGAGACACGTGAAACAGGCTAAACAGTGCCTTCTAGAATCTGCATCAGAGTCTCGCATCTTTGTCTTTCCTAAAACGAACGACAGGGAACCGAGATATTGTGCATATTGGAGCTGATCTAATGTAACATTATAGGCTAACACTATGTTATTTGATAGCTTAGATCACGGGCAACTACATTACAAGCGGAGAAAAGCTTGTACATAGGACATGCTCCAATCCGCCGTCTTGGCTGCTGATATGACCAGGGGGGTCTCCTAAGTGCATGGCGGCATTGAAACTTGATTCATTTCAAATGTTCTCGTCGTTTTCAAGAGTCGGCTTATATCGTTTTACAACATATTGTTCAAATTCAAGCGTTATGTGGCCATGGTGTCATAGTTCGAACTACTGTAAATGTAAGCTCCTAGGGGACACACATAAGGCAAAGGAGATTACAAGTCAGATCCACAGAGGATCAACTAAGTGATACGTCATATTCCAATTTCCCCCTCGGTGTGCAGGCTTGTTTGTTTCTAGATTTAGGCACTAGGATGATTCCTACGGGATATAGAGCCGTAACCACGCTGCATCAATCATTTGGATGTTTGACATAAGGTAGATCTACTGGTAGTAGTCGTATATCCAACCGCAAGACCGCGATGGCCCAACAGTCAGTACATCGAAATTTCTAGCAAATCCATCTCCAGCATATCATCCCGTGGGCGTACTAGAACACCCTAATTTTTCGTTTCTGGTCGTAATGGAATTCACAGAAAGCAATTATTGCGGATTTAAGAGACCTCCTGGATCTTGGCGGACTTCTCGGCGTCCTCGAGCTCGGGGAGCTCGTCCTAAAACCGTGTCAGCTCAACCCAGAAACCATGAATTAGAGCGAACTTACATCATCCTCCTCCTCTCCGGCACCGGCACCGCCAGCCATACCCTGAAGGGCACTCAGATCGGGCATGCCACCGCCCATGCCACCCATGCCAGGCATGCCACCAAGCTTGGAGAAGTCGATGTTGCCGAGACCACCAGCGCCACCAGCACCGGGGCCACCGTCTTCACCACCGAAGCCACCAAAGTTGTTTGCGTAGTCATCCTCGCCAGCCTCATCCTGCTCATCCTCATCGACCCACTGAATCTAGTTAGCAGATAGTCCATAATTAGAGCAGACATGCAATCGTACCTTGTCAAAGTCGGTCTTGAGGAAGTGCATCTTCTGCTTGCTCTCGAGCAGACGGGGCCAGAACTCAAGCTTGAGCTCCTTCTTGCGCAGGACAAGCTCGACGTCACGGTCGGTGTGGTTGACCTTGCTGTTCTCGGGGTCGATTTCGCCAAAGAGGTCAAGGGAGACGCTGTATGTTACGCCCTTCCGGGAAGGACCCTTGAAAGTAACATTCTTCTCGGTGATGCTGAGGCTGGCGTCGGCCTTAGGAACATCGGGGGTCTTGATGTTGACATAGAGGTAGTTGCGCTCAGGCTCCGAGTCGGAGGAACGCTGAGCCCATGTAACTGAAGATTAGATATTGCATGTCAGTCCATTTGTGCCAAAATTAAACATCCGGAGACAATCCATGTCCATGAAGCTTCAGAGTAATCCTGAAGAAAGGATAACGTTATATGAAATTTCATGCAAAATGTGCAAGCCCGTGTCTGAGCGAAGCGGGGAAGTAGAGCAGTCACAACGTACCTTCGGGAGTCAAGGTCTGGGACATTTTGAATGAAGGGTATGAGAGGTCGGGAATGAAGGGTGAAGAGTGAACGAGATTGAAGTGTTCTGTATCAGAGAGAGATGTGGAAGGATGATACTACAGTGAGCTCAAGCGCGCAGTGCCCCATCGCTACAATAGAACGTACTGGAACTGACGTTTGTCTCGTTTGTTCCTTGCTGCCTGAGGCTTGGAAGCCCCTCATGATGCTTATGTCAGAGATGACTCAGCTGTTTCCTGGCTCGCTCCCGCAATGTCCAGACGAGTTGCCTCCAGGGTCAACTAATGATTTGAGGAGGGTCTGAAGGGCAATCTTGATCTCCGAGAAAGATCCTACTTTCCTGGATATTGTGGTCATAATCTGACTCTCGTAAAACGCACAAGAACCTGTTCATTGCCCGCCTATATTTGGACGATGCACCGGGACTGAGCCTTATCGCTGATCATACCTACCGAGATCACTGTCCACGATTGGACTTTCCACTTGCTCGAACTTGAAAGTATTGTCGCTCGTCGTCGTCTGTTTTTCGCACAAACTCTGTGATCATGGAAAGTCTCAAGGCAGTATTCTTCGGGCCTGACCCGCAAGCCCAGGTAAGCACGTGAAGCAGCCGGTTCATGCCATAAATATCTCACTGACGCATGGCTTGTATCACTAGATGAGGAAGTGTAACGCTTTGATAAGATCTAATACTCGCCAACTTGATCGCGATCTAACTCGACTGAAAACTGCCGACAGCCAGACTCGCCAGCATATCTTGAACGCCTCCAAGCGAGCTCAGCGAAATCCCTCTCAAGCTACGCAGGCCACCCGAGATACTAAGACCTTTGCAAGGGAGCTGGTGCGCATTCGCAAACAAACCGCTCGGTTGCATACTAGCCGCGCTCAACTGCAGAGTGTCGGGATGCAAGTCAACGAAGCCTTCTCCGCGCGTAAAATCCAAGGCAGTCTTCAAAAGTCCACTGGAATTATGAAGGATGTTAACACACTCGTCCGGTTACCACAATTATCTGCTACGATGCACCAGCTGTCTTCGGAGCTAGTCAGGGCAGGCATTATTGAAGAGATGGTCGATGATGCCATCACCGATCCTGCAATGTTTGAAGAAGAGGAAGATGAAGCCGAGTCAGAGATTGACAAGATCTTGCAGGAAGTTCTACAGGGAAAGCTGTCCCAGGCACACGCCGTCACAGCACCTCCTGTGGACAAGATCTCAGAGCCGGAATCTCCACAAGCCGAGGAAGAGTTCGAGGACCAAGAGGCTACCCTCGAACAAATGCGAGGCCGCTTAGAGGCACTCAGGAGCTAGTTTCTATCTATAACCTCAGCGCGTTGTGTTTCTCTTCTTACTTTGATTTATTGCTGGCGTTGGTTGCATTGCCGTTCTATAATCTGCTTTCCAAGGCTGGGCCTACACATAATGGATTCATCATCACTGGATAACAGTCGCAAAAAAGCCACCAACAAAGGCTCATAGCGTTCCACCTGAAATAAATTCGAAATACTGTGACTCATGTCAAAGGAACCCAAACATACTGGGCGACTGAAGTGGCGAATGATATTCTGCCATTGTCCCCCGCCGTAGATGCACGCAACATCATTTGCTGCCCAATGAGGCTTAGCGCGCCCGACCTGACACTGCCTCCTTCTCCCTTCCTTCCTCATCCTTCCCATTCCACCTTCCCTATCAATCCTGCTTCCGTTGAAAGACATCCATCCAGCCACAAATCGCCTGTTTTCACATCTTTTGATCGAACTTTGTGAAGTGATTCATCTACATTTTCTCTCAACGCGACTTCAACCGGTCGCATAGGCATCAGTCGCGTGTGATAACTAGCCAGATTCACACTCTACCATCGCAACCATGTCTGCCAACCTGGACAAGTCTCTTGACGATCTCGTCGGCAGCCGCCGCCAGAGCGTTCGCAACACGCGCCGCCGCGCTGGTGGCCGTCGTCCCGCCACCAAGCCTGCTGTTGGAGGCGTGAAGAAGTCTACTAAGGCTGCCCCTAAGCCTGCTCACCCCGCACCTACTGTTCAAGCTTCCAGCAAGATCATCGTTAGTGGAATGGTAAGTTCTGATTAAATGTCCATCATCTTTATGCACCCGTCACTAACCTGCTCAGCCTTCCGATGTTTCCGAGGCCAATATCAAGGTATGTTGATCTAGAGGCCTTCGCTTTGGCTTTCATCGCCATCTCTGTTTTCGAGAAAATCGCGGCGCAAACGAACTTGACTCGCCTTTCGACGTCCCGTCGCCTCTTTTCGCACCACATCGCAAGAGTTTGCTCGATGTTCATGGCACAGACAGTCTGCTCCTTCCCAAATACCTCTGCTGAATTTGGTTGCTGGCGCTTCGCGAGGCCGGAAGTTGAGCTCTGTTGCAGTACGGTGAAAAGATGCACTTGGCAGGCGATGGATCCAACACGGACTTCCGCTCACCTTGCATTCTTGAGTACTGTGCCGGGATGCTAAATGAAAACTCATCATTCATGTTTGTTTTCAACCCTGTCCATATTTTTTACCTACCCGCTTTGCGGGCCAGAAGAGCATCAGCGAGCGCATCAGTGAAGCAGCGGGAATATTGGTTCAGTGGAAAACCTCATTTTCATTACTCATGTGAAATATCTCTCCGTGGCGAGCTTACTGCTCTATGGGGTGATTCCCCGCCATAGTGGCTTCGAGGGCTTTAGCAGCGTGGTGTACATGACACACTTTGGTTTCGGAAGATACGCGGCAAGGCAGCAGGTCCCAGGCCCATGGACAATGTGGAATGACCTCACGTTGATGGTAGCGACGTGAGCCGATGTCCCTGTTGGTGTGACTTGCTGTATTCTCAAGGAGGAATTTTTGAATCTGCCGGGACGTGAATTCCACGCTTATGTGGATGTCTGCACCAGTGGACTCAGTGCCGCACTGCGGTTAGCAAGCCTGCGGCTATCTAGGCAAAAGAGCGTGCTTGACAACAATGTTACAGATAATGGGAACGGTGCATCACGTCTTGCGGGTTGGGATGATATGGATAAAATACTGCTGATGCTCGCTGATGCTCTTTCGCTCTTGGAACACTCTACGTCTTCGTTTGCGCTATCGCCATTTTTTTACACGACCCTCGAAAACAGTTCGCGTTGCTCAAAATTCCGCAAAAATACTGATCGTGTCTTTGCGCTTTAGGAATACTTCACCAAGTCCGCCGGCCCCGTCAAGCGGGTCATGCTTACCTACAACCAGAACGGCAGCAGCCGTGGTATTGCTACCATCATCTTCGCCAAGGCAGACACCGCTACCAAGGCTGCTAAGGAACTCAATGGCCTTCTAGTTGATGGTCGTCCCATGAAGGTAAGCTTGAGTGTCTCGATCCAATCCTTCAACATCAACTAACTAATTACTTTCTACAACAGATCGAGGTCGTTTTCGATGCCTCTCACGCCCCTACCGCTCCTGCTGCGAAGCCACTGACGGAGCGCATTGCGTAAGTGCATACTCAACACTCGCTGGAAATCCTTACTCATTCCCCTACAGTCACACTCAAAAGCCCCGCCCTAAGTCCGCCGCTGCCACCAAGACCAAGAACAACCAGAACACCAAGCAGGCCAACGAGGCTAACTCCGAGGCGGCCAAGGGAAAGGGCGCTGGCCGCCGTCGCGGTCGCAACGCTGGTCGTGGAAAGCCCAAGACCGTTGAGGAGCTCGACGCTGACATGATGGATTACTTCGCTACCGATGCTCCTCCCGCCGAGAATGCCGCCCCCGCGGCCGCCGCGGCTCCCCAGGCCAACGGCGGAGATCTGGCCATGAACGATGAGATCTCGTAAGAGACTCGATCGCCACTCTTACTTCGCTCCATCGCTGTTTCTGCATGATACACGTCCGCGGATTTTCCGGAGGGGTCTGATGGTTGATGCGCAGGTCATATCTTCTATTCTTCTCCTTGCTTGATCGTTTTCCACGGTTGTTTCTTTACTTTTTTTTTCTTTTGCTAGTACCGAGCTTAATTCTTTTGACTTTTACGCGGCTGTTGATGGAGGGAAGCTTGTACCTACAATCATAACATTGAACACTACAAATGGGCAATCGATATTTGCAGCACGTACTTCGTATGGTCTATTGAAGATGAATGACTCCCATGTAGCTTGACGACCTTGCAACACGTATCAAAATGAATGGACCTCCGACTCCTGGTGCTAAAACAAAAATCCAAGATCATACCCCAACTCCGAGCCCCAAGTTCAAGAAACGCTTTTGAACCCCAATTTCCCAAAATGTACATCTCATTCAAAACACACCAGCCCTCGTCATGACATCATGAAACTGCTCCAGCGTAACACCAGCAGTCAACCCAGCACCTCCATTCCCTTCAAGAATCATATCCTTAAGCAGATCATCCCCAACGCTATCCTCCTTCAAGTCGCGTGCAATGCGCCGCAGATGCGACAGTGTAATCGGTCCATCAGTACCATGCGTGAACAACTGATACGCATCATCCACCTCAGCAGCCATAGCATCATCATCTCGGGAGCGTAGTTTAGCCGCTGCTATCGAGACAAATGGGCTGTAGGATATGAAGCCGCAGGTCGTTGGATCGAGCGCGGAGAGGATTTCGGCGAGTTCACTTGAGTCGGTGGGTGGGAGGCCGAGGGCTCTGTTTGAAAGACTTGTCAGTCTCGATCATGGTATGGAGCAGCAAGCAATGAGTGTAATCAAGGATCTTATAGGTAAATACCAAGTTGAAATCGCAAATCGATATCGCGCCCACTTGGAATTGGAAAGAGCGACTCACATCAGTGCCTTGCGCACATCTTCCCGTGGTATGACGCCTTCCTTCTCGTCGGGGAAGTCTTCGTTCGGGGCTGCGAATAGCTGGAAGACTTCCTTTATCTCATTTTCTTCTTCTGCGCTGATGTTGTTCTCTTTCGCAAGCTTGGATGCGCGCCCGCGCTTTGGCGGTGCGGAGGTGTTGGCGGGTGCGCCGCGCTTCTTGGGGGGCTATGGGGGTTGGTTGAGTCGATATTTAGATTCGGGGGATGATCATGCAGCTTACCATCTCGCTGGATTGTACAGGGTGTGTAGCTTGAAATCAAAGTGTGTGCATGTCTTGGGGGAGATTGGGATTTGGGTTGGAGTGGAGGTGAGGCGGGCTCCGATTGGAGAAGCTTTTACTATGGACTTTGGACTATGAATCACGTCTGCTCCGTCGCATTCTTTTTAATAAAGGAAATAGGTTGTATCTTTAAAACACCTTCTCTCTGTTGGTCAGATGCATACTGATATCTTCCGTAACTAACCGATTTCTATTCCAATCTTCTCAAAGATATATATATGTAGGACCGAACGCTTGCGAATTCTCATTACATTAGAACCACATCCCATCGTTATTGGATGCAAGATATCAAGGAAATTGTACTTGATTCCGACTTTTGCCAATAATAGTCAACAAGCTCAAAATATAGAAGGCTCAAATTTTGGATACACTCTGCATACTGCCATCTTGTATCAATATCTCGCACTACGCCCACGGTTTCAAAGTAGAAAGGGAATAAAGTCATGATTGCGAGACTTAAGTCAATACTTTTAACTTAAGATTTCTTCTGTTTGTCCTTTTAGTTCTTCTCCTTGAGAACTGATAAATACGTGAAACACTCTTCACGACCAGAGCCTAGCCTCAAGCAGCTGTACCAACATGCCTAGGACTGCAGATTTGTCGCCCCTCCATCAAAAGATTGTGGTTAGTGATAATCTCACAGGTATTTGAGTTGCTTCTGACTTTGATTTGCAAGTAGCTCCGACATTCAGCACTGAAATGTGAGTGTTATGGAAAATGATCGAAAGCAATAGTAGGGCTCCAAGGCAGCCCGTGACGATGCTGACGTGATCGGATTGGAGCCTGCGCAGGAGAACTTCTTTATCTTGACATATCCAAGGCTGCTTTTTTGTCTTCAACTGAATATTTTATTCTCAGATAGCTCAGGATGGACGTTCAACTATTTGTCTATGATCTGTCAAAGGTAAATCTCCTATACTCTTCTATTCCTTGTGGACAACAACTAACTGTGACACTAGGGTCTGGCGCGAATGGTATGTGCAACTTACAACTAAGAAAAGGCAAGCTCTAATCTTGATAGTACTCTGCTGCCTTGACAGGCACTCAGATGGACGCCATATACCATACATCCATCGTACTTAACAACGTTGAATATTATTTCGGTCAAGGTATCCAAACTGCCGTTCCAGGCACCACGCATCATGGCCAGCCCATGGAAATCATATCATTGGGAACCACTGAATTACCCAATGATGTTGTTGAAGAGTACTTGGGCTCTTTGGCTAGCATCTACACCCCTGAGGTTTGTCCACCGCCATGCATCCCCTTTCACAACATATAAGTTAACCTTGGGAACTCTAACCCATTAGTCTTATGATCTCTTTCTTCATAATTGCAACAACTTTACACAGGATCTTTCGATGTTCCTGGTTGGGAAATCCATTCCAGAGCACATCCGTAATTTACCTCAAACATTCCTCGAAACGCCATTTGGGCAGATGATGAAGCCACAAATCGAGATGGCCCTCAAAGGTGTTACCCAAGGGACTGGCCAAGTCGGAGTCCCTGGACCAAGTGCTCAACCGCCAACTGCGAGGGCCCCTCCTACAGCACCCCAGAACATTGCTCAGCCAGCTCACCCTCATCGCCAACTACGGCTTCCCAGCCTGCAGCGCGAGATCTCGAACTTTGTCATGTACAAGAAGGCCCCACCTCTGGAAAAGCTCATCCAGAAACTGCCAACTGAATTCCAAGAAGCAGAGGGCGTTCCAAAGATTATTGAGTTTGTCAAACTTCGTCACTCTGCGACACCAGTAGCCGATATCCGCGTCCCCGACTTGCATTCATTCGCAGCAACCTTGAAGCTCAAATACTCAACACTTCCTAGCGATACGCATTTTGCAGTCGTTGATTTGGTTCGTCTTTTACTGCTCGACCCACGTGTGAGCGGCTACTTTGCCGAAGAAGCTCAACACGCAACTATCCTCACCATGCTGGAGCCACTTTCCCAAGATGAAACCGCCTCATACCCATACAACCTTCGTATTGTGGCTCTACAACTAGCCTGCAATCTCTTTAACACCCCTCTTTACCCAGAACAACTCATCTCATCTTCATCCCCTCTACGCGAGACCTGTCTCCGTCTCGCAACCAACTCTCTCCTCGACTCACAGACCAGCCTCCGCGTCGTTGCAGCATCCTTTGCATATAATCTTGCATCGTTCAATCACAATGCTCGCTTTAGCAACAAGTCCGATCCTATCTCCGAAGAAGATCAGGTTGAGCTGACCGCATCCTTGCTTGAAGCTGTCTCTCGCGAGGAGGAAAGCGTTGAAGCCTTGCATGGACTTCTATACGCACTTGGACTCATTGTTTATGAAGCGCCGATGGATGGGTCTGTGATTGATCTATGTCGTGCTATGGGCGTTGCAGAAACAATTTCTGGAAAGATGGATATTCATGCTTTACAGAAAGAGCCTCTGCTGAAAGAGATCGGGGGTGAGCTGTTTCAAAAGGGTCTGTAGTTCAAGATGCGAATCATGTTATATAGACGATAAAATGTTTTAATTTAAGGTATCCCAGCAGGTTTCAAGTACTTATTTTAGGGCATAGAACATACCCGGATAGGATCTACTTTAGATGCTAGTAAGTTTAGTACTAAATTCAAAATTATGTTTTTACGGCCAGAAATGACCGAGTTGATAGCTCCTGAATTCATGCTGTACTTGAAAGCATTATCCTACGGCCTGGAATGACGACTTCTGGTGATCCAGGAAGGACCTTTTGGTAAGCTGAATTCAGAACAAAGTAGTAAGTTATATGCTATCATATCATGTTCTATTAAGGTCTAGGCCATGTAAGAAGCTAAAGCTCATCATCTAGTCCTCAGCGAGAGACAGCGTGCCAGCACTACATGTTACCATGAAAATCCCATGGTTAAATCAATCTAAAAAGAGAAAATTAATGCTTGTAAACAACAAATACCAAATGGATGCATGAGTACGCCTCTCCAATCTCCTTCTAACCTCAAGACCAACTTAAACCCCCGAAAGTGATTGATTGCTCCGACCAATCTCTAAGTCAAAAAGTGCTGCAGCAAAGTCAAAACCCGTTCTTCGACAACTCACTTCGGCCTCAATTGTTGTTTATAATTTGTCAAATCCGTAGTCAGTTATAATGTTAGTGAACAATAAGTCGAGTATCAGACTCATAATGGCACATTCTGAGGCTTGTCTAATGACGCGTGACAATACTTTGTCCTGTTCACGATCCGAAGCTTGACAAATGCTCAGCTCAGTGAATAAGACAGCACATTTTGTTCCTGTGTTCTCACTCCCTTTTGATATTCAACCTCCTTATCCAATTTCTAGTCGTTCTCTCTCATCTTCCATAACAACCCACCCCGTACTCAAGGTCGACGCCTTTCCAGCAGATCTTCAAATACCACATCACAAACCCATCCTGCGATACGATATATCTATCGATCCAACATGCCAGCTGAGGCTACACCCTGCAGAAAGCGATGGATCAACACTGGAGATCCAATGACAAACATCACGGATGTTCCTGAAGGCTGGAGCTCTCACGAGTTAGATCTACACAAAGAGTATGATTACACTTGCATTCACAGTTTAAAGGTCTAGTTACACTGGTCTAACCCGTGGATTACCAATTTTAGCGATGTGAATAGCCAGATCGCCCGGTGCCATGAACGAATCAGTGATGCAATTATGCCCGGCATCTTCCGCCACAGACTGGCGCATTATGAGCAGCGACGAAGGTATGAGTATTCACGAAGACAACAAAGACATGCTTGGCTGACACCTAAAAGTGAGATGATTGCGTCCGAGCGAGCAGACCTGCCATGGGCCACTGTTCAGCGACTATGGTTTCTGAAACAGATGAAGCACTCGCTGGAGCTCAACAGCGACCACGATGGGCAGTTGCCTAATGTCAAGGGCCTTATAGAGGCCTATCGGACTGGCAAGAAATTTGAGAAGGGCAAACTGAGCTACTAGTATCAGGGTGCTCAGGTATACCCCGAAAAAGATGGAGATGGGCTCACTTACTGGCAGGCCACGCTCCTGCAGAGCCGCTTCACTGGAGCGTCGGGCTTTTGGCTTGAAGGTGTATGTTTAGCTCTATCCTTGAAACTTATTCCCAAAATAAGACTAATCTGGTTTATAGCTTGACGTGCCCTGGTCTGGTGATGTCAGCCTGGACTGACGGCTCTGCGACCTCCTGCAATCACTTGGCTATCTTCATCTCCCGAGGACGTGGAGATGCTGAATAGAAGCTAAAGGCTGACGGGGGAAGTGAGGTTATGTGATTATCTAGGTATCAGTTGACCCGAGGAAGTGTTCATTGATCTCTTCTTCATCCACTCAGATAGTTTGAAATCCATCGGTTTTCATTCCTCTCACCAGCTTTCAAGTAGCAACTTAATTTGTTTTGTTATCTTCAGGGACCAGTTCAAACAGAGCGTGCAGAAAGTAAAGAAAGGTGGAGAAAAGGGAAAATAAAAATGAATGGAGGGACATACGTATACTGGGAGCCGGCATAAGGGGTTCTATTTGTCTCTCACTGCGATAATGATTGAACGGCCGGTGAAGTCTATTCCATCGAAGAGTGTGAAGAGATATATTCGAGGATTCTCATCTCTATTGACCGGTTAAAAGAAACCAGTTCGAGAATGTTAACTCCTTGGCGATCTTTGGTTCTGGTTTTGTGACAATTTGCAATCGACGACCTTCATAATCGCAACCCAGTTGCTCTCTAGGACTCGAACCTGCTATGATATGTTAGCTGACCTTTATCGCAGCTTACAAGATATTTTACAAGGCCGCGATGGTCAAAAGGAAATGCGGACGTAGGTATCAGTTCTCTACCTGATATCTCGTGATAAGTAGTGTGAAACAGAGCATTCAAAAGACAAAACTCCATATGATCTGATTTATAATTTATCGATCTGCAAACAATATGTAGAACCACTTCTATAACACATTCAAAGTCATTCCACCCTGTTGATAGTCTGACCAACACACCACTTCTCTACCGTAACCTTGCAACTAGACTCAAGATTATGCAGTGTTCTTTCAGCAAACCACGCAAGATGAGGAGTCAAGACCAGATTCAACGACGCGGCTTCCGGGCTTAACAAAGGCGAATCTCCCCGTCCAGCGGGCTCTTTCACATACACATCTGTGGCAGCGCCTGCAATTTGCTTTCGGCTGAGGGCATCCAACAGGGCATTTTCATCAACAATGCCGCCTCTGGCGACGTTGATCAGCAAGGAATGAGAAGACATCAACTCAAACTCGGCCGTGGAAATCATATTCAAAGTCTCCGCACTTCGTGGCAGACAAAGAATGACCACAGTCGACTGCTTCAGCGCGTCTTCGAATCCCATCCGACCCGCTCGAGGAAGGACGCCCTTGCGCTCTGCAATGATGACCTTCATACCAAGCGCTTTGGCCAGTGTCTCAATCCGCTTCCCCAACATTCCATATCCAATAATGGCAACAGTCTCATCGCTGCACAGTGAAGGCGCCTTGCCACTTGGCAAACGGACGCGACTGAGTAAGGACCCATTGGTCTTCCATTCAGTATCAAGGGATGGATCTTCTGGCACAGCAATAGTGGCATTATGCAACTCAATGAACTTGCGCCGGGAAGCAAAGTACAGACCAATAGCATGCTCGCTGACACTATCGATATTCGAGCCAGGACAATTGCAAACGGTGATTCCGCGGGCCGATGCCGCCGCGATGTCAACACAATCCGTGCCGGTCGCCATGATCACGATGAGACGGAGTTTCGGAGTCACATTGGCATCCAGTGTCTCTGCCGAGAGCTTAATTGTGGTGGTGATGGCAATGGTGGCATCTTTCAGGCGACTGGGGAGCTCGGATGGGCTGGTCCATCGATGCACTTCCCGAGTATGTGGGCCTGGGATATCAAATTGCGGAATTGGGCAATGAAGAGCCTCAATTGCGACGATGTGGTGTTCGGCAGTCATGATCAATTTTGCAGGGATGTGAGAGGTCTGTGGGATATGTGTTAAAGGTTTAATTTATGCACTCGTGAACGCGTATACTGAATTTTCTCTTTGAGGTCCGCCAAACCCGCCAAACCCGACAGAAGAAAAGTAATGATGTCCGACGGAAGCCGAGATAGACAAGATGGAGAAGATTAGGGCGTTCGCCAATTATATACAAAACCCATGGATCCACTTGTCGCCCCAAGGGCGTCGTGTTTGATTACTAATATTTACTTCAACTTTTGAACCTGTTGGGAATACTGGGAGATGTTTCTCGAAGTTGTCTTTTATAGACACTTGCAGAGTTCTATGTTGGACGACGTATTTAGGTTCGTACTTCCATAGACACCTGCAGAGTTCCATGTTGTACGACTTACTTATGTTCGTACTTTCATAGACACCTGCAGAGCGCTAGGACAACTTGTACGTCATGTGCTGTCCATGCTCATTCTACTTGAATCGGGATTATCACCGCAATCTGACGGCTTTACTGATAGCGCTCTTCTCAATGTTTTTCGGGAACTCGTATTCAAGCGTTCATTCAAACATCATTCCATTCAAAAACAACTTAAAATCAACGTCAGCCAGATACTAAGCACTTCATAACCGCCCATTCACGAGAGCCCCACAACTTCATAGTTCCAGTTGCAGGTCGCATTGGGGCTCTGCGCCAAAACATTCTTTGTTCCAGTCGCCGACGCAACAATGTTATTGGAACCATCAACAACTTGAATCATCTGTCCACCCCCAACAGCCAGTCCCAAAACACTGTTATAATTCAACCCCTTCTGCCCAACAAAACTGCCGATCAATTTGCTGTTGCTATAAACCTTAATGGTATACCCGGTAGAGGGCAAGATAACAGCAAAGTTCACCGCATCCAGTGCCGATTGGTAATTAGCAATCGAAGACGAGCAGCTAGCAGTAGTCAACAGAGGACGATACCAGAATGCACCAACGGGCTTAGTGGCTGGTGGCAAAATCTGAGCAATGCTTGTCGCACCAGCCTTGTAGGCCTTGATGAACGGCGTGATAACCTGTAGCCAGCCCTTGTGGTCGTATCCGTTGGCATAGTCTCCAATATTACTACCTGCAATTTGTTCCTGCCAGAAATCTCCAACATAGTGACTCTCTCCGGCGTCATTCCAGGTAATAACCTCCACGAAATCGGGCTGCAGCTGCAAGGCTTGGGCCATTCGCTGGGGGAGATTCACTTCGCCGATCCGGTACCAATCCTGGCCACTGCCCATATATTTGAACTGCAATGGGGACATTGCTGAGTTCAATGTTGTTAGTGGTTTCGTTCGACCGATATATATGTGCCAGTCACTTACGCATCATGTATGCTTTCCCAGCCGCACGAGCCTGCTGCAAAGCCGCAGAATCAACCTGACTGCTCACATTTGCGGGGCTGTTACCAGGAGCCGGCCATGCACTCTCCCAGCTGAAGACACCGCTGAGAATCGGGTAGGAGCTAAATACACCATTGGGATAGCCGGAAAAGTCGTCAAAGTCGGGGACAAAGAATGGCGTGATCCCGTAGGTCGAGATCATAGGCTGAATAAATCCAGAGTTCCATTGTGCATTGGAGATTGTCCCGCCGGTATATGTACTGACGAAGGCTTGACCGTTGACCTTGTAGTATGCGCCCTGGCTCGCATAGGGCGCCAAAAAGGCTGCCAGCTGTGTGACATCCAAGCCCCAACTCATATCAAATGAGATGAATAATTTGAAGTTCTTGCCTGCAGCTGCTGCAAATAGATAGTTGAGTGCATTGATGTTCCAACTATCGGATGCGCTAATAGTGTGGGTGTTGAGGGCGAACCCATCGAACCCTGCGTTCATTGCATTTGTAACATCAGTGACAGCTTCTGCTGAGGTCATGGAACCGACCTAGTTGTTGTTAGCCTCTGCCTGTATTTACGCACTTTTGGAGGTGGGGGTGCGGGGTGAAAATTACCATGTAGTGTGCAAACACGGCCTTGGTGCTACTTGGTTGTGCCGCAGTGGTTGTAGTCGACTTGGTAGATGTTGTGCTCATGGTGGTAGTTGGATCTGAATCTGTTAATATTTGAATTTGTCTCATTGAGAATGGGAAAAATACTTTTGGTGGTAGTGCTCGTAGTAGTTGCAGTAGCTCCAGTTCCAGCAGACACCTAATGCAGAGAGGTCAGTATTGATATATCCAACCCACAACAACTATGTTCTGCAATGACATACTAATCTAGCAGTAGTAGCAGTGCCTGCTTGACCAGAGGCGACACAAGACCCAGCGACAGTGCCAGAAGATTGATAGACACCAACAAGTCCAACCTGGCAACAAAAGTCATTTCCCTGTAGTCCTTGCCAAAGGGACCAGCCTGAATCAGCACATTTGGGTGAGCCTTCAATGGCACCCACACAGATCGAATCTGTTTTCGAATGTTATTATGTGACTCGAGAGTATCAATGAGATCAATAGATGAACGGGGAGGTCCTTACTCGACGTGCAACAGGAAGCAACTTCGTCAGTCTTTGCTGCAAAACAATAGAGACCGCTAGGGCAACATGCCCCAGTACCACAGGACTGGGATCCGCTTGGACAGGTACTAGCTTGCAGAGACCAGCCCTGCACAACGGAGCGCTGGGATATGACAGCCGCAGAGCCAAACAGAGGAAGCGAAAGCCCCAGGAGCAACAGAGCCGAATACTGCATGCTGACTGGATTTCAATGCAATTGTTGAGTCCCGTGGAATCTCTGGTAACAATGCTTCTTTCATTTCGTCGCTAACTGCCTACTTTATATATGATAGTTCTCGCAAATTGCTATAAGTGAAGTCTTAATTGAAGATCCCACCACCATTCGAGCCAAATGCGGGGAATCCAAGGCCGTGAGTCCATAACATTTCCAATGTGATGCCAGGGCAACAAATTTTGGCGATGGAATGTTACATTAAATTGGCGACCACGGGAACTAGGGCTATGACCTCCTCCAGTGTGACCATTTTGGGTCATCAGTTGTCGGTTGACTGGCACCGAAAAACAGAGCGACATTTACAACGGCCATCTTCACAGAGATCTGGCTATACGAGATATCTCATGGTCGCGAAAAGTGCGCCACGAACTGCCCTCGCTGAAATTCCCAGAATGCCCGGCCAAAGGCCTTCGTGGCGGAAACTCTAGCGCAATCGACCACGGGATCAACTATTCCCCTTTTTATGTATTGCCCGAACCATTGGGGAGCTTGACATGGAAAGACCCTTAATGATTCGCTACTGCGGTCCTCCAGTCACCGGTGCGCCACCTCCAGGTTTCACCCGGTTGATTGAACAAAGGCCCTGATTGCTGAGTCGTCCCGAGAATCACAGCGAGGGCTTTGGATGTTCGAAAGATATTAACGCCCTCGCTAAAAGTATTACTTTGGGATTTTTCTCAGAGCGCTTAACTCTATTTCCCCAGAAACCCCGCGAAAGTCAAAGTGCCAAAGTTCCAGCGACCAGTGGCCAAGCCCTTGTTGCACGAGTGTAGCGACTAAGGTCAGATCAGATACAGCAAAAACTGATATAAACGAGATGGTCTTCCTCTATTTCCTGTCTTCAGATCCGACCTCCATCAGCTCCTCCGCTCATCAGCGCACCTCTTCTCTACCTTGAGAGCCCCAGTCTATCCATCGCCATGGACTCAAAGGCGACTTCTCATGTCGAGCATAAGCTCGCAGTGCCAACCCAGGCTTTGGGTGCAAATACCATCGGAATCGACGATGACGCTCTGCTGCGCATGTCCGAGCAGATTCCGGACTTCGCCAACGTCGTCGAAATGGCTCATCGTGCCTCCAACTTTGAGCACAATCTGACCAACCGCGATGCTTTCAAGATCTTCCCCAAGGCGATCGGATTCTCGCTCATTTTGTCCCTTGCCATCATCATGGAAGGCTACGACACGTCCCTCCTCGGCTCGTTCTACGCCTACCCGACCTTCCGAGAAAAGTTCGGCGTCCACACCGAAGCAAACGGTTATCAAGTCACCTCGAATTGGCAGACGGGTCTCCAGAATGGAACCAACGTCGGCCAGATTCTGGGTTTAGTCTTTGCCGGTCTCATCGCCGATCGCTTCGGCTACAAGAAGACCATGCTGGGCGCCTTGGTTGCCCTGACCGGCTTTATCTTCCTCATGTTCTTTGCCCAGAACATCATCATGTTGCTGATCGGTGAAGTCCTCTGCGGCATCCCATGGGGAGCCTTCCAAACCTTGACAACCACCTACGCCGCCGAAGTCAGTCCCATCGTCCTTCGACCATACCTGACCACCTACGTCAACCTCTGCTGGGTGACAGGCCAGTTCATCTCTGCTGGAATCCTGCGCGGGCTGCTGGGCCGCACGGATCAATGGGGCTGGCGCATTCCTTACGCCATCCAGTGGGTGTGGCCTGTGCCTATTATCATTGGCGTCATTTTCGCTCCAGAGTCTCCGTGGTGGCTCGTCCGAAATGGAAGAACCGAGGACGCGAAACGGTCTCTGAATCGTCTGTCCAGACCCCATATCTCCGATTACGATGCCGACGATGCCGTCGCGTTGATGGTCCTCACCAACGCCAACGAGAAGCTCTCCCGGGAGGGTGTGTCATACTGGGACTGCTTCAAGGGAGTTGATCTCCGCCGCACGGAGATCGTCTGCTGCGTGTGGATGTGTCAAGTCTTCTGTGGTATCTGGTACGGAGGCAACATTGTCTACTTCCTGCAACAAATCAACTTCAGCAATGAACAAGCCTTCAATTTTGGTCTTGGGTTGAACGCCGTCGGCTGGTGTGGCACTATCTGCTCATGGTTCGTGATGCAGCGAGTTGGTCGCCGCAAGCTGTTCGTGTTCGGACTCGGTATCCTGTTCTGTATTTTGATGCTGGTTGGATTCCTCGGTATCCCGAATGGCAAGAATGCAGGAATCAGCTATGCCTCGGCGGCCCTTTTGATGGTTTTCGTCTTCACGTATGATCTGACTGTTGGGCCTGTTACCTACTGTCTTATTTCCGAGATCCCGTCTACTCGTCTTCGGATCAAGAGTACCGTTCTTGCTCGCGACTGCTACAATGTCGCCAGTATCGTCGCCAACTTTTTGAACCCACCTATTCTCAACCCCTTGGCTTGGAATCTGAAAGGCAAGGGTGGCTTTATCTGGGCTCCTCTTTGTCTCATTTGCTTCGTTTGGTCTTTCTTCCGTCTCCCCGAGCCCAAGGGCCGCACTCCGGCTGAGTTGGACATTCTGTTCGAGAAGAAGGTTTCTGCTCGGAAATTCACCGACTTTGAGGTTACGCCGTTCCGATCGGCTAACTTTGAGGTTGTTTCGGATGCTAAGGTTCTTTCTGAGAAGTATTAGTTGTCAGGAAGGGGTTGGCCCCTGGTGTAGTCGACTGGTGGATCATATTGAGCCATGATCGGAATTTACGATTCTGGGAATATGCAAGGATGGGATCGGAATTTGAGAAAGAAACAAGTACACAGCTTCGATAAAAAGAGGAATCTATTACATTTGACATGATCAAGCAAATAAACAATGAATGCTTTATTTTATCGGATCTGAGGTACAAAACTGTCACGAGTGAGGATTTGAAGAGCAGACTTGTATTTTTGAGGACTCGAGTATCAGTTTGCACTTCTACAAATTAATTTCCAACACCTTTTTGAAAACCAAAAAGAGTCAGAGCAACCAAATTATGGAAAGACCAATTCCTTAAAGCGAGTAAAAGCTGTAATGAGGCCCGAAACGTTTCTCAAGTTGGTACAGTTGAGGCATTGAAGGCACTCGATTGATAAATAATACATTCTCAAGTTCAAACTAAGCAAGAACCTCCTCCAACTCATCCTCCTGGCGAGGGTACTCTAGCATTAATGGCATATACTCCATAGAGGTGGGCACCTGTCTCAACCTTTGATGCAGCTGATTCAATCTTTCCGACTTGGGCCCCCCAACCTTGGAGAGAAGCTGCTCAATTGCGATGACCGCATCTAGAGGACTGAAGTGAGATGCCTTGTGGGTAAGGAGGTTTGGCATACAAAGTAACAAGTCCAAAATCGGGTTTGCCACTTGAAGAAGCTTGATCTCCTGTATCCATTTGCAGTTAGTAGTGGTTATTTATTGGGAAAGGAATCTTTAGTGGGGAGGGGGGACAGACCATTCCATATCCGTGGCTACGGACTGATTCAATAGAAACATGAGAAACAGAGGCTAGATAATCCCGCGCAATAGAAAGTGGGTATTCAAATGACAATGGCTCTGTTGAGGTCGCGGATGAAAGCATGAAATGCGAGGCAGAGTATTGCCATAGTAGAGAACGGATCCATGCAGAAGTAGTTAGAATATCCGCATATTGAATCTCGGATCTAAGCTCAAGTCCAGGCTGTTTGACCTCGATACGACGTTGAATCTCCGATATTGAGTTCTTGGAATACGTTTCTGGCGCTGCGATAGCCTTGCTATTAGTGGCAGGGAGGCCCAGAGGGCGTCGGATGTGATGGAAAAGCTGAACGAGGGTGCAGAAGCCAGCGTATAGATCGCCCTGCGGGCTGTTGTGATCAACTTCGGGAAGATTGGGCGTCCTGTATAGAGTAACTGGGAGGTCATGTTGGATGCAGAATGTCCTATCCAAATGAATTAGAATATTCACTCCCCCTAGCAAAGGCTCGTACTAACCTCTCCGTGATGAAAAGAACCCAGTAGCACCGGAGCTCCAATTGCCATTGTTTAGATTGTGTTGCATCAGGCGATGCATGGCGACACAGATGCATCAGATCCGCATAAGTAATAGCTTCACGAAGCGAGATGGTAGCCGGTGTGACCTGATCTTGATTGGCATAGTACATGTGCAGAAACACTGATGTCACCAGAGCTTCGAGGGATGGTGCTTGGTTGTGGCTGTGTTCCAGTCGGACTCGTAGACATTCCTTCGCGAATTCGTGAGCTGTCACAGCCAGACCCTCCGGGCATGGATCCTGTGTAAGCCAGAGTCGGGTTTGTGCCAACGTTGCGGCACACAGGGCTGCTGCCAGAGCATGAGAACTGGGATCGATCTTTTTGTCACCACACAGCTGTGCTTTGAGATCTTCCGCGTCGACTATTGGCCATATGTCATACAAATGCGCCTGGAAGATGTCAAGTACAGTGCAATAGTTGGTGATGGAGATGCGCGAATCGGGGGAGCAGAGTGCCCTCGGGCTCTGAAGTGCCGTCATCTTGCTAGACGGAGGAAGTTGCTGGATTTCCTCAATCTTGCGAGTTGTGGCCGATCGAGGGCCTTTTGGGCCCGGCCTCTTGCGCACTCTCACATAAGTACAGGTTTGACTTCTGGTGAGGCAGGTTAGGCACGGTTGACATCGATCGCATTTCACCCGGCGGATAAAACAGCTATCACAAGGGCTTTCCATCTCTTGGGCGACTCTCAGGAATTACAGCGAGAATTTAATCGTCGACCTCGTTTAGCGCCTCTTCCCCGCGTTTGCCGGATGCTTTTGGCGTCAACGCGGGGATGAACGCCTCCAAAGGCTAAGTGCGAAAGGGGAAATAGGCGACAGGGTGACATGCGAATGCGCCACTATATCGCTGTGTGGCTTATGTTTCAAAGTAATCCTTGTATGAGCGAGAAATGCAGCGAAGTCGTGGAAGTAACACCACGAGATGTGACTGCGACGGCCAAATGTGAACCTTCGAACATTCTTATATGACAAACAATTTGTTTCCTTCCACTCTCACTTCTCATCTTCTTTCTCTTTCAATTCCCACCGCAGTCATGCATCGATACTCATTTCCCCATGAGCCCGTCGCAAACCCTAAGGCCATCGTCGGCGGTACTGGGAAATATCGATTTACTGTGCTGGGAGATGGCCTGCTACGCTACGAGTGGGCTGAAGATGAGCAGTTCGAAGATCGGGCATCGGTACTGGCAATGAATCGATACTTGCCTGTACCCGAGTATCGAGTCAAGGAGGATGAGAATACGCTTCAGATCTTCACCACCCGATTCCACATCACGTACAACAAACAGAAGTTCACCGCGAGTGGCCTCAATGCCATGATCAAGGGCCACTATGGGGCTCATTCCAGCGTCTGGCGATATGGAGCAAAAGCTTCGAATCTTGGCGGCACAGCTCGCACACTCGATGAAGTTGATGGACGCACAGCACTGGAGAACGGGGTCATCTCCAGAGACGGCTACGCGACCTTGGATGACTCCAAATCCATGCTTTTCGATGAGAATCAATGGGTGGCAACTCGGCGCCCAGGCAAACGGGTGGATGGATACCTCTTTGCTTATGGACATGACTATCAGGATGCAATTCAAGCATTCTATCGTCTTTCGGGACCTCAGCCCCTTCTGCCGCGATGGGCACTTGGAAACTGGTGGAGTCGATATCACGCGTACACGGCCGATGAATACCTTCAACTGATGGGAAAATTTGAGGAGAACAAGATCCCACTTTCTGTTGCAGTCCTCGACATGGACTGGCACCTTGTTGATGATGCTCGAGTGAAAGAGGCCGGGGTGACAGGCTGGACTGGATACACATGGAACAAGGAACTATTCCCCGATCCCAAGGCATTTCTTGCAACCCTTCACGAGAAGGGATTGCGCGTGTCTCTGAATGATCACCCTGCAGATGGAGTCCAAGGCTATGAAGAGCCCTATGAAGAGATGGCGCTCGCCTTGAAACATGATACATCGATGCGGGATCCTATCCCATTTGACGTGACAAACAAAGCCTTCCTCGACGCTTTCTTTGATATCTTGCACCGCAAAATTGAAAGAGAAGGTCTTGACTTATGGTGGGTGGACTGGCAACAAGGAGTTCACTCTCGCATCCCAGGCATCGACCCTCTTTGGGTCTTGAATCACTATCACTTCCTTGACAGTGCGCTTGACAACAAGCGACCGCTGACTTTTTCACGATATGCCGGACCGGGGAGCCATCGCTTGCCAATCGGGTTCAGCGGGGACACCTGCATGACATGGGACTCTCTCCGATTCCAGCCCGAGTTCACAGCCACTGCCTCCAACATCGGCTATGGATGGTGGAGTCACGACATTGGCGGCCACTTTCACGGCGAAAGAAGCGAGGAAATGCTGATTCGCTGGGTCCAGCTCGGCGTCTTCTCGCCCATCTTGCGACTGCATTCATCCAACAATGCCTTTAGCCTCAAGGAACCCTGGAACCTCTCCCAGCCATATCGCGACGTGATGACAAGATATCTCAAAATTCGCCATCAACTGGTCCCGTACCTGTACACGATGAACGCGCGCGCAGCTCTCGAGGGCATCCCCCTCGTCCAGCCCATGTATTGGGCTCACCCCGACAAGGAACAAGCCTACAACTTTCCCAATCAGTACATGTTCGGCTCCGAGCTCATCGTTGCTCCCATCACTAGCCCCATTGAACCCACTTCTCAGCGGGCAGAGGTTATCGCCTGGCTTCCTCCGGGTCGCTATGTGGAACTTTCCACTGGCACAGTTTATGATGGAGACCGTCGACTTCGAACTTACCGTTCCATCAAGAAGTGTCCAATCTTCGCACGGGAGGGAGCCATAATTCCCACCGATGGATCTGACGTGCTTCAGAATGGCTGCGAGAACCCTGCCGTGATGGAGGTCGTGGTGGTTGTCGGTGCCGATGGTAAATTCGAGCTGCTGGAAGATGATGGCAAGGGACAATCGGTAGATCAAGTCAAGTTCCGCCGCACCCCGATCTCCTTCAACCAAGAGAATCATCAGTTGACCATTGGTCCCACCAGTGGTGAAGATCAGGACATCCACCCCCGCGAGTGGAAGGTACTCTTCGTCGGGTATAAGCGAAATGTTTCCGCTACGATCTCCGTTGCCACAGTTCCTCCCACCGAGGATCTCACATTGATTGTCGATGGGAGCAATCGTGGGCTTGCTTGTACCTTGGGAACCTTTGCCAGCAATGTTCAAATCACTGTCTCGCTGGAGAAGGATCCTGTCCTTGATTGCCAAAAGACCACGCCCCAGGTCATCAAGTTTCTATACGAGGCTCAGATGAACATGGACTGGAAGAATCTTATTCAAACGGTTGTGGACAACAATAATTCCAGATTGATGCAGCTTAGTGATCTGCATGCTTTCTCCGTCCCTGCCCCGTTGGTTAATCCTATCTATGAGATCCTGCTGGCGGACGCGCGTGGATTTGACTCGTGATAACAATCAGGGCGAGAGAATGACTCCTACTGTAGCATGAATTTGACACATTGATACCTTCCATACTCCATCCTCCATAAGTTAGTTAATGCCCAACAGCTTTTCCCCGTAAGCACATGACCCACAAACCCTCATTCCCGAGGTTCTCCCCAAGTGGACCCCAAATCAAATCCCTCGGTTGAATGTGGAGATGAAATCCAACTGTTCGGTCCAGACCCGACCTCCATACTAACTGTAAAAAGGGTCAGGTAAATAAAGTATTCGAAACAGTTCGGGAGATGTCTTAGCCTCCTCGGTAAAGCCCGTTCCAGATGAACCCGATTCTGGCCTCGGCTCGAGGATCTAACACGATCCTCCGGAGTATCTCCACGCGTCACTCCAACACGTGCCAACGAGAAACAAAGCCCGGAATCAGCTGTGTTGAAGGCCTGAATCAAAGGATGTGGTCGCACAAGTAAGCCATCACACAAACCAACACTTGAAAGACCTTGGACTGAGACTCAGGTGGAACGCGGGTAGTAGAACCGGCTAGTTCAACCCTGCATCCTGCACAATGTGGGATACAGTAGCTTGATTCTGATTATTCTAGAAGCCGCTCGAGTGGAGGAGTACGGCAAACCTGCCCCTTTGGATCAACCCCCGGCAAAGCGGCAAATTGGGGACGGGGGCGGGAATGGGGTTATCTCACCCGTTTGCCCGCTTCGGAGGTCGAGGGTTCCTGACTGGTTTGGGGCAATTTAACCACTCCGGTTAATTTCTCATAATGTTAAAACAAAACAAAAGAAAATATAATTAAAGAAAAAAGAAACCCTACCAACATCCTCCTATCACAACAATGGACTTAACTTAACTCCAGGATATTATCCGAGAGAAAACACCCTGAACAAGATCAGAAACAGGTAAAATGGAGATGAAGGCGGAGATGGACACCCGAAGTATAACCAACCCACCAACCATCAAAATCCATCACCCGCCGATACCGACTCTGGTACTGTACTATAGTCTCTTTTCGCCACCCCTCTACATATCTAGCATGACAGTCGGTACAGTCGGTGAAGTATACAGCACAGCGCTGACGAGAGGATAATCATTGATCATCGGTCCCCGTGAACCCCAGATCCATACCCGATCTCACTGTTGCATCCAACTCGAACAGTGCTGTACTGTAGCAGTCGTAGCTTACCAGCGGCCAGGCGACCCGTCGTACAAAAGATAAAAGATATTTGAGCAGATGGTCAAATCAAGTTAATTTCAAGATTATCCATCCAATAATGTAGCCATGTCTATCCTGTACCCTACTCTACTATACTATACAGTCGCCTCATTCCAAACAAGCTACAGTATCCTCTCCTCCAACCGGCTCATTCAGACCCTTCTGACCCTCTAGGCTGAACTATACTCCAGGCTGAACGGGTGAATAGCACCCGACGCGAGGCGCGGATACGGGTTTCATTCCCAGGGCCAGGACTGTCCTGTGTACTGAACCTTCCAGTCGGGACAGGATACGATTATTCACACCGGTGATCGGGGGGTGGGGGTGGGGGTTTCGACTAGGGCGAGGCTGACGGTGATCATGATCGACCGGCTATTGCATGGGAGTACTGGATGGGATGTGGGATTTGCTCTTGCTATTTTGGGTGGTGCTTGACGGGTTTCGGGTTATATTTGTTTTCTTCTTTTTTTGGTTTTTCAGTTTTTCCTCAGCTTTGTTTTTGGGATTTTGCTTTTGAATTTTGGATTTGTTTGGCGGGGCGCTGGTGGGGAGGGATTTGGTCGGGGTTTGTATTGCGTTGCGTATTAGGTTATGTTGTGTATAGTGTTGGCAGATGTCACTGGTGTGAGTTGGATGTAGATGTACTGGTACTTGCTACAATGGAAGGCTATGCTATGGCGAGGCTGAGAAAGCCACGAGGGGTCTGGAGGGCTCTGGACTGGGATTATTCGACATGGTGTACAGTCAAGGGTGGTCAGGATTTCTAATGCTCGGTTTGGTGCGATGCTGGATTCTTACTTGACTTAACTCTACAGATTGGCAATAGGTATTCAGGATAAATCGTGGCTTGGTTTGAGGCTAACTAAAGTACTAGTTTGACGGCCCAACAGGCAGCACCGCCAGATGAAGATGTGATAGTGGCGGACTTGATCCGTTGATAGAGGTAGAGGCGCTCCCAGCGGAAAGATGGGAAAAACAACCATGAGATAAAAAACAAACGTAGCCAAAATATGGCGAAAGTCGGGACGAAAATGGATAGGAAAGTTACAAGATGGGGTATCTGAACGAGGCGCTCGGAATAACAGGAAAAAATAAAAAAAGATGAAAAGCAAAAAGGCTAAGGGAAACACCGGGAAGATGCGAGAACAGGGTATGATCAAATGACAAGGAAAACGTGAGAAGTGAGTCAGAGTGAAGCAGCGGTGTGAGGTGGTGAAAAGAGGCCAATGTGAAGAAGCGCGTACAGCGACTTATTAGGTAAGCGCGGGGGCTTCGGGGTCCGATAACGCAAGTTCGAGGCCTGCGTCAACGGCGCTGATCTGCACTAAGCAGGAGCAGGTGAGAGAGGTGACATGCGGATCGAGAGGATGATTTGGTGAGGTGGGTGGCCGAAGCCATGGGTGGGCCGAGGTTGAGGGACCATTAAAATATTGGTGGTAATGACAAGATGGTGAAGAGAAGATGTCAAGCAGCGCCAGCACTGCGGTTTCTCGGTGAATTCAGGCAGAGAGCACCTTGGAAGCCGAGTGAGCGCGTCGCTTCGGGCTAGGAGCTGCCCGACGCTTCTTGCGCTTTGTGAGGTCGCGCTCGTTGACATTCACCATCGGGGTCACGTTCACCTTGGCCAGGCGCAAGGCATGTGTTGCGCGAGCGTGGGCATCGACGCGCGCGAGGAAGTTGGCGCGGGCCTCTTCCTCGGCCGCTGCGGCGCGAATGCGCTGGAGCTGTTGCTCCAGGGTGATGGAGTGGGCGAGTTCGGCATCGATGTTGGCTGCCTCCTCTACTGCTTGCTCGGTTCCCGCGTTCTCGGGCATCCACAGCAGGTCGTCGTCTGTGAGGTAGGAGCTTGCGTTAGAGTCGGTTGAGTCGTTGCTGGAGAGCGATGGTCTGTTGGGCCAGGATGGGAAGGCGTAGGCCGCGCCCATTTCACTGGAGAATGACGACTTGCGTGGGTGAATGTCGAGCAGAGAGTCGCATGGTGTTGGTGGAGGCGCGAATGGGTTGGACATGGGAGATGACTCGAACGAGCTGCCACTCCAGTTGAAGGTGACCTGAGCCGGATCGGTGCTGGCCACGGGTGCCGCGGCCTTTGGTAGCGACATGTCGCGCAGGCGAGTTTGAATGGGAATCATGGTGAGTCGAGAGAGTAGAGCGTGGAGAGTGGAGAGTGGAGAGTTGAGAGGAACCAAATCGGCCCTTGTCCAGGACAGCTGAAGTTGCAGGTGATCTCAAGATGAAGAAGAAATCAAAGAAAAGCGAGGGTGGAGCGAGTTCAAGTATCAAAGCCGGGGAAGACTTCTAGACCCGAGACAAAGATAATCAATAAGTCCCAAACAGGCAATTCGATATTTCAATATTCAATAATTCCCAATCTGGAATAATTTAAATCCAAAAAAGATCAAAAAAAGATCAAAAAAATCAAAAAAAAAAAAATCCGGCGGAAGTCGCCTTCCGCAGTCCCAAAGCCGATCTGATCGCCTCGATGTATCAACTCTCTTCTACTTCTCGCGGGGAACTTCGGATTCTCTTTGACAGCTTTCTGACACAGAATTTGGACTGGTTTGGGATTTGATTTGGTTTTGCTTTTGCTTTTGCTGCTGCATTTGCATTCTGTTCATAGACCTGGGGTATGAGTATCTGGAGTATCTGGAGTACCTGGGCATCCCCCTTACGGCCTAAACGGAATATTCCCGAAAGGGCAGCTCAAGCTCCCGATCAACAGATTGTTTTGCGGTGTAAGGGAAAATCATCGGTTTGGATGGCGATCTCCCAATCAAGCCCTACATTCACCGCTCAGAGAAGAAAGTACGGGCGACTATGCATATCAAAGCCGGTCGAAACTGGAATTGTACCCTGAATGCTGTCTAAACGGCGTCTGGCGGTCAAGTTGGGGGGTATCAACACGCCAACGGGTCAACCTGTCAACACGTCAACACCGTTCTTTGTGATTGTTGAACTATTGTTTGGAAGGATTTTAGGCAAATGAGACGGACGTGTTAGTGCCGGGACTAGATCGTCGTGAAAGAAAACGGACAAGCAACGGTTTCCGCCGAGGATATTCCCCCGTTTCCTCCGTCTCCCTTCCATCGCCACGGATAAATCCAGTCCCCCCCGATGGTTCTGCCAAAGGGATCGTTCTAAAGAAATTCCCCAATCCCTGACTCCCCTCCCACCTCCCAGGGTAAAAAAAAGAAATAGCTGATTCCCGGAAAAAATCTCTTCAGGTCTGTAGAATTTTCGCACAAATCAGCAATGTCCACTCTCAACTCTCTAGACCGGCCTACGGGGCCAGATCAGCCAGGCCTAGACTCCGAACAAAGACATTTCCCATCTCTTGCGCTCACATCCACACTGTATATCACTTTCTTTCATCGGTTGCATATGACTTGCTTCCGGCCTGCAACGTCCTTTCCCCCGACAAGCCAAGTGGGGATCCCACCACCCTGGATTGTCCCCCTTTTAAAGCCCAAAGATCGTCTCTCTGCATCATATAAGGGATGAGACTTGGTACCCAATCACTGGGGCCCAATTTCACTTCAATGCAGCCTGGAATATGGAATACGGAATACCTGTGAGTTCATACGCCGCCTACGTCCTCAGACACCATTACTCCATAATTGATGCATCCGCGCCCCGGCCCGTCGGGGAACCAGGAAAGGAGGTGCTGTGGAGATGGAAGGAGGAAGGTAAATATCAACTGTAACAGTAGCAGTGCTGTAGTCAATCTCTGACTCGTCGATGGATCCAACGTCGACCTGACAGCCTCCTTCTGTACTTCTGTTCCCCCCCCCCCCCCGTCCTACTGACCTTCTGCAGTATACCAGTCGTGCGGAACACTACTTCCAAGTGACAGGTTCGACTGTCAACTCAAATAGCTGGGGATCAAGCCGGACAGAGTTCTCGATCGCATCTACTAGGTAACGCGGAACCCGCAACCCCCTTTCCGGTCCCAGGTACTCGGTGTTTCAATGGGCAACGCGTGCTCTCGTCCCTGGGATCCCGCCCCCTGGGTTTGTGGAGAACGGGATATTGTCATCGTTCCGCGGTGGTGGATTGAGTGGGACCTTTGCGCCGGGAGAGGAAGGTCAATTTCCGGCTAGATATACTGTACTATAGGATTGTCGATTGGGCATCAAGGGTGTAGTTGTTTTGTTATTGTTTTAGGTACAAAGGGGGAGGGGGGAAGGTATAGTTGGATGAACCGAGATAGGGTTGTTCGGATCGTGCGCGAGGAACTTTCTCCTTGACAGTAAAGTCATGTCGAGCAGTTACTGTATAACAGACATCGAGAATGACTGCTGGGTCTGCTCTCACTGGCTTCTGGCTCTGGCTGGCTCTGGCTTTGGCTTCTGGCTCTGGCTTTGGCTTCTGGCTCTGGACTTTGGTCTCGCATTGGAGCACGGATCCTCACTTCCAGCCATTCCAGGGTTTCCCTGCACCTGCGTCTGCAGCTCTCATGCGAGATCTCCGAACTAAAATCGCAAGGATACAGACGGTCGGGTCTGCATAATCGGAAGGGGAGATGTCCATTATTGAATAGATTGCTGGATACGGCAGATCTCAAATTTGCTAGTCGGATGGCTATCATCCGAGGCTGTGCAAGAGCTATAGTACTGTACAGCAACTGTACAGTAGCAGCTTTCGATAGACCTATAATATGAATGTGATTAGATCAGATCCCATTTGCCACCTCCGCTCCCCATCGAGAATCTCGATCAGATGCATTCAGCGAGAGAACAATGTACATGTACTTTTACTGTATGTATGTAAGCTCCATTCGAGCGAAACATACATCTACTTTGCCCCATGGGGGAGGACGACTGCGCAGCATCAGCCCCACCGAAGATCAAAGCTGAAGAATGTGAGCCGACCCCAAGTACAGCAAGAACATGACCGATGAACTCATAGCTGCAACTGTAAACTATGAAAGTTGCAGTTGCAGTGTGAGTAACCCAAACTGCCCCCCGGGCGCCCCGGGGGGCCCAGAGGCCCCTCCGCAGCCTCGGCTGCATCGATCGACAAGGATGGGATGACGGCGGTGGAGAGGCGTTCACGTTCAGTGCACCGAAGACGTGTCTTGGAGGCGTGAATGGCTGATTGATGTGTGCATTCCTGTGTTTATCACCCCCTGATTCATCGCGACGAGGAGCACAGATGACACGGTCGTAAGCCGCTTGACTCATACTGTACGTGAAGGGTTGGACTTGGGTTGCTTATTGGGTGGGTTTGGTTGTGTTCAGTTTCTCGCTGCTGACCTATGGTGGTTTGGTGTTTGATGGAAGCTTACTTCCGGAGGGTAGACGCGTTGACCGATATTTGCGATCGGACATTATGCAGCTATGTTTGGTGGTTGAGGGCGCTAAGGTGCTTTGTACTGTGGACTTTGGATGCTGTCGAGTAGACTCTACAGTATGCAGCATCCCATGCTAAATACAATCACAATCACAATCACAATCTTGTTCGAGAATGCTTCTTCACCGTCTCTGCATGTGTGAAGCCGACATGTGGATGTAGTAGCCCGGGCCTGGCAATCAAGCAGACGATGTGTCTCGGTGATTGTTTGACTTGCCTAATCGAATCTATCTGGTGATATTGGTCCTCTTATCCGTTGTTGTATAGAATGCGTAGATCTACCCTTCCGTGGGGCAAGTTATACATCTACAGTTAACACGGGCGCTGGAATCCTTAGGGCGTATTCGATGTTTCAGTTTGATCTGACCAGAAGTTCCGCGCTCTACGCCCCTTGTTGAAACGGTCATATTGTGTTTGAAACAGCAACATCCTAGATGCATAGGCAGAGAAAATATCCTCTCCTCGGCTAGAGAACAACGTCTGGACTGTTAAATCTGTCATGCAATAACCCTACTAGTGAATGACATGAGTGGACGCGGACTGCGTGATTTGCATCCCCGATATGCGGTCGGAAGAATGGCAACTGGCGGTGAATTGTGGTATGTTCCTATTCCATCCAAAGTAGGAACTGGCTTGCGCTTGGATGTTTGCCAGATGAGATGGCTTAAAGTCGGTGTCTGCTGGCAAGTTTGTCGCTGGTCTAGATGAGTCTTTCGATTCTCTCTATCTTTTGCTATCTGTCGGCAAAGCCGTTAGTGTGTGGCAAGCTTCTTCATGCTGATAACGCGGGCTCGATGTTTATTTGGGTGCCGCCACTCAGCAGCCCTGCCATTGTACATGTTATAAGCACAACCTTACTGTATAGTGTGCAGAGCACCACTCTATGATATACATATCCTTACATGAACTCCTCACGTTTTCCTGTCAATAATCTCAAGAATGAGAGAGAATGTTGCGACAGGAGCGGGGTACAGGCCTCTTATCACAGACTAAGCTCAACATTCCCCAGTTCCGAGGGCTAACGCGTCCACTTATCGGAAACTCCGCCCTAGAAGAGGCACAGAGTAGTAATAAAAGCCCTTGTATTCTCTAGAGCCGATGGTAGAGCATTCTCACAAATTGCGACAAGTATGGCTTCTAAGTCTCCGGCCACCGAGATTAAACCCGCGATCATTGATGGCGAGGAAATAGATGAAGGCCAAGTTTTCAAGACCGAAAATGACACTAGCAAGAGCAATGATGATAATGAGAATGTTGAATTTGACTATGAATCAAATCGGTCGCCATTTCCCGAGGGTAGGTTGCAATTCGTTATGTGACGGTTGATCTATATATCACCACCCTGCTAACGTCACCAAGTTAGGGCTGTTGTCCCCGAAACGGACGACCCAGGTCTTCCAGTGAACACAGTTCGCATGTGGCTACTGGGAATCATATTTACAATCCTCGGCTCTGGAGTCAACCAATTCTTCTCACTTCGCTACCCCAGCGTCCACATTGTATCCCTAGTGGCAGAGCTACTAGCTTACCCATGCGGCGTCTTCCTAGCAAAGACCCTCCCAACAACCCCAATCAAACTCGGCCCACTGGGCACATTCACTTTGAATCCGGATCGTACCTTCAACATCAAAGAGCACACAGTCATCGTGATAATGAGCAACGTCTCCTTCGGCTACGGAAGCGCAGACTCAACAAACATAATCCAAGCCTCAAGCAAATCCTTCTACAATTTCGGCTTGAAAGCCGGATTTGATGTATTAATCGTCCTCTGCGCCCAGCTCCTCGGCTTCGGAGTCGCAGGCCTAGCCGCCCCATGGCTCGTCGAGCCAGCAAGCATAATCTGGCCAGGCGTGCTATCAAATTGCGCAATGCTCGAAACCCTACACTCACGCGCGAACTACATAGCAGACGGCTGGCGAATCACCCGACTACGCTTCTTCCTCTACGTCACAGCCGGAGGCTTCATCTGGTATTTCTTCCCAGGACTGATGTTCACAGCCCTGAGCTACTTCACCTGGGTATGTTGGATCGCACCCAAGAACGTCATCGTCAACCAGCTCTTCGGCATGCAAACCGGTCTCGGCTTGAGTCCAATTACCTTTGACTGGAGCCAGGTGGCATACAACACAAACCCGCTCCTGTCGCCGTCTTGGGCGGCATTGAACGTCTTCTTCGGATTCGCCTTCTTCTACTGGATCGTCGTGCCGGCACTGTACTACACGAACGTCTGGTTCACGGCGTATCTGCCGCTCATGACGAGCGATGTCTACGACAGAACAGGCGCCGTGTACGACACCGCGCGAGTCATCGCAGCCGATAACAGTCTGGACGTCGCTGCATACCGGCAATACTCGCCCCCCTTCCTAGGCGCCACATTCGCTTTCGTGTATGGTCTCTCCTTCGCCGCAATCACGTCCGTGTTAACCCACATTGGTTTCTGGCATGCGAAAGATCTCTGGGCGGCGCTGCACGGCCGCAACAGACTAGATATCCATGCGCGTCTTGTCCGCGCCTCATACAGATCAACACCGTGGTATTGGTACGCGGGAATCATCGTCGTGATTACTGCCATCGCCATTGCTGTCGTCGAGGTCTACCACACCCATCTACCTGTCTACGGTGTCTTCCTTGCACTCGTCATCCCGGTCGTGTATATGATCCCCTGCGGTATCGTGCAAGGAATAACGAACGTTGACGCAAACCAGCTGAATGTCCTGTCTGAGTTCATGGGTGGATACCTGTTTGAAGGCCGGCCGCTTGCGAATATGATTTTTAAGATTCTTTCAACGGACGTCGTTGGACAGGGCGTTTACTTCGCCATGGATATGAAATTGGCGCATTATATGAAAGTCCCGCCTAGGACTACTTTTGTCGCGCAAGGGGTTGCTACTATCCTTGGTGCTCTTACTCAGACAGGCGTCACCCTTTGGATGCTTTCGAATATCTCGGGCATCTGTGAATCAGATCAGTCGGATGGGTTTTCGTGTCCGAATGGCCGCACTGTCTATTCTTCGTCTGTGATTTGGGGACTTGTCGGTCCGCGTAGGTTGTATTCTGCCGGCAAGATTTATTCCTCTCTGTTGCATTTCTTCTGGATTGGAGCTGTGGCGCCTGTTGTCACGTGGGCGTTGTATAAGTATACGCGTCGCGATTTCTTCAAGTGGATTAATTGGCCGTTGATTTTCGTGGGGACTGCGAATGTTCCTCCTGGTAAGCTATGTGACATCGGTTCTTGTTTGTGCATCATTGCTAATCTCAGCTTTCTTTAGCCACTGGAATTAATTATTCAAGCTGGGCGCTTGTCAACTTCGTGTTCAACTATGTCTTCCAACGGAGGTACTTTGCCTGGTGGACAAAGTACAACTATGTTTTGGCTGCCGCTCTTGATACGGGTCTTGCGCTCAGTGGTATAGTCATCTTCTTCTGCATTTCGTACCCTGGTGCTCAATTCCCATCGTGGTGGGGAAATACGGTGTATCTCAACACTGCTGACGGTCAGGGTGTGGCCTACATGGCCATGCCTGAATCGGGGTATTTTGGGCCAGCTAATGGCACTTGGAGCTAGACTAAGATGCTGTCGTTCTTTTGTTTGTTTCATACCCAGGTGTCAAATGCTAATATTGAATGGAAGGCTTTTACTAGCTGTGCTAAGGTAGGGGTCCAATCAAGTATTCAAGGCAGCCTATTACAACTGACCACTAGTCTGAATGAGAACTGTGTATAACTTGGAATGCATCAAATCAGCGATAGATGTATTAATGGAAATAATTTTCTTTTTCTATGAGATGCAATAGTGCGTTTAGGCACTCTTGTTGTTAATCTTGAGAAGCTCGACCTCGCTGCGAAGTAGTCAGCCTCCTGAAAGTAAGTGATGCAAGCGATGAGACTCACAAGATAAGAGTAGAGTTAGCAGGAATCTTGCCAGAGGCCCTGTGTAGAACAAGAATGTTAGCACATTACTGAAGGTATATGGAAAGTTATAAAGGTCATCAGATATCACGCAACCACATACTTATCGCCGTAGCCGTAGTCGCTAGAAGAAGGTCAGTTATTGTCTGTTTTGCCATTCAATAAATCATGCACTCACGGGGAAATAGTCAAAGTGGACTTCTCGCCGAGGGTCATCTGCATGACACCCTCATCCCAGCCTACAGCACGCAAATGAAATCAGCAATTGATTCGTGACGCAAGGCAGCAAGTCAAAAAAAGACTTCTAAATATAATCTGATCGGAGTAAAAAAAGCAAAGAAGGGAAAATGATTACCCTTAATGACCTGTCCGACACCAATCTGGACATTCAAAGCGCCACGACCAGGGGATCGGGAGCTATCAAATCTGCAGACATGGATTAGTATTCCAAATACACACGCAATAAGCCCAGTAGATAGGGCATGTGAAGTCCAGCTTACTGCTTGCCCTGGAAGCCCTTGTTGGACTTCTTAGCATCGTAAAGCCACCCGGTGTAGTGGATGGTGACCTTGTCGCCTGATGCAGGCGAGTCAGAGCCGGTTCCGCGGGTGATGATCTTTCTCTCGACACCCATTTTGAAGTCTGTTGATAGTTGAGAAGAGGGAGGTCGAGAGGCGATTATTTTTTGAGGTGGGGGGAAGTGGCGGATGCGGCTAGCCCGCACCGTAGTATAGATGCGCTTTTATGTATGGCACACCGCGACTTTAGGTTGGCATATATCGGTATCGTATTCATAACCTGCCCTTTTTTTATATCCAAAATACAGGTGGTACGTTGAGCGCTGAAAAGCAGGTTTGACCACATTTCAAGTGCCCTTTAGGGATCTTCGTGAATACATCACGTGACTGTTTCTGTCTACTTACCATAGAAGGATCCTGTTGTTCATAGAGTAAATGTCTACTTTTAAAGTAGTATTGCTTTCTATTCTCGCCCTGGAGCCAGTTAGCGACTGGGTTGCGGAGGAAGATAGGATGGTCGGTTGTCTTTCAACCCCAGTGATCGATGACAGGCCTACGTTAAGTAGACTTTACATTGAATTATTCGAAAAAAAAATAGTAAATGTTTAGGATATATATTATATATACAGAGATCTATTACGGTCGAGCTTGTTATCGTTGGCAATACAGCGTCTTCAAAGCTGATCAACTTCCAAGGCAGATCTTACCTTTCCCCTATATCACGACTGAGGCTCTTTGAAGTGATGTATGACTTATACAGGTATAGAGCTGGAGAATAGACTAGCATTATGTTCACTATACTAAGCACCTAAGAAGAAGAAAGTGAAGAACGAGAAGAAGACGAATCCGAGCATGAACCACAGCACGGAACAAGTGGCATAGCAGAACAAGGTCGAAGAACCCATCGTCGATCAACCCCAACCCCATGAATAGGAATAAAAGAGTGATTTACCTTCTTCCTCCCCATTTCAACCGCACACTCCCCAAACACCCCTCCAAGTCGACGATCCAATTTGCTCTCTTTATGCACTCGATCTTCGCCCTGAAACAGCTTCTGCCTCCTCTCCGATACAATCACCAAATCACAATCAAAGTCATTTAAATACATCGACGCCACCTCCAGCCGGAGACTGTCCCAATCGATATTATCTGGGATCCATTCTTGCACGGGCTGCAGTGTACCCGGCTCATAAACCCATTTGGGCGCCCAAATCTCGAAATTGAGAGGCATTCGAATCCGAGATCGTCCGCTCCATAGGATCCATTTGTTGCGTGTTGGGATGAGAGTACTGCGTCCTTCCAACAGAGTCAAAACATGACACATGCGCAGAACGTCGCTGTCGGGATTGACATTTAGTTTCGTGAATTCTGAGTCTGACCGTCTGATAATCTCCAAAACTCCAATAGATGAGCTTGGAGGTTGCTGGAGCAGCATTTGTTTCCAGCTTGCCTCTTGTCGGAGGAAGGCTTTCGCTTTCTGGCGATCGCTATTTCGCATTGGAAATCTGCTGACATCGACTGCTTCCGATTCTGAGTTTTCTTGTTGCTTGAGGAAGAATTGGGCCCACAGGATTTCTTCTAGGAGGGGATTTCGTTGGCGTGGGACGCTTTCTGTGGCTTTGGATTTGCGTGCTTTGAAGAAGAGGGCTTCTTGGACTTTGACTGATGTCTTTATCATGTTGTTCCATGTTCGACATACGCGTTGGCCGGATGTGAGGAGTGTGCGTATGTCTGTGTGTAGAAGGATGTTTTCTAAGAGCTCATTGATGAGGAAGATGTCGTGGGGTTGGGGTTGTGAAGGGCTTGTGATAGACATTGTGAAATAATCTTCGAATTTGAATGATTAACTGTTTCGAGTATTAGTATGGGAAATTAGAGTCATTTTAAACGCGCCATGATGTGGTCATACTATGCGTTGATCAGATAGTAGCTGAGGACCCTGGTGCGGGAGCTGTGGTGGATCTATACAGAGTCCTATCCAACACTTAGACAGGAGCAGCACAGTTCAACAGGCTATTGGGAAGAATTTGTAAAAGTCCCGACGTACAAGAAATCAACAAGAAATTCAAGAAACTAATACAGCAAAAAGATTCAACCTTTGAGAATGAGTACCTCGGAGCAGTCTTATACGATTGTTGGCCACAAGGTACTTGGTGAGGTGATTTCCGGCCACGATGCGCCGGGGTCGGTTTCAACAAGGTACTATTTCACAGTGTCCATAAGTGGGGATTGATCCCCAAAATCCAGCAATTGGCGTGGATTGACGTTCCAGGGACAACGGACTTGCGGCTTCGTTGACCTGGAAGCTATAATATAACTCTAGCGAACTTAAGGCATATGTGATAAATAGAAGAAAATGTTCAATCAATTCTCTCCTTGAAGGAGGACCCGTAAAATTACAAACACTCATACAAATGCTCCTAGACACGGTGAAGTGTAAGGTAAACGCCGCAAATTGAAATTGCTACCGGGTATCATGATGCAGTGGTCGGCTATATGGCACGACAATGCTGGTAAAGCAGGAAAACAAGAGGTTGGAATACAATGAGGCAGGGGCATCATGCAGTAATCATCGAAAGCGAATCAAGTTCTTCTGTGGGGGTATCGTCGGCTGAAGGCTTTAAAGGAATGTCATTAAACGTCACATCTTCCGTTGGGAGTGAGACGCTTGTCGCACGAGAGGTGCATGATCCGAAGTCGGTGACGGTGGATGGAGCGGAGAGGTCTTCGGACATGGTGTAGTTCGAAATTGATTCAGCATTCTCGATTTGAACAGATTCAACATTCTCGAACGGGACTCCTTCTGTGGTGGGAGTCGGAGGAAGTTGGATTTCAAGGGAATCATCCAGCGCTTCGTAGAAGAGCATGAAGGCACCTCCTTGCGACATGACATGACCTTCGCTGACCATTGTCACATCGCCGTCACTTAGCTGGTACCAACGCTCGGACTTTTCCTCGTCGCCATCAGATTGGAGAATGTGGTCCGGGACGGGAGCTGAGAAATCCGAGGTTGCATATTTACGGTAGCAGATATAGTGTCCGTTCTCGTGGCGGCCATAATGTGTGACAATGGATCGAAGTATGTACCGTCGGCTGGGGACTTGAATAGCTTCGCCGGGTTGGGGAAGCATTGACTTCGAAGGGTTGCTTTCCCATTGCTCGGGGGCCTCATCAGACTGATTCTGCGTGCCAAGGCACCAGTCGTTCAGGTCAATTAGTTGCGGGAATCTCACAGCAGCGTGGTTCTTTGTCAACATTCCAGTGTTTTCGTCAAAGAGACTGCGGTTGATGTGAACAGCAAGGCATTGAGGGGATCGAGCAATGACCGCCTGCCGGGATTTAGTCGTAGAAACTCGGTTCTTCGCGGGGATACGGCAATCTTTTAATGTGGTATCGCTGATATCATTACCCTCCAGCGCTGCTTTCACAGCCTCAAGGCGCGACAGAGTATCGGCTTTCAGTGCATCGGCAAACTGAGACTTCTCGATACCAGGCGATTGCTTCTCGTCCTCTTCAATTCCAGCAAACATTTCGGAAAGTTTCTGGTGATATTGCATCAATGTGCACTTCGCGCATTCAACCCCATCGATGGGCTCAAGCGTCATGTATTGATCCAGACAATCCGCCAGGTCGTATTCAGATCTTGGCCCCAGAGGAACTGTGAGACAGTTAAAAGGAATTAAAGAAAGGCCTTCTGTCCATCCGCATTCCATGCACCCGACCCGTTGAGCAAGTAGGCCCTCAAGAGGATTCCGATATGATGCCTTGTTACTTGCGCGAGCTCCAGAGTCGAATCCCTCCGAAGCAGACATTTCGAAATTGGTGTCGCATACGATATTTTCCTCCCGTCCTGTGATCTTCAGTCCCATGTTCGATGTCGCTCCCTGTGAACCAAGCTGAACCTCCAAATCGATTTGATCCACCAGCTTGGAGAAGTACTCTTGCGCATCCTGTTGTTGCCAACTGCTCATAGACTTGAGATCTCCGGGGATCCAAAGCTTTGTTCCACCATTCGAAGGGTTATTTAAACATGTGATGATATCTCTCAGCGCCTCGTGTTTCGAAAGATGGGTCTTGTCCGAGAGCGTTTCGACATTGCGCATAAGAAAAGCCTCAAGTAAACGCAGTGATGCCAGGCTCTGAATAATGCTATTTTGGTAGCATGAGTTGTCCCAGTTTCCGAGCCCCGGGGGCTTGGCCTCCTTCGCATTTCCGAGCAGAGCGTTGCCGAGGCCGGTCAAGGAGTGGCGGCGTAGTGAGAAAGCGAAATGGGAGGTATCTATGCCGAAGACTCGTTGCATTGCGGCGTTCTTCTTCTCAAAGGATGACAGAGAAGACCCCAAGGGGGGATTTGATTCGGAGTCGGGCTTGCCAGGGTCTAATGCGACAATGAGTTTGGACGGAGTGATGTAAACCAGGCCCTTCCAGGAAAGTCGGAGGATCGATATCGGGGCGAATCCGAAGTAATCGAGAACTAAATAGAACGAAGCGAAAGCTATCAAACTAGTTGCTAGCACTTGGGTGTTTCGAAGCGCTGCGAGAGCGGTCTCATAGTGGCTGACTTGGCTTGCGTAATGTATGGGGCGATTTGGAAAATAAGTAGAGGGCTCGTGGCGAGGGTTCATTGTTGTTTGAACAATCTGGTCTGCCACCGCCAGTAGAAAGCTGAGTGAACATAAATGGGAGGTGTTGCAAAACAAATACTGCGTGGGTGAAAAGCAACATGGTATAACAAGTTGCGCGACTGGTCGTTATGAGCAGCCGTAAACTTTTTTTATCGATAGCGGGCTCCCCACGCAACTGATAATTTTCCCAAAACAACCATGGCGAAGAGCAGACGTAAGTTTTCGAGTCCGTCTCTCAGTTCGAGTTGTCTAACATGTTTTTACAGAACAGTCAACCCGTTCGCGTGCGGCACGCCGTGCAGCTTCACCCAGTCTCGACTTGGATAAGTCTGTAACCTCGCTGCCTCGTGCGGAATCTCCTGCTGCTCAGCGGGCCTCCGTTCTGACCGATCGTCGCAATTCGGGAATCCAGAAAAAGAATAAGAATGACAAGAAACTCTCAAAGGCTCAGCGATTAAGGCAACAGAAGGGCATGGACCGTGCGGAGGCAGTCCTAGACCAGATGGAGATTAAGAAGGCTAAGAGTATGGCCCGCGGAAGGGCTGTCAATACTAGAAGGGTATGTATTACATTGTCTGCTTTCTGCCTACACGTGCTCACAATTCCTAGGCTGATTGGGAGGATACCAACCGCACCGCTTCTGCATTCGCCGCTCTCCAACAAGGAGAGAACGATGATGATGATGAGGACGAGGCCGAAGATGGCGATGAAGCTATGGCTGAGGATACCGCACCACCCGCCAAGGCTGTTGCTAGTACAAATGTCTTCCAGATGACAGAGGAAGCCTCCGCACCCGCCACAGACGACTTTGACGAGATTACCTGAACATCGTCAGACCCTGGGCGGTACCAAGAGCAAGTTGGATATTCTCTGCGCTCATTTCCTCGGCCTTAGCTGGTTGATCATGCGCTCGATCTCAGTGGCTGCAGGACCAGAGGCTTTCGTTCGAAGGAGTTCCAAGGCATTGAGGTCTTTGCTCTTTTGGGCCTCTTCGCCCGCCCTCACAATCATTCCGCATTTCATCCACATCTCAATTCGCTCGGCGGCCGGTAGGTGGGTGCACTTCGGGACGAAGACCGAAGCAAGTTTTGTGTTTCCGGCACCCAAAATCTCGTTGTAGAAGGGCTGTCTTGTGAGCATTTGTCTAGATAGTGGGATTTGGATTTTCTTACCTCCCAACCAATTGGGGATTTTTTGGTCTTAGCGATCTCTTCCAGCTCACCCCAATCACGTTTGGCCACCAAAGCTCTCAATCTCAACCACCAAAATGTCTTTTCGGGCATTTTGAATTCACTCTGGATCTTCTGTGCTCTTTTAGCGTAACCACCTCGAACGAGTCTGTAGACTGTCTCGTTGAGGCTAAGACCGAGGAATTCACTATGATCTGCCAGGTCCTTATCCAGCGCGTCCTGTGCTTTCAGGAGCTGAGAGGCCTCAGAGACCAATTTCTGATGTAGCACCACCGTTGGCTCCTTCGAATCCGATAGAAGGCGAGATGCCAGGTGAAGCTTATCGGTTTGATATGTCAAATCCGCATCCCGTAAGGCTTCCGTTAATAAAACATTTGCACCGTCAATAGCTCGGTCATCTTGGTAGAAGAGATCTTTGAGCAGTTCCACATCTTCACCCCGTGCTGCTGTCTCTACGAGTGCAGAGGCCACAGGCCGGGTGTTGATCATGCGGAAGAAGCTCGCCAGAGGAAGTTTGGTCTTGAGATGCAGAAGCACGAAATTGACGAGATCATCATCGCCACTCTCGATAGCCTTGTCAAGAGCTAATTCATCCTCTTCCATCTTAAGAAGCAATGGAACTTGCTTGCCGCCTCGTGGCTCGTGATTCAACAGCTGCGTTGCTAGATGCGACCGACCCTCGTCGTAAGCAGCCTGAGCGATAGCTTCAAAAGAAATTCCCGGCTTGTTTTCGAGCCTTTTCACAATTAGCTTGCAGACAGCCTCGTCATCGACCGTCGAGACTTTGACTTTCTGGCTTGCCCAGTGGACATAAATCTTGTCAGCTGGGATCTGCATGTATTCAGAAACCCGAATCGCAAGTAAGTACTCATGTCGGCTGATCAGTCGTTCTATCAGGCCCTCTGGTGATAGGCGTAGATACTGCTCGTAGGACAGTGGTAAGCCAATCTTGTAATCTCTCAGCGCGTTCATAACTCGCAGCTTTTCCGTCATTTCTACGAACTCGTCGCTGTTATAGAGTTCGAGTACTGATTTTCCAAATGAGGCAGCTTTAAGTAAACGCTTCTGCCAGTAAGCATCGAATTCTTGTCCCGCTGCTTTGATACATGTGTCCACTGCAGATGGTAGACTTGATCGGATTCTTTGAATGTTTTCGTCGGCTTTGGATGATTTCTTCTCCAGCTGATCCACTGAATCCAGCAGTACTGAAGCAGGAGAAGTTGAACCTAGGCGAAATATCTCTTCGGTGACGCCAGCAACCTTGTGTAGGAACTCGCACGTATCATTCGTGAGAAGACGTACTCCATCAAACTCGGGTATAACATGAACACGACCGTCATAATAGTATCTGTCGTAATTAGACTTTGCAGCAGCGTTAAGCTAGACGAGTAACTCACTTTGATGCAGCCCCATTTGGCCCGACAAGATGAATTTCGTCTTCCCAGGCAAGAACTACTGCGTCATCGCCACACCAATCCACCGTGCTTGGAGGGACGCGAGATTTGGAGTCATATTCGCTGAATTTATTTTGGAAGTCATTACTGACAACCCATAACTTCCCTTCAGCAGTGAAGAGTGCGACGAATCGCCCAGTGGGAGACACACTAATGTGTTTGAAAGGGCCGTCTTGTAGGATTTTGTCTTCTGCTTCTGTAGAATCGACGGAGAAGACTGTCTTGTCAACAGCCAGAAGAACCTCAACGGAGCGAGATAGGGTTTGGCCTGGTGGAATTAAGGCCCAAGATGATACCTCTCCTTCTGGACAAGGCGCCAAGAGCCGCGGACGCGGTTCGTCATACTTAGACACCGCGATCAATTGATTGTTGGCGAGTAATGCCACGAGGCCCGATGACCAGAACTGGCAGGCTCTCACGCCATATTCTTCAGCGCCCTTAACAAAGTCAGTGTTTGTACTTGTATACTACATCTGATAACTCACATTCCCAAGCGAGAACGAAGTAAACTCGCCGTCCAGGCCAAAGTAACGGCGTACGGTGCCATCCTCAGAGACAACCAGAAGCTCTTCCTTGTCGGACCAGCCTAATCCGCGGATAGTAGCTTGCTCCCACTATGTCCTAGTTAGCTCAATCGCGACAAGATCAAAGCGATCTGTACAAACATTAATGCGATTAATCTGCTGTCCAGATGAAGAATAAATGTCGATCGTGGATCGCGAAGAGCCCGCGTCGCGCAGCCTAAACGGCTTGCTTTCATCACGATATATCGCTAACAGTCTCTCGATTAGTTCTCATCTCAAAATCAACCATTGCACTCTTACCAATAGCGCCGCCGTAAGGGGCGCCTGCCGCGATGTAGTTCTCCAATTCCACGTCTTCTTCAAAGATGGCGTCGTAGACGGCGATCTTGCGATAGAAGCTGTCTCCAATCTTCTCCCAGTTTGCGAGAGGATTGGAAGGCGCCATGGTGAAGGAGCCGATGATAGACTTGATCTCTCTCCCCGATGTTGAGCTGTTGATGCTCGAGCGGGCGGGCATTCGGGGAAGCTATCAGGCGCTAACCCCGATTAGGATATATCGGCCTTGTTTGTCGGGCATCAATATCCCTCAAATGTCCTCCCGTCGTTTCCAGGCCTCTTTCGTCCGCATTGATTCTGCAGCATGGAGGATCCAGGACTTGATGAAATTGCTGGTCAATTATCCGACCTGGAAGTGGCACTTCTTCTGTGTCTGGCTGCTCGTGAGCATTGCCTGATCGAGACCACCAGTCATGGTATTCATGACCTCGCCAAGGAACTTGCCTTGGTAAGTTGTAAATGTCGACAACATATCACTCTAGCTTATTGAATTCAGATTGCCACGTCTACTTTTAATTATACCTATTGCATTGTCGATTGCTCCTCGGCAACATCTATTGACGATATCACCAATGAGGTTCTTACTCCTGATGCTCGTACACATTACCGCCTTCCGCGTCCCTGGCTGAACACTGAACCAGTATGTTGACCAAATATGTTTATTAGATTCTCTGATGAAGTACTGACAAATTTAGTCAAGCAAACGCTCATCTTACAAAAGCTTCGATGACCCTATCAAGGGACCAGCACCCATTGCTCACCTCGCTAGCAGTAATGTCGTCAATATCGTGATCGCGAAAAACTTTAACTTCGTCAGCGATGATATTCAAGTACACATTCTACAGGTAGGAACGTTAGGGTCGATCTCACCTATGACTTACTTACAAGTGGTATAGTTGATGCGATCAAGGGAGCTAATCGTCGAGAACGGCGCCCTTAATGCACCCGATGAATTCCTTTTTATCCCTCTTGTATCTCGAGACTCCAATCAACTTCAACCACCTTTGAAGTTCCACCTGGTAAGTGTCATATGACAAACATGATACGACCGCTACTCTTTGGCTGATTTCACCATAGAACGACAACCTCTTCATCTCTCATTTTCATAGTCCGGAGTCCGGATACACATATCTCGAGGAAAATGATTGGCTGTCCGATGGGCAGCTCTCCGCCTCTTCTGTTATTCACACCTCAAAAGATCTTCTGAAGAAGGGGCCAGCTATTACTCAAAATGTAAGTCGATTCTCGTCGCTTGGTCCTATGAGACCATCGTGAACTGACCATGGATATAACTCAGGTGATAGAACAACTGCGAGAGGCAAGCGCTACGGTATCAACAAGTGCTGAAGTTGTTCGATACATCCAAGACATAGTTGTCTTTCTACGGCTCAGCCGTGCTGTTGCTGGCGGTATATCTGCCAAAGCTAACATCCAATTTACTCGATTTGCACAGTAAGTCTGACAAATAACCGCATCTATTCAACTGCAGAATTTCCCTGTTGACACTGTACCTCAGACTTCTGGCACCGCTACATGGAATCGATTATCTTACTCCCTCAATCGTGGCCCTGGCTGCAAAAAAGATCTTCCGCCATCGCATCATCGTCACAGCTCCGGGCCAAGACCGCAGTCTACAATACGGAAGTAATCTACATGCAGTATCTCAGGTTCTCACTGACGTCACACCCGATTCAATCCTAGATGGTGTTCTTGCTTTAGAGCCACCGCTATAAGGAACATGGACCCCACTAGCTATCTTAATTCTGCACTGGATACCCAATACAACTCGCTCATATAGGTTCAAATAGCATTCCATCTTACGGTCCAGCCCACGAAGCCCGCTCCATCCACTCCGCAAATGTACTAGCTCGAACTCCGAGATCTTCCCATGACATATCATCCCTAGAATCCATAGTCCCATAACATACCCTGTCATCAGGGGCAACAGATATCCACTGCATCATCTGTCTTATATCCTCTTCATACCCCCTCCCTACCGTAGAAGCCACAGTCGCACCCCACTGGTCCAGTGTATCAGGATCAAAAACGGCCTCTTGTCCAGTCATTTGCGTGAAGGTCTTTGCAAATTCCTCAAATTTAAGCTTCGGACCAACGACTGGGTATCTCTTCGATGCTGTCTTCGTTGGTCCAAGAGCAAATATTTCTTTCTTGTTAGTTTACCCAGGTAGCTGTGGTGTCTTTGATTGGTCTTACTTGCGGCATATACACCGATGTCGTAGTCTGGATCGACCCAGTCGGCGAGTTTATTTCCCTCTATGGGAGCACAGAATCGAACGGTCTTGTTTTCTGGATTGCTGTTAGACTTGATGGTGTCTGGTTGCTCAAGTGACTTGCGGCTCTTACCATCCCGTCGGCAATATTGTGACCATTGCATATTTGTGTAGAACAAACCTAGATGGGCACCGGTCAGCTAAGTTTGCTCGGACATGTTGAACCCCCCTCGTAACATACCAGGATGCAACGATGTCACAGCCGGAAGCTCCCGTCTCGCCCACTCCTCGATCTTCGACTTATTGTCAAAGTGGTAGACTTTGATAAACCGCCCGTTGCTAGCATCTGTCAGGTTCGGCAGACTACTCAACACAAAATGTTGGATTTTGCATGCCTGAAATTGGAAGTCAGGTTCATCTTCGTTGGTTCAATCTAAGTAGGCATCATGCATACCTTGGCAGCCTCCAAAATGTTACGACCAGCCTCCAGTTCATGGTCCATGTCTTTCTCAGTCTCGATCTTTCTCCCAGGAAGTCGGTTATTCGTTACGGCAAACACGCCATAAGAATTATGGAATGCTTTGAGTAAAGATTCTCTGTTGTAGACATTGGCTTCCACAAGTTCCAATCGGTCGTTCTTTGGATACTTTGCTTTGAGTTGCGCCGCACTGGCAGAGGTCACATCTCGAGTTATAGCGCGAATGTAAAATGATGAATCGATGTTGAGCAGTGCTTGAACAACTCCCCCACCTTGGTTTCCTGTTGCTCCGAGGACTGCGATGGTTCTTGGGGGTTCGTGCGTGGGCATGGTGAGAGTCCGTGATATCTCAGTTTCGCAATATTTTGTTATATTATTTAGACTTGCATGGTAATATGAGAATGGTCTGAGAGAAATCGAATTGAGGCCGAGGTATAGGGATGACGCAATGTCGGAGAAACACTTAGCAGCTGGATCCGTATATCCGTGTGTCTATATTCGCAAGGTTTCTAGCGTTGCAAGTGTCTACCCGGTCTGAAGCTATGCATGAATGCTTGCAACCATGATATTCTATTATCGATATCACTCGGTACAGGAGGATCCTATGTACGTATCTATCAACGAGAGCATATTATGAAACAAGTCATCTCTTCATCTTCCGAAACCAATGCCAGATCTCAGTCTCACCTTCCAGTCTCATCTTCCAGTACTAGGCCTCAGCCTTAAAAACAAGTCTGGTGGCATGTACTTGTCATCCCCGTCCCCATTAGAACCATCACTCCGGTTCGGCGTCAAACACAGATCACCATGGTAAGCACCAGCAGGTTGATGTCTTAAAGCATCCATAGCCTTTGCATGAGTCCGCCACTCGGACAACACAACATCAATCTCAGTCTTGGAGTCGCCAGCAAGGGCATCCATCTTGATATCGTTCCGGTCATAGCCAAAGGGATCCTCCAACTGCGAACCAATCCCCTCAATACCATAAAGCGTGAAAATAACCAGACTGACAATCGGAATGGCCCACCATCCCATCTCGTCCACCATAGCAAACGGCAAAACACAGCCAAACAAGGCAAGCACCTGCTTCTGATGAATCCTAGAAAGACCTCACACATTAGCCACACATCCCACTCAACCAACATTCCACAGTGCCCAGTCCAGAGCAAGGGAGCACCTACAAATGCGCCACCGGAATGGGCGTCAACTTAATAGTCTCCATCCGCCCATAAGCCTCAGTCAAAGTATTCAGCTGCGCCTGCATCTGACTAGCCCCAGGAGCCGGGAACCAACCACGCTCCTCGCCCCGTTTGATAAACCCATCAATGAAGAAAGTCAACTGAAACGGCAGACCCAGACCCTCATCCTCGTGGCCCTCCAGTCCAGCTGGTAACAGGTTCGCGTATTCAGGGTTATAAAGCGTCCCCCCGCCATGGTGATTCAGATCATCGGCGATGGAACTCCCAAACACCCACGCGGCACCCCACTCCGCTCGCAGGTGGTTCTTCACGGCGTAGGGGATGGCCATGAGGATGCGGATGGTGCGCTCGATATCTTCGCGCTCTGAGGCTGTTGGGGGTCCGCGCTTGGAGTTGTGGCTGTTTGTTGCGATTGTGCGGACTAGATTTCGCACGCAGGTGTTTAGTGTGCTCATTCCGTTACGGCCGTCCCAGAAGCGATTGTAGGATGTTTGGTTGCGGAAGACGAGCATTAGACCTACGACTATTGACAGGGATGGGATCTGGAGGGGTACTTTAGTTTTGCGGTTTCTGGTTGGCGTGGCTTGTTTTGAGAGAGAGCTATACTTACGATCGTGCTGGGTAGACCGACTGTGTCGAAGACGTAGGTGTCAAGGTACACGATCAAGGCAGTAAATAATGCATGTAGAGATACGGGGAACAGGATCGCCCCGTGGATTGCTCCTTTAATGAATCTGAATACAAGTGGCCATCTGGGAAACATCAGAAAATGCGATTGTACGGGGTGTCAAGTTATCGTACCGTCTTGGCTTTGCGCGCGAGGACAGTCGGTGAGGATGGGTGCCGCGGCGTTGGTGGTGGCCGAAGACGGTGGTGTTTTGACGACTCAGCGTCGGAGTTGGTGGCTCGCTGAAGTTCAGCCTCATCTTGTATGCAAAGCTCGATCGGAACCAGGCTGATCTGCGGGTGCGGCCTTGCAGCTGTGATAGGGATGTCCCTACGGAGTATTTGTTGGTGTGGCGCTCGAAGCCCCTATCTTGTGGCAGCCCCTTTCTTGTCGTGAATCTTGATCAATGTGCTTATATTAACATGATTCAAACAATTCGAATGATTCAGAGGTTGATATGAGCAGAAGTTGAGTCTTTTGAAGAGTGGGGATTTTGTCGATCTTGTCTGGGCGGCTCTGGCGGTCTGGGCATGACGAAGCCATGCATGTCAACACCAGTGGTCTGATCGCAGACATGATAACGTTGGAGCATGGCGTTGGAAAGGGAGATTTTATGAAGATGCTGGGACTGAATGGTATCTATCTTATAGTAACATTAATCACTGACTTAGTAAAGTAACATTACTCTTTAGTAGCTTGTAAAGATATCCAGGTCTAGTCCAAAAAGCTCACTTACGACGTACTCAAGCTACTATATAACATTACATAGAGCAAGAGAAAACGCCCCAAGCCCGATATGGATAGCAATGAAAAGGATGAAAAAGGTAAAAACTGTCGACGTAATATCCTAAAGATTACAGTACAGGCCTCTGGTTGATAAAGCAGTAGAAAGTTTCAATTAATCTTCTAGATTAGAATAGTCTATAAATCTCTATCACAACAACAAAACAAAATCACCCAGCTTCTCGCACTAAGCCTTAGTCTGAACGGTGAAACTGCCACGCTGTCTCAGATCCCTCGAACTAGCTCCAACATATACGTGGTAGGTGCCAGGGGCAACAGCCCACTTCTGAGCCTTGACATCCCAGTAGGAGATATCACGACGACGGATCTGGAAACTCACATCAGACTGTCCACCCTTCTTGATCTCAACTTTCTCAAAGCCACGAAGCTGGCGCAGAGGCTGGCGCGCAGACTTGGGGTAAGAGATGTAGAGCTGGGGCACCTCGGCGCCGTCAACTGAGCCGGTGTTGCGAACAGTTACGCTGGCCTTGGCTACGTTATCCCAGAGGTCCTCGTAGCCGCCAACAGCAAGTTTGCCGGTGGGGTACAGAGACAGAGCAGAGGGACCGTCGATCTTCAGATTCGAGTAGGAGAATTGAGTGTAGGACAGGCCGTAACCGAACTCGTAGCGAGGTGTGACATTGTAGGCGTCGAAATAGCGGTAGTCGATGAAATTGCCCTCGGTAAAGTTGCACTGTGCGGTGTAGCAAATATCGACGTTGTAGTCGGACTCGTTCTTGGCGATGGTGTAAATAAGGCGTCCGCTGGGGTTGACATTGCCGTAGAGGACATCCACGATCGAGTTTCCGGACTCCTGGCCGAGGAGACTGCCGTAGAGAACGGCGGTGACGTTGTCATGCTCAATCCAGTTGTCGACGAGTCTGGCACCGACGGTGTTGATCACGACCACGGTGTTGTCACAGTTGTCAGCGACCGAGTTGATCAGGGCGTCTTGGTCGGAATTGTACAGCTCAGTGCGGTCAGCACCCTCGCCAGCAAGGGCATTGATGAACACAAGGCAGACATCCATGTCTTGGGCGTAGTTTTCAATCGAAGGTGAGAGGGAGGTTGTGTCCGATCCCTTCACAACCAGGCCAGAGCTGCTGGAGGCAGAGTAAGTGTCATTCGCAACCCAGCGCAGCATGGTACCATCCTGGCTTGCCTTCATGGTCAAAGCCATCTCGGGGGTTATAAGGTAGGGGAGAGAGGCCTGTCCAGAGCCAGAATCGGTAGCCAGATGACCATCGTAGGTGGGACCAGAGCCTTGAACGCTGAATTCCATGTTTGGGCCAGCGATGGCAGCCCGAGCATTAGATCCAAAGATGGCCATCTTGTGAGGCTTGCTCAGAGGTAGCGTGTTGTTCTCGTTCTTGAGGAGGACCATGGACTTGGCGCCGTTGGAACGAATCAGCTTGGCGTGGTTGCCGCGGACATCAACGTAGGCGCCTGTGTCGACATACGAAGGTTGGGTGCCGTTATCCAGGTTGACCTTGTAGTAACCCATTAGGTTGCGGACAGCCATGTCGTTCAGGCGGGCTTCGGTGAGGTTGTGGCTCTTGAGATAGCCTTCCATGGTGGAGGTGCTCCACAAGCTAGAAGAACCATAGTCCAGGCCGTTGGTGGCACTGGCCAGAGCATCCTGTTGGCCGTTGGTATCGGGCCAGACCAGACCGGGGTAGCCCATCTCGGTCTTGAGAATGTCCAGGAGAAGAGGTGATGACTCGCATGAGTAAGTCTTGTTGACTTTGGTCATGGCACACATCATACCACCAAGTCCAGAATGCACTGCATCATAGAAGGACCACAGATAAGTCTCGTGGAGAGTCTTCGAGTCAACATTTGAGGAGTAAGGAGCACTAGAAGAAGAGGAGGACTGGCTGCTCCCACCGTTGCTTCCACCCATACCACCAAGTGAGCTCGAGGAAGACGAGGATGGAGCTGCTGCAGAGCTCATACTACCCGTGCTGGAAGAGTTGGAGGACGAAGAAGAGCCAGGAGGGCTTCCCATGCCACCACCACCACCTCCTCCTCCTCCACCGCCTCCAGCGCCGCCAGAGCTGGTTCGGTTGGTCTCTTGCTCATTAAGAATGAAGTGCTAGTTGTGCGTTAGCTAAAAGCTCCAGATATAAGAATGTGTCAACCGAGTCTTACCTTAGCACCAGCAATGACACCGGTGTCAGAGTAAGCCTTGGTACTCAATCCAGTCGCAATACCATTCAGATAGGGATCCGAACCAAAGGTCTCCACCAAACGACCGCCCCATGGAGTCCTGCCCAAGGGCTGAGAGGTAGGCCCAGCAATCACCTGAATACCCTTGAGGTACGCCTCAGTCGCGACAGCCTGAGCCTGAGAGTACATGGCGTCCTTGTCCCAAGTCATACCCAGAGCGGATGTCTGACTGAACGCTGAGACATAGAAGTAGTCCTGCATGCCCATGGATCCATCAAGGAATTCCAAGGCCGTGAAAGAGTCGCCATCGGTGGTGTTGACGCTGCTACCGGTGATGAGCTCCAGCTTCTGGGTTGTGTTGAGCTTGGAGACGAATTTGGTGGCCTTGTCGTAGGCCGCTTGCCAGTCACCGAGGGAGACTGCCATTATGTCAACATTTGTTTAGTCAAATTATGCTTTACAACCCTTGTTTTCATACCTTTATCGTTCGAAAGGAGACCGGCGGTGGAGGTCGAGGCAGCCACAAAGCTCGACAATGCCAACAGGCACGACAAAGATTGGAACTTCATCTCTGTGAGATGAGTATACTTCTGCTAGATCTGCTGAGTTGAAAAGAGTGGATACAGAAAAGAGTGGCTATATCCAAACCCTCAGGGTCTCGCAGGGTTTACATAGTCCCGGTCAGGGAGTAGGCAACGCGTACTTCGATCTATAGAATCCAAGGCTAAGGCTGAGAAAACAGGGCTTACAGAATCCACAACTAGGCCCTATGTTTGACCTGCTAGTGCTATGGAGCTCTTACGTGGACGACGATCAGTTACGCGTTGAAACTGCAGGAAAAGGATTTCCTATGCTGAGGCCGGAAAAGCCGGGAAATAAGGTAGGCCCGGGATGCCGAACACGGCAAGAGTCTACGCCGATCCCTGCTTCGGAAGGCATTGAAACGATGATCTCACGATGGGATGTGTGGTCCGGGACGAGCGGCACTCGGGGTTTCGAGATTTGGTTTCTGCAGATTCAGGGAGTTCCTGAGGATTGTCTAGGCATATTGTTTGTAGCTTTGAGACAAGTACATGAAGACTTCTCACTGATTACTTGACAGGTCGTGAAATACTAAAGTAAAGAGCCTTGCGTTGACTTCAATTACACAGGTTAATACATACTGTACACACTCTTGCACAATTGGCAATTGGGGCTCCTATAGCTAATCCTTCCAACCCAAATCCTCCCCATTTGATCCTCAGAATGCTTCATCATGTCTCAGAACACCGCCACCAAGCCACAGAAACGCCGCTTCCCTCCAATCCTCCACCAGGACTCCACCCTCGATGCCATTTGCCAAAGGAGAATAACCTTATCGACACTAGCCTCAAACAAAGTAGTCGTCACCTCAATATAGGCTCCAACGTAGACCCCAATGCCGGTCGGGAAGTCCATTTCCGACTCCACCTCCAGGGGTATCAACTTCTGAAGCTGGTTATTAAGCGGAGTGTGTGAAGTCGATGCGCCGATTGGAGGGTATTCCTGTGCTGACCCGTCATGGGCGAGACATCCAGGGGAGTATCTGATAAGAAAATAGTGGGATGTCAATTGCAGACTGGACACAATTCCCAAGTGAGTTGCTACAGAGATGAAGAATATGGGTTAAGTTACGTTAATCCTAATTATGTAAAATTATTTAATTTGTTATGCCTGCTCAACAGTGCACGCGTTTATAAACAATACCAGTCAGTATGCACATGAGCCAAAAGTCCTATTCTCAATCCGATCACGCTCTATACTAGACTCATAAATGCAGCTCCTATACGATGCATTGTCTAATTCCAAAAATAAGCCGATGAACAAACAGGCACAGTGATTTGATTCGCCTGGGCCCGGAGCCGCAGAGCAAAATCCGCAATCTGCCCCGCCTCGGTTCACTCTACTCAACTGCCAGACGAGCTGGACGCATTCCTACATGCGATAGGCAGCATTGCACAGAACAATTCAAAAATGACCGACAATATCTTCTTTACAAGCTTTGGCTTGATGGTCCTCGATGAAATCCGGTTTCCTAACCGCAAGCCATTAAAAAATGTACTAGGAGGATCTGGAGCTTATGGTTCGTGCTTGGCCTTGCCTATCCCTATCTTAGATATCCCCGTATGAATCCATATATCTAATATGCTGATTCCAGCAACCCTGGGTGCCCGATTATTCCTCCCCTCGCCCCAGAGCTGCTCAATCGTCTGGCCGGTCAATATTGGATATGACTTCCCAGAACACATCACAGAACTCCTACGGAGCTGGGATACACAATTGGTCGTCAATAGAGCAGTGGATCAGCCTTCGACTCGGGGATTACTGGAATATGAAGATGATACATTCGGACGTAAGAACCGCGACCTGACGGACGTGCCGTTAAACATAGCTTATTCGGTGATATGAGCAACTGACGTATAAGGTCCATCCAGCCAAGACATTCAAATACACAACTCCAATCCTCGCCCAAGAAAACGAAATCGGAAACTCAAGCCCAGTCATACTCTCGTCTAAAATCTATCACTTCCTCGCCACACCGGAAGATATAAAGAACTACACATCATGCATCCTCACGACCCGAAAACAATTCGGTATCAAAGATCGACCACTCATAGTCTGGGAGCCGGCACCGCTGGCTTGCAACCCGGGGAATCTTCAACCCTGTCTAGAAGCCGCGAGACTAGTGGATGTATTCAGTCCGAATCATATCGAGCTCGCGCGGTTGTTCCCAGGGTCTTCTGCTTTCCCTGATAAACGTGAGATTGAGCGATTAGGTATGAAGGTTCTAGAGAGTGGTGTTGGGCCGGATGGAAGGGGTGTGGTGGTTATTAGGGCCGGGGAGAATGGGTGTCTTGTTCAATCGCGGGTTCTTGCTCCGAGGTGGATTCCTCCGTTTTATGGTGCTGCCACGGGGGAAGGGCAGGCTTGTAGAGTTGTTGATCCGACTGGAGCTGGGAATGCTTTTTTGGGGGGCTATTCTGTTGGGTGGATTCGCACCGGGGGTGATGTTGTTCAGGCGGCTTGTTATGGATCTGTGGCTGCGTCTTTTGCGTTGGAGCAGGTGGGGATGCCGGTGTTGAGTGGCTATGGAGATGGGGAGTTGTGGAATGGAGTGAGGGTTTCTGCGCGATTGCTGGAGTATAGGGCTAGATGGGGATTGGAGATGGGTGGGTTATAACCTATTAACGTTAACATGGAAGCGGCAATTTGTATCAATTTAATCTTTGCGAGACTTGGTGCTGGTTTATATCGGCAGTTTGAACTAGCTCATCCTGGACCCAGGGTTGTGCGGATGCTTATTTCTATTTTTAAATTAGTATCCTAGATTTTGGCGGCTTTTATACTGATCTGCCTGCGGAGAACGATAGCAGGAAACAGGACAGATCTAGTGGAACTATTTCTGGCGAAATATATCAGGCAAGAGCTGATAGTATTCATTATCAAATCCTACAGAACATTGCTGCAGGGAATCCATCTACTTACTATTCATAACAACTTACGTGCGGAATATATCCAAAAGTAATAAATATCAGATTCCTACGCTCCAGGAACAACAGTCCACACTGCTGCATGGGTATAGACAAGATGGGAAGAAAGAAATTATGAACCGGATGTCGACAGACAGGAAACCACCAGCTGATATGACCAGCCGATGAAGCAAGACGAGGGTGGGAGTCGGAAGAAAATACAAGAGCGATGCAAAATAGGGAAATGGTAGATGTAGGAAGCCGGACCACGCAGCACCATGAACAGGAAGGGGAAGAAAAGAAAGTCATCAAAGCATAACATGAATGGGCGCAAAAAAACCACAGAATGCCAAAATATATAGGTATATACTGATGTTGACCAGGTCACTTGTTCCAGAACAGTGCGGTGTAGAAGTAAAAGGAGAAGTGTGACAGATGACACCTAAGGCATCCCTGCTCTTCCGTCGAAGGCGAGGGGACCGGAGTCGTTGCGTGGTGTCAGGGGGTTATCGTCTGAGGTCTCCGAGCGCCCTGGGGTGTCTGACCGTAATTGAGCTTGTCTGCCCTGCGGTATGCTGAGGGGTTGACTGGGTTGCCAGCCCGGGATGCTGATTGTGGCGCTGCGGGCGAGATCGGTGCTGGATCCTAGAGCCGGCGAAGTATTGTCGATTCGCAGATAGTCTTGGATAAGAAGGTGCTCCAAGCCGCTTGATAGGCTATCTTCTTCGATGAAACTTCCCAGTCCGTCATTATGGATGAACATACCCCCCGTTCCATTTGAGAAGCTAGGATCTCCGGCGCGATTTGATAGACCGGCTTGTTCAGACTGATGTGGTAGGCTAGGTTGTTCAGAGCCATTCGGTAGGCCGGATTCTGGAATGTCGCCCGCTAAGCTCTCTTCTTCGGTGACATCTCCCAGTTGCTCCTGGACTGGTTCCGGGTCGTTCGTTGGTCCGATGTTTGGGGTTTCGGATGGTGCTTCTGGTTGAATATGCTCAGTGGGACCAACTGGTGGTTCTTCCGCTGATGCTGCTTCTGCTGGAGGTGCCGAGGCTATGGATTCCTTCTCGCGCCTTTCTTCAACGTCGTTGGAGTCGTCTACCTCGGCACTGAGATCGGTAAATGCACGACAATTGGGGCATTGAAACATGGGATAGTCGGGTGAGTGGAGAAGTCGGCTGATACATTTGTAATGCCAGACGTGTGCGCAGGCTGCCATGAACAGACATTGGTAGGGGCGCTGGTCAAAGGTCAGTGGCGAGAAAGATAACGTAGAGAAGACAAAAACAAACCAAAACAGAGCCCAGGCAAATAGAGCATTCACGACATCCAGAATAATCGGCTGTCTCGCCCTTACCCAAGTTTTTGATAAGGCTTTCCGTATTTTTGCTGCAGTTCGGGTTAGCACGATGATACTCAGTCAGGAGATGCAACATACTTGAACTCATTGGGCTGCTGTTGCCACGATCGATTACATTCGATGCGAATGCGAACACATCGGAAGATCATCTCCTCCCCACCGCGGAAATCAATCCCCAGTTGCACGATATCTCCGTCTTTGATTGAATACAGACGAGAGACCATGTTGGGCTGACTCAGGCGCATATGGTTTAAAAATGTGCCCGACGAGCTCCCCACATCCTTGAGATGCCACTGGCCATTGACATACAAGAATTCACAATGTTTCCGACTCACGACCTTGGACTTGAAGCCTACGGGGGCATCCGAGGGTTCGGTGGGGTTAGGAACGGGAACACCATCGCGTTCCGAGTATCGGCCCACTCGAATCACACAGCTTTCCGATGGGAGAGTGCGCGTGATCGGGACAAAGGGGAGAGAGGGTCTGGCGGTGGTACTCGCTTGGGCATCCTGATACGGGAAGAAGCGAATGGTCGCCTTCTTGTCTGGTTTCGGAGACGTAATTGAATCATCAGGGGCACTGGTTGGCGCGATCTCATCGGTTGGCAGAGAATTCGGCTCAGGGGAGACACTAGATTCAGAGTTTTGTCGATCTTGTGTGCGCGGTGGCGGTTGCTGTGCGGCTGAAGCGCTCCTCAGCCGAGCCATGGCATGGGCTGTTGTCGGCGAGTCTTCGATGATTGGAGTCGACAGCGCAGAGTCGGCAGAGGAGACGCGACTGGTGAGGTCGCCAAAGGCCGAACTCTCAGAGGGTGCCGATATGTAACGCGAGAGGGCTGGGTGATCGGTATCTGGGCACGGAGTGGAGCTCTCATTTACGTTCTCCACCGGGTTCGGCGAGTTGGGCCCGGAAGTCGACGAACGCCAGGGGACTCGGCTGCTCAAACTGCGATTTTGTGTGTAGTTTCGCAGTTGACCGATGCGACGCAGACGACTGGGGCGAGGGTCGGGGAGGCAAGTGAAGGCGGTGACCGACATGGTGTGAGAGATCGAAGGCGGGAAATAGTCTAAATCCTGGCCAAGAACGATTCACGATTTCACGATCCAAGACACTCGAACGTCACGAGAGATTATATGTGCAAAGAGACACACATCATATGATGAAGAGGGGGAAGTCGAATCACGAAGGGTAGTTTAAATCAGAAGAGAAGAGAAAAGGAAGAAAAGAAGAGAATTCCCAAAAAAGTCTGGTTCAGTTGGTGATATGATGTTACCAAGCCGTGCTGGGTCTCCTCAGTGGAGTTGGCTGATCGCATTCTTCATCTTTACACCGGTTTTACTTCGATTTTTCTTACGTCCAACTGGCTCTTCTTTGTCTGCATTTGCCTTTTTTTTCCCTTTTGCGGGGGAAGAACTGCCCTACGCCACCTGAGGAGGATTAGCCGACCACAGGGGATTGGCTATAGAGTTGGGCTTATAGAAGGGAAGGGTGCTGGAAGAGACATCTACCGGTGCTGGGAGGGACTGTCTGCAAGAGAGTCAGCCAGAGACTCTGCAGGAGAGTCTGTAAGAAGTCTGCAGGAGTCTGCTGAGGAGTCACTTGGATCTCAGGCAAGTCTCTCATGTGCAAAGGCAGTTGACCCCCTTGGGAGATCGCCACAGTCTGGTGATCTCCTCAAGTCACTTGGACTATTTTTTTCTATCACCACTGAGGGGCACAGACCCTGAGGAATTTGGGAGGTAATAATAGCCTGGATCCAAAGAGGAATAGCAGAATACAGAACAGCGGAACAGTGAAGGCTCAGCATAGAGTGATGTAGGAAGAGAAGCAGGTGTTGACGTAAACACATCATTGGTCAGCAACAGCTGTCGGAGCTTAAGCTCACTGGACTGGATGTAATTGGACTTGAATTGCACTTGCATGCAAACTTCTGCCTTCAAAGATCAGAGTCGGATCGGAATTGGAATTGACACACTGCCCTGCCAAAACTGCAGAGGTTGCTACCAGCCTTCCCTCGGCGGAGCTAAACCTCTCCCCTCCCTATCTCTCTCTCTCTCTACTTCACCCTCTCACACGTTCTTCTCGGTTGCGCCCTTGTGCTCCTAAACTAAAAAGCTTCGGCTTTTCGACTCACCGTCTATTCCCAGATTCCTCCGTTCTTGCCCTCAAGTCTACAGTTTCGGCCCTGATGTGGGCCTGTTAGGCATGAGTGGAATCGCAACCGCTTGTCTATCGTGCCTGTCGGCCGTAGACCGATGGTGTCATATCACAGCCTGCCTGGGTCCGATCAGTGGTCGGTCGCGAGATGGCATTTACGAGACGACCTTGGCCGATAATGAGCGAGAGGCGGTCTCAGACTTGCTCGGCTACTTGGAGAATGTACGTGGGATCTCTCTTCCTCCCTCTCTTTGGACTCGGCCCAAGGCAGGTTGGCCTGTGATGGCGACCGAGTCCTTGCCCTTGCCCTGGCCACGGGCACGTCACTGACTTTGACATACAGCGCGCAGAAACGGACTTCTTCGACGGCGAGCCACTACGGGCATTGAGCACGCTGGTTTATTCCGAGAATGTTGACTTGCAACGCAGCGCCAGTCTGACCTTTGCCGAGATTACCGAACGAGGTACGTACCTTGATGCGAAGGGCGACGGTTCAATACCTGACAGTCTTTAGATGTGCGCGAGGTCGACAGCGACACCCTCGAGCCGATTCTATTCCTTCTTCAGAGCTCCGACATCGAAGTACAACGAGCGGCCAGCGCAGCGCTGGGTAATCTCGCCGTGAATGGTGAGCGCCCTATCGTGCTTTCAGGCTCGCCTTCAATTGCTGACTAGGTACAGCGGAGAACAAAGTCTTGATTGTCACCCTCGGGGGGCTGGCTCCCCTGATTCGACAGATGATGTCGCCCAACGTCGAGGTGCAATGCAATGCCGTCGGATGTATCACCAATCTTGCAACACATGAAGAGAACAAGGCCAAGATCGCTCGCTCCGGCGCTCTAGGCCCTCTGATCCGCCTGGCCAAATCCAGGGACATGCGTGTACAGCGTAATGCGACGGGCGCATTACTAAATATGACCCATTCTGGTACGTGACTGCGGTCTCACAATATAGTCCGAGTATCTAACATGACCAGATGACAACCGTCAGCAGCTCGTCAATGCGGGCGCCATTCCTGTGCTCGTCCATCTGCTATCCTCCCCCGATGTTGACGTTCAATACTATTGCACCACGGCTCTCAGCAACATTGCTGTTGACTCGACCAACCGCAAACGCCTAGCTCAGACCGAGTCGCGCTTGGTACAGTCATTGGTGCATCTCATGGATTCCTCGACCCCAAAGGTGCAATGCCAGGCGGCGCTCGCGCTCCGCAACCTCGCCTCCGACGAAAAGTACCAGCTTGAGATTGTCCGCGCAAAGGGTCTATCTCCCCTGTTGCGACTCCTCCAATCCTCCTATCTTCCTCTCATCCTCTCCGCCGTCGCCTGTATTCGCAATATCTCTATTCATCCGCTCAACGAATCACCAATCATCGAAGCAGGCTTCTTGAAGCCGTTGGTTGATCTGCTCGGTTCAACTGACAACGAAGAGATTCAATGCCATGCTATCTCTACCCTTCGTAACCTTGCTGCTAGCTCCGATCGCAACAAAGAGCTTGTTCTGCAAGCCGGAGCTGTGCAGAAGTGCAAGGACTTGGTCCTTCGAGTTCCTCTCACCGTACAGTCTGAGATGACTGCCGCGATTGCCGTGCTGGCCCTCAGCGAGGAACTCAAGCCACACTTGCTCAACCTCGGCGTCTTTGACGTCCTCATTCCTCTGACTAATTCTGAGAGTATTGAGGTCCAGGGCAACAGTGCTGCTGCTCTGGGCAACCTTTCCTCCAAGGGTACGTTTCTTATACTTTCTCTCATAACTCTCATAACGTTGCTAATGAATATAATAGTCGGCGATTATACCATGTTCGTTCGTGATTGGGCCGATTCCAACGGTGGCATCCACGGCTACCTCTACCGTTTCCTTGCCAGTGGCGATCCAACATTCCAACACATTGCCATCTGGACCCTTCTTCAACTCCTCGAGTCCGAAGATGACAGACTCATCGGACACATCTCACGATCTGAAGACATCGTCCAGATGGTCAAGTTGATCTCAGACAAGAACATTGAGTCCGACGAGGACGAAGTGGATGATGGTGAAGGCGAAGTGATCACTCTCGCCCGTCGCTGCCTCGAGCTGTTAGGAGCGGGTCCTAAGCAGACCCTGGTGGAAGCTTAACCGCTCTGTTTTTCTTGTTTATTGGTCATTTGTCTATTCTCCCTTTGCGCGCCATCTTCTCCGGTCCTTTCTCTTTCGCCAATCTTTAACTTGGCCTCTTTCTTTCCCCGCCACTGGGTGTTTCAAGGTCATCGAACTCATTTGACTCGGGTTACTCTTTCTCAGCGGGCATTTGGAGTGCGGACTCTTTTTTTTATTTTTGGTTCCTTACATGTCCATCGTATTTCTGGGCCGGTGCCGCTGTCGTTCCTGTTCCGCCTACACTGTGTATTCATGCTAGATATGGGCTCTATAAATTAATTGCCTGCGAGAAGGGATCATCTTACATTGTAGTCCAAGTATTGGAGTCAAGTGGGTTATTGATAGTTGCGGACAAACCTACTCCCGGGCCGAGTGGGAGCTCTCCCAAAAAAATCACCGATCCTCTCTCCAACTCCAGACCTCCCCTCAACATCTCATACACCTCAACAATGGCTTCTCTCCCGCCTGTCGCTGTCCCCGGGCAACGCCTCGGTCCAATTTCTACATACTCAGCCGGACCAGGCACACACATCCAACAATCATTCATCTACGCCTCCATCGCCGGACCGGTAGTCGCAGACCCAGCCCAGCCAAAGACCCAGACAAAACCAACCCTCAGAGTCTCCCGAACTCTACCAACAAGTAGTACATCCTCCCCTGCACCAGCAGGCACGAAACACCGCTACAACACCCTCCCCGCAGTCGACTCCATCGTCCTGGCACGAGTAACCCGCGTCCAAAAGCGCCAAGCAACAGTCTCAATTCTAGTCGTCACAGAAGACACAACTCAAGACCCAACCCGCACACCCTCCGACAACGACAACGTCGCCGCAATTCTCACTCACGCTGCAAACCCAGAAAACCACAGCAACACCGATGAATTGCGCTTCCAGGCATTGATCCGGAAGGAGGACGTGCGCGCTGTCGAGAAGGATCGCGTCGTCATGGATGAGATGTTCCGTGTTGGAGATATTGTTCGGGGCTCGGTTATCTCGCTCGGCGATCAGACTTTCTTCTACCTCACTACTGCGCGCAACGATCTTGGTGTCGTCATGGCACGCAGTGAAGCGGGCAACATGATGTTCCCTGTCAGCTGGAAGGAGATGAGGGATCCGGTCAATGGAACCGGAGAGTTGAGGAAGGTTGCTCGGCCCTTCTGAGGATTTGACTTTGAATACGCATCCCAATTCAGATCTCGGTTGTGACGGCTTTGGCTTGGGTTGCCATTTTCTGTCTGCGATTGGCTGTCGAGGAAAATCCTTCGTTCCCACTGCAATAAAGCAGGCTATGTCCTGGCCTGTCCTGATGCTCTGGGCAGTGCGATTCACTCATGAGAGCATTCACCCCCTCATGTGCACCAGAACCAATGGACATTGACAAAACTCCACTTCGGGAGACGTCTCTGTGAGCTTGATCTCCGAGTTTTTAAGGACTGTTCTATTGCCGAGTGCTCTCGGGCACGGCATTCGACCTAAACCCAACAACGTCCACATGTCCAGCCAGGTCAAGCGTTCCTTGGTCTATCTGGGACTCCTCCACTTGTACAGGATTCTGATATCCATAACGATTTTTAAAATGAAGATACCCCGCGGAATCATGATTTCAGAATACCATGCAAACAGTTTCTGCCAACATTCTCTCTCCTCGGTCTTCCAACAGTAATCAAGTCTGGCAGGCAATTATGCTTTCTTCGCATAAATACAGATCAACTGGGGCACTAGATATCAAATACCAATCTCAACCATACCAAGCCAGCATACACTCTCCTCGTCCAGTAAAAAGCAACAAAAAGATACCATGTACAATATAATGCCAAATATCCATTTTTAAACCCATCTATCAACACCTATTCTCAACCTATTTTTTCAGAGTCTTCTGCTTCTCGGCATCAATGAGCTTTCTGCCCTGCACAACAAGACCCTTTCGACTCCTCACAGCATCCATATACCTCTTAGCAACATTCTCCTTATCCGCAAGTTCACCCAGATCCTCAAGTTCCTCCTCAGTAGCAGGAACCCAGAAGGGATCCTCATCAAGCGCTTCAAAGCCAGCAAAGATAAGCTGCGGCTGCGCAGCACCGGAAGTCCGTTTGCGGATTTCTTCCGCGAACCCAAAGGATTCCGCGACAGGGAGGAGCGCCAGGATCGTGAAGAAGGGTGTTCCTTCTTTCATTATCTCGGACTGGATTCGGCCTCTGCGGCGGGTAATTACGCCATAGACGCGGCCTAGGACTTCGGCTGTGGAGGAAAAAGAGTGTGTGCGTTAGCTTTTGCTGGGGATTGTGGAACGGGAAGTGGGAGATTGGCTTACTGGTTGCTTGGATCTCACAGCTGTACATTGCCAGCATGATGCGTGGACTCCAGTCTAGGAATCCGGCGGAGATGCCTTCGCGGACGAGTCGAATTGCTTCGCCGGTTAGACGGCCCATGTCTAGTTCGTCGTTGGTGTTTGTTTGGATGGATAGGTCCTCTAGGAAGACGGCGGCGCCTTGCATTGGTTCCTGGCATAGGGGACCTTGGCCGGTTGCCAGTTGGAAGGCGTAGGCGATCTTGTCGTTGAAGTCGCGGACTAGGAGAGCTTGTTGGTTGTCGCCGGCAATCTGTTGCTTGGGGTCATCGACCAGGCTGGGGTGCTTTGTTAATGTTGGGTCAATTGTTGATGTTCTCTTGGTGCACTTACAATTTCTCACAGGTGTTGACTGTGGTTGCGTCAACTAGGATGTTAGGGCCGACTCGGCGAGGTCCAAATGCTGTGATTCGGTCGACGACATTCTTCCATAGCTCTTTGTCTTCTGTGACTTCGTCGTTGAATACCTTCTCCAGTCCCTCGCGGAACATTTGCTTGGAGAGGATAGTGCCCTCGGGAGACTCGCCAGTACCGTCAACGACAGCTGACTCTTGCGCTTCAGCTGCAGCCTCGGTATCGGTCTTACCTTCAGCTTCAGAACGCTTCTCCAGCTGGAGTTGCTTGACGGTTCCAATGTGCTTGGTCAAGTATTCTGTGACGGCTTCTGGCAAAGGAACCACGCGCAGGCGGAGCGTCATCTGCTTGGAAGCAGAGACTGACAAAACACCTCCGCGGCCAAGCTCGGGGTTCTTAGGTGCGGCCATTTCAGGGCCATGGACAATAGTCTCTCGGTAAGGGACGATAGCCTCGCCAGTTTGAATTTCACAGCGGGCGAACCGCTCTCGGAGATCTGTCACGCAACGCTCCAGGTGCAGTTCGCCTGCAGTCAAAATAACGTGTTCACCACTAGGGAGCTGTTCGTACAGGGCACAAGGATCACTCTGTTCAAGCAGACGCAGACCAGTAACCATCTTACCCAGATCAGCTGGATTGACGGGCTCCAGTGCAACGCGAACAATGGGCGGGGTGTTGAGCGACACTCCAGCCAGGTTGATGCTTCCATCCAGGCGGCTGCATAGCGTGCCAGTCTTCAGCACATAGCCGGCAAGACCACCGATACCGAAGACGACACCAGCTGGCACAGACTGCAGGGGCTCGAGGGCTCGACCCATGAGCAGGTACAGATCAGTGACAGTCACCTTCTTGGGCTCGGGGCTTGCATGCGGGTGGGCTGGCGAGAACTTGGGAGGCAGAACGTAGATTTCGTCGCCAACCGAGATGGTTCCTGAGTAGAGACGAGCGAATCCAATAAGATGATCTGGATCTTCCTTCTCCTCTGATTCCGCAGGCTCATCAGTGGTCTCGGTGATCAAAGTAGTATTCTGGAAGACTGTATTCATGCGCTCAAATTCATCGATTTGGTTCTGCTTAGCCTCAGCCTGCATCTTTGCAATCTCCTCGCGCTTGCGACGGGCAATTTCAATGGCTTCGTCTGCAGTCATAGTGCCGCCGGATCGCTTCTTGCTTGACACAAGCTCACTCTCGGGGATTGCGACCATTTTGCTGACGTAGGCTACGACAGGCTCCTCCGGGCCTGTCTTGAAATCAATCATGGCTTTCTTGATATCATCGCTGATGAACTCTGAGCCAGGTGATGTTTTGATCATTTCTGGCAGTCGGGCAGCCTGTGCGGCTGGAGGACTTGGGAGGTATTCAATAACAGACACAAGCAAAGCAGTGGATAGAGGCAACCACTGGGAGAACAGTGTGGTCATGATATTCTTGGGGTCACGAGAACGCAAAATATATGGCGGGATGTTGACGTTCAAAGATTTGGTGATCTTTTCCAGAAGGACTGGGTCTCTGTTCAACGATGAGTATGAATAGAATGAGTAGATTACCAGGTTAATGGCTTACCCTTTGCCCTTGTCTCCGCCTGTGGTGGCTGCGTATGCTGCCCAGATACTATCAAGCACCAACTGAACAAACATGGGCTTTAATGCTCGACCCTTCAAGTGCTTTTGACCCAAAACACGCTTAGTTTTGGGATCCAAGTAATACTCGCCCCAGAGAACCTTTTCCAAAACAGTTCGCTTGATACCAAGCTTCTTCTCATAGATGGCAGCAAATTGCCTAATGGTGAAAGCCCAGCCATCAACGGCACTACCAAAGATAACGTTGTTCTTCTCGGGAGCAAAATATAGATCCTCATCGTCGCGCTCCTCAAATTCGGTCGCCTCCGTAATGCTTTGAGCAGCATCTTCATCCGCAGATTGCTTTCTGCGGTCTTGATCGCGTGTGGCAGAGCTATTGATGCGATCTTCCATGCGCTCACGCCACTGTAAATCGTCTTCCATACGCTCGCCTTGGTAGAAGCTACCAATAACGGCATTGACCTGCTCAAGCAGTCGACTGAGGTGGGAGAATGCCTCTGCAGGGCTCATCTTCAATTCTGTGATCAGACGATCCATTTTGTTGATAACCAGGATTGGCTTCAGCTGCTCAACCCAAGTCTGGCGCAACACAGTCACAGTCTGACTGCACACACCCTCGACTGCATCAACGAGAACAACAGCGCCGTCACAAAGACGAGATGCCGTGGATACTTCACTGCTGAAATCGATATGTCCTGGTGAATCGATCAAGTTGATCAGATATTCTTTAGGCACTGGGGCTGCGTCTGGCGCTGGGCGGCGGAGCATTGAGAAGAACAATGAAATCGCTGAAGACTCCATTGTGATGCCTCGCAGCTGCTCATCTGGACGAGAGTCCAGGTAGCGGATCTTGCCCGCTAGCTTGGGTGAAATGATGCCATTGGTGGCTATAAGACTATCTGTCAACGACGTCTTTCCATGATCCTAAAAGACAAGAAAAAGGATTGTTAGTATTTCCAAAACACACTCGGACATGAATTTTGGTATTTGAACGCCTTCACTTACGACGTGGGCCAAAATGCAAATCTGGTTGGAGTTAGTATAAAGCCTGACATCAGAGTGGGATGGAGGGGCACGCACATTTCTTATGTCCTCGGGCTTCCGCTGCAGGCGGACTAGCTGGTCGACATTAACAACAGGCATCTTGGCTGAGTCTGTCGTCTGTCCAAGTGCTGAATGTTTGAAGAGGAAGAGTACCGGGAGGGCGACTGGATCCGAAGAAAAAAAAGTTGCTGATAAATGGAGTATGCGATGGACCAGGCCACAATTGTGTTTTACAAGGCGACAGACTTGGATATTGAGGGATAATTTTGAATTTACATTAGCTCTACTATTCTCGCTCTTACTCTATGTGATCGCTCTGACAAGCGATTTGGTGACCTATGACGCTGTAGAACCGGCGTTGCATTGACTCATTATGAGTCTTCAAAGACATGCGCTGAGTCCACCATGCGTCGGCGGCCTTCAGTCTGCTAATAGAAAGCTCCCGTATGTATTTTCTGTTGGCAGTTCACTCGTCGTCGAAGGAGAGCTTGATTTTCTTGGGCTTTTTTGCCTTCTTGGTAGGCGCCTTAGGTTGGGCTTCTTCAGTCTCGAGCCTTTTGTCTTCGCTTTCAGTCTTTTCTTCGCCCACAACCTTAGCCTGCTTTCGTTTCCTCTGTCCTCCAACCTCGGTCAGATTGCTCTGTTTGCTAGTAGATTCTGGTTTGTCTGTTTCGCCTGCGAGTTTGTCCATTGGGGTATCATTGTCCTCTTCTGTTTGGCCGCTTTCGCGCACCAAAGTCTTGTAGTCCTCCTTGGAAATCACTTCGTTGCTCTCCTCGTCGACGTAGGTAGGCTCGTCGTCATCGTCGTCCTTGTTGACCTTGAGTCGGGTCGCGCGTACGGCCGGCCGTTCTAAGCGACCGGTGTTGCTGCCATACTGGCCTCGAAGCTTTTGGAGGAATGCGGGCTGCTTCGCATCTAGATTTGACATGAGAAAAGCCTGCCAGAGCATTCGAGCGACATACCATATTCAAACTTGGGGTTGGGGGGCATAATGGGACGTAGTCAATGTTGCAGCTCTGGACGAAGCTATCTTCTGAAGCCTTGTGCTTCCCTTAACCAATTCAGTAAATCATTAGCAAACACACATCCCGACAAGAAGATATCGAAGATCCAGATCTCACAACGAAGAGACAAGTCGCGGAAGTTGCGAACATCGTGAACAGCTCCAGGCGCTAAACCTAAATGGGACGCATCGAAAAGTCCCAAGGAGCCTGCTCCGCGTCAAGTCCTCACCAACCAACCTCTTTCAACCCACCCCAATTAACCATGCTTTGTGCTAGTGAGTGGCCTGCAATCCATTGCGCTTTGCTCATCTTAATTGAAACTATTTTGCTAATGAAAATTCTATCGCAGTCTCTGGAGAGGCACCTCAAGTTCCCGTCGTCTCTCCCAAGAGCGGTAAGTTCTTCGAATCGCCTTGCGCGCACTTCATCTGATAGTTGAACAGGCAGCGTTTTTGAGAAGCGTCTTATCGAGGCATATATTGCCGAACATGGCAAAGATCCCGTGAACGGCGAAGAACTCAGCACCGAGGACCTGATCGACGTCAAGTCGCAGCGCGTTGTCCGGCCTCGACCTCCCACTCTTACCTCCATCCCTTCTCTTCTTAGCGTTTTCCAAGAGGAATGGGACGCTCTTGCTCTTGAAACATACACTCTACAGCAAAACCTGGCACAGACGAGGCGCGAGCTTAGCTCCGCGCTCTATCAGCATGATGCCGCCGTGCGAGTGATCGCACGATTGACAAAAAGAGAGAGATGAGGCCCGCGAGGCGCTTTCTAACGTTTCTGTTGGAGCCACTCGCTCCGCCGGCGCTGGTGATGCAATGCAGGTGGACTCTACGGGCTTGCCCCAGGCAGTATTGGAGCGGGTCGAGAACACACAGGCAGCGTACGTACACCCAATCAATGGGCTTACTGTCATGTATTTCCAGCTAACATGGTTTCAGACTTTCTGCTACTCGGCGCAAGCGTACAGTTCCCCAAGGCTGGGCCTCAGCTGAAGCTATCTCCACATTCAAGCCAACTGAGTCCTCCGATCCTCTTTACCCTGGTGGCCGCGCTCTGTCTGTCAACTCAACCGGTGACTTGGCTCTTGTTGGTGGTGTCGATGGTGTGGTTGGTGTTTACTCTCTTTCTCAAAAGAGTGTGGTGCAGACTTTGAAGACAGACGGACCTGTCACTGATGCGACATGGGCTGGCGACAAGGCTGTTGTTGGATCCTCCACCGGATCTGTCAAGGTCTTTGAGAACGGGGCTGAAGTTGCTAGCTTTAACTCCCACGCTGGTGAAGTTACAGCCGTGACTGTGCACGCCACTGGTGATATCGTTGCCTCTGTCGGCGTTGATAAGAGCTACGTTCTTTACGACTTGGCTACAAACACTGTGGCTTCTCAAATCTTTACTGATGCAGGTAAGAATTTGTTCAGTAACCTTTCCTATCAATATAGAACGCTAACAGCTTTGCTTCAGCTCTGTTGTCTGTCAACTTCCACCCAGATGGTCACTTGATCGCCGCTGGTGGTGCAGATGGGCAAATCAAGATCTTCGACGTTAAGACCGGCGCCGCAGCCGCGGACTATGCGATGTCAGGCCCAGTTAAGTGCTTGTTCTTTTCTGAGAACGGTACCTTCCTGGCCGCAGTGGCCGACAAATCAACTACAGTCTCCATTTGGGATCTGCGCACCTCCAAGGAGACCAAGGTGCTGGATACTGGCAGCCAGATCAGTTCTATCTTCTGGGATTACACTGGTCAATATCTCTTGACCGGTGGACCCAGCGGTGTCACCATTCAGCAGTTCACCAAGTCCTCCAAGTCTTGGTCAGAGCCCTTGCGGAGTGCCGTTCCCGCTACTTCCGTGGCATGGGGATCAGCTGCCCAAAGTGTTGTCGCATTGAATGAGGCGGGTGCAGTCACAGTGTTGGCGGCACAGTCATGATCGGGAAAATAGTGTGTAATTTTAAAGCTGGTTATCTTTGAATGCTCAGATGGTGTTTTTGTTTCCAATATTCTATGGTTCTGTACACGAAAAAGAAAGAAAAGAAAGCAAGTAGGCACACCCATGCTAGCAGCCGTGAAACATGAAGCCACGCCGAAACAGCGAGAATGTGATCAGTCAATCGCTCAGTCGACTTAGTGCTGATGATATGAACACTTTGCTTGCCTGGCAGTTTCCAACGTTTTGATTGATACATGTATACAGATCCTGCACCTGAGACCCTATCTATAAAAGCCCACTCGCCAGCGGATCTGACGATCTTCCTCGCAACCGTCACTGACCCCACCACCGCCTTATTTATCTGGCAGAACAACACCGCCCAGATACTCGAGCATCGAAACAAAGATGGATTCCATTCGGATGCCTCCACCACCTCGTCGGCAGATACTGTATGCCCCTCCGCCATTTAACCAGTATCAGCTCATTGGCCTTGGCATGAGTGGCACTCCAAACCTCCCATATTTGCCTGGAGGGCCCAAGGTACGCTTTCATCGGTAATAAACGGGCGGGGCAACCGTCAAGATCCAGAAGCTCTGCTAACTTGAACCTTCATTCAGCGAACGCATACACCTCACGAGATGTCCGAAGAATCCGACGGCTTTACTCGCGCCGCCTGGAACGAACACTTTCACCCCCCTCAACCTCAGCCTCAGCCTCAGCCTCAGCATCAATCCGTTCAGTTGCCACGCTTTCCCGGGGATGGATTCGACTACCGGAGGCCCGCCAGACCCACGAACAACCCAGAGTTCGTTGACTTGACTCGTGAATCAGAAAGTCCTCCTCAAACTCGATCAGTGGACCTCACTCTGTCCACGCCACCCCAATCCCGCACAAGCTTGCGGTTTCCTCAGGACATACTTCATGTACCCCGAACTAATGCGCAGCGGGAGGTGATCGACGTTGACGCCGAACCAAGCAGTGATATTGCAGACGCTTTGTCAAGCAGTCCTGATGTCCAGTTTGTTGGGGCTACCACCAGACCCAGGCCGCTCGAACCCAGGCCTTACAACGATATATGGTCTCATATGAGTCGGATGGCGGCGAGACCCGAGCCACCGCAAGGACGATCAACAAGACACTGGTATCCTGGGAGTCGATATGCGGATGGAGAAGAGTTTCAGCCAATGTCCATCGGGGACTTTCTGCCCGTAGGACTTGACTATGGGCTCACTGGTTTTTCAATCACACCTTCATTCCCCGCCCCTACATCTCAGGAAAGTTCCAGAGGATCATCCCGAGCAGAAGCATACAAATCACCAGATCCGGCCCCGGAAGGTTTCACCCGCACGCTTTCAGATTATGATGTGGCCATTTGCCCTAACTGCCATGAAGAGTTGGGGGTTGGCGAGGGACCTAAAGGGCAGATCTACGTTTCCAAGAAATGCGGACATGTTCGTATTACCGATTCAAGTCCAAGTTGAGCATTGAATAACTGACCATTTTTCAGGTTTATTGTGGCGAATGCGCTGAGAATCGGTCGAAATCAAAGGCCAAAAGGTCAGGTTCTCAGTCCAAACCATTTTCAAAGTGCCAGATCGCAGGCTGCGAGACATCTTTGAGCAGTCCAACTGCTTTATTCCATCTCTTCCTCTGAAACTTATTATTTCTCTTTTTTTTGTCTTCCCCCCTTCCCTTTATTGCTTTTTGTCGTTTGCTTTTCAGTTGCTGCGTCACACATTTGCATGGTGTTAGGGCCATTTCTTATTCCGTCGATACCCCATATGCATGGAACTGGAGGGCGTTTTTTGTTTTTCAATTTTACGGAGCTACGGAGCTATGGAGCTACATTCTTTTAGATAGGACTTCGGTCTATCAGCCACTCATGAATTGTTTCTATATAACATCTTTCTCTTGTCTCCATGAGGCACTTATTCATCAAACTTCTTCTTCACTGAACTTCAGTACGACTAAAGCGTACTCGGCCGGTCTCTTTAATGCTGTATAGAAACTCTACGAACTATTGTATAAAGTATGAAGTGATCCTTCAGGCAGACTTGAAGTCCTCAAATTGATGCAGGCTTGAGTTTGATGCATAACAGATGTATTTCAGAACACCAAAGGCTTTGACCAAATAGACAAGAATGAAGGAAAATGAAATAGAACCCAGGTCAATAGTACAGTATGTTGCAGTGGAGATACCTGATAGTCACCACCGCGGAAAGGTAACGAACACCATAAAACAGAAAAAAGTCGATCTATACCCCACGCAGATCACCGTGGTATGGAGACCAGATACCACGTACACTCTCGTTCAAACTTGTGACAGGCTTCTTGGTCCGCTTCAACTTCTCTCCGCTTGCCTCCTTGAGGAGATTGGCCTTCTTCAGGATCTCGCTGGGCTCCAGGTTCCGTACACAGACAGGCTTCTCGCGTCCATTAATGTAGAGGCCCTTGATGAGGGGGTGCTTTTGGGGTCGGGGAGAGACACGGATCTCGATCTGGGGGTTTTGGCGGGCAAACTGCTTGAGGTTGTTCTGCAGGAAGGCGCTGTGAAGTCCATTGTAAGTTTCCTAATCTGAAAGATTGATTGGAGATGTCAAAAGAAAGCTTACACCATGCCCCTTGAGCTGCCTCCGGAGTTGCAAAAATGGAAGTCAAGGCGTTTGCATTGTAAGATAAAGGCGCCGGCGCCGTTCTAGATGGGTCAGCGAGGGGCATCCAAAGGGTCATTTAGACAGCAATTGTACACACCTGGGCCGTTGTCGCCGTTCGGATTCCACGGACAGGCATTGTTATCGTTCGTTAATTGTACGTTGTCGATGTATTCGCGGTGGCTTCGGGGCATTTTCTGGTGCACGTGATGAGGTAGGGCGGTGAGCTCAAGCGCCAATAGCGGCTGCAGCGCCAGCTTACACGCTAAGACCAGCGCGAAGCTCTCACTCCTGATCTCAGGCGAGAACTATCTCAAACTTCAGCTTCACCCCACCCTTGATCTGGTTCTCACCAGGTCTATCGTGACAATGACTGACAAACTCCCACCACCACTGTTGGCCTTGTTCCAACCCCGTCCCCCCCTTCGTTATTTGGTTCCAACCGATCCCGCACCAGAGGACTGCAAGAAGAGCACTATCTCCGGTGTCGCTCAGTATCTTGCTGACGCCAAGGCCAACCCCGACGAGATCCCGTACAATGCGACTGAAAGCTGGCTGCAGCGGAAGGCGCGCCAGGCTGTAGAGAAGAAAGAGAATCAGGAAAAGCAACTAACAGAAGGGGTGCAAAATTGTATGTCTCCTCTTCCCTGATCATTGATTATCATGTCACGATACTAACACAATTATTTTTGCTCACAGTCGATCCCCAGAACGATCCCCATGCTCGCGGTGATCCCTACAAGGTTCTCTTTGTTGCGCGCCTCAGCTATGATGTCAAAGAATCCGACCTGGAGCGGGAGTTTGGTCGCTTTGGCCCCATTGAGAGAGTACGTTTCTTTTGGCGGATCTCATTTTTGGCAATTATAATGGCTTACGTTTTGGTTTTAGATCACCCTTGTCAAAGATACAGTATCAGACAAGCAGAAGAAAAAGCCCCACCAAGGCTACGCGTTTATTGTCTATGAGCGTGAGAAGGACATGAAAGGTATCACTGCAACACCATTCCCTTTCTGGCACTAAAATTACCCGTGTGTTCCAGTTTGCGGTAAGATATATTGCTGACACTAGTTATTTCCCTACTATCAGCGGCCTACAAAGAAACAGATGGCATTCGGATCAAGGACCGACGAGTCCTTGTAGATGTCGAGCGTGGACGTACCACTAAAGGATGGAAGCCCCGTCGCTTTGGTGGTGGTCTCGGAGGACGTGGCTACACTAAGGCTATGCCAGTTCGACCCGGTGGTCCGGGATTCAACGCACCATCCGGGCCCGGTGGCTTTGGAGGTGGCTTCCGTGGCGGATTCGGTGGCAGAGGCGGTGGATTCCGTGGAGGTGGTGGAGGTGGTGGTGGAGGCTTCCGCGGTGGTGGTGACCGTTTCGGCGGCCCTCGTGGTGGTATTGGATATCAAGGCGGTCGCAACGGCTTTGGTGGAGGTGGACAAGCACCCCCTAACGCTCCCTCTGGTCCCGGTGGTGGCCGCAGTGGAGGCTTCCGAGGAGGCTTCGGCGGTGGTGATCGTGGTGGTGGCAGATTCGATCGTGGTATTACTGGAAGCAACTCAGAGCCCGTCCGACCCAGAGGAGACGGCTATGGTGACCGTGACCGCCGTGACGACCGCGACGACCGTTACAGAGATCGCCGTGATGACCGCATGGGAGACCGAAATGGCGACCGAGGTGGGGATCGTTACCGGGACCGTGATCGTGAGCGCGGTGGTGGTGACAGGTATGGTGGTAGCAGTGGCGGCCGGGAAGACTATGGCCGTAAGCGACACCGTGAGGATGACGGAGGACATGATGACCCTCGCTCCAGGAGAAGATACTAGGTCTTTCCTTTTCTCTCGGACACTGCCTTTAATCTTTTCAGTCCTGATTGACTGGTGGGTATCACTGATTTGCCCAGTTCTACGGCTCTTCTCTTGCATGGGTAAGGAGTCTATCAACACGCCCATCACATTTCGGATGCATATCATGACCCTGACAAAACATGCCATGTTTTCCAAAACTCACGCGAAATCTGCTTCATGCTACGCTTGGAAGTATTCATTTTCTCCCCTGTTGGTCCACATGCATACCAGTGAACAGATCAGGTGAATATTCATGAACTGCTTGTATTCCCCGTTTTCATATCTTTATATTGCCCGGCGTTGTTCTTCTTCGATTGTGTTTCAAAGTTCCGTTTTTTTTTCTTTGGTCTCACTTTTTATACTGGTCCTGATGGGGGTTTCATTTACTCTCTCTCCGAGGATAAGTATTTGTATTTTAGTCGGTCTTCTGCGCGAAACATGAACTATGGAATCAAGTGACGCCCAGGTAAGACCAGGTAAGAACCTTGATAGGGACTGAAAGCAAGTGACTTGCTAGTCAGATGCAAATCTATGTAATACAACTAGCACCTCTGCACTACGATGTTCAAGGCTCCTGAAATAGTAATAAGTGACTTGTATAGACTTTTTTTTCGACCTGGTATCCAAATCTTATCATAGGCTCATGATCCAGAAGAAGGCCCTCCGGACAAAGACGAGAGAAATAGAGGAATGTAACACAAGTCTTCAAGGTATTTGCAAAGAAAGCGCCCTCACCAAACTCCATAAGATGCCCAGCAGAGTTCTTTTTTTTTCAGCCACACGGAAGCCGAATGGGAAAGAGAAAGAAGAAAAACGGAAAAATCAAGAAAAAGATCCCATCTATGCATCAACCTCCATGCCACCCTGGCTCTCCAGGATCTTAACCTCCTCGCTGCTCCGGGTCCAGCAAGCCTTGAGGTCAACCTTGAACTCGGAAGAAGTAACACCGAACATCTTCATCAGTGTCGTCTGTCGTGAGTCCAATGTCTCGCCCTTACGGCAAACGGGGTAACCCTCCTGGCCCTCAGTCAGCTCAAGCATAACCTTGCCCTTGACGAGGCGAGTGGGAACACCGAGCTTGCGGAGAGCGGGCTCAATGGTGTGGCTGATGGGCTCGTCATCCTCGACGGGGATCTCGCCGGCACGTGCGGTGACCAGGCCGTTGGGGATGGTGAAAGAGCGGGTGGCTTCGGTTCCAGCGCGGGCAAAGTCCTGAGGGCGGAAGCTTTCAAAGTAGCCGATCACTGATTCCGGGGTGCGCGAGGTGAACAGAAGTCCGACGGCGCCGGTGAGGTAAGGAGTGAGCTTGTGAACGTTGGGAGCGGCTTCGCTCTCGGCGTTCTGGCCGAGGGCCTTGGCCATGACCTTGGTCTTTCCGAAGAAGACACTGCAATGGGGCAAAGACGTTAGATTACGTTTCTTAGGTGTGAAGACATGCATATCAATATTTGATATCAGATCTAGCGCCGGTGTTCTGGCGCTTTTTCCGATACGATACTTCATTGCAACGACTGTCTGAGGGATTTCCGCTTACCGGCTGTCACCGAACTCAGTGCGCACATCCTTCAGATAGGTGTTCCGCATGTTATCGACCGCAAAGACGAAAAGATGGTCATATTCCTCGATACATTCCCGGATGTTGGCGTACAGACGGCGGGTCTGCTCCTTGTGATCTTTCTTGGCAGTCTTCGACTCGTGGACGACGCGCGCACGCTTTGAACGAGGCATGATGAATTATGGTAGAATTGGTGAATCAATGAATTCGGACAAGAGGTTGAATGTTTCCCCCACAGACATTTTTTCTTCGCTGATAACCGGATTAACATGGGACCGGGCTTATCCAACGCTAACCTGAATGGGGAAATCAGCTGTGATCCTCAGGGTCAGTTCAACTTCATCTCTCCAGCGCTCTCTGTTTGTTGGTCTTGAGTGTGTATATTCACATTGTTGCCTGCAGAGGCTAAATCTGTAAAATGCTGGATTTTATGGACTACATCCAGCTCTCCTTCGCCGAGGCGACCAACTGGAATCGCGACAATTCGTACTCCTCTCTAACGACCACCACTCAATGTATGTAACTGACATTCAATCCTCCGAGGACGCGACATGTCTGAACTATTGACTAACAAACTTGGCGCAGCAATTCTTGATTTCTCGACTCCGGAACGGTTACGAGTTCATCTTTCTTCGCTATCAACGCCTCATTTCGCGACAAGTTATACCCTCGGCACCGTTGGATTACTCGATGGATCAGTATCCTATCTCTTCAGCACAATCCCTTTCAACAACCTTCCAAGTCGAAGCGCACTGATCCCGCTTCGCAAAATCTCCCCGGGCTATCGCCAAGTTCAGGCGCCAACAGCCCCCGCACAAACCTGGGGATGGGACTCCCTGCTAGACGGCGTGACCATTCCCGGGCTCAAGGAAGGGAACCGCAAGGATGGAGAGAACGACGCAGAAGAAGAATCCAAGCGCAAAGCAACTCTTCTCTACGCCTCTCTTCACCTACCGCCTCCCACAACTCTCTATGCGCTCTTCCTGCGCAGGATCTCAACCACAATGCAACTTTCACTAGCAGTCTGCTCAACACAAGGACCGCCATTGTCCAAATCGGCACCACAGGCCTCAATGCTCACCCAATTATCCCATGACACAGGGAAATACAGTAACGAGTACTTGTTCAGCACAGACAATGCCCTCTTCGGCTGGCGAGGACTATGGAATTTCGGCCCAGACCCTCGATACATACGCGACGATGCGCCGCCACCACTTTCCCTGCTGTCCGCAGGCGCAGAGGCATACTACTCTCCAGTATCTTCACTAATCGGCATGTCCACGGGTCTTCGCTTCAGCACATTACCCGCAGCCACCGAAGTCCCCTCATCACCACGCTCATCATCAACAATCTCAAAATCAAAATGCTCGCCCACCCCTACACCAATCTCAACATTTCCCTATACACTGACACTAACTTTGACCCCAATAACGGGCTCCCTATCTACAACATACTCCCTCCGCGCCTCGCCCAACCTCGCCTTCAGCTCCCGCTTCGGCTTCAATGTCTACAGCTGGGAAAGCGAGATGGTAGCCGGCTGTGAACTATGGCGCCAAACTAAGAAGTCAAAGAACGGCGATGACGACGGTCTCGAATGGGCCCGTCGTAAGATGCGCTTGCATGATATCGGCGCTTCCCTGCCTGGTTCACCGGCCTCCCCGCTCCTAGACGACCCGGCTCGTCCCGAATCCTCCCCTGGCTCCGAGAAGAATGGCGAGGCGGAGGTTAGTGACTCTGTCATTAAACTGCGCGTTGATCAGTCTTGGAATGTCAGGTTACTCTGGGAGGGTAGGGTTAAGGAGTTGCTGGTGAGTGCTGGTGTCGGGTTAGGGCCCGGTTCGTTCTCACCTTCGCCTTCTCTTTCGGCGAGCGGCTCGGCCCAGAGTGGAGGCGGGGGTGCTGGGATGTCGTTCTGGCGCGGAGTTGGCGTGTCTGTGTTGTACTCGTCTTAGATCTACGCTATGTATGCGTTATTGCTTTACTATGGAGTATTCATGCTGGGACGGCTGCACCGCTGTCGAAGCGACGATTATGTGGTTTCAAGATATACTTTCATCATTGTACATAAGATTCATGACAATATATGTGACATTCCAAGCTTTTTATCTCTACCTGGTGCCTGCTCCCCAGAGCTATTTGCTCTTATCCTAGGGTACTGCGGGGTATTAATTTATTCTGAGATACCCTTAGATGCGGGCGTTGATGATGTCGACGACTAAAATAGTTATTAGTATCAATTGATATTTCACTTTGCGGTGTGTAAATCAACTTACAGGCAGGCTTCAAGCTGGCGCCGCCAACAAGGAAACCGTCAACGTCGGGCTGGGTAGCGAGCTCACGGCAGTTCTTCTCGCTGACGGAGCCACCGTAGATGACGCGAACGCTGTCAGCAGCCTCAGCAGAGATGGTCTCGCTGAGCCACTTGCGGATAGCGGCGTGAACCTCCTGAGCCTGCTCAGTGGTAGCGACCTTGCCGGTACCGATAGCCCTAAAAAGCCGTTAGCGATCTTCCAATGCATTGATACAAAAGACGACGAGGTAAGTTCATACCAGACGGGCTCGTAGGCAATGACAACCTTAGCCCACTGCTCCTTGCTGAGCTCCTTGGCAGCAGCATTGAGCTGGCGGGTGACGACCTCGATGGTCTTGTTGGCCTCACGCTCCTATACAAAAATCGGGTGTTAGCGGGATGGATTTACAGAAGCAATAAAGTAATAGCCGGCATTGTCCCGATGTGGGTCATCGGGACGAGAATAAAACCGGGTGTAAATGACGTACCTCAAGGGTCTCACCAATGCAGAAGATGACGGAAACACCGCCCTCAACGGCAGCCTTGGTCTTGCGGGCAATGAACTGTTCGATGCAAGTTAGTGGGGGTGTGTTCGTTGGTTTAGATTTGCAGATGGTTGAGCCTCCAGGGAACTGTATATATGCATACCTCGTCGGTCTCCTTGAGGATAACACGGCGCTCGCTGTGGCCAATGACAGCCCAGTCGATCTTGGTATCGCGGAGCTGCTCAACGCTGATCTCGCCGGTGAAAGCACCGTTGGGCTTGTCGTAGACGTTCTGGGCAGCAACGCCGATGTTGGCGTTGGCGAGCTCACGGGTCAGGGTGAGGTAGAGGGCGGGGGGAGAGATGACGACCTCGGTGGAAGAATCGAGCTTAGCGTCGTTGAGGTTCTTCACGATGCTGGTGATGCTCTCGGCAACACCGTTCCTGTATAGAGTCAATTGCGCGTTCTTTCGCAGATGGCGTGACGATGGAGGGGTATCGACACGGAGCAATGAAGCTCGATCTGACATACATCTTGAAGTTACCACCGACGAAGAATTGGCGAGGCATGATGTATGTGGAAGATAAAAAGGATGTAGAAGAAGGATGAAGAAAGTTGGTACGGAGAAGAGAGTTAGAGGGGGAAGTAGAATTAAATGGAGGGGCAGCTCGGGCTGTCGCCTGAAATATCGGGCCACAACTATGACATAACCGATCTGAGGTCCAAGCCAGAGGCATCTGGCCCCATCGAACTATATGCACGTCGGGGAAATGTGGAAGTAAATGTCTCATTGCTGTTCACTAAAGTAAATGAACGTTATAACATTATACTATGTATGCATTCTATTCAGAGCTAATCATGTAGTCAATATAGATCGAATAGATCTCTATAAGCATCTAGCCACACATTTTATAAGTACTTACAACCATTCTCTCATTCATGTTCATCTAGTATCCGAAAAGTGATAATTTGACAACAAACAAATGGCCCATTGAACATTTCCTCCCATGACAGGTATAGTGCCACCCAGATTCAGTTTAGGCCGAGCAAGTCGAGATAATTGCACCCAAGACATACATTGCGCGGACAGGAATACTTAAAAAAAAAACCACTCCATAAAAAGCAGAAGAGGGAAAAAAAACTCTGGAATCATTCAGGCAGCCTCTCTCTGGTTCTTAACTGCACAGCGACAGGTGCAGCGACAGACCGGGGTAACAGTTTCACTTACGGATTGACGCTGCTCTGGCTGAAGGGCTTCAACATATGTTCTCTTAAGTCTCTTCTCGCGATGTTCAATATTTGCCTCACGATTATCAAGCAATTGGCTTCGTGTCTCATTGTCACTGATCGGTTGCATTCTGACACGTCTTCCAGACGTAGACCTGTGTGATCTAGCCCTATCAAACTGCTTTGGATCGGGTGTCTTTACTGCAGGCACTTCGTAATTCCCGCGAAGAGGAATGCTTCTCTCTTGTCTGCGATCAAAACTGTGACTATCTGGCTTTCCTCGGGTGGGACTTGGGGCCCGGCCACGAGGGCTGCCAGGTTGAGGAATGCCAGGCTGTTGTCTAACGTAAGGTCGCCACGGTCGTCCCTCTTGATTACCGTTGTACGTGGATTCCGAGTCTTCGCTTTCAGAGGTTTCTTTAGATTCCTCAGAAAGGTTCGAATCCGCGTATTCATCGCTGCTGCCATGGGATGACCAGTCTGACGAATTATCGAAGCTCGTCTCGCTGCGGTTGATAGGGCCAAGGACTAAACCCTCCATAGCAATGTCGAAGCTGGTTGACTTATCAGGTGCCACAATCTGATCTCGCTTTGTCCAGTGACTCGTCTCCATGCCAGGACCCGATGGTCTGGCCACTGGGACCCCGACCTTCGATCTGGTATACATCTGATTCTTTGGCATTTTCAGAAGAATGACATTCATTTGGACTGTTTCGCATTCTCCATAGCGAGCATTAGGGGCCTGAGAAGGCTGTGTGATCTCTTTGGCGTAGACAAAGGTCCACTCAACTTGTGGATGCCTGCGACGTTGTTCGCGTATCAGTTGCATGATATGCGCTCGTTTGTCATTGGATGATAGATTTTGGTACTGTTGCATCACAGACTTCTTGCTGCCTCGCTTCTGCACGAGATAATGGAGTTCATGTTGGCTGCATTTCATGTCGATTCGTTCCGCGCGCGTCCATGGTGCACTTTGCCCTGGGACAGGGTCCGCTTGGGAGTAAGTGTACCCCTCGTACTCGTAGGCGGGACGATTTCGCTCGAAGTTGCCTGCAGAGCTTTGTGGGAAAGAATAAGAGCGGGCGTCGAGCTGTTTTGGCTGGCCCAGACTTTCACTATTGTTTTGAGGCTGCTCCAAAGGGCTGTTGGCAATATCACATTTAGAGGGAGTCATAGTTTCGATGTCCACCAGATATGAGGTTTGAGATTTGGATTGGAAAGGAGAAAGGAAAGAAAAGCCTTAGCATATTTCATAGCAAGAGAAGTCTGAACTTGCAAAGTTCGTTTCTTATAATGATTCCATGACCGTCCTCTTTGGTTGAATTCGTATTCTGTCAGCCTCCCAAGGCTTTACCCGGGCACGACAGCCTCATTACAAGCCCATCGCCAGCCAACCAATGAGGTGAACCTAAACAACTTACTTATTTGCCCGGGTATGGCAAAGCATTTATTTTAACCTATCTGATTCATTGTTGTCACTACCCCTCTGCCCTTTGAGGCATAGTTCCCAAGATGGCCCTGGGGGCCAATCCATGTTCTTTAGTCTTATGATCGTATCGTGACACACTATAGATATTAGGCAGCTGTTAAGCGCAGAGAGCGCAGTGAAAATTCGTATCTCATGGACGGCTCTCTGTACCGCATGGTTCGCATGCCCAGCCGCACAGTGAACATGATCATCGGGCTGAAGGATCGTGTTCTCCATAATATGACTTTTAGGCTGGTGGATCACCCCATATGGCAAACTGCTGAGAAAGCTGTATCACAGATTTGGGGTATACTCTGAGAGGATCCTACTAGCCATTGAGCGGGTTAAGAAGGAACGCAGATATCATTGGGAATAGAGTAGCCTGCGGAAACAACCAGTTTCCCAAAATACTCTATAGACCGCATGATGCTAAATGCTGGAGCCTCGAAAGCCTTTATCTCTCATTGGAGTTTGAGTCCAGCTCCGCAGCTAGTAATGCGCGCCTGCAAATGTTGAAATATGGGCCAGTTGGAATAGAATTTAGGAGATTTGAGAAGGCAGAGTGAGAAAGGGGATTGGTAGGCAATAAGAATCTCTGTCAAGGAAATGCTAAAAAACAGGCAAGGTAACTAAGTCCAAATGAGGCTTGGAACAAAAAGGCATATGCCACCCAGGTCATCAATGGCGTAGAATAAGAGAGTCGTAATCATCGTCGAAGACTGTCTAGTCTTGCTTGAAGGTCATCATCGCTCGTATTGCCAGCGCCCCCACCGCCCCCAATAGCCTGAGCGACCCGCGTCTCGTTTGCAGGGGCTTTTTGGATATCCGCAGGTGTTTCACCCAACTTGGAGTATGTTAGCTGAGATGCACTTATCAAGGCTCGGGGGATACAAACCGAAAGGTTCAAATCGACGCCGATCTCATCCAGAACTTCCTTGACAATATCTTCGCCTTCCTCTTCTTCGCCTTCCATTCCTGTAGCCTCGTCGATCGCATCGTCCATCATCTCTTGCCGTTGGTCCATAACGTCGTTCTCTCGTTCGAATTCCATAGCAATTCGTTGCAGCGCCGGAAGATTCATTTGTCTGTTCATGCTACCCAGAAGCATCGTAGCCCCCTTCATGGATTGCATCATCTGTTCATTGCTTCGAACAGTCTTCAAGGTAACAACAGTCAGCGCATGAGATAGAGGGGTAATAGATAAGACCTCGGTCGTACCTGAATGCGGAGAGAGATGGCCTGTAATTGCGTGCGCATTTGATAGAACTTTTGGATGTATCTGTTGTCGTTCTCGATTAGCCATGGCCATTGCGATCAATGAATAGCTCTGGAGAACCGACCTCCGTGTCCGGACCAAGTCCTTGGCTTGGATCTTGCAGGCTCCGACCTGTCCATTCTTCGCGCTCTTCTTGATATCTTGCACCAGTTTTTTCTCCTGGTTCTCTAGCTTCACGCGCTCTCGATCCAGCTCACGCTGTGTTCGGTCCAAGGCACGCTGATGTTTGCGCAGACGCTCGGCGGGCGTCATACGCTTGCCGAAAGCCCATTCGACAATCTAAGAGACATTGAGTGAGAAATCATACAGTGATTGAAGGCTTTGTGTAGCTTACATTCATAGTAGTAGGTAAAGGTGAATAGTTAGGTCGGGTTGGAAGGTGTTCACAGGTATACAAACAGGCAAGGCAGTGACATCAAGCGGGTAATATTACCGTTTTGTTACTGGATTACCGGGTCACATGGCCGCTAGTCCTCTTCTGGATCGACGTCATGAAACCTTGGAAATCATCTCAGCAGCAAAATCAAAACATCTATCTTTCTTGGATGGCTTTTTTCCACCAGATATTCAGCCATGAGTCAGGAATACTATCCCGGTGAGGGCTCCTCGCGAGCTAGCTCGTCCAGATTCCCAGGAGAAGAGGAGATCCCTGAAAGGAATCCGTTTTTCCCCCCGCCGACTTACATGACTGTGGGAAGCGGTTCGACCTCGGACAGCGCCACAGCTTTGATGACTTCTTTGAACCAAGATTCTGGATATGGAGGCAGCATTGCCGGCGAGAGCATGGAGGACGATCCGAACGCCGCTTGGCGTGCGGGATTGATGGAGGACAGACCGACCCCGATACATACACCAACACGTCCTGGAGAATGGAACCCTGCGGGTAAGTGATTCGAGGAGAGGCATAATTGTCGCTCATCCAGAAACAACATGAACTAACGCGTATTTTCTTTACAGCCGAGCACGAGAAGCAAGTCGTTGCTAGCCATGTTTCCCAGCTTTTATAGTACGTTGAACCTGTCGCAAACAAATTTGTGAAATAACTAGGCTCACTTTTGTCAACAGCAACTCAAACCGAACTAAGCTTGGTCGCGCAATCTCCCGGACTATCGACACTTTGAGAGAACTCCAGGACATGAATCGCCAGTGGCCCGCCCACTACCCTTCCGTACAGAGCACACCCTCCTCCGCCGGAGACAGACCTCAACTGCAGCATACTCACTCGGAGGTTGGAAATGATGACGGCAGACCGAACACTCCGCCTCGACCGGACCTGAGGCGCGCAGCCACACTGGGTGGTGAAGATCTAGCGGAATCCAGTGCCGCAGCCCAGCGTCGCGTTCCCACCGAGCCACGATTGATGACGCCACAAATTGCGCAGGAGTTTTCTATTTTGAAACTTGATCTCAAGCTCGGTGCTCTCTCTCAGGCCGAGCTGGTGCATTCCTTGGAAAAAGCTTCGATTGCTTCGCTGCTGGACGGCAAGATCAGCCAAAGCATGAAGCATCTGCTCTCATTGCGCGACAGAATCGAAGATACTTCAAGTAAGGTTTTGATTACGGGAGACTTGAATGCAGGAAAGTCAACATTCTGCAATGCTCTTCTGCGCCGCAAGGTGTTACCAGAGGACCAGCAGCCTTGCACTAGCATCTTCTGCGAGGTTCTCGATGCTCGCGAGAACTCCGGCATTGAAGAGGTCCATGCTGTGCACAAAGATACGCCATACAACCGCAACGACGAAAGCAGCTTTGATGTTTATCCTCTCAGTGAACTCGAGAACATTGTCATTGAAAACACAAAGTACATGCAGTGCAAGGTCTACGTGAAGGATGTGCGGACCATTGACGAATCTCTCCTTAACAATGGTGTTGTCGATATCGCTTTGATCGATGCACCAGGATTGAATTCTGATTCTTTGAAGACCACAGCTGTCTTTGCCCGACAGGAGGAGATCGACGTTGTTGTGTTTGTTGTCTCGGCTGCAAACCACTTCACTCTTTCTGCCAAGGAATTCATTTTGAATGCCGCCCACGAAAAAGCTTACATCTTTATGGTGGTCAACGGATTTGATCAGATTCGCGACAAACAACGATGTGAGCGCATGATTTTGGATCAGATCGGCAAGCTCAGTCCTCGCACGCACAAGGAGGCTGCTGAGCTGGTTCATTTCGTTTCGAGTAATGCTATACCTGTTGCGCCATCTTCTTTCTCGGAGTCTGGCTCCGGGGGTGGTGACGGCGGTGGCTCTGATCCTCATGATGATGACGATGATAAGAAAGACCCTAAGGGCAAGGGCAAGGAGAAAGAGAAGCTCCAAGATTTCGAGAACCTTGAAGGAGCTCTGCGACGATTCGTTCTCGAGAAGCGTTCTCGCTCCAAGCTTGCGCCTGCCAGAACTTATCTTCTCAATCTCTTGGCTGACCTCGGATCTCTTGCCACCGTCAACCGTGATGTTGCCCAAGCAGAGCTCCAACGAGTCACCAATGAATTGGCAGAGCTTGAACCAGCCTATGAAAATGGCAAGAAAAGGAAGGGAGAGCTTGCAGAGGGTGTCAACAAGGCCATTGATGAATCCTGTGATGATGTCTACAACCACACTCGTTCCACTCTGACCGACACTATCACGCGTGTCTCCGACGCAGACTTGGGTGTTGAATACCCCGGCCTCTTCTCGGCATTCCAATACGCAGAAGACTTGAAGTTGGCAATGCTCGATCAGATTGCTTCATCCGTCACTAACTGTGAGGACTATGCCCGGGAGAAGACAGTTCAGGGAGTTGGTTTCATCCAGAACATCGGCATTTTGCACATTGGTGAAGACAAGTTCACTCCACTCAATTTCCGTGCGGATGCGATGTTCCGTCGTGGCCGTCGCCACACCTTCGGCCGTCAAGTTGACACTGAAGTTGAGCTTTGGGATTTCTTTGATATTGCCGGACTCTGGGAGCGCCAGGAGAAGATGGCAGGAACCGGTGTTGCAATGACCGCTGTCACCGTTCTTGGTGGCAGGGCATTGGGTGGATTCAGCTGGGTGGACAGTGCCTTGAGTGCTGTCAAGGTCATTGGCCCGAACAACATGCGCCGAATGTTCCTTCCCAGTCTTCTTGCTGCTGGTAAGTTTTGATTCTTATTCTAACTCATACATATTTACTAACCCTCCACTAGCCGTCCTTACCGCTGCTTACGTTCTCAACTCTATCCCATCTACTCTGCCGCCGCGTCTGTCACGGAAGATTGCCGCCACTCTCAATGAAATGGACTATGTCCACTCAAATGCCAACCGAATCTCGACTGAGGTTCGCCGTATGCTGCGTATGCCTGCTGGCAACCTGCAGACCAGTCTTTCCCAAGACATCGAGGACCTCGGCAGACGCAAGCAAGAAGTCACCAAGATCAAGCAGGAAAGCGATGTTGCCACTAAGTACTTCTCGAACCTGTTCCGGGAGAGCACTGACAACCGCCGCTCCGTTGAAACCCTGGATCTTGATGCGCCTCTGCCTGGTGGAATGGCTGCCGCAATGCAGTAAACCATCCATTTGCGTTTGTACAACTACTGATGATCTCCACGAACTTCCTTTTCTCCCCTTTCTTTTCCATAACCTTGTACAATTTGCATCTTTCACTTTCTCGTTCTCCTTTTCTTTTTTTCATAATCTGCAGTGTTCCTCTGCGCAGGCCCTATAACCATTCCTGTCTTGGAGTTTATTTGTCTTCGTCGGCTTTTCTTGTCTTTCGCGGCGTGGCGGTGTGCATCAGAGGAAGTGTGCAGTTCTTATCCAAGATTCCCATCTGAATTGAAATCGCGTTGTTTTGCTACGAAGCTCCCGTGTTCCTCAATCTTTCTTCCGCCCAAAATACCCAGCCTTTAGAGGCTGACTCCTGCACGTAGAGCTCGAGACTGCAGTTCGCACGTCCATTCATTCCTCTTGTCATCGGCCTGTTTCTTGTTCAGGATACTTTAGCTGTTGTTCGTGTAATATACTGGATGATTCAATGAATAGCATTATCACTGCCAAATTCGAGATATCACTCGCTCAAATCAATAGATAGACCAAAGAAGGCGCCATTCGCAATGCAATGCCATGTCATGCCGTGTTTTCGCCAGTAAAGAAAATACAGTGGAAAAAGAAACCAAGCCTCACCACACATGCCCATCGAACATAAGTCACTCATCATCATCAAGTTTAACAGGCTGCTTCCTCGTTCTCCGTCCAGATGCCCATCCAATATCCTCCAATTCCCGTACCTCCCCCACAAGCACACCGGCCCTATCATTTTTCTTATTGGACACCTTGCCAGCATTTTTCAGGAACTGGGCCCTCATAGCTGCAGCATCGGGATCCTCATAATCCAGCTGTGTCATTTGCGGTTCCTGGTTTTCCTCATCTTCCTGCATATGCACCGGTCGATCATGAAGGAAATCGAAATTCCCACCACTGAGCATTGACGATAGACTCTGTTCGACGCGGCTGTTGCTCCGAGATATCGAGTTGTCTCGTGTGGGGTTAGCGCTCTCAATTGCGCTGCCCAACCCGTCATCATTTAGTGTGTCGACTGAGCTGGCACGTGAAACGGCCGACGGGCCATCTAGCATTCGATTTGAGGAGGCGCGGCCGAGCAGGGGTTTGCGCTTTCGCGGCTGTGGGAAGCTACCGTCTTCGTTTGTTGGTGTGCTTTCGGATTGTTGGCGTGACTTCGCTGCTCGGGCTTGTTGGAGGAGTCCACTTAGGGCTGTGTCGAGTGCCGATGGGCCCGCTGCTGGTGCTGGGTCTGCACTTGGCGTTGGTTGTCTTGAGTTCCCTTCCTCTGTCGTTGGCTTGTCGGGTGCATTTTCTGGGGATGGAGAGCGGGATTCTGGGACTGAAGGTTTCGGGGCGTCATCTTCGAAGCCATCGCCAATGACTGGCACTGTTCGGCTTGAATCGGTCCTCTTCAAACCTCGCTTCTCGATGTTGAGTTTTGTTGATATGGTGGAAAGGTTAGGTGGAATACTCTCTCGTTGTTCACTGTCGTCAAGGGGCTGTTTTCGCTTTGCAGATGCCGCTGTAGATTTACCTGCGCTGCTAGAATTTTGAGATGTTCCACGTCGAACAAGATATGGCTCAAATGGCTTCTTCTGGCCAGTTTGTATAGATATCCAAAGCCAGTCGGCGGACACTGCCGGAACTCCCCATTCAGCAGTGTGTCGCAGTTTGTCTAAACTCGCTGTTTGAGGATCGTTGCAAATGAGAATTGATGCTTTCTCTGTGAGGTAATCACCATAAGTGGCGCCCATTAATACAACCAGTTTGCGCACATGTAGAAGATCGATGCCTCCAAAGCCAGTAGAGCATACCCGCATTCCCGAGAATCCTAACTTTGTTAGAGCAATTTTCTTTCTTGGATTCACAGATATCCTTCCTACCTGGTATGGGAAACTTCGGGAAAGGTGTGCTTGCAACATGGGACTCCGGTGGGACAAAAGCCTTTGTTCCGATGCATCTTTCCAACCACATTTCAGTGACAACCTCACATTCAAATGCCAAATCATCCGTTGAAGGGATGTCTGACCTGGGGGTTTGGTATGGCACCATGATGTATAGCCCATGCCCTGTCTTTGGGATTCTAGGGCTAGAAAACTCACTCAGCGAGTTCACGAGTTGGGCCCCGTTATAGGTGAGATGATCCCGCAGAACGCTTGTCTAGGGAGTGTAAGCTGAAGCATCGGTAGGCAAATTATCTGAGGACAAACCTGTTTGGTAGAGAATCCTTTGATGAAAAAGTACGTCTCGTGTAAGAACCCATTGTCTTTTGAGGGTTTCGCGGGCTTCTGGCTAGTCTCCATATTCTCAGAGAATGTGGTTTCACTGGCAAATGACTGATATGCCTGTATGACAGGTTTGGGACCCTCGGAGCCTCGTCTGTGGGGTGTTGTTCTTGGTCCATTTGCTTGAATATTGTCGAATCCCGTTCCCACGATATCTCCCCAGATGCTTTCGTTCTGGTCCACAAGTTTGGTACTTGCGATCCTGCGTAGTTTTCTAGGTCGTGGGTTCATAGGATTTTCGTTTGTGGCAGGGTTGTCCTTTTTAGATGGCTCTCTCTCCATTGGCGCGGTTCGATTCCATGAGCCTAGACCTTGTTCAGCTGGTGGAACCAGCGGGTGATACCTCTCTTCGCCGAGGATCATTCCACGCTCGATACTGTCTGTAAACCACTTGACTGAAACGACTTTGATGTTCCATTGTGTTGCGAATTTATACTTCTCGCCCTCCGAGTTGCGCGCAATAAGATGGGTCACGGATTTGGTCAGGTCTTTTCGGTATTCAGCGCCATTCTCTTCTGTGGTCTTCTGCATGTATGAACGGAAGGGAACTGCAGCACCTTGGTTAGCATTGCTCCAGGCGCAACCATGGCAATTGGCCACTCACGATCTGAAAATCCAGTGATGCAAATCTTGAGTCCATGTAACGTGGACAATTTATATTGGATTTCCAGCGCGTGGATGTCTATATCCTCGCCCTTTGTCCACGACTCTCGAACAGCCTCGATCCAGTCTGGGTTCATAGCCACCACGTCATTTCGTTCTCTTGCGACAAATCGGTACTTGTCACTGTTTGTATCACCCACGAGTAAATGAGTTACATCCGAGGTAAGGTGGACACTGTGCATCGCGCCCATTTGTTCCGCCATTTGGGTCAGTTGAGTCTGCGCAACAAACATGCGAGTTAGCCTGTCCTAATGGTTTTGCGGGGCGATTGAACCTTCTATGACATACCCGTTGCTCAATTTGAACTGACGTAAAGCAAATGACTACACCCGTCAGAGGGTAGTCTTTGTCTGTATGGTCTGTTAGCAAAGCAAGTCCGATTTGGGAGATTCCAGGGACTCCACGTACTCAGGGCTGCCATATCTGCCATTCTTCATGGTCGCAAAAGTCAGTCTGCGTCAGAAATAGCGTCCTTCTCGAGACGTTTCCACGATTGGTTGTTGGGATCGTTGGCTTCTGCATTCTCGTCCCGCGCGTTTTGCGGTGATGAAGATCACGTGATGTCGCGATTGCCTTGCATATGCCTGGGGCAAGTGAGAATATGGTCTGCACTTCAATTGATTGTCATAATTGAGTAGAAAGTAATTCTTTGCTATATATTAGAGTCTAATGACGCAAAATTCTGAGGGTGTTGTCCAGAAATGGGAGCACATTCAGAGTGCAAACTGAACTATATATTCCTGTCTCATCTATACGTCAGCATGATATTTTGAAACTGTAAAAGGGAACACTATATCCTGAAATACACGAGCTATATCAAATTAAGCAGATTCCATAGTTTCAGCTACATCATCAGTCCACAATCGAGTAATATCAACTAAAACATCCAATGTTGCTTGTTAATACCCCAGATTCAGTCGATCCATCCTTATCAGTCACGTGTGATAGTCGCGTCCCCTACGCGTTGGCTGAAAATCATCTCCGAATCCACCGCGACCCTCATCTTTGTTTGCCTCCCCTTTCAATTATATGCATATTGTGATATCCAGGGCGCGGGGCATACACAGGATAAAAACACTCTCTTTGCTGCGCCCAAAGAGACTTACCTCATCTCCGTATTCTTCCTCGTCTCGACCCGCTCCGGAGGAAGCGACAATGTTTAAAAAAGCCGTGAAAGACGCCCCCACTGGAGGGACTTCGAAACCGCTTCAGTCCAACCTCCTACGGACCAACATACATGCCCCTGCGAAGCCAGCCCCACCGCAATCCGTCGGAGTCAAACGAAAGATCGAGGTGGCCCATAATGGAAATTCCGCGCTAGGATCTCTCCATAGCGCTGTTTACTTTGATGAAAACGATTTTGATGATGATCTCGACCTCGACATTGACGAACCGCAGCCATTGATTATACCAAGTGCGGCTAACACCAACACCGCATCGAAGACAGTCACATATCCAAGTCTTGATAGCAACTCCGCCAATCCGACAGATGTCAACTACCCAGATCTCCCACCTGTCTCTCAAGATGACCCAGCTCCCCCGAGCAGCTTGCAGTTTCCGTGGTCTTCATCACCTCCTTCTCACTTTCAACCTCCACCCAAACCTCGAACCCTCCCCTGGCTGCAGGAAGAGAGGGAAGATGCCCCTCGCACAAAGAATAGCCATATCACGCCAAAACGCCCAAAGCCCACCGACTTTTGGAACAAGTCTGCGAGTGCTATCAAGGAGGAACAGAAAGAGTTGCGTAAGGAATACAAGAAGAACCAAAAGCCGGAGATCAAACCACAAAAGCAAGGCCGCACGAAGGTTGCATCGATTTTCTTGAGTGATGAACAAAGAGCTGTTCTTGATGCAGTTGTTGATGGTGGAAAAAGCATATTCTTCACTGGTTCTGCAGGAACCGGAAAGTCGGTTCTTATGCGGGAGATCATTCAGAAACTGCGTATCAAGTACCGTAAGGAGCCTGATCGCATTGCAGTTACAGCTTCGACAGGTCTTGCAGCCTGTAACATCGAAGGTGTAACACTTCATAGCTTTGCAGGTATTGGTTTAGGCAAGGAGGCTGTTCCTGAGTTGGTCAAGAAGGTGAGGTCTTTTTACCATGCATAAGAATTCTTGACGCTAACAGCCTACAGGTCAAGAAAAATCAAAAAGCTAGGAATCGCTGGCTACGTACCAAGGTTCTCGTTGTTGACGAAGTGTCTATGGTTGATGGTGATCTATTTGACAAATTAGAGGAAATCGCCAGACGCATTCGCAACAACGGTCGGCCATTTGGAGGAATTCAACTTGTCGTAACAGGAGATTTCTTCCAACTGCCACCCGTACCCGAAGGAAGTAACCGCGAGGCCAAGTTTGCCTTTGCGGCTGCTACTTGGACAACTTGTATCCAGCATACAATTCTTTTGACCAATGTTTTCCGTCAAAAGGACCCAGAGTTTGCTGAGATGTTAAACGAAATGAGATTGGGAAAAATCAGTCCTCGTACGATCGAAGCTTTCCGAAAGCTTTCTCGGCCGTTGGACTTCCATGACTCCCTCCAAGCAACAGAATTGTATGTTCTTCACACCAATACTTGAAATTCATAACTAACAATCGACAGATTCCCAACTCGCGCTGAAGTGGAAGGAGCTAACTCTGCACGAATGAACAGACTCTCTGGCGAGGTAATGATGTTCAATGCCGTGGATTCCGGAACGATCCAGGATCCCCAGCACCGTGAGAAGCTTCTGTCTAACTGCATGGCTCCTCCTCTCATTCAATTGAAGAAGGGGGCTCAAGTGATGCTCATCAAGAACATGGAAGAATCCCTTGTAAATGGGTCCATTGGACGTGTGGTAGCTTTCATGAGCGAAGAATACTTTGACTCATACCGCGAAAACGACAAGGACTTTGCTGAAGATGCCACTGCGAGCGATGAAGAACGGGCCATGCGTGCCAAGAAGAAGCTTAAGCCGATGGGTTACAAGGAAGGGCCGGCTTCTGTTACCCGAAAATGGCCATTGGTATGTTTTATGCAGCCTGATGGATCAGAGCGCCACTTGTTATGTCAACCAGAAACCTGGAAGATTGAACTTCCCAATGGAGAGGTACAAGCTCAACGCCAACAAGTTCCACTGATCTTGGCATGGGCTTTGTCCATTCACAAGGCCCAGGGACAGACCCTTCAGCGTGTGAAGGTCGACCTTGGTCGAGTGTTTGAAAAGGGCCAGGCTTACGTTGCTCTCAGTCGAGCAACATCACAAGAGGGATTGCAAGTCACCCGATTCGAGCCTCGCAAGGTTATGGTACATCCCAAAGTTGTGGAATTCTATAACAACTTGGTCTCGATCACACAAGTTGTCAAAGCAAAATCCAAACCAACGAGTGCAATTAACCCCGAAGACTTCGACGATGACGAGTTTTAAGCATATAAATGCTGAAAATGGGGAGAGAGGAGTGGGATCATTGTTCCCCCCTGCAGGGCATGTTGCATGCTAAAAGAGTATTGATATCCAATGAAATTTAGAATATTTGTTATCAAGTACATATGTGAAGCTGTTTTCTTACGATGAGGCTCATAGATTCGTTCACACCTTTATCGCTGCACATTATAACGTTACCTATAAGAGATCTAGGGAGCCCGAGGTACTCAAAGCTGGGCAGAAAGTGACGAGAAAAAGGTGAAACAAGAGGGGTCAAGGGAGGGACCCTCCAAAATATCGTATAGCAATAATCCGATACCAAGCACTATGCACATGGCCTTTGTTGATGATCGATAATCGCAAACGTCACCGTATGCAACTATTCACCAGCCAGCCCTAACCTCACCCCACTCACAATCGATAAACATGATAGTGGATAAGCAATCGCACGTGACTTGCCGATTGAGCTGCCCGACAGCTTCTCATCCTATCTTGCCTTTATCGCTTTACTCCAGTCATATACCTCACCTCCCCTCGATTGATGCTTGCAACATATAATTGAAGCTCGCTATCATGGCTTCCGAGTTTATTGGCTACAATGTGTCTCTGACCTTGAGAGAACCCCCGGGCGGAAAGTTACTCGGCCAGGTTGCCAATGTAATCGGACAGCAACTACTACTTCAAAATGGTGAGATCAAAACCGGATATCATTGTTAAACTAAGTAACTAACATAGATGTAGTCACACTCTGGAATGGCCAGCGCCTGCCTCACTTCACCATTGACGCTTCTGTCATCATCGATCTTAATCTGGAAGCGAATACTTCGGCCCCTTCGCAGCGCCACCATATCCCTCAACCTCCAGCCCAGCACCATGCAGCAGCTCCCATAGCCCTTGCTCAAGCACCTATTTCACAGCAACAGTTCATGGACCCGGCCATTTTGAGTTTCTCCAAAGGCTCTCGCATGAATGCCAACCAAAGCGCCGAGAATCCCCCGCCAAACCGAGGACACCAAGCAGTACAAGACGTGGTTTCAGCCTCTCTGAATGAGCCCTTCAGTAGCTTGGAAGTGAACACAGATGGTGGCAAGGATGGACTCCAAAAGCCCGTCCAGAAACAACTGCTTCAAAGTCCTCAGGAATTGTCACCTATGAAGCAGACCCCAAAGCGCAATCGCCGTGCCAACCAAGGAAACGAAGATCGAGGATATGCCAGTAAGCATGGCGCTGCAGCAAGTACCAACCCGAAGAGCAAGGGCTGGCGCCAGACTGCATTTGTGGAGCCAGCGGGCCCTGCATTCCAAGATTCACCTGAGATGGTTTCCCGACCTGGAGCAAAGCTCCGCAAGAAGAGATCGCGCCGATATGCCGAGGATCCCAGTGACTGGGCTACCGAGGATGCGACTGACATCCAGGAGCTTGGCGAATTTGACTTCGAAAGCAACCTCTCTAAATTCGATAAGCGGACAGTGTTTGAGCAGATTCGAAACGATGACACCACCGCAGATGAAGAACGTCTGGTTAGTTTCAACCGCAGAATCAAACCTGGTACAAATGGCGGGAAAAACCTACATTGGACCGAGAATGTGCTTGATAGTCCCCAGAGCAGTGACTCAAACGGTGAAATGGAAGGAATGAGTGAAATGAAGTTGAGCAATGATAACTTGCCCGGGCGGGAACGGTCAAGAGGATCCTCGCATATCCAACCTTCTCGCAAGGACAGCGCTGGCCAGGCCGTGCCAATGGTGCCGCAACTCAGTGCGCTTGGCCGCAGCCAACTCCATGTTAATATTTCTCGTACCACGAGTCCCCGCCCAAGTCGATCCTCAGCGTCACCTATGATTGCCCCAAATGTTTCAGGTATTGGTTCGCTCAGACTCACAACCACGAATCGCAGCTGCCCGACTGTGAGTCCTCTCCAAACTCTAGAGATCGAACAGATTTCTGTGGCAGAGTTTGGAATCGCCGATGAGATCATAACTGAAAATGCAGGCCGAGGTATCGCGGAAGCTGCTGTGTCACTTCTTACTAACGATGCGGCTGCACCCACCATTCTGATCATCACCGGTAACCACCGCACTGGGGCTCGGGCTATTGCCGCTGCTCGTCACCTCCGTAACCGCGGTCACCGTGTGACTATGTGCTTGCTAGGTCTAGAGCACGAGGCTGAATTACTGGAGAACTGCCGCAAGCAACTTGACATCTTCCGCAAGATCGGAGGACGGGTGCTCAAATGGGAAGAACTGTCGGCTCGACTCGCTACCGCAGACCTGGGACCCGATCTGGTCATTGATGCCTTGCTCGGTATGCACCTTTCCTTCGACGACCTCCGTACGGACGACCAAGGTGTCGCCTTCGAAATGATTTCCTGGATGAACCGAAGCAACGTCCACGTTCTTTCCGTAGACGTCCCATCCGGACTGAACGCCTCAACTGGTAAGTGTGCTTCAAAGTCCACACCTCGGAACAACACGACTTACACGACTGAACCTGCAGGCGAAATGACCCTAGCCGAAGGTGGTCGACTTTGCGTCAATGCCACTTCCGTGGTATGTCTGGGCGCCCCTAAGACCGGTGTCCTCAATGCCCTCCTTTCAGGCGAAAGACCCTCCTGGAACGTTTCAGTTGCAGACATTGGAATTCCGCAGATTGTCTGGAGAAAGTATGGAACCCGCCGTCGACATGGAATCGATTTTGGGAACAAGTGGGTGGTTCCCTTGAAGTTTCAATCCCCGCTCCCTTAAAAATATCAAACTCCCACTCATATGAACTATCATGATCCACATGTCATAAAAGGCGTTCTTCAATTCTCGGGCGAGGTCATATAAGCGGAAGAGAGCTAGCTACTGGCTCCTTTTGCAGGCGTTCTGTGTGTGTATTCTAGAGGCGATGTTACCACTTGCATATGTATGATTACCTAGTGGACTGGTCTCTCTGTATGATTACTATGTCAAAATAATCAATGATTACAGTCTATCTTCGTTTCTCGGTGTGATCATCATGCACTGAAGCTTGAGATCCTTTTTCTAAATGAGGTTCAAGCGGTAAGTAACCCGCAAGTAAGGCCATGTAAATATTCGAACTTCTGCCAAAAAAAAACGAGCAAGTGTTATTTGTAGACCCGTCATCTGAAGCGTTCGAGGAATAAGATGATATATGCCCCTGAGAGGAGAGCGTATACTCCGTAGAGGCCGAATGCTTGGCATCTTGGCGATATGCTCCGGAGGCTCAACCCGCACTAGTCCCAAAATCGGCAAGCGTCCTTCGTCATTCGATCTCCGAAAGACTGCGTTGAAACAAGCTCAATCTACAATCTTGCAACCATGGGAAAAGGTATGCCATCGCATGATCGCCTCGTTATACAAAGTGGTAACTAATCATCTTCATATAGGAACGGATAAGCTATACGTACGCAACGCTTCCCATCTCCCTAAAACTCTCCACGCGCGCAATCGCATGTCAAATCCAGGCTAATACGTTTTCTCTAGATCACACACTCAGAGTGGGCATCCGAAGATGCCTTCTCGGCTAGCGCAGGCGCGGGCGTCTCCAAAGCCAAAAAGGGTGGCCCGCACGCCGCATTCAAACGCCTGCCATTCAATTTCTGCTCCCTTTCCCTCCAACCTTTTTCGCATCCCGTCTGCACATCTACCGGCACACTATTCGATCTCACAAACATTCTGCCATGGATCAAAAAGCACGGAACGAACCCTGTTGATGGTTCGCCGTTGAAGGGTTCTGACTTGATTAAGTTGACTATTGCGAAGAACGAGGACGGTGACTACGTTGACCCGGTTACGTTCAAAATTCTGACCGACAACACGCATATCGTCGCGCTACGTAACACGGGAAACGTCTTTGCTTGGGATACTGTGGAACGATTGAACATCAAGGGCAAATTGTGGCATGACTTGGTAACGGATGAAGAATTCAGCCGCAAGGATATTATCACGTTGCAGGATCCGCAGAATATCGAGTCGCGCAATCTCAGCTCGTTCAATTATATCAAAGAAGGGGAGGCTGGACTGGTTGAGGAGCAACAGGCTTCGGGCAGCGTCAACACCGCTGCACTTGGCAACGCAGCGAAGATCTTAAAAGCGAAAGAGGCCGTTGCTAAGGCGCGCTTGGAACGCTCTCAGCAGGCTGGTTCTGCCGCAGCTGGCTCCAAGGCTCTTTCAAAGACCGGCGCTGCAAATTCAACTACCAAGACTGGAGGTTTGCAAGGCGGAAAGCCGACGCCTTACAATGCTGCCAAATTCACTACCGGAAAGGCTGCTGCTTCTTTTACCAGTACTGGTTTGACACCACACACATCTGCCGAGCTTGCGCTACTATCAGAGGAGGAATACATGCTGAAGCGTGGCCGGGTGAAGGCTAAAGCTTATGCTCGGATCGTGACCACATCTGGGCATTTGAACTTAGAGCTGTATCCCGAATACGCACCCAAAGCTGTGTGGAACTTTATTCAGTTGGCCAAGAAGGGATACTACAAGGATGTCCCCTTCCATCGCAATATCAAAGGCTTCATGCTCCAGGGTGGTGACCCGACTGGAACCGGACGAGGTGGTGAGAGTATCTGGGGGAAATACTTCGCCGATGAGTTCGAGGGTCCCTTGAAGCACGATGCCCGAGGAACACTAAGTATGGCCAACAAGGGCAAGAATACCAACAGCAGTCAATTGTAAGGGATCTCCAGCGCCGCATATCGAATCCTCGCTAACATGCAATACCAGCTTCATCGCTTACCGTGCTCTCCCTCATCTCAACCTCAAACACACCATCTTTGGTCGTATCATTGACGACCCAACCCCTTCATCTGTTACCCTGAACGCACTTGAAAGCCACCCTGTGGAATCATCCACCAACCGACCAACACCCGATGTACGGATCAAGGACATCACCGTCTTCGTAGATCCATTCGAAGATTTCCTAGCCCAGAAACGTGCAGAAGAAGCACGGAGCTCGGGAGCCGTTCAGCCCGAGGAAGACGATGAGGCCTCGCGTCGTGTCGACGATGACCGTGTCACCTGGACTGGCAAACGAGTTCGCGGTACCGGTGCCTCATCCGGGGATGGTGACTCTGGCGTTGGAAAGTACTTGAAGGCTGCCCTGGCGGATCGAGATGGACAAGAGGAGGATGAGGTTGTTGAGTATGTGGACGAAGAGCCAGTTCCCGAGCCTGCTCGTAAGAAGGCCAAGGGAGCAGGAGGCTTTGGTGATTTTAGTTCGTGGTAATTTGATGAATGTATGAGTTCAGCTTCATCACATTGGATTTGAGGTCTTGTGCAATGGCCATTTTCTCTTCTGGGAGACCAGGAGTCTTCACATCTATTCTTGAGCCAAGACCTCGACTCGAGAACTCTATTGACGCCTATTGGATACTAGTAGATCTTGTAGGATTCCAGACTCACGCCTTTCAATTACGCTGCCTTGGTATGCTCATTGTTCTAGATCGACATATCACGCTTACCCAATGCAACATGAGAGAATGTCTTTCAGAGGAAACATATCCAATGCAGACCGGATTTGACGGAGTTAAGGATTCGAGGCGAATCCGATGCATACCATTGGGCACATACAGGCAGCAGGGACGACTTCAGGCTATGTTGAAGCTCTTTCGTGCACTCGGCATTCATCAGTCCTCTCCCTGCTGCAATAACCAGACAACACCCCGACACCGAAGCATACAACAGGGGGCAAAGTACAAGCGTCATCGACTGCGGATCAGATTAAGGGAGATCCCCCATACCCCGTACTTTAGAAGCATAAACGTGAACTTGCAGGGAAACCCAAGAAAAAGAAAGCGTCCAGAAGGCAATACTGTAATTTCCCCCCCTGAACTAAAATACTTCCTCTCCTTGGCTTTAACTCCGCTCTGCCGCTTGAGCCGTAAGAGGGCGGAGCTTCTGGAAATTAGCTGGTTTTCCTCCGGATCGCAACCTTTCAAACTTTCAACTTCTTCATCATTCCCAACTTTTGTCTTCTTCGATTTCGATCTTGATCTTTACTTGCCAGTAAGTGTGGTGCTATGTCTACTATCCTGATGCCCTCTAGTGGGGGTGAGCCCAGATGGACCTGGATGCGCATCTACCTCAAACCCCCGATGCCAGGCACCAGTTGTGGCTGTTGCACAGGATTGGAGGCATTTGGATGCTGGCGATGCTTCACTTGACATTGGAGTTGCGGTTGCCTGAATGCAGCGCGCGTCCCCTCGTGTTTCGTGATCGACTATGCGCCTCCCAATTGATCATCACGTCACCTTTCACCCCCCTTCATCTTGAAGTTTCTTCTCTTGTATCTTGAAATGCTCATGGCTGATATTTCCAGACCCTGAAAGTCTAGTCCCTCCGCTTCCGTCCTCGACCGACCCTACGTCAGTCTCGCCCCATCTTCATCCCCGCTCATACCCAACCACCACCTCCCCCAAAGCGTTCCATCCTTGTGAAAGGATTCAATCAAGCTGGCAGGTAATAAGCGCCGCAGTTTTTCTTCTCAGGGTGGGTTGCTGAACAGAATGTTCAGTGGCTCCTCGAGCCCACCCAAAGATAAGATCGACTCACTTCCGGAGACCGGCATCGACAACTCCTTGACCCTCCAGACCGACACCAGCGCGCTCAGCTCAAGCCCGCGCGACAAGAGATTCTCCCCTCCTGGTGCTGGATTCTTTACTCGCCGCCAAAGCGACGACCAGGGTCCCGCAGCCGAGAAGAAGCGCCGAAGCAGTACCGTGACTAAAGCGGCCAGCTTCTTCAGCAACGCGAAGAACTCCCTCAGCTTGAACGGCCGGGATAATTCGCTGAGCACCAGTCCCTCCATCGCCGAAAGCCCGCTACAAAAGCTCGGCAAGATGGACCCCGCACTCAGCGTCCCTCAGGGTTCATTCAACAACTCTGCCGGAGAATCCGTACCGACCGCTCGGTCGTCCTTCCGTGTTGGTGTCACAGAGGACCGGAATCGAAAATGTCGCCGGACAATGGAAGATACACATGCCTATCTCTACAATTTCTTGGGCACCCCCGCTCCGACTGCTCCGGACACAAATGGGAACGAGGACCCCGGGGCGAATGAGTCCCGGGTGTCGGAGGATACGTCGCGTGCCGTGGAAACAGACAATGGATACTTTGCAATCTTCGACGGACATGCTGGAACCTTTGCCGCCGAGTGGTGTGGCAAGAAATTGCATTTGATTCTCGAGGAGGTCATGCGCAGAAGTCCCAATACGCCTGTGCCCGAATTGCTTGATCAAACCTTCACCAGCGTGGACCAGCAGCTCGAGAAACTGCCCGTCAAGAACTCTGGGTGTACAGCTGTCACAGCCGTGCTTCGCTGGGAAGATCGGGTACCCAGCTCACAATCGGCAACGGGATCAGCTGCTCTCGCTCCGGCCGCCGCGGCAGCATCAAAGGGTGACTCAAATTCAGAGAACACAGAGACCCCTACCCAGGATGCTCCATCTACTGTTCTGCCAAAGTTACAGGATAAGGCTATTCGACAGCGCGTTTTGTACACAGCCAACGTCGGCGATGCCCGCATCGTATTATGTCGTAACGGGAAAGCACTCCGGTTGTCATACGATCACAAGGGAAGCGACGAGAACGAAGGCAAGAGGATTGCCAACGCTGGCGGGCTAATCCTGAACAACCGTGTCAACGGAGTTCTGGCTGTCACCCGCGCCTTGGGTGATGCATATCTGAAGGACCTCGTGACCGGACACCCCTACACCACAGAAACAGTCATCCAGCCTGATGCCGATGAGTTTATTATTCTGGCATGCGATGGAGTAAGTTTTGGATCCTCGAATCTTGTTCATACATGAAAGCTAACGTCGGTCACAGCTGTGGGATGTCTGCAGCGACCAAGAAGCAGTGGATCTAATCCGGAATGTTCAAGATGCTCAACACGCCTCCAAGATTCTCGTCGACCACGCCCTGGCACGATTCAGCACAGACAACTTATCATGCATGGTCATTCGACTGGATTCCAACCGCGTCAAGGACGTCGTCAACAACAACGCAGACCCGATTGGCGTAGACGGGGATAATAAGACGATATCGCAAGGCGTGAGCGAAGCCGACAAGATCGTCGAGGGAGCACGGAAGAAAATAGCCAGCTCAGGCGTGGCCGATGACCCAGCTTCAGCAAAAAAGGCTAACGAAGAGACTCTCCAGAAGATGGCGAACCGCAACTCGCAAGAAGAGCCCGGGCCTGAATTGCATGTTGAAGACAATAATAACCTCCCCTCTGTGGACATCCTGAGTCCCAGCAAGGGCCCTTCGGGCCAGACTCACTGAATGTATGGTGTATGACATGTCATGAAAGCCGAAAACCGCTGAAGCAGTGAATCCGGATTGATTAGATTGTATCTACTTCTTTCTTTCGTCACGTTTAACGTTTTACCCTTGGGTGTGTGCCTCGGGGCGCAATGTACCGGAGCTGGATGTTCTTTTTATTCACCTTAGAGTTTTCTCTGAATGTCGCTTCCTACATTGCACTTTGCACATTGGCGTCCAATTATGAATTGCGGTTGTCCGCTGGTGTTTCCCCTCTGACGTTCTTCTTTTTCAACTTTTTTTAGTAGGATGCTAGACCTGGTTGTCTGGCATATCTTTTGTTAGCACGAGTTATTCGTTATTTTGATGTTGACCGGACTAGGCTCCTACTTTTGTTCTGAATACGTACAGTACCGGTCCAAACAATCAATGTTTATTGTTATTTGACTGATCTAGATATCGTCTATAGCGTATGCTTGTAACCAACATGATTTGATATATCTAAAAGTACAATTTATGCAACGAGGAGTGCTAGGACAAGCTAGACAAACAACAAAAAGAGAAAATACAAATAGCACCACCCTCGCCCAAGTCCCGAGCGGGACAGAAGTAGATATCAACACATGAAAGTCTCTTGCCCTGCCCTAGAACGAACAAAGGCAACGGGGCTGGGAGGACGAGGACCGGAACTGCACCAAGCCTCTAATTCCGGAGGTATTTCTTAGCCTAGGCCTCTGCAAATTCACCATCCGCAATGACCTCCTCGGACTCAAAGCCCTGCTCCTGTGAAATGATATGGTTGCGAGTCCAACGCAATTGACCGTGTTGGACAAAGTTAGGCCATTCCTTGGCGTACTGCGGAGAATAAACATCCTGCCACAGAATTTTGACACCGGACCCATCAGGCTTGTTCATGTCTGCAACGATCTCCACACCCAACTGCTCCTGCAACGACAAAACCTCAGCTGCGCGTTCCTTGGCAGACGCTGCGAGCTTCTCGCGAGCGATCTTTTGACGGCGACGCTGGTTCTGAGTTCTGTGCTCGGCCAAGACGCGCTCAGGAGGCCCGTTCATGATTTGACCGCTGTGCTTGCCTACCAAAAACGCAATGTCGGCAACCGAGGTCGCCTTCTGGTCCATCAAGGCCTTGGCGCGTTCCTTCTGCTTCATAATCTGACCAATCCGTCCCTTGTTCTGCTTGTCCCACTCCATCTGGTCTCGGAGATCTGTCGGCCGCTGCGCATCGAGGAATTCTTTTGTCACGGTGATCATTTCTCGTGGTGGAGACAGCTGACGGAGCAATGCGAATTGGCGGAGGTGGTTGTAGACATTGAGTCCGACTTCTCGGTTATTAAAGTGCACGGAGTAGTACGGAGCCCAAAGATCTTTGCGGAGTTCTGCGGGAATAGTCTTCTTGCCGTGGTTGACCATTTGCTTGAGAAGGTTGTGTTTCTACAGGGACCCGATGGTTAGAAAATTGCGACATTTGAAAGGTTGGATGACGAATGAAAGCGCAACCTTGGTGATTGGGAATTCCCATGTCATCGTCAATTGAAGGAATTCGACTCACCTCAAGGTAGCGGGTCAGGGAGTACACGACCTGCTTCGTGCGGAGGTTCTGGTACACAAAGATGTTCTCGCCGTGGGTGAGCGAGTTCAAGGCCTTCTGTAACCGCCTTCCCTCCTTATCCTGATGGTTCTTGTATGCATTGGAGCTTGTTTCGCGAGGTTTCCCTTGAATTGCAGTCTTGGTATCAATGGGTGGCCGACGGATGAATCTCGTTGCTGCCAGTGCTGTCGAGTCTAGGACCTGTTTCAAAGCCTGTTTGTTTTGGGCCATTGCGGCCGGAAGCGAGGCGTGTAGTCGCCCTCAAACAATTATTGTAAATGGTAAAAAGGGTCGAGGACTTCTTGCATTGGGCGCTGGCGTTGAATTGCGGAAGTCGAGGGAGAACGGGAGGTCGATTTTTTGACGGGGAAGAGGTCTTGGCGGCCGACTACTTGCTCTCCGCATCTCTTATCTCACCAGCATCCTTCAATTGCCTCTGCGATTCGCGTGTTCGCTCTGTTGACCCTGTAGATCATGACTGCAGTGCCTTTGCGATACAATATTTGATCATTGCAACCCCCGGGGGCTTGCGTCGTTATGGATACGGACACGGGGCATGAAACGGTCCGCAGAGAGCGGCCGTGGCTCTTCCCATGGGTATGACTTGCGAAACAGAAGTTGTGACGGGATACTAACTGGCAATTAGAACCGAAAGCTTCGGCATTTGCAGAGTATTTCAGTCCGCAACCTGGTCGTTACTCCTCCCCCGACTCGGGCCCGTGGCAAGACCATTGATGATGACGATATCCCGAATACCCTCCAAACACCTTCCAAGATCCTATCGCAGGACTCGAGGTCCCCTCTACACTCCTCGCGGTCGTTTACCGACCTCAAATCACGCGCCAGTCATGATGCACAAGCGACGAAACAGCCCGAGGTGCGTTCGCGACGCCGAAGTACCTTGTTTTGGAACGACCCCAATCCTCGAACTCGGCAGATCAAATTAGAAGACATTACCAACAGTCGTATGGCGGACACCTTCTTCTCTCTACATTGCGAGGGTCTGGAGGAGCCAGTTTACATCAGTGAAGTTGTTGACCGCGCAACCAATCCCAACTTCCGAGCTTTCGACTTGAACCTATGTGGTCCCTTTGTCTCTCGGATGGATGAATTAACCCTGAAGCTTTGGACTAAAACAGTGAATATGCCCGAGTTTGTTCTACTGGTCGAGCTACAGGTACATCTACGGTCGTTGCAGTTCCTAGGAAAGACATTAGAGAGCTTCCATCAGCCGCTTCCAGCAAATTCAATTCTCTTCCACTTCTCGGATGGAGTGTATACCAACCTGACCGACCTTCCACCAGTCGAAGCGTCGCTACAAAGCGGAACACAAAAGGCTGTTGCGGATGGCACCACATTGCCTACATCATCATATGATGCTTTGATGCGATTGGCCAATCTGGACGAGTGCGTGCAAGACGCCTTGGTTACCAGGGAGAAGCTAGAAACACAAATAAGCACCATTCTCCGAGAGAATGAGCTTGCACTCAAGACCGTGAGCGATGCTGCTGAGGCGCAAGAGAAGCTTTCTCGAACTAAGCAAGCGGTTTCCGCCGAGCGCAAACGTGTGCGCGCTGCAACCAAGCGCAAAGAGGAGCTCATTGCCAGTATCAAGATGCGAAAAGAAGCTATGGAAGAAGGACGACGTGCGCAAGAAAAGACGCGCAGTCACCTCCCTGACGCTCAAGAAAAGTTGGTATCTAGCGAAAAACTGCTCAACCACACAGGAGAGGACACCAAGGGTCAAACACGGCGTATCTCGGAAGACCTCTTGTCCATTTACCCTATTGAACCCATCCCCGACAAACCTTTGGTCTTCACTATTGCTGGCTTACCTCTCCCGAACTCATCTTTTGAAGATACTGACCGTGAAGTGATCGCGGCGGCATTAGGCCATGCAGCTCATCTAGTGTATCTGCTTTCTTTCTATCTGTCAGTGGCCCTGCCCTATCCGATCAATGCAAATGGGTCAACTTCGTTCATTCAAGACCCCATTTCCGCCTCTCTTCCGCAACGCACCTACCCCCTGTACCCAGTGAGCGTGCATTACCGGTTCGAGTACGGTGTGTTTCTCCTCAACAAAGATATTGAATATATTCTCAACAAGCAGGGGTTGCGCATTCTGGACATCCGCCATACCCTTGCCAATCTCAAATATCTCCTCTATGTCCTGACCGCTGGCACTTCGGAGATCCCAGCGCGCAAAGCTGGTGGTATCCGGGGGCTTGCTGGACGCTTGACGCCTAACTTGTCTCGACGGGGCAGCATGGAAAGTGCAGCCTCTGGAGAGCTAGTACAGCCTCGCAAAGCTTGGGAATCCGTTTCCAAAATGAACGTGAGCCTAGCGAGCATGAGTCTCACCCCGGATGGAGGCAAACCAGTCCCAGTCCACCACTAGACATGTTTTCCGACCGCGTTCAGGGTGAATTGGCCCTTTCTTTCCACCTGAGCATGGCGTGTTTGTTTTTCTCGGTTTGCACCGGACATAGTGTATAACCATTCCGAGGTCTCCGAATTGGGCTTATGTGTACAGTAGACAGCCCGGCATGGAGAGTTTCTATTCTGCTATCCCTAGATTCATGCACGGAGCTACCCCGCCAAGTTGAATTCTCATTATACAATTATACCATAGAAAACACCGCTGGGACTATTTAGCGATTCTCGTCTAAAGTGCAGGGTTGCATTCTCCGAAAGCTCGGAGTTGCTCATCTAAGCAAAGACCCGCCTTATCTTCGCTTTGCATCGGCTTTCCCCAGCATTATCCAACGACCACCATGAGCGAGTCCAATAGGCTGTACGGTAAATCACCGTCGCCTAATGCACACCACCGCCGCGGATATCAGGCCTGTGATCCATGTCGGAAACGCAAGGTCAAGTGCGACCTAGGAAGTACCGTTTCCCTCTCAATGAAACGAGACAATCAGACTAATCACAAACAGGCGTTGATAACCCACGTCCCCCACCATGTGTTCGGTGTCGGCGCGAAAGCAAACGATGCGAATTTTCAGCTACTCGCCGCAAGCGCAAGGGCTCCGATGCTCTCGAGGAACCTGAAGAACCAGTCATTCTGCACCGCGACAAGCGGATGATGATCGGGGAAGTCGCCAAGGTCGAAGGCACCAGTGAAGGTCCTTCATTCTCACCCTCTGAGCCACCCCAGTTCGAGCCCGAAGCCGTGCGCGCTCAGCAGAGATGGCCCGACGCAACCCCCGCACCTGCAACCCAGCAGTACACACCCAGCGCCCCGATCTCTCGTGTTCCCACGTATCCCCTCGACCGCGCACCAGCACCTAGCTATGGAGGACCGCCAATGATGAACCGCACGGCGGTGGAGCTGCTATCGCCCGCAATTACGAACACGCATGATGCTTTGCATCTGCTTTCCGAAGCTGCGGGAAGGACCGAGGATCTCAACCGTCAGAGCTTGGAGAATCGCTTGGCTGCACGGCAGTCGGTGTCTTCGTTCAACTCGGGGCCTTCGCCTTTGCCTCAAGGTAGCTCACCGCGAAGCTTGGGTGGTTCGTTTGTGCGGACTCCCCGCTCAGGAATGTCCATGGGAGGTTCTACTTACTACCCGGCTGGAGCCTCAGGGCCTGTAGATCCTCAGATCGTGGACCCGGGTCCTCAAAGGGAAAGTCCCGTCAATAAGCCCCAGGAGCAAGACTATCGGGATGCAATTCGGGCATGGTCACGGCTGCGATTTGTTCGCGCTGGATGGCTTACTGTGGAAGAGGGTATGGACTATGTAGCGTACTATTATGAAAATCTGGCGCCAATGAGCCCAGTGGTGATTCCGGATTTCTCTCATCCGTCCACCCATCGCACATTGCTCACGGATGAGCCGGTGCTTGCAGTCACGATCCTCACGATCGCCTCGCGACATCTGAAGCCGAAAGGTGACGGTGCCAACACACGGGCGTTTTACATCCATGATCGTCTCTGGGCATATTTGCGCAGTATGATTGAACGTCTATTTTGGGGACAAGAAAAATTCGATGCTGGACTGGTAGGCATTGGCCGGCCGAGGTCGCTTGACTTGGGTGCCCCGGCATCAGGAGGCAAGTCTGGCGCAAAAGGACAATTGAGATCCTTAGGTACCGTTGAAGCTATGCTACTGCTTACAGAGTGGCACCCGCGAAATCTACACTTCCCACCCGGTGATGATGAGAATTCTCTTTTGGATACGGATGCTCAGACACAGGGTCGAGGTGATAACCTTGACCATGATGAAAATACTGGAACCCGAGGTGCAGAAGGACGAGTCGCTTTTCAAAAATGGCTGGAACCAGCCTGGCGCTCCGATCGGATGTCATGGATGCTTTTGAGCACGGCGCAAGCTCTGGCTTTCGAACTGGGTGTTTTCGATCCAAAGGGAGACCCAAAAGGCGCCAACGAGCCTCCGGGTGAACAAACTCGTAAACGCAGACTGCGCCGATTGATTCTCGTGTTCATTACACACAGCAGCGGTCGTCTAGGCATTCCGTCTATGCTTCCGTTGCCTCAATGGGGACAGGATATCACGCCGAGTCCCACTGATGCACAGGATGGTGATACTCATATCGATCAGATGCAAGACTGCTGGATTAGCGTTTCCAAAATTGTCTACCAGGCCAACCATCTGTTGTTCGCGTCTAGTGATCAAACGATGGAACTGATTCGCACGGGACGGTACCGTGATCAAATCGATCGATTCCAGCCATATCTACACGAGTTCAGGCAACAACTTGATAGTGTTCCCAACTGTAAGTTCATTGAAAACTGTGCTTGATGCAGAACTAACAAATGTCAGTGTCGCCGGCTATGCGAAGTGTTTTGCTGATTGAAGTGGAGTATACTCGTAAGTCGACTCCATGAAGCTATGTCTTTCAAAGCTAACACATGTAACACTAGGTCTCTACATCAACTCTCTTGCACTGCAGGCTGTTGTTGACCGATGGACTACTATGTCCAATGAGTCTGCTCAATCTCAAGCGGGACGGCCAGCTTCCGGTCCATCCAATAGCGGTGGCTGGTTCCAGACATTGATGGAGCTCTACCGCGTCAATGAACATTACATCCAGGAAGTTATTGATTCCTCCCGCAAAATTTTAACGACAGTTTTGGAAGGCCTTGTTCCGGAAGGCCGACTTAGACATGCGCCCATTCGAACCTTTTTCCGGATCTTGTCTGGCATGATTTTCATCTTGAAGGTATGGCCCCATACAGCAATTGCGCAAAAGCAAACACTTACACTCTCAGACCTTCACACTAGGCGCTCGAGAAGATGACGTGCGAGTCTCCTTGGACCTGCAAGACCGGACGGTGGAGGCCCTACGTCTTTACGTCGTAGATGACGTGCACCTGAGCAACACCGTAGCGCGACTACTAGAGCTTCTCACAAGCAGCATCCGCACCCGCTTCCTCCGATTCGCACCCAATGACCGCGGCGTGGATGGCGATGGCCACGACCGCACCTCAGTCCCCGGCTCTCGAGCCCATTCCCCGCCGCGCGAGAGCACATCTCGCCGCGACGGCCCGCACACCGGCTGGTCCGCAACCCCCGGTCAAGATACAACACCAAGCGGGGCGGGTCTAGGGTATGTCGACAATGCAGGGCACCCGATGGGTTCAGGTCACGACCCACTGGCAAATATCCCTGCGCAGCCAATTAATTCGTCCAACCATAACGTTTCCTTCATGCCCCCTCCACCATCCGTCTACTACAACTACTATGACTCGAATTCTGGTCTTCCGAACGACATGGACAGATCATCGCCGAACCATGTCCCCTCTTCCCAGCCCATGAGCGACAATCATGCGAACTCCGGCGCTCTTCCGGATTGGTTCGCCTTGCCCCTGGATCAATTCTTTAATAGCTCCACAGGAGTTGTTGACCAGGGTCTTGGGGGAACGGGGCCTATGCTTGGCGAGTTTGATATGCTTGAGGTGCTGCTTAACGAGGGCTACGATGGGAATACGAACGCGAATGGGGAGGGCGAATCGGGTGGACTTTCATCTCAGTACCTGCCTTCATGACGATATGATTCACTTGTAACGTGGTATTTCTTTTCTTTTCTTCTTTTTTTGGACTTTTCGGTGATGGGGCGTTTCGCAATGTTCGTATTCGATCAAAATCTATATACCCTTTCTTGACGCTTGGCTGTATGTGGCCCAGGTCTGCTTGTCCGTGGACTCTGTAATATGCTCGAAACCTCCATTGTAGCAATAGATAGCCGTATGCATCCACCACTATAAACTCCCATTATAGTGATTTCGGAGACAAACGCTCGCTTCTATCGGTCTCCGTCGGATGTGGTATTTCAGGTCTTGGCTTCATGTGCTTCTGGAAGCATCTGTCGCTTGATCGAGGTGAAGCTTTCGGGTGGCTTGGTTGCATAATTGCTTCGGTATATGGGTGTCCTTATATCAGAAGAGATAGATCATGTGTATTGGATGTGTGTTCAAATTGTAGTGTCAGGTGGAATTTGTTCAAGCTGCAGCAAACAAAAGCCCAGTCAATTTCTGAGGGGACACTTTCTCCTCCCATCACATCCATTGCGTGCTCCACGAACACGGCGATGGGCGTCAACAGGCTATAATCCCATGCATCTTTAGTGCTGATCCAGAAGCTGCAGGTGTATACTGCCGATCTGATGATCTCAGTCGAGGGGTGATTCTCCCTGATCACCGCAATCGAAGGATCTAGCGGCCCTCGCCATCTTCCACACGATAAGAACCCTCCGCCAAGGGTCACATTGGACTTTCCCCTCTAAATTAAACTGCAGCAGACTATGCAGGGACGGATGCCCGTCGGAGATTGTTCGAGATGCGGAGTACTGGGCTGAAGGAGCCGGTTGGTCTTTCTACCGTTCAGACTATACTCAACCCCTGCGGACTCAGGGGAAGCCCATCCAATCACTTGGCCAAGAGTTGACCCTGAAGCAAGCGATGTGACCATGGTCTATTCGGTGGGAAGTCTACTTGCTGGCTGCATCGAATGATTGGCTGGCAAGTAGATAACGATGATCTTCAGGGCTCGATCATCTCTACATTTCTTCATCGCTTGACTTCAGATCTTCTTGGCCCTGGCATTGCCTCGTGCCAGTGGCCACCTGCACCTACCTGCAATCTATGTCTGATCCGGACATCTCCGTTCAAGGCTCCATCCAAGACTTGAAAATTAGCTTGTTACAACCAAGCTCCCTGGGCATGTCGCCTTTGTTGCAACCCCGCGCATCTGCGCTAGCCCTATCAATTATCCCTGTCGACCCCATTTGACTTCACACGATTCCCGTTCTATACTCAATTGGGATGTTTCCTCCTCAACCTGCTTGGCGGACTCCGTCGTGCCATCCTGGATGGCCGATGGCGTCCGCGACAATTTCCAACGTCTAGTTACTGGCTTGGCTAGATCGAGGGGATCGCCGTGTCGAACTTCCAGGAACAGAAACACCTCCTTCTGTTGCGATAGAGGGTGCAGTTGATGCCTTCCGGTCTCTTTCTCCTATCTTGCTATTCAGAGGGAGTAGAGTCAAAGACTATAAAGCTTCCTTCATCGCCGGCTGCTTTCAGGAATTCATTCTACTCAGCAGCTCGCCTTCGCTTCGCTCTTCTAGAATCACATTCACTGCCTTCATATCCGCAATCATGGTTGTCTTCAGCAAGGTCACTGCTGTCCTCGCCGGTCTTTCGGCTGTTGCTTCTGCTAGTCCTCTGGCGACTCCTCGCAAGGGTTTCACCGTTAACCAGGAGACCCGCACTTTGAGCAAGGCCAAGACAGTCAACTTGCCAGGTCTTTATGCCCAAGCCCTGTCCAAGTATGGTGCTACTGTTCCCCCTCATGTCCTTGCTGCTGCTGTCAGCGGCTCCGCTGTGACTACTCCAGAGTCAAGCGATGTAGAGTACCTGACTCCCGTCAACGTTGGCGGCACCACCTTGAACTTGGACTTCGATACCGGATCTGCTGATCTGTAAGTTTATCAAACAAATGAATAAGATTGATAGCTAACTGGCTTTAGGTGGGTGTTCTCTTCTGAGCTCACTTCATCCCAGCAGAGCGGCCACAGCATCTACAAGCCCAGCAGCAGCGCCACCAAGCTGTCTGGCAGCAGCTGGTCCATCTCATACGGCGATGGCAGCTCTGCCAGCGGTGATGTCTACAAGGACACTGTCACCGTTGGCGGTGTCAAGGCTACCAGCCAGGCTGTTGAGGCCGCCAGCAAGATCAGCTCTGAATTCTTGCAGGATGTGAACAACGATGGCCTGCTCGGTCTCGCTTTCAGCTCTATCAACACTGTCAGCCCCAAGGCACAGACCACCTTCTTTGACACTGTCAAGTCGCAGCTCGATTCGCCCCTGTTTGCTGTTACCCTGAAGCACAACGCTCCCGGCACCTACGACTTTGGCTACATTGACAGCTCCAAGTACACTGGCTCTCTGGCCTACGCCAGTGTTGATAGCTCCGAAGGCTTCTGGTCTTTCACTGCCTCCGGCTACAAGATTGGCACCACCACTGGCGGATCCATCACCGGTATTGCTGGTGAGTAACCTCTATTGAATCCCATGACTTTTACCCATCTGACTAACTCCACTCTAGACACTGGTACCACCCTCCTGCTCCTCCCCACCAGCGTTGTCTCTGCCTACTACAAGAAGGTCTCCGGCTCCCAGAACAGCAACAGCTACGGAGGCTACGTTTTCCCCTGCTCCGCTACCCTGCCCGACTTTACCGTGACCATCAATGGCTACAACGCCGTTGTTCCCGGTAGTTATATCAACTACTCTCCCGTTACTACTGGCAGCTCCACCTGCTACGGTGGTATCCAGAGCAACTCTGGCATTGGCTTCTCCATTTTCGGTGATATCTTCCTCAAGAGCCAGTACGTCGTTTTCGACTCTCAAGGCCCCCGTATTGGCTTCGCTGCCCAGGCATAGATCCTACCGAGGCTATGAATATGACATGGTGCACAGAAGATGAACGTGATTGTTGTACAGAGAGTGATGTGAGACGCGATATAGTTCGAAGCGCTAGCATGCTAGCTTGTGAATATGACCTTGGCTTGGCCGTGAATTGGCTTGGCTCGATTTATATGCCAATAAATGCATTTTGCAATGATTTCTGGAAACTACTACATTAACACATAACATTGTATGCAAGCCAAGCCTCCCAACCTGAGAAGAGAGTTGTAGTTCATACTAAGCCGAAGTCGACATCCAAACCTGTGGAGCCAAGCCAATCCCGAGTCTGGGGCGGATCGGCCTGGACTCCAGATTTCCACCTCCCCTGACACTGCCCCATCACTTGACTTCGGGACTTCTGAACTTCTTTCCTCTTACCCTTCAACTTCCCGATAATAATTCTCTCTCTCCTTGTTACTGTCATCCCTGCGACTCCCAACGTTAAACACCCTTCGGGATCTCACCGTACGGCTCAAACCCAAGAATGGAAGTTTGAAGAAAAAAGCGACTCGAATGTGACACAGGAGGCGGTCGGAGGAAATCCCATTAATGAACTCGAACCGTTCGAGGGAAAGAGACAAATTCCCCAGAGTCCGATCATGGAACATGCGACCCGGGTGCTCCCCCGCCAGATCTGGGCGAATCCCACGACGAGCTCGACGAGGACTTACTCCCCAGGATGTACGCCGTTTGTCTTGCCTAGCGATGGTAGGTTGAGTCTGTCCCTTTATATCCCATGAATGTTTGCTGGAAGGGCCTGTGGACGCTGCTCGCATCCTTGGTTTCGGCGGAGAGAGAGAACCGTGTCTAACTGCGATTTGCGATTTTTACAGGACTTGTCTACTATAATAAATCATTCGCTGTGACCCTTACCGAAAACGCGGTCTTCGAACCTCTCTGTACGGGTTCGCCATCCGATGATATCCACGTCTCCGCTGTTCTCGATACCCGCGATCCATTTTACTCCTCTGTTACGCCACAGTTATATGCCATCGGATGCGCGACTGTTGTCAGTTATCTCCTCGTCATCATCCTACTCATCACCCCGCGAACATTCTACGTTGGTGGGCCCGGCGGCGGCGCCAATTTCCTCGGACGACATGGAATGATCAGTGGTTCATATAGTGGGAATTCGTCGGTCGTCGGAGTTGGAGGACGACCATGGCTGCAAAAGGTGGCTGCGATCTTAGTCGCGATATCACTAACCATCGCCACGGTCGATTCCTTCAAAGTGGCAGAACGACAGTACAATTATGGCTTTTCCGACGCCGAAGCGCTTTCCGAGGAAGTGATTGACGGGTTGGAAATACGAATCGTCAGAGTAATATCCAGCACGTTCCTTTGGCTTGCGCAAGTCCAGACGTTGATTCGATTGTTTCCGCGACATAAGGAGAAAGTCATGATCAAATGGGCTGGATTTGCGTTGATTGTGCTGGATACCACATTCAGTATATTGGAGAACTTCTTGGTCAGGAGTTCGTCGACACGACCGCGGTTATATGATGATGCGATTCCTGCTTTGTCTTATTTGTTTGAGCTGTCGCTTAATTTGCTCTATGCTGCTTGGGTTATTTTCTACTCGATTTCCAAGCATCGTTATGCCTTCTTTCATCCCAAGATGAGGAATATATGCTTGGTGGCTCTCCTTTCGCTCTGTGCTATTCTCATACCTGTGGTCTTCTTTGTTTTGGATATATCCAGACCGGAGATCGCTGGGTGGGGTACGTATATTCGATGGGTTGGATCCGCGGCAGCCAGTGTCGTGGTATGGGAATGGGTGGAACGAATTGAGGCTTTGGAACGAGATGAAACGAAAGATGGAATCTTGGGGCGAGAAGTATTCGACGGGGATGAGATGCTCGAGGTTACGCCCTCCGAAGAAGTCGATTGGCCACGATATTCGCACCAAGGACATGATCGAGGCGGCGGCGGTGGTGCATCTTCTGGATGGGGCGGCATGATGGGTCTAGCACATCGACCCTTACGAGCTCGAGCTGGAATTCCTCTTGTAAATCGAAACAGAGGCGCCGGGGCACCAGCAAACAACCCCGCAGCTGGTATGCCACCGAGGCATCCAAACAACCGTCCTACACCACCTGCGGCGGCCATTACACCGGTTAGCCGAGCCGATACCACCAGTGCGGCGAGTACAGTATACAATGTTCGATACCATCCAGTGGCAAGTCCTACACCCCCTGTTGTGATGCCAGGAATGGACGAGGAGGAAGAACTGGAAGAAGCCAAGGAATTGGAAGAAGGAAGACAAGCCCCCGACACGGCTCATCATGGTCTATCGGCCGAACAAACGCGAGAGCAGTCGCCGCAAATCGTCCAAGCAGACCCCCGATGGCACGCTCTCCTCAATCCCTTTAAAAGGCGACGGGCGTCACTCCCAAAAGAAGTCGCCTTTGCACAGGCTGGAGAAGAGCCTTCTGAACATAACCCGTCTATGTCATTAATGGGCGATGAAACCGAAACAGAGACATACTCAGCCCGCACTCGTGCGGATAACTTCCTCTCTCTACACCGCAAACTAAGACCAGGATCTGGCTCGCTCAATGCCGAAAATTCTCTCCCCGTGACTGTCATCCCCGCCCGCCGCCGTGGCCAACACACATGGTCACCCCAGAATCGGCTTCTTGAGCCATCTACACCCCGCGATTTATCAACCAGTCGACCCGAGCCTCCCCCTGGTCGATCAACCCGACCAGATCTACCAGTCCGGGTCATCCCTTCGCAGCCACAGGCTTTTGCCCCATGGACTGAGGCTGACGTGGAGCGAGGAGGCGGGGATTATGTCCTTCACTACGATCCGGAAACCGCGGCTTTGGTCAACGCCGATGTCAGCCTATCTCACGACAACCAGGCTGCTACCTTCGACCAGCGCAGCTGGACGGAAACCACCTCTTCTGAAGAGAGGAATGAGCCGACTGCACCGACTGCGCACTCCCACGTTGAATCACAAACCCCACGGCCTTCAGACGCAGAGCACAGGCCGAACAGCACTGATGTCTCATGAATCAACCTATCCAGGGATATTGATTTCGGAATACTTGGCGTATAGTGGCTGAGTACCCCTGACAGGGTCTGGTAATGGAATACGGAGTTTGGATTTGGATTTGGATTTGGAAGGTGTTATAAGGAAAATGGATTAAAAAGATACCCTACAATTATTGCAATATATCACATGCCTATATAATTTCACGATATCTCTGCTGTTCTCTGTTCTATTACTCTCCCGCTGTTCTGCTTGGCTCGGCCAATTTTTTGGCTTACGAGAGTGGATCCCGAAATTTCACTCGGGAACTCGAGGCTCCGAACTTCCCCATACTTTCAGTCATGGACGTCGCATCACATCATGGCGACCGTCAATCAGAACATGTTTGGAGCCAGCATAGGCGCAGAACCGCCTGGCGGTGCCTCGCTAATGGTTCTTCCGCTGAATCTTATCGCCCAAATCGTCTCACATGTGAGAACCCACTCAAACGCATCCCCGCAAGAGAGAGCTCGCTCTAACACCACTGCCAGGTCGATGACACAGGCGACCTAGCCCGGCTGTGCCGAACATGCCGGGTTCTCAATTATATGGCTTTACCACAACTCTACCGAAGTCTCACGCTGACCTCGTACGACAAAATTCGTTATCGAGATGACCAACCCGAAGGAATCGGCAGTGGCAGCCCCTTCACCATGGGCCTGAACGCGGTGATCACACGGCCGTATGGATCGCTAGTTCGATCAATGACACTCCGGGGCGAATGGAACGACCACGAGCTAGAAGAACACGCGCGAGTCGGGCGCGTGCCGGACTCTTCGATGTTGCTGAACATCACCGCCCGCGCCGCAATCGATCGCATGACCAATCTCGAGAGCTTCCACTGGGAGTTAAGTACCAAGATGCTGGATACGGTGTTTACGGGCTTGACGCAGCTGCCAAAGCTTACTTCCTTGACAATTCGCTTTCCTTCCAGCCGTCATCCGCAACCTACCTTTGTGCTCCCCGGCATGCCGCATTTGCGCTGCTTGAAGATTACCGATATCGATCCGTTGTGTTATCCTGATGACATTGCGACATTGCTTTGGAAGAGTCGGAAATTGCGCGATTTGAAGTTGCATTGGTCGCCACGGATGCGGGATTCCCAAGAGCCCAGTGTTTCGCTTCATGACTATTTCCGTAAGCTTATTGCTAATAAGCAACCTTTGGCGGTCAAGAGGATGTCCTTCCAAAATCTGTATGCTTTCCATACGGAGGACTTCAATTTTGCTTTTGATCCGACCACTGTTGAGGATGTTACTTTCCTTAGTGGCGTTGAAGGGTCTAGTCTTGCCAACACGTTCATAGAGAACAGCTGGCCTACGGTCCCACCACATGCCAAGCTGCGTATGAAGTCTGTCCGGATGGATGCCGTGTCCAAGCGGAATGCGGAATTTATTGGCAACTTCAAGGGCCTTGAGCGATTGTACTTCGTCAACGTCACCTCCGACTCAAGTGACTATCTCAATTCTCCCCGACATGGAGTGGCTTCTTCATCAGCACTTACGCCGCCGACATATGAAAGTCAACCGCATGGCGCCCCGAATGGAACTACCTCTAATTCACCTATCACTTCTGCTTCACCAGTAAGCCAATTGACTGCTACTTCCAGCATCCGCGATGCCTATCTCTCACACATCAATGTCAATCACGGCGCAACACTGCGCCACCTCCTCTTACCCTCAAGGTGGATTCTCTCAACAGGCATGGTCGGTCGTCTTGTACACAGCTGCCCGAACCTAGAGCAGCTGGCTCTCGCCACAGAATTCACCAGTATGGACTCTCTGGGCCTACTAATACCCTTTCTCCGAAAACTCAAAGCCCTCCGACTCCTTATCCCCCCCTCATCTGGTCAAACCCAAAATGGCCCACCAGGCTCAGCCCTCGGAGTCTCCCGGTCCTTACATCGCGATAACACCCTTGGCCTGAGCAAGTCAATGAAGGAAACCCTGGCCCAAGCAAAGTCCTTCACGGAACTAGTAGACATGGACGACGCAGATTTAACAGAACTGATGGGCCTCGAACTTGCCAACGAACAAATTTATGGCAATGTGAAAGTCATCGGCCTAGGCTACAAAGCTTGGGAACTTCGCGAATGCTACCAAGCCCCAATCCCATCATCCCAAGCTCGCCCACAACATATTACCACAGAAGACCAATCCCCCCATAGTGGAGAGCACGGCCCCGCTGAAAGCCCCATCAACTTCAACGGTGGTCCTCAAACCCACCCAGGGCACACCACATCCACACTCAGATCGCCTAGTATGCAAACGCCCGGTCTAGGCTCTTGGTCTGCTAGTGCCTCCCCTGTTGCAAGACCACTTCAGCCACCCTCTACACTGGGCAAGCGATCCCGCGACTATGAGGATAAAGATCCCACCCCGACACCGAGGCAGCAATCCCGAGGTCCTGAGACAGTTATTCTCGAAGACCGTGAAGATACGCCGTCCTTAAATTCACACTTCCATCCGCCTACAATGACCGATGATGGCTTTGTTTGGAGACGGCGTATGCGCCGTGTTGGGTGGGAGGCGTTGCAGCATTGGGAGGTGTGGGCCTTGGATGCACAGGAGATTTGAGATGGATGGTTGAATACTCCGTCATGGGTATATATGATTTTTGATTGTTCTCCTCTCTTTCTGTTATAACTAAGTATCGAAGGAGTTGGCTTTGGCATTGAATGGTTGGCGTGGTCGTGTTGGTATCGGTGTTGGGGGCTGTTTTTTCCTTCTTATTTCCTATGGGATATATGGTGGTTTTTATCTATGGTAGACTTTTTGATCTCTTGTTATATCAATGCATATATTACTTCTCTTCTCTTCCCATCTTTACTTCTCACATATAAGGTGCAATTGAGATCGGAAAACCCGAGCTCTGCGAACAACCCTAACGGCGGACTGTAGGGAGCAAGTCCAGCATGCAGAACGACCGGGTATCACCCTCGAAATCATCGATTGAGTGAGTTTGAACTTCAAAACAATCCAATTTGTCGACAACATTTCCAAGTAACCCGACATCACTCACGGACAAGCCGAGGATAGAAGCATCCGGGATACCCGTGCAGAAGCCTCTCGCAACGATCTTCAACGCCTCAATTTCCCCAGTGGATCTGATCCTCCAAGTATTTTGCAGAAATTCCCCTGATCTAATGCAACCCGGGGGGCCGCGTCATGCGCATATTTGCTGAGCTCGGTATAAGTCCGTCTCGTCTCCCTCATTTCAAATGTCATTGCATCCCCTAAAGTCTGCTTGGCAACATGTACAAGTACATCTCCACTCTCTTGCTGCCAATTGTGGCCTCTGTGGCCTCTATGGCCTCGGCAGTGCCGTCGTCACACTTGACCTCGATGCCCTCCGTGTCCCTGGACTACAGCACTATCAAAGCAGCAGCAGGAAATGATACTTTGGGCTACTACAAATACCAGAATATTCGATTCGCCGCCGTTCCAACCGGCAACCTTCGCTTTGCAAAGCCAGAATGGCCTTCGGTCGAGTCAATAATTAATAACGGGACCACCCATGCCAGCGCAGATGTAGACTGTGCTTCCACAGAAGACTGTCTATACATGGACGTGTATGCGCCAGCCAACGCAAAGGGAAAGAAGCTACCCGTGGTGGTGTTCACCTACGGAGGAGGCTTTACAAGTGGTTCCAAGTTCAAAAGTACGCCTGAAGGGCTCTACGACCTCTCCAAAGACTTTGTGTTCGTGGCCTTCAATTACCGTCTCGGATTGACCGGCCTCGCCAACTCTGTAAGTCTCACACATCAAGGCGCCACCGACAATGTCGCCCTGTACGATGTCGAGCATGCATACAAGTGGGTGAAGAAGTACATCGGCAAGTTCGGCGGGAACCCAGACGATGTTACCGCAATGGGATTCTCCGCTGGATCGAGCATGGGTCTGTTCATGCTCACTCGGTATGGCGGCCATAACGAGCAGCTTTTCCACAAAGCGTACTTCACGTCTCCTGGCTACGTCCCAGGTGCCGGCCACCACCAGGGAGAGGCTTTCTGGCAGAATGTCTCAACCGCTGCTGGCTGCAGGGGGGGTGATCTCTCCTGCATGCGCCAGGTCTCCTTCGCCAACCTCACCGATGCGGCAACGGATGTCCAGACCAACTATGAATACCAATTCCAGCCTCGTGTCGATGGGGACTTCGTTGCCGATACTTATGAGTCTCAGTTCTACCAGGGCCGCTTTAAGTGGGATGGACCTCTGGTCATTACGCACGAAGAACACGAGAATAATGGATCCCCTACAAGCGGTGTGAACACTACTGCCGACATCAGAAGCGAGCTTCGTTCTTTCTTCCCGGCTATTACCGACGATGTCATTGACGAGCTCCTCGAGCTCTACCCCGAATCGGACTACTCCAGTGCTGGCTACCGCTTCGCGGATATGAGACAGTCTTTTGATTTGACTGCCCATGACTACGCTCTTACCCGAGCGCTGAACAACAACACTTGGAATGCCGAGGTTTCCCTCAATCAAGCCGTCCATGGAACTGACCAGAGCTACTATTGTAAGGCCTTGACACCCCCTCCTTGAATCGCTGAACTTAGTATGCTCATTCGCTGTCTCAATTAGGGTACAGCACCTACTCTCTCGTAGCGAAGCCTGCTGCCAAGCAGTCTGCTGGCTCAGGTGTCACAATTGCAGGCAACATTACACCGAATCCTGCGATTGCTGTAAGTACTGCCGAGGCATAGTCCACAATTTTGACAAGAGCACCGGTTAACACTCCTTCCATGTACAGCGCAAGATGCAGAAGTATCTCCTTTCCTTCATCCTGACCGGAAACCCCAACACAAAATGGGCCAACGACAAGATCTACTGGCCCAAGTACGGAAGTAATGCTACGGAAGTTGTTTTCAATACTACCATGTACACCAAGAAGGACGATCTCGCTACTGCTAAGAGCGTGTACTGGAATAAGGCTTTGTGGCACTGATCCTAGACACGCTGGCTATACCCAGCAGAGGTTAGGATTCATGCCTACTTGGAGACTCCTTTTATGTATATGATGATTACTTGTCTCATCGCGAGAGACGACCTGTTTACCTATATTGAAAGGCCTTCGGGGCATTGAGTTGCGGGCCGTTCGGCTTGTTGCGGGCAGAGCCGAGACCCACCAACCTTGTATAGTATACTGGGATTTATTATGTGAATAAATGACCTGAGCGTTATACTGTCTGGAATATACAGGGAAAAGAACGAAAGCTTTAAGTGGAACTGCGCATGTTGATAGCTGGAGGCTTTCCAAGGCTGTATCTGCGGGTGCGTGCCAACTATATATCTATAGGGACCCGGAAGCGGAAAGCTGTATATAGCAAGAGGTCTATGGATCTAGGGAGGGCAGTGCCCGCCGTATGCAGCAAGGTCATTTCAAATTTATACCGAAATAGTGCTCCTTCAAAGTTGACGATTGTAAGCATTTCCCAGCGTTGGATCTGATCTCGAAGTCGTCCCAGCTCTACATATATGAAAATATAATATATCTTATGATCCTCTCTTCTCGTTGAAGCCAGCAGCCAGTCGATATTCTGCAGGACCCAAAGCCCCAGAACTTAAATATCGGCCAGGCGGTCCGTATAGGCACTTTTCCCGCCGTCGTCCCTGTTCATTGGCCGGTTGTAGTCAGTCCACGGGGCTATTCTCCGCCCATCCGACAGCTTTGCATCATTTGGAGTCCACGGTCGATTTTATGGATGTTGGATGCGAGGTAAGCCACAGGTCTGATCGCAGTTTCTCCGTCCAAGAGCCCTATAGACTAGCTTCAACTCAACATAAATACAGTCATCTTTCCTCTTTCCGAGCGATGTTCGATCTCTGAGTCCTACTTGCACATCGTGGGGGAGTAGTGGGGGAGATTGGATGCTGCGACACGGTGCGTATTATTGCCATCCCCATGATGCTATTATGCACAATAGGATCTTCGAGGGAGCTTCAGGGAGCTTCCTATAGGCCAGTGCCCGGCTACTTTGGACATTTACAGTCACCAGAGCCAACCAACCCTTAATAGCAGAGTGATCCAGTGATCCAAGAGAGAGAGCAAACGCCTTGGAAACAACGCACAAAACAGGGCCCCGAATTCCGGGCCCTCTCGCGGACCAATCACCAATGCGTCGGGCCCCCAAGATCCTCTCCCATACTGTAGGCAGACATCCGTATGAATGACGATGGAGAGATCCCCGTTCAAAAGTTGTGAAAGGAAGCGGAGCCCGGAGATTTGACTGGGATTGAGTGGATCAGCGACAGCGCAGAGAGACGCCAACTGCATGTTAAGCGCCGAGACCCAAGGCTTTTTTTTTTCGACCGAGAGCTGAGTTCTTCAGTCTCTCATTCCTCAGGGCTGAAAGTGGATTTTGACCTTTCTCAACCCCGCACTGGGCTTCTTCAACGTCGATCTCCCAACATGAAGGCGTTTGAGGGTCGCGCCCCCGTGGAATACCCTCGCAAGCGGGCTTCAATTGCCTGTAACTTTTGTCGCCATCGGTAGGTGCATCGCTCTTCGGGGGATTGGGCCTGGAACAGGGACTGATAGAGTTTCCAAGGAAGCGCAAGTGCGATGGCCAAAAGCCAACGTGTGGGCTTTGCGCCGATGCTGGCGCCCAGTGCGAGTACCAAGAAAGTGACAGGTTAGACGATCTGACGGCCTCTCCATGCCCGTCGATCCAGTATAGTAACCGTGAATTAGGGTGCAGGACATCCCCGCCGAAATCCTGTCTCGCTTGAGTCATATGGAGACTCTGCTGCAGCAACAGAAAGAAGCAATCGCCGAACTCTCGACTCGAATTACATCGCAGGATGCCTCGTCTCCCCAGGACCCGTTGATATCCTTGCCAAATGTGTCGGCGCATTTGGCCCAGCCGCGATACAACTGGTACCCGTCGCCTGCTCACACGTATAGATCGACAATCAGTCTTCCAACACAAGAAGAGCCGCCAATTCCTCTAGGACACTCAACCCCCACAGAACGGTTATTCTTTCTAGACCGCATCAAGAACCTGATTGGCGAATACCCGCAAGATTTCTTTATGCAGCTGGAATCGACTCGTCTCCCCAAATTCGAGGACAAAAGCGCCAACCACAGCTTCGATCGAATTGACCCGACCCTATTCCAGACACGAATCACAGAGCCCTACTTCAACGAGTTTCTGACCAACGTTCATGCCTTTTTCCCGGTGATGGAGCCTTTAGCCTTGCGCACCGTCTACGAAAACTTCACCCTAGTACCACGAGGCAATAGTATCCAAACAATACTCTGTCTGGTGATTATTGCGTTGGGCAAAGTCTCGGCGAATCCCGAACACATCTTCGACATCGAAGCGGCCGATGATCGGAATGGAATTGAATATTTTGCACCGGCATATCACGAGCTGAAGAATCGATGGTCGGCATTCCTGCCTATGAATCGCAGTCCATTTGTGCCGTTGGCATTTGTCTACGCCTCGTTATACTTCCGCTATATCGGGCGTCCCTTCCAGGCATCTAAGATGATCACGGATGCATCTACTGCGGTGAAGTCATTACATTCTCTGTGCGAAGTGCTTCAGACCCCGTGATGGCGAAATTCCTGACTGGATATAGATTGAGCGTCAAGCCCATGATGCGGGAGCATGACACCCTGTTCCGAACCACCTGGGCCTGCTATATTCTAGAATGGTGAGTGGTCTCCCTGAGAGCAATCTAGGGAGCGCTAACAGTCTATTTCAAGTGACGACTTGGCAGAATTCAACTTCCCTCGCAGTGGGATCGAGTTCCTCGTCGAAGGCCCCCCATCAGTGGAAGGAGGAATGCATTTCCCCCGACTCTCCGAACCGACCCAAAGAAGCAATTTAGTCTTCCTCGCCATGTGCTCCGTCCGCAAGCTTCTAAACCGAGTCCACACCTGGATCTATGATCCAACGTTCCTGGACAATTATGCTGCCGCCTCTCCGTCGCAACAAAAGTCAAACCCTACCACCCCCCGGCCCCAGAAGCATTCAATTGCCTCTCTGGAAAGGATATGCGTTGAACTGAACCGCCAGCTTGAGGAATGGTTCCAATCCTTGCCCCCGCAGATCCGACCAGATCTGAAAAAGCCCATGTCCCATCAAGACGTATATGATAGTTATATTCGCGCGCTATATTACGCCACGAAACACATCATTTATCGACCGAGTCTTGTATACGCCGCCCAGAACAAAGATACAAACGTGTTGCCCGACTACGTCTTCGGAAACTGCAAGCAATGCATTGCCAGCTGTCGCAAATTCGTCGAAGCGGCTTCGCTTCTTCTCGGGAAGAGGACCCATTCCAACTGGCTGCGAATGCAAGCGTATGACATTTCTTTCGATTATATCTACCATGTCCAATGAACTGACTTCTGTATAGACTCTTGGCTGCTATTTTCACCTTGGCGACAGCGAAAAGTACCCCATCTCTCGAAGCGATCGTCTCGGACTTTGACTTTGATCAGTTGATGAAGGAGGCCATCCAATCTATCGGGCTATGGGCACAACACTCCGAGGCAGCAGATGCAATCTTGAGTATCATCAAGACAATCCGTCAAAAAATACGACTCTCGGTCTCCAGAACTTAGCATACGACCTTCATCTGGCCCCAAATCTATCGTAAATAATCTTCTGGCGTGCATTTCCCTTCTTCGCGAAAAGCGAAATGACACGATACCCTCGCATTGTGAAGCAAATACCCAAACTCTTTTGCATGTTTCTCTACCTCTCAAATATATATATACATATCCAACTACATCTAAATACACTACTCTGAAATGGTTGCGATCAATAAGTTCGGAAGTGACCGTGGCGGACATCCCCGCCCGCAGGGAAAAGCTTCAAAGATAGCCACATTCGACTTCTCCAATACATGCACCTGAACAACAATGCCTCCAAAACTCACAAACCGAATCAAACATATAAACAACGTCCGACTAGCCGGACAGCCATCAACATGGGACATAACAATCTCATATCCCACCCCCAGCGGCACCATCACATCCATAACCCCGCATGAAGAGCAAGATACCAAACAAACACAAACCACCAAGCCTGAATCCAAGTCCAAATCAGAGCCAGAATCTGAGCCTCCACTAGCCTTACCAGCCCTAACACACCCACACATCCACCTCGACAAAGCATTCATCCACAGCAGTCCCAGCTACGCCCCGTTCCTCCCAAAGACAGGAACATTCCAAGAAGCACTCACCAACACAACAAAAGCAAAAGCTCAATTCACCCACGCCGACCTGCTCAAACGAGGCGAATGGCTCCTCGCTGAATCCTTCGCCGCAGGCGTAACAGCCATGAGAGCATTCGTCGAAGTAGACCATACAGTCCAACACGCCTGTCTCGCAGCAGCCAGCGAACTCAAAGAGAAATGGAGCCCAGCAGTCGAGATTCAGATCGTCTGTTATGCCCAGGATCCGATTTTCTCTTCTGACCACGGCGCCGAGAATCTGCGCTTCGTCTCAGATGCCCTGGAGATATATCCCCAGATCGATGTTCTGGGCACGACGCCGTATGTTGAGACGAGTGTCGCGGCTGCGAAGAGGAACATCGAGTGGGCTGTTGAGTCTGCCTTGCGATGGGATATCCATCTCGATTTCCATCTTGATTATCACCTTGATGGGGAGAGGGAGCCGCTTGTTTGGCATGTTGTGCGTGTGCTCAAGGCGCGTGGTTGGACGACTGCGTCGACGGGTAAGCGGGTTATGCTGGGTCATTGTTCTAGACTTACACTTTTCTCGGAGGAGGAGTGGATTAGACTTGCGGGTGAGATCCGTGAGAATGATCTGCCTGTTAGTTTTGTGGGGTTGCCTACGAGTGATGTCTATATGGCGTCGCCGCCGGCTGGGGGAGATGGAAATGGGAATGAGCTGGCACCTCAGTCGCGGCTGAGGGGTACGTTGCAGATACTAGATATGATTCGGAAATATGGACTTGATGCTGTGGCTGGGGTGAATAATGTAGGTAACTCGTTTACACCGTGGGGATTGCCGGATCCGTTGGCTTTGGCTTGTCTTGGTGTTGGGGTGTATCAGGCTGGGAGTCAGGATGATGCGGAGTTGTTGTTTGAGTGTGTCTCGACTAGGGCGAGGGTTGCTATTGGGTTGAACTGTTCTGATTCTGATGTTGGTTCTGGGCTTGCTATAAAGGAAGGATCCAGGGCTGATCTTTTGTTGGTTTGTTGTCGGGATGATACTGGGTGTGGAATTGTTCGACCCCGGACGAATGCTGCTGAGGTTGTGTGGACTCCTCCAGAGAAGGTGAATAGGGATGTAATTTCTGGTGGACAGTTGAAGATCTCGCCATTTGGAAGCGCGGAGTCCGAAAATGTGTATCGGTTCTTGTGAATGAGGGTTGGTTTGATGGTTACCCTGGAAAGAGAGAGATATAGGACTATGCACAAAACGCTTGATGAAGCCACGCATGCAAACGGTGCAATTTCAAGGCCCATCTCGTTTAGCGGACTGCTTTTGCAGGTCCATCAACCCCATCAGGTCATTTCGTCTTGAGTGGCGTTTTGTTCCACCGGTATACTGTCTGGTCCCAGGAAACCGGCGAGTGATGAAATCGATCACTAGTTGCCTAATCCGTGGATGGCCGCAGAGCATAAGACCGTACAGGAAGAAGATTGAAACTCTTGGGGAACCCCTTCTGCAATTCCGACTTGATAATTGTCATCCCAGCAGCCTGAAAGATCTGTCTGAACTTGGCATCTGTTCTGGTAACACTGCTATCCTCAGGGTCGTACATGTCCTGTCCAAGGTGATGGGTTGACAAGTTTTCCTTGACCACCATCAAACCATTCTCCGTCAAAGCGTTACGACACCGCACGGTGTAATCAATCAGCTGGACATCCGTCAGATGGCCCACACACCACTGAGTCCAGATGAGATCGTATTTCCGCTCGGGGTACCAGTTTTCCAGACCCTTGGTGTAAACGGTGCCTACAACGCCGGTCTTTGCTATAGCGCTATCCTGCAGGGCTTGGGTGAATTTGGCAACGGGCTCTACAGCATCGACTTTTTCGCAAACCTGGCTCAGGAATCCCTCCGTCACTCGGCCGACGCCTGCGCCGCAATCTACGCCCTGGGCGAATTTGCCTTCGGAGGGGAGTCCTGGGATTAAGCGGCGGACTTTGGCTAGGAAGCCCTTTGATCCTTGCAGGTCAATGCGTGAGACTGAGGGGAATTCGCCCAGCATGCTCCCCGGCGTGGCGGGTTGGCTGTCCCAGTACTTCAAGGAGGCTGCATGGTTGATATGGGAGTCGGCTGGGGGAGTGGCTGGGTCTGACATTGTGTGTTCACCGGACTTGAGAAGTGATGAGCTGACGATGTTGGACTGAACGTCAGGAGCCGTGTGAAGGACAAGAATGATATCGATCACGTGATGGCCTGTCAACGCTCGACTTGAACGCTCGACTCTGGACTCGTTCACCAACCCCTTAGCCTAGAAGTTAACCACTAAACCCTAGAACCCTAGAACCCAGTCAAGACGTGATCTACTCATGGGGCTGTGCTGATCGACAGGGATAGAATAAAAATCTCTGACACGATCTGTACCCTGAAACTTGGGTTACGTGTAATCTTAAGGGGGCCACACCCGTTGAAGTTGCGATGTGATTGGAGTTTAAGCACTGAAGGGCGGGTGTGAACTGCCGATCCATAAATCCTGGCCTTTCCCCTGACTTCCCTTCTTCAACTCTCTTCTCACCCACAGTCATTCTTTTATACTGTTTTCCATTTTCACCATGGCCGCCAGTCGTTCAGATGAGCGCAAGCTCGAGGGTGGAAACCCTGCTCCCCAGGACAAGGGCCTCCACCCGGCGTTCTACATCGCGTGCGTAATTCCTTCCCCGTGGCAAACGGGTGGACGTGACTGACACTCCAATTCTAGCCTTTGGATTGCGCTGAGTTCCAGCGTCATCTTGTTTAACAAGTGGGTTCTGTCCAGTGCCAAGTTCAGTATGTTTCCCTATCTCTCTGCAGTCGCGTCGAACGCCAGCTAACAAATCGTGTTTTTTTTAGACTTCCGTGAGTCCCTTCTGATTCTCTGCGATCGAATCGCCATCTAACCTACATAACAGCCTTGTTCTTGACAACATGGCACATGGTGTTTGCCACGGCGATGACCCAGATTCTCGCCCGTTTCACCACCATCCTGGACTCGCGCCACAAGGTTCCCATGAACCCGGCTACCTACACGTGAGCAATCCTGTGAATACAAGAGCGCATTGCACTAGAGCTGCGACTCGTTCTTGTACCGTTCTTGAATTGATGGCTAATATGTGGCTGTGTCTACAGGCGTGCCATTGTCCCCATTGGTGTCATGTTCAGTTTGAGTCTGATTTGCGGTAACTTGGCCTACCTCTACCTGAGTGTTTCCTTCATCCAGATGCTCAAGGTGCGTACAACCCCAGGATTGGTTTCCTCAATTCGAACCACCGCCTCGAATTTCGGACTCGACTTACACAATTCACAGGCCACCAACGCTGTCGCTACTCTCCTGGCCACCTGGGCTTTCGGTATTGCCCCTACCAGCATGAAGACCCTCGGCAATGTGTCCTTCATTGTCGTTGGTGTTGTGATCGCCTCCCTCGGCGAGATCAAGTTCGACATGTTTGGTTTCTTGAGTACGTCATTTCCGAGTCCCAGACTCCCAAATCACTTCTAACAATCACACAGTCCAGGTTGCCGGTATCATCTTCGAGGCCCTCCGTCTCGTCATGGTTCAGCGTCTCCTCAGCTCTGCCGAGTTCAAGATGGACCCTCTTGTTTCCCTGTACTACTACGCCCCCGCTTGCGCCATCACCAACGGTGTCGTTACCCTCTTCGCTGAGGCTCCCCGTCTGACCATGGGCGACATCTACGGCATCGGAATCGGCACACTCGTTGCCAACGCACTGGTTGCGTTCCTCCTCAACGCCTCCGTCGTCCTGCTCATCGGCAAGACCTCCGCCGTCGTCCTCACCATGGCCGGTGTCCTCAAGGATATCCTCCTCGTCTGCGCCTCCATGCTCATCTTCCGCGACCCCGTCACTGGCCAGCAGTTCTTCGGTTACTCCATTGCCCTCGCTGGTCTCTGCTACTACAAGCTCGGTGGTGAGAAGATTCAGACCCTTGCCACCGACGTGCGTCTCCAGGTTGGCGAGTACAACCGCAGCAACCCCGCCGCCACCAAGGGTATCGCTATTGGTGGTGTTTGCTTCATCGTTCTGCTCGTTCTCTACAGCGGCAGCCCTGCCTCCGTTGCTCCGGTAACCAACTAAGCTGAACGCAGCAGCTGAAGCAATGCATGGGAATTTGGTCCTTGCGGAGAACATCCCATGGGGCATTTATTGTTTCACGAATTCGAGCTCGAATGATTGGTTCGATGCTTATGTTAAATTTTGATAAAGAGCGTGTCTTGTCTGGACAGGACAGCACATGTAAAGTTAGGGGTATAGATGATGGGGGTTTCCAGGGGGTTATAGGTTATAATAAACGGTTGAATGAAATTGCCAATTGGATCAGCACAGTCCGCGCCGGTAGAACCAAAGCCAAGCACGAGGCATGGAAAACGATATGCCTAAGCAATAGACGTATCACCTGTCAGATCGTCAGTCCCCACTGTATATACTACTACACTACAGCCCACCCAACCTTCCCCTACACTTTATAAGGAAATCTCCTCATCAAAACATCAGCAACCCCATAAAGCACCGCGCCCACCGCAAAAGTCCCCGCAAAAACCGAAAACCCAACCACATACCCCGGCGAATCTCCAGCCGGAAACAGCGCACTCCCGTACAACTGCGCCAGTGCCGCAACACCATTCATCCAAGCCAGCATAACCGCCCTAACATCTCGATCGACCGCCGCCAACGCAGTCGTCGCAAAGGACAATGCAAGCGCATTGCCCGTCCAGATGGTCACGTTGATAAAGCAGAGGAAGACATAGCGTGCAGTGTAATCTGCGATGGCGGCCGTTAGGGCGAAGAATATCATTCCAACAAGAAGGTTAGTCACTAGGAAGATGCCACGGCGGTTCGGGTTCCGGTCTGCGAGGTAGCATACTGGGATGGCGATCACGAGCGAGACTAGGTACAGTGGTGCGGTCATGTATTGCGCTGTTGTGGATGTGTAGCCCATGCCGGCTATGAGGGTTGGGTAGAAGTAGGAGATTGCTAGGGCGCCGAGGATGCTCATGTATGCCGGTGTAAGGATCCAGGCTCGCCAGTCGGATAGGGCTTTGAGAAGGGTTTGGAGGATTGGGGTGGTTTGATGGGCTGCTGGGTCTGTTGTTTCTTCGTTGGCGATTCCGTCTTCGATTAGGCGGTGTTGGGCTAGCTTTTGCTCGTCTGGTGTGAGTCCCCTGCTGCTGTTGGGGAAGTCGAGGAGTGTCCAGTGGGCTATGAGACTCATGCCTGCTGTTGCTGCGCCTTCGACTATGAAGAGCCAGCGCCAGCCGCGGATATTGTGGATTCCGTCTAGAGTTGAGGTTATTGCGCCCGAGACTATGCTGCCGAAGGCTCCGGAGAGGATGCCTGCTGAGAGGAAGATGATGAAGCGTTTCGATCTGTTTGGGTTAGAGTTAGTTTGGGAGATTGGATTGGATTGAAGTTGGCATGTAAATGTAGCGTACTGTTCATTTTTTCGGTACCATGTTGAGATCAGGAAGATTACGGCTGGCTCTGGGGAGGTCAGTGTGTGGATGAGATTCCATTTGTTCGTAGCAAACTGACACTAAATCCTGCCTCAAATACCCCCAGAAGGAACCTGAGGGCTATCAGTTGGCTTTGGTGTCGGACTATTCCAATTAGCGCTGCGACAGTACCCCATCCGAATGTGATGATCGGAATGAAAATCGATGGCCGAGTGCGAGATAGTATCATGCTACGTTAGAAACGATTATCAGTATAGGAATCTGGATTGAAAAGAAGATGATAGCCTAACTTGGATGGTACTGCTGCCGTGGTATAGCCAATCACCCATACTATGACAGCAGTATAATATTGATCAGATGTTAGTTTCAGGTCTTCTTCCATGCCGGCAATTTTGGCAAGACCGATATTTGATCGGTCCTAGTCAGATTCAGTATAGTGATGAGGATCTTTGGATATAGAATAGCGTACCACGTATGAAAAGAGGTAAAGAACGAAGACGGAGGGCATTAAATAGAGATCGATCTTCCACACAAGCTTCTTCTCGGCTTCTGCATCAACACAGATGAGGTTGCCATTGTCTGAGTGAATAGCTTGCGCTTTATCTTCTTCAATGGAATGAGACATGGTGGCTTTTGATCAGAGAGGAGTCTGTGACTGAGATGGCACATAAACCCAACCCAGTAACGAGAGGAGTATATAATAGTTCCCCGCAACTCAAGACGAGCAAGTGCCATGTCCCACATGGGATAATCCGGAATATGGGGAAATCGAGACTTATGTCTCCAGAGGTCTGGGGGGATATGTAGAGCGGGGGTTCTGCAGTCGAGATGGAGCTATACAAAGGGACTACCGGGGTGAGTGTTGATTTACAGACCACGCGTGTTTGTGATCATGAAATATCAAACATTCCACAGCAATACGCGTGTACTATAGTCATTCCCAGGGATGTTTCATTGTAGTATGAAGTCGATAGAATATCCAGTTCACACGTAACTCCTATGGTCCAATTTGTAGATGTGTAGATCATGGCTTTTCCTCTCCGGAGCTATGTATAAACTCCCCGGATCCTGCTCAGTCCTCGAGTGAGCTCACTCATTAGACTTGGAGCATCCTTGTCGATAAATAGAGGCCAGCCAATTGAAATCTAAATCCGGTGCGGAGGGCAGTAGTGCTGTCGTTCGGTTGCAGTCTGATCGCCCCAGGTTAAAATGTATACAGTACTAGTAGATATCGGCTTTCTCTCCGCACGAAAACAGAACAATTCTTGACAAAGTCTCGGGGATTTGCCACGAGTCATTCAATTGGTATGTCTCCTATCAGGAAGTGAGTTGTGAATCATACCCCCTCACTCGATACTAGCCCATGTCGCAATACTAGAGTGATTGCCAGCATAAGCGGAGAATTTCCGACCAACATAATCCCAATCATCCCCCGCAACAGCTGTGAGTGGCTCAGAAGTATTGAGGTTCAGACAAGTTGCTTTGAGTAACTGCCAATTCACTACCGACTAGATCAACTGGCCAATATCGACAATGGCTCAACGGTAAGATGAACATCTCCCATTTAGATATAAATACAAGAGAGATCTAACCTATCACCTACACAGACAGAAACCAGCCTTCTACCCCGATCTAAAAGACCAGGTAGCTCTCGTGATCGGAGCAGGTCAATCCGGTGATCCCAACTCCAAGGTCTGGGGAAACGGAGCCGCAATCGCGAAGACCCTAAGTTCCTCCGGGGCCCGAATCATCGCCTGCGACTTGAACCTCGAAGCAGCGAAACGGACAGCCCATCGCATCCAAGCGGATGGCGGATTCTGCAAGACCCACCAACTCGACGCTACCAACGCGGTCGACATCAAGCGAGTCGTGGATGCCGTGGTCACAGAATACGGCCGCATCGATATCCTCATCAACAATGTCGGCCTCACAAAGACAGGTGACCCCGCAACCATGCCCGAGGAAGCATGGGACGCACAGTTCCAGCTCAATCTGAAAACAGTCTATCTGGCCTGCAGGGCTGTGCTGCCCATTATGGAGAGGCAAGGCTCCGGATCGATTGTCAACAATGCATCGGTTGCCGGTATGAGATTTCTTGGAAAGCCTCAGGTTGCATATGCCACTGCGAAGGCGGCAGTCATTCACTTTACCAAAATAACAGCTGTAATGTACGCGAACAAGGGGGTGCGGGTCAATTCTGTGTCTCCGGGTATGATATATACACCTCTACTGGAGATGCTGGGGAATAGTGATTCACCGGAGGATCGGGAGATTCATCAGAAGATTACGGACCATAATGTGCCTCTGGGCTGTATGGGGGATGCATTTGATGTTGCGAATTGTGTGGCATTCCTGGCCAGCAACTCGTCTCGCTATGTTATTGGACAGAATTTGGTCCTTGATGGGGGTTTGACGAGCTCGACAGGGACTGGGGGTGTTGCCCCATTATCTCGGCTTTGATGGGCATCTGGTGGGGTATTCAGCATGTTGCAGATATTTGTGGAGTATAGAGAAGTGAATGCAGATCTACTGCAAGTGTCAATTACTCTTCATTCTGGAATGTAAAAGTGTCATCAAGTCATGTGTGAAGTACAAAGGTGGGAGGCGCAGTCGACCGTGGCCTTTTTTTCGGTGTTCGGGCCAAACAGGTCTGAAATTCATCGGACTCAACTTTCCCTGTATTCTCTCCAGAGCTCAACGGTGAACCATAGAAAGGGTATTTAATCATGGCCAACACGTCCAACAGGGGCATTGTTGTTCTTTCCGGAGGAAGTGCGGCGAACAACCTGGTTGATGTGTTCAATGCAGTGCGCGAAAGCAAGAATTGTCAACTGAGCTATATCATTCCTATCAGCGACAATGGAGGATCTTCCTCGGAGCTGATTCGAATCTTTGGAGGGCCTGGAATCGGTGATGTTCGAAGTAAGTCTGACTACGATGAAATAGCATACTGGGGCATACTAACGCCCAACAGGCAGACTGGTGCGACTGATTCCGGATTCACCAGCAAATCCAGAGAGATCAGCCGTCAAGGCCTTATTTAATCATCGTCTGCCCGCAGAAGCAGTGGCTGCCGCTCAAGAATGGCAGTCCATTGTGGACGGAACATCTGCTCTGTGGACTGCGATCACTCCCGCCAAAAAGGAGTTGATTCGTTCATTCTTTAATGTGTTGAATCTGGAGATATTGAAACGGGCACGACCACCATCATCGACGTTCGACTTTACCTCGGCAAGTGTGGGAAATCTGTTCTTGACCGCTGCTCGACTATTCAGCGGCAGTTTCGAGAGTGCCATCTACTTACTGGGAAGCATCTGCGGCGTGCCCTCCGATCTGGTACGCGTGATTCCCGCGATCAACTCCAACTTTTCCCACCATATTTCTGCCTCTCTTGCGGATGGGACTGTCATTGTGGGCCAGAACAGCATCTCCCATCCTAGCGAGACGACTGCTCTGCAGCACACACCCGGCTCCAGGAGACCAAGTCTACTCCTTGCCGATGGCGACGATGTTGAGTACACAGACTCAGAGGTCTCCGATGCAATGACCTACGAGGAAGATCATCTGCCCGGATCACTGGCAACTCTCCGCAATAAGAACATCAAATTCAGCAAAACCGAAAATGAAGATCTCAGCGCTCGAATTACTCGAATCTGGTATATCAACCCCTATGGCCAAGAAATCCGACCACCCGCCAACCCACGGGTGTTGGAAGCAATCAACGACTCGCAAGCCATCATCTACAGCATCGGCTCCCTCTACACATCCATCATCCCAGCCATCGTTCTTCGTGGCGTTGGCAAAAGCATAGTCTCCAGCCCAGCCCGACACAAAATCCTAATTCTGAACGGATCACTAGATCGAGAAACAGGCCCTCCGTCGCGTCCGTTCGTCGCATCTGACTTCGTCGAGGCAATTGTCAGCGCTGGAGAAGAAAGTCGTGGCCGTGGTCCCCTTGATATCTTCAAGCGACACGCCCATGATCCTGTATCCGACTCGTCCAAACCTACCACTAGGCATTTCAGATCTCCTCCGTACACTGCATATGTCACTCACATATTGCACCTAGAGGGGCCTGGCACGCCTCACGTGGACCGTGAGAGGCTTACTCATATGGGTATCGAGACACTCCGTCTGTACGGGCGGAAGATCACGGTCAAGGAGGGCGACAAGGAAACTGTTGTTGGGATGAAGTATGATCCCAAGGCGCTTGTTCAGGCAATTGAGGTCGTTTTGGGGAAGAAAGGAGATGCGATGATTCGCAGTGGGTTAGATGGTGGGCTGGGTAGACGGAATACTTTAGATCCTGCGCGAAGAGACCGGTAGAACAGCATGTTCAAAGATATACTGGGGAGCATCAGACTGTACAATATAATATACAAGGAACTTAATCATCTACTGGCCATCTGGGTTGAAGATAACTTAGATACCATGCTGAAGAATGTAAAATTAAGGGTGACCGAGAGCCTCTTTGTACAGGCAAATGCGATGCCAGAAAAGCATCATGTAGTCCTCAAATGTCATGACCATAACTCCGGTGCCCCGTAAAAAATGCGCTTTCGCTGCGCTAAATGCCATGTGATATCCCCGTGTCCATTCCCAATGCGCCGATTACAATGCTTATGATGAAAGATGAGAAAAAAGGCTATTCCACAGCGACATCTGCGGAAGAAAACCTTTTGTTGCACAGCAACTTCAGGTTCAGTAGAACCAGGCTCGACGTTCCATTCTTTCCCACCTTGATCGTAAGCGTTTTCCGGCACACTGGGCAGGCAGGCTTCGGCTTCGAGCCATCCATTCTGACCTGCTCGCTCATCTTGACGCATTCACTTATGCATTTGTGACAAAAGAGATGACCTATTGAGAAATTAGTAAAAGAATAGTTATTCTCCAGGACCGAAATCGACCTACCGCATGAAGTGCTCGTCGCGTTTTCTGGAGTATCCATGCACACTGGGCACTTGTAGGCAGTCAGGATGGTCCGCCCTTCTTCAGTCGGAAGTTTGCGATGTTTATGGAGTTTTGCGTCTGCTTTGGCGGCGGCTTCTTTAGCTTGCTGTGCTGCTCTATGCTGCATTTCTAGCGCTTGAGACATATGGGCCGAGCCGGAGTATCCTGTCAAGTCGATCTGGGGGACAGGTCCGGATTCTCTGGTCAAATCGACATGTGACTCGATGTCTTCAGTCAAGTCAATACCGGCATCGCTGGTCAGATCGATCTCACGGCGGCGTTGAGATGTTCGTGGGGCTTTAAAGACCGGTGGAGTAGAAGTGGAGGAATCATCTGTATCGCGGCGACGTTTGGATGACGGGGTGTGGGAAGAGGACGAGAGCATGCTCTGGAAGAGGATGCATGACTTGAGCTGACGCGATACGAGCTGGACTGCATTATGGGCGACGTCAGGCGGATGGAGTTCGTAGGTTCGGAGTTGGTTGTTGAAGTTGTGGCGTTGGCTCTGTGGCTCGCCATGGCTGATGCAATATCAAAATCGCTCTGATAACTCTATCACAGCGTTGGGTATTATAAAATGTCCTAACGTGAACGTTGAATAGGTTCACCAGCGTATGAAGCCAAGACCGTCAGATGTACCACTTTGAGTCGGTTCTTTGGGGTTATTTGAGGTCTGTGAGAAGACTCCAGACTGGTAACAATGAAACAAAATGCTCACAGAGCCAATAGAAGTTTGCAACCCTTGCCAGGAACTGAAGAACCTGCAGCAACAATGAACAAATCCAAAGGAGACCGAGGGGAAAGTGGCGGCGAGATGATAGACTTATCACAAATACACGTGACGATAAGCTCTACGAAATAAAGGCGGTGAACACGAGCGGACGGGATGTTATTCCGGGACCGGCATGACGCCCTGACAGATACGCGATAGGCAGAAGATATGGATTGTTCACATCGAGTCATTCCTTTTGTTTTCAAGTACAGCCCCACGGCTGTGATCATCTTCCTACCATGACCTAATGCTATTACACTCATTCAGATGATGTTATCTTGGAAGTCTTCCTGCACTCCTTGTTCCAGGGGTGCTGTAAGGTCTTTTTCGCGATTTCGCCTGCCACTCCTGGTTCGAGCGCAACCATGGAAATCACATGGAGCTCAAATCAGATATTCTTCAGCAGGCGCAAATAATGATACCACCCCAAGACGATCCATCTCCGGTTGGTTATTCACAGCGCAACTTGAATAAGGGATTTGCAATGCTAATCCTGTGCAGTTCCGGCCTCTTCTAGATTTAATGACATCGGAGTGCAACAACTCAGTGATTATGTTCACCCTCAAGTCTTTCCGGGCAAAGGTCGAATCCCCGATCCCGATCTAGTCGCCTTATCAAAAGATCACCTTGCCCGCCATGAGCTCCTCGGCAAGTCAGAAAGTGGCGCGAAACCTGTCGCATTCGATCTCCCCGCTCTCCAAGGTCAAACTTTAGATGAGCATTTCTACAAACTGGGAATGGACTCATCAGAGCCTTACCTAACGTATGCCAAATCTTACGCGACAGTCAATTGTCCGTCCAAACCGCGAAAATGGGAAAGAAGGAGTGGATGGACCAAATACAACTCGGATGGCACTTCGGAACCAGTCGATGCGCCAAATGAATCTATGCTTACATTCGACACCGAAGTCATGTATAAAGAAAATTCATTTGCCGTCATGGCCTGCGCGGTGAGCCCGACTGCTTGGTATGCGTGGATCTCACCGTGGCTCCTCGGCGAGACGAATAATGAGATTCAGCTGGTACCCCTGGGAGACCCTACCCAACCCCGGATCGTTGTTGGCCACAATATTGGATATGATCGGGCCCGAGTCCTGGAGGAGTACGACATGAAGCAATCTCAGAACTTCTTCCTCGATACGATGTCTCTTCATGTCGCAGTAAATGGGATGTGTTCGCAACAGAGACCAACTTGGATGCGCCATAAAAAGAACAAGGACTTGAGAGACAAAATCGCAAATGAGCATAACTCCGTGGAACTAGCAGCACTTCTTGAAAGTAACATGCTTAGAGAAGAGGAGGAAGAGCTATGGGTTGGACGAAGCTCCGTGAACTCATTGCGAGACGTGGCCAAGTTCCATTGTGATGTTACCATCGACAAAGCGCAAAGAGATCTTTTTGGTGAACTCGATCGTGATGCTATTGTGCTCAGACTAGAAGAACTTCTCGACTATTGTGCCGCCGATGTTTCTATCACACACCGTGTGTACCGAAAGGTCTTTCCAAACTTCCTCGAAACGTGTCCCCATCCTGTTAGTTTTGGCGCCCTTAGACACCTGTCGTCTGTCATTTTACCGGTCAACCAATCCTGGAAGGAGTATCTCACCAGTGCCGAAGAAACTTATCATACACGTCTTAATGAGGTCCAACGGAAATTGATTGAACTATGTGACGAGGCATTGAAATGCAAAGATCAGCCAGATATTTACTCGAACGATCCTTGGTTGCGCCAGCTGGACTGGTCAGGCCAAGAGATCAAAATGGTGAAAGGAAAGAAAAAGAATGATCCTCCTCGTCCCGCAGCAAGGCAAAAGAAGCCGGGAATGCCAAAATGGTATAAGGATCTTTTTGCCACGAATGCCGCAGAGATCAACCTCACTGTGCGCACTCGCATCGCACCAGTTTTGCTCAAGTTATCATGGGACAATTATCCTCTCGTCTGGTCTGACAAGCACGGTTGGACTTTCCGAGTACCTCGTGACCAGCTAAAACAATACGAAAACCAGCCAGTTGTTCTCTGTGATATGGCTGAAGAAACAGACCCCAAATTACGAGACGACCGGAAGAACACGTACTTCAAGGTTCCTCATAAAGATGGTCCACAGGCTAGATGTACTAACCCATTAGGCAAAGGCTATATGGGATATTTCGAGCGCGGAATTCTATCTTCTCAGTACGAACTCGCCAAAGAGGCACTCGACATGAACGCTTCTTGCTCCTACTGGATCAGTGCCCGAGACCGCATCAAGAGTCAGATTGTGGTCTACGAGGATCAAGTCTCCAAGGACGGCAAGAAACAAGCCGCCAGTGACAACCGCGTTGGATTCATCTTGCCTCAGGTTATCCCAATGGGAACTATCACTCGCCGTGCGGTGGAGAATACTTGGCTGACTGCCAGCAATGCCAAGGCAAATCGTGTCGGTTCAGAGTTGAAGGCGATGATCAAAGCACCTCCAGGTCACTCCTTTGTAGGAGCCGATGTTGACTCTCAAGAGTTGTGGATTGCAAGTCTTGTAGGTGACGCTACCTTCCAAATTCATGGAGGAAATGCAATCGGCTTCATGACCCTTGAAGGATCCAAGAATGCAGGAACTGATTTGCATTCGCGAAGTGCGCAAATTTTGGGCATTTCGCGTAATGATGCAAAGGTCTTTAACTACGGTCGAATTTATGGCGCTGGCGTCAAGTTCGCCTCGACCCTACTTCGTCAATTCAACCCATCTTTGACTGAAAGGCAAACCCAGGAGACTGCCCAAAACCTTTATAAAGAGACCAAAGGAACACGCACTTCACGTCGTATGCTCAGTGAAACTCCGTTCTGGCGAGGTGGCACTGAGTCCTTTGTCTTCAACAAGCTGGAGGAGTTTGCGGACCAGGAACGCCCCCGCACCCCTGCTTTAGGCGCTGGCATCACTGAAGCATTGATGCGACGCTTCATCAACAAAGGAAGCTTCATGACATCTCGAATTAATTGGGCTATTCAATCGTCTGGCGTTGACTATCTCCACCTCTTGATCATCGGCATGGATTATCTCATTAGACGGTTCAATATTCAAACCCGCTTGGCTATCACTGTACACGATGAAATTCGATACCTTGTCAAAGATGAAGACAGATACCGCGCTGCGATGGCGTTGCAGATTGCAAATGTCTGGACACGCGCCATGTTCTCGCAGCAAGTTGGCATCGATGATCTTCCCCAGTCATGTGCCTATTTCTCAGCTGTTGATGTTGACCATGTTCTGCGAAAGGAGGTTGACATGGATTGCGTTACTCCTTCGCATCCTCACAAGATTCCACACGGTGAAACATTGGACATTGAACAGCTTCTCGGTAAAGAGCAAGAAGCCTTCTTGGACCCATCTATCACGCCTCACTCAGCTCCCACCCCCGAAAAGTACAAATACACCCCGCGAGAGTCGGTCATGTCTGCTCTGCAGGCCTCGAATGACATTGACTTCATCAAGGCCCAGGTCACAAAAGATGACAAGGAGCTCCGTGAAATCATCAAGCAGAAAGCCCAGGCAGGCACCCGTCCCTCAACATCCAGTACTCGCACTACCTCTCAAATCAATGGCAAATCGTCCAATTGGACTTCCGCAAAGCCACAGCGGGCAGTTCTAATGGATATGGAGTCAGGCATCTACCCAGACTTCCGCAGCCCCCCTCGTTCAAGCTCGGGCAACAAACAGAGTCAGATGGGCTTCCAACGCTCTTCCTGGAAACCTCGACCAACAGCTCGAGCCTGAAACCTTCTTTTTTACCCTATTCTTTTTCTTATGTCCTTTGACTCTCTTCTGTAATAATTTTCTTTGGCCTGCATTTTGTTATATCTGGAGTGATTGGAGGCCAGCATTGGGACGGCGTTACTGTATGCATATGTGATTCCGAACTCAATGTAACTATGTACCTATAAGTTAACGTCAAGTTTATATGTTAGGTTAACGTTCAGTTAATGCTACAATACAATAAAGAACATGAATACATACTAGTAAGCTGCATGCATGAATCTTATCAAGATCTTGCCAAGTCGGTAGTACCCGCCAAATAAAGTAGTGAAAGGGCTCAATTCTCCACCCCTTTCGGACATCTTAACCTCGAGACTGCATTGATCCTGTCTTCACTTACTCTGCCGCTCTTGCCCAGTTTATTCGTGTTTAGCATTTATTAGTTGCAGACGCGGCAGATCGCCACAACTCCTCAGACGTCACTTTCCCCGCCGGGCCATTATGTTTTCCCTCGGGGCAGTGGTGTCTCCATGAGACGCGCATTCACCTTTTTACCCCTTTTCGATACTTTGTCGCCCTGATCCACTGATCATACTTTCCCCGCGAGCAATAATTCAGTCGAAAAAGGGTTGAACACCATCTCGTTGCGTGTCCGATGACAACCTGTCCTTACACCACCACAATTGCCCCAGCGCATTCATTCCCGACGGGATCAGGATGAGTGTACACGAGCTAGACTATGCGCAGCCTAGTGCGATGCGATCCGAGTCTCTGCACCACGTTGATGTGGAGGCAGGACGCGGGTCGACAGGGCGCGGGTCGATCAGTTCCCAGGTCTCTCCAACAGCGAAAGATGAGCGAGAGGGGGGTTCATTCCCGGCCTTAGCGACCGCTGCAGCACGAATAAATTCCAACGAGACCACCAGACGCCGAGCCCGACGAAACACCGCGCGATCATACCACCCCGAAGGATTCGCCCATGACCCGAACTGGCAGCCAGGAACCGAACCCGGTATCGACCCGACCAAACCACTACCCGCTTATACCTCGGAATGGTCGTCCAATATTCCTGCGGATCTACACCGTCGCTGCGAGATCACCATCGTGGACTTCTCGCAGCATGAAATGCGACAGTACGAGTTGGATAATGATACATTGGAGCAGTTTCTCGAACGAGAGAGGGAGCCTTGGGTGCAATGCCGATGGATCAATGTGAATGGATTGAGCTGGGATGTTATTAAGATTCTTGGAAATCACAAGGGATTGCATCGACTTGCAATTGAGGATCTGGTTCACACGACGAATCGTACGAAGGCGGATTGGTACTCGGATCATGCCTTCGTCGTGTTGACGTTGCAGAAGTTGATGAAGATTTATGAGGAAAGCAGCGACTCTGACGATGAAGAAGAGGTCCCGGCTAGTCGATGGAGGTCTAAGGATCGCAAAAGCTCTGTGGTCAGTGATAGAAGCTCGATCTCTTTAAAGAGGCCCACGAAGACGAGTCTCATCCTGGAAGCCCTGAAAGATATTTTCCGGTTCAGGGCGTCCTCTCATAAAGATGAGAGGGAGAAGCCAACGGTTGGTTCCAGTGTTCGACCTGGTATTGGGCGACGAACCTCGAAACATGCTTCTCATTTTGGCAGTGTTGGGACCACGACACAGACTGCAGCCAGGAGTCTTCAGCGCTATCGCGGTGGACCCAATGAAGATCGAATCGAGTTCATGGAACGCCATGCCGTACTCGCCGGTAAAGGCCTGTCTGTCACGTTGGAGCAAGTTTCGATCTTCCTACATGCAGACAACACAGTGACATCCTTCTTCGAAACGAGTGCAGACGATATTGAGGCACCAATTGTCCGTCGTCTTAGCTCGCCCGAGACTATCCTTCGACAGTCGTGCGATGCTAGCATGCTACTACAAGCCATCATCGACGCGGTGATTGATCTGGCAATTCCAGTCACAATGGCATATCAAGACGCCATCGGCGACCTCGAACTAGAGGTCCTCACAGATCCTGACATTGACCAGTCAAAGTCGTTGTATATCTTAACGTCCGAGATTGCGGTCCTACGCAACTCAATGCAGCCAATCGTGGCAGTGATGAATGCTCTCCGTGATCACCGCTCTGAGCCAATCGGTACACCTGGGTTTGGCGTCTTGCGGAACCCTCTCAGTCCGGCTAGTACACCTGCTGAGCCTGCCGATTCTCGTCCACATATCGGTGTCATCACCCCAAACTTGAAGAGCGTTGGTGGAACTAGTGTCACCATTAGCTCCATGTGCCATACATACTTGGGAGATGCACTCGATCATTGTATTACCATCGTAGAAGGGTACGATCAGATGCGCCGCGCTGCTGACAACATGATCGACCTCATTTTCAACACTATTGGTGAGTTCTCTTTCTTGTCAGATGAATTAACCTAACACCCCGCGAAGGTGCCTACCAGAACGAGAGTATGAAACAGTTGACTCTTGTCACTTGTCTATACCTTCCCATGACGTTCTTGACCGTACGTGTGCCTTGTGCCATTCTGCTTCCCAGTTACATATTAACCAGAACCAGGGATATTTCGGTATGAACTTTACAGATTTCGCTGGAATAGAACACAGTGACAGGTAAGCTCCAAATCATGCCCAATGCAATCTCCCGTTAACGTGTCTGGACAGCTATTTCTGGAAGATCGCTATACCATTCGTTTGTGTGACAACTTTCCTACTCATGTGAGTTTCTAGCAATTCCCCTTGAAGCATTTGGTACTGATGATTATCCTAGGCGTGATAAAATCCAGCGTTACGCTGTTATGCTCGCTCAAAGACGTTTGATTGTCAGCTCCCGCAAACAGAGACGGGAGAGAAAGAGGAAATAGATCGTTACTATTTCTACCTTGCTGTATGCAATTTTGTGATCAGTTCGTTCTTTTCATGTTGGTATGGATTTGATATATCCGAGTCGTTTGTAGATTTCTGCTCTTTACCCGAACTAACCTTTGTGGTTTTGTATTTATTTTGCGTCTTTTTGTCCTTTTGATATAGTCTTCCTTAATGTACAAGAGTGGACAGGTCTAGAATTGAAGCATATACATGTTGTACACAGCTCGCAAGCCTTAATCAAAGGACTTCCGTCGGAATGCATTATAAGCCTTCCAGGGAAGTCTCCAATCAGACCGAAGCAGCTCGGGGCTAAAGACATCAAAGTCTTGCTTTTCAAGGCGATCCAGCCACAATCTCGTGCCCACAGCCGGCATGAAGACACCAAAGGCCCGGTTGATCTCATCAAGAGGCGACTCCCCACTCCGAGCATCAGAGGCACTATACTCATGCCCCTCTTCACCCTCGTGCTCAAAGTCGTGACCGACGTCTTCGCCAGCACGGAGGTTGCTCAGCATCTGCTGCACAGTGATCAGATGATCACTCGCCCGCGTCGCAACAGTAAACACTGCATCCCGAAGACCCTCCGCCTCCGCGCCCCGTCGAAGAACATCTTCCTCCCTCACACCCGCTTGCGCCATTACATCCAAAGGCAACATGACAGCACCCTGCTTGGCACCACCTCCCGTTAGGGTATTAGCCGCAGCACCGGAAGGTGACTGCGCAGGCGGCGTGGGGAACGCAACAAAAGGCAATCCGCGCAGTACAGCAGCAATACCCACAGCCTTTCCAATATGCGACGCAACATGGTCAGCCGTTACAGACGCCATGGGTAGGGCAGACAACGTCAAATACATCAGTGTCGAGTAGGTATTCTCGGCGTAGGACTCCAGTGCGGCAATATTCGTATACGGATCATTTGTTAATGTCTGTTCTCGCGAGTTGATTATGCGAGTAAGCCAGCCCTTGCTGATCCGCGCGCGGCCCTGCGTGCGCTCGTGTAGATCGGAGATGGCGGAGGCGAGCAAGATGGCAACGGGTTCTTTGGGTGGTGTGCCCGCTAGGATTTTCGTGACGGCGTCACGCCAGAATTGGAGGCGCATTAGGCCGATTGTTGGGGAGGAGGTCGTGTCTGGGATCATGGAGAGGGAAACGTTCAATGCGCGCAGCGCGATGTAGAAGGATTGCGCATGGCGCGGGATAAAGGTGCTCAAAGTGTAGGAGGGTCGGTCATATTTTCTGATTGTGGAGGTCTCTGTGAGTAATTTGGACTTGGTTGAGGTATGGAGGAACTGGTGCAGCATACGAGAGCAGAGCGACGCAATATTTGTGAGCGCCTTGGACTTCTTCGGCGGTGATGGGTGCGGCGACAGTTTGTGTTCGACTGAAGCTTCGCCTTAATTGGAAGCTTTGCAGGCTGAACCTGTTCGCTCTTCGGCATGGCCGAGCAAGAAAAGACATGTCAACGGTGAAGGTGGAATTGCGACCTGCGACCTGGGGAAAAGAAGATGTAATCGGGCAAAAAGTATTGGCTCGCAGATCGTCTTTGTCAGCGAAGCTTCAATGCTTTGACAGGAATAAGTTAAATCCTCTGTTTGACTTGACTATTTATATGACTTGACTGGTGGCAAGATGAATATGATTTATTTAATTGCCTTGAATGTGATTTGTCTGTGATTTCTGTAGTATAAAAGTTGTGAGCTGTCAGCAATTTGGTGCTGACGTCGATCCACCTGACTTCGCGTTTCTCCGGCGCGTCTTCCGACTCGAGACTTCATCTTCTTGCACTGTATGAATCCCATGTTCCAATATGAGCGATGATGGGGAACAGCCGCCATTAAAGAGGCAACGTTTCTTTTCCGACAGCCAGCTCTCGCCCTTACCAATACAAACCCGAGACACCAACGCGTCGTTTCGTGAAACCGAAGCAAGCTCCGAGCAATTGCCTGCGGAGGACAAAGAGAACAGCGGGTTTGATGTGGAGCTTTTTACCAGCATAATTGGAGAAACACTCCCATCCGAGTCTATCACAATAATACGAAAAGCCGCCTCGTGCAACATCGAACGAGCTGTGAACATATACTTTGATGGATCATGGAAGAAGCCTGGGAGGGTCAACGTCAGCCCTGCCAGCCAAGCTCAACAGAATGGACATCAAATAAAAGCGGAACTTGGGGTTGGAAGATTACGGGAGTCCATTAAGCAACAGTCGAAGGGTGGTCTCATGGAAAGTGAATCCCTCGTTCAGCAGCAGCCACTTTCCCGATACGTTGGAGCATTTGGGGTGGGTGGATGGGCAACTCGGAGTGGATTGGCATGTCTTAAGCATGGTGAAACCGTGAATATCGAGCGAGCTCGATCTCAGCCAACATTAAAACGTGGTCGTGGGGGGAAGTCTTTCATGAACAACAAGAGTGACGTTCTCACTCGCTTCACGAACATGGCAGGTCAAGAAATCGGACGTCTTCCACATGAGACAGCTGAGTGGGTGTCCACCCTGATTGACCAGAAGATCTGTCAATTCGAAGGCGTCTGCGTGTTTGTTCCTGACAGGGTCCGCGTCAACGATACCATTTACCTGCAATTGAGAGTCTTCATGCGCCGTGAGGCATTTCAACGCGGAGCATTTGCGGCATTACACAAGAACGACAATAGGTCAACCGGTTTGTTCGAAGAAAAGGAGAGCACAGAAGAAAAGAATTTACGACTGCGCCAAGTGGCTCTTGTAAAATTGTTCCATGAGATCAACCTTCATCCCACCTCGACAAATCCGACTACTGAGAAACATAAACGAGATGGTATCTTACGTGCTGCCGAGATTGCAGACCAATACGACAGCACCAAGAAAGACAAGTCAAAATCAGCGAAAGATCCCAACGACTCCTCCGATGAAGACTCAACCGAAGAATTGGAGGACGACCAACTAGATGCCCTCTACCGCAAAGCTCAGTCATTTGATTTCAACATGCCTGGGGCCGATCCTGCACCCAGCTTCTCACTTGATTTAAGAAAATATCAACGACAGGCTCTCCATTGGATGCTCTCCAAGGAAAAAGACTCAAATCAAGCCCGAGAAAAGTCGATGCATCCCTTATGGGAGGAGTATACATGGCCCACGAAGGATGTGGATGACAAGGATGTGCCTCAAGTTCCAAGGATTGATCATTTCTACGTCAATCCATATTCGGGTGATCTCAGTGTCGACTTTCCTGCACAAGAGCAACGCTGTCAAGGTGGAATTCTCGCGGACGAGATGGGACTTGGTAAAACCATCGAAATGCTCAGTTTGGTCCATTCCCATAAAGTTGAACCAGATCCGCAAGTAGCGAACGGTCTTGCCTCGGTGAATGATTTAGCAAGAATGCCAAGCTCTACTGGAGTAATTCCTGCGCCATATACCACACTAGTCGTTGCCCCAACTTCGTTGATCTCTCAATGGGAAAGTGAGGCACTAAAAGCCGGAACCTTGAGGGTTCTCGTATACTATGGTGCAGACAAGTCTAACAACTTGAGAGACATCTGCTGCGAGTCCAAATATGCAACGGCGCCTCAAGTGATTGTCACTAGCTATGGTGTCGTGCTGTCAGAATTCCGCGCTCTCGCTCTCCAGTCTGCACTGGGGGCCAGTGCAAATGGTGGTCTATTCTCTGTCAACTTCTTCCGAGTCATCCTCGACGAAGCCCATGTCATCAAGAACCGTCGATCCAAATCAGCGCAAGCATGCTGCGAGCTGCAGGCAGCTCATCGATGGGCTCTGACTGGCACGCCAATTGTCAATCGGCTCGAAGACCTGTTCAGCCTGGTGCGTTTCCTCAAAGTTGAACCGTGGAGTAATTTCTCTTTCTGGAAGACTTTCATCACCGTACCATTTGAATCTAAAGAGTACGTTCGTGCACTGAACGTAGTTCAAAGTGTTTTGGAGCCCCTTGTGCTTCGACGAACAAAGTCAATGAAGACTCCAGAAGGCGAGCCTTTGGTTCCCTTACCGCGGAAGACTATTACCATCGAGGAAGTAGAGCTTCCAAAACAAGAACGAGAGATTTATGACTGTATATTCACTCGTGCCAAACGAACGTACAACGATAATGTCGAAGCTGGAACACTTTTGAAATCCTATAGTACTATTTTTGCGCAGATCCTTCGACTTCGCCAGACCTGCTGCCATCCTGTGCTGACACGCAACAAATCAATCGTTGCAGACGAGGAGGACAGGGCGGTGGCTGCAGATGCCACAAATGAGTTCAAGGACGACATGGATCTTCAAGAACTGATCAACCAGTTCAATGCTGAAAATGAGAATGCCGATTCTCAAGAGCGCCCCGGCGCAACGGTCAAGTTTACAACACACGCTCTCCGTCAAATCCAAACCGAGTCCAGCGGAGAGTGTCCAATTTGCTGCGAAGAGCCTATGATTGATCCTGCGGTAACTGCATGTTGGCATAGTGCTTGCAAAAAGTGCCTTGAAGACTTCATGCAACATCAAATGAACAAGAATGTTGAGGCAAGATGCTTCAACTGCCGTGCCCCGGTCGACGCAAAGAACATCTTCGAGGTCGTCAGGCATCCATCCTCACACTCAACTCCTCTTGATGACGATATCGCGAGCAGCACATCACCAACCAACTCCCAGCCCGCACCTCGCATTTCTCTCCGCCGCATCTATCCTCTATCTCCATCCGCACATACCTCCGCCAAGATCCACGCTCTCATCAACCATCTCTGCCGCATTTCCCCCAACACAAAATCCGTCGTCTTTTCCCAATTTACCTCCTTCCTAGACCTCATCGGTCCGCAACTTACCAAAGTCGGAATTCAGTATCTCCGACTGGATGGCACAATGCCACAGAAGGCCCGTGCTGCCGTCCTAGCCGAATTTACAAAAGAAGAAAGCTACACAGACGACGATATCATCGACCCAGAAGATGACACTCCTGTAGGACATATTCGTTCGAAGACAGCACCTGCAACCCCACCAGCTTCAGTCCTCCTCATCTCTCTTCGTGCTGGCGGTGTCGGCCTCAATCTTACAGCAGCAAGCAACGTCTTCGTCATGGATCCTTGGTGGAGTTTCGCAATCGAAGCCCAAGCTATCGACCGTGTCCACCGAATGGGTCAGACTCGTGATGTCGTGGTCACACGCTTTGTGGTCAAGGACTCCATTGAAGGTCGCATGCTCCGCGTTCAGGAGCGTAAGATGAATATTGCTGGATCTCTTGGGTTGAGGGTTGGTGGTGATGACGGGGACGAAGATAAAAAGAAGGACAGGATTGAGGAGTTGAAAATGCTGTTCGAGTGATTCGTTTGAGGTCTTTTTCTACTTTGTTTCCATGTGCGGATACTCGGCTCTGGCGTGGAAATATTGGAATACGGTGAAGTCTGGAGGGTACTTCGCTGAATCATTTCTTGAATCTACGATCGATTTATACGGCTGTAAAATGAAGTGGCAATTCTTGTGGATTTGGAGTACTGAATCAATGCCAAACGTTGCATGTTGAATGCAACAACCCCCAGTTGAAGATAGCGTATCTTAGACATCGGTGATAAAAATATCGATTGCATGTTGGATGCAACCCATCAGAAAGGCTTTTTGTCGCCAGAACTTTCGTAGGAAAAATAAACATCCACCGTTCCAAGCCACCAAGCTACCACAGCAGTAGATCAATGACCAACAACACACTGTTTCTGATACCGACACCCCATTCGAACAGAGTGACAGCGAGGACAACCATTATTTCCACGGCAATGAGCAACACCTCCACAGAATTGGCCACACCTCGAAGGACGACGACGACGCTCATCATCAAGAATCGATGCGTCCCTGATTGAGAAAGTGTTAGAACCCGTACAACGATCAGCATCTCTAGTTTCCAAAGTCGAGTTCTGTACCGTGTCGTTTGAGCTTGGTTCTGGGCCAAACATTTCTTCGGCCATCCGATCTTGCTGCTCAAAGTATTCGTTTGCAGTGGGACTGGGAGTGAAGTCGTCGGAGAAGGCAAGGGTGTCGCTTGGCCACACGAAGAGGTCGACCTTCACTCGTCCGTTGACGAGAAACATGCTCACGTAGTGATCATCCTGGATATTTTCCATGAATGCATCGTAGCGGTCAAGCTCATCCTCACGGATGGCTGTGCGTGGGCTGATCATCATTGCACAACAGCTTGCAGCAGACATGATGACGAGGAGTGCACGGAAGAGAGTTTGGAGAAACATTTGGGACTTGATTGAGGTGAGGTTGTTGTTGTCGTTGTTGTCATGTGATGGTTTGGGTTTGGAGTTGCGTTGCCCTAAGGCGAGAAGCTTGGAAGTATTGTTTGGAGTGCTTGATATCAAGAGATACTTGACTGGTTAAAATTGAGCAGTCACTGCTGGAGATATTTATACCTTACTTTTGGCAAGTTAGGCCACCATATCCTTCACCTTTTGTCGGCTGAATCTATCCCTGCCCCAGTTCATTCAACCTGAAGAAAGAGAAACTCCATACGCTCCTTGCACTGGACCTTTGAATGCAGAAATGCCAGCTTCTCTCACATAATGTACTACCAACCTCCACCGCCATCCGTCATGCTGAGAAAAATACCTTGATGCCCTATCAAAGAAGTACGGCAGATGAACGAGCCCTCTCAGATGATTCACCTGTTGCAAAGGTACAATGGCATACAAAGTTTCAAAGCAAAACGTATGTCCTACTGCTCAAGAAACTTTCTTTGGTGAGAGAATTTTGGATTTCCAGGTTGAGTGCAATCACAACCATCATCATCTAGAGAAACTTCACTAACTTGCCAGAACTTGAACCATGGCCAGAAGAAATTGAGTTGCAACTCAAACAGACCAAAAGACGGTCTGTTTGCATTTGAGTCAAGAACACGAACAACCCATTCTGCTATAAACCACATACTCTCTACTTTGACCTCGACAGCGAGCACCATTCTTTTGCTAACGGCGTGTTTCAGCACCATGAAATAGACCCGAGACATATTTGGGGCTGGAAGAGGCTCCGAAAACACACCAGCAATCTGCTTTCTGAGATGAACGGCATGATTAATTACCCCCCGCTGCTTTAGGTTGCACTGAAGTTGATGACTGCAGAGACTGGCGTACTACACCAGAACCTGTACTTTGGCCTTGGGTCTATTTTTTCCTGGCTGGAGAGCCCTGAAAGTTAATTTCATTAAAGCTTTTACTGCAGGAGTTGATTTCCTCCCGAGATGGTGGCTTTGCTGTTACATGGACTAACTGTTAATAAACTTTCGTTCTAGTGGTCCTGAGATGATATCCCGTAGCATGAAGTCTGAAGAAGGATGGAGCCGGAAGAGAGAGGGAATAGAATCAATAACTCCTAGAGTATGTCCAAGAGCTATTCTTGGCCAAAGAGCACAGTAAGATTGTTCATAGTCATTGCTCAATCGCTGTCCTTTAAAGCCTTGGAAATAGCCTCCATGCCACCATGAAGCTCCTCTCTGGTTGGCCACCCAAACCCAAGGCCGAAATGTGTACCAGGCAATTTAAAGCAGTGACCAGATCCGACGTAAGTTTGCTCTTTTTCTAACCTTTCGTAGAGCAGTTGTGTCACCATCGAGCTCGTTCTTCGTTCGAGGGAAATACACCACTCCCCCAGCAGGCTGAACCTATTCCAGCCTATCTTTCTTTTCAATCCAGGATCTGACTATATCAACTCTAGTTTCAATCTCTTTGATCGTCAAATATAGCGTGTTCTCCTTGTTCCCCAAAAGGTGAGAAGCTATCCATTCATCGATGACGCTTCCGCTGATACTGATCTGCGCTCTGGCATCAAGGAATATCTCTTGAAGCTTCTTGTTCTGAGTTACGGCCCACCCCAGTTGGATACCTGGCACACCAGAAGATTTGGACAGAGAGCTAACACTCAGGATGTGGTCCCCTAGGGATGCTGCAACGGGAAGCTGTCTGCAATACGACACATCTCGATATGTTTCATCGACAAGCAGAAGGCAGTTATTCCTATTGGTGATTGCAACGAGCTCATCCAAAGCCTCTCTGGAAATAAGGGTACCAGTCGGGTCGTGGGGGCAGGTGATGGAGACCATCTTGGTCTTCGTTGTGATGCAGGATTCGATAAAAGCCAGGTCTGGTTGAAAGCCAAACTTGAATCTCAAATCAAGAAAGCTGACATCGTACCCAATAACTCTTGGAGTCTCGATATTAGTGACATAATTGCGGCGCACGACCACGATGTGATCGCCGGGCGTTATTTGCGACATCGCAAAGATGGGAAATGGGCCATAAGAGGAAGAATATATTTTTGGGCTTTAGGACTCCATTTAGAATAAAAAGTGAGCATAGAAGGAGCATCTGTGGTTGGATTGGCTGGATCGCCAAATTGACCAGTTGGCACTACTTGTACTTGCTATATTCTCAAACTGATATGAACTAAGCCAGGGATATTCGCCTCGACATTATATTCCCGACTCTCGTTGCGTCAACATAGTCACAGTAATTAAACCAATCAGACAAATTGATTTCCAACTCTATTCCAACGTACGATTGGATTGTTAAACTCGCTAGGTCTTAAGGCGACTAGGCAACAGGACGAATCAGAGCCATATTTGCCATATCTGACCCCCACAGCAGCGGAATTTAGCCCGCTGTGTAGACTACAGCAAGTGTAGCATTATCGATTCCATTTATCTAGAGGCATAGCAATCAATTTAACTTCAGGTGAGAGAGATTCAAAGGCTGCTATATGGTGCATTCGTGCTTTTTCCATCCTCAAAACTCTTGCCCTCTCATCCATTCTTATCCTCGAAATTGAAAACGATGCCAGTCCCTACACCCTTCTCTATTCCACTACAGCAAAGCAAGCTTTGCGGCTTGTGGATTCGCGGGAGAAACTGTCTCTTCGGATCACTCGCCTGCTTCCAGTAATGCTCTAGTTGGGTATTCGCCTTCACGCGGTGTGATGCCAAACAGGGGCCCATGGCCACTCTATCCCCCATGCGACGTCATTGTCCCCCATACAATATCCATGGAAGAATTTACGTGCTTGATGTTATTGTGATCGACGACTCGGAAGCTACTCGAAGTATTGACTTTTGGCGAAACTAGCTGTTTGTCCCAATTGCAGAAGCTTCAGAAGTGCGGCCAGCCGACTATCAAGATTTGAAAGACCCAAGAGCCCTTATTGGAAAAAAATTGCAGTTTCGAAATGTTTCATTGGAGCACTGTATGTCAAGCCATACCATGTATGCATCGAACCAGTTCAATGGCTTTGGGGAAAAGCAAGGGCCAGACCGGAGTCCCTCGGTGCCACCGTCATCGGATCAGATTTCCCGTTGCTTGAAAACTATACTGTATGTATAAGTTATCGTGCCGGGATGAACAAAGCCGAGGGCCGAAAAGTGTTTTATTTACGAATTCATAAGTGATATTGGAGTATTTGGCTGTGATTAGTCTGTTCGCTCTTTTCGGAGTGACGATCATCCCGCAACCCCAACTTTATGTCATGATTCTTTGTAGGGGTATATTAACCAACTGTAGACCGCAGGAGTGCCCTTGGGGAGCCCTTCTCCGTGGGGAGTGGGCATCATAGATTCTTATTACGTGAGCTTATGGATCACGATGGGATTAACTTTCTACCCCAAGCTCCAACTGGGGGGGTTTCACCACCTTAGTTTCTTGAAGCTACAGTATAGTGTATAGTGTGTCGAACAGAAGCCGGGAGCATTCAGTATAATTCGTACAATTCTGGTAATTTTCAGTTGACTTGGTACTGGAAAAAGGCTCAGCTCCAACTCCGATTGTAACCGCGAGAGGCTCGGCGAAACAAGCTCCGAGCGGAGATCGTCCGATATGGATCACTTATGCTTAACTTCATTGTATGGAAAGAGCCAGGGGCTTTTTAATACTGAACAACATATCAACGCATCGTACCTAATTTTTCACCTGGGACCCCACGCCACGGGCATCTATGGGGATTAATCGGACAGAAATAAAGTATGCTGTGACGGATTGTGTGTGTGCCTTTAGTGGGCACACGGTGGATATCGAAAAGTCCACTTTAACTGTACCTGGGCTGGTTAATGGTTGACATGAGGTCATATCGTTGCCCCGTATGTTGAGTCTGTTCACGAACCCACATTTTCCCCGATTGTCCTGGAAAACTTTCTGTGACAAAATTCTGCTTTCCCCGGCCATTTTCGTGGGATTCGTCTGTCACCAAGTGGGTATATAGCGAGTTTCTCTCGCGCCCAACGAGAAAACCGCCCACAATTCGTTACACATCCTCGACTTTACTTCATTACCCCAACCACAAGGAATTGGGATACTCTGCCCACAGTGTGGCATTCACATCATGGGCACCCAATCCTCGGAGATCCCAAATGACAAGACCGTCGACAAACCAATCGATGCTGGTGGTGATATAATGGGCGAGATGAGCGACAGAGAACGGAACCTCTACGATGAAGGAATGAAAAAGTTCTCACGGCTGGGGTGGAAGCGATTGACCGTGGTCCTGATTGTGGAAGCCATTGCACTGGGTACACTATCTATCCCCTCATCCTTCGCCACACTAGGCATGGTTGCCGGCATCATTTGCACTATTGGAATTGGTCTCGTTGCCATTTATACCAGTTACGTGATTGGTCAGGTCAAACTTGCATACCCGGAGATCACCAACTACGCTGATGCTGGCCGTCTGATGGGCGGCCGAATTGGGTATGAAATAGTGACCGTGATGCTTGGTCTCCAACTCACGTTTCTTACGGCATCGCACTGCTTGACTGGCACCATTGCCCTGCAGGTAATCACCCAGAGTACGATTTGCGGTGTCATATTCGGAGTGGTATGTGCGGTCATCCTACTAGTATTAGCTGTGCCGCCTAGCTTCACCGAGATGGCGATATTGGGTTATATCGACTTTGGCTCTATCATTATAGCCATTGGAATCACCATCATCGCTGCCGGTATCGAGCGAAACGAAGTCACTACTGCCACTCTATCAGGCGCGGCTTGGTCCGCGTGGCCACCAGAGGGCACGACGTTCACCGACGCATTTATCGCCGTTTCGAACATTATCTTTGCCTACAGCTTTGCAATCTGCCAATTCTCGTTTATGGACGAGATGCACACACCCAAGGACTATGTCAAATCGATCTGGGCTTTGGGCATCACTGAGATTTTGATTTATACCGTGAGCAGTGCACTGATTTACTCTTTTGTCGGTGCAGATGTTAAAGGACCTGCTATGCTTTCTATCAACGAGACCGTTAGTCGGATTGCTTTTGGAGTGGCACTGCCTGTTATCTTCATCAGCGGCTCTATCAACACCGTTGTTGCTGGGCGGTTAATTCATGGTAGAATCTTCAAGAATTCTACTATCCGCTTCATTAACAGCGTTGCTGGGTGGTCCACTTGGCTGGGAATTATTACAGCCATCACTGTGATTGCTTTTGTGATTGCTGAGGTCATTCCCTTCTTCGAGGATCTTCTCTCTCTGATCTCCGCCCTGTTTATCTCTGGTTTTACGTTCTACATCCCCGCTTTGATGTGGTTCATCTTGATCCGGAAGGGAAGCTGGACTTCACCTCGTAACCTGGCATTAGGAGCTCTCAACGGAGCTGTCCTGGTCATAGGTCTGGTAATTCTGGGTGGCGGTACTTACGCCAGTATTCAAGATATTGTAAGTTGCTCAAGATACCCTCATGGTTTGGGTGTTGGGCCCTTCGCTAACCTTGATTTACTAGCTTAACAATTATAAAGCTGGAACGGTTGGAAGCGCCTTTTCCTGTGGGAAACAATATTAAATACTGCCATCTACTATAGTGTGGCTTGAAATGGTCGCCAGTGAATTATGAACACACGTCTTCTGGTCATATTTTCATGATTCTTTTGTACATCTTGCTGGATGCCCCAGAACATAACATGTACAATCTGTTTTCAGAAAAATTGAATCACTCTTATGCATGATGATACCTTGCTCATATATAAAGTTCCATCTACTTGGTTGCCAGTGCAAGATCAATAGCAGCCTGGGGCATAAACAATACGGATATCAATGATCGGGTCCCGAGCATTCCAAATTCTGTACAGCCAAGAATGATCACTTCCGCTCCCCTCGCAACTAAATCCGCAATGGCCGCTCTGAACTTTGCGCGCGTCTGACGTCGGAAAATATGAGAATTATAACATCGAATTGCAACACTTGTTCAGCGTGTGTCAGGATGTTACCTGCGACGCTCGGAGATCTGGCTCCATGCCCGAGCTATCGTCACCGAGACGGGAACCAAATGATTCGGGGCCGTTGAGAATTCGCCGACTGCCTTTAACTTGGCATATAATTCCCACGAGTATCATCACTGCAATGTCGGAATCGACAGGCAACGTTTCATATGAGTTTCTGGACACTTTCGAGGAGCTGAAAGAGTGGAAACCGTATTTTGTCCCACAACATCCTCTCGATAACACTGTACTGATCAAGTTGATGAGTAGAGCGAATCCCTTCCTTTGTAAATTACAATTTGATCCCCACAACTCCCAGTTCTAAGTTCGGGGAAGTCCGGGGCCTTGGAGGCGCCATAATCCACCACCGCAGTGCCGAGCGGACTTCTGAAGCCCCCACGGGTTCAGGCTCGGCGGTTTTGATATCTCACCGAAGCCTCGGGCATGGATGTGCAGGACATTGAGTATGAATCAAAAATTCATAGTAAAAGACATGACCCCTCTCCTCTCCCCCCTCTTCTTTCCATGGAGCCTAATAGCCAACCCTTCGCTATTGAGGCCATGAAGTCTCAACTCGAGAAAGGAGCACAGTTCTCGCCGACAAATCAAGAAGTTCGGCATGTTGACCTTGTCCGCGACTGGAGTGGACCAGATGATCCTGAAAATCCTCGAAACTTCTCGTTGTGCATGCGTCTCTTAGGCACATTTACTGTGACCTCCCTGGCCTTCGTGGTAGCCTTTGCAGGAGGAATATACGCTCCAGCTCAGAATGAGATAATGAATGTATGGAATTGCAACTATGAGGCCGCTGTACTGCCTCTTTCACTCTACAATCTTGGACTTTCATTGGGCCCTATCATAGGAGCTCCATTGTCCGAAAAATACGGCCGAAGAGCTGTCTACGTCGTCAACACCCCTATCTTCATTCTCTTCTTAATTGGAGCCGGTTTCTCGGACGGCATTGGCAGTCTGATCATTTGCCGCTTTTTCGCCGGTGTTTTTGGCTCTCCAAACATCAACAATGCTTCCGCGACCATTTTAGACTATACACCCGACATTCATCGCGGCGTCGTCCTTGGCATATACTATTCCATTCCGACCGTCGGTGCAACCATAGGGCCTCTCGTTGGAACCTTCCTTGTCCAAGAACGAGGCTGGAGATGGACACATTGGGTTCCAATCATCATAACCAGTTTTCTCTACATCCAAGTCTTATTCACAAAGGAAACTTACAAGGCTGTGGTTTTACAACGCCGGGCAATCAAACTAGGACTTCTGGACGCATCGTCTCAGCGATTCAGCGTGCTCAAATCCCTTCGACACTTCTTCGTCACGCTCATTCAACGCCCAATCCACATGCTTTGCACCGAGCCAATCGTAACATTCGTCAGCTTGTACAATGGGCTCATCTACGGCCTCATTTACGCATTTGTGATTTCAGTCCCTTGGGTCTCGACAACATATTACAATTTCGATAAAACAGGAGAAGCCCTTTCCTACCTCGGTGTCTCACTCGGTAGTCTGATTGCCTGTATCCCATTTGTAATTATGGATATCATGTTCTACCAGAAACGCCTTCTATCGTGGAAACAAACCCATTCATCGGGTGAAAAGATGCCACCGGAAAACCGCCTCCCTTCGGCTATGGTAGGTAGTTTCTTGCTTCCTGCGTCGTTGCTTGTGGCCGGTTGGACAGCTGAGAATCGTGTTCATTGGATTGTGCCCATTATTTTCCAGGGGATGGCTACGCTTGCCTGTCTTTTGATCTATGCAAGTGCCAATATGTTCATGTTGGATTCTTATGGACCTCTCTACGGTGCCTCGGCTTCAGGTGCTATGATGTTTAGTAGATATCTGTTGGGTTTTGCTTTTCCAATGTTCACGCTTCAAATGTTTGAAAGGCTGGGTGCGGGCTGGGCAACGTCTATTTTGGCCTTGTTGACTTTGGTCATGGCTCCAATTCCCTGGTGTTTTTGGATTTATGGACCGCAATTGAGAAATGCGAGTAGATATGAGACAAGTGGTTGAAGTGGCTAAATCTAGATATAGAAGAACAGTGTATTGAATTGTAATAAGGAACAGGATGAAAAAAATAACTTGTAAGTGATATTAACAATTAACTAAAAAACCCAGCTAAATTCTCAAACACTCAAAAGATAAAGAAACGATTATTTCGAACGGGGTGAACATATATATCCCCCTTCATCAAAGACGCACAACTGCTTTTCAATGGTATCAAAACAACAGCGGTACACTTATTTGCTCGAATGGTGAAGATGCTTCTTGATCCCCTCCTTCATCTTCGAGATAGCACCATGCTTCCCGTTACCCTTTCCACTATCCTGGGAAGAATGATCAGACTTGCTGCTTTCCTTGTTACTGTCCTTGGACTCATAAGAGGTTCCTATTAAAGGTTTCGCGTTAGCAATTGACCAATATGCTAGACAATGCGTGAAGGGGAGATGGGACATACTCTTCTCATGATCCTTGGTATTATCCAGCTCCTTCACCACAGACCCCTTTCTGTTACCCTCTTTCTGGAAGTCCTCAGCAGACTTAGGAGCCGGGCCTTGGGGTCCCTTGAGAGCTTCCTCGCTAGCGGCGGTGTGGGAGCCCCCCTCAGTTGCGGACTCCGAGAAGGCAGCATTTTCAGTCTCGGTGGTGCTACGCTGTTCCTTGGTCGAAGCAGCGGTCTCGGTGGGTCCCGACGAACTGCCTGCTTCCTGGCCGGGCAGGGGTTGCGTGGCTTCGGCGCTGACTGGTGCGGTGGATGTGTTGGGTTCAGTGAGTGGTTTGGTGATACTGGCTGTAGGATCGATGGTGCCTGTGTCGGTGCTTGAATTTGTGTTGGCTCCGCTAGTGATGGGCTTGCCAATGGTGGCAGATGGGTCGATGACACCGGTTGTGTTATTGTTGTCGAGGGTGGACTTGGGGTGGGAGGGAGCTGATGATACGGCTGCTTCTTCGAAGGTTTTTTGCATGGCGCCGTCTGACTTTGGCTCTTGAGTGGCTGTGTTGCCGTCGAGATTGATTGCGCCGGGTTGCTCTGGGTTTTGTTAGTTCAATAAACTTTGTTTCGGTTGTAGTGTGGCGTCATATAGATTTCACAGTGAGGGGATGCGGATACAATTTCCGCTTCTGAGATCGAGGGAAACTGGGGTTGGAATGGCATGAAACTTCTGTCTATTACTTACCCTCTCGGTTACCACCATCATAGGGGTCTGTGATACGTCCACTGCCTTGGACACCAGAAATGGGCTCTTCGCCGTGCTGGAGGTTGTGGGGGTCGGTTGAGGGACTGTTCTCACCCCAGATGGCGGTCGAAGCAGCGCTGACGTATTTATTGACGGTCTCCATAGTTGTGTTTATTGAAGTCAGATATTGATGGTTAGATGGTAAGATGCGATGTGATATGGAGTGTAGACGGGATAAAATAAAGTCGTGTGATAAGAGGACGATATGAATATGACGTTGATATAGGGAATAGAAAGATTCAGGTAGCAAGGTTTAAAGGGCAATTGATGAGAGTATGAAAGGTTGAATTGAAGGATTTTAAAGTCGAACTCTTGGGCGGGTCAAGCTTTAAGAACACGAGACTCCAGTGAGGGTACGTCAGCGGGTGGTGGCTTACACATGGAACCCCTGCTTAGGCACTGATTCCACCGCAATTTGTGAGGTTGGACTGGCGAAATGAGGTCGCTGGAAGTGATCGTCTGGGCCTATGTCATTGAATGACGTCATACACTGCCTATCATCTATAGAGCATTGGGCCTTCTGATTGGGTGTCTGTCTGATAGATATAGTGTAATCCACTGGTGAGGGTTGTATTTGTTTCATCCCGGCTATGGACACTTAAATAGACATTGTCTCGTCATATTTGGCGTATTTGGTGGCGTATATAAATTGAAGGGCGTCTATAGACAGCACGCGAGAGAGTAATCTTGGAATGGTAGTGTTACGCATTGCACTGGTTCGATTGGGTAACTAACAGTTTCTAATAAAATGCACAAGATACACCTTGTCCTATTGAAATACGCCGTAAAATATGGCCCAGCTTGCCAGAGACACGCAGATACATCTTGTGCCGAAGACTATGAGATAATGAACAATAAAACGCACGAAATCCCGTCTAATGCAAGACACGGAATAAAATAATCAAATCTGACAGCCAATAATGATAGAGCAAATCGAGTAAAAAATCAAAAACTCCCCAAGCAAATGTGAAATCATGAGGGTATCTTGGTGGTCTGGGGGGTAGGAGTTGTAGCTCCGCCCTTCTTAGCATTATCGGGATTCAATGGATGTGCTGGGTCATATCCAATGCTCTTAACGATTCCTAGGCCCTTGGTCTTACCCTCACGGAAGAGGACACGGTCTCCAGGTACTAGGAATTCTGGACGTTGGATGAAGCGGAAGGCAACTCGGGCGCGGTCGCCTGTCCGGATGAAAGGGCGGTCAATGTCGATGACCGAACAGGTCTGGCTAACTGCTCCCACGTGCAGCATGGCCTGGTACTTAGGCTTGATGGTGGTAGCATGGGAGAGAATCAAAACTAAAAGCTTGTCAGTACATTTATCTCCCATAGTGATCCATGGGACTTACCCTCTGCGACGAATTCACGGTAAACCTTGGGAGGTGTCTCCAGCTTCTTGAGCACCACCATTCCCTTGCGTACTTCCTTTCGGCGGACACGCTTTAGGGCGAAAGACCCTGACTGACCAGCAAAGCAAGCATTCACTTGGATACGCTTACGCTCGATCGACTTGATAGTGGTAGTGGTGAACTGACCAAGAGAGTCAGGTCCCACGATGACAGTATCACCGACGTGGATGACACCAGACTTGACAACACCCGAGACAACTGTGCCTGCATAAGGCACAGAGAAGATGTCGTTGATGACAAACTCAAATGCCCCTTCGGAGTCGTATTGACCCCGGTGAGGCAGGATATTCAGGAACGTGCGAACCAGGTCAAGGTTCTCTCCGGTGACATTGGAAACCTGGAAAATGGGACAAATGCGCTGGGTGACAAACTGGGTGGCAGTGTTGATGCTGTCCTCCATGCTCTTGACAAAGATGGGGATCTTGTGGGCACCGGGAGACTTGAGAATCTTTTCCAGCTGGGACAAAGTCTCCTGCAAGATATGAGGCGGACAAATGTCGATTTTGGTGACAATGACCATGACAGGCACATTCAAGGCTAATGCAATACCGAGATGCTCTTTGCTCATTCCGATCAGACCATTATTGGCAGCCACCATAAGCAGACAGTAGTTGGGGCTGCTGCTCAGCATGCCGAAGACTGTGGTACGAAGGTATCTCTCGTGGCCTGCCAAGTCAGAGAATGAGATAACTTTAGCAGACCGCTTGCCGATATCCTCCCAGGACAATTTTCGGCCCTGGGAGTTACTGACAATCTCTCCATGGCTATCGAAGCCCATGATCTCCATGCCCACAGAGCTGGTCCTGCCGCTCTCGATTTCATGCTTGTGCCGGAAGAGATTGACACGCGCGCGACCACGCCCATCATCCAGGCCACCCTTCACCAAAACACCTAACATGGTACTCTTCCCCGCATCCACATTCCCCACCACAGCCACCCGAAGCTCCGCCATCTCCTCAATAGTATCGGGATGATGGCGGACCAATACCTTGCCCCAAGAACCTTGTATTCGAGAAGTGTTGACGGGCGACTCCTCCGGGCCGCCGACGTTGTGAGTAAGTAATACTCGGCAGTGGGCGGGGATAGTCGCGGCGGCCTCGCCCAAATGCTGCAGCGCCGTCTCCCATTGAGCTAGATCGAAGCCCATGGTTTCACCTCCATCCTCCAGGCCGAGGTCGAAGATGGTCTCTCCGTGGCCTTCGTCGATTCGGGATTGTAATGTGCCAGCTAGCACTTGCAAGCTGTCTTCAATGGCATCTCCCGTTCCTAGGAGAAGCTCCTTCAATTTCGCTGTGCGAGGGGCATCGGACAGCTCGAGCTGGTCAAGGATATCAAGTTCCGCGTGATCTTCAAGATCGCGCGACACGCTCGCTGTGGAATATCCGCTATCGCTAGGTGGCACGACAGAGCGGTGAGCCTGTTGCTTTTCGGCATACTCGGCGAATTCGCTGAGCGCCTGGGGGGGGGTAGCCGAATCAGATGTGTGTGAATACGCTAGATGGAATTGATACATACAAGTTCGCCCCTTCTGCGCTCCTCGTGATTCAATTTGGGCGCCATCGTAGGCAGGTGGAGTGTTGATAAGGGTAAATGTATTGACGATGTTCCGCTCGGGGGTGGTGACGTTATTGGTTGGTAGATTGAATATCACTTAATATTGAGACAGGAAATGTATTCGAGTGATCATTATTATCCTCTGCTGACAGAAGATGTATGCGTAGAGGAATGTTGAGGATGTTCAAAACAAAGAGTCCAGACTTGGGGCATTGGGAGAGCTTTATCGATAACCTTTGGAAGTCGAGTCACTGATTGAGTCATCCCAAGAGCCGCACTAACTTAGTTGAGTCACGGGGGGCTATAGCTCTGATGGGTCTAGGAAGTCCAGTGAATCATATGGAATACCTTGACTGAAACTTTGGGCTTCGCAGTGCGGGCTGTACAAGGCTCAATATTGTGGCTCGAGGCCCGAGGCTTGAAGCTCATGACATGGCCCTCACCTCTCTAACGTCATTCTACATGGGAGTCGTTGATCATAAACCAATTTTCATGGTATCGTTATCTATGCCTTTTGTGGTATCTCAAGTCCTTCCTCCTAGCATGCCCAGTCGCCGGACGCCAGTTCTATCAATTCAAGAGTCGCTTATGCCTGGGGGGAGATTAAGACAACCGAGTCTCCTATACAGGGATCAGCAAGCGATTCATATTCCCCAGTCCAGTATTCCAACTCACCTCGCACAAATAGCATCTCTTCCTGCTTCTTAATTGTCTGTGTGGGTGTCCCCAGTTAGCCCGCCGTCTCCGTACAAGTGCCCGGAATCGCATGTCCCTACCCGCACAGTCTCTTCTTCGTTATCATCCTCTTCTACCAGGTAGATTGTCTCTTCCACGTCACCGAGGACCAGGTTGCAGTGGCTATCGTAAGCCTAGACACACACATATCATGATTAGCATCGTGCTTAGGAGATCGATTGGGGGAGGGAGCTTACGTGGAGGCGGCCCTTGAGTTCACGGTCACCGCGCAGCTTCACAAAAACGACCTCATCGAGGGAAAGACGAACAAGATCCAAGGGCTCTGAAACAGATGCGCCAGCATCTTCGGTGTCGGCCATGACGAATTGGAGGGGTATGGAATTGGGGTAAGATCCAGGTCCACACACGCAGAATCGACGAGCTTTGGCTGATGCCTGATCTGGTTTAGCGTGATTAGTGCCAAGCCCTGATGCTGAGTCACCTTAGTCAGCCACTACCCCGGGTTTTCGGGAATCTCCACTCGGATCCACTGAGCTGTCAGTTTGGCTATGAAAGGGGAACCGTGGTATACTTCGTTGAGGCTGTAGATATACGCTCCAGATAATGCAAAAAGGTACTAGATAGGGACACAAACATGCTCTCTCAGCAATGGACAGGGGGTCTGCTTAGTCTGAAGCACAACCTGCAGGGAGTAGCGTGTTCCCCCCCCAAAGATCCGGGGTCGTAGCGCCTTCCCCCTCATCTGGCCACAGCTAATTTCTCTTTTTGTTGACATCTTCAGACCTCAGAGTCAACTGAGACCCCGGACTGGGTTTGTTTCATAGATGCGGAGAATTTTCGTCTCTGGTGAGAGGTGCTCTTCTCACTGGGGCATCTTGTCTCAGCCGAGAGCTGGAGACCGGTGGATCAACCCAAGACAGCGTCGTGCGCACAACTCAATTGATTCTACCAGACGAATATCTTGTGTCGCAAAATTCTCAAGACCCAGACCATCGATTGTTCCTCCAAAGCGAAACCGAGAGGGCATTCACAAGTCGATCCGCCAATTGACTACAACATCTCAGGTTTGGAGCAGCGAGCTCGCCGTACCCCGCCCAGAAGAAGCGCCCCAAACAGCTCTACCAGTATGGAGTTCTGCAAGGGAAGAGGCAGAATACACTGCGAACTTCCACCAAATCATCGACAGCGGACAGCCGAACCAAATCATGAAGGCCATGACGGACCCACGGTCGGTGGGGCTGGTTGGGTCAATGCCACCGACCACGTTCCTTGCAGCATTCCAATTACTCTCTCCCGACCACTTCGTGAAGCCATATCGAGATCTATACCATCAATTACACTGGTGGGGGACATTGAAGAATGGACTGAAATCCGTCGAAGGAATCTTTGACGACTTCGTCAAAGACTTGAAGCAGATCATACATTATAGGTTGTTGAGCGAGCATCAACCTCACCTAGTGGAATATACACACCTGCTGAGGTGCGCAGAAGCCATGGGAAATGCTCCCCTCGCCAATGAGATATGGGACGTGATGTACGAAAACGGAGTCCATCCAGATACGGCGTGCTTTAATCATTACATGGGGGCAACAGTATGGGACCACTGTTTTCTGGGGGAGGAGAGATTCAATTTGACAGTCACCCCCCACAGCTACAAGAAGAGGCGCATGAACCAACCGAATATTGGGTGGCGTGGATATGGCACGGCAGAACACAGTGTCAGAAAGGTTGTCATGAACATATTCAGTGATATGATTCAGTTAGGTCTCAGCGGTGATGAGCAGACCTACATCAATGTCATCCTTTCTGCAGCCCGAGTTGGGGATAGAGATGCTTTCTGTAACGTTCTTCAGACTGTGTGGAATGTGGATGTGGCGGCCATCATGATTGAGAAGGATAATTCGAAGGTACCACCAGTTACTTCATACGATACTTGGTCTGGATTGTACCCAACACAGCGCCTTCTTTTTGCAGTGGCTCATGTCTTTGGAACGAATTGTGACATCCACGCTGCCATACGGACTATTGAGTTTTTATCGTCATCGTACAATATCCCGATTTCCGATGACGTGTGGTTCGAGTTGCTAGAAAGAACCTTCATTCTTTCCAAGACGCACAAGGGAAAACAGGCAGAGGTGGAACGGCTTGGAAAGGTACCCAAAGAGATGGTGTACCAGGTGTTCGAAACCATGACAACAGAGCCCTACAACGTTCCACCAACTGTGAGGACATATCGCATTTTAAATCAAACAAGTGCCTTCCTTGGAACCTTTGAGAAATGCCAGTTGGAGATACGCCAGGCCTACGAGATCTACAGCAAGACCCGCACAAAGCGAAAAGAAGCTAGAGACTTGGTCATGCGATGCCTTCAGCCGATATTCCACGACATGGAGCAAAAAGCAGAGAAAGAAGATCCTTATACTCAGCCCAGCCCATCATTGCTCCAGTGTCCTCTCCTCGCCGAAGCAATCCACGTCTATGACGTTCTCAGACTCGAAGTCTACCAGCAAGAAGACCAGCTTAAACGCATGGCAAACACAATATTCATCAAAGAAGATTGGAACGACCTCTCATACAATGTCTGGGATAGAGTAGAGCGTCCTAGATTCCAGGAAGAATGGCAAGACTTTCTCCCAGCAAACGCAAAGTGCCATCATGGCCAAAAAAGCGTCTTCTACTTCGGAGACCAGTCACACATGAAGGGTCGATATAAAGACACACATGGCCTCATCCTTGCACGCTGTCCACCATATCACGCGGAACCATTTACTCCAACAGAAGAAAAGGTTTTCGATGACAAAATGGTGTGGGATAATCTGCTGGAGCAGTGGCCTCAACTGGATCCCTCCGTGTCGCCGATTGATCGTCTCTTTTCCTTTCAGGTGCCGCTGAGTGCCGAGTTGAAGATTAAGCTTTCAAGTTTGGGTCGTCGAGTCAGTTTCAAGGCTGAGAAGGAAAACCCTACGGGTGGGTTTTATGCTCGTCTTAAACAGAATGGGCTTGATAATGATGATCTTCCAAGGACTGTATTCTGGTGTGATGGCAATCATTGGCTTCAATAGTGGTTTTCTTATGTTAGTGTTTGTCATTATGTATGTACAAATTATGGAGGATCTGAACTTTGCACAGTCAATCAATCATTCCCCGAAGTACCACTCCACTGTCTTTTGTATTCCATTCCCCCTTCTGAACGAATCCCTGATATCATAGACTACAGCGAAGATACCAAGTCTTGGAAATATTTCTGAATCCTTTAATCTAATTTGCTATCTCTGATATCTTTAGTCTTCTTGTTCAAAGTATTAAACTATGTGTCTGAACTAATTTACTAATGGCCAAAATGGCGATGTGCAGTGCAAGATGGGATCAAGACATTTCCGAGTATCAAAAGCCATATTTGAAGAAACTATAAATAAAACTCAAAAGTTGACTAGACTTAAATAACTCCATTATTCCGCTAAGAAGACCTCTATTTTTACATCCTTCGTTACCATTATTTCCCTTTAGACATCGTCATTGTAACACCTTCGTGGGGTATTAGTTTGTTTCGTCTGACGAGACAGTCCAGTTGGAAATATACGGCTTTCAATCTCCCTAGAGATCTTCGGCTGGTTCTACGTCAACCCGTAACTTATATGAGGTAGAAATATAGTGAGAGTAGCATTGATAGCAAGAATATAGAATACAGCAAGGGTAAGGAATCCAGCTAACGGAGGACCATGTCCACATATTCGTGGGCGGATAATTGCGTCTTCGCCGAGTCGCTCGAAGATTGCTTTTCGTGCGAACATTGTTGTGAATGAATGGGAGACATTATGGCCGCCTTCGTGAACATATGAACGAGTCGACCTAGGACTTCGTCATAATTCCTGTCAAGAACAGTGATTGGAAAAGAACTCCACTAGCAGATGGGTTGCTGAGATACGTCGATTCCCGATGAAGCCCCAAAGATCTTCAAGGGATACTGTGGCATAGTTTTGAGATAGCTGCGCCCAGCGGATGATGGGTTTGACGTTGCCGTGAGAATATCTCGAAGTTCATACAAGTAGCCATTCGCTTACACAGAATTCAGGTCAATGATATTATATCGAAACACTCTGAGTCTCAAATCCGACATCGAGTCCAGAGGTTGAAATCTCTTTGGGCTACATACATATCTCTAACTTCGATTAGGAAGATCCCCGGTTATAATCTTGGGCGATGTTAGCGTGCAGGAGGAAGTTGATAATCTGATTAAGACCACTGTTCGAGCTCTTGGGGACTTGGTGGTAATTACGGTGGCGGTTCCTATGCTCAAGAGTTGCTCTGACAACGAAAATAGGTCACTATCTTCAATTTCCACATCAGCAGTACTGTCGCCCTTATGCTGAAGCCCTTATGCTGAGCAATCATTTGTAAGAAATACAAATCTGGCCTCTGACTTCTCGTCGCTGTTGCATCCAGCATCCTTTCGGGTAGAGCACTTCAAGGGGCGTGACCCGTATAAGGATCCTTGCACGCTCTTGCATCAGGCCAGAGATAATCAGTTGTAAATTATCATTGGCTGTATCGAACAGCTGGATTGATCTGACCTCGTCGAGGCAAGGTGTTAGAAGATCACTGAATCAGGGGACCGCATGTCTGCCCAGGACTTCATAGCTACACTCTCCATTTCTTTCTTTTGTTTTTTTCTTCTTTTCTCCGCCTAAATGCTCTCGAGAATATTGAATACTAATGTATACACTATAGTCTGGTGAACTGATATATCCAATTTTGAAATGTCACATTTTCATAAAAGAGATAAGTGTCATCACTGTCGTCGCTGAGATATATATCTAGCAAAGAATAAATGCGGAATGATTGTACAAAAGCTACTTTGGCTCATGAATTATCATATACAAACTATACAGACATAAAATGCAAGGCAATGCCAACCAAAGTCACCGAACTAATGCTACAAACATGGAAAAGAGTCCAAAATCGAACCCAGTCCATCCTCCCCTAAACCCTCTCCCGCTTCAGATCATTAACAGTCATATACCGTCCAATAGTAATCCATCCCCAGCGAAACCAGACCATCTGACTCTGATGACACTTGACCATGGCAGACTGCGCAACAATCCAATCACTGATGGAACTAACAAACAGCAACCGCGCAGGTCCAGCCCCAGACTTGGCCGCATCCTTCGCCTTTGAGCCGGACACACTAGCCCGCAGATTACTCCACACCCCAAACAACATAGACAACGGCGCATCGAGAACCCCCACATATTTGCGGAAGATACTCGTCGTAGTAAGCGTGTACAATGTCACCGGACACGTGAACCCCGCTTTATCCTTCATGAGCGTACGTAAGAAATTCACCGCTCCATGGTAGAGAGAGCGATGGTTGGGATGGTTGCTTATGCCATGCTGGTCGAAAGTAATGATCACATCAATCGTAGCCGTAGGCGCCTTGTCCTCCGCAGCTCCCTTCCTGGCCTTCGCCATGTCCGGCGCAAAAGCAGAGGCGAGTAAGGCGCCTACATCGCCCTCATCCCACTCCTTGTCCATGCCATCTGGGAAACGGCTGAGATCATCGACAATGAATACGTCGGATGGATCCCGCAGTCCGAGTTCCAGTGCGGACTTTTGCAGTTCCTTTTTCCGGGTCTCGCCTAGTCCGTCTGCGTCGCCGGTGCTTAGACAGAGGATTTTGAGGTGATTGCCTAGCTCTGGCTTTGTTAGGGCTAGGACTGTTGGGGCGAAGAACATTGCCTCGTCGTCTGGGTGGGCGATTATGAGGCAGATTCTTTTGTTGGAGAGGCGGGGGAAGGAGCGCGTGAAGGGTGAGTTTGGCGTTGTCGAAGACAGGGTCCAGAAGAGGAAGACTGCGCCTATGGCTACGGCCAGGGCAGTCCAGTTGAATTGGGTGGACATATTGGGCGGTTGGGTGTTTAGCTGGATTGTGTTGTTCGATGCGGGGATTGTAGTGGTTTTTGAGATGGTCGTTGGCTTCGAGACCCTGGAATCGGAACACTGAGATTGGCCCGGCCCAAATTGTGGTAGGAATTGTTATTGGAGTTTATCGTTTATCGTGGGTGAAGCTCAAGCTCTGAACATGGTGGGGAATGCGCACAGCATCCCACTTGGTTATTTGGTTGTTTGTTCGGGAGCTTCGGAGACAGGTCAATTACTGAGAGGAAGTCAAGAATCCTACGCCCATGGTATTAATGTCGTAGTTCGAAAACACGCCAATAGAAAAAGAACACGGTGGCTTAAGCTGTCCGGAAAAGGGGAAGCTCAAGTGATTCTTGACGATCCCCCGGAGTGGGGTCACGTGTTCGGGGGTGAGCAATCGACAATCCATCAGCGAGACGTTGGATCACTTGGATCACTCCAATTGTCGTTTTTGTCTATTCCAAAGTATCCTGTCAGTCAAGGTTAGTATGGAGTGAGCGAGTGGCAAAATTGATGCTTCTGGAAAATCTCCGCTTGCGGTTAGTTGAGCTCCGAAATCAGATCTTTCGAAAGCATCGCAATTGCGTCAGGTACTGTGGATTTCCAGTCTGATTGACAAGTCAGGTTGTCTTTTCCTACAATACTGTACAGGAACAGCCATTGGTCTCCACTGGCCAAGATCAGATAAGACTGCACACAAAGTCTGAAGGCTTGAACTTAATGCAGATGATGTGTATTGTAAGGCTGAAAGATGCCAGATCCAATAACCCATCTGCCTGACTACCATATCTTGTACTGCCCGACCAGGACCAGCACAAATGTACCGTATGCCTTGGGAATTCCGATAGAATCCCGAATCTCGATCTACATGAAAATCCTGCAAAAAAATGACACCGCAGATCAATCAACCCCAAACCTCCCCAATACACCGCCATGCCGACCGGCTCCCAAACCGGGTAGAATAGCCCTAAACAACACCGCCAAGCCAGCAAAGTTAGCAGTCAGGAGCAATTGCCCCAAGGGACCTCACGGCGGACTCCGACAGCGCCTCCTACGCGCTTAACCACGGCTCCGGCCCTATCACACGGCCACAATACTCCACGCATCCACCCGCAATGCGACCAGAATTGCACTAGAAATTCCACTCTAACACCTTAAAGAGGAGAATGGGGCCACGAGAACACAGAACCAAGGACCAGACTGTGTCGAACGGGCCGTGAGTGGTGATGTTCAGATCACGTTGCGACGGGCCGAGTATAGAGTTCCGAGGTGGGTGCCGACAGAAAATTTCTGCTTAGCGGAGCACTTTTAGTTTCCCGTTTGTTTTCCGTGTTGACTTGTGTCTAGTTTGGTTTTAGTTTTGGGTTAGTGTAGTAGAGATTTTTTTTAAATGGCGCAATTGAGTAATGCGAATAATATAGGAGTTGGATGTCTCAAGGGGATGGCAAGGTGAGCACCACACATAAAGTACCTTGGGCGTCGAGTCGAAAGGCTTGGTCAGCGTGCAAGGCCGATATGTACCATGACCGAATGGCGTTTTTTTTTTCTTCCCAAAGCCCAATTTACGGGGAAGACCCCCCGTATTTCCACAATGAGTCAGAGCCCCTGTACAGTGTAAACATGAAAAGGATCAGCTGAAACGGATCGGAGGGGTAAGCCGAGATCGCCCCGAAACAGGAAGTTCGCCTGAGAGCGGCGTGACGGATTGGCCAGTCCATCCGAGCCCTGAGAGCCAGTGATTCTCGATCGTGGCTTCTGATATTAATCTAAGCTTAGCTTCGACGGCCTGTTCTAGTAGCTCCGTGGAGAAGAGGATAGTGTATTCCAAGGAAGCTAAGCTCCTGTATAGCCCTACAACCGAGTACTCCGATCGAGGCAATACCCTACATCGTCTCCTAGTCACTTTCACGTTATAGAACGAAGATAGAGTCAAGTCAAAGTCTATCCGCGGATAATTTCCATCGGATCGACAGGTGCCAGTCATGATCGACTAAAGTCCGCATCAAAGCACATCACACATCTAAGCACAGACACCGGAAAGCCAAAACGCAGGATGGCATCACCGCATGTCTGCCAGTAGGTCCTGCTCCAGCCATGGCGTGATTGAAGAAGTCCAGGGCCCTCACCGCAAGGAGTCAGCTCCGGGTGGAAACACCTTCCACGTCCACAGAGGATCCGAGAGAATCATACCAGAACCACGGGCAGACCACGGGCCGGGCACGGGAGTGCTCAAGCTGTCCCCTGCACGAAACGTGTCGCAGGTGCAGGTGTGTACCTGATGCCATGCGAGATGTTATAGGTGAAGCTGTTGCAGAGCTGGTTGTTGTTAGGTAATGAGTTTGGGAAGGAGCGGTGATGATTCGTTAGGAGGGGCACGGGGCATGTCTTGACAGCGGATGGGCTAGACCGTTTGATATTCCTCTTCCAATCTGATCTGATACTGTACTGGATATTATTTGCATTGTTCTGTTCTGTACAGGAATGCCATTGCCAATGCCTCTTCTATGCCCCGCAAACTACACAGGCCTGCAGTGCGGGGTACCCCTATTCTCACCATATTGCCGGTCCTAAGTATGGCAAGGCGGTGTGCCCAATGCAATAAAAAAAGAAATGAAAAAAAAGAAATGACCGGAAAGGGTCCTGCGTTTGATTGACCCAAAGCGGAAAGGTGGCATCGATGATCCTCGGTCACATTCACGTATTGGTAATGTTTGTCATTTTCGCCGGTCTGGACATCTCGTCCACGCCATCATGCCACGTGATGGTGATGTCTTTGAGTGTCTTAATAATTGTTTGTTAGGGTCTATTCTTAGACGGTGTGTTTGTGCCAATTCAGGTAGTGTGTATGGACCATTGGCAAAAACACCTGATCGGAGAAGCAAGCCGTGTGTCTAAGGCGATCGACTGTACTGTAAGCCCGGGGTAGGATGGAGATGGACATCTTCCCGATCTCTTCAAACGGCGGCCGCAACCGCTGAGAGGGTACTGTAATGTAGTCAAAGAGCCAACACGTAGCTACCCCGCGGACAAGGCCCGAACAGACCACATGCTAATGAGGTGAAATGTCCCACGACCAGTAGGCCCAGGCAAAACCTACAGGCGGCGCCGAGTAGGCATCGCAAACCACTCCGGAGGCCGGCACAAAGCCCGTGAGTCACTGAGTGCACGGGGCACCCGCGCCAAAGGACCTCACTGAGCGATCATGTGTTCCCGTCGATTGCCCTGTTAGGGTCTAGTCTGGCCTTGAATAGTTCCATTTGGTGATCGCAAAATGATGCCGACACTATGTGGGGTATAGTCAGGCGATCAAAGGCCTTGTACGAGGATGGTTGTCCCGGCACTGGATCCGAGTTCCATGGATGGTGTCATTTCAATGGTGGTGATGAGCGATTGTATTGCGTGTCGGTGGAATGAAATGATATCAATAACATCAATGATGGCTGTGATGTTGTGTTGTAACGTGATCTGTTAATGTGTATGAGTAAGAGGACCTTGGAGGGGGCAAAGATGAGGTTCTAAGAAAGCCGCGTGTAAAATAAAGGTATTGGTATTGTCAGACCCACCATGACGATGAAATGCCCCACGTCTTCAATTCCGTTTTTTAATTTTTGAATTTTGAATTTTTTTGCGTACCTGAGTGGAAACAATGGAAAAATCAGAAGAAAAAAAAAACGGATTTTTTGCCTGGCTCGTTTCCATTCGAATTCAAAAGCAGAGAGGGGCGCCCTTTCCGTTCTTCCATTTTGTAGATGGTCTCTTCTTTCATCACTTCACTTCAATATGCCGGGCCGATTGATCGATAACCTGATTCGGACTGCCGGGAGTCTACACTCCTCGGTATCGTCTACTCCTATCCATTCTAATTCCTCCTCCACCGCCTCCGTCAATGAAATCCAACATCCTAAGAAGCCGCATTCGGATCGCGCTCGATCTCCCGAACGTCGTCTGTCCTTTTCTATGGACCATTTGATTCATCCCCACCGAGACTCGAGCAAAGAAAAGCGACGCAGCCTGGGACGGGCTGGACGATCGAAGGAGCGCTCGCATCATGAGCAGGCCCTGCCAGCCGCAAAGCTAGATGTCCTCATTGAGTCGCCACCGCTCGTCTGCTATGGACCTCCTGCCAACTCGACCGGCGCATTGTTCTCGGGCCGTCTGCGCATTGCAGTCCCCAAGATGACCGCGGGAGTGACCCTCAGCCAATTCGATGTTCGCCTCGTCTGCAACACCATCACCAAGAAGCCGGTCTCTGGACACTGTGCCAACTGTAACTCCAAGACCGAGGAGCTGAACAGCTGGAACTTCATCACGGAGGATCTTCACCTTGCTAGCGGAGACCACGACTTCCCGTTCAGCTACCTCTTCCCTGGACACCGTCCCGCTAGCTGCAATGGCTCCCTGGGCCAGATTGAATACTTCCTCATGGCACACGCCAAGAGTATCACGGGAGAGGAATACAGCCTCAAGCTGCCTCTCAATGTTCGTCGTGCTCTGCTCCCGGGCAACGACAAGTCCTCCATTCGCATCTTCCCTCCTACCAACCTTACCGGCCGTATCGTTCTTCCCTCCGTTGTGCACCCTATTGGCAAGTTCCCTGTTGAGATGACCCTGAGTGGTGTTGTCGACAAGGGGGACGAAACCCAGACCCGCTGGCGTCTTCGCAAGATGATGTGGCGTATCGAAGAGCACCAAAAGATTGTCTCTGCCGCATGCGCCAAGCACCTACACAAGGTTGGCGGCGAAGGCAAGGGTGTTATGCACCAAGAAACTCGCATCATTGGTCACAATGAAGAGAAGAATGGCTGGAAAACCGACTTTGACACTGCCGGTGGCGAAATTGGCATGCAATTTGAAGCCTTCATCAATCCCACCACCAACCCCGTCTGCGATATGGAGGCTCCCGGCGGCCTCGAAGTCAAGCACAACCTTGTCATCGAGCTGATCGTCGCCGAGGAGTTCTGCCCTAACCGCAACACTCGTCTGATTACCCCCACTGGCGCCGCTCGCGTTCTGCGCATGCAGTTCAACCTTCACGTGACCGAGCGCAGTGGCCTCGGTATCAGTTGGGATGAGGAAATGCCTCCTGTCTACGAGGATGTCCCCGCCAGTCCCCCTGGCTATACCAAGCCCAATGATACCCACAGTTTCATCGAGGACTATCACGGGTCCCCACTCCCTCTTCCCGAGTATGAGGACCTTGAGCGTATGGAGTCATTGCGACTAGACAGTGACTCAACACACTCCTCCAACCAATCGACCCACAGCTCAACACGCCGAATGCGTTTCACAGTTGACGACCTCGTCACTGGACAATCACCTGCCGCCTCTCCTCTTCCTTCTCGCACACCTTCTCGAGCCCCTTCCGTTGACTCCCGTCAATGAGGAAGAGAAAAAACAAAAACAAAAGAAAAGAAACTTTCACACGTCAGGTCATCTGATAATCGTTCTACCACGACTTCACGATTTTAACGAAACCCTAAAAAATTACCCGACTTCACATTCTACACCTTACGATAATTTTTTTTTTCGGACCCATCTCAACAAGGGCCTAATGATACCAACGACGGAGAGGAACGGGCCAAAGGGCTTCCACGCATTTCGGGTCCTGTTTCTGCCCTCGCATGATACCCATTCGACTTTCTTTACATAGTTTTATATTTTCTCAATTCTTTTAAATTCATTGGGCTTATCCACAGGCATTTTCTTATGTTTTCACCAAATTGGAGTGAACCCTTCTTAATCTAATCCAACCAAGTTTCCAAAACCTGATCTCCGCCCACAAGTAATATAAACAATCCAGTGGCGTGGGGTCTAGACTTGAATGAAGTATGGGGAGCTAAACGTTTGCCGAGGCACTAGTGCCCAATAAAAATGTATCGATTTCCCGCAAAACAGGTTTGCCACCAGATTCCAACGTCTTTCGCATCAATGCTGCAAAGTAATGCTCCCAAGTGAAAATCAGGACCAGACACCAGCTGGCCCAACATGGGTCAGTCAGACCATCATGTAGAACAAGAACGCATCCGCGAACTGTCAAGGTTCGATCTCCCTCACATTATGGCGGCATTTCCGCCGATCAACACTGACAATGTCCCAATCTGATCTCAGATATTATTGCGCTTTCAGTAAAGATGTGTCCGATCTTCAAGATCAGCCCGCAGCGCACGAGCACGACCACGAGCACAACCACGAGCACAACCACGAGCACAACCACGAGCACAACCACGAGCACAACCACGATAGCCAGGAGGAGATCGACCAAATCGACACCCAACCCCCGCCCCTCCGCATCTCCAAAGACACAACCCTAACAGCCTTAACCCAACTAGGCGTCCACCGCTTCTCCTGCAAACGGTCTTTCGTCTCAATCATCGACGGCAAAAGCCAGCATCTCATCGCAGAAGCGACATCCACCTCTTCCCTAAAAGATGTATCTAAACATGCCCCCAACGACGCAATCTTCCTCGGCGTCCAAACTCTCGACCTACAATGGGGAGTCTGCCCACACGCCATAGCTCTCTTCACAGGACAAGACAAGTCTGCCATCCAGGATACCGAAAACATCACCGCCAACGAAACTCGCAATATCATCCGCGATTTCACGCAAGAGGACTTTTACAAAGATCGTTCTTACGTGGTGGGCTGGCCTTACTTTAGGTTCTATGCCGAGGTCCCTCTTTACAGCCCGTCCGGTTATGTGCTGGGTTCGTATTGTGTTGTCGATGACAAACCACGGCCTGGAATGGACGCCTTTAGCGATGAGGATGTTGCGGCCCTGAGGGAGATTGCCGATGCTATCGGCGCGCATCTGGAGAATAAGCGGATTGTCGAGTATCATCGGAGATCGGAGAATTTGGTCAAGGGTTTGACCGGCTTCGTGAAGTGTCATTCGAAGTTTGATCCGACTGTTTCTTCGACTATTGGGATGTTGGAGGGGAAGAGTGGGAGTCGGGTTGATCTGACGGAGATCGGGAAGGATCGGAATGGGAATGGGAGTGGTGAGACCAGTGTTTCTTTGAATATGGGCCAGGATGGAGATGTTGTTTCTTCCACTCTTGGGAAGACTTCTTCTAGTGGGTTTGCGAGGCAGGATTCTTCGATTTTCTCGCGAGATGCGAGCTCCGCGTCGACGGTTCCGTCTTCTATTACGCACAGCTCGTCGGAGATGCCTGAGCAGGGTTCTGCTGAGTTGGATGGTTCGGCAGACCCGTCTGTGCTGGAGAATTTGCCAAGCTCGGAGCGCATTGCTGCTATCTTCTCCCGAGCTAGTGAATTGCTGAAGGATTCATTGGACTTGGATGGTGTTGTTTTCCTCGACGCATATCGGAATGATCCGCAATTGTTGTACATTCTCCCCTACGGTTGAGAATAAGTTTGCTAACTGGTTTTTAGTCAAATGCCTGCACAGACCGATAGTTGGGCTGACCTGCCGGGTATCAACTCTGACGGCGGGTCTCCTATTACCCCACGCCCTCAAAGCCTTCTTATGTCTGATGGAGTATTGCCAGAACGATTTTGTGGCTTCTTGGGCCACGCTTTCAACTCCAAGAATGACAATCAAGACCCGAGAATGCAAGCTGCAGTATCGGAAGAATTGCTTCATTTGTTGATCACGCACTTCCCCCAGGGTCACGTCTTCACCATGAACAGTACCACAGATGATGACACCGATCCTTCCGCGTATGATAGTTTCAGTTCCTCCCCTTCTGAAGAAGACATCTTGCGACATATCTCCTATCGCCTCGCTCGTCGACTGCCACGAGCCAAATCTGTCCTATTTTATCCATTATGGGATTGGAACAAGTCGCGCTGGCTGGCTGGCGCGTTAGTGTGGGCTGATCGTGACCAGCGTCCCTTGGGAATGGAAGACCTGCACTACTTCCAAGTATTTGGTGACTCGTTGATCTCTGAGGTTTCTCGTATTCATTGGACAGCCAGCGAGAATTCGAAATTCGACTTCCTTTCTTCCGTCAGCCATGAGCTTCGTTCTCCGCTTCATGGAATCTTGGCCAGTGCTGAGTTGCTACAGGATATCTCGGTCGAACCAGCGCATCGGGATTTGGTGAAGATGATTGCTACTTCTGGGCAGACTTTGCTGGACACCATGAACCATTTGTTGGACTTTTGTAAAATCAACAATCTGAAGTCAACACCCAAGACCACAAAAAGGACCAGAAACAGGCGAAGACGAGCAAAAGACGAAGGAACTACCTTAGTTTCTGAATTCAGTCTTGCCAAGTTGGTCGAAGACGTCGCTGTTATACTACACACCGGCCGAGAATCCCCCGGAAGTCTTTCACTTATGGCAGATGAGGAAACATCCATTCATCAACGTCCCAAAACCGAAGATGAATTATCAACCATCATCCGCATCGAACATGGAAACAAGTGGATCATCCGCTCAGTCGCCGGCGCCTGGAGAAGAATCGTGATGAATCTTCTCGGCAATGCAATGAAGTGGACGGAGGCCGGAATGATCGAGATGTCACTATCAACTGCCACAGACCAAACAAAACCGTCCACATCGCTTGCCCATCTCCGCGTCGCAGATACAGGTCGTGGTATTGCTTCGGAATTCCTCAAGCACTCTGCCTTTTCGCCATTTACCCAGGAAGATGTTCTCTCCGAAGGTGTAGGACTTGGCCTCAGTGTTGTTCACCAACTCGTCAAGTCATTGGGTGGTTATATCAACATGACGAGTGAACTTGGTGTTGGAACTCAAGTCGATGTTTACATCCCTGTGCAACATTTGGTTGATCACATTCCACCCAAAATGCCTGATAGTCCTTCGCGAGAGGCAACAGCAAGCCCGAAGAAAGTGATCAAGGCTTGCCTTGTTGGATTCAATGCTTATCCTGATTTGACTGAGACGCCTACTGGTATCTTGAGCTCTGATGCGAAACGGAAACTTGCTCTCCAGAGCAGCATTGCAGGCGTGCTCATGGCACAGCTGGGCTGGCGGATCTCGCTGGCTGAGTCTCCTGAGAAAGGTGATGGCGATGTTGCTGTTATTGAGGAGGCGGCATTTAGAGCTTTGTCTTATGAACACGTATTGTCCGCTCAGCATCCGTTCCGGTTCTTCATTGTCTTGGCCAGTATCGCATCCTCGCCAAGCAGTCAACTTCCCTCCAATGTGATCCGGGTCCCACAACCGTACGCTCAATATTCCTCATGTTGTCGAAGCTCAAGCTAACTTGTTCCGCAGATTCGGACCGCAAAACATATGCAAAGCAGCTGAAAGAATTATGAAGCTCTACGACGAACAACCTCAAATCAAGCCAGCCGCCGAAACAGAACAAGTTCCCACCCCTTCCATATCACAACAAGTCGTGGCCAACTTGGTGAATGGATCAATGACCATCTCACGACAACCCTCTGCTCCCTTGGTAACACAAAGCGAACTCCCCATTTCCCCTTCAATTCCTCCAAAAAATTCAATTCTGGACGTGCATGTCCTTATAGTCGATGACAATGAGATCAATCTCAAGGTGAGTTCCCTCTTTTACAGTACCTTTTACTATCGCCCAAGCTAACCAGCACATCAAACCAGATCCTAGCAACATTCATGCGCAAACTAGGCTGCAGCTATGACACAGCCTCAAACGGCCTAATCGCGTACGAAAAAGTCGAGACTTCACCCCGGAGATACGACTTCATCTTAATGGGTGAGTGTTCCATTGCTACCGTGTCCCTCTGTGGTAACAAAACTTACAATATTTCCCCCTCGCCAGATCTATCAATGCCAGTCATGGACGGCTTAGTCTCAACTAGCAAAATCCGCCACCACGAAAAAGAAAACAATCTCAATCCATCGTGCATCTTCGCAGTCACAGGCGTCGCTTCTGATACCATGCAGCAAGCGGCTGTCACAGCTGGTGTCGATGATTATTTGGTTAAACCGCTTTCGTTGAAGAAACTCAGTGGGCTGATGGGTCTTTCTTGAGGTTTGTTATCTTTGAGTGGGGTATAGAGTAATGTTTGATTTGATGGGGCTCATCGCGAGACTCGACGCCATGTTGTACATTTGCATTTCCTTCTTCTGCCACTTGCTTAGTGGTTTTTTCTTCTTCTTTGTTGTATGCATTATGCGCCTGGTGTTGGGTCTTTGATTTTTTACTTTCCTTTTCAGACATATACATCCTAATGTCCATAGTAGCGCTGAAATAAACAAACGCAGATTCAGGCTCGAAAATTGAGAGTTCAAAAGTGTATAACTTCGTTCTAGTAGCTAAGTATCACTATGTTAGTGTAACTTGCGTTGCAACTGCGGCTTCACTCGACCTCGGAGACGCGGGAACCTGCATTACGTTATCGCCGATAACGCCGCCGTGTCGCCGAGCTCCGTTCTTTAAGACCAAGCAGACCCTGTTTGCTTTTCCTGGACAACTATACCATGGAATCGCATCATCGCAAACGCAGAAGAACACGCATCTCATGCGTGGAATGCCATAGGCGCAAAGTCCGCTGCGACCGTAACCTTCCCTGTGGCCGGTGTGTCGATGGTGACATTCGCTGCGTCTATGAACAGGATGAAGCAGTTAAGCCAGCCGCATTCTCTGCGAAGAAGAGATGCATGGATCCAATTCAAAGTAATTCACAGTCTACTGCTACTGTCAGAGGTCACGGTGAACATTCGCAGCCATCAGATCAGATAACAGATCAACCAGTCCGTGGGATCATGTCCAAGGCTCGCCTTTTCGGGACGACTCATCCCATTACGGCATATCGCCTAGTTCGTACTCTATACCCAGTCTTTGATAAATGAATGCCATTTCGTTGCTGACAAATTTCAGTGCGATGAGATGTATCCGGTCGACTTCAACTCCGCGCCGGTAGCATCGGAAGATGCAACTCGATCTGCACTTTCGGAAGCGCAGACGGTAATTGCTGAAGCCAAAGCTATTGCGCGAACCACGAAGCGTGATAAGACAATCATAAGCCCGATCCTGGAGGAGGCGACTCTCTCCCTTCCTGATCGGGATACCATCGATACATTTGTCAAGAAGTACATGCGTGTCGTCGGAGAAGGAGCCTTCCGAATTCTCCACGTAGTGACCTTTCAACGGGAGTATGAACAATTCTGGGACGATCCGCAAAGCCGAAGACCTCTATTTATCGTCATTCTCCTACTGGTTATGTCCATTGGTATCAACTTCCGTGACATTGAGATAATCAACGAGTCGGTACCTCCTCCAGTATATCTCTGGGTTCAAACAGCTCAGTCATGGCTGTCAACTGCTCGAAGCAAAGAATTGGCCACTATATCAGGCCTCCAAGCTCAGTGTTTGCTGATCTTATCTCTTCAATTGAACAAAGGCAAGTCTCACGGGATTTGGATTGCTCAAGGGACGCTGCTGCGAACTGCAATACACATGGGTCTACATCGTGACCCGAGCCACTTCCCCGATATGCCTTTCTACCACTCTGAGATGAGACGCAGGCTCTGGAGCACGATATTGGAGATGGACTTACAATCTTCTATGGATATTGGAATGATACCTTCATCGTACAAGTTTGACACCCTACCGCCTTCGAATATCAACGATGATACTTTCGATGAAGCAACGACAACTCCTCCCAGACAGCAATCCATATCAACCAAGACTCAGACCTCGCTACAAATAGTCCTTCGATCGTCTTTCGTGTCTCGCATGAAAGTAGCTCGGCTTATGAATGATTCATTTGATGAACCTTCCTACAATGATGTTATAAGCGAGAGCAAGAAGTTGGCAGATTCATTCGCCGCCACTGAAAGAAGCCTGGAATCTCTGGGTATCCGAAGCACATTCCATCTCAATCTGATGACGTTTCTCACTCGCCGCTTTATGCTAGCCTTGCATCACCCATTCGCTAGCAAAGCATTCCGAGATCCGCAATACCACTTCTCTCGCAAAGTCTGCCTGGACAATGCCCTGATATTCCTCACATCAAAGTGGACTGAACCATTCGACCGATTGCTCGCTATCTCTACAGCGCTATTCCAACATGTCATGCACCACGCCACTATTATTCTCTGCTTGGAACTCATTGGACAAATCAAAGAGGATAGATTCGATGGGAGACTATTCCTAATCCGCCAGGAAGATCGTCAGCGGCTCCTTTTGAACATTAAGAAAATCTTGGACATTACAGCTGAGCGACTCCGTAATGGTGAAACGAACGTGAAAAGTCATGTCTTTCTGCATATGGCGATTGCACAAGTCGAAGCCATGGAGCGGGGAACTGACTCCACGGCGCATGTACTCGCCACAGCGACCTCTGCTGCACGACAGGCTTCGAAAATTGTGCGGCAATACAGCTCAAGTCGGGGAAATACAGACAAGAATAATAAGAATAAGTTTGAATTGCCTGGTTCAGGACCTGCAGCTCGGGGTATAAGCGCTGATTTCCCTTTCCCATTACCTGACATTGGTGATACAGCGCTAGAACTAGGGGATATCGCTAGCTGGCTATTTTCGGACTGGGTTGATGAGTATCCTCTGTAAATTCATTTCGGACACTATGATAATATGGCCTCGGTTGTGAAGGAGTATATTGAGTTTATGAATGTGAACGATGCAGTCGTCAACCTTCTACGTCGAGCTTGTTATTTGAAAGTTGCTTACTACTAGTGACCTTTCAATCAAACCCAGGGGTATTTCGGTCTACAAAGTCCCCAGTGAGGTATTCTAAAATCGCACCTTATTGGACGTCAACCTATCCAGATCGTTCATTTCATCATAGTTTCCCACGTGTAATGATTGAACATCACCGAAGGGCGCATGGAATGCAAGGCAGTTATTACACTATGGATTATCATCCCACTAGAAAACAGCTTCCAGCTTCCCAGGCGTAGAAGCGCAACTAAATTTAATTTCAGCAGACAATGCAGATATCGATAACCAATTCGGATTTCCATAGCATTCTGAGAGCTCGGGTCTAACTTGAGTTTGTATCAAAATTGACATCTTCTCCATCTTGAGCATTGATGGCACCATGATCTAGCAGCATTTGGACAGCCTCTTTAAAGCCTCTATCAGATGCAGCATGAAGTGCATTGCCATATCTTCCACCCTGAGCGTTCACGTCAGCACCGTGATCTAGCAGCATTTGGACCACCTCTTTATGGCCTCCATAGGATGCAGCTTGAAGTACATTGCCATGTGCTCCACCCTGAGTGTTCACGTCGGCACCGTGATCTAGCAGTATTGAGACCACCTCTCTATGGCCTCTATAGGATGCAGCTTGAAGTGTATTGCCATATCTTCCACCCTGAGCGTTCACATCGGCACCGTGATCTAGCAGTATTGAGACCACCTCTTTATAGCCCATAAAGGATGCAGCTTGAAGTGCATTGCCATATGCTCCACCCTGAGTGTTCACGTCGGCACCGTGATCTAGCAGTATTGAGACCACCTCTCTATTGCCTCTATAGGATGCAGCTTGAAGTGCATTGCCATATGCTCCACCCTGAGTGTTCACGTCGGCACCGTGATCTAGCAGTATTGAGACCACATCTTTATGGACTCCACAGGATGCAGCTTGAAGTGCATTGCCAAAGTGTCCACCCTGAGCGTTCACGCCGGCACCATGATCGAGTAACATTGAGACCACATTTTTATGGCCTTGAGAGGATGTAGCTTGAAGTGCATTACCAAAGCGTCCACCCTGAGCATTCATGTCAGCACCGTGATCTAGCAGCATTAAGACCACCTCTTCATGACCTTTCCAGGATGCAGCTTGAAGTGCATTGCCAAAGTATCCACCCTGAGCATTGACTAGGCCGCATAAATCTGAAGACTTATAATCAGTCGCTAAGATAGTGTTGAGAACAACCTCCAGGCCTAGAAAAGATGCGTAATACAGAGGCGATGCTATGTCCTCAACGCTTTGAGAAGTAGGAATTTCCTCCCATGGACGGTCAACCGCATATAACCGAACCCAGGTTACAAAAGAATTTGTCTCGTTCTGGAAGATATCGAGCATCAGCTTTGTAGAATTGATCTTGGCTTCCTCGGAATTTTGGTAATGTCGATGCCAATACATAGCCGCAAAGCCTGCAAATGGAAAGTCTCGAAGCTTCACCTCATCTACCACGCCCTCTGATAGCGTTGGGTCCAATAGATAAGCAAGGCAGATTTGTGTTAATTCTGCGTTAGCAGATTTTCTTTTAATGGCAAATGTTGCCGCTTTCTGCTGACGAATACGATCCGATTGCAAATACTCTTGGACGGAGAAGTGAGCGATACGAACGATGCGAGTAGTTGAGACCGTTTCCTCATCTGTTTTATCGGTGATGATAATCTCTCTTTCAATTGGATCATCAGTGGTCACAATCTCTATAAGTCCAAGGCAAATCTCAACGAGATCATTTTCCTCATAGGATCGACCCTCACGATCGAGGCTCGGTGATTCACCGAGTTCCACCTCATGAGCGTCGATTAACTCATCAACAGTCAGGGGTCGGATAGCAAGGCTGAGCACTGTCAACACACGCCGGACATCCTCCACATATGCTTCATCAATGCCACAAAGCATGCGTTCGTAGGTTTCATCTAGGTCGCGAGGCAATGTGCGAAGAGATTCGTCAAGTTGGTTTCGATTTTTCGCCCGTCGGAAAGAGTTAAGCTGACATTCCACATATCGAAAACTGTGTGACTCCTATTAGAATATTATAATATAATCCGGTTGATTTGACTTACACGCCTTGCGCATCTTGTGTTAACCTCTTTTGAATCTCAGTATGTCGCACTTTCCACCTCTGGAGTTTAGTGTCAGTTGCGAGCTGATATGAGATGAAGTCGGAGATATCCTTCTCAATCCCTGGAGACTTTATTGGTATATCACAGTTCTGGTTAGGATTCAGTGATCGCCGAATGTCAAGTTGGTCCCGACTGGTCACTAAGAGATGGACACCAGGCAGGCGCCAGTCCCGTATCTCTTGAATTACTCTCAACACATCATCTCTGGTCGTGTCTTGGGGGCACTCGTCTAGCGCATCGAGTACGATGTAGCTATCTTGGAATCTTTCAAAAAAATTTCTAAGAGTCTCAAGTAGTGCTTTCGTGGAAGGAGTGGATGACTTGGATAATTTGCAGAGTTGTTCTAGTTCCTTTTCTCCATCTGGGAACTGCACCGATAGTTGTAACAACAATGCACGTAACATCCCGTGAGCATCTTGTTTTGAATCATCACTAAAAGCGAAGTAGTAGAATGCGATTCCTACATCACTTTTCTCGCTCTCATGAAGTGTACACTGTATTATAGCTGAACAGAGGACCGACTTGCCACATCCTGCAAATCCATTGAGCCAGAGAAACGAATTTCGTTCTACTAGCCAATTCGTAAAAGAATAACCGTCTGTAAACCAAAGTCCAGTTTTTGGATGGTGTTTTGCATAGGCAGCGTTATGATTTATGAATGCATCGGGTGCTTGAAGCCATGCACGAATGATGAAAGAAATTTGGCTCGAATTTGTCCGTTCGAGAAGAGATCGGACTGCCGAGATCTCATCCTCAACCAGATTGTGGCTTTTGAAATGGAGGACGTTGAGTGCAAATAATAAGCTTTCGCGAATCTCGCCAACATCTTCTTCGATCTTTTGTAGTGTGCTTTTTCGGAAGGGATAAGTGACTCGACGTCCGACAACCTGGAGACGACCTTTCAGACAGGTTGTTGAATCGGTCCGGAATCTCTGGCACTCAGCCTCAAGCTCTTTAACGACTTCAAAGCATCTCTGTGTAGCCTTGTCGACGTCCTGAAGTAGCTCTTCTGCTTGAGGCTGGGACTGGCGTTGCTGGATTGCAATCTCCAGTGATCGAAAAGAACCTTGAAGATTTTCCATGTTTGTAGTGATTTTCGCAATATCAGCGTCTTGGCCTTTATACGTTGAATAAAAGTCCACCAAATTTTGCGTCACTTGTATACCCAGAGAGAGGAATCCGGCGATGCCAGCTGCGATCGAGAGAGGATCACTCATGGTGATATCAAGTGGTCACTTTGATGCAAATTGTTAACAGGAAAGAAATGTACTCGGTGATTGAGGCAGTTTGGGAGTGTTGGATGGGAGAACGAGAGATGGGAAGGCGCCTAGTTGGGGGCTGAGCAGATGCCCGATGCAGGCAAGGTGACCACGTGAGTGATGCTGCGCTTTCATACAATACCATGCATATTCTAATGATAAATCCGTATTCTCATGATATGGTTGTCTCCGAGTAATCTCAAACTGTGTCGTGAGATGCTTTTGGGATCAATCCAGTATGCTTCCAATTTTTAAAAGTACCACAATCAATATTTCCTCTGCCTAAATCAATACAAGTGGTCATTCAAGATGAATTTCTCATGTTCTCAGACGTATAACTCACCAAATTTACAAAAAAAGCGGCTGAGTTGCTTTCTTCGTTAAATAATTCATAGTAGATTGGACCATGTTGACTATTTCCTCTGTTGCTGTTTTATTCTTGTTCACCATTTCATGTGACAAGTTAAATCCCTAAAATGGCTGGATGCGAGTACAGTGTACATAGTCAGAAATACAAACAGCATGATTTTCTTCATATTTACTGGAAGTACAGGTCAAGAAGCATAACTTGTTGATGGAAAGTTCTGGTAATGGAACAACACAGGGACCAGGATGTTATCAGCTGAATCGAATACAAGGCGGAAAGAGAGGTTAGAAACCAACAGAAGAGAGTCTTTGAGTCAGGCAAAAAGTGCAAGAACGTCTGTGGCCAATGGATTGCTGCGCCGTACAGACTCTGACGTGTCGATTTACGCGCCCAAGCTATGTACATGGAACAGGCCAACAAGGCAGACTATCATCCAACAAGGCATAATGATCGGAAGAAGCAATGATATGAAGTACAATAAATGAGAACACACATCCATCTTGTTATTCCCTTCTCTCTATTGACCAGCCTTGATATCTTCGTTTCCACCTTTCCTTTAGAACTGCTTTTCTCAAGAAGACTACCTCATCGACAGACCCAATTCACGCCTGCAAATACAGAAACACATTCAGCTCGAGAACATGCTCAACTCCATTTGGGACTGTATCTTCGGAACTTTGGAAGATGAGCCACTTCGTCCCACCGATGGCCGATCTCCCGAGTCCATCGCTTCCGAAATCCTCACCAAAATCCTCAACGCGGACACACGTGAATCTCTCCAGAAACAATTGAGGGAAGAGATATGCATTACGAGCTGGTCTGAAGCTATCGCAGAAGCTCTCTTGCACGGCTTGGAGAATGCTATCAAAGCCGGGACGGAAATGGCGCAAGCAGCTGCGGATGCAGCGGCTAAAAGCAGAGACGCTGCTATTGACTTCGCGACTGACCATCCTGTGTACGCCACATTGATTGCACTGGGTATATTGGCCTTGTTGACACCGTGGGCTCTGGAAATTCTCGGATTTGGGGAGTTGGGTCCGATTGAAGGCTCATGGGCCGCACTATGGCAGAGTCGTTGGTATGGTGGACGGGTACCTAAGCAGGCTTTGTTTGGATATTTCCAGAGGTTGGGAATGAAGTGGCACTGGACTTTCTGAATGAGACTTGCCATCAACAGGAGATTTGAATTTCGTCTTTGTGGTCGTGGGTATCAATTTGTCGGCATGGTACTGGTTTAGGGGACGACATCAATTAGTTTAGGGTACACCAGTATTGGGAATTGGAAGTGATTTGTTAGATAACTTATATAAGAAGTGGATTATTCCACTGGATGTATACATGATAACTGTAACTGTCTGTAGGAAGAATCGCTTTGGCGTCATAAGCTCTTTATTAATGCAATTTGCTGAAACAATGAGTTGGAAATCCAATCATTGAAGCCGACGTATTAATTTAAAGCGAGCAGAGAGCCAGATTATACTAAGAATGCTTTATGGAGTCAATTCAAGTGAAGTCAATCTATATAATCGCTAAGATCCGCTGACAGGCACACAAGAAACACATCACAGCTCTGCCTCATCAATGTCATACGCCAAATGCTTCTGTCCGGCTCCTTTTTTATCCAATCCAAATGCCCAGGAGAGACCTGAGTATACTCCCCATGCCGTCTCCTTCATCCACAGCCCCCATGGGCCGGTTTTCTTCCTTGAGTTGGCATTCTTCGCAGAGTGGGAATAAACTTCATTCACGCGAGGTCGACGAATGTAGTCGAACTTGGCAAAAACATCAGGCAGTGAGCGATTCGAGTCCTCCAGCAGTCGCGAAAGGAGGAAAACATCTTCGAGCGCCATAGAGACGCCTTGTCCAGCATGAGGGGACATGGCATGGCCGGCATCACCAAGCAGAAGGCACCGGCCTTTATACCACTGACCACCAAGAGGTAGCCGGTAGATGGGATGGAACTTGATGACAGTAGTCTTTCTCACAAGGTTCTTGACAGTCTCACTCCACTCCCCATGAGAACCCTCCAGAATCTTCAAAAGATTATCCTTGAACCCTTCAACCTCAGCCTTGCGATGTTCCTCCCATCCATCACGGATATCCCCAGAAGTCGGCAGAGCAACCTCTCGAGAAAAGCTCCACATGACAACATCCTTGTTAGGCGTACAAGGGTTAATCAGAAATATCCCCTCCTCGGTTAACATAGCATGCAGCCCAGCCATAGAGTCAGCAGACCCAGCTGGCAACTCAGCAGCCGGAATGAGCGAAAAGGAACCCGCAATCCCAGAATACTCAGGCTCCTGCAGTGGATCAACAACTTCCCTCCGAACCTGCGAGTGAATTCCATCACATCCAAGCAGCAAGTCGGCAGTATCGCTGGACCCATCTTCGAACAAAACCCTAACACCACCGCCCCCATTCCCCTCAACATCAACATCACCGTCCAGCTCTTCAATCCCCTTCATCTTCATCCCAAACTTTATTTCAATCCCCTCCCGCTTCACAGCCTCCAACAAAACACCCACAAGATCATTTCGTCGAATCCTCAAATACCCAAATCCGGTCTTCTCTCTCGCCCATCCAACAAAATCCTGCGTGCCCACCACACCGCCACGCAAAGAATGAAGCGTAAACATGGAGCCTGCATATCCACACCGCATGAGGTCATCATAGATACCCAGTCGGTTGAAGAGCCGGAGGCCGTTGGAGAAGATTGCGATTGCGCCGCCGAGGGTTGTTGGTTCGGGGCGCAGCTCGTAGATTGTGCAGCTTATCTTGTTGTGCTTTTGTAGACGCAGTGCGGCGGCTAGGCCGGCCGGACCACTTCCTATGACTATTGCCTGGGATTGTGCTGTTAGTGACTGGGATTTGGAGTAGAGTTGGTTTGGGGGCTTGATTATGTTGGCATATGCATTCTAGATGGGAGGGTGGGAGGTGCCGGTTGGATGTGTATGCATGGGTGTGATAGGATTGCTTACCTTGCGGATTTCAGGCATGGTTGGTTAGTTGGGCTTATTCTTGGGATGGTTGTTTTCTGAATTGTTGGGTTCGTGGTTTATGTATGTTCTGGGTCTATCAGCATTTTTTTCATGCGTGGCATGAGGATTATATAGCAAATGCATGCTGGTTAACCTGCATGTTTGTCCGCGGTCCTCCGCGGCTACTTACCATATTGGGTAAGGGCATCCGCGGAGACAGAACCTCAGCCACATATGCCTCAGGCGGCAAGGCCACAGTTCAAAATGGGTTAGCGTGAACTTTTTAGCACGGTGGAGCCTTGGAGCCTCAAATCATTTGGAATCTTGTGACATTTCAAATGACCCCTTAACCATGGTACTGGTAAATGAGGTAGAACTGACTCCTGAAGCATAAGAAATCATAATTTGAAGTATAGCTGAAACATGGCAGAACACGTGCATGAATGCACATGTTGTGACTCGAAAGTCTCTACACTATACTATACTTTACACTATAGACAGTTCTTATCCAATCCTTACCCACGGGTCGATGCAGATTGTACTGGAATATATGCATGCAAGTGTCTACATCTTACAAAGAACACACAATCTCTCGGTAAGAATCACAAAGTTTGAAGTTAACAGGGCTGTTTCATGCGTGTTACAGGTCACATTCAATCTAATTGGCCCTTAAAGCCCCGGTGGAGTTGGGGATTTGGAATTCTACACAAAGTTCAACCTGGGTTGCATGGCATCAGTTGCCTGACGTGGTCCTAGCGCGAGAGAGATTCCAAATTCCAAATTCTCCTAGACATATGTACAACGCGCCCCTGGAGTTTTCTCTCCACCCTCCTCGTGTCCGAAATATGACAATGAAAATGACAATCCTACTGATAAACGCCTCGACCCAGGGATATCTGACAAGGTTGCTTGAAATGCAACAAAGAAAAGAAACAAGAAAACCAGCACACAGGTGTGGGAGCAGACTCCAACTCCAACAATATCAAGGCAAGGCAAAAAAGGTAGGATCAGGACAACCAAATCAAGAATCGAAAATCGGCCCAAAGGCCGGGATGCCTCGCGCTTCGAGCTCATACACAATTCGCCCTGTCAGGACAGGGTTACTGATGACGCACACCGCCTCGGCATCAAACTGCTTTATCTGCTGCAAGATGATGGGGACCATGTCGATGCGGCCACACTGGTTCGTGTCCATGATGACAGGATCAGAATCCATCCGACGCACCATCTCCATCACACCCTCACCGTATGTCTTGACCGGTGCTCGAGTCTGCCAGAGAACGCGGAGTGCAGGCCGGTTCTCATCGCCCAGGAAGGAGAGACAGGGACCTATGCCAGAACCTGTTGTTACGACGACGACGCGGCTGAAGACACGCATGGCGTATGCAAAGCCGTTGATCAGCACGCCGCGTTTCCAGAGGTGTGTTGGGGGGCTGTTGATGGTGTCGCTGGTCCAGTCACCTGCTTTGGAGACTAGGCAGGAGAAGGTGGCGGGGCCATCTTTGGTTCCGGCTGGTGTGTCTGGGAATGTGGCGAAGCCGTGCCAGTCGCGGAGGGGGTGCTTTGCTAGTTGGATGCCCTTTCCGAACGATGTCGTTGTGTGATCGAAGTGTAGGCGGGTAGCATGGGTGGAGAGGGGTTCGGCCTTCACAGCGACCTTGCGGAGGAACAGCCAGGGCTGCACGATGGAGCAGACGGTGAAGACGAGGAACCAAAAGGCTGGCAGGTTGATGAGGAACTTGCCCAGTGGTTGGTGCAGGGATTGGCTTGCTTCGTGCGCGAAGACCATCAGCAAGGCCAGAAACAGGGCTACGATCAGCCACCCCGAAAAACGGTGGGTGAGTTCGAAATAGTCGTGCCGCTTCATGCGGAACGTGGGGTGTGCCACCACGATTATCGCTATCAGCAGTACCAGGATGATGTATGCGAGGGTGACTGGCGCGGCCGAAAGGCGGATCCCCGCCGGGCCTGGACTTGTTGCCCAGTACTGGTGAGACATGACTCCGACGAATCCCAGGTACCAGATGAGTGCGGCTACTCCGCAGCCGCTGTGGACGCCACCATAGTGGTATACTTTGGCCGCTAGCTTCCGCAGAGGCATTGGTGCTGACCTTGGCAGAGAACACACGACTATGAAGATGGCATTGACCACGAGGGGTTGTCTGGCCAGCCCGCAAGCGAGCAGGTTAGCGGCAGTGGCGTTGACCAGGGCCAACAACTTTTGGTCTGTTGTCATCACAGCCACAAACACAGCGACGTTGGCTAGGAAGACTAGCGTGAACAACCGTCGGTATAGTGTGAGAATGGCATAACGTGTTGAGGCAAACAATTTGGGCTTCGCTGGGACGGCCTGCGCCTCGAGGTCCATGTCATTTGGCCTGGTGGTTTCGTTCGATCCTATTTCACGGGACTGATACTTTTCGATAGGCTTCTCTTCTGAGAGAGTCACCTCGCTCGACGAGGCAGAGCCTCCCACCACAGCCGTTGGAGGCATGGTAATGGATATAGGACGTTTTTCCGACATGATTATGATATGTGGTGGGCTGTCATATAGAGTTGGAAAGGTGACTAGGATATCCAACTAAGTTGAAGGTATAAGAGAGAAGGAATTTGAAGACCGAGTTGACAACCCAACCAAGGCAGATCCTCCATTTTTGAAGTGATGATGCTAACGCTCTAGGGCTCAGCTCACATCTGTTCCCCTCATGCGCCCTTTTCCTCCCTTCCCATTCCCAATTGAACTTTACCATTTCCCGTTTGGGAAGTTCTGCGAACGGTGAAGCCCTAAGTCTTCCCTTGATTCTTTTTTTTTCTTTTTTTCTTTTCCTTTCCAGGGTTCAGTAATCCATTATTGATTCCTATCTAGGTGTATGACACTATCACACTGGTCCAGACTTGAGACTTGAGACTAGTGGGTTCATCCTTGCCAATTGACTCTCAACATCATCCCACTCCCTTACGGCTTGAGCGAGCCGAGGGATAGCTCCAATGGTGCCACGACACCATCTGTCGAAAATCCATGATATTGTCCAAGAGTGGACACTCCCTACCGGGGACCCGGAGACGGGATACATCGGAATGGACGAAGTGGGAAAAAAAGATGCGCTCATGAGAAACAGGATGTAACCCAATCAGGGTTCCTCTCTTCAATCTAATGCTCGGGGTTAGCCCAAGCGAGATACAACACGGACTACCATCGCCTATCACAAGCCAGACTACGGCCCGGCAGCACCAGGATCAGCTTCCTGGACTCAGGCTCGAGAACTATGTCCAAGTTGGTCGACGTGGGGTCGGCTGTAGCAGCTGATCTCCGCTACACCGACCGCTATCAAGGCTTCAATAAAAGTGACGATCCTGCTCTAGGGATGACGAGACCAGTCGACGGAGCCTAGTGCTCCTCCCACTGGGAGAGCGTCTACGGCGCCTCCGAACAATGCCAATGTGGGTTTATGGATGGTGGCGGCGTCCCAGCATCCATGAGGGCCATCTGCAGCTAGCTGAACAGGCCAGAAAGGAATATTCGATCGACCTTTACTTTCTTTTTCCAGGCGATCATGCAGCTGAATGTGACGGCATTCTCCAATTCCTGTCTTGCCCCTCCACTCCACTGCATGCGTTCCCCACTCCATGCTCAGATGTTGGGATCAAATGCATAATGAGACATGCACCGATTTTCTCCATATTCGAGTGGGATTTGGCGCACACTTTCGTTAGTCGATCTTGTGGGAAGAACGACTCCGCACGAAAAAGATCGGCTCCATGCAGATTGGGCATCTGGGGGCCACTTTTTTTTTACACTACCATGGGAGGGGGATCCCCCCTTCGATGTTAGGCTGACAGGAGTGGCGCATGTCGAAAGTACTGGTTTTGTCCTTTGGTTCAGGCTTGTAGGGCCGTTCCGGCCGTAGACCGGCTCCCGGGTATATTTTCCCCCCTGTTCCGCAAGGGCTGAGCTCGTGGGATAAACCCGGAAATCAATAACTAACGTACATAACACATAGATCCAAATGCATTGAGAAGAAAAGAAAAGAAAATGTTAAAATAAGCTATGCAAGTCATACCTCAACGCAAGGTATGAAGGGAGGTGAGCCGAGTGTGGCTCAGTAGGGGCTGAAAGGGCAATTATTGGAATTTGGAATATTGTAGTGGGCCGCCCTAACTGGGGTTAGTTCGGTGGGGGCGTTGCGGTTCATGACATCGTCGTTCTGTTCCCGGACATGAGCCAATCTCTGTGGGTTTCGGGGGGGGGATTTCCATGATCCTCGTGAGATTACCATTAGGGTTCCAGGAGTCCCAAGGGCAAGAATATGCGAGAGGAAAATCGACGCAAGTGGAATTCACCACACTAGCGCAACCTTACCTAATCAATGTATTCCAAATCAGCTATGAGATCTCAAATCAAGGGAACCGAACATATAATCATGCCCTTCCCCCCGTAGTCGTAGATCGTGGTAGATCTCATCCTTGTCTTTCTTATCTACAATGGCGGTTTCAACTCTCGACATGGGCTCGGATGTGTGCACAGACTTGTTGACCTTCACCTTTGGAGGTCCCAAGCCCTATAACACCAATCAGCCATTGTTTATCGACGCCGAGGATCCCTCTCGGTCCTTCACAGCAGCCCAGTTTCAACAGCTGGTCCGGACCCTGATTGCAGGGTTAAAAGCACATAATGTACGGCCTGGCGATTGTGTGTTGCTGCATCTGGGCAACAGTGTAAGTCATGTAAGGTTCGAAATCGGAGAATTCCGCTGACGCGGGCTGGTGATAGATTTTATATCCCGCCTTATTCTTCGGCATTATAGGCGCAGGCGGTGTCTACATGGGCTCTAATCCCCGCAGCCAACCCCAAGAACTCGAGCATATCCTCACCCTCGCCGAACCCAAATTGATCCTCACAACACGCGATGCTCTGTCATCCGTACTCGACGTCTCGGCTGGTCGGGGCATTCACCCTGGCCAGGTGTGTCTGGTCGATGAGTTTGCCGTGGACCACTGTGCACAACTGTTCCTCTGGCAGGAACTGGGGTATTCCCGGTACTTTTCATTGAACGGGGCAGACGCCCGTCACTCCAACTTTGCCAATCTCCTCTGCTATGGAGAAAGCGACTGGCAGAGGTTTAACGACCCAGTGATGGCACGAACCACGCCTGCAGCCATGTTCTCGACAAGCGGCACAGGCGGCCTACCCAAAGCTGCCATTCTGTCCCACCATGCCATCGTCTCACAGCATCGGTCGATTTACTACGACGTGCCACACCCCGTCAGCCGCTTGATGTCGCTTCCCATGTTCCACCTGTTTGGCGCCCTGTGGACGCACCTCTTCCCTGTCCGCTATGGCCACCCACTGTTTGTGTTACCACGCTTTGAAGTGCAAGAGTTCCTGACCACCGTGCATCGCTATCAAATCTCCGAGACGTACCTGGTCCCGGCTATCATCCACTCTCTCAATCAATCCCCCTTGCGCATTGCAGACTACCTCTCCTCCATTCGCTATATTGGCGTTGCAGGCGCACCTATTGATGCAGCCTCTATGCAGCAGTTCCGCAGCCACCTGAACCCCATGGCCTATGCTTGTCAGATTTGGGGAATGACCGAAGTTGGCGTCACCTTCCAGACTCGATATGGCCAGTCTGGCGACCCGGGCAGTATCGGCACTCTGACCCCTGGGTATGAGATCCGCTTAGTGGACCAAGAGGGCAAGCTTTTGCCAGGCGATGGCCAGCCCGGTGAGCTGTACGTTCGTGGGCCTAGCCTGCTCACTGCATACAAGGGCCGTACCGATGCCTTGGAGCCTCATGGTTGGTTCCGCACTGGTGACATCGCCTACTCCAAACAGGGCCAGTACTACATTGTAGGCCGAACCAAAGAGCTGATCAAAGTGCGAGGGTAAGTGACACAGTCTTTTGCCCCAGTTCCAACACTCCATACTAACCCTTTACAGATGGCAAGTCGCACCAGCCGAACTCGAAGCAGTCCTTCTTCAACACCCTGGCATCACTGATGCAGCTGTGATCGGAGTGAATAAGGATGGCATGGGCGAAGTCCCACGAGCATTTGTGGTTCGTTCTCGCGACCCGACTGTCAGCCGTCTCACCGGCGAAGAAGTTTACAATCATGCACGTCACCACCTCGCCCGATACAAGGCCCTTGACGGTGGTGTTATCTTTGTTGAGGAGATCCCGCGTACGGCCAGCGGCAAGATCCAGCGGTTCAAGCTCTCTCAGATGAACTCCTACCGGGAAATGGTTGCATCGCTGTTATCCCGATTCGAGGGCGAGGGCGCTCGGCTACCCCGCGTTGGCGCCGAGATGCTGCCTGTCGGTGTGGCCCCGGAAGGCCAAGTCGCGGTCTAATCCATGCAAAAGCAAAAGCACACTATTGTTTGCCCCATCTGTGGAGTACATTGGCTAGGGAGAACGACACAGGCGTTTAATACAGGGACAGGTGTTGTCACAAATTGGCTGTTTGATTGATTTTTTTTTCTTGTTACATTCAGGAATGGGTTTGGTTTTTGATTCCGGCTGGCTTTTTCTCACGACTTACAACTTTTAACATGTATGACGACGGTGTATCGAATTCTATTATTAGCATTTTCAGGCGGGAATCCTCTCTATTATTTTACTTCGCAATCCGAGATGATTCATTGATATACAATTTCTGCCATCGCAGGGCTAGACTTAACCTCTGTCGACCTTAACCCTAATATCCTTCCTCAACCATGGACCTCAGCATAAACTTTCCCCTTCCGCTACTCCTCTTAACCCTCACTGAAGAGTAAAACATGAATCAATAGTCCCCCCTCTGACCCTACAGGTACACTACACTAGAATGTTACTATCCAGACACCGGCATCGGCCTACCCCGACCGTTTCGGTCGTGTGACCAGCCCTGTCCAGCCACGACGAGCCTAGCTCCGATCCACGAATTCCCGATCCGTGATGCCGGATACTCGATGCGAGATATCCGATCCGTACTCGATCCTGGGTCGGCTGATATCCGGAATGCAGCTGCACGCTCACCTCCAGATCAATAGTCCTCCCCGAAAAGACCAAAAGAGAAAAAGAGAAAAAGACAAAAGAAAAAAGAAAAAAAAAAAACGAAAAGAAAAGAAAAAGCAACCCTGTGGCGAGTTCCTCAGCCCTTACGCCATCCTCGTCTGGACGGTCTAGTGCTTCCTGTAAGCTGTAGCCTGCAGAATCGCTGAGTGGCTGAAACAAGTTCTGACTATTGATCTGGATCGCCTTATCCTGCACGGGATCCTAGCCGAGCTCGAGGCCCGTGGCGGGCGCAGGTCGACTGTACGGTAGTTGCTGCAAGGGATGGATTATAGTAAATATTAAGTTGCTTGCAGAATGTCAAGTTCACACGTCCCGTGTTCCAGATTCGAATGTCCACATCCCGGGTTCCGCGCGATGATCGACGATTACCGCAAAGTTAATTTGCTTTCCGCCTTTCTGCAGCTTGCATTACCTGGTAGCTGGACCCTCTACCGCCGAGTCTATCTTGGTTCCAGGCTTGGCCTTGGGTTCCATGGTTGGTTGTCGGCTTTTGACTTGGGTTACATTGGGCTGTTATGGTGTTTGGGGAGGGAAGGTTTGAGTGTTGGAGGGTGGGAAGGTTGGAAGGAGTTGGACTTGGGAATGACGGGTTGACCATGGATGCTCTTCACGTTAGGAGTGGGATTCCGACAATCGAGTCAAGGTTTTACTTTCTTTTTTCTTTTCTTTGGTTTTCTTTTATTCGATTTTCTTTTCAATGTCCTTTTTCTTTCTTTTTTCCTTTTTGGGTTCGGGATTTGAGGAAGGAATGAATGGCATTCCTTACGTGCCATTCGTACTTTTGACACCGCGTTACTTGATCCGGCTTGGGGTATCAGTTGGAGATTGTGTCTTTCATGTGAGGTCTACGGAATCACCCTTACCCTGCCCCATGCAGAGTGAGTCACAGTTGTGAAGCTACCGAAAACTAGTCGACAAAATTCGCAGGTTCACTAGTTCTCTCTGGACCTACATCAATACCCCAACAAAAGATTAAGCGTCAAAGATAGGTCGAGTACGCCAGAGTATGAACTTAATCAATAATCAATAATCTATCCAGTAGATCACAAAATATGGCAAGAATGATTGGAATCATGTCGTTGCCGGGGACTCGACTAGGTCAGTCGACAACGCTACCCGATGCCCACAAAATAATTGACCTGGATCGAGAGGATTATCCCAGGTATTGATATTGATTTTTAGGTTGACGCAGTGTGCATAATAGTGAGAGAAACGGATCACAGATGGTCAGTCTCTAGTACCATGTATCTCCCAGCTGTCAAGGAATGGTCAGATGAGGATTGAGAATGATCAGCCGGTACTTTGACTATCCCTCGGATATTGCAATACTCTTGTGCCACTTATCGGGTTTTTTGAACTATGGAGTTCATCCATAGAGTTGGTCTGGGCGCTATCTTATGATGTTTTGACGGAAGCTGTGGTTATGCTTTGGTATTTCCTCTGTTGCAGCAGCAGAGACAAATTGAAATTTGTGTCTTCGTAAATACCCAGACAGCTCTGGAATTAGTCTTGTCCTTGATCGAGAAGGTCAAATAATGAAGTTCCAACAATTCCGAGCTGTTGATATCATATCTCGGCACAATATATATGTCCTCACAACCCTTTGACACCTTTCAAATTTCAGTCTTTGTAGAAGTAATATACAACATTGATGCATTTGCTCTTTTGTACCTCTTTGTATTCTAAATATTACACCAAATATCCTTTCATATCGACAGACCGAAGCTGTATCCGACCAAGACTTTTTAAACAATCCCATACCCCATCCACCAGACCCCCCAAGCCAAAGGCCCTAATGCACCGAGAACAGCAGCTCCAAATGACAACTCCAAAATGGACCAGATCCAGATAGTGCCAACAGCAGGAGCCTTCTTCATAACAGCATAATACGGTTCTCCATTTGTGATCGCGATCAGATGCGCGCCCACCAAGAGGGCCACCGGCAGGAAAACCAAGGTTCTCAGTGCAGGCGGGAATAACAGCTTTCGGAAAAATGAGAAAGTAAGTTTATCATTTGTCAATGGGAAGAGAGTTGGCTCGGGCTGAGTCTTGGAGCTTGACTTTCGTTTGAAGGAGATGATGTGGCCGTGCGCGAGGTGAACGAACAACGTCAGCAATGGGAAAGCCATGGTGATGGATTCTTTGAAGAGTTTGGGGAGATCAATGCTTTCGGCGTATTGGTGGGCTGCTAAGTAGCCCAGCGTGAGGTGGAGTGTGGTGAGTGGGAGAGACAGGAGGATGGTGTCGAGGAATGGGGGGAGCGGCTTGTCGACGACAACTTCGGATTCGTCATCCGTCGTGACTTTGTTGGTGCCAGCCGTGGCTTTGCGACCTTTCTTTGGGGCAGCTTTGCCGGATAGATGGTTGCTGATGTCGCCGTCGGTGTCGACCAGGTTCCCGGCCTCGTCGACGGTCACAAAGCGCGTTCCCATTGACTCTGGGATGATTCTAGCCCCTTCTGGTATTGTTGATGAGGGCTTCGATGGATTGAGGCCATTCTGTCGCTCTGCAATGATGTCATATAGGGTTTTCTCGACGGTCGCTTTGTTTTTGGTTGGATCGTCTCGTGGAGGTTGCGCGTAGGTAATATCGGGCTCGTCCTTATCAGAGGCTGTGGCAGCTGCCCGACGCTGTTTGCGATTTCTGGCTTGCATCGTGGGAGGTGGGGAGAGTTGTGGCTGGTTGGTTGCAAAAAGCTCGTAAACATTGACGTGGAGAAATGAGGTGGTCTCGGCGATAGCCCGGAGTTAAGCTGGGGTCTCCAGTTGGCTGCAGCTCAACTATGAACTTTAGATCTACATGACCCTTTTAAATGCCTAATTTCGACGGAGAGTGGGTTGCACCTGTTCTTTTATAACGAAAATTGACTTTTATTAATTGAAATACCAAAAAAACGAGAAATTCTTTCAACCCGCCTGGTATAAAGCAGGACCAGCAACGACATGACTGTTAATCAAACTCAAGTTAAACGGACTGAGGTATGGATCACTATCAGTGACCGCAATGAATATAGTTCCGTTGAAAGCAGGATCTCCTTGATAGGTTTCCAGCCCAGGCTGAGAAGTCCAACCACGTGTACTGTTGGAAGTATTGTCAACATGCAATGGCGTATAAGTGATATTGAGCTGAGAGACCCAGACCACGTACTTTGCCAAACCAGCCTGCTTGGTTGTAACGTAGCTATCATTCGGACCGATTTTCTTGCCAGGGGTATCCCACTGCAAAACCACATTACGACCGGGGAATGAGAGCGGTTTTGGTCGAAGCTTGCTCACAGAGACCCCACATTTCGAGCTGGAGCTTGAGGAATTGCCCGAACTTGAATTTTTGTGCTTTCGAGAATTATCGTGTGGTTTTGAATAGCTGGCTTCTGACTCGCGGGTATGGTCTATACCAGATGTGTTGTTCAAGTCTGGAAGGTGACCAGTACCACCAGTCTGATTGAATCCACCAGTCTCATTCAATCCCAAAGTGGAATTTGCTATATCGTATGGATTGGGTTGATTGACAATTGTCAATGCCGGGAAGTTCTGCCATATCAACCGGGTTTGATTCTCGGGACACGAGCTGATGAAAGGCGCCAATAATGTCCACGCCCAAGACTGGGGTATACCGACTTCAAACCATTCAACCATAGAAAACAGTCCTTCAAATTGATGAAAGATCAATTGTTGCCGTGCCTCGGTGGCGATAGATTGGGTCAGCAACGTCGCCGCCTCGCGCGAGTCGAGATGAGCCAAGAATCCGTAAACGCCAGCTTCGCCGAAGCGGGTAAGCTTCTGCGCAAAATCGATGAATTGCTGGACATTGGTGAAAGGGTAGACATAGGAGCATTGTTGGGGTGCATGGGTCCCCAAAATGTTGCTGAGCATAGTTGCATGCCCGATTTCTTGCTGTGCCATGAATGCAATCAATTCGCGATCTGCATCGGTCAACCCGGCGGATTTGAAGTCTTCCTTTGAAAAGCGACGGAGCGCATATTGGAACAAGTCAAGTTCGATCCACTCCTGATACAAAGCAAGGGCCTCAATATCGAGATAGTCAGTTATAGTAACTTGAGATTCTTGGAAGGGGACTGCTTACCAACGACTCAAAGTCGAAATCACTCTTCGTATTATAAACAGGGATACTTCCGTTCGTGCCCACACCACCTGCAGGATAGTATGCAGCTGGCTCGGCATGGTGTAGCAATCCATCAGCTGGGTAGCTTGTTGCTTCCGGCATCACGCCGCCGCTCGATATACCAGTTCCGACTGATGAGGCTGTAAGGGCACCAGTGGTACAAGGTGTTCCCATGAAAGGTGTATGGGCATTCGAAGTGTGATAGCTTTGTAATGGTGGTACTGAAATTGAAGACAAATGGGACGAGGAGGTGGAAGATGTCTTTGAGTGTTTGTGATCTTCGTTGTGGTGTTTCTTCGGAGATGCAGTCACAAATGGGAGCGACCCCATTAGGGCTAACACAAGCACACTTTTGTAAACCATACTAGCGAGGATAAAGACTTGCTTCAGAATGTTTGAAGATAATGGAGGTGAGATACAGAATACCTGCTTCTTACAAACTTCACCGGATATGCGCGGAGCTTGCATTTAGTACAAATCTGTGTTGACGACCAGATAGTCGTCAGCGTTTGGAAAGCACAACTCCAATTGACGCAATCGGTTACTGGCCAGGTAAATTTGATTCGGTTCCATCCGTCGGTTCTCGAAGCGAAGACGCTGTAAAGCTATACTACATGAATGGGTCAGGTTTAAGAAACACGAGGATTCCGTGCCCAGCGGCGTATGTTCCGGTCGAATCAAATATCGAATCTTCACCTAGTTTCCTGATCAACTGGGTTCAAGAATAGTCTTTCTCGACTCTTTGGGAGTAATTGAGTGGATGAACCAACATTATCATAGCTTTGGGTAGCAACCGTGACTTGCGCTAAAGCTTGTTCTTCCAGATATCAACAAGACCTGTTCTTCTATACATCTTACCCTGGAGACCCCGGATAGCCCCAATTAATGTACTTTGTCCCACAAGGCTAAGGTTTAACCTTGGAAGCGTTGAATACTGATGTGTGATAAAAACATAGCCCGGACTGGCCATGGTTGATAGTGAAACCATCCATAATCTTGAGGACTATACAATCACAATGATGCAATTAACTTATGATAGAAGCCATGTATTTCATAGAGAGCATCCTCAGAAGGTCTGGAATTAGATTCCGTTCCAGTCTATTGAAATCTTCCGACTATCGAAAAGCAACACAGTTTTTTATCAACCCCCAGGTCATAAACCTGCTGAATCCGGGGCAGGTGAAATTTTCAGAGGTGGTACATGTCTATCTCTCAATTTCCAGGATGATTGAAGTGATATAGTTGAAAGCTGTGGGATCAGTGGCGTGAATATCAGCAAATAGTGTTCTGGAACTCGTACTCGTCGCAAGCATTGATCACATCCAAAATGCCTTCCTAAGCTGGAGACGATGATTTCGAAGAAAAGAGGTGTTCAGTTAAAAGAAATATCAATATTGACGATCTGAATCCCCCAAAGCGATTTCAGAAAGTGGTCTCCAACGGCGAAGCACATACGTCCTTTCTTAGAGTATCGGCTGGACACGGTAAATCTTGCTGTAGAGCTCTATATTCAGGTTCAAAACACCGCAAGCTACCTCAACAAGCAGAGAGTGGAAGTATCTGATATATATAATGGAATGAGGGGCCTAATTGACAGCTTTGCTGAGACTACTCGGTCATCCTTACGTCTAGTCCCGCAGACGAAGCGCTCCTCAGACTTGATGATTTGGACATTGGGGATCTCGATACCTACCTAGGTACAACTTGGGGCAATGTGAATGGTGACTAATCCCTTTTCTTGTTTTCATGTGTCTCTCTCTTCGTAACAGGGATTTCATGTGCTGCTCTCAAGATATCTGCATTCATCGAAGCCAATGGCATGCCTGTAGACATTTATCTTGTGGCTCCCAAATCCTGTGATCAGCATTTGTTGAGAACGAGCAATATCATTGGTGACGCTTTGATGGCCGAGGTTGGTTAGAAAGTATAGATCTAGCATCATCTCCAGGGTGGGGCTTTGGCGCCGACGATGGAGTCACTAAGTGGAGTCATCGTACAATTATTTAGACCGCTAATTTACTGGGGGTATATTAGCGTATTTAGATAATATTCTTCAATAATTAAATGGCCTTACATGTTTGGCAATATTGGAAATTCCCTTCCGTTGGCGCTATAAGGGTCGCAGGGACTGGACTCAGAGTGGTTGATAGTGATCTCTGTTACATCCCTATCTTGCGACAAGAAAGAAATACAGTAGCAAAGCCTACACATAATGAAAAAGTGCGTGAGGCTATTACTGTATACTTCCCTCGGCAGTTCGGCAGTCCGCCGATCCAAGTGGGGGGTGACGTTATCCCAGGATCGGGGAGTTGTTTGTAATCCTCATATTTAACCTTGGAAGACCTGCTCGCCCTTTTCCCCTCTCTCTCTTTCTCTATCCAATCTTCATCCCCAATTATCTTCACTCATCATGTCTCATCTACAAGCATCAAAGCTCTTTTCGGTTAAAGACCGGGTTGTCGTGATCACCGGAGGTGGTAGCGGTAAGAACGACCCTTGACCCGCATATCCAAGCTATATGACAATGAAACCGAAACTCACAACATCAATTCAGGCCTTGGTCGCATTATGACAAAAGCCCTCGACGCCAATGAAGTCTCCAAGATCTTCATCCTGGGCCGACGTGAAGATGCTCTCCAGGAAACAATCTCGCAAACGATCAATGGGTCCGTAATCCCAATTAAATGCGACATCACCTCCAAAGACTCCCTCGAGGAAGCCTTTAAAGCAGTTGCAGCCCAGACCACCCACGTCGACCTTTTGATCGCCAACAGTGGTATCATGGGCCCCTTGATGAAACCCCCACAGCCCGCAGCAGATGGCTCCCTTCCACCTCTCTCCCAGGTCCGTGACGAACTGTTCAATGTTCCCATGGATGAATTCAATAAGGTGTTGAATGTGAATGTGACGGGGTCATATTACACAGTTCTGGCATTCCTGCCCCTCCTCGAGGCAGCTAACAAGCGCCGACCTGCCCCGCAGGCTGGCGTTGTGGGAGCACCGACTGCGCAGGTGATTATCACGAGTTCTATTGCCGGCTACGCACGCAAGGTGCCATTCAGCTTTGCCTACAATGCATCCAAGTCGGCAACTACCCAGCTGGTGAAAATGCTTTCAACTTCGTTTGCTTATTATAGCATTCGTGTCAATGGTATCTCGCCGGGTCTTTATTACTCTGAGATGGCGAACCATGTTTTCAAGGATAATGGTATCTCTGGTCAGGCTATTGAAGATGGCTCCTTCCCACGCGAGATGATCCCTGCTACGAGAGGTGGGAGCGAGGAGGATATGGCTGGGCTGATTGTTTGGTTGGCCAGCAACTCCGGTGGTTATATCAATGGTAACATTTTGGTTACTGATGGTGGTCGTCTCTCTGTTGTCCCAGCTTCTTACTAAGGACTTGGTGTTAGGGGATGCTGTATAGGTTTCTGTACATGCCCGGAATTCAAATAGAACGGGAATAGATTGTGGGAATGCAAATATCGAATGCATTGATTTGTTGATAAATGGATGAAATAAAAACAGCATCGCAAAGACATCAATGGCTATGTAGGCAAAGATCATAAGGCATCACTCATCAATAAGTTGCTGTCAATCGCTGGACCAAGTAATCACCCGCAGTTATATCCGCATACTTTTTCGCCACCTCCACATCTTCGCCGAAAGTTCCTGGCAGAGCTTCGATAAGTTTGGTGCTGTTGGGATTGCAGAAATAAGCGACACTATATCGAGCAGGGTATTCGCCCGAGGTATTATCCGTGGAATCTTCACTGGGTGGCGCAGGCGGCTGGATTACCCGGTGACGGGTGCTTTTGATAGTATCATTAGACCACCGAGCTAGCAGATCACCGGCATTAACGACAATAGTATCGGAAATAGGAGTTGCATCGACAAAAGTCCCTTTAGGACTTCGTACTTGCAATCCACCGTGCTTGTCCTGAAAAAGGAGGGTGACTGAGCCGTAGTCGCTGTGCTCGCCAGCTCGAACCTGGTTAGGATTCTTGTTGAAGACCTCCTTGTTAACTGCAGGATAATGAAGTAGACGGAGAGTATTATCTCCCTCATTGACATAGTCGTCGAAGAAATGCTCAGGTAGGTTCATTCCCATCGCAATGGCACGCATGATCTGTGTATGCAGCGTCTTACACATTTCGAAGAAAGACTGCATCGTTTCCTTGAATTCTTTCCCTTCATCGTCCAAGTGATCAGGCCAGCGATTGGGGAGATTCTCAACTCCCTCGCGACCAATCTCCATGGTCTCTTTTATATCTGGGGCGGCAGCACGCAGATCATCGACGCCATTGGTCTCGTCGACGGTGGTTAATTTCTCCCGCCCAATGGCGACGTAACCACGGTTCGATTGTGGGGTCGTCCAGCCCATATCATCTTTCTCACTCTGAGGTCGGGCGAAGAAACGAGCAGATGAAGCAAATACTCGGGATACCACGGAAGGTGGAATGCCATGGGATTTGAGGTAGAGAAACCCGGATGTCTTGAATGCTTCCGTAATGGACAGGGCGACAGCATGCTTATCTGACGGTGTCCCCGTGAAGAACGGACTGAGGTCAATCAGCTAGAATTGGGATACGTTAAATGCAGTTTAAACTATGCAGTCCGACAGTACTGACTGGGATCATGAGATCATCCTGGTTTATAGCAGTAGATGCTGGGTGGATTTCTTGCATTGTAGAGGCCATGGTAGAGAAGTATGATTGAACTGTGTGCTGTGCAGAGAGGAAGACAATTAGTAGAATCCACAAAGTCACCTCTAAAGGGGAAAAATGAGGGGAAAGGTGGTCAGGTCATCTGCCTGATAAGGATGATAGTACGGAGAGAATGGTCGAAGATAAGCGTTCTGCCGGTGGGTCCCGCTCTTGTCTTCGTCCCGCCTCACCGCCCCATTTCCCGTGCCATATTCCTATCCCACCTTCACCGCCTGATCGCCCACGCCGTTCCCTAACGTTGATTGGACAGCTGCTTCAACCTCGCCGCCTGTTTTGCACCGCCACACTCCGCTCCGCTGTCGATCTACATCGGCCACGTGACCATGGCAGCCCCAAGAGACAACCTTGGCCGTCTCCCATGGATAGCCTTGCAAATCATTCTCCGCTATCTCCCGGATCTCCCTACCGTATTTTGTCTATTGGAAGCAAGCGAACTGGTTAGAAATGTAGTTTTATTCCAAGTTTCCCTGTTTGCCGACATCATCGAGGACAACATCAACCGACCCGTTGCCGAAGGAGGCCTTCATCCCGATAATCGAAAGCTGCTGCGGATATTTGCTTTGATTTCCTGGCGCACAATGTCTGGGCTGCACGAGAACAACCCACTGCCTCGTTTGTATCGCAGTGTCATTCCTGCTTTGGCAAATGCCATTTCGATGCCTCCACTCGCATACAGCATTTCTCAACATGGGGGCTCACAAGCCCGAACCTGCTTTGCGTCTGAACGGCTTCACAAATCTATTCCATCAATGGTCATCTATGGGATGATCAAATTTGCTGCTCTGGCTCAACAAATCTCTCACGGTTGCTTCCGTGACTGCATGGCTCGATGCCTGTCTTTGCCGCTGAGACAGCCTCACCCGAATGAACGTCCCATCGCAGATCTCAGTTTTTCCTCACGCCCAGATGGGATCCCTCTCATCCCCGTTAATCAGGGCCCTCCAACTTATTGGGAGGAACAAAGACTGCTGCGGACCACCCTTCGCTTCTTACTCTTTTGGGACCTCAAAGATGCAACTGAAAGAGGGGTTATCTCAGTTAACTCTCACGTGGATGAAACATTCTTCAGTTCAAACAACGTTGAGGAATACTGGTGTGGTCTCCCTCAGCATGGATCACTTGAGGGTGGCACGCGAAGCAGAATCTTCTGGTCAGAGGTCTATCAAATGAGATTATTCCTTTCTTGGGTCAGATCTCTCAATCCCGGTGTTCCTCTTAGCCGGGACTGTCTTCAGTCATTCCTCAGTGACTCTCGATTGTCTATGCCTTATTGCCCTCTGACCCCGGTCTCACCTGGCGCTCAGCTGTCCATGGATATGACAATGACTGTCGGCATCCCGCCAGTACAAAGCATCTTGATTATCCTGCGGCACCATATCCGGGAGTTTGATGATAAGGACGTTCAGTTTTTTACTCAGTTTGGATTCGATTTCTGGGATCATGAGCGGCTTAAGGACTTCGGGCTCACCAATGATATTCTTGGCAGCAACCACGCTTGGAATACAGACCAACCTGGCCTCTCGCGGAACTTGTTTCGGCTGGGGTTTGTGTGGTCCAGCATCCTCCCAGCCCCGCGTTGGAAAATTTGTCGACGGTCCTTTGTCGAGGAATAAGCTCATATCTCTTTGTTTGTGCTTAAGCACCTGAGGATGCTTAGAAGATTTTACAATTGATCCCAGTGTTAATGTTCAGATTTATCTCAATGTGATCTCATTTTCTTCCTATTCTAACATCACTTTAGACTGTGTTTGTGCTTACTGTAAGATTGAGAAATCCTGATGTAGTGAACCTGATTCCTAAAAGGTTAAATCTTCAAACCTGCGACATACGCATGTAATTTAAAATGGCTCCATAAGATGTGGTGTGGGTAAGCCTTGCGATATTCAGCCAAAGGCCTTTTGAATATATCAATCTCTTTTCAGAGGATAAAGCAGATTTCACTTTAAAATGATGCCATCATAAGGTTAACCTACAAGTAGTGTCGTTGTTACTTGGTAGCTTTGTCCGATGACTGGAAAAAGACTACCACACCGACTACACTAATCCTAGCTCAAAGTAATTGTATGAAGTATTGGAGTGACACTATACGAAATGATACCGCCATACATGACTTGAGAGTACTCTTGCTGGTGGCTATCCAAAAATGAAATTCCGTAAGGCACCACAGTGCCATGACTATACGAGCACCCTAAAAATCCCTTCTGTATGACGTTAACACACGCAGTGTTTCTTTCGCTTTTCCCTCGAGCTATCAGTTCCCTGTTTAGTAGATATCTCTTCTTAGACCACTCCGCGAAGTTGTTGTTCCACTTCGAGAAGTTGGTATATTGAAATATCTCCACTTCTTCCAATCCGCCCGGACTGGCCGGACTGGCCAGACTGTCCATATTGAGATTCCGAGAGAAACTGCAATGAATAGTAGGTGGAATTGGGGATTACGACTCGCTTTTCAACATGAGAGTCAGAGAGTTGGAGAATCGAGAGTACCGGAAGTGTTGAAGATCCGACCTGATATCGACGATTCGCTTCCCCACTCATTAATAAGCTGAAACCACCTCGGTCCCTTTTCTCTCGACTCTCACTCTTCCTGTCTGGATACTCGCTGTATTCTCGATTATCTGCATATTCTTGATCTTCCTACTCCTTCAACATGCCTTACACCGCCCTTGTCATGTATCCCAATGAGTCGGACATCCAGTTCGACGAGTCCTACTATATGAAGTCCCACATGCCCCTCGTCGAGGCTACCTGGAAGAAATACGGCCTTCTCAGCTGGAAGGTCACCAAGTTCCCAGCTGCTCTTGATGGCTCACGCTCCGAATACTTGATCATGGCTTCTCTGGAGTGGGAGAGTCAGGAGGCGTTGCAGCAAGCTCTCAAGGACGAGGGCAGTGCCACAGTCTTTGGTGATATCCCCAACTTCACCAACAAGAAGCCTATTACTCTGGCTGGATCCAACCTTTGAGTGTATCTCTGAAGGGCGATTTGCGTGGATTCTTCGAGGTATGTGGACATTTCCCCTTTGGCATCGATATTGACGGAATGTTGATGGTTCTTCTTTGAGCGAACAGTGATGCAATCCATGAATACGACCTAGGTCTACGTTTGGAGGGCATCGGAATCATCGCTCTCTTTACAATTTACTTCTGGCCATCAGTCTTGGTATAAGAGAGTCTTTGCAAGTCCGACTGACACGGGGTGACTTATATTCACGGGAAGCCATGTAAATAGCCATACACACGCTCTAGAAATACGACTCTCGCCTGATCCAAACCAACTGCCATTAAGCCAGTCCAACAGTCCAAAAGTTCAAAGTGCAATCAAAAGGCCACATCGGACATCCCCGCATGATTTCTTATCTTTTATCCCCTCACTTGGCTCTACAAAACCTCCCAATTCCCAACTCCCACCTCCTCTCACTGATTCCTCCCCAATTCTATTCTCAGTTCTCTCTTTGCCTGAATAAAAACCTCACCATGTCCAAACCCCTCGTAGTCGACATCCACACCCATGTCTACCCACCCTCATACATGGCAATGCTCCGCGCCCGCAAAACAGTCCCATACATCCATGATCCAGAGCAAGGCGAACCACGCCTGATAATCCTCTCGTCAGACGATGACCCAGCAATCCCAATCGATCAGCGCGGCCGTCCAGTCGACTCATCCTACTCCGACATCAACGTCAAGCTAACCTTCATGCAACAGCACGGCATAGACAGCAGCGTGATCTCGCTCGCAAACCCATGGCTTGACTTTCTCGAGCCCTCCGAAGCCCAGCAATGGGCGCGGCGCATCAACGATGATCTGGAAGAAACCTGTGCGAGCGTCAACCGCGCCGGAAACCCGGATCAGAAGCTCCCGCTCAAAGGCCGGTCTACGTTGTTTGCCTTTGCGGTTTTGCCCTTGAGTGCGCCGAGCCCTGATATCATCGTGGAGGAGATTCGGCGCGTGAAGACTTTGCCTCACGTCCGCGGTGTGATCATGGGCACTTCGGGGCTGGGTTCGGGTCTCGATGATGAGAAGTTGGGGCCTGTTTGGGCCGCGTTGCAGGAGACGCAGCTTCTGCTCTTTTTGCATCCCCATTATGGTCTTCCGAATGATGCTTTTGGGGGTGCGGAGATTACTGCCCGCTATGGGCATGTTCTTCCTCTGGCTCTGGGGTTCCCGCTGGAGACTACTATCGCTGTGACGCGCATGTTGCTTTCGCGTGTCTTTGATGAGTTCCCGCGCTTGCAGCTTTTGCTTGCTCACTCCGGTGGTACGCTGCCGTTCCTGGCTGGTCGGATTGAGAGCTGTATTATGCATGAGCGGAATTTTGTTGAGAATGGTGGTAGCGTCCCGGGGCCGCAGAGGAGTATTTGGGAGGTTTTGAAGACGAACATCCTTCTTGATGCGGTTGTCTATGGAGTTGCTGGGTTGAAGGCTGCTGTCACGGTTGGCGGAGGTACTGACCGTCTTATGTTTGGTATGTCTTGTAGTCGGGGTTTCGGATGTCGAATCAAGCTGACTTTATCTTATAGGCACTGATCATCCCTTCTTCCCACCTTTGAACGAGGAGGAAAAGGATTGGCTTAGTGTGACGACCAATTACAATGCTATCGATGAGACTTTCAAGGACGAGAAGGAGGTTGTGGCTGCTGTTCTGGGTGGCAACGCCGCTCGCATTCTTAATCTTGAATGATGAAATATGGTCTCTGCCTGTTCTATGATATATCAATCCTGCAAATATGATGTAACCAATATCCTAGGGTATACAAGTGGCAAAAAGGTACAAGGAGACAGCTCTCCCCACGAGACACCAGAGGATCGTCAGCACAGAATAATCTATTTCAGAACAAAAGCACTCCTCAGTACATCCCAGCCTACCAATCGCCACAATTCCTGGGTAAACCAATCCACAAACTTCTCCTGGTCAGTCTCTTTCTCATCAATTCCCTGAGAGGGTGGAGTCTTCGGACGTTGTAGACCATCCTGGAACAACTTGTCATTAGTTCCAAAGACAGCTTGAAGCAGAGTGTTCTGGATGCGATTTTGAGAACTTTTGAGAAAGCTTTGTGTAGCCTGTGCTTCATCAACCGATTTGTTTGATTTGGCATGCATGACTCTTCCCAAAAGCCGAATGAGATACGTTGCTTCGAGTTGCGCATCGTTCGGCATGAGATTCTCGTCTGCCATTGCCTCCAATCCTCCTGGGAATCTCATTCTCGGACTGATACTCATTGGTAATCGGAGATCGTGAAACACATATAGGGCTAGCATTTTGCCCACACGATTAAGAATGAGGGAAAGATATCCTTCCATTACATGCTGATCTTCGGCGCGGGATATGTTAAGAGATAGGGCCATTGTGCAGAGTACATCCGCAAGGTGGGAGGCTATTTCGTCCCCGATCCGTAGGTTTTTCTCTCTTGAATTGGTTCGTTCATTTGACTGCGTGGCCGTTCCTGGAACCACCCTTGGGTCGCCTGTGGTTTCTGTGGCAGACTTTTGTTTGGAGATAGCAGTGCAATGATGAGTGAGGGCAGTCATAGTTGATTCAAACAGTCCAACCAGGTAGTAAATGACCTGGGCCCGATTCTGTCTCTCATTTGCATTTGCTGATAATTTATGCAAAGCACGATGCACGACATGAAAAGCAATGATGACTGCAGTGAAAACACCATTGATGTCTGCGGCTTGTTTGGAATTTGGCGTGTGTGACTGGGCTGATATGATCTGTCTCTGAACAGCATGAACGAGTTCCTGTTCTGCAGATTTGCAAAGAATGACAGCAGCAGTAGCCAAAGAGTTAGTTTTGATTGGTTTTCTTTGCAGGGCCTTTTGCAATGTATATAATTGCCTGCTGAGGCACAAGCCTATCATGGGGTTAGCTAGTGCTATCATGAAATAGGAACACTATGAGCTTCAAGGACTTTCATACGATCTTCCTCCCCACTTGAATCATCATCCATCAGTTTAATCCTCTTCTGCATCTTTTCTGGTATGTTAGCCCGTTTCTTCGCCCCGTTTGGGCCCTTCGTTTTCTTCCCGACATGTGCTTTGCGCTTGTTTATCTGTGGGGATTCGTTCTCATGTTCCAGACTTTTGGCTTGCATCTTTGCTATTAAACCGGTGTTTCGCTGCTGTAGCTCATGGATTTGATCATGCAACTTGCTCTGTCCTGCTTCGGATTGTTCGTATGCTTGTTGCCAAAATGAAACACTGTCGAAGAACTTGTCTGTTGTCACGTCATTTCCTAGCTCTTTGGACCTCCTGATAAAGGCTCTGATACGTAGAATATGCTCTAGTGTGAATCATCATTAGATCAAATTTCTTGGTCTAGGAGAGTCGGCAATTGGCCTGCCTTGAACGCCTTGATCTGGTGGCTTTTGTTTAACAACGGCCAATGCTAGGGCTAGTTGGAGCCTGGTTGGAGGTGATACAATGTCTTTAGGAGATGGATGAAGATCCATGATGTTTCAAGATGTAGGAGAAGAGGATGCTTGATGGAAGATGGAATATGAATGAGTTGGGAGATGTCAACAACCAAGGCCTCGTGACCACCACGATGTCCATTATCATATATTGTCATATTTTGGTTTGTTTTCAAACTGAATATTTACTTCAAATCGACTACATGCGCTATTCCCTTGATTTTATAGACTTCAACTTAGTAGTGAAATTAACATATTTCCAAATGGGTCAAGATCCGCCACCGCCCAAAGCTCCGAACTCGAACCTCGAAATCATTCCAACTGCATCACTCTCACCGCGAGAGGTCCGACTCGAATTCAAATACCGCACACACTGATCAATTGCTGTACTCTACATAATATAGTCTGCGCTCAGACCTAGTACCGCAAATCAAGGCCTGAGGACCATCTTCCACACCCAACTACTCAGCGCATCACCAAAGCGACAACAAGTCGCAAACGCCACCGCAATGTCCAACGACGACCTCAAGGCGCACGCCGCCTCAAATCAGGACTTCTATGCCCTCCTCGATGTACCCGCCGCAGCGAACGAATCTGAAATTCGACGCGCATACCGTCGCACTGCTCTAAAATACCACCCCGATAAAATCGCCAATCCCACAGCAGCCGACATCGACAAGTTCCACTTCCTCCAGATCGCCTACGATGTTCTCTCCGACCCCTCAGTTCGCCAGCTCTATGACAATGCGCGGGAAGCGCGGCTGCGCAAACAGCGTGAGCGCGACATGATGGGCGCTGCGAAGCGCAAGATGCGGGAGGATCTGGAAGCGCGGGAACGGGCTGGTGCCGCGGAAATGAGTGGTGCGGGAGTCAAGCAGGGCGTGAAGAGGTCTTGGATGGCTGGTGGGGATGATGATGCGGAGGAGAAGCTTCAGCGGGAGATCGAGCGGATTGCTGAGGATGGACGGCGGAGAAGGCGGGAGGCCGGGGACAAGATTAAGAAGGAGTTGGATGATGAGCAGAGGAAGATTCAAGAGGAGGAAGAGGAGGCGCGCAAGGCTGCTGACCGGAGTAGTCAGCGGGTTGATCGGTCCAAGGAGGGAGGCGGTGCTGAGGTTCCTGAACTTGAGCGCGCTGTTAAGGTGCGTTGGGTGAGGGAGGGGCGTGGGCTTGAGGTTGATATTGAGAGGCTTGCAGGGCTTTTTGCGCCGTTCGGGAAGATTGAGAATACGTTTATGCTAAAGGATAAACGGCAGCGCATTGGGGAGACGAAGGAGAAGAAGACTGTCGCGACAGGCGTGGTTGTCTTCTCTTCTATTGTCAGTGCCCATACTGCTGTACTTGATAGCGAGAAGAAGCTTCGCCAGCAAACTGGCCGGGATGGCGAATGGGCTCTCATCGAATCTGTCTTCTGGGCCTCAGGCAGTCAGCCTGATCTGGGAATGGACTCGAATGGGCATACAGATACTGCTAATGCACCATCCAAGCCCCAGTCGAGTGATCCGGCGCCTACGCCTTCAGTGCCGCCCCCAAATCCTTCCAACGGATCTGCAAAACCATCTTTCAGCTTCCCGGGCTTGAACTCAGCTCCTCCTTCTGGCAAGGCCCCGTCATTTGGCTCATTTGCCTCTGCATCTGCCGCCGGTATGCCCAAAGCCTCCTCATTCAACCCATCTGGAAAGTCTTCAAGCACGCCAAACATGGAAGAAGTGACCCTAATGCGATTGAAGAACGCACAGCGAGAGAAGGAGCGCAAGGCACTCGAAGAACAACTAGCTCGCGAAGACGAAGCCGCAGATGCAGAAGAAGCGGCCGCGAAGGCTACCTAACCTCGTCGGTTTTGATCGAAGCGAGTTTCTGTGTTATAAAAGGCTCATGGATCCCTAATTGCATACATAAACGAGATACCCCAATAAATGATTTTTGTGCACTGTGGATGAATAGAGATACAGGAGCTATTTACATCGTGATCTTTTGAGCAGCGTCATAATATACAAGTCTAAGTTATACCAACGCAGACATCTTAGCGTCGGTGAGATTCAGCTTCAACGTCAGCCTCTTCTTCAAATTCGGCCTCGGCTTCGGCTTCATATTCCTCGTGTTCCAGTTGCTCGACGAGCTCCCTCGCCCGTTCGCCCTCAGCTTCAAGATTGCATGGAGTAGGCTTTTCCTCCTTGGCACCAGAAATGAAATCCCTCAGCCAAGGTGGGACGAAAGCACGCACGCCGATCTCACTGGGCTGCTCGACATCCGGAGCCCATGTCAATTTGAACTGATGTTCGTGGGGACGGGCAGGAGCTTCGCCCATGAGGGCAACATCTGTCATGACTTCAAGACGGCAGAGCGCAAGGCCGATATTTCCAATACCATTCAGGAATGTTCCAGCGCTGCGGTTTCGACGAGTAGTGCTACCAGCCTTAACAATATCGGACTCGCCAGTCGGCAAGGTCAATTGGACTGAAGGATCATATGTCAAATGGTCTGGGAGACTGTTCACATCCTGACTCATATCATAGAGCTGCACGGGGAGAAGACGCTTGCGCGTGACACCGCGGTGGTGTGTACGAATTGTCAATTCCTGGCCAACATAACAGCCCTTGCGGAAATCGATGCCCCTCGCCATATCCATATTACACTGCAGCGGCAGAGCAGATCCGCTAATGATCTCTGCCTGGCCCTCTGCAACACCATGCAAGAATCGACGAACAGTATATGAGTCCAGCGCGACCTCGGACCCGGCGACTTGTGCTTCATCTGGGATATGGATGCGGAGACCATCGGAGCCGGGTGTGATGATTCGGGAGCCGAAGCCCGGAGCGCGGAAGTCAAGGCATGCGGCGATTTTAGAGGTCGATGGGAACGGCGATGGCAATTCTGACTCGAGACTGTATGCTGCCCACCGTCCTTCCGAGTGGTTCTTCCATGTTGACCAGACGGTGCGTTCGCCTTCTTCCAGAGCGCGGAGCTTGAGCTTGGCGCGGAGTTTGTGTTTTTTTAGATGTTTCATTAGGACTGGAACTTGGTTCCTGTCAACCTCAACTAGCCAGCCCTGCTCGGTGTCATTATTCTCGGCTCCGGGGATCGGATAGATGAAGGCGTCGTTTAAGACTCGGCCTTGCGAATTGAGAAATGCGGTGTATGCGCCCGTGCGTCGAATGCTTTTGCTTGGATCGTTTGGAACCAGCATATTCTGGGTCATAAGACCTTGAAGGAAAGTCGTGCTGTCATTGCCGGTTATAGAGATGAGTCCGCGGTTGGTAAGTCGGCTAAAGCCCGTCTGAGGCGGAAAAGATGCAATTTGCGATTGGTTGCTGCGATTTGCTGTGGTCGAAAACTGCTTGCTGCGAGCCAAACATCGGCTGCAGACCGAAGGGCGCGGGCGCATCATGGTTGATTTGGTAGAGAAAGAGAGCCAATGTGAGTTGATCTATTTCTTTACAAATCGGCACATCCGCCGATGACGTTGGGCGGTGAGCCGAAGCAAAATGAAAACGATACTAAGCTATGAACCTGCGCGCAAATTACTTGGCTAGACGCTGCTACAAGAATAATAATCTCGGAACTGTTTAATGGATGTATGCTCTGAACGTATCTTGATCCAATAGTACACTTTCTATGTATGTCGTGCTCGATGGGCGATGCCCAATGCAGGACGCGTTGGCCAAGGGATTATTTGTTTCCCTTGGCCACTCCCTCCAAGAACCCAAGCAAAAAGGCCTTATTTTTGGGAGATGAAACGCGGTTTGTGTTAGCATGCACACCAGTATCAGAAGGTGTGCCACGCCGAGAAATGGAATCCCCGCTACTAGGGCGATGGCGAGATGACATCGGGCTCACTACGCCTGAGAATGCAGGTTGGTGTCCGCTCACAACCCGGGATTCAAGCTGCGCCAGAGAAACAGGAGACGGAGAAGTAGGTGCCTTGCTGAATAGAGACAATAGGGTTTCCTTCTGCTCGACTGTCTGGCTTGGGCGTCGGTCAAAGTTGCCCTGCGGTGCCAAGCCTTGTGCGTTAGGTTGGACCTCTGCCAAGCTAGGTTTGCGCTCAACAGGAGGCTGAGGAGCTGCTGCCATCAAACCTTCGTAGCCCGTCTTGTCGGAGCGACGTAAAATCTGTGGCTGGAAAGTTTTGATAGGCTCGGGGGCCGCAATAAAAGTTTCCTTGGGTGGACGCGAAACCTGTGGTTGTGCAACAGGTCCTGAGGAAGGTGCCTCCCGTTTAGCAGACTGAGGTCGGGAGAGAATGGTAATAGGGGAAGAAAGCTGCTGCGGCTGAGGTTGCTCTCGTCGGTTTGCATGGCTCTTGCGATTTGGTCCATTATTCATCTTCTTATTTGTCGATTTGGCAAGAGTGTCAAGTTGCGACATGTTCAAAGGTCCAGAAACGGTTGCAGATGTTTGCCCAGCCGCTGGTTGACCCCTAGTCTGACCAATCGCGGGGTTGGCGGGTTGATAATTCTGATACCGTGGACGTTGGGGAACCTGCTTGTCTGAGGGGCCCGGAGAAGGTACAACAGGATTGCCTAATAACTCGGCTGGCCCAGCGGCAGAAACAGGTCGAGGACCTTTGAGCAGATTCAACAGACTATCCTGGTGTTGCGACGTCTTGCGCACGTGAGAAGAGGGCTGTGTAGGTGCAGCTAGTGTTGCTGCTCCCGATCCTTTAGGGGTCTTGGAAGCCTCATCCTTAAAGACGTTCAAAAGCGCTAGCGAATGAGTTGTGAGCTTAGGTGGAGGCAATTTGCTAGCTGGAGGAACCGCTGGACCTTGGCTCCGAGATGGTTGTGCAGACTCGGAGAATTGAGGGTCTCCAGTTTGCTGGAACGGTGCAGGCATATGGCTCTGCAGAGGGTAATCCCGAGTTGGTAGCTGTTGTCCTTGGTGCTGATACTCCGGCACAGAAGCCGGTGGAAAGTGGGTAACGGGAGGAGGGGCATGATATGCTGGTCGCGGCATTACAGGGAACACATTGCCCTGAGAAGGATGAGGTTGGTGATGATGTTGAGATGGGTGGGTGTGGAAGGGTGCAGGCGGTTGCTGCATGAAAGGAGAGGGTCCCATATTATGCTGCTGCAGGGGGAACCCAGGGAAGAAATTTGGGCCCATGTGAGGCCGCTGATCTGCAGATTCAAGAGTTGGATTGGCTCCATTAGGTGGCATGACATCCTTGTGAGGGACCTGCGAGAACTCCGCTGGAGAACCACCTTTCAACAAAGCAAGTAGCGCGTTTGATTTAGATGGGTCGACAGCGGAGGCTTGGGCCGGCTCAAGACCTGCAATCTGAACTTGCGCCGGTGCTGCACCGATTTTCAACAGACGTTTCAGGTGGAACGAGGCATCTTGCGCAGAAGCAACTTCCGGAAGATCATTGGAGATAGCCATTTCCGCAAGAGAAACCCCTGGGGTTCCATTAGCGAGACCATTTTCGTCCAGGGAAGTATAGCCCTCAGCCATTGCGTTCTGCTTTGTGCCCGCCTGGGATTTAGCGCCAATCTTCTTCTGTTGAGCAATCCATTTCTTGAGCGGGTGTAGGAAAGGCGCGACCATGTAGAACTTGTTTGCATTCGCGACTGCGAATCCTTCATCGTGGTTTTTGCTCTTCTTCAACGTCGGCAGCTCCGAAAGCTTGTACCATTCAATCTTACTGATTTCCTTTCGGGTACGGGGCTCGAAGTGGGTGTCACGGGGCGCGCCTCGGAAAACGTAGAGTCGCATGTGCTGTTCTCGCATTGTGATCTCGATGAACTTGACATCATCTTCGTCCTTGACCAGATTGGCCTCGCGAACATCAAATCCAGTCTCTTCGTAAACTTCACGAATGGCACAATCCAGGTCCTTCTCGCCTTTGTTGATTTTACCGCGGGGGAAACTCCAATTGGCGCCCTTCTTCCAGCCTTTGACCAGAACGACCTCATCCATATCTTCATTTAACATGATCGCACCCCGAACCGGTACGCGGGTTTTGTAATGGAGAAACTCCGAGAAGGCAGCCATGTGGTGATAATGAGACCATTGTGACATGAGCGGGCAATGCTGGAAAATGCGCATCGCGAACGTCTTCAGATTTAGCGACGGCAAAGCTGGATCAAGCGGCCGGATAAAGTCCTCGTAGAACCATTGTGCCTCCTCCACTTGGAAACAAATACGCTCGACAGACTCCAGCTCCTCGCGTGGCAGATTAATGATGAACCGAACACACAGGTCATCCAGCCCTGTTCACAATCGCCCCGCGGGCCTCTGTCAGTGGCCTGTCGTCATTGAAGTTGACCAGAAATCACTTACAATCTTCTAATTGCATCTTTGATTCTGTCATAGTGATGAATAGACTTTGGCATTTCAGCACACCAATGACTGATAATCAACTGCTCACTCTGCTCGACTGCGCAAACGGCCGAAACAAGCAAGCGATAACGGTGACAGCTTCCAGGAAGGGTGGACCAACCCAGGGCTGTGTTGCTGTGGCGAGTTAACCGGGGTCAAGATAGTAGCAAAGAAAGGTTTGTTGAGAGAGAGGGTGTCAGTGTTCCGATCGAATCAGAGAAAAGGAGGGTAAAACGAGACGTTGGGAAACAGCGCAAAGCAGCGTGGCCGGGAGCTGCCCAAGTGATGATCGGGTGACTAATGGTGTGGCGGTGCAGGATCTGAGCGCCACAAGTGGCTGGCCGGCTTTCCAAGATTTGGGCAATGACGTGTGACCCTGGAAAACAGTTGATCGACCTGGGTCGTCATTCCTATATTAATCCCTTTCGATTGCAGTTTCAGGAGTCGCTCTTCTCTCAACCACTTGCACGCGCCCTTTGTATCCCTACTCAAAATAACTGAGACGAAGCGCCTACCGAAACCCCTGTCCCTCTCCTAGAGCCAAGAAGGGTTTAGGGTCTTGGATCAAAGACTATACACATAGTCTATATTTGTTACCCTTGCTCGAGATTCCTCTATTTCTTCAGCCATCTGTCTGGCAAATCTTCCACTCCAACAGACCTTCATATCGCCTCCGAGGAATACGTGATCAATACCAAACATGTCGAAAGCGCTAGTGTCTATGGTTGGGAAGAGGGTCCTAGGTGAAAGTGCGAAAAACCACTTTGGAACTGAGGTGAGTTTACTTTTTCTTATGAAGATGTTGATTTTTTCCATGAGCCTGAACTGACCCAGCCATTTCTATCTAGGACCCGTACTTTGAAGAAGTTCCCGCTTCACGTCTTGGTCGTACCTTCGGAAAGAAGACCCAGAAGCGTCGCAAGGCCATACCACCGGGCCTTTCAGAGAATGACGTCAAAATATTGACCAAGGTGAAGCGCAGAGCTTACCAACTGGACTATTCTCTCTTCAACTTGTGCGGAATTCAGTTCGGTTGGGGAAGTGTGATTGGACTTGTTCCCTTGTAAGTCCCGCCAACAGATGTAGCTCCACGAAACAAATGCTGACAATATATGGCGTGCAGTGTCGGTGACGCTGGAGATGCCGCGCTCGCAATGATGGTTGTGAGAACCTGCGAAGGAGTTGACGGCGGACTTCCCGCTGCCCTTCGCATGAAGATGGTGATCAATGTGATAATCGACTTCGTCATTGGCCTTGTTCCTTTCATCGGTGATCTTGCAGATGCAGTGTACAAAGCCAACACCAGAAACGCCGTGATTCTTGAAACCCATCTGCGCGAAAAGGGTGCCAAGACACTTTCGAAGCAAACCAGAAGACAGGAGCAAACAGCCGCAATTGACCATAGTCTCCCCGATGCATTTGATAAACAAGAAAGTGGCGTTGTCGGAGACAGTCCCCCAGACTATGAATATGCCCACCCGTCGACTCGTGACGCTCAGGGTCCAACCAGGCCCCAGCCTGCCAAACAGTCCCGGAACAACCGTTCCTTTGGCAGGTGGTTCGGCGGAGCAAGTCACCCAGAAGAGGACTTGGAGCGAGGTCGTTCCTAATTAATGCAATGTTGAGATGACTTTTCAAATACCCCATGAGTGTTGACCAGTGATTTGGATGGAGCGTTCTTTTGTCTTCTTTTGGTATGTGTTATTTTCCATAGTCCCATTTAGTCATAAATGCAGGTTCTTTTCAGCAGAGTGCCCCAGGGCGAGATCGCATACACCCGTAACAGAATTGCGAACTTTGGCAATCCTCTGCTTGACCGGCAACAGTAACACCGACATTGCCCTTAACATTTCCCAGGAGACCACCACAGAGAGTACAGGAAGGCGCATTTTGGGTGTCAGATGGATCCAGTTTGTTGGCTGTTCTAGCCACGTTCGCCATGACACCAGGGTACTTTGCACCCTGGTTCTCGACGTACCTCATCATCAGTTCGTCAATGGAAAGGTTCTTGGTTAGAACATTATCAGAGGCTGGCTCGTCAGGAACGATGATCTCAGAAAGCTCTGGAGTGAAACGCGCATAGTCCAGCAACTCGGCCTTGTAAAGATCTCGGAGCGGGTATTGGAACTTCACTCCCCATGGAGACATGCCATCTGATACCTGCCAAGTGAGAGAAGCTCCACGTCCCTTGGCAACACCCGCAAGTGCTTTGGCAGCGAGACGGCTGTCTGAATCACCCCAAAGCACAGATGTGCATCCAGACTTCTTCGCAAGTTCAACGACGAGTCTAGTCAGCAAAACAGTCTCAACGTCTGTTTGGGAAGTAGCTGTGGAAATTGATGCACGGAATGCAGCCAGGCGCTCTTCATTCGACTTCGAGACGTCGTCCACAAAGTGGGCTCCTGCGTATTCTCGCATGATTTCATCGATTTCTGGCACATGCTCGAAGATACTGTGAAATGGTATCCGGTTGATAGTGCGCATAGAGTTGTTCTTTCGAAGTACTTCATAGTTCTTGTCGCAAGGGGAACTGGCAGTAATTGTAGATGGCTCAACCACAAGTATATGAAGATCGTAGCCCATGGGAAGCTCATTGTCCAGGCGGCGTTGGAAGTCGACATTCAACATGTGCAGCAGGACCGACGAGGAAACACCGAATGACATGGGGAGGAGCAACTGGTGGCGGGCACCATTATTTTCTTTGCGGAACTTGTAGACGGTATTGATGTGCATATGGACTTTATGCATAATAAATCGTTTAAAGCAATGGCTGTCGAGAATTCGTTAGTATGGCTTGGAGGGGCTTGTTGATTCTAGATTGTCGCATACCGACAAAGCTGCTTCTGGCGAACCGAAAGCTCGGATTCAACCTCCTTGCATTCTGTGCATAGCTGATTCAGCTGCTTGACTGGCATAGTGAACTGTGTCTGAGATTAACGATTGTCTGAACTGGGCATCAAAAAAAGTTGGAAACCGAAAAGGTGGCGGTGCGGGCGGCTTAGATAATGACCACGCGCGGCTTCCCGGGGCCGTTTGGGACCATTGAGCATCGACGATCCCATCTCCTTAACCTCCCCTTTGCCTGTGCTGATAAACACCTTCAATCAGTCTGGGCCTTTGTCTTCATTTATAACTCGATTCACCAGGTGCTCTTTGCTCTTGAAACCCTCCCGAATCCCGGAGCCTAATCTAGCTTCACTCCACGGTCTCGATGAAGGGTTGGCTCCAGACCTTGGGCCTGACAGCCCTATTAGCAGGCCAAGCGCTTGCTAATGATGTTCAACTGGTAGGACTATCATTGATGAAGCTCTAGCTAATTGGTATATCACGGTTACTAATGGTGTCCTGAACAGAAATCCGACGATGCGAACCGCCAACGATGCTCAGGGATGTACAGTCGCAAAGCATGGGGAGGAAGTGTCGACCCTTTCATTTTGGTGAAATTTACCAAGTCTGAGTCTGCAGAGAGCGACCCCTTGGCCAGCTTGGTGATTTTTGAATGGAATGATGAGAACTTGATTGGGAGATACCGGTCCGATGATGCTGAGGTACGTTGCCCAAGTACATTTCGAAAAGCGGCGCATCTAATGTACGAGTCCAGATCAAAGAAACAATCTGCGATGCCTCGAACGTCGAAGCGAAAATCTGTACCGAAGACCAACTCGGCTCCTTTGTCCTCACCAGCAATGCCACGGACGTCTCACAAAACCCCATCATATCTAAAGCAATTCACCTGAACAACCCTGACGCCGTAAAATACCCGGTCCGAAAGACTGGATTCTACTGTGTGAGCACCTACGCCTATTCGGGAGAGGACTACGGAGCCGTGGTCACGTTCCGAAACTCATACGGCGAGCTCCCTGCCGCTCAGATCGCAAAGCTTCCCTTTTACGGAGCTTTGACCATCGTATACGCTGTTGTTGGAATGTATGTGATTGGTGATACTCGGTATTCAACCACCTGCTTACATCAAATCTTAGTTTCTGGGCTTTCCTTTATGTCCAAAACCGTTACGATATCCGTATGTTGAATTCGTCACTGCTGAAAGTTATAAGTGTTAACACCCAACAGTTCCCGTTCAAAACTATATCACCGCGATTATTGTGTTCTTGATCGTTGAGCAGCTGATGACTTGGGGATTCTACGGTAGGAAATCAGTAATGATCTACATTTACTTCCGGATCTAATGTCTTTAGAATTCCAAAACCGACATGGTTTGAATGGTGGTGCCAAAGCTTTCATGATCATAGTTGCGATCTTGAATGCAGGCAGAAACGCCTTCTCCTTCTTCCTCTTGCTCATCGTCTGCATGGGCTATGGTGTTGTCAAGCATTCGTTGGGCCGGACGATGATCTATGTTCGTATTTTGGCTATTGCTCACTTCGTTTTCGCTGTTGTCTACTCCGTTGCCAGCCTTACAATCACTCCTGATAGCGCCGGTCCCTTCGTGCTTCTCATTGTTCTCCCACTCGCCGGAACCTTGACGGCGTTCTACGTGTGGACCTTGAACTCACTCAACGCCACTATGAAGGATCTCATCGACCGAAAGCAGAAGACCAAGGCAATGATGTACAAGAAGCTTTGGTGGTGTATCCTGGGTAGCATCATTGTGATCTTCGGATTCTTCTTCATCAATTCGTTCGCGATGGCTGGAAGCAGCGATGCTAGCTTTGTGCCCGAGCACTGGAAGGCCAGATGGTTTGTCCTGGACGGCTGGCTCAACTTGGTTTACCTGTTCGACATCTGCTTCGTTGCTTATCTGTGGCGCCCAACTGCCAACAACCGCCGCTTTGCCATGTCTGATGAGGTATGCTCTCCTCTGCTGAAACTGATTTTGGGGTGTGGTACTAACAATTCTTATAGCTCGCGCAAGACGACGATGGATTTGAGATCCGATCATTTGGCAGTGGTTTGGATGAGGAGGATGCATATGATGCTCCTCCAGACTACCCCGGCAGCTCAGCTGCCGAGGCCCGCCGTGACTTGTCACCTATTCCTCCCAAGCCCGTTTCGTCGGCGCCTCGCCACCGTGAGTCTCTAGACGAAGAGACGATATTCGCAGTAGGTGAAGAAGATGGCGATAAGTGGTCCGACGACGAGTCCCCTCGCAACTCCGGCGAGAGAGAAAGACTCACCGGCAAAAAAGATTAAACTCAATATCGGCTAATGTTTTCTATTTGGACGTTGTTGCTGGTGGATGCGAAAACCAGATCGCACATCTGGCAAATTGGGTTGTCACTCTGCTTAGGCAATGTTCAACCCAACTCCGGGATGAAGATGCAAGCATATCATGGCGTTAGTTTCTTTTCTCCACTTGTGTCGAATACCTGTTTCTCCTGGTTTTTCTTTTTGTTACATTATGTGGGTAGTTTAGCAATTTGCCCAATGACGGTTCTCCAGTACAGCCTGAAGATTTCCATGCAATAGACGTAACTTTTTGATCAGTGATAATAGCTTCCTGGAGTAATTGACATGATGTAACAATCTGCCGCAAATATAAAGAAGGCCATGGAACTTTCCAGGAGTTAGTAAAACTCGATTGAGTCATCCAGAGCCTCATCTTAATCTTACTATAACGTTATCCCAAGCGGCAGCGGAGCCGCACTTGATCCTCCGCCCCGACACTTCCAACTCTCCGAACCCAAACACCACGCACGACCCAACGCGTTCTACGTATGCTGTCTGTTACCAGCCCATCACCAATCCCTGCATACACCACAGCCTCATCTGATAAGAAAATTTTCTCGAAACTACCCCGCACCGCCATAAATCACAAGCACAACCTCGAGTCAAGCAAGACCTATACCACCAATCCATACCATACATCCACAGTCATTACAGAGAAATCTATCAAGTGATCAAGTCGATATCCAAACCAGATAATCACAAACATAAAGACCTATTCCACCAACAATGCCACCAGAACCACCACTCAACACCAACCTGGAAGACCAAAGAACTGGAGAAACAAGCGCAGCCCTCTCCGCAGACCTAAAAGCAAGCTGTTTAAAGCTTCGCTCGGAAATAGATACCTACCAATCGCTGCTTGCATCTACCCTCCGCAATCCACAGCTTGTGGAGGCACGACAATTCAGATCAAATGTCAATTCCGAATTGAAGATGTTGGAGAAATTGGAGAGACAGATGAAAAGCGCTGCCAGTGTGCAAAATGAGGTAGAAGGGGAACATGAAGAAGAAGGCGACTTCGAATTGGAGAAGAGACTATTGCATGCATTGCGCTCTTCCAATTTACCGTTTTATCAATCTGTTTGGGATATTGCGAAAGGGACTTGTTCTGGTTTAACTGCACTTGGGAAGCGGTTTTACTGGGACGAGGAGCAACAGTCGCAGTCTAAACCTAAACTCGGGAAGAATAAGGACACGGAGAAGAGTGATGGTGTTGGGCAAGGTGAGAAGCAGCCTAACAAGGATAAGCGCAATAGTGTGTTTGTGGATATCGTTTCTGACGATGGGGCTGAATGGGTGAAAGTTTCTACGGTCACGCAGGATCGGCTGTTATTTGAAATGGCGAAAAATTGTTGGCAATGGGAGCCTGATTCGGATGATGAAGAGGAGAACGGGGACGCCATGAAGCATATTAGGGTTGAGGGTCGGATGCTTCCTATGAATCGGAGAACGCGCAACATGTATGGAGACGACGGAGATGATAAGATGGAACTTATTCGGTTGGCTGTTGATCTACGGAAAGCGGCTGATGTTACGTTGGTTGGGTATAAGCATCCTCGGATTCGGATTGTTTTGCCTCGGATTGAACAGGGGAATGTTGATGAGATTGATGATATTATTGAAGAGATGCGCAGTTGGGGTATGGAGGTTGATTGCAAGAAAAGCCTCAAGTTGACAACTCGCTCTGGGCTGGAACACCTTCTTCCTCATCCGTTCAAAACGTTCACTTCCACCTTGAATGTTGATTGCACTCTCCTCCTTGCCATGGTATCTGATTTGTCGCACTTCAAAGAAATTCCGCCAGAACCCTATTTCCACCGGGCCATCCTTCGACAAATTGAGATCGAAAAACAAAAGCCACTGCTTTCAACAGAGCTGTGGCCTGCTATGAGTGGTCACAAGCTTGTTTGCACGAAAGAGGCTGCTGGGCGGATGCGAGAAATTGTCAAAATCATCGGCACTGAAACAGAAAATATCCGCACTCAAATCATGATGGGAGATTCTCCGTATGGGCAACTTGATCAAGCTGCTATGCTTCAAAAGTTCCAGGAATTATCCGACTATGAGGTTCCCAAAGATTGGAATCTTCCCATCAGTGTGGTTGATGCCCAATCAACCTTCGATTCAAATAACAAAAAAGACAACATTCCTCGAGTGCACCAGGAACTTGCGAAGGAATTGTCGGACATCAATTACAGTGTGTTCATGTATGGCTGGCTCAACGATTTGACGACAATTTCCAGCAATCGGACAATCAACAAACAAATCGAAACAACTGTCGAGAGGCACAGAAATGGGAATCCTTCTTTAGAAGGGCCCAAGGTATGGATCTGTGACACAGCACGGAGTTTGGTGGGCAAAGAGAAAGATCGAAAAGCATAGTCATAGAGGTCCGCTTTTGAGAGATTAGAAGGCATAATAGATATACCATAGATCCTGAAAAGCTCGCCAATTCACTGATGTTCTTGGGTGGTCTTTCCGTGACTGATCTTCTTGTGAGAGACATTTCAATGATTGATATTAGTGGCAATTATTGGGATCTGGGCCTTGCTTCATCAGTAGAGAAAGCTGCACTTTACTTCTCTGATTCTGCGGGTGCCCAGAAAATGACTTCCTTGTCGGCAGAAGCAAGCATGTTGTATCGCGGGTTGAATTCAATAAGGCTGGCTCTGTGTCGGTATGGCAGCTTGGTAGTGGGCTCCAATGTTCCATTTGGCTCGGCTGGCTGCTGCATGTCCCACACAAGCAGGTCGCCATGTTCGCCATTGCACCCAACGACATAGCGCCCGTCAGGAGTGAAGCATGCATCTCCCTGGCCGAGTGGTTTTCCGGAAACTGAAATTGGTGCAGCACGACCAGAAGATCCACTCTTGCCGATCAGGAAGCTCTTGATCTCACCAGAAAAGGCATCGAGGATATAGTGACCATGGAAGTCCGTTCCAAGCATCAAGAATTTTCCATCATTCGAAAACTCCAATCTGGTCCAGCCTCGTCCGCGAGTCGTCGGTGTAAATTTCTCTTCAAAGGGCCCAAGGTCAAAGGTGGCAAAGGGGGCTTTGTCGAAGTTGCGGAAATCGTAAAGAATTACTGAAGACGTGGATTGGGAGGCAATTGCAATGACCGAGGCTGAAGGGTCAAAAGCTGATAAGTATGGAGTCGCCAATTTCAATTTGCCCTGGGGGTTTCGAGAATTGAGATCCCAGATCACCACTGTATCATCTTTGGAGCAAGATATGAAAGCGTCACTGCCTGGACAAAGACTGAGGGAGGTGACTTTGTCGGTATGTCCAGCGAAATAGCGAATATACCCCTCATTATGTGTATCAAGCAACCGAAGAGAGTCTGTAAAAGGTGAGCCGCGCTACATGGGTCAAAGCAGGATCGTCGATCCACGCACCATCAACTTTAGTACTCGCATGAAGGATCTGGCGAGAATGATGGGTAAATCTCGCGAGGTGAACGCCATATTTCTTGCTGGCCACCGTTTTGCTATGCTTGCCTTCTTTAATATCAAAGAGGTGTATAGCCTCATCATCGCCAGCACTGACTAGATGCTCGCCCTGGTCGTCGAAATCCAAAGATGTAACGAATTTGTTCCCGACTTCTTTCTTGGTAGTGTTGAAACCCTGTAAATAGCACTGTCAGAATGGTCGCCACCTGCGCAAGCGTCCGGCTACACGTACCTTCATAGGGCGGAAAGATCGAATGATATCCGAGACCTTCTGGAACTGGAGGGGAGCTTGGGCAGAGGCCAGGCCCTGCTGGGGAGTTGACGCTTGACCATCAGCCATCGCGAAAGACGAAATAGGAACGGGAAAGGGAGACGAGGTGGATGAAGAACGGTAAGAAAGGTAAACAAAAACAGAACTTGGGCTTAACACATCATCATAGCTCCTTCTCCAACTGAGCTCCAAACGCGCCTGCTTTTTTGGGGCCTCACCGCCCTGCTTATGTAAAAGTCCGGGGCTGTCCCGAGGTCGGCCCTGCCAGGGGCCATTGACCAATCATCGGGTGGCAAACTTCAATTCGCCGCATGTAAGCTTTTATGCTCTTGACTTCTCCTACATCTGACGAAGATCTCATTGATATCCATAGACGGCATTGGTTTGGCCATTCAGAGCGGAACGTCTGCATATTTCCCGTCTCGAAGTCTTCTTCTCGCTGTGTTCGTGTCCTCTGCGGGTCCGATATCCCTCCGATAGCCGACACAAGCCTCCGCAACCCGATTCTCCTCCTCTTCCTCTCAACCCAACACTATGTCGACTACTGCAGGGTATGGGATCTCAGTATATCATGGGATTGTGTCTAGGGCATGCGCTGACCGGTATACTGGCATAGAGCCTTCCTTGCAGGTGGTATCGCAGCATGCGGTGCTGTGACTGTCACTCACAGTTTCGAGACGGTGAAGATTCGGTGAGTTCCGAACCCCCACAAGGTGGATGCGCAGTTATTCTGATATGGATCATTGGATCAAAGATTACAATTACAGGGTGAATTGCAGACAAAAAACGAGGCCGTGAAGAAGTACAAGGGAGTGTTGCACGGCGTGAAGGTCATTCTGCAGAATGAAGGGCCTCGTGGCTTGTTCCGCGGTATTGGGTCTGCTGTATGTGGTCCTCCATGTAATGTCTTTTTGCGCAAGTACCCCGCTGACCTTATGGCCATCTAGTACGTCTACCAGGTGCTGCTGAATGGCTGCCGTCTGGGCTTTTACGAGCCCATCCGCTCAAACCTCACATCCACAATCTATAATGACCCCAAGGTTCAATCTCTCGGTGCCAATGTCTTTGCTGGAGCCGCTTCAGGTGTCATTGGTGCCGCTGCAGGATCGCCCTTCTTTCTCGTGAAAACCCGTCTCCAATCCTACTCGCCCTTCCTTCCTGTCGGCACCCAGCACAACTACAAGAACTCGTACGATGGTCTGAGCAAGATCTATAAGAGTGAAGGTGTCAAGGGTATCTATCGTGGTGTTGGTGCAGCTATGATCCGTACTAGTTTTGGTAGTGCCGTCCAGCTCCCCACATACTTCTTTGCCAAGCGTCGCTTGACCCGCCATCTGGGTATGGAGGAAGGTCCTGCTCTGCACCTGGCTAGTTCTGCCGCTTCTGGCTTCGTTGTTTGCTGCTTCATGCATCCTCCTGGTTCGTGCCTTCCTGGCTGAGTTGTATTGGTCTCAAGCTAACTGTTATAGACACTATCATGGCTCGCATGTACAACCAGACTGGTAACCTGTATGGTGGTGTTTTCGACTGCCTGTTCAAGACGATCCGCACCGAGGGTGTCCTTGCCATCTATAAGGGCTTCTTCGCTCACCTGGCCCGGATTCTGCCCCACACCGTAAGTGCTGCAGCCTAGACTTGCATTGTGATGTGCATGCTAACTCCATCCCTAGATCTTGACTCTCAGTCTGGCAGAGCAGACCAACAAGTTAATGCGCCGTGTTGAAGATCGGATTCTCCCTGACTCTTTCCGCGAGGGAATTTAAAGGAAACATGATGGTTTCTCAATGTCATATTGCATGTTTTTGTTTCATAGACTTGGCGTCAAGTATCTTGACTCGGGCTTTAGAGGAGTCTGTATATAACGTTATCATATCCAGGATTGTCAACAAATGCAGATCAACACGTGATAGACAAGTATGTGGGGGTTGCTAGTGCACCGAACCTCAAACTCGGCTGGCAGGTGGACCTGGGCGCGAGCAACTTGCAAGGGACTTCTCGCCACATTGCATAAATAAGGGGGAGAGTTTGTCGATTGGTATTTTCGTATGGCAATTGAAACACGGCCGAAAAATATGATTCCATGCCCAGCCTCGGGAATAAATCGCTAGATGACTTAACTTATACTATAATTTGAGACAGCTGCCTTGGACACGCGGGCTAGCTTGATCGGCGCTGTTTCCAAGGCGCGTGTAGATCCACTCCTAGAAAGTTCTGTTCTGTATGGGGTAAAAACTCCTGCATTCCTTTGATTTGACAGAGACTGCCACATGTGAAAGACGACATTCTCGCTCCCTAGCTTAATAGTGAAGTGATCTGTATACTGTAGAAACGATAAGTGGTAAAGTCTGCATATAGCTACCCAGGTAACTAGACGCGTGGGGAGCTTAGCTACAGCTGACACACCCTTACACAATCTCCCTTGAGACCTCTCAAAAGCCAAATTGAGTCCACTGGACGAATAACGTCCGATCTCTGACTCTAGACCGCTGCTTACATCCGTAAAGCCGCGTTGTTGTCTTCGTCGCGTCGCGTTTTTTGTGGGTTTCGAGTTATCTGATCAAGAGTGGAGACAATTACGTCGAGCTGAAAGATTGCCCAGGCGCCAGGAAGACGCGTCGGACCCAGTTTCTTTCTGTTCTATGTTGGTATTACGTTGGCGTTTTTGATCCCTGAGCGTGACAGTATACGATGTATGTTTGTCGAGACTCCTTAACTTGATGAATCTGATGAATGTTCGAGAAACCTTGGAAGATATTAAGTTGAGATAAGATCAGGTACGATGGAGCATGCAGGGGCTTGGAATGCAGCCGATCCTGTCGGATGTTGCTGGGATCCAAGTGGCATGAGAAGTTCGTCCCGAACGGGAAAAGAAGGGCTGGGGCGACGCGCTTTGGGGCGGTGACTAAGCCGGCGCGCGATCACGTGCGACGTGACTTAGCCCGTCTCTAGCGCGATTTCTCGCCAGTACTTAATCGAGATTATTTTCCCTCGCTGAATCCCGATCTGCTTCCCCATCCCACTTCGCAAGCTCTTGTCCCTTCATACTTGCTGCAATTGTCTTCGAGAACTGTCTTTTGATCCTAGTTATCTCACATCCTCGTCCCAATGGCCGCTCAAGTCACTCCCTCCAAGCAGGTTCGTGATGTCACGCTATCGCCTCTCGCGCCAGACGCGTCCAACACGACCGTGATGCTAACCTATCTGCTTTCTTAGGCTGCTTCCTCCCTCGAGAACCTCAAGATGAGCGACTCTCCCGTTAAGAAGCTCGACTTCCAGTCCGTTGGCAAGGAGAACGTGGCTGGCAAGCCCGTCGACGCGTCCTTCGCCAAGCCCACCGAGAAGGCCGTTGAGGTTCCCAAAGCTACCCCTACTATGAAGGAGCTTGAGGCTTCCGAGCCCCTCCTCCAGGAGAACCCCCAGCGCTTCGTCATGTTCCCTATCAAGTACCACGAGGTAAGTCACGTCGCCGACGCGTCCGACGCGTTAAGTGGATAATGGATTGAAGAAGACTTGAGGCTAACGATGTCTATTTAAACAGATCTGGCAAATGTACAAGAAGGCCGAGGCCTCATTCTGGACCGCTGAGGAGATTGATCTGTCCAAGGATCTCCACGACTGGCACAACCGTCTCAACGATGATGAGCGTTACTTCATCTCCCACGTCCTTGCCTTCTTCGCTGCCTCTGACGGTATTGTCAACGAGAACCTGCTCGAGCGTTTCAGCGGAGAGGTCCAGGTCCCCGAGGCTCGCTGCTTCTACGGTTTCCAAATCATGATGGAGAACATCCACTCCGAGACCTACTCTCTCCTCATTGATACCTATATCAAGGAGCCCAAGCAGCGCACCTACCTCTTCGATGCCATTAACACTAGTAAGCTTCACTCACTTTCTCTTGCGTGAACTCTCAACTGACCATCATCTAGTTCCCTGCATTACTAAGAAGGCTGAGTGGGCTATCCGCTGGATCAACGACAAGGAGTCCACCTTCGCTTCTCGCCTTGTTGCCTTCGCCGCTGTCGAAGGTATCTTCTTCTCTGGATCGTTCGCTTCCATCTTCTGGCTCAAGAAGCGTGGCCTCATGCCCGGTCTCACTTTCTCCAACGAGCTCATCTCCCGTGACGAGGGTCTCCACACTGACTTTGCTTGTCTCCTCTTCTCCCACCTCAACCATCGCCCCGACCCCAAGCTTGTCCAGGACATCATTGTTGAGGCTGTCGGTATCGAGCAGGAGTTCCTCTCCGACTCTCTTCCCTGTGCCTTGCTCGGCATGAACGCCAAGCTCATGTGCCAGTACATTGAGTTCGTTGCTGACCGTCTCTTGGTCGCTCTTGGCAACAAGAAGTACTACAACTCTACCAACCCCTTCGACTTCATGGAGTCCATCTCCTTGGCTGGTAAGACCAACTTCTTCGAGAAGCGTGTCGGTGACTACCAGAAGGCTGGTGTCATGGCCAGCACCAAGAAGGATACCAATGCCGATGGTCAGCAGGTTGTCAGTGATGGCCTCAACTTTGATGAGGACTTCTAAATGATTTCCTTTGACCTCCCCCTTCCCCTCCTCTCCTCGTGTTTTATACCCTCTCCCCACATGATATCACGTTTTTTGTTTTTTTATTTTCATTGATTGACGGTTTGGCATGGGCTGGCGTTTTATTTGCTCTTCTTGTCTATCAGTGGGTAGTGGATCCTGTGTATCTAGATGTCCGAATCACTTGTTTGTCTTGGTTTTAAATCCTGTCTACTCGGTATATGTGTAGATCCAGCGATCTATTGACGTGCTATTTAATTCAAAACTCAACCTGCTGGCTTCTCTCCTTTTACTCTCTGTACGTAGCTCAGACACTTGCAAGAAACACATAATATCATTCCGGATATCAAACAACCACCTTCATAAAACACACATCTATGCAAGAAACCCTCTTAAACAAGAAAGAGACCATAAGAACAGAACACAATAATATTAATTTATCGCTTTCCCTTACCACCCTTCTTCTTCCCCTTCCCACCAGCCTGGCCCTGACCTTGCGCCTGGGCAGGTCCCTTCCCAGACCCAGCCTCCTCAACAGGCGCAGACGCAGGAGCATCAACCATCTCCACATCGCCCACCGGAGCAGCATTGCCTAAGCCCAGCCCGGCAACATCAGCACCCGCAGCTAGCTTTCCGAGGCTTATAATTAGCCGCGAAACCTCCTGTGCCTTGTTCGTGCGGTATTGGATGCAGATTCCTGTGCCGGGGTTGAATGTTTTCACGGTGAGGGTTGCAATGGGGGCGGATGTTGCGCTTGCGGATGCTTGTGTTGTGGCATTGGCGTCTTTGCTGTTCTTTTTGGCCTGCGATTTTTCAATTCGCTTTGCGTTTCCGGGTCGTGTGGTTGGGAAGTTGTATTTTGTTGTTATGCGGGTCTGTTTTTGATTTCGGGATTAGCTTGAGTTCTTTGGCCATTTTCTTCTTGTTGTCAATTTCTTGATTGGTGTTGTGTTTCGAATGGGCCGTGGAGTTTGGGTTGGCGTTGAGAATGCGGGCAGCGGTTGCGGGTCGGTGTGTCTGCTCTCCCCGCGGGAGAATTGAATCGACGGCTGGATCGGGGAGTGGGCGAAGTTGGGATGAGCTTACAGTTTCTGGGTACGCTTGTAATAACTGCGCGGACTGTTCCAGGTAGGCCTGGGAGGTAGGAAGGTAGGGCATTTTGCGGGTTGTGGCGAGGGTGTCTTGGGGTTTGGGGTTTGGGGTTTTGATGAAGACGTGTGTGGGATACGGTGGGATGCGGAGTGGCTGAGATGGTGAATTCTTCAGTAGAAACGAATCCAATCCGGGAGTTGCAGGTTGATCTCGTGCTGAGTGCTTCGAGTTGGTTCAAGTGTGGAGGTGTTAACGTTATGTGCTGGCGGCTTTTTCCATGTCTTGGCATCCTCTACTCATCTCGTGATGGGGAAAATCTATAACCTCGAGATATTACTTCGGACTATGCTTGGGTTTTTTTCTATTAACTTAAATTAGATGTCTACACGTGGCTACCTGTCCTTACTGTACGCCACTCTATGATCCGAAGTTGGCCTTCGTCGAGAAAGGCACACACATTTCATCCATATACGTTCTAGCTGAAGATACTGTCTCCTTGGTCTTTAATCTCCTTTGCAATTCAATACCTCACACTTAATACTCGGTCATTCATCGCTCTGAACCTCAAACATATCACAAACGATTTTTTGACAATGTCAAAGTGGAAGTGCAACAGGTAAGATAGAAGATCAAATTCACCAAGAAGGCCCGTGACTGGAGGATTTAGAAAGCAACGAAGATTGTGGTGGCCATTCCGATGCTAAGCCCCTTCAACGTCGTCAAGGCATGCAATGGGTGGCACATAGACAGGTATTCCCAAGAAGAAGCAATCAAACGCAGTCCAGTCAAGCAGAATAGATAAATGGCATTCGATTTTGGTTGAGTTCAGCAGCAGGGACCTTCATTGGAACAGGAATTGTGTCTTGGAATAGGTCCACCGGAAGAGGAGCAGGAGGATCATCGTTGTCGGTAGAAGTTTCTGGTGCCTTTCCCTTTGCTTTATCCTTCTCTGTCTCTTCTGGTTTGACATTTGGAGCAGTGCTCTTGTTAATGACTGGGACAATCACACCACATTCCCAATTGCGACAGTTCATCTTGAAATCTTTGGTCCGGGGATCTTTGGTCAAACGACCCCTAATATGTATTAGCGGAGTTCACAAGCGCAACTATATCCCGGATATGGAAGTGTGATACGCACCAAGCACTCTCTGACAAGTTGGCACTTCCCACGTAAGCCCATCCGCGGCATTCATGGTCTTCCGGCAGAGGGATTGGCTTGGAAGGATGAACAAAGGCAAGCTATGTATTACCCCATATTAGTGCACGAGGCCACCCTAAGGTTGGACTTGTAGCTTACCTTGTTATGCATAAGAGCCCCCCTCAAGCTCTCACAATCTTTGAGAGAGCTCCGAGGGAAATCAGGGTTCTTCCACCACTTGGAATTAAAGCAAATCGTGCCGGCAGTATTATTGGGGTTCATGTGCGACGCGCGCACGGTCTGGTCAGAGGGGAAATAGATGCGAAAGTGGTCCAGGACCTCTTTATTGATTTTCTTCACGAGCTTCTCGTGAGCTGCGGCGTGCTGTCGGTTGGGCGCTGTTCGGTAAGTATAGTCCAGTACACCGTCCTCGCCTATTATTTCTTGTTAGACTGTATACTGGCTATTGTATGGACAGACGTGCCTTTGCATGCGAGGTAGATTGATCGTAAAAAGCCAGTGTTGAGGCTTCCCATGGACGAGGTCTGGTGACTTAATTAAGCATTGGAATGTCGCAAACGTGATTCAGAAATAGCTTACCACATAGTCAATATTGATAGGCGAGGATGAGTTCAGTCCAAGTGTTTTCAGAGCACGACCTAGGCCGCAATGTCCCGTTCGTCGCCACGATTCTCCGGTGTTGGCTCCGCCACTTATCCTGTTAGTCAAGGAATTCTTTCAATGCCATCAAAAAGTACTTACATTGTATGAACAAATGCATACCGCGCCGTTTCGCTGAAATCGTACTCATCCAGCTTCTTGATTACGTTGCGGTGGATAGTGGTGGCCTCAAGGAAATACACCAGCTCATCATAGAACGGAGTCTTTGATTTCTGGATTGAGGTTCCGATTTTGGGCAGGTCGATAAGGAAAACAGTCTAATATGCGGTTAGAATCAAATAGATACTGCGGATATTGGTAACGCACGTTTTCCATCAAACTTTCCTTGCCCCAGTCGAAAGAGGTCAGGTTGGCAGTGGGAACTGCAATCCGGAGGTATCCGGTGTGGAAGAATAGCATGAGTTTCGAGTGCATGCAAAACACCTGCGGCCCCATCGGTGGGAAACATAGGCGAACATTCTTGATCTCTGCAGTCTCTGCGGTGTATTGGTCTCGCTGCAATGTTGTCAGTCTATATTAGCCCATCATGCTCTCTTATCCGAAATTCTGCCTTACCACAGATTGGTTGTCTGCCTGCATGACCAGCATAAATCTAGTCCTTTGGATATCAAGCTTGGTGAAAAGCCATTCCATGTCCCATAAAAATGAGCTGAAGATCGCAAGCTCTAGCTCACCGCGTTGAATGACCTCTTCAATGGTAATGTCATTTCCCTGGCGGGGAAATCCCTCAAGAACTGTTTTCTTTACTGCTCCTAGTGGCCACTGAATCATTGGGCGGGCAGTCGGCTGGATATCCAGACCCGGTGTATTGGCTGCAGTCTTGGGACAGACATATATGCGTTCTTTGGGAACAGCATTTGCTCTTGGGGCAGAAGTCGAACCTGACACAGGGGCCCGCCGAGATAAGTCCGGTGGGCGAACAGAAAAAGATTTTGCTGAGCTGGGCTCAGTTTTGAGAATTTTATGGGCTGGCTGGGTTTCCGGGGAGCCTGCGTTGTCGGCGGTCTTACGCTTAGCCAGACGAGCGAGGCGTTCTTGCTCCATCTTCTTTCGATCAATCCCAGCCAACCCCATTGGAATAGAGCTAGTTTGACGATTGATAGAGTTCATATCAGGATGCGTGACTTCAGAAGCCTTGTCTTCGGTTGCATTGTTCACCTCCAAGGACATGGCCAGAGCTCGTTGGAGCTCCTCATCGCCTTCATCCTCGTCTGAACCAGAACTGACCACGGACTTGGATTTTGGAAAATTCTGCACTATTTGCGAATCGTCGGAATCGGCAGTCAAGTCCACAAAATTGGATGCGTGGGACGATCTGCCGCGTTCACGAGAGAGCTCCATCTCTCGGCGAGAAGCCTCGATGGCAGCTCTCATCTCGTCATCTTCCAATTCACGCATCTGGACAGGATGCAGTGGAGTGACACGGTGGGATATGAGCAAAGATTGAGGAAGCAAAGAACAATGATAGAAGGAAAGCTCGATGTAGGCTCTCACGGCGGGATCAGAAAGGATGTATCCAACTATACATAAGCTGCGCGTGTAAACTCACTACAGCTTTGCAGTGGATAGAAAGGTGAATTGCGTGAAGGTCACTACTCCTCTCACATTTTACTGTCATAAACTCGCTGTCGCCGTGGAACCCCTGTTTGTCGACAGATGGTCACGTGTCTGGCCATGCCGCAATATCAATATACACTTTATCAGTTCCCACTACCTTTGACTTATAGCGTCCGGCTTATTTTGTCGTGGATGTTCTAATAGAAGGTTAGATATCTGACATTGTTTGGTTCATTGTGAAGCTAATATGGGGATCCAGCTATATCTAGTAAATGTGTCGCCTTTAGCAGAACCAGACGCTTGGATCTCGTTAAAGGTGTTCATTTTGACCGGCAGACGATCCAGTTCCTCTGGAAAAACCAATTTTTATGACTTTGTAACACGAGTCACCCAGATGGATAATGTCAAAAAGGGCCCAGCTGGGAGACCAAGACAAATTTCCGAATGCCAGGACCAGCGGAGCGGCGCAACAAATCATCCATGCGCAATTAGTCGATGTTTGTTCCCCGATATCAAGGGGTGGTAAATAGTGACCCTGGAGCCATTCAGTGGCCACAAGCCGTTCACGACATTCCATGGTCATCGGGATGTTTGGCTTATTATGCACCGCTGATGTATTGATGTTGCATATCCAATGACAGTGGATGCAATTCTCTCGTTTTTTTTTCATTCCACAAATGTAAGCTCGGTTCCCTATTGCAGAAGTAGGCATGTGATTTCCCGGTCTGTGGATTGTGGCTGTTTCTTCGTCTAGACACTTTTGAGGCCAAAATTTATATGCATTGCAAAACAAGATCGACAATAGCGAAGAATGCATCTCGGTCAGCAGTTTCTTTACCAAGTCCCAGGCCAACAACGAGCAGTCTGCTTTCGGTGGGTGTCTTCGTAGCAATGGCAGTTGCAATTTGACGAGCGAGGAGCTGGCCAGTGATGTCTTGTCCAGTCGAGTGGCCACCCAGTAATGTTGTCGAGGTCAAATTCTTAAATGGTAAGAGGTTATCCTCCCCTTCAGGCATAGTGTGCATACCCTCAGTACCAGGATTCAGATTCTCCATTGGTACATGTAGCTGTAAAATGTTTAGCAAAGCTCAGATCAATATCAGAAACAACGTACCCAATGTGCTAGTCGACCTCCCTGTGAGATTGTGACCATGACTTTATCGCTGAAGCTCATTGTCATGACATCTGTTTGGACCCCGTTTACCAACCCCGCAACCTGTTTTGTGGCCGCTGGGAAAGGTAGCACGAGGGATTCTTGCAAGGCGTTGATGTCAAATGAAGCAGCCATAATGCAGATGTTCCGCGGCAATTTCTATTATGCAAAATCAAAAGGTGATAGAGAGCGTTTTGTTCAACCGATGTCTATTGGCTTCGAAGGCGGTCAGTTGCTTCCCCACAGCTTATCGGGCAGTATTACACCGCCTCGATTTTTTTCCAGCAGCGAAGAACAATTGAATCGCAGATCTCGATTTTCAAGCGATTCTTTTTTTTCAGTCGTGGCTGTGGTAATTCAGTATGCCGCCCAAGTTTACGCCACGTCTGCGAAAGCAGAGGCACCGGCAAGCCCAGGCCAATGAGCAGGCCGACACCAACGCTGCACAGCTCGAACCCGTCTCCAAGGACGTGAAAGAGGCACGACGACAGAAGTTGCAGGAAGAATTACGGGATCAGCATACCCACGTGTCTGCAAAGAAACAAAAGCGTCTCGATAAGTACATTGTATGTGAGCCGCTCGCATTGGAAGAATAGCTCTAACATTCCACAGGAAAACAAACTTCGAAAGGAAGAGAACATTGAGTTGTTGAAGAAACTCGCCCAATCCTCAGTCGACACATCCTCCTTGCAAAGTTCCAGGGATCTGGGTAAGCGCAAGAGACAGGAAGACGAATCACTCCTACCGAAGCTTGGTCAAGCAGCGAAACGCGATACTCCCGCCGATCTCTCCGGAGATGAGACCGACGACTCAGATGTCCATCTGAAAGTATCCGATCCTGCGACAGATCCCGTGGTTGAATCAAAGACACAACCTGATGCTGCTCTTGGTAGTGGATTGAAGCGGCCACTTGAGCTTGGTCCCGATGGGTTCCCGGTACTCAAGAAGCGCAAGCGTGCGCCGAAGAAGAAGCCCGCACCTAAGCCTGTAACAGAGGCTGCATGGGAGGGCTTTGATTCCGATGAGGATGAGGACGAGGAGGACGAGGAGGAGGAAGATCTAAGCGACAAGGACGAGGCCGACTCCGACAGTGATATCGAGGGCTCTGACGAAGACGAAGAGGGTACTTCCTCCGAGGGTTCTCCAGACGATGAAGATGACTCTGAAGACGAAGAGGACGAGGATGAGGATGAGGATATGGATGATTCTGTAAAGATTCAACCTCGCCAGTCGGCCTTCAAGACATGGGCCGTTCAACAAATCAACGAAGTAGTAGGGTTCCAACCGAACAACGGCGAAGCCATCTCCCAGCAAGAGCAGGTATTCGACCCATCCAAATTGCCGCAAAAGGTCAATGAAGAGGAGCCTCTTCCCCGAGAGCTTCAAGTCACCCATGGCGACCCCAACCGCAAGGCATACAGTGTACCCGTGGAACGCTCAGAGGAGATTCAAGCTGCTCGTCTTGGTCTGCCTGTCGTTGGCGAGGAACAGAAGATCATGGAAGCTATCCACAACAATTCCACCGTTGTCATCTGGGGTGCCACTGGTAGCGGAAAGACAACCCAGCTTCCCCAGTTCCTCTTCGAGTCTGGATTCGGTAGTCCAGACAGCCCAAACCCCGGTCTGATTGGTGTCACGCAGCCTCGTCGAGTTGCCGCCGTGAGTATGGCAAACCGTGTGTCCCAGGAATTGGGTCAGCATGGCGACAAGGTCTCATATCAAATTCGATTTGAGAGTACAGCAAACAAGAAGACTGCTATAAAGTTTATGACTGACGGTATTTTGCTACGAGAGATTGCGGATGACTTTGCTCTCCGCAAATACTCCATTATCCTCATTGATGAGGCCCACGAGCGAAGCGTCAACACCGATATTCTGATCGGAATGGTCAGTCGTATCGTTGATCTACGCAAGTCATTGAGCGAGGAGGATCCGTCCGTCAAGCCTTTGAAGGTCGTCATCATGTCAGCTACCCTGCGTATCTCCGATTTCACCGACAACGCAAGTCTGTTCCGTCATGGAGCACCCCCCTTGGTTCAGGCCGAGGGTCGACAGTACCCTGTCTCCGTGCATTTCTCTCGCCGTACTCAGCGTGATTACGTTGAGGATGCGTTCCGCAAGGTATCCCGTGGACACCGCAAGCTGCCTCCTGGAGGAATGCTAGTGTTTTTAACTGGACAAAATGAGATTCGCCAGCTTTCCAAAAGGTTGAAGCAGACTTTCAAGCCAACACAGCGGGAAGACACTACGCAAGCTAGGGTGCAGCTCTCAGCCAATGAGGCGCCTCTGGAAGCTGAAGATCTGGAGCTGGGCGAGACAGAGATGGACAATGCCGGCGTCGACGATTATGACAGCGATATTGAAATCACAGGCCTGGATGATGAAGAAGAAGATGATGGCTTCGACCTCGGTGAAGATGCTATGGACTCTTCAACACGCGTCCACGTCTTGCCTCTCTACTCCCAACTCCCTACAAAGGAACAGATGAAGGTCTTCGAGGCGCCACCGGAGAACTCCCGTCTCATCATCCTCGCAACCAACGTTGCTGAAACCTCCCTGACCATCCCCGGTATTAAGTATGTCTTTGACTGTGGCCGTGCCAAAGAGAAGCAATTCGATCTGTTCACGGGTGTGCAGAGTTTCCAGATTGGCTGGATCAGCAAGGCCAGCGCAAACCAGCGAGCCGGTCGTGCCGGTCGAACAGGCCCAGGTCACTGCTACAGAATGTATTCATCTGCAGTATACGAAGGCGAGTTCGCCGAATATACCGACCCAGAGATCCTGCGCACTCCTATCGAAGGTGTCGTCCTTCAGATGAAGAGCATGGGTCTGCACAACGTCATCAACTTCCCCTTCCCAACACCCCCAAGCCGCCAGGGTCTCGCAAAGGCTGAAAAGCTTCTCAAGAACCTAGGCGCTCTCTCAGCCGACGGCCAAGTCACCCCAATCGGCCGCCGCCTCTCAACATACCCGCTTTCCCCACGGTTCAGTAAGATGCTCCATATCGGCCACCAACACGGCTGCATGCCCTACGTGATAGCTCTAGTGGCAGCCCTGGCAGTGGGCGACCTCTTCGTTCCACAAAATCAACTGGACCCGAACCCCCCAGTTGCTAAAAAGTCCAAAGCCGACGACTCCGACTCCGACTCTGACGTCGAAAAGAAACACATCTACACAAACGCAGACCGTCTTGAAGACACGGAACGCGAGCAGCGCACAAAAGCCCACGCCCGCGCCCACCGTCTCTTCTCCAAACACGATGACACATCCGACGCTCTCAAGGCCTTAAGCGCAATCTGCGCCTACGCCTACGCTGCAGACGGCGAAGCCTTCAGCGAGCAGATGTTCCTTCGCGGCAAGGCCTTCAAGGAAGCAACCCAGCTCCGCCGCCAACTGACAGATATTGTGCGCTCCAATAACCCAGGCCAAGTCCCCGAGTACAAAGCCCGTCTGCCAGAACCATCCGCCAAGCAAATCAAGGCACTCAAGCAAATTGTCACGGCTGGATTCATCGATCAAGTCGCTATCCGTGCTGATCTGGCACCCGTTCCGCCGGAGAACCAGCGTGCATCCCGTCGCGCCATTGACGTGCCGTATCTGACTCTGTTCCGCTCGCGTGATGGGAATGGACATCAGGAGCTAGCTGAGCGAGCTGTTTATGTGCATCCATCTTCTCTGCTGGCCAAGCTTTCGCCGAAGGAGATGCCCCAGTATATCATCTACTCGCATCTGCAGCAGTCGTCTGCGGCGTTGGTTACGGATTCCTTGCCGAAGATTCGCATGTTCCCGCTTGTTGTTCCGAGTGGACTTCAACTTGCTGCTATTGCACACGATACCCCGCTTATTGAGTATGGCAAGCCAATTGGCAAGGCTGATTCTATGGATGGCGTTCCACCTAGACGGTCTTGCTGGGTTGTTCCTTCGCTTGTTGGAGATTCCGGCAGTACGGGTTGGCCTTTGCCTGCTAAGAAGGTTGTGCAGAAGAAGGACCCGAAGGCTGGGTGGGTGATTGAGAAGTTTGTCGCATGATACAAGTCTGTCCTGTTTTGTTTGGTGTATATTATATATGAGATGAGACTATGATATCCCGTTGTTCTTTTTTCGTCATTACTTGCAACCTGCACATAAATTAGCAGATAAAAATGGATACAAGAATGAGAAAAAGGAAGAAGTATGAACACCATTGAGTCATTTAGCCTATCAATTTAACACCAGGCGCCCAAGACACCAACCCCATAGAAAAAAGAATGCAAATGCGTCGTATCACACCAGAGATCAACTCAAATCACTCAATCCCTCTCCCTCCTCCTCTCCCTCCCCTCGCGATTACCCCAGGAATCTCTCGAACTAGAAATCTCCCCAGTCTCCCGATCCTCCCGAAGTCCAAATGCCCTCCGCAACCGATCCGTCTCCTCAATCTTAGCTTCAGCAAGCTCATGAACCTGATAAGACTTAAGCTGCCTCTTATCCCGGCCTCCAGCGGCAGGCTTCTTGAACACGCCCGTGCCACCACCATCAAGCTCGCCCTCGAGTTCCTTGAGTAACCTCACACGAAGAATTTCGCACCGAGCATCGATTTCCTCTTCGCTTAGGACCTTTTCGACATCTTCATCTTCGCCCTCTTCCTTATCATCGCCCTCGGCATTCTTCTCCTTCTTGGAGCTCATCTTTGACTTCGATTTGCTGTTCTTGGCTTGTTCCTCTTCAATTCTCTCGTTCTCCTCTTCGAGCCGATCCCTCTCTTCCATCACGCGCACTTCAATGGCCCGCTTCCGGTCATGTTCGAGGATCTGCTTGTCTGGGAGACGTTGCTTGAAGGGCCGGTCCATTGGGCTGCTGCCGTTTGCGCCGCTGACGGGTGGGTAGGGTGCGCCATAGCCTGTGTTGCGGGGTTTGATGAATGCGCTGTTCTTTTGGACGTATCCTGAGGTACCACTTCCTCTTGGGGTGGTGAGGCCGACATTTGAGGACATTTTGAAGGCCTTTGGGGTTTGGTTGGGGTTTTAGTTGGTGGATGTGAAAGGCGAAGAGGTGAGTTGTATGTTTTTGTAAATGGTTGCGGGCCACGCAGATATCTTTATTCTCTGGGGTGGTGGAATGCGCTCTGGGGTGGTGCGCAAAAGATGCGAAGGAGTTTTTAGTTGGAGGGTAACTTAGCTGCGGGAGATGTTTGAGGTCAGAATGCGCGATTGTTCGTATCAGTCACGTGAAGATAAGGATATTTCACGCCGAGGGTTTATACTGTATGCCATTCGGGTTAGACGGACAAATGATAGGAATTACAGCCAATTGGTCGATCATATAAGTTCTACTCGCATTCCTATTACTTCGATCTATTGAACGTGGTTGTAAGGATAACCAAGGAACCCCCTAGCAAAAAGTAGATAAGATAATGTCGTAATGCATTGGTAACAGAGCCATGAGCAAGGGGAACGGGGGATTTGATTGGAGGAAGACAAAAACAGGGTAGGGCGAGGAAGAAGATATCAACATGGCAAAGTGGCAACAAACGTATCAAGTGACACTTCATCTTTGGAACATATGTCGCGAGACTGTATAGCCTGCCTGAAGCAAACGAGGCAGGCTCACATGGACAGGCGGATGGTGTACGAGTCGAAGACAGGCAAGTCGAGGAAGATCGAAATGCACTGGTTGTCGCAACCTCATTTTTCGATGGTGATGTTCAAATGAAAACACATAACCGACGAGATGGACCCTGGATATGGTTTAAGTGTAGATAGAACTGACTAGGTGTGCTGCGGGTTGTTGTGCCAGATGATGAATAGATAAAATCTTCTCGTATTTGAATGCAAGAAATCGTACCAGGATCAAACGTGTTGATTTGGTGAATGTGTCTGATTGAGATTCCAGATAAGTTCCCCCCGTGCCTTGAAACCATGACATGAAACCCAGACCGTGACCCGTAGTGATAGAATAATAAGGAAAGAAATGAGACAAACAAAGTAGACAAGACGAGAAAAACAAGACGCCATTTCATAGATTTGATCAGATCTGATCCTTGGACCAGCATAGACAGCTAAGGCATTGACAAGATGGGTGGCGAAGCACCGTCGTAAGAGTAAATGAACAGTTCAAGAAAGGACATGGAAAGGAAGAAGGGTGGAAATAAGACATAGGAATCCACAGATCCGAGATCGACAAGAAACAGGAAGTAAAAACAAATTCCAGGCCTATTGTTGCGCCGACAAGCCATGTTGATAAGGGAAGAATCACATAAGACGTTGGTGAGATATATCCGCGCCGGATTCCCCTGTATGTATACGCTCCATATTAGATAAAGAACAAGAATGTTGACTCGGCTCCGATCAGATCCGGATTAGAAATATTATGTTGAGCGAGCAAGTGGTAATGTGTGCAACGAATTAGTGAGCACTGGTGACATCGACCGGGACGGGAACACCGGTGCTGCCCGTCTCGGGACTGGAAACTGAGGTCACTGTGCTTTTAACGAGACCCTTGGGCTCGAGGGAGCTGTCGACCGTGCTGGGGTCTGTGGGGGGAGGTGTGGGGGGAGCGTTGCCCAAAAAGGCTCGGGGCTGTTCAGCGGGAAGAGAGCGCTTGATGGGTTGAGGAGAAGACTTGTGAGAGTTGGGAGGGGTAGTTGAAGTAGTGTGAGACAGCGGCACGGTCGCAGGGCAGTTCGGGTCAAAAATGAGCTTCTCAATGGCGACAATTTGCTTGCCATAGCTGAACTTCTTGAGCTGGCTGAGCAAAGGCTTGATCTGGTCAATGAGAGCTTCACGCTCGGCCTCCTTCAGTTGACCAAGGACCTTCTCTATAAGGGGGTTAGGAATATGATATAAGGCGGGTTCGAAGGTACTTACGGATAACATAGTTTCCATATTGGTCACGCATGAGACCAAGGAGAGGGCTCTCGCCACGGTCGTTTGGAGATGTCAAGGTAGAGATGATGTGGTGACGTTCATGAGGAGCACCAAACTCGATACTCTTTTCAACGACGTTGCTGGCGAACTTGTGCTTCGAGTAGGCAAGTAGCTGGCCCATGACGATGTCAATCATGCGGGTACGGTCACTCTCATCACCGTTCTCTATGACATGTTGGATTACATAGTTGCCAAACTGGTCAGGGATCAAGTTGGATGTGCAGGCGTGTAGCTCAGCTAGGATCGACTGGCGGTCGACTTCCTCGCAATGCTCCAGCATTCTCTGGATGACGCGGCAACCATATGGGTGGGCGGCGAGACGGTTGACCTGTCCACGGAAAGCGTTGATGATAAACTGGACGTACTGCGAAGGGACACGCTCGATAGCTTTTTGGATGACGTGGTTGCCGTTCTGATCACGCACGCACTTGAGGACGTGGTTCTCCAATTCTTTCACCATAGCGGATTGCTGATCGGTAAGAATGTGCTCCAGCGCCTTCTGCACAACGCGGCATCCATACATTTGGGTAGACAAAGCTAGGACGTGGCCGCGCATCTGGTTAGCAAGTATCTTCTTTTGGCTTTGGTTGCCATGCTCAAACAACTTCTGAACCACGTAGTTGCCGAAGACATCAGTCATCAACTGGAGGCAATTGGGCTGAATCTCGCGGAAAACCTGCTCTTTCTCGTCACTGTTGGCGGTCTCGAGCTTTTGCTGGATGAAGCGGGAGCCGTGCTGATCTCCGCTGAACTCCACAACATGATTATAGATGTCCTTGAGCTCATATCGCTTGTTACCCTTACTGTTGGCGCGGAACTCCTCGAGAAGAGGGCTGCGTACAACCTGGGTAGGGTCATGGTCGCGCTGGGTGCGAGAGACCAAAGCCGTTGCTCCTAGGCCACCGAGGTGAGCCACAGGGTAGAAACCGGACAATGCGTTGAGACGGGCATTCTGGTATCCTTGGAAGTCATAAGCAGGAGGGTATTGCATCCGCTGGCCCGCATTGGCAGAAGCCTGGGCTAACTCCTGATCTTGGAGAGTGCGCAGGCGACGCTCGAAGGCAGCGGCCTGGCTATCAGCGACCCGGCTGCCAGAGTTACGATACTGACCAGTACCATCCACTCCGGCGTAGATTGGGCTTTCCATGCGAGCGTAATCGGAGGGCGAGATAGATCCAGTGTCAGTAGCGCGGGAGCGAGCTTGATAAGCGAGGTGCATCTCTTGAGCGGCTTCAGCGCTGTATGCCAGGCCCTGGTAGGCAGCATCTTCATTATTCTGATACTTTGCGCGAGGGAATGAGCCATCGAATGAGGCGTGGGGGACGTAATTGGGACGCTGGACACCCTGGGCGTAGTTGCTATCATTAATCTGAAGCTTGTTGAATCCAGCGTTCAGGTCCATGGAGCCACCATAACGCCCATCGACACTCTGGTTCTCCGAGTAGAAAGAAGGGTGCGCGGAATGGTTAGGCCTTTGAGCTGCGAATGAGGCGGAGTTGTGAGAAACATGGGAGAGAGTGCTGCGGCCTTGAGGCGGAGAGATAGAGTCCTGAATGCCAGAGCCTAAAGAAGACATTCCCATAGCCGCGGCCATGTCATCCTGGCGGGCACCTTCAATCGAGTTTGGGAATCCAGGCTTGACTGGGAAGGTCGTTCCTACTGGACTTCCACCGAGACCAGTAGAGTTCATCTGTCGTCGACCAGCGAATCCACTGAACGACATGCCATCACCGGAGGGTGACACACCCTCAGAGGAAGTGTTGAGATATGGACGGTGGTTTGCAGCTCCAGCGGATGTACCGATTCCAGTAGTGCGAGGGAGGGCAAAGTAGGAGCTATCACCAGTCTCGTTCATAACAGGTGCGCTGCGATCGTTGGCGCGTGTCTGAATAGGGGAGGTTGCCAGACCACGGTTCTGGAAGGTAGAGTTGTTGTTGTTGCTGTTGACAGTGCTCCAGGGGAGATTGGCGCGTCCCGACCACCCGTCGGACTCTGAAGTAGATAGCAAAGAGCCCGAACCTGACTTTCCTTCAAAGGCAGCCTCGCCGATGTGTTGATCTACCACCAATCAGTATAAGCTTTCACCACGACCGACAATCACTTACCGTCTCCGAATCCGCCTAGGTTCGAGTCACCCCAGATGTTGTATTTTCCGGCGGCGAAGCTCTTGCTGACGTTGTTGTGAGACCCGCGGTTGCGGTCATTCATCCCTGATGAACTCATGTTGGTTCCCCGACTTGAGCGTGCCTGCACCGACGTTATTATTTATCCATTGGTTCCTCAGTCGCATCGCACTCACGTTATGTACGCTGGTTGCATTGGCGGCCATCGTAGAAGCCATTCCAGGTAATTTGCGACCGGCGATAGACAGTCGATGTGTGCTCGGATTACGAGCGAGTATTTGCAGAAGGATCGAGCGGGTCTGTTTTCAAATCACAGAGTTTATCGAAGGACCAAACAGTTCTTGGCCAGTATTTGCAAGCGGGCACCAGGCACCAGAAACGGGCGTACACGAAGAATATAAGACTGTGAAAAAAGAGTGACCCTTGTTAGCCAGTGATAAGACGAGGTTGAGTTGAGAAGCCAGGTCTGATCCAGGTGTGAAGGTGTCAGGGCAGATAGGGTGAACAGGGACTCACCAAAGGAGGGGACGAAGGGTGGAAATAACGCGAGATAGCGAGAGAGAGAGAGAGAGACAGAGGCCTTGAATCTTCACGAACCCAAGGACATGTACAGATTATACAGGGATCACGAAGAAGGGAGACGGAAGGGAGGAGGAGCGAGGCGAGAAATGCTGAAGGTGGCAGAAAAGGTCGGGGACAGCAGATGCAAGGTGACAAAGAATTGGAACGATATTATCACCCTTTCTGTTTGTCGCTGCAGCAGTGTGGGGAGGGGCCAGAGTTGGCAGCCGGAGGGTTCTGAAGGAGGCGTCGCGACGTTACTCTGCTCCGTGCATGCTCCAGGAATCTCCCAGTGTGCAGATCGTCGTATGGCGATCCCCGAGAATGGCGTTGGGGCCCTGATAGGCAAGGGGGATGTAGTAAGTGGAATGCGCTTTTGATGAAACTGCCAGAATCTAGTGGGTCGACTGATGAGAATGTGGAAGAGAGGGCATTAATGGTAGCTGTCACACAAGCTGACAACCCAAGCAAGTAAATGGAAAGGCCTTGTTCTGGGAGGGGGGAGGGAGGGGGATGTGAGAACAAGTACAAAGAGAGAATAAAAAAGAAGAGAAGCAAAGGGGGAAAGAAGAAAGAGGAAAATGCGATAGATAGAAAAGAAAAATGATGCGAGTTTGAACGAAGATCAGCCGCTGTATTGCCCGTAATACCATGACGATGAAGAAGGGCGATCCTGGCTGATGGTGGAGGTACCTCTACTACACGCAAATTACTATGCGTGAAGAAGTATCCTTCCCACTTACAATACATGGCTTGCGTTTCTGACGGTCACCGCGATCTCCCTCCCGGCGCTTCTTTTTCTTAGCCCCTCTCCGCTACGATGCATTTCTCTCAATTCGCCGATTATAGTTGCAGAAGAGCTGGTTAGAGCAATTCTTCCATGGGTAACCATCTAGCATCACCGACCAACCCTGGCACCCGTTCTTCATAGGATCCAGGGACACCAATGTATACCTAGGTTGAGCGAGAAACCCTGAAGTCACCGCGAAGTGAATATCGGCCAGGAGTTCCTACCCAGTTCCTCCCTGAGATGACCATGGACGAGAGATCCAGGGTTATAGACCTGCCGAACAAGCCGATTTCCCCCCTCCTCCGGTGTCGACAGCAGAGAAGCTTTATAGTTCTCGGCAATCAATTGGGCCCGAAAGCTGGGGCCCACTGGACCCTCCTAAGTGACGCTTAACTGGTTTAACTTGTTCTTATATTATCTTCACCTTTCCAGTGAGGGGTGGAGTTCCATCGACCGTCAATGCATGTGCATTCGATTATTCAGATGCTGTGATGCTCCAATGCTATATATACTCGGTTTCCCCTTCAACATCCGTCTCAATAGTCTACTGTGATATACTCTGTAAGAATCAATTCAAATCAGAAACCGGTTTGAGAGACTTTGATAGACTCGCCCAGCCCCTTGCTTCACTTCATCACACTGACCCTTGGTCCCAAAGGGGCATTGGCATCTCACCCTCTACAGCAGAAGCATCCCTCTGGCTCTGGCTGGCATCTGCCATGGTATCTGCCATGTCTCGGTATCCGCGGCTTTACCTCTCCAGGGCTGGTGTCTGGTATGGAGCATGTTCGAAACAGTTATGGCCGTGTAATCCCAGGCCACTTTAAAAGGCCGAGACAGGGGAGTCTCATCCTTGCACAGGGGTCACACAGGTCGAGTGTCAGACCATTACTCGCATTTGGATTTCCCCGGATCTTTGGCTTGCCTTGCGTCCGATTGCCGCTAAATCGTTGCGATCCCTTGGGCTTCGTTTTTTTTCCCCCGATATTCCCGGCCTTTTCTCCGGGATTGTGATAGGTCACATTTGGTAGAGTGTGTTGGCCTCTTGACCGTATTATAAGGCCGGCACTGTGGGACAGGTCATTGTTGACAAATGGACATGGTGGCGCATGGAGTTGGTTGGGTTTGAGATTGTAAGTGTCAGGTCTTGGCTGACTCCTGTACCGTAGGGTCGAGTAAACTCTAGATTGGGATTTGATTTCATATTGGCTCTGGAGATGTATGATGATTGGCACGACCTACTACAATATTAGGCTCTCGTTTAACTTAATCATCGACTCTAGTAAAGACATCACAAATACTGACTCTTCTCTGGTTCCAAAGTAGACAGTACTGTACCAGTCCAGAACAGGCAGTCGATCATGCGGTCGGGCAAGAAAGTGTTTCAAGATACACAGCCCCATTGAGACCACAGCTACTGACACTGATGGTCATAGATTTCCAGGTGAACTGTACAAGATACGTGGCGGAAGTAGTTGGGTGGGGAGTAGTATAGCTCAGCCGTAGCCCATTTCCCCAACAGAATAACACACATTACTATATACAAATTACCAAACTGTACAACAATCTGTTGATGGTGTGTCTATTATATACTTGCTACTTACTTTTCTATTTAATCCGGGTGACTGTATGCTAGTGCGGTGAGTTGCCGATGTGGCGGTCAACCCATGCGAGATGGGTACATGCAGTTGACTGATTGATACATCCAGCATGTGGCAAACACAGTCGAAACAGATCCTGCAGATCAGATGGATGTGTCTGGATATGCTTAGTTTAGGTGGTAGACTATTGATTCCCAGCTGTTCGAGTCGACTGTGTATGTTGATGATGGAGGTTGGTTCAAGTATATATTCGGCATCCCCCACGCCTTACAACTTCACACATCAAATCACTTTCTTCAAATCTAAACCTAGACTGTGCTTTTTATTGTGCGGAAAAACTTGACACACAATGACTAAATCCTACCAGCTTGCATCTGGTTGCCTATGTGGCTTTGATGGACACATGTACACTGTACGCTCCTTAAGCGCGCACTTAGGCTTCAAGTGTAACACATCTTCCTCCCCTCCCACTGTCGACGTTCATCTTACCCCGAACTATTAACCCCAGTTTTCATCTGGAATTGTTTATTTTCGACACTTTAGGGTTGTTTATTTTTCAAGAGCTGACGTCTAGAACCGGAGTGGATTTAATTTCCTATTAGTGATCACTGAGACATTACTGCTTCGAGGTGATAGTGCATTGGCGCCTATTGTGCTACCTGAACCCCGCCATGGTGACAGGGACAGAGTGAAGGTGACGGTAGTCACCACATACACACTATGTGACTGGACCTCAATACGGTATATCAACGCCCGTAACGCCAATGGCAGCGTGTTCGCCATAAGCCGGGGGAAGAACTCAAGGGGGGAAAACAAGGAAAAGCGTCCGTTAAAGGGTCTGATCTCCAGGCACCACACGCTGATTGGCTGACGCCCCCAGCCAAGCCCGTTCGTGGGTGACCAGGCAACGCTAAGCCCCGAACAGCTTAGCACCGCGTTAACAATAGAATTCTAGGTCTCTCTGACCTCTGACCTCTGACCTCCCTTCTCCCCTTTCTGCTTTCCCTTCATTCTCCTCCTCCATTCCTTTCGCAGGTGTCGGCTTCACTCTTTTGGCTCACCTTGCTGTCCACTCTTTACTCAGCTTCATTCGGTGGCATCTAACTTTGTTATTGTCCCCTTCCTCCATTCCCCTGTTTATTCCCCCCCCCCCCCCCCCCGGTTTCAATCCGTGTCATTCGTTAAAACATCGACGATCTTTCCATATCAAACGATTTTCGATCCTCCCATCTGCTATCAGACGCCTATCGTCTATCAACTATCGACAATCAACAATCAACAATCAACAATCAACAATCAACAATTCACAGACAAACTTCGACTTCTGATATCGACATCCGACAAATCCCGCGAAGATGATGAACCTCTTGCCCCGACTCGTCACACGTGATGACAACAATGGTGGACTCTCCAATGCCATGGTCGACCTTCTGATTGCTCTTCTGGTTCTGGTTCTGCTCGCCCTCGCTCTCGTCGGTGGTCTCATGGTCCTTCGCCGCAAGCGCACCGCTCGCAAGGAATCTCTGCTCCCCGTCTACAATGGACAAGCCCCTCCCAACAACCGCCGCTTAACTATTTCCATGAACAAGACCGACTCCGTCTTAGTGTATGATGAGAAACGCAGCCTGATGGATAACTCCGACAGCCCACCACCGAGCCCGGTGCCTGAAATCCGCATAACATTCCCCGAAGAGGAAGATGAGAGTGGCAAGCGCAAGTCTGGCCGCATGGTGGTTGTCCGTATCAGTGACGCCGGCAGCATCGGCCTGGAGCCTTGCCATGACGAGCTCCCACCCTACCAGACCAGCGATGCCGACCGCTTCCAGTCCCTTGACATCGAGCGGATGGGCGGCTTGAAGGAAAAGGAAATGAAGACATACTCTTAGAGGACTGTTGGCCACCCAACTTAGCCACTGAGCTTGCCCGCAGAGCCGCTCACCTCGACTCTTCTTCCACGACTTCCCAAAAGCATGACCACCTCCCCCATCCACATTTCCTCCGATTCTACCCTACATATCTATTCTCCGATTTGGCCTGATGGCTTGCACATATGCGGATTTAGTCTTTGTTTCGACCGGCCTACCCTAGCTGGGACCCATCTTCGCTCCCTCTATGGGTACCTCGGCCCACTGAACAGAAGCTGAATCATTCATAGCGAGAGCCTGCCGGTTTTTTGTGTTTCTCTGTTGTCTGGCGTTTCTTCTTGAGCCTGGTCCCCATGTCCCTTTCACCCCTGTCACGTTCCTAGGGTTCGAAAGACATGCACGAGACATTTCTGTTTTCTTTTCCTTCTCCAACCCCCCTTTTAGGGCAGTCCTAGTTTGTTTCTTTTAGGACGCCCTCTACTTCACTTTTTACCTTCTTATGTGCCCTTTTTTTTCTGGTACTCGGCAGCTGGATAATGTATGTACTTAGTCCTATGTTTTGCCATTGGCAAACTGGCAATATCTTTTTCTGTGTGAATCTTGTGTGTGTAGTTGTATCCACTCGGCGAATCAGAATCGCCGAGTCCGACCTCCCCAACCCGTCCGTTCCGCGACGTCAGGGAATCTCTATTTCTTTTTCCTTTTCCCTTTGGAGCAATTCGCTTAACTGTTCATTCTTGTTCAGCCATGTACATGCTGTAGCTTCACCATCCATAGGGAAACCGTTCCACAGACGAGCACAGAAAGGGGTTCGACCTCCGCAACTATATACCTCTCCGATCCAGAGGCTCGACCTCACTCTACCTATCCTTTCCCCTCCTCGAATGGACTGGACCTGACCCGATCCCCGGCTCAACTCGTGCTTGCGCTGCCTTCGGTTTCCCTGCCCTCGAATCCTTTCTTCGGACACCGTGTCCACCCCTCTCGGACCCCTCAGTCATCTTCCGTGAGACCAGACCGCGACTGGCGCGCCAAACATACCGATTTCAGGCCACCACACGCAAATAATTGTGGGAATGGCTGCAAATACGTCCCCAGGGGTTGTTGGATCGCCCTCGAAGCCCAATGTCTCTAAAAAAGGCCCGAAGAGCTCGACTGCGCAGTCCAATCGCAAACAGACTGATGTGTTAGATCAGAAGGCGCTGGCGCTAGAGGATGAATTTAAGACGAAACATCTCGGTGTGCTGGGAGTTTTGGGTTGGATAATGTGAGTGGGGTATTGCCGGTTTTGATTTCAGGTCCAGCGGAGCTTGAATTTCGAGATTCAAGCTTCGAGACTGGACTAGGTTGAAAAAAATGTCGAGCTGACATTGGGTGTTTACAGGCTTCTACATGTTGCAGGTATATACCTGTTCACAAAGGGATTCCTTCTTACGCGCATGGTTTTGGAGAATAAATCATCATGCGATGTTTTACCCTTCGAAGATGTCCTTGGTCAACCGCAGAGCGCGCTGGGAAATCAGGAGAAGGGTTGTTGGCATGAGAAGACTTTCGATAAGGCTGTCGTTATCATTATTGATGCTCTTCGCTATGATTTCACGGTTCCCTTCGCTTCAAAGGATGAGAGTGAAACTCCTCATCTTTTCCATGATAATATCCCCGTGCTTTATGAGACGGCTGTTCAGAACCCGGCTAATGCTTTCCTTCTCCCTTTCATTGCTGATCCACCGACGACGACACTACAGCGTCTGAAGGGTCTAACTACTGGTACACTTCCTACCTTTATCGACGCGGGTTCCAATTTCGCCGGAACAGCCATTGATGAGGATAATCTCGTTGCTCAACTGCACCATGCTGGGAAGAGCCTCGTCCATCTAGGTGATGATACGTGGCATTCGCTTTTCCCAGGGTACTTCAATGAGAACCTTACCCATGCCTATGACTCGTTCAATGTCTGGGATCTGCACACGGTCGACAATGGCGTCACAGAGCATCTGTTCCCATTGCTTAATCGCGAGAACAGTACCAAGTGGGACGTGATCTTTGGCCATTATCTCGGCGTGGACCACGCTGGTCACCGATACGGTCCTAACCACGCGGCCATGGCATCCAAGCTACAAGAAATGGACCGTGTCATTCGCCAACTCATCGCAGCTCTCGACGATCAGACTCTCCTCGTCGTCATGGGCGACCACGGCATGGATGCCAAGGGTGACCACGGCGGTGAGTCCGATGACGAGGTTGAAGCTGCCTTGTGGATGTACTCCAAGCGCGGTGTCTTCGGACGAACGAGCAAGGATACACTTCTCCCACCCAAGTTCGCACGTGATCGCTTCGTTCCTCAGATCGATCTCGTTCCCACTCTGTCCTTGCTCCTCGGAATGCCTATTCCATTCAACAATTTGGGATCTCCAATCGAAGAGGCTTTCTCTGGTGCTAGCGGTAACAACTGGGCCAACTTGGCTACTGTTAACCGTCTGACCTCCGCTCAGATTAAGAGGTACCAACACCAGTATGGTATTGCCCGGGGTGCTGGTGACGACGAGGAGTCTATGCTGCTTTTCTCTGCTGCCGAGGATGAATGGAAGTCTGCTTCTAAGAGCTTCTCGTCCAAGTCGAGTGCTGCGCGTTCTAGTAATGAACTCTATTGCAAGTATCAGCGCCATACTTTGGATGTCTGCCGTGGCCTGTGGGCTCGCTTTGATGTGCCGAGTATGATTCAGGGCGTTGTGATTCTCTTTGCGGGAATCATTCTGTTGGTTATATACGCACGAGGTCTCAAGATGGATCGGACCCAGCTTACTGCTCGCTTACTTTCACTCGCGGGTGCTGGTGCTGGCGTTGGTGCCATTTCTGGTATCGCTTTGGGATTGGTAGGCTTGACTGAGATGACCGTCATTGATTCTGCTGTCCTTCTGGCAGCCTCTGGAAGTATTATTGGAGCTTTGCCGGCTATTGTCACGAAGCCGGCGAACTTGACTGTGCCTCTTCCCAATGGTATGTGGGGTTGCCTCGCGTTTTTCTTCACTGTTTCTCAGTCTCTTGGATTCGCTTCCAACTCATACACCATCTGGGAAGATGAAATTCTGCTCTTCTTTCTTACCACGTTTGGTGTATGCGCTGGTATCTCCTCCATGCGCCAGAAGCAGACCACCGATCGTGTTCTCGGCGTTTACCACTCTGTCCTCTTCGTGATCCTTGGTCGTGTTGCATCTTTCTCCCGCCTCTGTCGTGAAGAGCAGATGCCCTTCTGCCGCTCGACCTATTACGCCTCTTCAACCAGCTCCATCTCTGCCCCTTGGCAGCTCGCTATTCCTTTCCTGGTCACCCTCTTCCTCCCAAGTGTAGTCCGCTCCTTCTACACCGGCTCGAAGTCCTACGAAGGGGCTGCCTCACTCTGGATCGGCTTCGCCTTCCGCCTAGGCCTCTTCATCACCTCCCTCTTCTGGATGCTTGAAGGCGCCGACGACGGCGAATGGCTCCCTCTCTCCAAAGAAACTCTCAAATCCGTGCGCGTCTTCCTCGCCCAACTTGTCATGGCCCTAGCCTTCGCAGCCGGCACAGGTGCATACCTCTACTCGAAGCCTTGCGTCACCATAAGCGTAACAAAACAACCGGAAGATCCGAATGCCCCCCCAGCCCCCATAATAGCAGGTCAACAGCAAGGCCCCCGAACAACAGTGACAATCCTCGGTTTCGGCAACGTCCACGGAACCCGCTTCTTCTTCCTAGTCATCAACTTTGCACTCGCAACCATCCTTATGCAAAAACCAATGGGCCAGGGCGCCATCGCCCTCCTCCTCTGCCAGATCCTCTCCCTCCTTGAAATCCTGGACACAAACTCCCTGACCATGTCCAACTCCTCCATCGGCCCAATCATTCTCGGCGTCCTGGGCTCCTTTTACTTCTTCAAAACAGGCCACCAGGCTACTCTCAGCTCGATCCAATGGGAAACGGCTTTCATTCCACTTTCCACTATCAAATACCCCTGGTCTCCGCTCCTCGTTGCGCTCAATACCTTCGGTGCTCAAATCTTAGCCGCAATCGCCGTTCCCCTCACCGTCCTCTGGAAACGGCCTTTGCAGACCCATGACCGTGTGCCTGCGTCTGAAACATCCAAGAATCCCGCTACGAGGCTTCTCTCCGATGTCGTTCAGGCTGCTAGTACGCACATCCTCTACCTGGCGACCATTAATCTCGCTACCACTATGTGGGCTGGCCATCTCCGCCGCCATCTCATGCTCTATCGGATCTTCAGTCCGCGGTTCATGATGGGATCGGTAGTGCTGGCGGTTGTGGATGTTGTCCTCATGGTTGTTGCCGTCGGTGGTGTGAGATGGAGTACGCTTAGTGTTGGTGAGGTCTTTGGTTGGTGATCGACCTTCATCTTGATTGAGCCTTTGCATTGGGTGGTTTGGTTTTCTTTTACATTGCTTACCATTGTCATATCATCTCATACTCTGTGATGTCTTCCCTTCTTTTCTTTCTCCTTTTTTGGGCTGATTCGAGTCATTTGATTTGACGCGATCACTCCGTCTCTGTTATGCCGCTTTTGCTTCTGCGCTGTGACTATGTGCACATGCGCTTTTATCGTGTAACACCTCCCCTACCTACTTATTCGTTCCCTTTCCTTCTCACTTTTCTTCTCTTCATCATTTTGTTCTACTATGTGTTGTTACTTATCTTATAGATCTATAACTATAATCTTAGTTTCAAAAGTTATATGTATATCAACTGAGTAGATCTCATGTAGCCTCCTACCTTGTCGTTCTATAGATAACGTTCATTTAACGTGTCCATCCTTGGTATTTCAGGAATGAAAGGGATTGAGCCTTCTAGACTATTCGGGCACTTTGTATGAGCAATTCATGTGTATACTGTGCCAACCCTACATATGTATCACCCACAGCAAAAGCAGATAAATAATAAGAATGAATAGATTCCACAAACTAAAGCCCCATCCGAATCATGATTTCGACAATCTCTAGCAGAGCAGAAATAGAATCGTAGCAGGGGACAGGGACAGAAACAGAGACAAAAGGAAAAAAAAAACAACAACTTTTGGGGCAGAAAAGGGGTATTCACAAATGCGACAATTGTCTGAACATCACGAAAAAACACAAGATGATGTACATGAAGTCGTTTCTGGGGTCATTTTTCATAGGAAGTGGTCTGTCGTTTATTTTTTAGGATAGAATTGGGGAATGGCGAAGAGGGATTAGGAAGGGAAGAAGGGGATGTGGTGAGTGGAGGGTATGAGACTTGAAAAGATTGAAGGAGTGAAAAGGTGGGAAGATAGAGAGAAATTTGATGGTTGTGTGCGCTTTTAAGTTGGCTTCAGCTATCCTAGCTGTCCCAAACAGATCAACGAGACCAGCGAGAGAAGTCCAGGTTCTGCAAGATGTTTGTATCTGCCGCTGCGTTCCACTCTGCTGCAAAGTCGGTCTGCACCTGGGGCGCACGCGACGGCAGTTCCTCAGAGAAGATGTTCGCTTTAGTACCACGACGCTGGCCAGGGTACGCTCCTTCGGGTTCACAGGGTTGCGCCTGGGCTGTAAGAGAACGCTCGCGAACCTTTTTGATTTCACGCAGACGAGTGCGCCAGGAAGTGAAGTGCTCACCGCCCTTGTTATTCCAGACAAGCGAGAAGACGGACGCGTTGAGCGCGAGAATCCGAACGAAGGCCGCCAGATTCTTGCCGGAGATAATTTTGGGCGTTGCAGCAGGTGAAACATCAGGGAATCCGGGCTTGCTCATGACTTGAACACTGTAGAACAAGTCCTGCGGGTCGCTTTCGCCTTTGACATTCTCATCTTCGTCATAGGCGATACGAGATGACGGGGTGATGACAATGTTGATGGAATTGAACTCGGACGGAATTGTGTCAAAGTTGAAGGGCAGGTTGGACCGATTGAACACGATGGTAACATGGTTGTTGCCAATGTTTCGTTTCTTGTTGATGCAGGCTGGGTCATGCTCAAGGTCCGTAGGCATCATTGTCGCCACGTGGTACACAATTTCGGTAACACGATCTCGCCAAGCGTAGGTGACTTCGCCATCAGTGTCGGCATACAATCCTTGTGGATTGAATTGAGGGTTCCGTAGAGACACTTTCGTGCCTAAGCCGGACAACAGATGCTCATAGTCCGCAGAGCCCCCTGTGTTGGCGAGGATATCTGCCTCCTTTGTTTGGCCATTACCGACATAGACAATGCCGATACGGTGACCATCCACAATATCGGTTCGATCAAAGTTGCTGATTGCGCGGCGGGTGATGTCGTCTTCTGGGACCGGTATAGGCTGCATGACCGTTGGTGTAGGGAAAGCAGTCGCAGTCAATTGGAGCATGATGTGACTCGGAAGAACGGCTGTGTGCATGGAGTCAGAATGCAAATGGGCATCAAGTGTTGGAGGCACTTGATGTGGCAGAACCGGGGCCGTGCGCTGTTGATAAACCGAATATGTGGTTCCTGATGCCTGACGCTTGGTGATTTGAGAAATGCCAGACACCCCGGCACTCTCCACAGTGACGATGCTCATACCGACAACCCAGGACTTCTTGGAAACGAGACCATCCTCAGGAGAAGGAGGGAACGTCTCAAAAGGAATGGTCTCTCCAAGATCCGAGTAGGCAACACGCTGCATCAGATCAATCAAGACTTGACTTTGTTCCTCAACAACCTCCTTGCCATGTTCATCATGATAAATGAGTCTGCTCGTGATCCAGTTCACATGTTTGGGACGGTCCTGCAATCTCAGAGACAGGAACCAGAAGACCATGACGTGGTAGGTGAGGTTAGAAATGTATTTAGACATGCCATCCTGCGGAGAGGGATCGGCAGTCTCGGCAGTTTGGGATGACTGAGCTGCTTTATATCGTTGCTCTCTTGAGGTTTGCAGAAAGCGAATGCAAATTCCAAACACGGTGCGCACTTCTTCCTCGCGCAAGTTGACGTACACATCTGGTAGCCGTGCAAGCAAAGCCAGAAACTCCAAGATATGGACAGCAATGTTTGACATAGTAATCACCTTAGACATTCTGTCAAGAATGCTGGTCAATGACTTGGTCACCGACATAGGGATCTCATAACAACAGAGTGACAGAGCTTGAATGCAACCGCGGGAAGTGCCACCCCATGATCCGATGATACCTTGCATGAAAGCACGAACAAGGTCATCCTCTTCACTTTTAGCAAGGTGCTGATGATAACTGACGAGCATGCAAAGCGCATCGAAGATGCAGGCAGCCACATCGCTCTTTTTCAAACCAGTGGTTTCGGGAGGCTCGTGAAAAGTCCCATTTTTCACTTGGTCACAGAGGATGCTGCGCAAGAGCGTAACCTGAGGAATGGCGTCTCTGAAAAAGTCTTGGTTGCCAAGCTGAGGTCCCAAATGAGTAAGAACATAGCTGTATACATCCCAGTCGGCCTCTCGTTGCAGCAGAGTGATTACTACCTCGAGCCACATCTTCACCTTCAGTACTCCTGTGATAGTAAGTTCTGGCGCAGTTGACTCAGTTGAGTTTTTAGGGTTGATTGGCTCTGAGTGTGCGTATGCAAAAACAACAGGGCTGGACTCTCCAGGGGGCTGTTCAGGAAGCACCTGCGGAAAAGCATATGTCCAGGATGGGGCAGTCAGCTTTGATCCACGGGCAGAGACAGAACCACGTCCTGGAGCTGACTTCGAGATAGAAGTTTCTCTCATTGGAAGTTTTCCACTGGGAGAGCCTGGGAAAAGATCCTGCTGGGTAGCTTCGCGGGAAACAGGGCTGTCACCGAGTGCTTGTAGCTTAGAGCCACCGTCTACGTTTCGACCCAGAACGTTCATCAGGAAGTCATTCTCCGAGGTTGATATGACTGTCACAGACCCGTCTGAGTCACAGCGCAGTCGGAAGAGTAGCTTCAAAACAGTCAGGCGAGCGTCCGTTGGGCGGCTTGCAGACTGTGCAATGCTGAGGAGTGCCTCAAACACCATCACAGCTTTGGTAGAAGAGTGGTTCAAGGCACGCAGCAACATCTTCACAAGACCGACGGCACACACATTTGTCAGGCTTAACTCCAGAACACTTGCGCTTGTGGTAGATGTACGGCGAGGAGATGCGTAGTTGGCAGTATCGCGTGGTTCAACTGGGCTGGAGTCCCTCTGCATCGGAGCTCCGATAACATCAATCAATAACTTGAATGTTTCGTCATTGCTGTGTTGAATGGCAGGGTCAGTCAGCAACGAGACCAGCGACTCCAAGAAAAGAAGATCATGCTCTGCCGAGAAGTCTCTTAGCAAAAGATTGAGAAGACCGTGCTCCTGGCAGTAAATGGAAGCTTCGTGACCCGAAAGAGCCTCTTTGAGTGTGTCCAAGGCTAAGATGCGAATGTCGGAGCTCTGTTTACGAGGTTGAACAAATCGCTCAATAAGTTCACGGCAATGTTGGACCCAGGATGAATCTTCACGCGGCTCACAAAGCTTGTCCTCTCTCATCAAGTGGATGATGAGTTCAGCCTGTGTAGGCTCGATATGCTGGTAGCTCTTCATGAGGAATCGACCGGCGTGCTGTTTTTGCTCTTGGTTGAGTTGTTCCCACTGGGTTTCAAGGACGGAAGCAACCAGGTTGAGGGTCGTAAGAATGTAGGGTTTGATGTCTTCAGTGGGCTTGGAACTGGTTGAGATGGGAGAGATGGCAGACTCGTCCACAACTCTACGAGAGCATAACACCAGAAGGTCAGCGAACGCCTTCCAATCACGTGCCAAGGCAACACGAAGATAGTCGCCTTCGAGGATGTTAAGACACAAATCCAGGATATCTGAGTCCACACGACCATCGTCCTTTTGCGCAATAACTTGCAAGGACTCTATTAACTGATCGAAAGGAAGCTGTGGCATACCATCTTGACCGTATGCACGGACAAAATCTGAGAACACATGAATAGTCCCACGAAGAACATTCATGTTACGAGTCTGTTCAACAGCACACGATTCTCTTAAGAACTGATGGAGGGTGTTCACCATTTCTGCTTGCCTGCGGGATTTGGCCAAACTGCGCACCGCACGCGATGTGGGCCCAGAAAGTGATTTGACTGACGCATGGATGCTGCAAAGGACTTCCAAAAGAGTAGGGAAGCTTGTATCAGGTATATCGGCATACATGATCACAGCATCAAATACAGATAACGAGTTCTTAATGTCAGCTGCGACACTGGTTCTCCTGCAGGTGATGAACGACTCAGTAAGAAGCATTTCAATTTCCTCCTGAGTTGGCTTCTTCCGCTGTAAAATGATCAGGTCCACCGCAAACTGGAATATATCTCCCAAAGCTGATTCATCGTGACTCATTCCGTTCGGGTTGATGACCTTCCCTTTCTTCGCCTTGGATCGTGCAGATGCGATAACCTCATAGAGAGGAACGATCCAAGATGAGACAACATGAAGAATTGAAGAGTTGGCGAAATCTAACTTCCGTCCATGATCGGACAAAGAAATCAAAGCCTGCACACGTGCAGAGATCACATCAGGTACTGTGGGGGTGGCTATCGATTCAAATATCTGGCGCCTAGCTGCTGGAGATAGATCTTGACGTGCCGCAATTGCCTCTAGCAACTGAGCACCACTTCTCTGGGCATCCAAGTCTCGCTCATGACGCAAGAGATGTTCTGCTGCTTCCCATAGCACCACAGACTGCTCTGAGCTAAACCAGTGCAAAGTTTTTGACAGATTCTCCGCTTCCTCAATCGCCCGAGTTAAGTTCTGAGTTTGCGACAAGTGTTGGAGCGACGTTTCAAAGTCCGGGCCACTAGGAGTGTCCGAGGAACTCGACACGACGCTACCACGATGCATTGATTCGAGACTGTATATGAGTCGATTGGTGCTGCGAGTGTCTGTATGCGATAACGAATCGCTACTGCTTTCTTGCAAGGAAACCGGGGAATGCGATTTGGGACGGCCGACACCTAGCGTCTTGAAGACATCTGCGAAAGTAGACGATGGTTTGTGTTGAGATACTGGTGGAACATCGTCGGAAGACATCCGCCCAGCGGCAGAGAAGATAAAATATCAAGCGCACGTGGTGTCTAAGCTATGAACGAAGTCAGTATATATGGCACCATTTATTGCATCATTCATGGTAGCGCCGATGAGCGGAAAACTTATCCGCTTCTATGGCTCATAGTTCTGTCATTAGGAGGAACTCACATTTTCAAATTGACAAAGAAGAGCGCTTGACCGCAAGGGCAGCTGCTAGCAGCAGAACTCGCACATGTATAGACAGAACAGATGGCAAGCCAGAGGATCGGGTAAGAGCAATCGCTGATCGGCAGCGAAGAACAGTAGATCTATATCACTGGGACCCACCAGGTCGATGGCACAAGCAAGTGATGTGATGTGGTGCCAACTGAGGGGAATCAAGCGGGATATGGAATCACCGGAAATGAGGTTATTCCAGCCCAACCTTGAAGGTCACCTGATGCCACTGGCTTCACCGCCCGATAAATCAGACATTAAATATTCAGGCGGTGAGTTACAGCAGCCATATCTCACGTGCCTTACCGCTCATTCGGATGGCAGAAAAAGTCAGCGCGGAAATCTGCAAAGTGGGGGGCGGTGAACCACAGGTAGCGATTTACAGCTTCATTTTTTTCGGATTCCATTCTCTCTTCCCCCCCGGCAGAAGCCAGGAACGGCACCCTACATTTCTTTTTCTTTTCCCCCAAGGGTTATTAGTGACAATCGTGATTTCTTAATTCAATTTCATTTTCCAAACTTCCCATCTCGATCGGTTTATTCACTTCGTCGCCAGGATGAAGTACGTCGTGGTTTCTGGAGGTATCTATGACTCATTCACCATTCGAAAAATCCAGATCAGTAACTCACATGTGTATTTTAGGTGTCATCAGTGGCATTGGAAAGGGCGTAATTGGTACGATCCTCTCAGTTGAGCAGTGAAGAACCCATCCTAATACTATGTCCAGCCTCGAGTACCGGTTTGCTGCTGAAGACCCAGGGTGCCCGAGTCACCTCTATCAAGATCGACCCTTACATGAATGTCGATGCCGGAACCATGGCCCCCACTGAGTACGTGGATTTCATCTCAATCTCTGAATACTGTTCCTGATAGCGAATTTTTAGGCACGGAGAGGTGTTTGTGCTGAACGATGGTGGCGAGGCGGATCTCGACCTTGGAAACTACGAGCGGTAAGCTTTCCCTTGCGTTTTTCTATGAAACCATAGGACAGGAGCCTGATAGTTGGCCTACAGATACCTCGGAGTCACCCTTGGAAGGGATAACAACATCACAACTGGAAAGGTCTACAAGCATGTCATCGAGAAGGAGCGCCGAGGTGACTACCTTGGACGCACCGTCCAAATTGTCCCTCACTTGACCGACGCCATCCAGGAATGGATCGAGCGTGTGGCAAGGACCCCTGCCGATGACACCAACGAGGAGCCCGATGTTTGTGTTATCGAACTCGGTGGTACTCTTGGTGATATTGAGAGTGCTCCCTTCGTTGAGGCTCTTCGTCAGCTCCGTCGTCGCGCTGGCAAGGACAACTTTGTCCAGATTCACGTCTCCCTGGTTCCTGTCATTCACGACGAACTGAAGACCAAGCCTACCCAGCAGGCTATTCGGGACGCTCGCTCAGCTGGTTTGAGCCCGGATTTGATTGCTTGCCGCTGTGAGCGTCCTCTCGACAAGGCCACTACCGACAAGATCGCCATGTTCTGTCAAGTTGAGCCAGAGCAGGTCATTGGCGTGCACAACGTCAACTCGACCTACCACGTCCCTCTGCTCCTCGAACAGCAAGGCTTCCCTCAGGTCCTGGGCAACCTCCTCAACATGAGCAAGGTTGAAATTACCCAGGCTCAGTTGACCAAGGGTCAAAGCACTTGGAAACAGTGGAAGACCCTTACAACTGCCCAAGACCACACCTTTGAGACAGTCAACGTTGCTCTCGTTGGAAAGTATGTTTCTCTTCACGACTCTTACTTGTCTGTTATCAAGTCATTGGAGCACGCGTCTATGGCTTCTCGCCGCAAGCTTAACATCATCTGGGTTGATGCCTCCCACCTTGAGACCGAATGGGAGGAGACCAACTCCAAGGAGTACCACAAGGCCTGGTATGATGTCCACACTGCCCACGGTATTTTGGTTCCCGGAGGCTTCGGTACCAGAGGTACCGTCGGAATGATGCGTGCTGCTCACCACGCCCGTACCAAGAACAAGCCCTACCTTGGTATCTGTCTGGGTATGCAGATTGCTGTCATCGAATACGCCCGCAACGTCCTTGGCCTCGAGGGTGCCAACTCTGTCGAACTCGATGAGCGTACCTCCCACCCCATCGTTGTGTACATGCCCGAAATCGACCAGGTGAACCTCGGTGGTACCATGCGTCTAGGCTCTCGCCCCACTCTCTTCCAGGAGAACAGCGAATGGTCCAAGCTCCGCTCTCTCTACGGACTTGAGCGCACCTCCATTGATGAGCGTCACCGCCACCGTTACGAGGTCAACCCCGAGTACATCGAGAAGCTGCAGGATGCCGGCCTCCACTTCATCGGAAAGGACGACCTTGGCGAGCGTATGGAGATTGTCGAACTCAAGGAGCACCCCTGGTTCGTTGGTGTCCAGTTCCACCCCGAGTACATTTCTCGTGTGCTGGCACCCAGCAAGCCCTTCCTCGGCTTCGTTTCTGCCGCCGCCGGCTGCTTTGACCAGGTCAAGAACATGTCCCAGCAGAAGGAGATGGACTTGGCCAACGGCGTCGCCAACATCATTGTCTAAGCATATTGAGGGTTCCGGAGTTTGTATTTGTCACGAAAAATATTACGTTTATAGAGAATTCAATCAAGATCACATTATTGACTACATTAACCATGGTAGACGTGTAAGATTATCATATAGCGATAAATCATCTCTATCTATATAACATACTATCTTGTACAGACCCATTAAATCCAAACAACATATCATCATCAAATTGGGCATCAAGACATGCATCATTATACCCCGGGAAAACAGCAGGTGCAAGGGTACCAGGCGTGCCCAAAGGAATGACAGGGCCAGCCAAGCCATGATAGCTCGCCTCATCGAACGCATGTTCATCACTTGTCCTCGTCTGCTGTCGAATGAAGCTCTGGATAATCATATCCATGTCCAATTCCGATACCTCTGTCTCTGGCGGTGTCATCCGAGCAGGCAAAGGAGTCATTCTGGGACCCTGGTCATTGGCACCAGACTGTTTGTCTAAAGCCTGTCCATGTCTTTCCTCAGTGGTATCATCATCTGAATGTGTCTCTTCGTATTTCTTATGTCGGATATCTAGATCAACACCCATACGGTCCATTAAATGTACGATCACATTCTTGGCCCGGCGGACGGCCCAGTTTGTCGCTTGATTCTTTTGAAAGATGTGGAGACATGTCCATAGATTTGAATGTGCCCGACTGCTTGATTCCCTTTGGGCAGCTACTCGAACGTATATCGTCGCGGCGACGTACGTTGCATATGAAATCAGATATGGAGCTCGTCGGATCGAGAACGCGTGGTCGTATGCTTGGAGTATGTAAATTATTCGAGCTGCTGCTGCTGTGCAGGTAGTGAACGAGCTAATGGCCACGGATGGATCGGTCGAGTGTAGATGTCCTTCTGCCACGAAGGGTCGGTGGAGAAGGATGAGGAGTACATTGTAGAGAGCCAGAAGAGAGAGTACATGAGGTGGCGGTGTGATTTGTGTTGTAGAAGAGGGAGGGCCGAACCGTAGATGCTCGGGGATTTCGTCATGCCACGCCTTGAGTTGGGCATCTAATGATTGTAGTGTGGTCACTAACTCCTGAGATGACCGATTCGAGCTGCGTTCCGAGTACACCTTGTTCAAGATGGAGTTTAAGATCAACGATAGCTTGCATAGCTGTGTAAAAGTTGAAACACTGTATGCGGGTGATCCTGTATATGACTGTACATCCGTATATGCGAAGGGTTGCCAGTGTTCCAGTTCTTCGTAGTGATCCAAGAGTGTCAAAGAGACTTTTGTGTCAAACTCCTGTAAGCTGGCAGGGCGACCTTGGTAAAGGGATTGGATTTTGTCTACGACAAAGGCACCCCAAAACACTCGACGACGGATTTCAATATCTTCGTCTGAGAGACGTCGCATGTTTCTTAGCATGGTGGCATCAACATGCATGCCTAGATCGATGATCATTCTAAATGCTGTACCAGCATAGAGCCATGCAGCACTGCGTTCATCGCCCAATGCAAACAACGAGCTTGTCATCACCAGGAGGGCCTGGATAGTCGTGATCTCACTTCGATCTAAAGCACCGCCGAGTAATTCTTTTACTCGCTGGCGGAATGTCCATCCAGCAGTACGCACATCATTCGGATCTCGACGAACTTCTGGGCGGTTGCTGAACTTTGATGCGCCGAAATAGATCGCATTCAGTAAAAGTTTGGAGAAATAAGGGCCGCCGGTGGCCATATCTCGCATAAAAGCCGGGCGATATGTGATCAAGAAGGAATGATGCTGGCGATTCCAATGTAGAGACAGAAGGTGCATTCCAAGCTCTGGATCAACTCCATCGAAGTCCAGTTTCCCTTGTCTCATGTTCAAGGCTTCCAATTGTCCTGCTTGGCTGTCAGATGGTGTCAATGATCTGGGTACCACGGATCTCACGTTGATAAGCAGCTTCTCCGATCAGCTGCTTTCGAATGTGCTCCACCGGGATGTGCGGGTCTATTGATCGTGGGTGGCCATGTTGATCGGTTGATGCATCATTGAATAAGGTGCTCGTCAGTCCATGATAGCTTGAGTCTCCATTTGGTGAGATGAATATCCGCGATACAGCTGACTGGCGTTGATTGACATTTGCGTCTGTAGGCAGACTCTCTGCAGATTCTTGTATCTGCTGCGGTGACTGAGATGGGCTGTTCTCCGTGATCTCTGACCTGTCTTCTGAGTGAGCATTCACATGCCTCAGGTGCCGTCGAAGCTGCTCATTTTCGGCTTCCAGTTGAGACAGCCGAGCGTTTGTTGGTCTGCACGTACTTAGCGGTGATATATAGAGTCAATGATGTATTTTCAATGACGTACCTGGGTCTTTCCGGTCCTGATATATAGGCACAGTCTTGTGCATATGCCTTGCAGTTGGAACATACTGGACGTTCATTATCGCAACGGAACTACCTCACATTAGGCCATGGCACTTCCACCGATATATTCGACTCACTTTCCTGCGCCGACAAAAAGCGCAAGCCTTGGCAGCCCTTCGTCTAGGCGGAGTTCTCTCCATTGTGTCAAAAGGTAGAGTGAGTCCGCGGGTTCAGGAAGGAAATCACCGGACGATCTCTTTCCGCGGCACGTCTCCTTCCGCTCTCCCGTTTCCCCTCTCGGATGTATAAGAAAGAGCCAATCGCACCTGGGCACTCACGGTTCGCCAAAACGGTTGTTTCTCACAACATGACTGCACTTGGGACTACCTCGGAAAGATCTGTAAACAAGACGCAACGGGTATGCCATAAAATTCACCTCCCAGGGGCTGGGGCCAGATACCGCAGTTAACCTAGTCCAGGACAAAACGCCCCAATGGGTCTCGCTCGTGGCTGGAGGAGTTGCAGGGGGACTAGAAGCAGCCATTACGGTCAGTCTATCGCCTCATATGAGCCTATTTGGTACTGATTCTATACAGTATCCGTTCGAGTACTCTAAGACCCGCGTTCAGCTGCTCGACAACAGCGCTGTTCGGACGTCTAATCCACTTCGTCTCATCTTCCAGGTTGCAAAGCAAGAAGGGGTCGGGGCCTTGTACACAGGCTGCTCAACCCTTGTTGTCGTTCGTTCTTACCACGTGCTTTCAGCTGGAACGGAATATTAATCTGAATACAGGGAACAACAGCCAAGGCCGCTGTCCGATTCGTGTCGTACGATACAATCCGCAATTCTCTTACTGATGACCATGGCGTTCTCTCACCGGGACGAGGAATGCTTGCAGGAATGTTCGCAGGAGCAGTTGAAAGTATCCTGGCAGTCACTCCCACGGAAAGAATTAAAACAGCTCTGTCCGTTACTCCCGGCGATGGATGTCAGAGAGACGTTCGACTTCGTGCTAACTGATTTCAAAATAGGATTGATGATGCAAAGGGTGCTCGACAATTTAAATCGAGTCTCCATGCGGCTCAAGTTTTGGTTCAGAAACATGGTGTCACGGAGCTTTATCGAGGTCTTTTATCCACAATGATGAAGCAGTCCGCCACATCTGCAGTCCGCATGGGCACGTACAATGTTCTCAAGGAGACTATCAAAGCAAACAACGTCAAGACGAATGTGGTTACGACGTTTGGCATTGGTGCTGTCGCTGGTGTGGTTACTGTATATGCTACGCAGCCATTTGATACAATCAAGACGCGGGCCCAGGGGGTCCAGGGTGTCGGGATTGCACAAGCCTGTCAAAGCGTGATTCGTGATTATGGTATTCGTGGGTTCTGGAAGGGCAGTTCCATGCGATTAGGTCGGCTTCTTTTGAGTGGTGGCATCGTGTTCTCTGTGTATGAAGAGGTAGCGGCTCTTTTGTCCCCTGGGACACACAGATGAGTTTGAGAATGTGTGGGAGCAGATTACACCTCATCCAATATGTATACTAGCAACCACTTGGAGTGCGAATTCTACAGATAGATCATTCCAGAAGCCCATTCGAATCTCGAGATAGGTCCACGGTATTCCAAGCAAACACGTCTGGGAGATTATCAATTTGCCGAATTTATGTCCATTTTCATTACATGATTTTTGCCATTTACCAAAAGTGCTTCATTCTGACTCAGGACAGCAACATTGATCTTTAATTATAGGATGATTCTCCGCTGGGTATTTACCCTCGATGATGCTTATCTTTTCACATAAACTACTTCATGCGTACAGATTTTTGAACCCATTGCAGATCTCTTTCTATACTCTGTCGTTCTTCCATCATACGCGGTAAAATACATTTCCTTCGAAGAGCCGTCGTGCTGTTCGAAAGACTGCCACCTTTTCCACATTAACCACGTCTTCGGGGCCCATTCCTAACATCGTCTCCACAAATATCACCCCAGCAGGGTGTCGAATACCAATGGGCAATGGAGATGCAATTTCATAACCGTCCAAGGACATGCCATGCTTCGGTACTCTGTCAAGACCCTTCCTTCCAGCCATGTCCCACGCAACCGTTCCATGAATCGATGCAGCCGCCCCGAGACATACCGCACCAGTCAATTGAAGACTTGCATGGGGCTTCCCCATAGTGAAAGAAAGAACCTGAAGATCTGCATCCTTGTCATCCTCCGCCGCCGGAGAAAGGAAAGCAATTTTTGGTGTGCCTCGCACTTGACCAGCTGCCTTTATATCCACAGCCAGCCCGAAGCACACAGCGCCTGCGCGGCGAATATCCTCAACAACCGACACAAAAGTCGAATCATCTGAATCTGGCCACGACGGGTAGCCTGGGATAGAAATGGAAGATGCATCTACCAGTACAAAAGGATTTGCAGCATCCACCAGACTAACTCGCACATCAAATGTTCCCACTGATGGTGAAGTTACGATTAGGATCTCCTGTGATGCCCCGCTAGGGAACATTCGACCTGTCATGCTACCTCCAGGATTGAGGAAAGCGACTTTGATAGGACTCGAGGTGCCTTGCACGCCGGGAATACGGAAGTCGCCTTCTTCCTGGAAGCTTCCGTCCGAAGCTACTTGAACCGTTTCGACCAGAGTCTGTCCAGTGTTGGTGTTGAGGATTCGAATATCTATCTGAACACATCGATCAATAAGTTAAGTTCAGGCCGATGTTCGAAATGTAAGCAATCGTACCTCTGTCTGTCCCGGAATCGCCTTTGCGATCCCCTCATCAAGTGCGAAAGGTCCTACGCCAGAGGCGATGTTTCCACAGTTTCCAGACATGTCAATCTTGGCCTGATCTGGCGCTACCTGGACGAACGTGTACTCGACATCGATATTAGGGTCTTGAGATTTTGCAATGACTGCGACCTTGGAAGTCGTGGATGTTGCACCTCCAACTCCGTCAATTTGCTTTGCATTGCCTCCTGCAGAGCCCATCGCAGATACCAAGATTGGCTCCCAGAGCTTTGTAGATGCTGGAAGGTCTTTTTCGTGGATAAAAAGCCCCTTTGATGTGCCTGATCGCATCCATACTGCTGGAAAGGCCTTTCTGGATAGTGGGAGAGGCTTTCCATTGCGATGATGAATGTTTTGTAACACTGGAGGCTCCGTGATAGTGTATGAGGTTGTGATGGCCATGATGCTGGGTAATTGCTGCGTACTTTGCCAATATTATTTCTGTCAGTCTCGGAGGGCAGTGTCGTGATAAATAGCTTGACTAAATATTATCCTCCATTGACAAATTATCTTCCCGTTGCTCTTCTTGCGTAAAACTCATATATCATACGCTTGTGCTGGCTCAGAGCCCATGGCATCCCATATTCCGCGGATGCGAAACTCCATGGCTACCAAAGCACCCAAGGATATTTCTATGATAACTGGATCTTGAAAAAAGGAAGTTCGGATTCATCTGGGGCCACGGCTTCTTACATTCCGCGGACGCTGAACATCCAGCGCTTTCTTTCGGAGAAGTGATTCTGGGGTCCCCAGATTTTCATGAAGTATCAAACATATAAAATGCAATTTCCCATGGGGTAGAAAGATTGACATCGCAATTCGTCCTGACAACATGCTTCGGGGTAAGACGCTCCACCTTGCGCAGCTGCTTCTCACGGTAGCCCCTGCTTTTATCAGTTACGGATACAATCAAGCTGGAGTAGCACCACTGGCCAGCTTGCAGTCATGGTAATATCTCCCAACAGTCTTGGTAGCTGTTTTTGAAGGCTAACTACTATCCAGGGTGACCCATTTCCCAGATATCGACACAGTCAATACCGAGGGCGCCATCAAGGAGAGAAACTCGACCCGAAAGGGTGCAGTCATTGCCTCTCTTCAATTGGGAGCCCTTGTGGGCTCACTTTCATGCACCTACTTCGGTGATCGCCTCGGCCGACGCAAGACCATTTTTATGGCTGCTGTTATTACCATCATTGGAGAACTCCTCCAAACATCATCGTATAATATCATTCAGTTTACCCTTGGCCGAGTCATTCTGGGCATTGGCATTGGGCAGCTCAGCGCCACTGTACCAGTGTGGCAAGCTGAATGTAGTTCTGCAAAGCATCGTGGGCAACACGTCGTGGTCGATGGAATCTGCATGGTTCTAGGCTTCGTGATCACCAATTGGGTGGATTACGGCTTTAGTAAGACATCCGGGGAGATACAGTGGCGTGTTCCATTGGCACTGTCTTTCATCTTTCCTTTGACCATCCTTGGGTCTGTATTTCTGCTACCTGAATCACCACGATGGCTGGTTTTCGTATCAAGGACAGATGAGGCTGCAGAAAGTTTAGCGGCCTACAGAGACCTCTCTGTCAACGATGAAGCGGTGCAGACAGAAATTGCGACTATAGAGTCATCATTGGAGCTCACAGCGCAGTCAAAGAGCCTCACGTTCCGAGAGTTGTTCCTAGGCACTGATGAGGAGCGTCTTCTTTATCGATTTGCTCTCTGTCTCGTCATTCAATTTTTTCAACAGATGTGTGGCGGCAATCTGATCTCAACTTATATTTCGACCATTTTTGAGGAAAATTTACATTTAGGGTCGGAACTGTCTCGGATTCTCGGCGCTAGTGCACTGACATGGAAGTTCGTCTGTAACTTCATTCCCTTCTTCGCGATCGACCGCCTCGGCCGACGCAAGGTGTTTATTATTAGTGGTGCTGGCATGTCTCTCTGCATGATAGTATTGGCTATCACGACAAGCTTTGAGAACGCCTCTAGAGGACTGTCAATTGTCTCGGTAGCCTTTATCTGGCTCTTCAACATGTTCTATCCAATTGGCTTCTCTGGTGCAAACTTCGTCTACTGCACTGAGGTTGCGCCTATGCGTTTGCGTGTTGCTATGTCGTCTGCATCCACGGCAAATAAGTGGCTGTGGAACTTTGTTGTGGTGATGATCACGCCTGTTGCACTCGATACAATTGGATGGAAATACTACATCCTCTACGCTGTCATTTCAGCGTGCATTCCTGTGACAGTTTATCTATTTTACCCAGAAACTATGGGTCGCAACCTGGAGGCCCTGAACCATGTTTTCCGTGATGCTCCCTCTGCTTGGCATATTGTGAATATGGCTAAAAATCTTCCTCAGGGGGATGTGCCTGATAGACATGTTCAGGAGCCGGGGGAGAAGGTGATGGTCGAGATGAAGGAGCGCGTTTAAACCACACCGATGACTGCAGTCTCATTTGGAGGCCTGTGTGTATATATCCTTTTTTTTCATATTTGTGCTGTAAATACAAAGTCCTGACTTGCATTGGATCTTTTTATGCACGTTGATGTGCTTCTAGTTGCACCGATGGAAGTGTGTCAATATATATGCCATGGATTCTGAATACATGAGTCAGCCTGGAGTTCTTGTCTACCAGTGAAGAAGCTCCAGTGGACTTTACCTTCAACAATGAGCCGCACACAATAAAAGTATTGAGAGAAAACTCGAACAAATGAAACAAAGTCGAAGTATAAAGAATGCAAATGCACGCCTGAGGCATGAGGCTCAACATGTGACGTGCTAACCCCATTGGGACTAGGGTGTTGATGTGGGCTGCCCGTTCAATTATCAGTTATTTATTATGATCCTTTGAGCCATACGCTTTTTTTTCTCTGTGGATTGCCATCTCTCCTCCACTCTGGCACTTTGGCATAAATAGACCCTTCTCGGTTGTATCTTCTCCTGCCGTCTCTTCTCCTGCCCTTTTTTCTTATTCCCCTCACTTCAATTGATACCCCACGTACATCATGGCGGAGGGTCTTGGAGCTCTATTAGAGGCAAGCTTGGACCCTAGAAGGAACAAGGAAGGTAAGTGGCCGAGCGATTGCCTACTACAGCAGTCATGGCTGACCCTATTCCACTCTAGCCGAGACCGCCCTTCGTCAGGAAGAACAGAAACCTGGATTCTCGCTACAGCTTCTTCACATCACCGCATCGAATGCTACACCCTACAACACACGCCTTGCTAGTGCGCTTTGCTTCAAGAACTTCATCAAGCGCAACTGGACCGATGAGGATGGAAACCACAAGCTGCAGAGCGAGGAGGTTGAGACTCTCAAGCGCGAGTTGATCACCTTGATGATCTCAGTTCCTTCAGGCATTCAGAGCCAGTTGGGTGAGGCCATCAGTGTGATCGCCGACAGTGATTTCTGGGAGCGGTGGCAAAGTCTTGTCGACGTAGGTTGTTTGAGTTCACATGATGATACAATGCTGACCTGTGGTTTGTTTAGGATCTCGTTTCCAAGCTGTCACCGAATGATCCTACCGTCAACATTGGTGTGCTCCAAGTTGCGCACTCCATTTTCAAGAGATGGAGGCCTCTGTTCCAGTCTGATGCGCTCTACACTGAGATCAACCATGTGCTTGGCAAGTTTGGCACTCCATTCCTGGCCCTGTTTGAGGTAAATTCCCCCCCCATGTGTTTGGCTGGATTGGATAATAACATATTTTAGGCTTTGGACAACTACCTCGAACAAAACAAGTCGAACAAAGAGAACCTGACCCAAGGGTTCACTCAGCTCAACCTGATGGTCAAGCTATTCTACGATCTTTCCTCCCACGATCTTCCTCCTATGTTCGAAGACAACATCTCCGGAATCGCCGCAATTTTCCTCAAGTACCTGACCTACGACAATCAGTTATTGCACACAGATGACGAGACAGAGGCTGGTCTATTGGAATACGTTCGCGCTGGAATTTTCGAGGCTTTGACCCTCTACGCCCAGAAGTACATGGATGTGTTCCAGCCCCACGTTGAACAGTTCATCCAGAGCTCTTGGAGCTTCCTCACAACCATTGGCCAGGAGACCAAGTACGATATTTTGGTTAGCCGAGCTCTCCACTTCTTGAGCTCTGTCGCAAGCATGCCAGAGCAGTCCCAGGTTTTCCAAGCCGAGGCTGTCCAGGCTGAGATTGTTGAGAAGGTCATCCTTCCCAACGTGAGTTTGCGCGAGTCGGACGAGGAGCTGTTCGAGGATGAGCCCATTGAATTTATTCGTCGGGATTTGGAAGGATCTGATAGTGAGACCAGACGACGTGCTGCCACTGACTTCCTCCGACGACTGGCGGAGAAGTTTGAGTCTTCAGTGACTCAGGTTGTCCTCAAGTACACTCAGCACTACCTGGCTGAATATGCCAAGGATTCATCTAACTGGAAGGCCAAAGACACTGCGACATACCTTTACTCTGCTATTGCTGCCAAGGGTACCGCGACCGCGACACACGGTGTTACCGTCACCAACCCGCTTGTCAGCATCGCTGACTACTTCCAGCAGAACCTTGCTGCTGATCTGATCTCCGACAGTGGGGTTCACCCTATTCTCAAGGTCGATGCTATCAAGTATCTTTACAGCTTCAGAAGTATTATCACCAAGGAGCAGTGGCAACAGGTCCTTCCTGTGCTGGTGAATCATCTGGCGTCATCTAACTTTGTTGTCTACACATACGCTGCCATCGCCCTGGAGCGTGTGTTGTTCCTCAGCGATAGCCAAGGACAGCCCGTGATTTCGCCTGCTGAGATCACACCACTGGCCAAGGATCTTTTGGAGCACATCTTCCAGCTCATTCAGAACGACCCAGCTCCCGAAAAGGTGCAAGAGAACGAGTTCTTGATGCGCTGTGTGATGCGTGTCTTGGTCGTTATCAAGGAAGGCGTGGTGCCTTTCGCGGACGTCGTTCTTCAGCGTTTCATCAGCATCACCGAGATTATTCGGAAGAACCCTAGCAACCCCCGATTCTACTACTTCCACTTCGAGGCCATGGGTGCTTTCATCCGCTTTGCTGCTCCTGCCAACCCCGACAAGCTCGAACAGGCTCTCTATGCCCCCTTCGCCAGCATTCTGCAGGAAGATGTGCAGGAATTCATTCCCTATGTTTTCCAGCTCTTCGCAGCCCTTCTGGAGGCCAACTCGTCTGCTACTCTTCCAACTTACTACCAGGAGCTCATTGGCCCCATCTTGATGCCTATGATGTGGGACTCCAAGGGAAATATCCCTGCCTTGGTTCGCTTGCTTTCTTCGGTCATTCCCCGTGGCTCGCAGTACATCATCGAGCACAACCAGATTGAGCCCATTCTTGGTATTTTCCAGAAGCTGGTTTCCACCAAAGCCAACGAGAGCTTCGGGTTCGACCTGTTGGAGACTGTCGTTGCAAACTTCCCTCCGTATGTATCATCAGAGTCCCTATTTAATTGCCATCTTCTAATATCTGCCAGATCTGCCCTCGAGAACTACTTTATCATGATCATGCAGATTATTCTCCAGCGTTTGCAAGGTTCCAAGACCGAGAATCTCACCATGCGCTTTGTTCGCTTCTTCCACTTCATCTCGGCACACGATGACAAGGGCTACAGCGCCGATTTCTTCATCAATGTCACCGATAAGGTGCAAGAAGGGTTCGTATCATCCTTGCACAGATTGAAGCAATGCTGACTTCGTTCTAGACTTTTCAAGCAGGTTTACCTCCATGTCATTCTGCCCGAAACCCAGAAGCTCGCCCGGCCTTTGGACCGCAAGACTGCCATCATCTCCTTCACCAAGACTCTCGCCAACTCCAATGAGTTCACGACTACCTATGCCTTGAAGGGATGGGGACTTACCTGCATGGCCTTGCTGAAGCTTCTTGAGCTTCCCCCACTGCCAGTCGGCAGAGATGACCTGATCGCCGATGCTGATATCGAGGACATGTCCTTTGGTGTTGGCTTCACCCCTCTCAACACCATCAAAGCCCAGCAAAAGGACCCCTGGCCCGAAACCGGTGCCGACCTCAAGGCTTGGGTTGGCTCATACCTCAAGGAGGCTGATGTCAAGCACAACGGTCGTGTGTCGCAATTTGCTCAGCAGCGCCTCGAAGACGAGCCGCGCAAGGTGCTGGGAAGCTACATTTCGTAAAAGTGGGCTTTGATTTGCTGCCTTCTTTTTGAGAAACGAAAAAAAAGTTCCATTTACGCCCCTTGCTCACTTCATTGAGCACCTTTTCCCAATTACCCCCGCGCTATGCATGTTATGAGACCCTAGATCCATGAAATCAATGCTTCTTGATTTACTGTTTTGAGAGTTCCTTACCCTCTCCCATAGCTCCAGCTATATTGTACGCCGTAGTATAAACATAACACCTGGACACCATCCCGATATCCCAATAGACCTATTATACAAATCCGAATAGACAAAATGGTATATTAAACACTTTTCCCCGATTCCTTCTCCTCCACAACCACATTCTCAACCTCAACCTCTTTCTCTTCTGTTTCTTCCACTTCAACCTCCTCCAAGATATCTTCTCCATCCGCAAGCTCCTTATCCCCTTCCCCCTCCTTCCCTTCCAGCTCCCGATACTTCCGCCGAGTCTTCTTCATCTTACTAGCCTTCTTCTTCTTCGCCGCCGCGGCCTTGATAGCAACTCGACTCTGATCCCCCTTCAACTTCGCCTCCACCCGGTCCGCTAGTAATGAACGCGCGATCTTCTCATTCTGCGCTCGGGACCGTGTCGCTTGGCATTTTATCACCACTCCGCTGGGCTTGTGACTGATCTGGCAGGCCGAATTTGTTTTGTTCTTAGGAATTGTTAGTATTGGGGTTGGTCATGTACGACGGTATGTTTGTAGGGTATGGAGTGGCAGCATACGATCTTCTGTCCGCCTGGTCCTGTGCCTTTCAGGTAGGATATTGTTAGATCCGCATCGTTGATTTTGAGACGTGGTGGCAGGGCTTTTGCGGGTGTTGTTGGAGTTTGACTGAAGAGGCGACTTTGGGTTACTAGTTGGCCTGCCGAACGCCGGAGGCGGAACATTGTTGCTGTTTGGTGGTTGTTGGAGGTGAAGTTGCTGTGGTTGAGATTGGCCTGATAAGCGATAAGGGAGTATGAAGCTTGGTGTTTTATATTGGCTACAGTGGTATGAACACAGACGGAGGCAATTATTTGATAAGGATGTCGTGCTCCGGATAATTTGATATTGCCAGCAGACCTATTTAATTGAAGTTACTGATATTGAAGACGTCAGAGTTTGATCTGACTCTTCACTTCTTTAACCCTGCAAAGTAAGCTTCCTGCGCTAGATATATGCATGATTGACAAGCACTAAATCAGGTACAGGGTCATTGTGGAATTGATCTTAGTCAAGACCAGTAGTGTATAAACCAGCCCAAACAAAAATCAATTGTAAGGCAAAGAATGGAAGGAGATCCAACCTGAAACAAGTACTGGGTACTTGACAGCTCGGCGGGAAGTGGCGGACGCCCGAGGTACAGGGTACCACAGGGAAAGGGGAACGGGTTTTGCAGTTTCCCCCGATCTCCGATCAACTCTTCTCTCACTTCTCACCTCTCACCTCTCACCACTCACCACTCACCTAACCACCTTACCACCGCGCATCTCCCTCTTGTCCATCTCTCGATTCCTAAGTTGGCCCCTGAGTACCCGCTCGCCTACCCCCGCGATCTTCGGTCTCGGCTTCTTTAGCCCGTGTTGATTATAACATCTTTTCTCGACACTACCCACCATTGCGCCTTAGATGGTCAACTCTCTACTGTGACTTCTGCCAGGTCTATCCAGAACGCCCGCCAACAGTGCAATTCAGTGGTATTGAGAGCCTCGAGAAAAAATCGAACAAACCGCTTCCCGATTCTCTTCACACAAGGCACCCAAGACCAGACCCATCCTCTAATTCCTTCAAACCCCCCGCAACAATGGAGATCATTATCTGGGCCATTGCAACTCTCGTCCGCTGGGTGCGCCTCAAGATCTACCAGTATGAGGTGACTTTCGCCATCTACATGCTGACGCCAATCGAGAAACTCATTTTCAGTACGTGGCATCCCTCAACTTCCAGATCTCTCTCCAGGCACAAGAGACTAACCTTCAATTCCTTTGCAGACACACTACTCCTGACACTCATCACCATGATCACCGCCGGAATCTACATCTACCTCCCCGATCACCTCCGCGCCATTTACGGCCGTCTCTACTACTACTGGGCCGGCGAACGTCTTTTCAGCTCAAGCCGGCTCTCAGTCAGTTCCATTTTTGGCGAGACAGCCACGCAAATGGGCGAAATGGTGTATGAAACTGCCAAGAACGCGGCCGCAGCCACGACCGCCCGCATGGCGGAGTTGTGAAAAAAAAAGCCCGATAAGGGAATTTGCTGCATTTGCATTCTCTCTCGTCGCTACGAGTGGATATGCTATTAATGTCCTGGGTATAGGTCAGTCTATACACCTCGGGAACCCTTGCATATCCCTCTCCTAGTTGGCTGGCGCTTGTTGGAGTTCTTGAGTTCTGGGAACTAGGGGCATCCCTATCACTTGCATTGTCGCAGTGCGGCACACCGCATTATTAATAATATTGGTCGTTTATTTTCTAGGGGTCCTTTCTTGCCACAGCTGATGGACTTGACGTGCCTTTTCTGGTTATGCTTGTCTGTTGATGCCCGTGGCTGATTGATGCCTGTATGTCTTATCATTGGAACGTGATCATGATTCAAGTTGGTATTTGCAGACTTGTCCATCTGTATGAGATACATAGAGATACATAATATGTACATGGTTGACATTGAAAAACCATGCCGAAAAACCAGAACCCCAAACGCCATTTATGCCCAGAGTAGAGTGTTGTACAAGTATCCCATCAGCAGAATTATAACTTCCACGCATTGCCAATCCCCGTTGAACAATCACAACTAGGAGAGGGGTTACTTCAATCAATCTGTTGCAGGGCCCAAGATTTCCCAAATCAAAGACCCGACAATGCGTGTATGTCATATCTCAGACCACCACTCACCCTCTTCCACCGTATATCACCGACTGGAGCCCCTAGAGCATCGCAAATTGCCCATTCTTTATTGCTCATTCTGCTGTGCCTGTTCCTGAGCCTGTGCCTGTGCCTGAGCAGCGGCAAATTGAGCCGCCTGCGCCTCCCTCCGCTCCCTGCGCACAGAATCCACCATCCGCATACGCGCCAGCTCCTGGTCAATCTCTTCCTTGTCAAGTGGGATCTTGTTTGATTGTTCGGCGGTGGGCCAGAAGTTTTTTGTGGCGAAGCGGTCGTCCAGGTTTGTGCCGAAGTAGTACATCCATCCAATTGGGAAGAGGACGTACATGCCGAACTAACGAGTAGATAAATGTCAGAGGTTGCTCCCTAAGGGTCTATTTCGCTTGATCGTTTTACCTTGAAGACTTCGAGGTTGCCGCCCTGCAGCTTGCGTAGGAATTGCGACATGATGGGTATGTGTTTTGCTGAGATTTTGATGGATGATATTAGGTATCCGGATGGTGCGGAGTTTAATGAATTGGATTTCGGTAAGTGTTTGTCCAAGCTGCAACCTGCTTTCAACTGGTATGCAGCAACGGAGGTTCGTGATGATCTTCAAATCGAGTGGCGCCACAGCCAGTCACGGGCTTGCTTATGTGAGCAAACAGGACAAACGGACACCTTGTCCTTCAGGCCAGAATCAGACCGCGGGCCTCGGCTCCCCGCAAAACAGACACTCGAGGCCCGAAAGTACTTTTATAGCAAGGACTGCAGCTCAATTCCTGCTCTTTCTCATCACATCACCCGCCATCATGTCGAACGAACAGCTCATCACCGTCTCATACCAAGATCGCGTTGCGATTGTCACTCTTAACAGACCCGACAAGCTAAACGCTCTCAACCAAGACCTCTACTACCTTCTCGCCGAGCGTCTGCGCGAGATCGACCAGCGTGAAGATATCTTCATTACCGTCTTGACCGGTACGGGTCGATTCTTCTCAGCGTATGTACCCCTATAAACCTATCAAATACCTAATTGACCAGAACAATCACTAACCACCACAATCTACAACAGCGGAGCAGACGTAACAAGCTCTCGACCAAACGGCGACCTAGCCGGTAATGGTCGCCGCGAGCTCGTTCGCGGCTTCGTTGCCAATAATGTCGACGTAACCCGCACTTTCTACACCCACTCCAAGATCCTAGTTGTAGCCCTGAACGGGCCAGCCGTCGGCCTCTCAGCCGCACTAGTCGCCCATGCAGACTTTATTTACGCAGCACCCCACACATTCATCCTTACGCCATTTTCGTCCCTCGGCCTTGTAGCTGAGGGCGGTGCTAGCCGCGCCTTTGTCGAGAGACTTGGTATTGCCAAGGCAAATGAGGCCCTCATCATGAGTAAGCGGATTACATGCGAAGAGCTTGTTGCTGCTGGCTTTGTGAACAAGGTGTTTACGCCCGCTAGTGGTAACAAGGAGGATTCAGATGGGTTCTTGAAGCTTGTTCTTGAAGAGGTTGAGGAGAGGCTTGGGACGCACTTGAATCAGTCTTCCTTGCTCAAGATTAAGGAGCTTGTTAGACGGCCCGAGAGGGAGATTTTGGACCGTCAGAATGGACTCGAGGCTTTTATGGGGCTGGAGCGGTTTATGATGGGACTGCCGCAGGAGGAGTTCAGGAAGTTGGCTTCTGGTGAGAAGAAGCATAAGCTTTAAATCGGCTGAGGGCCTTTGTATATAGCTCGCTATAGATATACTGTTGCGTGAGTATACATATACGTCGTGAATACTTGCAAGAGAGAGATTTCGTTAATTGTTATACTCAATCACGATGCAATACCAAAATTGTCATACTCCACTCTAGCCAAACGCCACACTAAATATGCTTTTAGACAACGCCCTGAGCCAGATGTTTTAGTCCGAGTCACTACCGGCGGTTTGATCTTCCTGCTCTTGCTGCTTGAGGATCTCGTGCCACTTGCCCATGAACTCACTCATGCCGCCAGGCCCTGCAAGCGAAGCATCCACCAGCTCTCTCGGCACCTTATGGGCCGAGTACTGTGTTGAACTAAACGCATACGCTTCTGGGTCGTCCTTCTTGATCAGACGGACTTCAGGAAGGAACGGAGCTTGGGAATCGTCCTTTTCAGGGTCATCATTCTCTTCCTCGGACTCGGAGCTTGACTCTCCGTCGTCCAGCTCTTCCGCGGTACCAGAGGTGATAATACTGCCGTCACGAAGTGAGATCCTGACAAACTCCTCTGCTCCATCATCCTCTTGGATACCAATGGGATCCTTCATGTTCAGGATCTCCAGCCAGCTAAACAGCAATGGGTCTGTGCGCTGCGCCCACGGGTTCACATCAATCAACCAGACACGCTGATGAGGCGCAGGAATATATACATCGAAGACGAAATTGGGTTCGGGGAAGCTATCCTTGAGCTTTTCATCGAAGAATGATTGAATCCGGGACCGAAGCATATCGCGCATAGGGAAGAGGAAGTCGAAGTGATTTTGATCACGCTGACTCATGCAGAGCAGTACACGGTTGCGTACGAAGCAACGGAATTCGAGAGATGGGTTGAAGTTGACATATTTGCGGAGGACCAGGTGATATGGCACCTCCGGCAATGTGGCGTCAACGGTAGATGTAATTGAATCATCATTTGTTGTATCCGGCACACAATCGTCAAAGGGATGGTCCAGGTCATGGGTAATGAAATCGCTGCTCTTCAGAAGGAGATATATGTCATTCGGGGTGCGGCACTGAGTGTCGTTCGTGGCAGCCATGAAGGTTGCATCTTTGGGAGCACTCCAGTTTAACTTTGGAGTGACAATGCCGCCGAATTCGGCGATCGTATTCTTAATCTGGGTGTGGATCTCTGCCCATTCGGTGGAAGGGTCGACTTCCTCCTCGCCCGAGTCAGAGAATGTGTCTAGGTTGTCATCGTCGGTGGGAGGAGCGGCTTCGGGGGGAAGGACAATGCCGTCGGCGCGCAGATATTCGACAAAAGCGGACGGTAAAGGGATGCAGCGCGACTTAGGGACGAGCGTACGGTATCTATAATTTCTCAGTCAGATCATTTCGCATTGAGTCATATCTGGGAACAAACCGCGGATGCCAGTCGTGATAAGAACAATGGAGGATATTGGAGTAGGTAGTCGGCGGAAAGGGAAGACGATCCGGCAGGTCATTGGATGACAACTCCACCGGAGTCTCAGTATCAATCGAAGGCATTCCGGACATCTCTGGCATGAGCTGAAGAAAGTCAACGAGGGGAAAAGCGCGGGGACATTTTTCTGCATCACGTGCTGATAAGCAAGCTGAGTAACCAGAACCGTCAGGCGCCCAGGCATCCGCCACATTGGACTACTTGTTCTCCGTGTCAAGCTTGCATCTCATTGCACATCCCGGCAGCATGGCCCCCGAGGCACCTGATCCTCAGAGCCTGAAGTCATGGCAAGATGTATTTCAATATCCTATCCCCACAGTTCGCCGTGTGGAACAGGAGTTGCGCCGGGACATCGCGAGCAATAAGGAGAAGCTTCGAGCTCTCGTGGGGTAAGTAATTAAGTCTGGGGAGTTGCTTTGGAAGATGCTGATATAAATGCGCAATTTCATAGAACTAGATACCGCGATTTGGTTGGAACTGCCGAGACAATTGTTGCTATGAATCGTGATATCCAGGACGTGGAGACTGTTCTGGCCGATGTTGGACGCCGATGCAATCCTCGACTGGTAGAAAGGAAGCATGTTCATGGCAGACAGATCAAGAGTGGAGATGCCGAGAAGGGTAAGATCTTTTTCAGGGGGCTAAGAATTGACGACTAAACTGTTGCAGACGCAGATAAACATGCCTTTGGGGCTCAGCTTGCGCTCCTACATAAGTGTACCACGTCGATTACCAGACTTCTGCGACGCCGCGCATCTCTTCTGTTGATATCTAAGATTCTCATTGTCTGTCGACTACTACACAACACATTGTCGCAACAGGAACCAGTTCCTCCGTTCCTGGACGATCTGCGTAATCAATTAGCACACCTGAAGCTAACACTTCGCAAACGGATTGACAAGCGCCTTGCTTCGACTCGCGCAACGGAGGACAACATCATTGAGTCGCTGGCTGCTTATTGCCTTGCAACGAGCTCGTCTTCCGATGATGCAATTCACCATTTCCATCAAGTGCGCCTGGATGTTATTGCAAGCCAGTTGAGTTTGTCCCGCCAGAATATTCCAAAGGCACTCCAGCTGTTCGTCCGAACACTTCAGGCTTCTAAGGTTCTGCGACACCGTCAGTTTTCTGACGTGCTTTCGAAAATCAAGGCTCGACCGATTCTTGCAGACCCAGAGATCCGCAGTCTAGATGGCTTAGAAATTGAAGTTCTAGGTCGATGGGTGGCTCCAGATGTCACAAACTTCATACCTTGGATCAAATTAAGTGAGCTCAACAGGGCGGATGGAATTGATTCGATCAAGGAGTGGTCACGTCAGGCATTCGACAAATTTACTGAAGGGTGCCAAAAAAGCTTGGCTCAAAGCAATGACTTCTCTGAGCTACTTGCTTTGCGCATAGAAACAGTTGAATTATGGCTCTCATCTTGGGGTTCCACCATTATTCATGGATCACTTGATGTGTTGGAGAGACTCCGGAAGATCTTCAATGACCAGCTGTCACGAATTCTGAAGGTGCAAGCACTGAGCTTGGAGGAGGTCGGAGGCAGGGCTTGCTCTATTGTTTTGGACTGGGAGAAGAAACAGCATGAATCTGTTGGGTCTCTGTGGGATGGCGATCTTATCGTTGCAGAGTACTCCAACGGTGCCCAGGCATTCAAACAAACCGTGGCAGACAGACTCCTGGGTCGTGACGAGGACGTATCAACTGTTCTCGCTACGTATAAAACATGGCTCACATCAATTCGAGAAGTCAAGGAGTCCATCGACTCTTTACGTCGCATACGGTGGACCGATATTCTCGTCGGCGGAGAAGTGGAGGACGAAGATATTGATATTACAATACGTCTTAATGAAGACGATCCACGTCTTCTGTCTGATTCTTTGCATTCCGCAGTTCGAGAGTCATACGGCAATCTGCAAACATCATTCAGTAGCGCATTCAAATCATTCGGCTCATCGCATTCCAGCGAAAAAGCAACCTTCCTGCTGAGGCTCATTCGGTTGGTACGGCGTGATATCCCAGCGAGCTTCGTGGCAGGGGACTTTGTTTTCTCGATTGATATTGTTCCAGAGCTCCAGAAGTTGCTTGCCTCGGAGGTCGTCGCCACGGCAGGCTCCTTGAAGATGGCACCGTCCTTGAAGGCGCATCCACAGACAGGAAGGGCCAAGATTGTACCTGGTCGGTCATTATGGGAAAGTACGCCGACCGTACCGGTTCAGCCCTCTGCCTCGACTTTCAAGTTCCTGCGACGTCTCACCTCAACCATGGATATCTGTGGATCAGATCTCTGGGATCCATCAACAGTACTGGCATTGAAAATGGCCCTCAAAACAGCATTAGAGATTGCCATTGCATCTTCACTGGATGATCTTGAAAGTCTAGACTCCCTCAAATCTGACTTGGATGATGAAATTCCTTCTACAAATGGTGACAAAGATCAAGGGAATAAGTCGGCAGAGAACAATACCGAAGAGCAAGTCGAAGCAACGCAGGATTGGAAAACCCAACTCTTCTTTGACTCTCTATATCTGTCCAAGATGCTTGGTGAGAAATATCAGCTGGCTGATGTTCTTGCCCGTGCCCAAAAGAGTGCAGATCTTGGTACAGAAGCCGTGCAGACAATGACGCAGTCTGCAAATGAGTACTGGACCCGGACAGAGCTGCTTTTTGGCTTGTTGGCGGAACATTGAAGATTTTCTAGACATTCGCTGTCAGATATTTGTACGATTCATTTGCAAGAACAGGTCACCTTCTCATCTATTTCTTCTTGATCTTGAATAGAAGAATGACAACAAATTTACAGGACCTCAAGGATATACACACACATTCATTCTCTCGTAGCTAAATGGACTATTACAACTTAACATTCTAACAGGCATGCATAATTGAATTTTTTTTGTTGTTTTTGTTTCAGTGTCTTTCTCTTCTTTTTCTTATTCATTTTCGCGCTTTTTCTTACTTTTTTTTGGGCGTTTTCTGTTATCTTTGGAGTAGCTGAATCGAACAGGCGGAATTTGTAGAGGACAGTTTAGCTGCTTGCGACATCATCGATCTTGTCAATGAGATTGCCAATGTCATACTGGATAGCCAACAGAGCCCGTTGAGAATCTCGAGCACTGGCAGCTAGCACCGTGTCATTCACTGACCCGAGCACTTTCTCAAGTCCTTTGAGGGACCAAGACTTATTCACAACTTGAAGCATATTCCCAACCAAGATAATCTCACCACGGAGCGTGGATAGTGCCTCCAGGTTTGAGGTAGAGGGACAGTTGTTGAAATGACGGCGCCACTTATTGGTCAACTGCTGCAGGGCTGCGAGTTGAACTTCCATCTCGCAGATCACCTTGATGCAATCTGTGAACAGCACCTTGCGGATGCGAATTCGGTCCAAGGTATGCAGCTCCATGGGCAGAGCCTTGCACGTAAGCTCATGCACTTGTTGACACAGTTTCCCTTCGGGGGATTCTCGGAAGCAGCGGTTTATCTGGAAGACGCTCATCACCTTCCGCCAGCATCTTTGGAGATTCACGATCCTGTCGAGCTCGTATCCAGTGTATTCCTCGATACTAGGAGTTTCTCCTGCTTGATCTGCCAGGCCAGAATTTTGCTCCACCGCATGCGAAGCGCGCAGGATATCATCGAGCTTGCAGTACTTTGCATTGTTTTGGACCATTGTTTTCAAGAACAAGGGCGGAGTGTCTTTGTTTTCGAGCGAAACAACGCAAATCATGTCCTTCTCATTGTACATCTCGTATTCCCGAATGCAAGTCTGTTTGAAAGCGTCATGGCTGTAAAAGACGAGATGCATGTTTGTGGGGAGGTTGGCTTTCACCGTCTAGTGTTGTAATTAGTTAGTTAGATTCTCTGTCGATGCTGTTCCCACGACGTTTTGCATACCTTGTGAATCAGTGTGCTCATTTCTTTGAGACCTTTTGGTGGACTGGGCCAATTTTGAAAATTGAGAAGGATAGTAGTGAGAAAATCGATATAACGACGTCTCATTACAACGGGAGTAATGTCGCAGGATCCTTTGCCTTGGAGGAAGTGGAGTGGGTTCTCTTTGATTGTCGCTTCCAGCCTGCTGACAGTCTTGCACAAAGTGAACACAATTAAAATGAGCAGCTGTGAGTAGACACGCTTGCTTCTTTCCTTGATTTCGCTTTTGCTTGAAGACAACATGACCGTAGGAAGATGCAAGAGAGCCCAGGACCAGGGCACTGCAATTGCACTGTCTGGGCTTGACATAGCAAGCTGGAAATTCATTGTTAGCTGGGGTTCATTGAAAAATGGTCAGATAAACGCACAACATATGTGGCCGAAAGTTCTAGCACAGAAAGTATCGTGTGGAAGTGAGTAAGGGAGGATACAATGCTCTTTTCAAGGCATTGAAGAAACACCTGGACCGCGGCGGGCTTTGTGATATTAGTATACATAAATTCAGTGAAAAAGAACTTAAAACTTACAAAGTCCGAGGCACGTTTGTCAATCGCAATGCGAATCCTCTCGGCTGCCTTCAAGCCAGCCAAAGGAACTGCGAGTGGGTGAGGCAATGTCCTGCTTTCTTCCATACTGCGTTGGCTGTAGGAAATGTTCTGTTCAATTCTATGCACCAATTGTCGATGGAATCGTTGTCCCGTTTGAGGTCCTATAAATGAAGTTCAATACCCTAATCAAACTTTTGAGCTTAGCTAGGCGCTGTCTTACCAAGAGTTTGAGCTTGCTGAACCTTGTCTAAGAATGAGGTCAAAGTGCAGTAACTTCTCCACTCATTCTGCATGCGATAATAGAGCAGATCTTCAAGGCAGTAGGCGGTAACCATGAAATCTGGGTCATTGTACAGAGTGCATCGAAGCTGTGCAATCGCTAGAGCCGATTGATCAATTGAGCCAACAATAAGTAGCTCATCTTGGACCCTTTGTACCCAATGTCTTCCTGTTAGATAGATATGTTAGAACCGGTATTCGGGCAGCTTCTGACAGACTTGTTGGACTTACTGCGCCCTAGGAACTGCTTGCTCCATTCCTCTGTGAGATATCTCCCTCTATAAAGAGGTGTGATCTTTGCAAAAACATCCGCAACAGCGAGAAGATACTGAATATTGTCATCATTAGTCGCAGAACACCAGCAAGCTCATCATCTTTTGAACTAACCTTGAATTTTACACAAATCATCTCATCTGAAATCCTTTCATGACTAAAGGAGCAATCTTCAGCGGTCCTTGAACAGTAACCTAAATAAAATTAATCAGCATAGTTTAAACACTTACAGCGATATTTCATACCTTTAAAAACTTGATTGTTACATGGCACTGGGTGGTCAATCTTCATGTGAACCGAAGCGGTCTCATGGAAAAAGGACAATGCGGCGCAGAATTTGTCTTGAGTAACCCTTCTAGCATACTTGAGCATATCCTGCATAGAACAGCAATCAGAAAGCATAGGATTCATATGACTCAATCGTCTCAGAGGGGACCAGCTGAGCAAGATGGGCACCGTGTCTTGCTTTGGATCGGCAAAAATACCAAAGACAAGAGCCAGGCAACTGGGATAGGCATTGATTTGCTCCTCAAATTCCTGCATCAGCTTGCAAACTCGCGATAGCATGTCCATGGGCAAAAGCGATCCGTTAGATCGAACAAAAATGGTGAACTCAAAGGTGACGGCCTAGAAAGGTTAGGTTTGTGAGCAATACTCGAAATAGGTTGTAAACGTACATAAAGACAAAGGAAGTCCTTCAAAACTCCATTTGGCAGCTTCTTTATGGACATAGAAGCATCAGGGTCAGAGAATTCTTCGCTAAAATTTTGCAATTCAATCCACTGTTTGGCCAAAGGCTCAAGCCAGGTTGTTTTAACAGCCCTCAAGATATTGGTTTGCTCTTCGATACGACGTGCCTTGCTATTAGCATTGCGGCAATGGAATGCTTCTGCCATAACGTAGTGGAAAAGAAGCTGAACAGTCTGCTTGTCGGTGGTAGGCAAAAGTCCGCAGCGTAACAGCGTCTGCAAGGCAACAGAAAGATCACCTACTGCCAGTGATAGCTCATAATATTCGAACCACCTTCTACTCGTGTAGAAGAGACTGCGCAGCTGATCCCACATCTCAAACTCTCTGAAGAAGGCCACCTTAGTGTCATCATTTCCGAGCATATTGATTGTGGCGAGTCTCAAATTGGCAGAGATTCGCCCTTGTTTGAGTAAAATGTTGCATAGTCGGGAGTAACGAACCCGCGTAGTCGCGCTTAGATATTGGCAGTTTCTACCAAGAGTCAGTTTTCTTTGCAATTTGACCAAATTAATTTCGAAGGAGATTGAATTTTAATCCAGCCAGTGAATTTGAATGCCAGAAATGTATTTGCATCATACTTACTGATTGAAATAGTAAATCAGTTCATCAAATTTCTCACCGCGGCGCAGAACATCGACTGCTTGCTCGTAGTCGGCGCACGCATGATAGCACATGCAGGCATCATAAAACATTTTGCCCTTTTCAAAAAATCCCACGGCCTTTTCAATCTGACCAAGACCTGCCCATATTTCTATGACGTGCGTTAGTATCTTCTTGAGTAGGATTATCTGCGCGAGAACAAACCTGCAACCTTGCCGAATTGCCCAAGTACTTCGTAGCAGGATGCAACCTGTTCCATAAAGCCAATTTCCCGGAAAAGTGGGATTGCTTTTTCAAGACAGATTGAAGAGTTTTCAAAATCACCAGCTGCTCTGTAAGCTCTTGCGTCTTGTTCATAGAGGCAAGCCTGGGAGCGTGCAATTCCTGGAAGGTCTTTTGCCTTCTTGTAACAAAACAATGCCTGGAAATATCTGTTAACCACAATTTATTTGTAAAACTGCTGCATATAATGAACTTACATCCGCAAAGTTCTTCTGATCCAGCAGGTGAAGTGCGCGTTTCAACCATCTGTCAGGGTCCACGGATCCTCCAGCTCGGAGAACTCTAACCATTTCAGCAACCTATTGTTTTATTTTAGCTCAGGCTTGTTGTAAATCAGTAGAAATCTTACATTTGGATCTTTTTGCTTGACAACTTCAGCAAGCTCGAGGCTGCCACTTGTCGATAGTGCCTGAAGAATGGGATCAATGCTTTTCTCCTGAATCTCCATAAACCAAAGCTGTCGTCTTGCTCGAGTGACGGCGACGTAAAGGTGCTTTGATAGTTGGTCAGTAAACTTCGTTGGCATCAGAGACTATATAGTTCACCTTGAGTTCAGAACAAAGGGCCTAGTCGCCAATCATGTTAGTATCACAAACAATATCTTCTGTGGGAGGTACTGACAGCATGTTTCTGAGGGTCAAATTGAATCCGCGAGGAAGCGGCAATCTGATACAAACAGCGGTAGCTGCTACTCAACTCGCTGCCTCCGAAGAAGTCGTAGATCAATACGTCGTCAAATTCCATGCCTTTGCTCTCAAGAACTGTGAGCACGAGTGCAATTTCGCCAATTTGGCATTGAAGCCTGTCTTTTGCCAGATCATCTCGGACGATGATGACTTGCTCAGCACCGAAATTGGCTACTTGATCATTGAGTTTGACGAGCCCAATCATCTTGGCGGACAAAATCGAGGAGTCAAACCCGGCTGTGAGTTAAAACGTTAGTACTCGAATCAACGCCTTGGATCAGGAGAAAACTAACCAAATACAATGGGCTTCGGGCCTCCAGTCTCGCCAATCTCTGGCTCTAGCTTGTCAATTGTCTGGGGGAATCCTATGAAGGTGAGCCAGATAGACTTGACATTGGGTAAAAATGACACTTCATCATACCGTTCCAAAGCAGTTGCATAACCCATGATGCGAAGCTCAAAATCCCCTGATGAGAACGATAATTCTTTGCCAATGAGAACTGAACAGGCCGAGCGAGAAGGGGTTGATTCAGCTTCTTAGCGGTGATCTCGTAGTGATCAAAGAACAAGTCTTTGACCTCTGGGAATCGAAACACCGAATCCTTGGAGATGCACTGAGCGGTATCGCCCGCTGTAGGAGGCCAAGTTAGTCAATCAAATACAAGAGATGTGACCAGAGTAGAGGATTCAAACCAAGATGAATACCGCGGGCATCACTCAGACAGCCCAAAAGCAAGACAATGTCAAGACAGCGAAGATCTTGGATTTCTAAGAGAGTGTTAGCTAGACTGATCAAGCAAGAAGGAAGTTAGAGCATGGGATACCATCAACATAGATCTCTTCAAAGCAACACTGGACCTGGCTTGCAATTGTGGTGTTGTTTCTAAGAGACTTCAGAAGTAAAGTAACTCGATCCAGCTCATCGATCTCTTCTCGCTGTCGCTTCTGCTTTTCATATCGTTCAAATGCCACATAGACCTTCTCTCGATCAGCCTCGCAAGCGAAGGCAGGAGACATCTTTGCATTCTTGGAAACATATTCAGTACGCTGTAAAACCTTCAGCCTCTTTGCAACAAGACTGCAACCTTTGATTACACCCATGATTTCTGCGAAGAGTAGCTCTGGGGAACAAGAGCTCGGAGCCAGTCCGGATAAGCAGCCCCAGTATTCGGTCTTGAAAACATTGAAATCAATTACCCGCGACTTTACTTTTTGGTTGTCGATGTATTTCGACTTGTTGGAATCCATGCCATGCAAAAAGTCCTTTCGATCCGCCATTCTAAAACAAGTCAGTAAAACTTGAATTAAAATGGGAAGGTATATTATCCAAACCTGAGGGTCATTTCCATTAGGTCGAGGAACCTGTCGTAAGTGCAGATGACTGGAAAATGTTCACGGCCGAGAGCAAAGAAAGAAATCGGATTTTGGTCATATTCTCTACCTGGGGGACTCGAAGTGGGTTTCATTTGAGTGTCAATCAAGGTCTTTGCATAACTTTGCAGCTTGGAAGCTAAGTAGGCCGAGCGGGTCAAAAGAAGCTAGAAGTCTATCAGCTTTTGCTGCTAATATCCAGATAAGAAATAACCTACCTGTCGGGCGTGATGTTCTTCAGAACGAAACTTTTTGAAAAGATGTCTCGCAAGCATCTTGAACAATAAGCAAGATGTTTTGCCGGTGCCACTTCGTCCCAAGATCAAGGAGGAGGTACTGAAGTGTCTAACAACTTGTAGCTCTTGAGCGGAAAGCTCAAATGGAAACTCGGCATCTTTGTTTCCATCAAGAAGCGCGTTGAGAAGTGGCTCATTGAAACTGTAAAATTTGTCTGGGTAACCAATCAAGTCAGCTTGTAGTTCAGTCTAGATGAAAGATGTATTCTGGATGGAACCCGTACTTGACATCCCAATCAAAACTTGACCTGTATTCAGATTGGGTTCGAGCGGTTTTGGGTGAGAGCCTTTGACGTTTTGAAATTGTTGTGGAATCCATGTTCCATCGAATTGTTTAGCTGGCCGTACCAAGCAGAGCGCAGTGTGTTCAAGGGAATAGGAGGTTTGAACCGAGATAACCTGATCGATCGCGTTCTCAAGCTGTAATCTGAATTAGTATCTCTGTCAATCGCTTTTTGTAGCCGAGGGCTTACCTCTGCAATCGAGGTTACGATTTGCCATACTAATTACATTAATACATGCTGCATACCCTCTTGAAGCAAAGCACTTACCTTTTATGACATGCTGTTGAACCCACGGAAGCTCGTCATAGAACCCGACATCAATCTGCCACAAAACTGAAACAGTAGAGTTTGCAGTAGCTCCCATGACCGGGACTTTCAGTGCATTCTTCTGCTTATTGGACCCCATTGGCCGAGACAGATTCTTACCAGACCATTGACCACTTGAAAGGGCTTTGAGAGCCTGAACGACGGCGGAAAGAGACGCTAAAATTCGTTAGAACCCCATTCAAAGCACGGCCCATGGCTCATGGAAATTTAAAAAGAATATCAACTGTACCTTTGTCAGCTAAAATACTTGCAGACTTCAGAGCAGTATCGGAAAGTAGGACTTTCCAAAGGCCGATCCGCTTTCCGAAGATTTCTTGAGCATAATCAAGCTGCGTTGTGCTCCCGGCTGATTGCGGCTCTGTTGGAATGACCAAGTCGAGAGGGCTCAGTCCTCCACTTAGTCTATCTAGACACATTCTGCAGGGAAATGTCTCTAAAGCGCAGCGCAAAAGCTGTGGAAGTATCTCGGTTTGAATTTTCTCACAGGCGAGGGTCATTCCGCGAGAAGAAATTGGAATGTTAATATCGAAAAGACGTAGCTGTGCGAGGGTCTCGTCCGGGATCAGGAGATCATTCTTAGGCTGTTCATTGAGTTGCGATGAATGGGACTTTTTGTCGTCCAGTGTTAAGGCTTTCATGGTCTCCAAGGGAGGTAAGCTCTTGACTGAGACGTGCTTGGAGTTTTCAGCGTGAGATTTCTCAAGCGAAGTCAGAGATGTCTCTAATTGAACAGCAATATCCCAGCTCTCAGAGATGGAGGCAGTGCCATGGTCTGCGGAGCATGCCTTGCAAACGGATATGATTTTGGCACCCGCACGGCGAAGGATAGAGGTGGGTAGGTTGTTACCTGGTGACAACCAGGTTTTGAATACAGTAGAATATTCCTCGTTGGCCACCAAGTGGTCCAGCAGGCCCTGAGATGCAAGTAGCATGTCAATGACACCGCGAAGATACTGAGAATGAAGTGACTGTTTTGGAATAATTGGGAGGGAGGAGCCAACAAGCTGAATCACCTGTGCTGGAGAAAAGATGTCATCGTTAACGAAGGAGAGCACCATGACCTTGAGTATTTCTTCTGCAACAGGACCTGACAGTTGCTTAGTGCGTAGTATTTCAAAGGACTTGAGAAGGCGGGAATGGATTTGGTCTGGGTTTAGAGATAGCTGGTCGCGGACATTCTCGCTTTGCATAGCGGTATGAAGGCGGCTGTAGTATTTCTCGACGTTGTTGAGGGCATGATTGTACTCATGCAACCCAGGCTTTTTCTGTAACAGGATTGAGGTCCACGGAGTCTGTACGGGCCCCATGATGGCTTCCGTTAAGTGGTTGAGTGGCCAAACAAGGACAAGCTCGCAATTTGGGGTCAATGGAGGCTTGGGCTAGGGCTTCGTCCGGTTGTTTGGATAGCGTCGGCCGAGGGAAACGGGCCCTGGAGGCACATATTAGCAATAAGCAACAAGACAGATTTTTGATCGTAGTATGGAGATCACACTGACTCTGATGGGATAGGAAGAATTAGGTAGATGGATGAGGGACGTGGGCGGATGGATGAGGGACGTGGGTGGATGGATGAGGGAAGTGGGTAGATAGATGATGGTAGTTGGTAGAGCACTCAAAACAACAAACCCAAACACTGATTTTCGTGGCAATACCGTAGCAGAAGCTTCCCCTACGCTTCGTGGCCCACAGCTTCAATAGGCAAGCAAACATCGAAGTATCTAATTACTACTCAGTTATCACTCGGTAAACAAATCAAAGAAGTCATCCCTATATATGAAGTTTCTGAGATAGGACGGGCTGAAGACTGTCCTTCAAGCTAGTGAATGTAATAGTAGTGTAAGGAGACTTTTGCTGGTTTATACTTCGGTTAATATGCCGGTTAAATGCGGCCGAACTCTAAAAAGACATCCTATCACGTGACCAGTGATCTGCTAGACGGGACAGTTTGCTGTATTTGCATCAAGTTTCGTGCTTCTATCATGCGGGATGCAGTTGATTGAGTACTTGCTATCATATAGTACTTTTTTTGGGACCTGGATCCTGGCTTTCATGGCTTCAGTTCCTCAGCTTACCAGCCAACTACTCTAATTATGAAACAATTATTATTAGACGCACTTGTTGGGCCTCCAGGGCTGGAACACCAATAGAAACCATGTGATCCTCATATACTCTAGAAGATAAAAGGCAGGGTGTCGCGTGATAGCCATGTCGACCAAAATATTGAAAATTTGTTGCCTTTTTAGGTAATCCCGTGACTTGTAAGTAGTTAAGTTAAATGCCCTAGCTTTGTAAGTAGGCTTTCATAGAACAGACCCCAAAGTAGGCAAGCAGTGCAGCTTGAACACAACCTTGAATACGGAAAATTACATTCTCAAATCCCTATATTTCCAGTTTGCTATTGTAGAGTCATAGAGTAGAATCTCTTTCTATTGAGATATATTATCTCTAAATCTCGCAATAAAGGTAGTCTTATAGCTAGATCATGCCTTCATGTACCGCTAGATGGACCTCTCGCTTGCCGAATACTGTAATCGTGACTTTCATGTTAGTATTAAGTTAAGGCTAATTCTCATTCTCATTCTTTAACTTAACTTATATGTAGATCGTAGAAGATACAAATGTCCAATGGCTGCACATGTGCTAGCTAATTGCTGACTCATCACCATTCCCGCGGGGGATCAACGTCACCCAAGCTCGTCCGCGGGAAAATAGTCTGTCTTCTTCATAGCTCAACACTCCTTCAATCTTGCGTCATGGCTACCACAAGGCTCCCGTTTCTTTATCCAAATTTGATGCGCGCTATCCGTTCTTGCGAACCGAGCACATACCGTTCCCTACGACTCCCATACACTCCTAATCGCTATTTCCATACCGGTCGCCGGCATGAGCGCGAAGCCTACCAGCGGCGCTATGGTCCAGCCGTCGAGCCTAGTGCATCTCAAGCGTCCCGACTAAAAAAGGCTTCATCTGATCAAATTCCGGAGGAAATACCAGCCCTGGATGAGACACAAAATACCTCCGAGCAGGAGGAAGCTTCTCCGGAGGAGTCGCATTCGGACCCATCCCAAGACATTCAGGATGCCGCAAACACCTCTTCATCACCAAGCCCAAATTTAGATCAGCAAGAATCAGTCGAACCAAAAAAGGAGGATCCTCCCACAGATCGAGAACCACACGAAGAGTCTGGGGTAGAGGACAGTTCCGAGCAGGACCAAGCCTCGGCTTCATCGACATCCACTTCCGGGAGCTCACCCGAAGAGAAAGCTGAATCGGCCCCATTCTCTGGCCAAACGCCATTTGATGAAGTTCTTCATATGCCACCGCCGTCTGTCTATCTAACTCCATCTGGGGAATCCTCCTCTTCTGATGACCGCCCGCCACACCTCTCCCCGGCACCCTATGTACATCACTTTGATACATACTCATTAGTCCAGGAACTCTCCAAAGGAGGATTTAGCAATGAGCACTCGACTACTATCATGAAAGCTGTGCGGGCCATTTTACAGAATAATCTTACGCTTGCGAACGAGAGCCTGACTTCCAAATCTGACGTCGAAAATGAAGAGTATTTGTTCAAAGCAGCATGCTCAGAGCTTCAGTCATCGCTTCAGACAGCCCGCAACTCGGAAGTGCAACATCAACGCTCATCGCGTACGCAATTGCAACACGATACGGATATTATTTCGCAGCGCCTCAGCCAGGAACTGGCAGGCATGAGAGACGAAATCAAGGGCATGTTCAACGACCACAAAATGGTCACGCGTGAACAGCAGCGGACTATCGACACTTCCGTCCAAGAATTAAACTACAAGATCACTGTTTCGCTCAACAGTGATGGAAAGAGCGAGATCGAAGGTCTTCGTTGGATTCTGACGCGACGTGCAGCTTTGACCATCGCCATTTGTGCCTGTAAGCGTTCGAATTCACCGGATTTGGATTTTTGAGGCTAACTATTCCGACAGTCATGATCATTGTTTTCCTGAAATACGCGTCCACTCGCAAGGTTCCTGAGCCCGCAAAGGCCAAGGAGATAGAAAAGCCAGTCGTAACCAAAGAAATCGCCGCAGAAACCAGGACTGTTCACGAAAATGGCACTACGACTATTCCATCTACTTCCGAGGCCCATTTGGGCGAATCCCTTGGTTGATCCTCAAACACCGGACGTTCTCGTTCTCTACCTTTACATACCAAAGACTCATTTTCTCTTTTCTTTTGTCTCGGCCTGTCTCTATGTACATATGTACTGGCCCATGTACAATACTTGTATCACCATATAGACTAAACTCAATCTCGTGGCAACAATATTTATCAATAAATATATCTCAAGCATGAGGCTTTCCTAGAAAGAAGCTGATTCTCAATGCTATACCAAAATAATGCTATAACAAGACATAAAAAAGACTTTCTCAAAGAGCCACTTTCCAGCCATCACTCACCCTTTACCCAAGGAACATCCTCTGGCAGATACTTGTAAGCCCTGAAAATTGCATTGCTCAAACAATCAAATCCCATCTTCTCCATTTCATCCAACTCATCCTTCCTCATAACCCTCTTATAATCCCCCAATTGAGGGACAACAAATTCCCAAACCATCTCTCCGCTTTCCAAAACCTCCATAATACGGCCATCAAACGCCTCACACAGCAAAACATTCCCATTCTTTAGTTTTTGTGCAGACCCCATAAACGGCGTAAAGAAACCTAGGCCCCCCGTCGAAGGATCCTTGTACTCCCACTTAACAACCTTTTCTCGAGAAACGATAACAGCGCGCGAAAAAGGAACAGCCAGCCCAGGCCTAAAAACACCATTATCGAATATGAGGATGTCACCCGCCTCATTGATCTGGTGAGCACAGTGTTGCTGACTGACCGTCGGCGCAGACAGTTGCCACAATACTTCACCTGTTGCCCGACTGATGACGAAGACGCTGGATGCATTGCGTGACGAGGCGATGATGTTTCCCTCGGAGTCAAAGGCAACACTGTTGATCAGAGGCCAATGCTCGCGTGGATAATGTGGGTGTGCAGCGAAGACCGCTGGGTCGAGATGATCGATCGCCCGCCAGGACCAGAGCAGCTTCGCGCCGCCATTTCCACCGCCGCCGTTGAAGTCGGAAGATGAGGAGGCTGTAGATGATCCCCATGGCTGGACAAGCTTGATGCAGTCGCCGTAGATAGTGCCGTTTGGGGCTTCGCTGCCTGGGATGCCGCCTTGTACACGGGATGCTTCTTCGCTGCTCAGAGGCTCCAGGGTTGTATAGAGGATTGTGCCGTCGTCAAGATGGTTTTGGTCATGATGTGCCAGTGGGTCTGAGTACTGCCGTACTATGTCGCCGTCTGGGCTTACTTGCATCATTGCTCCGCCGCGATATTTCGCCCACATTGGGAACAGCCCGGGTGCGTCTGGGTGTGCGCCGTTGTATGCTAGGTTACCGTTTGGGAGGATTCGGGCATGCCGGCCTGCTCTGTGGGGTAAAGTCCATCGGTGGACTTCATTACCTGCCGTTGAGATGAGATGGACCGTATTCGAGGTTAGAGGTGCATATAGCACGTAGCCTGGTGAGACGCGCTGGTCGTCAACGCCTCGGAGGCCGAGACCTCGACGGCAAAATGTGTGCTGTTCCATTGGGTTGACTTGGGAGATGACTTGCGTGACAATTCCAAAGAGAAAGAAAAAAATGCAGACTTGAGGGATTTTATCTTTGACGAAAATTGGGGAAGTGGACGTATCTTGCTGTTCTTAGGGCTTCCCGGTCCGGCATGCCGCGGTATGCCGCGGGGATAAGTATCAAGCCAGATACGCTCAATATGGCGTCAGATATGCCCAGAATATGCTTATCAATGAATTCAAAGCTATGAATGGTCTATTGGGAGAGTATGGTCGGGAATTATTGGTATAAAATGGGAGGGAGCGAGGTATAGAAAGGGGGTGTCCCCGACTAGATTGAACTACTCGATCAGTTCCGCTTGACATTTGGAAACTCTATGAAAATGAAACTCTATAGTGAATCCATTCAAAAGACTCAGTCGGAGCCAGAAGCGGAACACCCTGTTCAGCCATGGTATGGAAGATTCTCCATCGAAGAGGGTGGCATCGAACGGGTCACCGATGAAGAGCGGATACAGAATACCACCAGATTTTGGAATGCCGCTACTTTCTGGTATGATGATTCCATTTTGCCTTCCATTTCACTAGACTAATGCATGATGCTCATATAGGTTCAGTGCCAACATGGCAGTGGCTACACTCAACATTGGCTCCCTAGGAGGCTCACTTGGCCTCTCTTTCTGGGACTCTTTCGTCGTCATCTTGGTAGTGAATATAGTAAGCGATTTTCTTCCAGCATGGACGGCAGTATTCGGATTGACGGGATTGCGCATGACAACTTTCTCGTGAGTGACTTTTCGCCTCAACCATCCACTTGTATATATATTGATACGCACCATTGACTGTCAGGCGATACTCATTCGGCTATTGGGGCAACATGCTTGTTGTCATATTCTCAATGATAGCAACAACAGGTTGGAACGCAATCAACTCTATCTCTGGAGCAGTCGTCCTCAACGCCCTTTCCGATGGCCGGTTTCCCACATGGGCCGGTGTGATAGTCATATGTGTATCTGTTTGGGTGATATGCATTCTTGGAATTGGCTGGATTCACAAACTCGATACATTTATCTGGATTCCCCCGTTGATTGTGTGGTGTGTGGCAGCAGGTACGGGTGCATCTCATTTCACTGGAGATGATCATGCCGGTCTGAGAGGATCTGATAAAGCTGCTGCTATACTGACGTATGGAGCGGCAATATTTTCCTTCTCTGTCTCTTGGGTTAACTGTGCTGCTGACTACAATGTGCGGATGCCTAAAGGTACTCCACAATGGCACATCTTCAGTGCTACGTATGTTGGAATTTTCATTCCTACTGTACTTGTTCAGACTCTAGGTGCTGCTTTGTATACAGGGACCATGACTGATGCGGCGTGGAAAGAAGCTTATACAGATTCTTCAATTGGGGGTCTTTTGAAAATGGCATTGAAGCCTGCTGGGGGATTCGGCAAGTTCTTGATGGTTCTAGCAGCATTGAGCTCCATCCCCGTGAGTAAACCGGCCACACACATCCCTTGTCTTGTTTCACGCTTGCTGACCTCTCAAAGAACAATATTCCAAATAACTATTCATTTGCCCTTCATGCACAGAACATGGGGCCATGGGCTCTACGTATTCCCCGTGTGGTTCTAGTCACGTTTGGATCCATTGCAGCGGTGATAATTGGCTGTTTTGCGGCTAGATATTTCTCTGATACCCTGCAAACACTGCTTAGTGTCATCGGATATTGGACTGTCATTCATATTACACTGGTTATGGAAGAGCATTTCATTTTCCGAAGGGGATGGAACGGATATAATCTTGATGCTTGGAATAGCATTGCGGATCTGCCTTTTGGATGGGCAGCAATAGGGGCATTCGCCTTTGGCTTCCTCGGCGCGGCACTCGGCATGAAGGTGGCATGGTATGAATCTCCTATTGCATCTTTGATTGGTAGCAAAGGTGCCAATATTGGACATGAATTGACATTTGCCTTTTCGGGTGTCACTTTTCCACTGTTTCGGTGGATTGAGAAACGACATGGAGGCAAGTGAGCTACTGTTGAAATCGCTTTCTTTGGCACCACATTGTGTATGCTCTAGTTAATTTGGTGTCTTCCTCTCCTGCCTCTTATCTCTCTCGCTTTCTGTCCGTGTTCAGTGATCAGGTACCTCAGTTGATGTTAGTTCAAAAATGATAAATATATCATGTTCGGGTCCTGCAAACCATGTTGTAATAGTTGCAAGTTTGAAATTATTTCAGTTACCAGAGCCATCAAAAGATATGTTTGAAGTGAGATTGAACATGGGTTGAAGGTGCTCATATGATTATGTTGACCCCATCAATCAGGCCGTCTGGAACTCTCTGAACTCTGCTGAAACAGCTCCATATTAGAAAGAAGATCCCAATTCCCATCCGCAGACATCCCCAACCCAAGAAACTCGGGGAAATAGTAATTATTAAAGTCACCCGATATATCGTCAGGCGGTGCATCCGGTGTCGATGCCTCTACTCGAGGTCTGAGCTTCTGATGAACCTTGGCAATGATATTGCCTAGAGTATGTGCTGCATGACAGGGCAGTCCAATGCAGTATAGCCATTGAACGAGATCATGGACTAAAGAATCCAGCTGATCGATACTATGCGTTGAAGCGACTTGTTCTTGGTAACCAGTTGATAGGCGGCAAATGACAATTGCTGCAAATGTTATCATGTGGTAGATGTGGTCAGTTAAATGGCGGGTTCGCTCGTCTACTGTGTCCATGGCTAGTTGAACTATTGCCGTGGAGTGGCGGATCATTTCTGACACGATTGATTCTCTGGCTCGGGCGGATTTGGATTTGAGAGCATGTTCGTATAAAAGGAGGTGGGAGAAGTGGAAGCCCATGGACAAGAATTGAGATCTTGGTTGATCTAAGAGCCGTGTTAGACAGGGGTCGTCGTTAGCAGAAGAGAAGAAAACAACCCACCAAGAACGAATTCCCATTTTCGTTTCCATGCTTGCAAAGCTGCCACTGATTTCAGTAAGTCGACTGACTCCTGTATCAAGTGTTCGTAGACGGTCCAGTAGAGATAAATCTCAGCAACCATGCGAACTTCAAAATTAATCGCGTGGTCGGAATCAATAACAGCGCGGCATCTTTCAATCTGCCAGGGCTGTAACATTGATCGACGACTTGTGCCAACACAGTAATGCATGTGAGCCAGACAGAGATGATTCCATAGATAGCAACGGTCCATAGTTGCTTCGTCCAACCTATTTGGGGGATGGGACTGGGTTGTGACTACCGTAAATAGCGGACTTGACTGTGAATGTTGCAGAGCAAATCCGCTTAAAAGCCAGCTATCAATACTCAAGGGGACTTGGCCAACTGTCGTCGACCACATTGAGAGAATCAAGGCCGCTTGAAAGAACTCAATTGACTGTGGGGCGAGCAAAAGTGTGGTCGAGGCCAGGGAGCGGGCATGTTCGTAAAGCTTAGGTGCAAGACTCGCAGCGAGGTCCTCGGAAGTATGCCGCACAGCAATCAAAGAGCAAGCACAAAACAAAAGCGGTGATTTTTTAACGCGGCGCAGAAGCTCAGTTGGCTCGCATTCAGGGTCAAAAAGAACCCACCGACCGTAATACTCGAGGAAACTGGGAAATAGTTATTGACATGCCCATTTCTGAAAGACGGTGCAGCATACATAGTAATCAGCGCAAGTGCAAGATCAGGCGCAATAAGATCATCCAAATTTGCACTCATTGACCGGATGTCGGAAGATTGTTTAGGGCCGGGATCCGTTGCCAGATCGCGAATGACCATGATCGGAGCCGCGGAAGATTCCGTCTCTTCGTACGGCGCATCAGACGGGTTTGTCTGTGCGGTGGAAGGTCTGCTAGTCTCATGGCCTGGAGTTCTTGGAGGGCCCTCTCCAAGTCGATCGAGCAGGGCAGCCACAGACCTTTCCAGACGTTCCAATCTAAAAACATATGAGTACGAGGAAAATCAGAGGCATAGATGAGACTGGGACCATACCGAGCATCCGTACCAGAAGCAGGCACTATCGATTCCTCATCCGACGCATCAATTTGGACAAGCGAACAATTTTGACGGAGTCGATCACAGCGAAGACAGGCTCGCCCAGGTATTCCGGGCTCGTAACATCTGGTCTTTTGCTTCCTGCACGAAGTACATGCCCGCGAGGCACGGCCTCGATCCGGTGGCATTTCAATCAGAGGTGACCTCTTATAACGCAGGGATTTCAAGGAGAGGAATCATATCATAAAATGGGGTCCAAGTCAAAGCCAGAAAGCTGAAGACGAAGTAAAATTAATTGATGTCACCTGATTGCGGGAATGAGATAAGCGCGTTCTTGGGTTACAGTGAAAGGATGTGAATATCATAAACATTTCGTTTGATCTATATACTGTATACACTGTTGCTTGGAATGTACTAGAAATCCATGCGTAATGCGATACTAGGGGCAGCCTGCGGGGCATTGTCTTCTGCTTTCATATCAGACTTTGAAACAACAGCCCCAACGCCGACACTACGGAGGACTTCTTCTAGGAGTCCCTTCTGGTCTGCGTTCATAGAGGCAACCATTGCTCGGAAGACGAGTTGATCTGCCTTTGCGAGTTCCAGGAGATGACCAGCGGACTCCTTATGCACAGACTCGCCTTCACGTTTCGCACGGGCCAGCAAGGCCGACATGACAAGCGAGATGGCCGCAGGGAGTTCCGAGGCAGTGAAAGTGGTGTTGGAAATGCACGAGACTAATGTGCGGGCAATCACTGTGCGTGAATTCTCGGGGTCATTGGGAATATCTCCGTTGTCCATTGGACAGGCCACAAGGAAAGCGATCAACCGCGGGGTGAGGTATCGGCTGATCACATCATCCGTGATGGAACGAGAACCTGGCTTAACAAGGATGGAGCGGATGCAACTGGCTGCCACATTAGCGAGTCCAACGTCCTGAAGACAGTCAAGGAACTCGTCCAAAACTCGGATGAGGACGGGATCCTGTGGCGGGATAACGTGTCCGCCGGCAGTAAGAAGGAAGGTTATGGCGAGAAGAGTGTTCTTGGCACAGGGAATGGAGATGTCCGATTCTCGTCGCTGGGCAATAGTGAGAATGGTCAGGAAGCGCGTGAGGCATCCGCGGAGTTGGAACGACACTACTTCAAGGTCCTCAGGCGATTCTGTTGTGTTTGTGATAGTGTGGATGAACTGCCGGAAGATTGGAAGAGCTTGGGGTACAACGCCATGTTGGCAAATTCCCGTGGCCAGGATGGTGGTGAAGATGTGCAGGATGCATGCGTGAAGATCGTTACGAATGATAGATGGGAAGACCGATGCGACGTCGACGAGAGAACGCAGTGCCAAACGAATAAGGGTAAGAGACTCGTCTGAAGTGACATTGAATCGCGCAAGCGGGGTTGATTCGCGAAGATTAGGAAGCATTCCAGCGAGAACCAAGATAATGCTTCTTGTGAGTTCGAAGAGTTGCTCAATGTCATCAGAAAGGTGGTCGCTGCGTTCCTGATCACCCTTTGCCGCAGGGTGATCTAATGACAAGTTCTGGGCGATCTCGACAATGACTGTTTGGATTGGAGTGGTCTCTGTCAAAACTAGACGGTCGAAGGTATCCATTGTCTCGGTGAAAATTGCGTCTTGGTAGATCGCATTTCCAGATATGACAGGCCTCAAGATTCTCTTCAAAGCCTGCAAAATCTCCAAACGCTGGGATGTCGACGTTCCTTGATCAACCAGTGATTCAAAGGCTAATCCGAACAAGACGAAAAAGAATGCAACTGGCTCTTCGCGGTAATTGATATCATGCCCTTTGTCTTCTTGCTTCTTTGCAACCTTGTTCTCTTTCCCTTTGTCATCTTCACCACTAGGCTCTTCGGGCTCCTCAGGCTGTTGCAATTTGCCATCCAAAGCATCGAAAACGAAATCGATGTCCTTTTCAACAAGGCCAGCAATTGCATCAACCAGGTACAGCCATGTGTCTTGATAGAACTAGAATGTCGTTAGCAATGTTGGAAAAGGAGGATATAGGATTAATTCTTACGTTCAACAAAGTCTCACGGTTGAGAGCAGCATAAACCTCATCCAGGTCGCCACTAGTGCTTGTTCCCAGACTACCAGAAATATCAGGCTCAAATCGCAAACGAGCATATTCCTGTAGAGAAGACAACCAAAGGGGAGTGAGCTTCGCAAGATAAGGTTGAACCACCGAGTTCAAATACTCATGCTCGATACTGGCAATCTGCAGCCGAGCCCAAGCAGAGAACAAGGCAAGTTTCACCATCACACGGGCATTGGAGTTCAAGCCTTTGAGATCTCCAATTTCAGTAGTCCCTGGGTTTTTTGCGAAGTTTTCCAGGCCCAGCACTAGCAGTTTCAAAATTCTGCCCATGCGATCGACATTTGTGACGATCCCAGTGGCGATGAAGGTGGCTGAAACATTGATCGCTTCCGAAGCTAGTTCTGCAGATGAATCAGTTGCGAAGGCGGGTGTAAGTGCCGATCCAATCTGAGCTTGATACTGTTCCAACAGCGAGGCTTCGGCGAAGTCAGGATCGGGGGTCTTGCCAAACATCTTGAGAACCTGGTCAATGATTTTCAACCCCCAGACGCGCAGCTCGATAACATTGGCGGTCGATGCCGAGAAGGCCATCCGGACAATGTCCCCGACATTCTTCTGGAGAGCCAGTTCCGCCGGGATAGCCGAATCTGGCAGGATAGCTTCTTGGACGGTAGCCAAAAGCTCAGAGAGGCAGCTCATGGCGAAGTTACGTGTCTGCCACTTTAACAATTCTTGACCAGAAACACCTTCACTGGCGATATCACCTTGCCCTTCACCAGCAACAGCAGACGCAAAGCCAGCAACCTCGTCATCTGGAATATCTGCCGCAGCCTGAACAGCTGTGCTAGGTACAGGTTCAACCTTGTGACGTGTCTTGGTCATAATATTCTGACAGCGCTGAATCCATGCTTCTGTTTCAGTCAGGGCAGTCTGTTGCAGCCAGTCTTGAATCATTGACTTCAAAGACGTGTTGTTAGGCGCATCATCATAGGCAAGCCAAATATCATCTTCCAAGGACTGGCCTACTGTCTGTATCACAGAGGCAGCGCCTCGCTTCATCAGGTTGTTCAGTCCGCGGACGGCTACATCCCTCATAAGGATGTTATTAGCGCGGAGCTCGCTTTGCAGGCGCTTCACATATCCAGCAAAGTCAACATAGCTGGAGGCATAGAGCGACAAGTGGTCCAAGCACCTGGAGCTTTCGGTGACCAGTGCAGAATTCTCCTCTAGCTGGAACTGGCGGAGCAGAGTCAAGATAAGATTGCGAGTCTTGGCAATGTCCTGCAGGTCGGGACCAAGGACGTTGATGAGCGAGTCCACACATCGGCTGATCACTACAGGTGTCAAGAAAGACATCTCGATATTTGAAGTGGCCAATGCGGCTGCTTCTTCATTGTGTGTGTCAGCATTGTACAGCTGTGCAATCATACCCAGGGAGCCGGAGACAAATGGTGAGAATGTCAGCCCAGCAGAATTGGCGACTCGTTCCAATCCCCCAAGAGCCCAGAAATGGACGACGGGGTGAGGATCATTGCACAAAGACATTAGGACACCGACAATAGTTTTCAGATGCAGACCAGCTGCCATGCCACCAATCTGCGCATGGATACATCCCAAAGCAGCGGCACATCCTGCCCTAGCATTTGGTTCTCTGTTCTCGACAATGGTATCAACCAGCCAGTTTACCTGTGTGTTGGTACAAGCATTTCCAGCGCTGTCGCAAAGCCGTCCCAGTGCTTCAACGCCAATCGTACGAACAATCGGATCAGTGTTCGTAACGAATTTCTGAAGAAGCTCTTGGAAGATCTTATCGGTCGATTGGTTCAGCTTGCCAGCCACAAAGTCTGTTTCTTTGACGGCAACCTTTAAGGCATGCAGTAGGGCAACAGAGATATTGATTACCAATGCTGCTTTTCTGCCAGGGTTCCTCTGCAAGCCTGGGGAAGTGAGGAACGTGGCGATCTGTTCGACGCTGCTTTCTTGAATTTTGGGCGAATGAAGAGCGAGAGCCACAGAGAACAGCTCAATTGCGGAGTTGACAACACCAGTTGTTGGTGGATCAACAGCAAGGGAGTCTCCGTCCCGAAGACTATATAGAAGGACCGCGTCGTGTTCACTAGCCTCGCAGATAGGGAAAGTCAAAGCATCATCAACGGTTTGGTCGACGGAGTCAAGTGCAGACCAAGCAGGGCCCTTCTCATCTTTCTGTGTCCCAGACAAGGTGAGACGAATATATTCTCGGGACAGTCCCGTCACGCCAAAGCCGTAGTTATCACACAAATCCCATAGACCGTCAAATTGTCCAGCGGAGCCAGAAATGGAACTTTCCAGTTGTTTGTATTGAGCATCTGGATCTGCAAAAGACGAGATAGCCAAACTGAGAAGACTGGACTGCGAGATAATGTCACCATGGCTGGGTGGGTGGACATGCACGAGCTTGGAGAAGCACTGCAAGACACGTCGGCGGACCATAGTTGTGTAGTCCTGCAATTGTAGAGAAGGATACAGTCGTTGCGAGATGTCTTCCATAGATTTGGGCTTGGGCAGGTCATCCAAAAATTCAACGGTATTCTGCAGCATTGCAGCAATCCTCTTGGCACCATCTGCCGTTATCAATTTGCTGTTGAATTCCATGAAAACCAACAAAGAGCCTAAAGCACACTCTCGCACGTGGGTAAGGAAGCTGATTTCTAGATTACCAGGTTGAGCAGCATTCTCCTTGCCAAGGTGCTTTGGCAATGCATTCTTCCAGAGAAGCATCAATTGAGAGAGGTGGATTTTGACGAAACTTGGCCCGAGAGGCATCAAACCTCCAATCAAAATCCAGGCCACTTGAATCTGAATACTCGCAACGCGAAGCTCAGAAGTGCTGCTGGTCTTGAGGAGATCGGTGGCTTGTGTGAAAACACGCGCAAACACATCTACTGCACCGTAGAGCGGCTGCAGACGTGAAGTGCTGAGCATTGCAGACAACCCATTTGCATATCCAACACATCGTCGAGGTGACTGGCGCGGAGTACCTAGCTGTCCAATCTCCCTGTTCAGACTGTTCATGCAGATCGTAACACAGGACAGTAGCTGATGGGGAGAAGCAAGAACAAAGTTGCGCAAACAGTGCGCAGTGTGAACCTGCACGGTGTAGCTAGGGTGCGGAAGAACTTGAAGTAGGGCATCACGACAGCTATCCCCATGAACAGTGAAGGCAGAGCCAAGTGACTGTATCAATGAAGACAAGGCGCTGACTGCGCTAGTCAAAGTGTACTTGCTTGGCTCGCGGCGTTCCTGGATGACCTGAGGATAGTCTTTCAAAATATCATTTATTAGCCACTTGGCCGCACTGAGTTGACTGTTTTCGCGCAGTAATTCACGTCCAATGGTATCTTCCAAAATGCTCTTGATGAACTTTCTAGTCATGAGAAGACGAAATCGGTTGTATGTAACCGTAGGATGGTTCAACAACTCGACTAGCAAATTCGTCGCGATTTGCCCATAGCGTTCCTCAACAATCTTATCGCCCAAATTGCGCAGAATATACTTGTAGCATATGCAGATCCCAGCACGTGTGCGATTCGACGTCGTGCTCTTCAAATATTGAGTTGAAAGTTGTCTTAAGAGGTCTGGGAGAAGGAAATAAAGACGGGAATCAGCCTTTTTAGGGGCTGGTGACTCGGACATCTCTGCCTCTTCCTCGTCGCCCAGTCCCGAAGTAGGCTTCTTTGACATCCGCTTCGTCTTCTTGGACTTTGGCTTTGGTGTAGCTGTTATATGCGCTTCTGTCGCATGCAATTTGACAAGTGCTCGGCCAAGAACAGCAGCAACAGCATGACGCACCGGCGCCGCAGGGCTGTCGATAACCTTCCACACGAGTGTTTTGAGATTCTCGAAGTCGGTTGTATTATCGAAAAATGGCTCCATGACAATTAACTGCTCTAAGCATCGGCAGGCGTGCACTTGAACGAAGGTAGATTTGTCACTAGTAGCAGCATTTCGGGCCTGTTTCCAGATGTCGCGCGCGGTGGTCTCATCGAGCGGAACACCAATTCCAACGATGATCTTGCGCAGCACGGCAAAGATAACACCTCGAAGACCAGTGTGATTGCTAGCAGACTTTAGGAGCTTGATCATGGCCGAAGTCGCAACATTCGACTGCATGAACGCACTTTCGCCGACTGTCGCAAAGACCTCCCCTAGACAATGCGCCGCTGCGAACTTGGTCTTCAATTCCGCTTCACTCTTACTAGCGTTCAAGATTCCCAGTAAGTCTGTGATTGTTTCGAAGAGGATGCCGCGATCGCCTTTGCTGAGGATTGCGCCAAAACATCGTCCTAGGTTGTTGCGGAGGACTCGAGTGATAGTCGGTGAGGGCAGGGCTAATATCTTGAACAATTCCTTCTTGAGATCTTTTTGTTGGGAGGAGACCTCGGCTGGTTCCAATCCAGAGATATATTGTACGAGGTCGGACGTGAAAGTGAGCATGTAGAGGTCCTGTTGTTCGGAGGGGAGCGCATGGAGCTTAGGGACGTCGAGCTCCGGAACATCGCTTTGAGGAGGGGGCGCCGGGGCATTTTCGGAAGTAGACATTGGATAGAATCAGGGCAAGTGTAGCCCCATAGAATTAGAAAAGAAGGGAGAAAGGTGAACGTTGGTCAGTTGCGTCAACATCTCCTTATCGTGTGTCCTCACCGTCCGCGGAGGTCGGACAAACAGTCGGCCCGTTACTAGGAATGTATACGCTCCGCATCGGATCTCGAATTTCCTCCAAAGCACTATGGCTCTCCGGCTCAGCAGGTTACTGCGACCGCTCCAGCAGGCGGAATATACCTGTCTAACATGTCGGTCTTTCAGCACTTCCAGCAATGTGTTTTCCGGTCATAACAAATGGTCAACAATCAAGCATGACAAGGCACGGAATGACAAGGCGAAAAGCAAAGAACGTGCAATGGTTGGCAAGGAAATTGCCAATGCTACACAGAGTCCGTATATTATTTAACTGCAGAATTTACACATATCTAACTTTGTCTATTAGTGTGGGGTCCTGACCCGAAGTACAATCCTCGACTGACACTTGCACTATCGAATGCGAAACGAGCCTCCATTCCCAAGATTATTATCGAAGCCGCAATCCTACGAGGGCAGGGATTAAGTGTGTCAGGACAAGCCTTAGAGAGCGTTACGATTGAGGCCATGCTACCAGGCTCCGTGGCTGCAGTTGTCGAATGTCAAACCGATCAGAAGGCGCGGGTACTCCAAGATGTTCGTTATTTGATCAAAGACAATGGAGGGATTGTTACACCGACTACATATCTCTTTGAAAAGAAGGGGAAGGTGGTTTTCGAGAAGAAGGACGGCACGAATCCAGACGACTATCTTGATCAGGCCATCGAAGCTGGTGCGGCGGACATCACTACGGACGATAAGGGCCGCCTAGTGCTACTCACTAACCCTTCGGAGACGAAAAGTGTTGGTGAGACGTTTGCCAAGCTATCTGGCCTCGAAATTGAAGAATTGGAAATATTCTGGGATCCGAATGCGGATACCATGGTTGAGGTGCAGGACGGAGAGCATATCAAGGCCCTTGAAGATCTTTTAAGCGGTTTGCGTGAAGATTCCAGTGTTCAAGATATATACTTGAACTCGACCGAGAAGTTTTGAGTCCGAGCATAGCCTGAGACTGTTTCACTTCGAGGACGAACAATGTACAATATGTGTATAGCGATAGATACCAGGCATTCCAGTGGCGTTGTGCATATTCATTTCTTGGTTTATTAGAGTCAAACCCATTCACTACTCCTTGCGCAAAGCTTTCATCGTGCTTCGCATCAGAATGCCAGTACCCCGAGACCCGATAGTCTCTAGCCAATCTAACATATACACGCGATATTCTTGCCAACTCATCTTAGCACCGCCATCCTTCTCCAGTGCAACAAGTGCTTTGTGGGTAACCGGCTTCCCCAATTTTGGACGGTCACCCGTGATATCCTGATCTTCTTCAACCTCCGCAAAACAAGCGGCAGACAAATTGCAAAAGGCGGCGTGGTGACTGAGAGAGAATGCCGATGTAAGAGTAATATTGAATGCATTCTCACGGTCATAGTGCTTTGCAGCCTCGTTCATGTCGCGGACATAGGTTGCCAGGGCAGTGACCGTCTGTGCTGGGACAAGGCAGCCCAATGCGTTCGGGTCTTCTGTATTCAGGGCTCGGTTGCGCCATAGTATATTGCACATGTCCATCACATACCCGTTGAATCGTAATACCAGGTCGGTTCCGTAGGCTGGGGTGCCTTGTGCTTGGAGGACCTGTGAGCTGACGGAGGCTTCGAATGCGCCTTTGTAGATAGCTAGGATGGACTCAAGACTTGAGATCACGGAGATGTTTGGCGTGAAGGCGAGAGTGTAGACTGTTTGAGCGTAGGGAATGGTAAGTCGGAATCGGGCGTCTTCGGGTGCATGCGAGAAGAGATCTGCTAGAGCCTTGTAAAAGTCGAGTACGGAGTTTGCCGCTGGCTTGAAGGGTTTCTGATGTTCATCTGGGGGAAACTCCAGGATAGAATATGCCAGAAGTTCGACGTGTAAAATCATCTGGCTCAGAGGATAGGATTGTTCTGGTGTTGCTGGTTCTGATCGTAGGCTGATGCCCCATTGGGAGATCAGTGTTGAGTAGAAGCCTAGCAATGCTGTTCTAGATTCTAGGCTTCCATCTAGCGCGGCAGACTCCAGGGGGGATAGTAATTCGCTGCGTAAAGAGTCGAAAGATGTAATTGGGGTATATTGAAGAAGTCGAAAGACATGTTCACGGTTATCTTTGCCATTCCATATTTGCAGATAGGACTTCAAAAATGACCGGATTGAGGATGGGAGATCCTAAGCTTCTGTGAGCTTTTGTTATGGCCATGGCCTAGTTGAAAACATACCTTAGTGAACGAGACATATCCGACAACAAATTCCAATACATATGATAGTGTTTCTGGCTCTTCATCCTCATCTTCGCGGATCATGTCAAGCTTGTCCTCCAGGAAATTTCTCAGCCATTCATTGAGACGATGATATGCAGCTTCAGATTGAACCAGGTGAAGATATTTCTGGGCCATTCCATCGCCTAATGTTGAGATTATTTGATTAGGAAGTTCAATTTTCTCAATACTTTCCACGAAATGGCTAATATCACGAAGTTCCTCAATTGATGTCTGCTTGTAGGATACCCGTGAAGTTTGCAAAGTCGGAACAACCACCTCGATTCTGCTTCTTTTCACAGTCCCCCGATGGACAATTTGAAAATTTGATTGCTGGCCTGTTTGTACTTTTTCTGCGTTTTGATCTTGAATTAATTTTGCATGGCTTGACCATTCAGGGTCAGGATGTTTGAAGAAAAGAGCATTTCTCTTCGATCCGCCGAAATCACCCAAGATGATCTCGGGATAGTAGTTTTTGAAGATCCGAAGGAGACTGATCAATTCTTTGTCATCACCACCGGAGATCTGGATGAGCTCCATCAATGCCTGAATTCGGAAGGGTTTGACATGTTTTCGCCTCGTAATAACAGAAAGCAGGTGGCACAAGGGCTTGCGCAAACTGATCATATCTAGGTGGTTGAAAAGAACCGCATAGAGCTTTGATAGATGTGATCTCTCTTCGAGTATATCATATGAGAGGATCAACCAGCGCAACAGCAAAGCCTGTGTTGCAGGACTGGGTTTGTTCTTGCTAGGCCCAAGACAGCAAACAATTCTCGTAACATTTTTTGACACAATTCTCTCTTGTGGGTACAGATTTTTGACCAGCGAAGTCACTGTGCCTTGATCTAGATTGTTTTTCGTGGTCAGAATCTTCAGCAGACGTGCAAGCGCGGATTGCGGAATGCCGCTGTCGTACGCGTCTGAAGCGATCGTTTTGGTTAGTTGGCTAACATCTGTGTACCTCTGCTTCGGTGGGACGAATGCAACTGCCATAGACTATCAGTATCGCGTCCCGCTCTCTCAGGGCTATGTCTTGGCCATACCAGCTTCCAAGTGCTCAACTGCATCAAGCAGATTGCTTGACCGGTTGTCTGGAAAGTTGTCAGTCACTGGTTGATTGGAGGAACTCGAGTTGGCCACAAATTACCTGCACCAGTCGTCATGTTTACAGGCTTGGTCGCAATAAAATCCAGTAATTGACTTGCTTTCCAATCCTAGGGTGCATTTGCGTTAAGGCTTGATGTTGACGCGCAGCCGCAGAATGGCGCGCCGTGGCTTCAATTACGCGAAGTAGTGGCTGCCACAAGCATGAGTTGATGTACAGAACAAAATTTAAGCATTGAAACAAAGACACAGGAATTGATGCTTTGGCGCAGATCTCCCTGGCAGTTGCATAGAGAAATGAACGTGGGCGCGACGAAAGCGCCCTAAGCCTAATCCGGTAACTATCAACAACTCTGTAGCCATCTCTTCTTTCGCCTTCTCGTGATAGATCTACGTGGTTATGACCAATACTGAAGTTCATAGTCTACAGATTTGGTTGCTGAATCCGAAATTTAGAGCTTAATGGTAAAATATCGGGATAACGAGACTAGCATTTCAAGGTTGCCAAAATCTAGCGGGAAAAAATGGCCAGTTCAAGCAGCACCAAAATCTATGCAAACAGATTACAAATAAATCGGCCCAAACTTGGAGAATCCCTGCCTCTAAGCGTAATGTTCACTTTCTCTTGCGGGTGTCCGACTTGGGTGTAGCCTTGGAAGAAGACTTAGCAACCTCCGGCTCATTCTTGTCCTCGATGGCAGGGGTGGACTCCTCCTCCTCATCGCTGTCACCTCCCTGGCCAAACTCGTTGACACGCTTGTAGTCAACCTTGTACTTCCAACCCTGATAGAGCCAGATAAAGAAGATAACGTCGTCACGAAGGGTAGCCAGGCGGTGGAGCCATGGCATCTTGACAGTAAAAGCGAAGAGGTCATCGATGAAGGTGTTGAGGAACTTGTAAGTCAGAGCCTTGCCGGGCATGTGGGCAACAGACTTCAGACGGTAGTTGATGTACAGACTGGGGACCATCATGAGGAAGCCGTAGGCGTAGACACTACCCACAAGAGTCTGGATGATGTAGGAGTACCAAGACTTGTGGGTATTGTAGACCAAGCTGTATCCAGCATATGCCAGGAGAAGGGGCACGGCCAAGATGTACAGATAGCGGAAGGCAATCTCATCGTACTCCTTGGTCTTCTCTTCAGTTTCAGATAGCTTGTGCTTGTCCTCGAAGACAATCACATAAGGCAGGAAAGAGAACCAAGAGTTGGCTGGGGGAGGGCGCAGGCGAACGTCAACAGTTTTGGTAACTTTCCAGAATTCCAGCAGGATACCGAATCCTTGACTAGCCAGGATCATCCAAGAGGTGTTCTCGCTGTTGTCCATCAGGTACAAGAAGATAACAGCCTGCATGAAGACATTGGCCAAAATAGTGCGAACAGAAGTACCAACAATATCCTTCTTCTTACGCCAGTGGGACTAAGATGACGATATTAGCAAGGGGCGACCAAGAGTCGGAAAAAAGATAACTTACAATGTCGTTCTTGAAGGCCAGAGTTTCAAACAGCATGTGCAGGATAGTGACTATACCGGTGGTACCGAGGAGCCAGATGTTGGTGTCCAACAAGATCTCCTTGACCATCTCCCACTCGGTTCCATCGCCACCACCGGGGGCGGAGCCACCATAGGCAGCTTGGCGAGAGCTTTGCTTAGAGCCTTCGTCAACACTGGCGATGATGCTGAACTTCCAGTTGGCCATGTTGTTGACAGTAATGCGCAATGGGAGGGTCTCAACAGTAGAGTTCAACTCGGTCATGTGGCTCTTCAACTGCCAGAAAGTATTGAAGAAAGCGATGGGGTAATACCATCCGTTCTTTCCAGTAGCATCACGAGCACCGGTGCGCTCCAGTTGCAAGTACTGGCGGGAGGCAGGGTGCAGCTGGCCCAGCTTCTGAGTTCCAGAGTCTGGGATCAAAGACAAAGTGAAGTTGGGGTGGTAGTACGACATCGTTTGCAAATCCGGAACATGGTCATCATTCTCCTGTTGCTCAGCCTCCTCGGCAGTCGCCAAGAGGTTCTTCAACTTCTTGACCTTCTTCTTGGGGTGGTACTGGTTTAGAGGACGTAGGAAGTGCACGGCATCGGCTGTGTTGTAGTCCTTGGCAGCTGGGTCCAATTGATATCCAGTGCGCGCCATGAAGAAGTGAGCCCAGAGAGTTCCATTCTGTTGAACCTGCTTCGGGACCTTGATGGTGGTGTCGACTTCACGAGTGTCACTGTAATTTCCGATAGTGAAGTTCTTCTCCTGCAACACAAGCACGCTGTCCGAGGACTTGAAGTTGGGCACAATGATTGAGGGTGTCACGTAGATGCTGAGATCGATGGCGCTGTCGGCCGGCCAAATAGGAGCGATGGAATCGGGGATAGGACTGGACTCGGCGATTTCGCTGGGATGCGGGCGATCTGCGAAGGCAGGAATCCCACCCGAATTGGCACTGGGGGTAGTAGCATTCTGCTTGTTGCCAAAGAATTGACTGATAGCAAACTGTGCCAGCAAGAAGATTCCAAGGCCCTGGAGGGCACCCTTGAAGCCCGACTAGAGAGGGGTCAGTACAGGAGAGATAAAGAAAATCCGTCGCAAACACTTACGTTGGACTCCTCCTGTCTTCGAGGCCTCTGTTCAGGCATACTGTGACCAAATCCCTGAAAAGCCGAGATGAAGAACAGAGGAAAAGAAGAGAAGAAGAAAAACGAGAGAAGTGGCCAGAGAAAGCATTAATTAGGTCCAGGCCCGAGCCCCCAAGAAGCTACGGGAAGCGCCTTGGCATTCTCTCCAACTGCAACTCCGCATCTTCGCATGGCTGGGCGACTTCTTCTTTCTCACTGATTGCGCAATGGGTATTTACGGCGTATCCTGGCGTTGATTGACTCTATGGATCCTTCTTTCGATCCCCGCGTGCAATTTCCGGCGCACAATGGGCCTCGAGTATGGGTGATCACTGCGGGGGATTCACCTATCGGTATCTCCGTCGCGCGACAGGTCCTTGCGCACGGCGACTCTGCGTTCCTCGGACTGGCGCACACGGCTTTAGAACGTGATGAACGTCGTCGCAATGAATTTAACGCTTTCCTCGTCGAGGTGGAGGGACATCGCGGCGACGGATGGGGTCAGCGCATGAAGACTGTTCCGTTGGATATCCGGTGCGCCTCCAAAAGCCACTTACAAGTGATAGCCCCCCAGCTGTTGGACAGTAACTTACAATTTTTGTGGCGCAGAATGATGGGTGAATGTCAGGCCTTTATCGCAGATGCCGTTGCAACATTCGGAAGGATTGATATACTTCTATGCTGTACAAGCCAAGGTGCAATGTCCCGGTACTCTCGGTATAGTCCATCAGACCGCTAACGTCTTCAAAGCCCTCATTGGAACTGTCGAAGAGCTTTCGGCTTCAACCCAGACTATGAATCTCGTGCGCGACCAATTCGAAATTAATTATTTCGGCCCTCTCAATATTATCAAGGCAGCACTTCCTTATATGCGAAAAGAGCGTTCTGGGCATGTCATGATTATATCAGGAATCAGTAAGATATTCACCTTGACAAATCATGGGCGATTGGTTTTAACTATATACAGCCGCGCATATCGGCACACCCGGACTAGGAATGTATTGCGCAGCAGGTTGGGCCCTGGAAGGATTCTGTGATGTTAGTTACGTTATCTACTCTTCAAAATATCTACTCTTCAAAATGACCAAGTGATATACTAATTGATCCGCAGAGCCTGGCCTACGAGATCGCCCCGTTCAACGTCAAACTCACCATCTTTCAATGCAGCATTGAAATCGGCATCCTCACAAACCTAGTCACAAGCGTTCCCCCGATCTTCCCAGCGTACTCTCCCGCCAACAACCAAGCCCCTCTCTTCCGCGGGATTCTCAACCACCTCGTCCCTCAACTTCCCGATGCAGGTGGATCATCTGGAAGTCCGGCTTCACCCACTGCAACGCGGGATGAAAGTGCCCGAGTAAGCTCCATTGAAAACGGGCCGTTCTCTGCACCAGAGGTTGTCTCCATGCATCCTCCATTAAGCTCTGCACATCTCGAGGTACTTGTGTTAGAGACCGTATATGCTATCACGTCTATCGGAGGCCATGAAAACCCGCCTTCACGGCATATTGTTGGGCAGGAAGGCGTTGCTAGTGTCAAAGAGAAACTTAAAACCGTCAGTGAAGAGCTGGAGGATTTTATACAGGCTAGTTTTGCTGTTGATGTTGCTGTGGACTCTGATCCCATGGCTCTTATGCCTGGAATGAATGAAGAGCCTTAGTACATAGGGCATATCAACCCTTTGAGATCTCTCAATATTATAATATTTTTAAAGCGGTACAAGAAGGCCACCCCCAACAATTAATTGCGACTAAGTTGAATGTAAAATTTGATGTAAAATACAATAAGTTACTCAAAATCCGCTAAAATGCGACTTCATGTAATGCACTGGTCGCATTTTGTTCTGGGAGGTGGTGGCTTTTTAGTACTAGACTATCTCTTTGCTTGTAATGTGTAAGTTGGTTGGAGCTTGAATCTGTAACAATTTATTGTTGGCAAGCTGCAAAGGAAAGTTGTGTAGCATAGAGCCATAGTGTGTTCTCTCTAGATAACAGCGAGGGGGGTCAAGAGAGTAAGTAGTCTTCCGAAATTACAGGAGCTGGAAGTTGTGCGGACTCAACGCCAAGGGTATTTATGGGTGCTCCAAGACGAAGCACTGGCGGATCAGATCTAAAGAACAAAAAAAAAAAAAAAAAACACCCCTACGTCTGTTCATTCTGAACGAACCAAGCTTCTCGCACATCAAAGAGACTTCCTATGTCCTGATTATTTCGGATGCAGCGAATGTCTTTCCAGCCATTCGCAACACGGCCGTTGGGCATGCGGCCATCGATCTGCAGCATCGCTATGGCAAGGCCGCCAGGCGACATAATGTTCGGGACGATGATGTCATCTTCATCAATGGCCGTAGATTGAGAAGAGATAAGATTCGGATCTTGCGCCTGAGAGCTTGCAGGAATGTCGATTTCATGCTGCTCGCTCTCCGAGGATACCTCAGTCTTTGATATGGAAGCATTGACAATGTCAGTGGGCTGTTCAGCTATCTCGTCTGTGATATCCAGATCGATAGGTACATCTCCAGGCAATGATGGGACAGGGACAGATGTGATATCAGCTATTGCCATGATGTTTGGATCGGAAGGAAGAGCAGGGGTCGAGTTGCTTTCTTCGAGGTCGGATGTCTCCGATGCGGGGTTTGGCGCGAGTAGCTTTCGGGGCTTCTTGGGTGGCTGTCCTCGATTGCGTTTCACTGGGGAATCGGATTCAATCTCAGGCGGATTTTGAGTTGGGCGCTTAAGACCGTTGGAATTCTCTTTTCGATCGGGTTTGGCAATTATAACACTAATGTCTTTCGCAATTTCTGGATCCTCCTCATTGGAAGATTGCGCGACAGTCTCAGACACTGTCCCGGTATATACTTGCGTATCGTCATGATTCTGGGCAGAGGGGCCGCTGTGCAAGGGAGCTTCTGTGGTACCTTCCAAGGATCTATCATTTGAAGCTGCAGGAGTTGTGAGTGTCTGTGGATGTATTTTCATATCGAGTCCTGCGTTTATCTGATCCTTTGCAGGAGCACCGCATTCCTGAGCTTGGTGAGAAGTGCCACGGAGAAACACTAGTTGACCAGGTGGGATCGCAAAGGTCATCTTGACTCCATCAAATTTGACAATCTGCACAAGTCAGCAAGTAGCGAGACCCGAAATGAATAATTAGGACGTACTCTGGACTCTTTCTGAATGAATATTCTGTCTGGCCCTTTGCCGTAGACATATTCAAACCTCCAGATATCGCCGAGCCGGAAAGCACCCTCGTCAATAAGGGTTTTTATTTTCACATGCGCCATCTCCCCGGCAGTTGCTCTCATAGCTGCCTTTTGCTTTTGGCCCCAAAACTGCTCGTATTCTCGTTCTTTGAAGTTGTCGAAGTCGCCGGCCTGGCGCTTCTGTCTGGCATCCTCGGCCTGGTGCAGCCATTCAGGGTCATAGCGGCCATTTTGTAGATCGAGCTGGAATTGACGAATACCATCTCGCCAATTATTCGAGTACCGGATGAAATTGTCGGGAATTGGAGGTATCTTGGCATTTGGGTCGTCCGTGGTGGTCTCCGCATCGGGGTGAACGCCTGCGGGGAGTAAAGCGAGGATCTCCCGCTTCTCACTTTCTTCAAGGCAATTCCATGCTTGCGGTTGCGTAAGCAGTTTCTAAATTTAAGTATATTAGCATAAAGCTTGAGCAAGCGAAAGAAGTGACGATCATACCACAAGGTCTAAGTCAATGAGGAGAGACTTGTCGCTAGTGAAGAGCTGCTCTTCACTCCATTTACCTCTCGCGGCAGCTCTCCGGGGAGTCCTGGTCCGAGAGCCTTCAGTGGGGGTTGGCATAGCAGAACCTCTTCGTTCTGCTACATTAGCAGAGCCGGCAGTAGGACCACTAGGACATTATTGTACAGAGTCAGTAAGCTGAAGTGAGAAGAAATGCGGAGTCGTAGCTCACCCGCATATGTTACTGCCCCTCGTGACCGCCTTTCTCGGCGCCATTCTGGCCTTCCACGGGGCAAAACAACAAGATGTTGTGCTTCTCAACAAAAGAGCAAAGACGCAACAATGGTGAGATCAACGCAGATTGCAAGGTTGGATGGTAAGTGTTTCTTGAAGTTGTTCAAAAGGTTCAAGTGCTAATAGTGAGGGAAACAGGCCTGATGTTGGCTGCCTCGGTCGACGATGAGCAGGTAAGTCCAATAAGAGAAGGCTGAGGTGATCAACAACTGACAGTAGTCGCAGGCTGAGTCGGAACTTGCTGAGATCAAAGGCCAGGCCAAAATGATTTTTCGGCGCTTGAATCGCAACTCAGCGCCTCAAGCCAGCATTGAATCCGGCCAATACAATCTCCAGTAAGCTGCATTCAACGTCTTCATCGGACCTAGATGGGACTATTATAAGAACAATTCTGACTGTACTGCAGCTACACTATCCAGGATGACCTTTGTTTCTTGTGCATTTGCGACAAATCATACCCCCGCAAGCTTGCCTTCACCTATCTTGCTGATCTGGCCACGGAATTTACAACTACCTACAACTCTTCACAATACCTCTCTCCTACGCTCCGCCCATACGCTTTTGTTGAATTTGACACCTTCATCCAGCGCACCAAGAAACTATACCAAGACGGCCGTGCATCTCAGAACCTGGACAAGCTGAACGATGAGCTCCGTGATGTAACGAAGGTCATGACAAAGAACATTGAGGACCTCCTGTACCGTGGTGATAGTTTGGAGCGCATGGGCGAGTTGTCTGGAAGACTGCGCGAGGACAGCAAGAAATACCGAAAGGCGGCTGTGCGCATCAACTGGGAACTGTTGTTGAAGCAGTACGGACCTTTTGCTGGTGTTGGGCTTGTCATTTTAATTCTTCTCTTCTGGCGATTCTTCTGATCCCTCGCTTTCAAGGGCCTTGTTTCTGGGTCCCCCTTGTATGAATGTATGCATAGTTAATACCTCGGTGGTTGCGGGATACAATACACCAATTCTAGAATGCAAAGATTTATGTCAAAACATGTATTGGATTCGATATCTAGATCTCATCTTCTTCTTCATCAAAGTCATCCTCTTCGCCCATGTCGTAAAGAATACGACCTCCTTCACCAGGTCCATTTCCATGCTGGGCATCAAAGTAGGGTAGCACCACGCCCTCTCTATCACGCCTTTGTCTGTCAGTAAGACCCAGCTCAAATGTCGACGTAGGCTCCTCATCTTCGGGGCCAATGTGTCGCTCCATAGGAGGATTGTACAAAACGTTGTCGTCGAGCAGGGTCACCACTTCTTTCAAGTGCTGTGGCGAATAGCGCGAAGCAGGCGGGAGGAGATACCATTCCAAAACACCACGGCCACTCTTCCGCCGGTGCTCTAACTCAATAACAAGACCCTCTGCAGCACCAGTCCCAACCAGTCTGTCCAATCGGCCAAGTAGGATGCCTTCTTGTTCTTCTTCGAGGCCGAAGACTGGCGGCGCTAAACTGCGGTCTCGAGCAGCCTTTTGTGCTAGGATGTGTGAAAATGAATGGAGAGTGATGATGCTTGTAGCCAGATACGTCAACACGGAGATTGGCGATGGCGAGTAAGAATTTTGCTGTGAGGGTTCGGGGACATCTTGATGGTATGTCACCACGAGCGATGCATCCACCTTTGCTGTTGGAGACGTGGGTGCAATGAATGACCCAAGGAAAGAGGGCAAATGGAAGCTAGGGTCTGATCTCCTAGAACCCAATAATGGGTTGATTGAATCAATCAGAATAAGACGTCCTGATCAGACAGTAAGCAAAAGCGCGCGGGCAGAATAACCGGATGAGACTTACTACGCGATGGATTGGCAGATGCAACTGCATTGACTTCTTTAATAATATCGGCGGGGCTCTTGCGTCGAGTTGACACAAAGGCATCGACGCCTTCTGGTTGTTTTAGGGTTTCAAACGCGATTAGTGTGACATGAACTTTGGACAACTATTGAACAGGTTAGCTTAGCTAGCTCCTCATACATGGGTGCGCAGCCTTGACTAGGTCTTGCAATATGTTCCTGGAAGCTTACCTTGGCACGTCTGATGTATTCTTTATAGAGCGGTGTGGCCGGTTGCTCTAACGAGTCCTGGACAAGTGTGAGGGGCGACGCTGTGTCCCGGGAACTCAAGAGTTTAGAGATTAAGAGCAAATTATGCGTCCGTCTGTGGGAAAGGTTGACAGGTGCCATGTTTATCCAGATCTGAAGTGTTGCACCAATAGGCTTCAGGGGGCGCGGGGATGATGAACGCACAGGAAGTGGGGGCTGCAAAAATTTTGCGGTGGAATTTAGAGTTGAGGCTCAGCGTGGATTTTGCCGCGGAGTGGGGCCTCTCTGCTTGTGCCGAGTCTACTACATTTCTCAGACATGACACTGTATGGTTAATGGGAACATAGAGTGGTTGGTATTGCAGAAATACACTTGCTCTTTGTCTATAATTTGCTACTAACATTCCTACCCCTGTTATATCTGTAGAGTGAATACAGCGAAACTCGGCCATAAGACATCTCAATAATCAAGGTTTTAGTGATAATAACGTAGACCATAAGTATTTGACTTTGTTTGTATTCCGTACGCTTATTGTTAGCAAATGTCTCAAGGAAAGCGTACGATTTATTCACGTTGTTCACGAACCAGATGAATCTGAAAGAATATGTTTGATTCCACGATTTTCCGATTAAAGATATATGTTGAGATTTATGGTGGCCGGCCATGAATTACGCCATGAATGAGCCATGACGGCAACCGAAAAGTGATTCATCACCTGGGAAATCTTATTAGGACTAGCTTAAGGCTGAGTTTTCTGGTATATAAGGAGGTTCTCATGCAAATAAGAATCTCCAGACTTAAACACCTCGGTAATCTATTGTTAGATTATCAATATTGTACAGTCGTACCCGCCATCGTTCCCTACTTGCATCGTAACTTTTAACAATATATACATTTTCCTTATATGTTCAAATTAACTACACCAGTAATGGTACCACTTAGCTAAGTAATAGCCCCCTCTTTGACTATTATTTATCAAGGCCAAGTACAGAATCTCTTATCTCTGACCAACGCGTTTGCTCTGCAAATAAATACCATATAGGCACTGGCTCTGGTATTGTCTCGAGAGGAATAGTGAAGTCCCGAGATAGCAGAAGTTCCATATTTCTGACTGCTTTAATGACTCTGATTGTGTTATTGAATAGCCCTCTAAGCTGCATCTTAAATATGTTCTAGAACGAATCCTCCAAAGTGAAGTAACACTAATACCGGACCTAGCTAGTCTGAAGATGGATCTTACTTATCAGTTGTTGGTGAGAGTAGAAAAACCAGCCAAAGGAGGCAATATTCACAAAGGCTCAATCAAGCACTTTGACTAGATTGTCAAGTGTCTCGTCCATGATAGTATTATGAGTACTCAAGTCTTTACGGAGTAGCACTATAGGAAGAGAAAGAAACAGTTAAGAGCCCTTTTATTAACAGGAAGAAGACATCTGGGATATAAAGAAGTAACGTACCTTAAATTCTTACATAGACTATAAGTTATAAGCTATGGTGGTACATTTGATCAAAACCCCGAGCGCCTCTCCATGAAACAGCAAAGAATCCTACGAGGCGTATAGCCAGCAATCTGGCATATCGTAACGAGAACGCCAAGCTAAGCACGGAGACCAGTTTCAAGATTGCTAAGCTATGAATAGCTTTAAACGAACTTTCGAGCACCTGACAGATATGTAGCAGGACAGAATCCAACAAACTAATGCCTCGCACTCGGTTCATGGCTCAGGTATAAATGTATTGTTTATTCTCGGAAGGTTGCATATCACTTGCACAACTATGAGGCTGTGAAAATCCTCATGTATGCAGTTTTATTTTCTCTACTGTATAGGTCATTCCAGGGAAGACGAGCCAAAGTTCGGGGTCAGAAATGCTCCCAATGGACGTTGATTGGCGACGGGCCGGCCCGCGTACTGCATCGCTCCCCTTGGGTAATTTGGCATCTGAACATTTGCGGTGTTCATGACTGAAGGTACCAGTGTGCATGTGCTTATACTCCTCTGATCAATCTGAAGAAGATAATTCCTTACATAATCTTCATGTGAGATGTATATCTGCGAGTACGGAAATTTTTTTGAGGTAGAGTTCGACACCGTGACACATCAAATTGGATCCTCCAGAATCAATGACAGATTTTGTTGTCTCTAAGTAGGACTTGCACATTGCATGGGTGCTTTGAAATAGTTCAAAATAGGAAGACTGCAGATATAGATCAGTCAAGTCGGACACATCTCAAAAGCTGCGCGAGTGGTCTTTACCCGTCACCGGAATAAACTTCTCTTTGGACCCGAGACTTGGGCAGACTCACCATTGCGACAACTTGATACCCTCTACCCCATTACCTATACGCCCATTGCAATTGTTGCTTCCGATATTGATTCTGGCAATCAGCTCTGATCCGTCATAAAGCAGGGCCAATCACTACCTATTCCAGTCCACCACGCCCGTCATACCGGGCAAAGCCCAGACATAAATCAGGGTCCTTTCACAATGGCCGAGCCACCTGCGAAGCGCGCTCGTCGAGTTGACAGCGCTGCCATGTGGGATTCGAATGATAACCCGCCGCGTGCATCAGAATCGGAGTCAACTCGCGACCGCAGAACTTCACCACCACGAGACGATCGACGCGACGGCCGATATCGCTCACGCTCACGAGAACGAAATGACAGAAGGCGAGAACGGAGCTGGTCTCGAGATCGCCGCGACAGAGATCGAAGGGACGGGGGTAGAGATGGCCGCGGGGCTCAGGATCCGAAAAGGAGCATTAGTCGAGAGCGCGACTATGACAGACGAGGTAGGCGGCCCTTGAATGGCGTGATATGTGAACACTTACTGACTTCAATGTATCAGGAACTGGACCAAAAAGTGTCAAGTTCCGCGACCGCTCGCGCTCGCGATCCCCCGCTCGGAATGGAACACGGGCTCGCTCACCTCCTCGAGGCCCTAGAAATGATCGCAGAGATCCTAGATCTCGAGAGGATTCCCGGAAACCAAATGGTGCACTGGAAGCATCTCGCCATGAAGATGAGATGGACATGGACATCAACGAGGATGCAGATGAAGACGAGATTGAGGCGCAAATGCGCAAGGCCATGGGATTCACTCGATTCCGCACTACGAAGAACACCAAGATTCCTGGAAACGATATTTATGGGGTACGGAAGGAGAAGAAGATTGAGTACAGACAGTACATGAACCGCCAGGGCGGTTTCAATCGGCCGCTCAGTCCTTCGCGATGAGCTTTTCGGCCTTTCCACAGATGTGCACCTTTCTTTTCACTGTATTCAACACCCTCGGACATTGGTTTATTTCTCTGGCACGATTTGCATTTGCGGAGCATGGTTTCTTGACATCTTACCCTCTTGGCAAAAGCCTTGTTGGAATTATCCTTTCGATACTCAAAATATTAGTAAAATAACAACTTCATTTAACAATTTGGCCACTCTGATATATACTGTAGAAAACCGGTCATAAGTGGACTCGATAGCTGGCACGAAAAATGACTGGACATGCAACAGGTTGAGTGACGTAGGCCGCTTTATGCCCGCGTTCCGGTGCACCGGACGACATTGCACTTTCCAACTACCCCCAGAGTGGCAGCCCTTCGATCTATAGCCCCAAAGATAGTGCCGAACTTGATAATGTCGGCCACAGAAGATCGCCGTGAGATCGTCATTGTCGGTAAGGACATCCTCTTTGCGACTGTACCCCGCGCCAGTTGCATTTTGCTGACCGGAATATTTACAGGCGGTGGCATCATTGGATGCTGCTCTGCGTACTATCTCACAAGACACCCCTCCTTTGACCCAGCCCGTCATAAAGTCACACTCATCGAGGCCTCGGAGATTGCTGGCGGAGCATCAGGGAAAGCGGGTGGTATGCTCGCGCAATGGGCATACCCGAGCAACATTGTGCCCCTCAGCTACAGGCTCCATGCCGAGCTTGCAAAAGAACATGATGGTGTGAAGCGATGGGGCTACCGAGAAGTCAACTGTGGACAACTGGTCGTAAAAGGCCGTGCTCTCACCGAGAAGAAAGCCGAGGACCAGAGCTCGGAGTCCCTCCAGAAACGCAGCACAGCCGCCATGGCCAAGTTAAAGTCTTCCAAAATCCCTCAGGATCTCGACTGGATTGAGCCAGAGCTTATGCGGGCTTACGAGAGCATGAGCGGGCCTGGTGAAACGGCCCAAGTGCATCCCTATCAGTTTACTACTTCCATTGCCAATCTAGCCGAGGAGAAGGGTGCAAACATTATTCTTGGACAAGTTACAGATATCAATCGCTCGAAGAGCTCTGTTGAATCAGTGACCTATACCGACAAGAAATCAGGAGAATCACAGACCATTGCAGCTACCGACGTGCTCGTTGCTGCTGGTCCCTGGACTAACACCATTCTCCCAGAGGTCCCAATCTCCGCCATGCGGGCACACAGCGTGGTGATTGAGCCAAAGGATCCAGTCAGTGCTTACTGCCTGTTTACAAACATCGAGATCCCCGCCAATTTCAACCCGGAGAAGAAGTCACGTCCTACTGTGGCAGCACCAGAGATCTACGCACGCCCTGACAGGACGGTGTATGCGTGCGGTGATGGAGACAGAACAGTTCCTTTACCAAATCTTTCCTCCGAAGTCCAGGTTGATCAGGAACGCTGCCAGGAAATCATCGACCAGGTCGGCAGTATTTCTAACGATTTGCGCGACGGTGAGGTTCGCACGCGTCAGGCTTGCTATCTTCCCAACTGTGATTCTGGTGGTGGACCTCTAGTCGGCCTGACTGGGGTTCAGGGTCTCTACCTTGCCGCGGGTCATACCTGCTGGGGTATTCAAAATGCCCCGGGGACAGGCAAGTTAATGAGCGAATTTGTGTTTGATGGAAAGGCAATGAGTGCAAATATCGCATCGTTGGATCCACGCGATCATTTTTAGGATATCCCATTTGGGCAGTGTCAATAGCAACAAGACATAGGATAGTAGGAAATACAGCAAGGGTATGAAATCCAGCCAAGACGAGGGAGCTTATAGAAGCCGGTGGTGGAGCTCGGGCCACGTAATTGCGGAGAGGACAACAGCTCCGCGACCTGAAACTGAACAAACTCTCCAATGTCCAATTGAGTGACGCTGCTTTCACAATGCGTCACCTCGGCATCTCGTTCTTATTTACGTCGCTTCTATCTGCGACTGGGATCGTTGCAAGCGAGGATCCCAGCGATGTGTCTATATTGATTAGGGAGTCTGGACGCGCCAGCAACCAGTCTCTGCTATGGGGACCCTACAAATCCAACCTCTACTTTGGAGTGCGTCCTCGCATTCCGAAGAGTTTGTCTGCAGGCTTGATTTGGGGCAAGGTTGATGAGTACGTTGGTGCTCAGCAGAGTATGTTGCCGAAACCCGATCCCTGTGTTCTGGCTTGGATTATATGGACTGCGAAGCTGACATCCCAAAGACTTTAGACACACCTGCGAACAGAATGAAGGCATGGCCGGGTATGGCTGGGACGAGTACGATATCCGCAAAGGTGGACGGGAGACTATCCACGATGCCGGGAACAACTTGGACCTCACCATCGACTTCATCAAAGTCCCTGGTGGTGACAACGGAGGAAACTGGGGTTTCCGCGTCAAGGGTGTGCCTCGTGAGGGTGCTAGCCATGATCTGCCCATCTCGATGATCTTCTATACGACCCTTGAGGGATTGGGCCATGTGGGCGTTGAGACCGACACCACGGAGGATTCCGCTGGCATTGAAGGCGACGTCAAGCTTAGTGGATACTCCTCTGAGCTTGGTGACTTCTCAATCGACGTGACTACCGGACCGAACACCAACAAATACCCTCGTTTTGACCACCCTAGCTCTACGGACAGGCCACTTACCAACAGCCTGGTTGGCAGTGTGTCGTTCCCCGAGGAGCAACTTTGGCAAGCAAAAGGAATCTACTTCACTCAACTGAAAAAACAGGTTGATGAAGCTCTCCAGGAGTATGGACAAGAGGACATCCCACCTCCTGCTCAGCTCTTTACGATCAAGCACCAGCCAGGTCAGGGCAATGCTCACTTTGTTCAAAAGGTTTTCACTGGTGCATTTGAGTTCGATGTCCTGTTCTCCTCAGGCTCTGCTCCTGAGCCATTGACCTCCGAAACTTTGACCCAAGAGATCAAGGATGCCTCTGCCTCATTTTCTGAAACATTCGATAAGGTTCTCCCACCGCAGGCGCCATTCGACTCACCGAAATACTCTAAGTTCTCCAAGGCCATGCTTTCCAACCTTATCGGTGGCATCGGCTTCTTCCATGGAGACGATGTTGTGGACCGGTCAGCTAACCCTGCGTACGAGGAGGAGAACGAAGGCTTCTGGGAAGAGACTGCCGAGGCCAGAGCTGCGGTTGAGCCCGTCCTTGAAGGACCAAAAGACCTTTTCACCTGTGTGCCCTCTAGGCCATTTTTCCCTCGAGGATTCCTCTGGGATGAGGGCTTCCACTTGATGCCTGTGATTGAATACGACACTGATCTTGCGTACGTCTTATCTGTTCGATTATAAAATTTAGTCTATACTGACTATGATTTAGGCTTGAGATTATCAAGAGCTGGTTCAACCTAATGGACGAAGATGGATGGATTGCTCGTGAGCAAATCCTCGGCGCAGAGGCACGCAGCAAGGTCCCTGCTGAGTTTACCGTTCAGTATCCTCATTATGCCAACCCGCCCACCCTGTTCATGGCCCTGGAAGCCTTCATGGACAAGGTCAACAGCAACAAGAGCAATGACGCTGAAACCTTGGACAATCAGGATGCGACTGCTAGCTTGCGCTCGGCTACTGTCCGTCACCCCGAGTTGTCCGAGGCATACCTTCGTTCATTCTACCCGCTCCTAAAGAAGCACTACTTCTGGTACAGAAACACTCAGCGTGGCGATATCAAGACTTACGACCGGGAAGCATTCTCCACTAAAGAAGCTTACCGCTGGCGTGGACGCTCAGTGCAGCACATCCTCACTTCCGGTATTGATGACTACCCCAGACCTCAGCCACCTCACCCTGGTGAACTGCACGTTGATCTGATAAGCTGGATGGGTATGATGACCCGCACGATTCGTCGCATTGCTGAGCGCCTCGGCGAACAAGATGATGCCGAGGAATTCGCCTACTACGAGACTGCCATCACTCGCAACATTGATGACCTGCATTGGGATGAGCAGGAGCAAACGTTCTGTGATGCAACTATCGACTCATTCGAAGATAGTGTGCATGTTTGCCACAAGGGTTACATTTCCATCTTCCCCTTCCTGACTGGCATGCTGGGCCCTGACAGCCCTCGCCTCAAGCCTGTCCTGGACTTGATCAATGACCCCGAAGAATTGTGGAGTGAGTATGGTATTCGTAGTTTGAGCAAGAAGGACAAGTTCTACGACACCGATGAGAACTATTGGAGAAGCCCGGTCTGGATCAACATCAACTACTTGGTGTTGAAGAATCTCTATGTAAGTGATTCAATTTTGACTATGTTCCGTATAAACCTAACATTATTACACAGGATACTGCATTGGTTTCTGGTGATCACCAGGAGCAGGCCCGGGAAATGTACTCCCAGCTGCGCAAGAATTTGGTTGAGAATGTCTTCCTTGAGTGGAAGAAGACTGGCTTCGCTTGGGAGCAGTACAACCCTGATTCGGGTAATGGGCAGCGTACACAACATTTTACCGGCTGGACCAGTATGGTGGTGAACATGATGTCTATGCCGGATTTGGCCAAGGTCGAGGAGGCTGCCCATGACGAGTTGTAAGCTACTTTGGAGCTCGATGTGAAATAAAGCTTTAGATATCTTGAAAGCTAGCGGCAGTTTTACTGCTCGCTGGTCTGAATTGGTTATCCCTGTGCAAGAGTGTATGCTCGTCACATAGATTAGATATGTAGTGACTGTTGCGAGAGCCGTATGAACCGCCATGTGAATCAAGTCCTCCAACGCCAGGCTAATGTAGTCAATCCGTATCTCTTGTCGTGGCTCATAAGTAGCTCAATGACGGCGATCACGATCGTCACGGTCCCTTCGGCGTTCAGGGTGACGTCGACGCTCAGCTGGAGAGTAGCTGCGTTCCTCACGCCTTCGCTTCTGGTGTTCTTCATCTTTGCGACCAGGTCGACTTCTAGAGCGGGACGCTGACCGGCGCCTGTGGTGGTCTCTACCGCGAGATCGAGATCGCGAGCGGGATCTGTGTCGATGGCTGCGATGGCGACGTTCTCTGTCATCTCGGTGTCTGTCGTCACGGTGCCGTCGGTGTCTGCGTTCCTTGTCACGGCCATGGTCCTCACTGCGATCGTGTCTCCTTTCTCGCCGTGGACTCCGGCTGCGATCACGTCTGTGTCTATGACTTGAACTATGGTCCTTCTCCCTCGACCCGGCATCCGGCATATCTTCATCTCTGGTTGGTGTATCTTTGTTCCCATTCCCTCCAAGGGGAACCATGTTTGCGTTTTCAGAGGCTCTGGGGGGAATGGGAAGACCAAGCGCGATAGCCATAGCTTCCTCCTCCGCATCTTTCACTCGTTGGAGCTCCGCTCGCTCTTTTCTCAGTCGCTCCTCTTCGTCTTCACCGTCACCCTTTGAATACCATTGCAGATCACGGTTTTGCTGCCATCTGCCGACAGGGGCCATTACTGAATGGCCCAGGTAGTTCTCGCGATGGGCGGAGTCCTTGACATCGGACCATTTGAACTCATTGCGGCCGCCTCTGCGATGTAGGTTAGCGTAGATCGTAGTCTGATATGGTAGCATCGGCTTACCGGCTGCCCTCCTTACGAACACCAGCAACAAGATCCATCGTGAATGAGTTGGGGGAAGCAAACGGAGGTGTAACTTGAAGCCGTTTCGAGGGCACGTGCCGTGGGCGGTGAGGAGTGGATTTCATCATTGCCCGATCCACTTCTCCCCGCTGACATCAAATGTTCGCAGCAGCTTGACAATGTCCTGTCTACACTTGACCACTTTCTCTTCTTCTTGCTCACTCTTGGAAATGACAATACCACCACTTTCGCTTAAGTTTCTCGACTCTCACTGCTCATACTCGAGGAAACACTCTTCCATTCCTTCCGCCATTGCGGACCAGCGCCCTTAGCCTGGCGCAATGGCTTCCCCCTCACATTGAGGATCCAGGCCCTGCGACCTTCCAACAACGCCTTGAACAGATGCGGCCTCATATTAAAGCTTTAAATGTCGAAAACCCAGAGCAACGAGTACGTTTATTAGTTGCAAGGAGCTCACGTGAGAACTATGAACTGACATGCGATAGTTTCCTAGGTTGGTGCTTTTGTCCCACGTCGCCCGAATTGATTGTGGCTAACTAGCGTGAAGAAGGGGTGATGACCCTGGTCCGGATATAGCTACTTGGAGATGTAACTTGGTCAGTACCTACCAAGGCACTTTTTGACTAGATCATCCCATTGACTTGGATCAGGCTGCACTCTCACAACGTCGGAACTTACTATTCGTGGCTCATGGTTGTGATATATACGTATGGATCCCGAAAGGCTCCCGGCAGCTACTTGGGGCTCAACCAGAAATGATCATACATCCAGTGATGAAGCAGCCTGGAGCTGCTGGCTACATTGATCCGTCGGCACCTCATACAATAAACCATATCATTGTGGATGATTTGGGAGTTGATGAAGTTTTGCTACTGGCGACGGACTCTGGCAACGTCACTGGCTACAATGTTGAGGCTATCTTTTCAGAGCTTAGTCAGTGCGCAGAACTTGGACAGAAAAAGCCATTCGATGGGATTGGAGTCAAACCTTTCTTTGCTGAATATGTTCTGAAGAGCGCCTGGGGTTTGGCAACCCACAAATTTGCTCGTTTGATTGCCGTAAGTTCAAACACCGGCAATATCACGGTGTTTGCTTTCGCCATGGTGGACCTTGCGTCAGAGCATGCAGACAGTGATGTAGATTCCACACAGAATATGGAATCTGGAGATCCAACAGGAGAAGAGCAGACGTGGGTGAAAGTCAACAGATTGGATCACCTCAATGAGATCAAACAACAAATGCCCAATCATCGTAAACGCAACTTACGATTAAGCTACAAAGGCCATTTCGAAAATATCCCTTGTGTTTCGTTTGCCAACTTCGATTTGGACCCGAATGGCTTGTGGATGGTCAGCACTGACATCTTCAACAGGGTCGTTGTATGGCGAATCTGGGATAACTTAAACCCCATCCAGATGACCTACCTCGGGAATCCGCACAACAACCCTCCACAAAGAGGATGGTTTGTCTTGCCCATAGACCCACGCAGGGTTCAACGACACAAGCTTAAGATTGACGCATGTGGATGCCAACCAATACCAAAACTGATGCGGAACCGGATGATACTCAATGTCACGACGGCAATGGACCAGGCCAGCGAAATCTCAACCGCCGTTGCCCTTCGGCTGTCCAAGTCTTCAATGACTCATAAACCCCTTCCCGACGATATTTTTTCATCTGATTGCTGTGTCGGGCCCGGCTCTCCATCTCAACATTCAGGCCCACAGCAAGATCCACTACAAGATATTGGACACACAAAAAACAAACTCGACAACGCTGCGCCCCATACCTGGTTTAGTGCCACATCTGCTATTACCGATTTGATTGAAGAAGACAATAAAAGCTCTGACGTCCATTCATTCGAACTTCTTGTGCCACCAGTTCTCGAGGAGAATGATCTAAGTACCCTCGGGCGCATCGCTGTTCATCGTACGTCAAGAAAAATCGTGATAAAACTTATTGATGAATGCTAATCATGACATCAGCATCTAAACCTCGATTTTTTCCAATTCTACATTTCTCTGAGCGTGATATTTGTCTGGCTCCATATCCACTTGATACTGAGTTTCAAACACTCTGCAAAGGCCCTCTTTGGCAACGCTCCTACATGAACGAAGAGATCAATGGTGCCTGTGATCGCTTTAATATGGTTAAGTATATCCCCGAGCTTGGAATTGTTGCCGCTGCATCTCAGAAGGGCCGTGTTGCTATCATCACCATTACCTGGCAGGAGGAAATTGGTACTTCTTTCCGCCTGGATTGGATTGTCCCTTCCTTTACACAGGAGATGGCCGATGAGCGACCTATAGTTCCTCTTCTTGGCATTGCTGTGAGCCCTATGCCAGGGTTCGATATCCCGCCAGATGTACCCTGTATTCCTCGGGATGTTGACCCGGACGAATGGCTCGAATTCAACTACCGCATACTGAACCCTGATAACGATGATCAGTCAGACAAAGAGCCACATTCCGACGAGGAAGCTTCCTTCACCGGGTCTACACCTGCTGGCCAGGATGACCCTATGCAACAACGAGGGTCCAAAACGATCCGTCATGCAAGGAATACGCCCTATGGTCTCAAAAACCTCACACTTCCAGAAATCCATGCCCACGCTTCGGATGTCTACTATCCCTATGAGACATGGCATGGATCACACCCATCCCGACATTACAGGCTCCTTCTGATGTACTGCAACCATACTGTCATGAGCTACGAGTTCTGGCATCATTGGAGGAAATAATATCAGTGTTGATAGTGCTGTTCTCGTCTTAAAAGCAACTTATTCCCAAAACATCAGATTCTCCTGTTGACACCCACTAATAAAAGTGCATGTGTACTTATTCGGGTCATGCAAACACAGCCTAATAATTTTGTCGTTCTTGATGAGTTCTTAATCCCATCAAAGGAAGCCACCCTTCTCTCATCACGTCTTGATACAACTTGCACATCCAATTGAGGCTCCAACGGTTCCAACACAATGAAATGTACACATAAATGACCTTCTCCTAACAACCTTGTTATTGCTCCTTTTCCATTGAACCCCCCAAAGTGACCCTTTCGAACCACATCATCCGCCCTGGAAGAGCAGGTTCCAATTCGATCCCAACTCGTCTTGTCATTCCATCCGTGACATGAAACCCCGCCCTAACGACTTCGTGATCCCGCGGATCTTGATTAACAACCTCCAATTTCGCCATCCAAAACTCCCCAGAAACACAAACAATCCGAATCACCATGGAGACCTCATATAGAAGCCGCGAAGCAACTAGCTCATTCCCCCGCAACTCAATCTCCATCTCTCCATAACCAGCATGATAATACCGCCCGGCATATTTCCCAAGAGGAAGTGACGGCGGCTCAACCGGACAAGGAAGATCGGGATAAAGTCGTGCCAATGCATTACCATTATCGACTCTCTTCCGCTCCCGAAGCTGAGAAATCTTCAGGGAATAATCGATCCTCTCAGACATAGGCGTCCCAAGACGCTCGTCTAGCAAATGCATATACAAAGCCATTTGCGCATAATTGCTTGTCAATGTCGTGTTGCCCATCATGACCAACCCCCATTGCAGCTCGGGTAGATACATCATCGTAGACCCGTATCCAGTCCAGCTTCCTGTATGCCAGATCACGCGCTGGCCTCGGTAGTTGTCGATCCTCCAGCCGAGAGCATAAGCATGCGGAGCGGGGAATGGGTTGGTGGCTTGTTGCTTGTAGTGAATGCGCGGTTCTATGAGTGTTGCATGGGCGGCGGGACTTATCAGGGATGACTGGGTCATCATGCATCGCAGCCATTGAGTGTAATCGAGGACGTTGCTTATGATTGCACCTGCGCCTGAAACGACTTGGAAGTCTGGAGTTGCTTCTTTGGTGTATTGTTCTGTGGCGGCATTCCATGCGTAGCCGTGCGCTAGGGTTGTTCCTGTGCTTGCTGCTGCCTTTGCTTCTTGGGGCGTCCAGTATGTGTGTGTCATTTTGAGAGGTGTCCAGATTCTTTCTCGCATGAATCCACCTAAGCCTGTGCCTGTCATTTGCTCGATTGCGAGTGAGACGGCGGAGAACATGTAGCTGCTGTATAGGTATTGGGACCGTAGTTCGGCGGCGAGTGGAAGGTGTCTGAGGGATCGGATGCCGTCTTGGAGCGATGTTGTCTTTGGTTTGAAGCTTTTGACATGGTCTGGAAGACCGCTTCTGTTGCTCAGGGCATCTTCAAAAGTGACGTGGGATGTTGTATATTCATCCTCTAGAACAAAATCTTCCGGTATGACGGAAGAGATGGTCGAAGTCCAGGACAAGTGTGACTGCGTCTTCTCTGTCGCTTTATTAGATGCAACATCATCTATCAACAAAGCTATACTGGCAGCTGTAAATGATTTGGTTGTGCTGGCAGTAAAGAAGACTGTCTCCGGAGTGACTGGGACATCAGGAAGAACAGCCAGTCCATAGCCCTATTACTGTGTTAGTATTGATACTGTGCCGAAGATCTGCGGGCTTACTTTGGCAAACGTAGCAGCACCATCAATCACAGCGATTGAAAGGCCTGGAACATGCCATGTCTGCAGTAGTTCCTGGACTAGATTATCGAATTCGTCGTTCAAAGGAGACGAAGACATTGCAGATTTGGTAAATGTGTCGATAGACAAACTGTGATCGAGGCCTCATCATCAAAACGCACGGAAATGGCGTCTAAACAACCCCTCATTTAGAAGATTGGCTGACTCGGAGTCCGATCGGACATACAAAGTAGCCTAGTTAAGCCTCATCCGAGAGCCGCCAAACTCGTGATGGCGATATTGAAACCCAATAGACACAATTGTGGCAATTAACTGAGAATCGTGGTATTCATGCCCATAAATAATTTAAATTTTTGGCCTCTGCAGTTGAGAACTAGGCCTGGATCAGTAACATTGATTTTGGTCGACATGGTTAATGCGGACTCCCTTGATCGTTTATCTCCTAGCAAGTTGATGCACAGAGGAGAACAAAGAAGTCGGATCCCACAGCTGACGAACCTCTTGAAGACGCCGAGCATTGGGCGCACCCCAGTACCACTCGAGCGTTTGTTTGAGATCACCCTCGCCTATGTATGAACCCACCGCGTATTTTTTGATCCCAGCTATAGTTTCATCCACCCACGCCTTACACCGTGGAGCCTGATCCTCGGTTTCAGCAATACTATACATGGAGAAGTAATGATTTGACGGGACGACCATTGCCATGTCCGAGACTACTCGTTCACTGCGTGGATACATTGGACACCAGAATGCCCACGATTTCCCCGGAGGTAGATTGAGAAAGCCATCTTCCAGGACTTCTGTTACCGTAGCCTGTTCGTCAATGAAGGCATTGTCGGTGTAATAGTAAAGAGACTTTGGACTCGCCATTGCTTGGCCATGATGCAAGTTCTCTAGGCTTTCCTCTTGACATAACTTTTCCGATAGGGTTCCAAGAGGATGGCCGATATGGAGTTTCATTAGAGCCTCCTCAGCTTCCGCAATGTTATTTTTCATGGTGACAAAAACAACCTGGAAGCATAGCTCACGATCAGGCTCGGAGTGAAATGCCACCATTACGATCTCAGTGTCCTGGTCCGTGGTCGGTACGACAGATTGAACCCAGTCAAAGGCTGTACGATACATTCTCGCTGGATAAAGGTATACTGATGATCGGAACCCAACAGGATAAGGTAGAAGCTGTAAGTGGAATGTAGTCGCGATAGCGGGGAACAATGGCCCAGCTCCGCGGGCAGCCCAGTACAGATCTTGATGCTGGTCTTTATTGCATAGGAGTAGCTTGCCCTCTGCTGTGACAACTTCCACGGCGAGGAGCTTCTCAGCAGCCCATCCCCAGTTCTAGAACTTGTTAGTGACGTGCTTTAGTGCATGGACCGAGGTAGTAAGACGTACTCGACAGTTCCATCCCTGACCTCCTTGAAGCATGAACCCCCCGAGACCAACATCCGGGCAATGGCCTGCTGGGAACATCAGGTCATGGTGTTCTTGTAGGTACTGATTTAATTCTTGTCCGGTAACGCTGGTGGTGACTTTGGCTGTACTCGACTCGGCATCCACGCGGATTTCTTTCCAGCTCCCTAAATCCAATAGAATGGAATGTTCTTGTAAGCTCCAGACCTGGATTGAATGACCGCCTGATCGAACGGCCAGTTGGCAATTCCCCTGCTGTGCTATTTTCACCGCTTCAATGACATGTTCTGCGCTTGTTGCTAATATCACAGCCCGTGGAAAGTAGTTGGGGCGATCGAGATTGAATACATTGTTCACGCGTGCTTGTTCATAATCTGCGCTGTCACTCGAGTCTCGCCATATGATCTGCATCGTGGAGGGTGAGTGAAGGAGGAGTGAAGTTGGGGTAAGCTCAGAGAGGGGGTTCTTGACGGTCCACGGGTAAATTATACCTGTTCTCGTATAAGCTCATGGGAACAACGAAGGATGTTATACTGGATACGCGTAGAGTCTATATGGCGTGGTTATCTACGACAGATCAACTAGGCACAACTACAAGGAGATGGAGAATATAGCTAAGAACCAAAGAGCATAGGGGGCTGAATGGAATCCAATTCATATCGATTGCAAATGTACATATGTCTGGGTTCGCATAGAAATCGTCCACCCTCAACTACGAGTGGAATGTAAAGGAGGATAACTTGGACCAACGAAAAGAGTGCCTAAACTGCAATCCATGATTACCAGCGCAGCTGGATAAATACATCAATTAGCAGCAACCCTGCTGAGAAACAAAAAGCAAATGTTCGAAAAAAAGCAACATTGAGGGACTGAACATTCCCAGGTGCAGAAAAGCTAAGAACAGGATTTAAAGAAAGGCATAAATCGTCGTATCATGCATCAGTCTCATTATGACGCTTTTTCGGAAATCTGATGAACAGAAAATTCCAGGTATCTGTTGCGATATGTAAGGTGAAAACATCACGTCGTGATCTTTAAAAGTCATCATCTAACTCGTCGCTATCCCATTCATCCTCGCGGTCGTTTTGCACGAGGGCTAAAAAGCGTTGAAGGCCAGCACGAGCTTCATCCTGCTGTCGTTGATGGTCAATGTCCCATGCATTAGGCTCGTCATCGTCATTAACAAGGGGCGGGCCGAGATAACCGAGAGGTCCTTGGGGATGAGGCGCCGGAGGAATATCCGCCCATCGGATCGGTCTCCGGGGCTCATCTCGGTTGTTGCGGTCTCTAACCTCGGCCATGGCGCGAGCTTGAGCTCGGCGTTCGGCGGCAGCAGCACGGGCTGCGGCGTGGTCGCGTCTACCGGGTCGTCGACCTCCGGCGTTGACGCGGGGTGGAACTGGGGCGGGTGGAGGTGGATGTCGGTGGTGTAGGTCGTCTTCATCATTGTCGAATTCAAATGCCGGCTGATCTCCGTCGCTTTCTTCGGCCTCCTCATGGATGACTTCCGGCAGTGGATCATCAAAAACCAGAAGTGCTTCAGGGATGCGATGAAGTGCCTCGGCTCCGTCTGGGTTGAGACCATCACCCCCTTCCAAATCCCAGAGCCGGTTGTAGCATTTACTCTCCAGGGTATTGAAGTGTTGATATGGATTGTCGGCAGACAGCCAACTCGAGCAAAGGTAACAGAAGTGTGTGTCACACTGGAAGCAGCGCATGTGATTGCAACCCATCTGTTTCTGGCAAGGCACATTGCAGGTAGGACAAGGGGATGTGTACAGGCGCAGATACTCTTCGGTTGCCTTTTCTTCCTCGGATTTCTCACCCGCACGTCGGGGGTAGCAACGTATTAATTCCCCGTGCCAGCCTTTTTTGCAGACAGAGCAGAATGCGTAGTTGCAGTCTTCACAAATGGCTACACGTTCTGCCATTGGGGGCAGTTGGTCTTCGGGGCCGAGAGGATCAAATGCATCTTCATCATCAGACATCTCTAAATCATCGGTCATTGGGTCTTCGGGTTTCGGGTGACGTTTGGATCGTGCTGCTCCTTGGCACCATTCTCGGGGACAATAAACAGTGTTCTTATCGGCTTCGATCTTCTTTTTGCGTTTGAGGAAAACATATCGCTGTACTACCTCGGGAGGCAGTGGGATCTGTAGGAGCTCGCTAGGTCCAATACTAGGATATCGCTTCTTGCGCGGCGGTGTCTGACCATCGCCCTGTGCCGGCGGTCTCCTGTTGAGCTCACAGTCCGGTGCCATGCATTTAACGCTATCTACATCGCCCTCGTGGATGCAGGTTCCGTAGAAGTCTTGTAGACAACTGACACAAAAGACGTGGGAACACCGCAGCAATCGATGACAAAGTAAACCCTTCTTTGGTTCGAGGCAAACTCCGCATTCGAAAGTTCCCTGGTCGAATTTGTCCTGCTCCGCTTTTATATTGAAGTCCAATAGCGCCACTTTGAGATCCCGCGATAAGCACACTTCCCCCGATGCGGTTCGTATATCGAAAGTTGTTTCCGCCAATTGTTGCAAATGATCAATATATGTGTAAACAACCAGATCATTTCCACATTCCTCCCAAAGTCGGCGGCAGTCGTCAGATAACCGATCGATAACCGATGCTGGCAGCCAAGATGAAACTGTTGTCAAATGTACGATTGGTGGCTTCTTGGTAGGGTAACCATCGGGCAATTCGATTTCGAGTCTGAGAGGGGGTAAATATGTCAGGATATGAACATCCTTCACAGGTGGCTGCTCAAGTTCTCCTTTGAATTCATCCAAAGAAGTTGGAGGGGTAATGGTGGCGTTGAGAGCGGCATCGACTGGCTGTTGAAAACAGACGGATATTGGCGACGATGGAACAACAGGCAGTTCAAGCGCTGCTTTAAAAGGTGACCCGGGTTGTATTTGTATCTCCGGGAAGATGGCGGCGATGGAGGACAGCTCGATGGAGCGGTCGTCGTCGGGGCACTCTAGTTCGGTCATGTTGGCGCAAATAAGACCTGATTGGCTGAGCTTTGCGTCGACGTAGAGTTGAGACGTGATATATTTCCGTTAGAGGCTAGTATTGCGATTCGGAGACCGTGTATGTCTCCCACGATATATCTTAGCACAACAAGGCCATGGCAGTCGCAAATCGGTTGAATATAGTATGGCGACGGATCGGAGTGAAATGTCCGGGTTGGGCAGAAATGGAAACACCCCTGCAGGAACACTTCAAATCAGCGATGCGACTGAGATGCTAGTGGTAAACTGACCAGTCGTTCACGGCGCTCCGAGTATCCGAGGCCACTGTTCGGCGGAGCGGGAGGGATCTAATAAATGATGTAACAAGAAATCGGGAGAATATGGTGAAAGCAGCTGCGTCATTGTTCGAATAATAGAAAGGCTATAAGAAAGAGAAGACCGAGAAAGAGAGAAGAGAAAAGAAAGTGGGATCCCACTCGATGCCTGAGAAAAGTCCCCGCCGTTGGGCTTTGTATCTTATCACGGACCGGATTTACTCTCTTTCCAGACCCTGAAACACCTCTTGCTTCTTGGACTTGCTTCACTTTCCACTCACTTCACTCTTTTGACTCTTTTATCTCTTTGTCCTCGCTCTATATTCAACCATGGGGGACACTCCACTCGCCTCGTTGTCGTTGACTCATGTCCATTATGTGTGTCGCCTTGTTCAACCCTTATCATATCCTGTGCTAACTTACTTAGAACCCCGAGGACCAGCTGTCCTTCGTTTCGGCGTGGTTGGCCTTGATTCCCCAGGCATTATGTGTTTCATATGCAACCTTGATCTGGTCAACTAGAGAAGTGGAGGTCATCCTCATGTTTGTTGGCCAGCTGGCCTGTGAAGCTTTAAACTTTGTTCTCAAGCGGTTGATTAAAGAAGAGCGACCGAGGGGTAAGTGTTGATGGCAACGAGTCCTGACGGTCCTCGAAAAGACTAACCGTAAGACAGAGATGTTTGGCAAGGGTTACGGCATGCCCTCCTCCCATGCTCAGTTTATGACCTTCTTTTCCGTCTACCTGACCTTCTTCCTCCTCTTCCGTCATAGCCAAGCTTCCGCCAGCTCCTACCCCAATGTGGCCGTCCTTCTCCGAGTTCTGGTCATGATGGCCCTTTGCATAGGTGCAGCTGGTGTCGCTGCGAGCCGTGTCTACCTCAATTACCACACCCCAAGACAGGTCCTCGCTGGCTGTGCTGCCGGTTTCACATGTGCGTGTGCCTGGTTCATGTTTACCAGCGTCCTGCGAAGCTCTGGCTGGATCACCTGGGCCATGGATCTTACTGTATCTCGGGTTGTCAGAGTCCGTGATCTCGTGGTAAGTGAGGACCTGGCCGAGGCCGGCTGGCAACGATGGGAAGCTCGGAGATTGAAACGTCGCGGCAGTGAAAAGAAGAAAGCCTAAGGACGGAACTTGACCCATTATGCGTATACCCGGATATTGTAGAAAGAACGCGCGTCACCCTGTACATTTATCGCACTCATCGCAATTATTGCACCCATTGCTATTAAGTTGAATTTAACCTCGAAGTCCCAACATTCTCACGGGCTCATAGACAAGATTGTTACCGCCTTTCTCACCGCCAAGCATTTGCCATGTTATATAGCAGTGTCTGGAGGTGTAAAATGGCTCCCAAAGTACCTTGTAGAGCGATTTAATACCTGGCTCCCCGAGGCTTCCAAATGCACGTAGAAGAGTTGGATCCCTTTCAAGCAGACCTTGTGCAGCGTCCAACGATCCTCGAGGTGTGTAAACATTGACCGAGGTCACGTGCCGGCTTCCCAGAAATCAACACCGCAACCCAAACTTGCATCACTTGTTTGAGACGTGACAAGTTGGAATGTGTGACAACTGATTTGTATAAGACCAATTAAATTTGAACTATCTCACAACTGACTGGCTTTGTTGATGCCGGGAGCGTGAAGAACCCCGATCTGGCGATCTTCAACGCCTATCAGAAACCCAGACTCGTCAATCCCCCAGAGATGGAAGTTCCATCAGATACTCGTGACTCCACGATGGAGGACCATCATATTGTTAAGGCCGATGAGGTTGATCAAACTGGGACTGATATCTCGCCTGTCTCCGACGACCAGCTCATGGAGGAGGTGGCTGAGGGGCTCCGCCAGGAACGCCAGGAACGCCAGGAACAGACATCTGAAGTCGCGCCCCCCGCGGAGACGACGCTATCTGAGTCTGTTAATCCTATGAAACGACCTGAACTCCGCCGTGAGGCCTCTGCTCCTCCGCCACCGCTGCAGCCACCGCCTCCGGCTCCAGTTCAGGAGAACCCAGGACAGCCATCTGACTCACTGAGTCTATCGCAGTTGCGCAAACTCGTGAATGAAATGCCCAAAATTGAGCAGCCGGCCTATGCATTTGAATATGCTGACACTCAGCCCTTTCCCGATGAATTGGAAGAATGGTTTCAGTATAATGACTTTGACCGTGTCATGCTAATGGGTACCAAGGCGACGTTCAATCAGAGATGGGATGTTTTTTGTCAGCAAAATAACATTTCGCTCCTCACATCTTGGCTTGATGTTTCCCATGATATTCGGCGTACATTTATCTCTCAGCTGCTCGGCGGCTTGCAGCATGCCGATGTCTCTGTACGGCTGGAGACACTTGAAACAACCTGCTACCTGTTGACTGGAGTTTGGGGCATAACCGGGGGAAAGTCATCTCCGGATTACCCATCCAAGGATAGATCTCATTCCTCAACCGAGGCTCCTCCGTGGAAGTCCTTGCAGATCGATTGGATTGAGGACAATGTCTCCCTCCTCCAAGAATGCTCTGGGGTAATGGCTTTGACCCAGTACATGTGCCGACTATTTGACAAGACACGTTCCAGCACTAGGACGGACCTCAATGGAATGGATCACGAGCGACTCAATCCTGGCGACATCACGGCCCCTGAGCGCGAGGCCAATCTGCTCCTCACATGTTTGTACTTTGTCGTGGAAGTGGGTCGTCGACAAGAAGCTTCTCGTACTGGGTGCAGCCCTATCCGCGATACTCTCATTCAATCGGACCCAAATCTGTTGGTCTCCATTGTTGAAATCATCGCCCGTTTACGTTGGGATGAATCTGCCAATATCCCACTTACCAGAATTCTTCTTTTGCTTTGGAAATCACTGCTCCTTGTATTCGGAGGCGTCGATGACCTGAAGCGAGCCAAAGACGCCCTGGAGCCTTTCCATTCAGCGGACAGAGATGACACTAACCGCCGGACTCCATTCCTTCATGCCTCGCCCTTGGATTACCACGTCTTCCGCCAAGAGATCACATCGAAATACCCAGCTTACAACCCTCCTCCACTTGCTGTTCCGTTGGAATTGGAAAATAACTCAATTCTTCCCCCTCTTCCACACAACGCGATTAAGATCAACTCATCGAGTGGTATATTCTGTGGCGTCGGACCGTCTATTGCTGGCGGGAATGGCTCTATTATTCAACAGTCTGTTCACATCGCAACCCCGGCACCATCCCCACCGCCATCTCCCATTGGCCCAGGAGGCAAGGCCGGGAAAAAGCAGAACTACCAAACCAACCAGAACTTCCCCTTTATGTACCCTCCATTAGATGATTCCAGTAATCGCATTGGTGGAAAGGGTACCACAGAACGACAGGATACATTGGTTGGAAAGCGATGGGAAGGTAGTGACGTTCCCGCATCCATCATTGAAGCTGGAAGGCTCTTTTCCACACACGTAAAGATGACCCGTGCCATTCGACAACTGTGGCAGGAACGCGAACATTTTATGACCTACGATCGTGGTTGGAACGCTGAAGATGCTGCTCATTTCCCTGATGCCGACCTATCAGATGATTTTGAACACTTGGATCTTTCGGAGAGCGAAGAGAACCCGGGAAAGAAATCTGAACAGAGGGAGACAGATGACCCTGACATTCAGCGGCGTTTAGATGCTGTTGAAGATTTCTACGTGAGTGGCATTGTCTGTTGATTGTGAAATTGTCTAACCGACATCAGGGCAAAACTTTGTCCCATCTTCAATCTATTACGATAGTCTTTTTGAAGATCATTTTGACAAATGTCAGCTCGGTGGTCAGCCAAGCTGGTAGCTATAACCAGAGCATGAGGTAAGCTTCATGAAACTAGGCAGATCTTCGATGGTTATTAACATACTATTCAGCAATGGAATGAATGGATCGCACGATTTGTTCTCCGATGCATCCATTGATGAACTTGATAATATTAGACTTCGCGAGATTACCGGAAAGGCAGTATCTGGAATTTTGGTGCTTCTCTTGAAGTGGTTCAAGCGGTCTCGTAAGTTTCTCGACCTTACAGACCTCTGAAACAAATGACTGACGTTGGAAGATATCCTGAAATTCGAATACATGACGCAGCTGCTTCTAGATTCTAATTATCTCCCTCTAATTCTCAAGATGTTCGCCCACCAAGACGTCGATCAGGCCGTTGCACAGAAGAATGATCGTGAAGACTTGTCGTAAGTTGCTCGATCACATTGAACTACCACACCAACCTCTAACATCTATCAGGTTCTTCCACTTCTGCGCCAGCAACACCGATGCCCAGGATAGCGACGATAACTCAGGCGGGGACACCGAGAGCGAGGACGAGGCGATGCCACCTCCAATCTCTCGACACCGTCCCGAATTCATGCGTGGGCTATCTGAGGAAGGCTCAGTCACCGATATGTTCAATGGGCCCACCCGACCTGAGGTCGACGAGCTGGGCTACCCAACAGTCCCTCCCCCGAAAGAACCAATCACGACATTCTCCTTCCGCAACTTCTTTTCCTCCATTAATTACTTGCATGTGATGCAAAAGATCACTCGCAACAAGGCTCACCGTTGCCTTTTACTCGTGCAGTACAAGTCAAGCAACATCCTCCGCAAGGGCCTCAAGATCCCTGATCCCCACCTCCGCGATTACACCCTCAAGCTGTTCAAATCGCAGGTCCCATACTGTGGTCGGAAGTGGAGACAGGGTAACATGCGTGTTATCACCGCTATCTACCTCTACTGCCGGCCTGAACTCCGCGACGACTGGCTCGCCGGTTCCGACGTCGATGCCGAGGTGGAAGAGGCTTTGCCATTGGAACAAGCTCTGCGAGGCCTAACCCACTGGTGGCATCTGCGCCAGTACAAGGATGTGATGGGCGGCAACGAAAACACATCGATGGTAGAAGAGGAGCGGGATTTCTTTGTCCGGGAGCTTGAGTCTATGGGCTGGGGATTTGCTGATGACATGCTTGGTGGATCTGGCGATGATCAGGAGATGGCCGGTCAGATGGCCAATGGCACTGAGTGGGAAGGTGTCCCTCTGCCTACGGAAGGATGGCCGTAACTGTCCTTTTTTTCTTAATTCTTTTGCATGAAGATGAGATCAATGAATTGCATATACCCGCTGTGTCGATTCGCGTTATGATGGTCCATAGTATTATTGTAATCATGCTTGATTGCCTCGACTGCTATTTCTTACATTCGAGGTATGCTATACGATTATTCGTCTCTCGTTCCTTTTTGCCAATTGTTCTCTCTTCTGCTAGGCACTTCTCTTGACATCTTCTGGCCATAACATTCGCCGCCTCGCAACTGCAAATATAGTGGCAGCGCCCACCCCTAACCACATTGCGACTTGCATTACCGTCATAACTGAGCAAACCCAAAGAATACCTTCGGACTGCAACACCTGCCCAATGCTAATCGTCGCTATAACAAAACCTGTGTTGGGGAACACCATGGCCCAATAGGCAACCGACATGGGAGGCGCTCCCTCACCTCCAAATATTCTAGCAGATGCCAAAACACTCACAAGAGCAATACAGAAGTGAAAGAAGGCCATGGTCCAAACAAAGATAGCGACGAAAGATGCCATCACCATTGCAATATCACCAGTGCTGAGAGTGACGTTTTCAGTAGAGGTAGAATCGGCGTAAGAAATGATATATCGCGAAGGGAAAACTTCAACTGCTTCCTTTGCCATTCCAATCAGCGCAAGAGCAGTGAAACTCCACGGACCGACAGCAATGAACATTTGGGGTCGTTTTGCTCGTTCTGGTAGACCGTGTTTGGCAAGGAAGTACTGATATTCTCCGTAGATGAGTAGAGACATGATAAAGCCAAAGCCTTGCAATGTCACGCCACCGATGAGGATCGGTAGGGCTTGGTCTCGGGGTTGATTGGCCGCAATCGAGGATGCGATGGTACCAGAGAGCATGGCTGGAAAAGACGGCAGAAGTTGCACGATTGGGAAGGGTTGTTTCTTTGCCATGGCTAGATGGTATAGATACCAGTTGTGGAATATTGCCAGGAGGATGGAACATGCGACATAGATCCAGAAGATGATTCGTAAGGCGACCTGCAGCCAAGGACCACAGGAATCACTTCCATAGCTTTCTGCTCCGAGGATTATTGTCGCGATCGACAGAAGGCATGTTGGTGCGAAATAGGTTTCAGTGCCACTTTGAAAGGATTCTTTGAGAGCCTTGGGTCTGGAGAGGAAGCGGAGAATCATGCATGCTGTCACTGCGAGAAAGAAGAACAGGTTGAAGATATAAATGATTTTGCCGATGATTTCCAGACCGGTGAATTGGTGAGGTGTTCGGTAGAGCAGGACGGCGATGCCTCCAGTCGCCATGGACATCGAGTACCATCCCCATGTAATCTGGCATACTCGGTCTTTGACGGTGACCTGATCGTCGAGATCCATTTTGATTGTGAGATGGAATGGATTGAAATTTTTGTCCTAATGATATCACAGTGTGTGCCTTAAACCAGTTTCGGACGATCGAGAGATCTTGGTTAATCCTCCGAGTATCAGACCCACCCTTCAAGCTTGTTTTGTTCGGCATGCCGAGGTCGGGTTTGTTCGGGATCCTAGTCTGGTGTTTTTTTTCTGGAGAAAATTTCAGTGGCTGGAGTCCAATGATACGCAATCATGAATAAGCGTCTATCTCCTACCTAGGTATGGTACAGTGGTGTGTATACTCTGCAGACTTTTTTAAACCATTCTTGACCCATTTCAATCGATCCTCTCGAGGCGCCGATAGGTGGGTTCCCACATCTGTACGCGAATCCACTCAACAATTTCGCTATCTTTTTTTGGGATTCCCTCTTCCCGCGCTAAGCCTTCTCGTACAGCCTCTTGTATAACAGCCAGGGCGATTTTGACACTCAAATCGCGAACTTCTTCGACATCTGGAAGAAGAGGCTTGGTTGGATCTTGGAGAGCAGGAGCCGCCGCTGCGAGTGCTTTGGATGCCGCAACTATCATTTTCACGGATAAATGGCTTGTTCGAGAGAGAATGGCTCCCAAGCCGATGCCAGGGAAAACTGTAGAGTTGTTACATTCTCCTAGAACTTCGTTAATAAATGGAACTGATCTTGATCGCGAAAAGCGTTGAACCTTACCAATTTCTTTTTCAACACCTTGATACTTCACCGGAGGAAATGGGCTTCCTGTCGCGATCAATGCTCGGCCTTCTGTCCAATTATTGATATCTTCAGGCTTGGCTTCATGCAGTCGAGTTGGATTGCTCAAGGGAAACACGATTGGTTGATCCACATGTTTTGCCATCTCCTTGACAATTTCTTCTGTAAATGCACCGGGCTGAGTAGATGTGCCAATTAGCACATGGGGCTTAACTGTCTTCACCACAGACAGCAAATCTTGACCGTCGCTATCTGTCCATTCACTATCATCTCTCGCGAATGACTTTTGAGCCGGGGTGAGGCTATCTCCTTGAGACTTCAGCAAGAGACCGTGCTTATCGATGCACCTGAATTTCTTTGTAAGCTTTTGCTTTGCACATGTTTTCCTGGGTCAAAACATACCAAATCTGCTTGGTCGCATCGTCTTTGGACCGATTCGCCTCGGTGGCTATAGCATCACTTATCTGGTCTGCGATACCCGTACCGGCTGATCCAGCCCCAAAACATACAACCCGAACATCTTCTAGCTTGACTTTGCTCACATGAAGACCGGCAAGCATGGCGGCTAATGTGACACATCCTGTGCCTTGAATATCATCGTTGAAGCAAGGAGTCTCGAGGCTGTACTTCTCCAGAATTCGCTTTGCGTTCTGTAGACCAAAGTCCTCACTGACAATTGTCAATACCAATATACCCGGTTGAATAAGAGGGGCATGTGAGACATACAAGTGAATATACGCATTTGGATACTTCTTCTTCGCGGCGTGAACAAACCTGTCCACAAACGCATCATACTCTTCTCCACGGACTCTGCGCTGGCGAAGACCCAGGTACAAGTCATCTTTGAGAAGATCCTCATTCTTTCGAGTCTGTTAGCGACCGAAAATCAGAGAGAGACGGGATAATTTACATTGGTTCCGCAGTCAAGCACCACGGGAAGCGATCTGGATGGATGAATACCACCGCAGATGGTTGTGATGGCTAGCTTGGCGGACGAGATGAGTACTGCACCTACACCCTGATCACCAATACCTAAAATCTTGTTGCAAACTTAGCCAGAGTAAATTCAGCAGCGAGGCAGTGACTTACCTGCTCTCCATCACTGACAACGATGTAGTCGATGTCACCTGGTGGAAGATTTTCAAAGATTTCATCAATCTGGTCCTGGTCTCTGATGTTAAGAAAACATCCCTCTGGCTTTCTAAACAAGCGCGAATAGTTTTGAATGGCTTCGGCTTCGGTTGGAGTGTAGATTACCCCGAACATCTCTTTGAGGTGCGTTTTTATCAGCTAAAGTCACGAGTTAGCATAGTCACTCACTCTCAGCCGCGGAACTTTACCTGATAGAACAGCACCTCACTCTGTGCCTTCATACTCGCCAAGAAAGTATTCTTAGCCAAGTCGTCTGGGCGAGTTTGGTATTGCTGGTAGGCCCGTTCCACTTGTTCGTCTAATGTTTGAATATTCGGTGGAAGAAGCCCTTGGAGCTTGAAGGCTTTCCGCTCATCTGCAGAGAAAGCTGATCCTTTGTTGTACTGTGCATTGTGTAGTAGTGCCACACCCTACCCTGTGTTATTGACAACAGTCGCAATGTTTGTGAAGGAACATACCTCAAGAGGGCACTTTAGAGGACCGTTTGCCGCTCGAGGCAAATTTTCAAAATTTGGCTGAGGCATAGAGAAGTACGATAATTAACAGAGAATGTCAAGTTGATTTGAATTTTGGTGAATCATGGTGATAATTAAGGCTTAACAAACTATGATGCCGATGTTCGGCATCCCGAGTGAAGAAGCCGAGTGGATCTGATAAAACAAGGCTGCACGAGAAGAAACGTCGCAACTCCACCGTCATATCATAACCTGTTTTGCGAAAACTATCCCTAAAACTTCCGTATCCTACACAAACAAAAACGTGCTATGTATTCCAACGAAAATATTATGAACCGACAGTAGTTGCTTATATATTTCAGGTCGAAAGACTCGACTGATCATACGAAATCCTCGTTCATTCATATTTAATACCTGCGACAGGAAACTCATGATACTTATGAGCCTGGAACCAAGTCCACCACAGCTAACCTTTCCTTTCGGATCAAGTCTCCATTACGTGACGTCACAGAATCTTTAATGGCCGAGTGTATTTGCTGTCTCAAGCTTTTTCTTAATTTAGGAATCTTTTCTGGCCAGACCCGCACATGCGCGATTTGATCAAAACCAGAAAAGAGAACTTGAATGATAGAGAGCCGGGTATCCTAGAATCCTATGAACACCTTCTTTGTTTACTGAGATACTGCCTTTCCACCCCTCGGTCAACAAACTGTCAAGATGAAGACCCCCGCAAATCTTACACCGTACACCTACGAAAATGATATATATGCAGCAGGCTTGAATGACCAAAAGCCACAGATCTCCTTCGATCCTACAAAATGGGAATCCCACGCAAAAGATCGCCTCCCAGCCGATAGCTTCGGCTACGTCTGGGGTTCAGCTGGCACCCGCCAGACAGACGATAACAACAAAGAAGCATTCAAAAGATGGGGTATACTGCCCTCCCGCTTGGTGGAAAGCGATTTCCCCAGCTTGAAGACAACCTTATTTGGCGATGAATACAACTACCCCATTGCTATTGCACCTGTCGGAGTGCAAAAGATCTTTCACCCTGACGGTGAGATCGCTACCGCAAAGGCGGCTGATACGGAAGATGTGACTTATATCATGAGCACGGCGGCATCGACGAGCATTGAGAATGTAGCGAATGCTAATGGTCCTGGGTCGCGTTGGTATCAGCTCTATTGGCCTTCGAATGATCACATGGACATCACTGCGAGTTTGTTAAAGAGAGCCAAAGATTCTGGATATAAGGTTCTTGTTGTGACGCTTGATACTTATATCCTTGGGTGGCGACCCAGCGATCTTGACAACGCATACAATCCTTTCCTTCGCGCGGACAATATTGGGGTTGAGCTTGGCTTCTCAGATCCTGTATTCCAAGCATACTTCAAAAACAAACACGGGGTCTCAATCGAGGAGGATGTCTCCAAGGCGGCAGCAGAATGGGCGCATATCATATTTCCGGGCACCAGCCATGGATGGAAAGATATTGAATATTTACGCAGTCACTGGGACGGTCCAATCGTGTTGAAGGGTATCCAGACTGTTTCCGATGCGAAGAAGGCGCGTGAATATGGTGTTCAGGGAATCGTGGTTTCCAACCATGGAGGCCGTCAGCAAGACGGAGGTGTCGGTTCACTGGACATGTTGCCCGAGATTGCGAACGCGGTTGGAGAAGATCTTGAGATTCTGTTCGACTCTGGTGTGAGATGCGGTGCAGATATTGTTAAGGCCTTGGCTCTGGGGGCGAAGATGGTTTTGATTGGTCGACCATATGTGTATGGATTGGCGATCGGTGGTGAACTTGGGGTCCAACATGTGCTCAAGAGCATTTTAGGAGACCTGCAATTAACATTGCATTTGTCGGGGATCAAAGATGTGACAAAGGACAACCTGAACCCGTCAGTACTGCGACAGATTAGAAATTAGGAATTCGCAGCCAGGACAGCACAATCCACGCTTGAGGGATGCCCTTGCATCAGACCAAATTTGGCCGCAGATCGTCGTTTGAGCTCTCGGATTCTGGCACATTAGTGTTTGACTAGCATTGTTGAGTGTATACAGGAATGTGAATCATTGTCTCCTTAGGGGATCAAAGGAATGTAGAGCTGTAGACAGTGCAGGGGCACTGCCCCGACCAATAACTTTATATTTTAATTTGTTGAGTTGTTGTTTACTGAGCTTGGGTCTTTTGAGATTATGTTCCTTTCGCAGTGCTGCGATATGGTTCATCTCAGCAGCAGGGGGGAATAAACAGATACCCATAGTGCAAAGGAAGGGATACGCCACAACAAGACCCGTGCATAATGAATGAACTTTGACCAGATCACAGAACGCGCATCTTTTGTGTATGGACGTGTTTAAAAAAGCAACTGTCGGAGATTTCCTTCCAAGACTGGCATGTGCGTCGCATGGAGAAGAGGGCCACTTCCCATGAAAAGATCGACTGATACCCTTCCACCATGAATGAGAAACGATATTAGTGGTACCTGGATGGGATACAATATGGTGAGTCGGCATGTAGGAGTAATGAGTCTCCTAATTCATTGAAACGAAGCATGTAACATTATGCAGTTACTATGATCATTCTTCGCTTTAGCTCTTCAAAGCAAATTTCAAGCCACAAAATTGACTTAGGACCTCACATTCTCCCATTGTACCAGGCTCAGCCATGGAAAAAGTCCACGGAGCGTGTTCGTCCTAAGGTGCGCAGCTATTCCTCACATAGTTGCATGTAGGTGGCATAGCCAGTCCCATTTCTATCCCCAACGGAGCTCCCTCCCATGATCTGAACAGAGTTTAGAGCATGTTTGATTTTATTCTTCGGAGAATTAGCCATCAGAAGTGCGTCGGTGGCTTTGAACAAGTGTTGCGGAATGATTTGGTCCAATAGCCGAGATCGAGACTTAATTGACATGTCATTTTCATGGTATTTGCTGCCGTCTAGGGCTGTCAACAATGCAATGGAATGCTACAACGACAGGGGATGTTTTGACCCTCAAGTATCTATAAATGATATGTTCCGACCCAAGAAAATAGAGACAAGTCCTCACAAGATCTAGCCACTTTCCGAGATTTTGTTGCCTTGCTGCTCTTCACCCCTCCGAACGTCCAACCTCTTAACCAAACAAAATGGCTCCTACTCTCAAAACCCTTGTTATCGCGCTGGGCTTCGTCTTCTCGGCCGCTGTGAACGCGAGCCCCTCAATGCTGATGGATGAAGTCGACACTCAACCCCAGAGCGAATGTAAATGACTCCTAAAATACGAGTATCTCATTTACCAGACATCTAAGCTGACTATTTGTAGGCATTACTTGGTATGCGCCTCAGCTCCGAACTCCTCCGGAGACTTGCAACGATGTCGTCAATATGCACCCAGGGCTTGATTTGGCGACCTTGCTCAAATTGAACCCTTCTATTCATTCTTACTGCGACAACATGTTACTCGGCCAGAAAGTCTGCATTAGAGCTAAGCAGGAGACTGACTGCCCAAAGGCGACAGAGTCTAGCCCAAAGGCGACAGAGTCTAGCCCAAAGGCGACAGAGTCCAGCCCAAAGGAAGAGGAAGCTGATTCAGGGCAGTGGCAGACTAGCGCTAGTTCCAAGCCGCAGGCAACCAGCTCCGCCGGTGCTACTGGATGGCACTGATTCTTTCGAAATTCTCAGTCTCACTAAGAAGAGCCAGCTCTATGCATCAAAGCCTCTTTGATAGATGACGCTTGCGGCCACCCTCGGTACGACCTTTCAGTGGCCATTTTTCTTTCATGTCTGCGATTTCAATACGCGTGTGACTCTTCGTGTAATACCAAATGCACTTTAATTGGCTCGTGTTGATCTAAGCTCAATGAATGCGTAGCTTCATAAAAAATCATTAGAACCCCGTACGCCTTATCAGGTTCTGGTACCTAATCTGCAATATTAAAAAAAACATACAACAGTAAGGATTCGCTAGTGGTCACCCACCTAACTACTAACTTACCGGCGTGTGGCTTAAGTACGGCTGAGCGGACGGGAAGCCCTGTTCTCCACACCCTGTGGTCGTATGTACAAAATCCTGCAGTTAGGAAAAATAGGAAGAATAAAATAGAATAGTTATATAACGACTACTACATGAAACAAGCTAGCCTTTGTATGGAGAGCAAGCACTAGATGCTGAGTCCTCGGTGTGTTGCCCACGTTAATCTGATACGAATGATATTTCTTGAAGAAAGCAATCCGGACTCTCATTACCATTTACTTCTTTCGTAGACAAAACTATGCAATGTTTGATAGCCTTGCACCGTCCTGTAGTATTGTCATCAGTGATTCCGGCATCAAAATCCGGCATGGATCCCCCTTCCGGCTAATTGCACGTAGAGAGGCATTGAGGCGCAGACTGAATTGCTTGGAGTGTGCCGATGGGAACCTTCAGTGCCGGGAGAACTTTCATGAATGGGTTACCCATACTTGATGTTTGTGATGGCATATTTCTGTTAACTTGCTACTATAGTTCTTTGAGATCCAGTGTTTATTGAGCGTAGAAAAAGAAGTTTCCACTGTGACTGGTGGGCAGATCATAATATGGTATGAAAGAAGTTATGAGTCCTGAGATAGTAACCCCCAATGACACCCCCAATGACACCTGAATGGGTCTGTAAATAAAGTGCTCTCAGATTCTCAAGCTTAGCTTCAAATCCAAAGACATCGATAGATTTTCAGCAACCAACGAAGCCATATCAGACTTTCTGCCGAGATATTGAAGCGCAGAGATACACTGTTCACAATTATTTCGGAAATTATCGACCAATTCACCATGCTCATCAGATACATCCAAGTAGTCCAAAGATATATAGCCAGCCTTTGCAAAAGAATGTATAAGGACAACAGTCCACGGCTCAACTAGAAAGGCGACCTCGTTGAGAGAATCGTGGAAATGGCCATTTATAGAGGGCGCTTGTCCTTGGAGTGAGGATCGAGCTAGTGCCCCAACTGCCATTGCATTCTCTTTCCTCAGATTTGACACGATGTTTGTAGCCTCGCGTGTGCGACGTCCAGTGATAGAGCTGAGCCGTCCATTGTCGATGTTTTCTATGACATCTGCCAAAAGCATTGTAGCAAGATGCCAATGCCCATCAAGAATAATGTACCATGATTGTATGCGAGGTGGCAGTTGTTCATGGCTGGCGACGCAGTCTAGCATAAAACTCTGATACGTGGAGTTCCAGTGCTCATAGACTAACATTGTCCTCTTGATCAAGCTTTCCAAGCATTCGCTGCTTGCCCCTCGGTACACAAGAGTCTGGAGTTGCGTCACTCGACGGTATAGCAGGACTTTGACAGGGGTTGCCTCTGAAAGCACAGATGCAGCTTCTTCGTAAGAGCATGGCCATCTTGGTTGAGTTGTGTTAGATTCTGGGGCGTCAGCCGGAGGGTGCAGGAAGAAATCCCCCCATACATCCTTACTCTGGAGACTTGTATTTGCTGAAATAGTCCAGCCGTCCAGATCGACCTCAAATCTAGGCTCAATGATGGTAGGTGATGCTGATGCAATCTGACTGTCTTCATCCGAAACCACGAGGGGGCGCTGGTACATCGCTGCGCTTAGAGTATCAAACATGACTCCCAGCCAGAACATTAGGCCTAGCGTGCTTCGATATTCATGGCTTGTGAGAATTGGATCATTACGCGGAGTTGAAGGAGCTGCAGCTTCGAAGATATCGGTCATGGTGGATCCTAATGACCCTCTTCTACTATCTCGTGTCAAAAAAGCTGCCTCACGTTGGCGTCTTGTGAATTTGTGGCGAAGGGTGAAAAGCTGGCGATTGGCATTTTCGAGAAAGACTGGCGCAGGGTCATTCTCTAAAAGGCGATCCAAGCGAGAGTCGTGTGTTTTGTCCAGCGGACTTTGTGTCAGGGAGAAAATTATATTCGCGAAAATGATTCGAAAAGATGGTATGCCGGTTGACTGCTCCAATGCTTTCTTCGCCTTGTTCCAGACATTCACTCTGATTGCTCTTTCATCACAATCGATTTCTGCTGGAACGGACAAAGATGTACCTTTTCGGGCATGCTGAGTCCACTGGGAAGCAAAAGCCATGATTGCCAAATGCAGAGTCTTGAATGCAATCCCATCTTCCTCGGCACTCAAAGATCGACCGCGTATTGAAGAGGAGGCACGATCCAAGCGACAGACCCGAATGCACATTCGGTTCGACCAGCTTGGTCCCCAATCTTTCTTTCCTCTTTCGGGTAGCAGTACCCCGGTAGAGTCGCTGTAAGGGCAGTTGTGCTCTGTCAGCCAGCACGACAGGGCGTTTTCCATACTGTCGTGGTATATGCGAATCAAGTTTCGTGTCATTGTTGCCCGCGCAAAATCTCTAGCTGCATTGTTGGATGAGATACAAAACAATTTCTGATTACCAAGCTTCATTGGGTCATAAGAAGTAGATCCTGTGGGATGGTGGTATGTTCTCTGCTGAAGTGTGGACTCTGTGGACTCAGATGGCGACGTGTTGGATTCATCTTCAATCTGGTGACCCAATTCAAATTTATTACCGAAAGAGATTGGAAGAGAGGTATGCCAATTGTGTTGAAAGCCAATGTCTCCCAAGGCCTTCTCAGAACCCTGGGTAATTGCACTGGCATTCCAGTCATCCGGGCTGTCTAGAATCCAAGGAAATCCCCCCGAATGGCTGTCGAGTCCATTGCTCGAGTCTGAACCTTCAATGATTGGTTCTTCCGGGATAATGGAGGATGGGGAAGATGAAGCGAAGCTTGAAATATCAGCCGAGTGCGTCGGATGGGAAGTGTGCAACTGTGAAGGCTGTAGCGCCTCATCAAGTAGGAAGTTAAGGGAGTTCGGAACAGAAGAAGGATCACTATTGCAATTTGATTTGGCTGCAGTGGCTATTTTCTTCTTCTGGCCCCCGGCGTGGGCTGTGTGCTTTACCGCAAGCCAGTTAAACGTGCAATCCTTCTTCCATCGTTTGCAGTTTGAGCAAGAGAAGCCGTTCTCTCTTCGCATTTTCTAATATGTTGGATGTTAGCATATTCCAATACAATATTGACGTAATTTCACAAACCGGTGCATCGCAGCCTCTCTTTCCTTTGCGGCATTGATCGCAGCTATGAAGCTGACGTCGGCGGGAGTCCTGCATGACAAGGAACGGGAGAAGACAAGACGGCCTCTGCCTGAGATGGGGTTGGGTGTTTTGGCCTTGCTAAGTCCCTCAATCTGCATCTACCTTGATGGCAAGACAGAAATTCACAGCATAAGATAGTTGCCAGTTTCCGGGGTACGCCGGCATCGTAAACTTTTGCGGGGTTTGTGGGGGCTGGAAGCGCGTGGCGTCAATGATAGGATTTCGGATTAAAGGAACCAAGATGCAAATGTTCATTGGTCTACGATAGATTGATTCATTGCTCAGTCATCAAGGATTCATTAGGTGCAGTGAACTATACTCAGAGTTCGCGATGCTCACTTGGTCACCAGCAACGCATGCTGGTGACAGTGAACTTCACGTTGGGAATATAGGGGGAAACAGTGAGTGAGATCTGGAAAAGGAATGTATTTGTGGCGTCAGTGAACCAATAATGACTCGTCTCACGGGGAAACGTCGGAGTGGGAGGGATGTAGGCACGTTTACGTTCCACGCATGTTGATCATTGACGATCGACCCTCTATTTGAGCACGGTTGGCAAATTACAACATCCAGACCAGATTCTGGGTACTGTACATATACTGTATGATCCGACAAAGGGTTGAAAACATCACGTGGTGGTCCGAAGTGCCATCAGGTCAGAAGACCTGCCCTCGAGGGTATAGGTTTTGCACATCTTACAGCGAGGCTACCATCCAGTTGAGCGATAGTTGTTTCTTAATCGCGGAATTTATTCTTTACTATTTCATTCAACTTTCTTTAATACGATTCGGGTTCAAAATTAAAATAACTAGCAATTCGAGAAGCTCAAGACTGGGATAGTTGAACGCGGACTGTTTTCACCTCCGTATAATTCTCAAGAGCATACGAACCCAGCTCTCGACCAATTCCCGATTCCTTAAATCCACCGAATGGCATTTGGTAATGAAGAGTATTGTAGTTGTTGACCCAAACAGTTCTGTTATAAGTGGTCAGCGAAAAGATAGCGCTATTCGGCATGAAAGGAAATCTCACCCTGCTTTGATCGCATTCGACACCCTGATGGCAGTATTGATGTTAGTGGTATGAACAGCTGCAGCTAGACCTGAAATAAACCAGCAGTCAGTAAAGGTTCCTATGCAATGCTCAATCTTGGAGTCTTTGGTCCTTACCGTAGTTTGTATCATTGGCCACACGAATCGCTTCTTCTTCGTCCCGGACTTTCTGTACTGTACAGACAGGTCCAAAGATTTCTTCCTTCACAATGGTCATGTTCTCGTCAACGTCGGCGAAAATGGTGGGTTGAATATAGTATCCTTCAAATCCATGCCGATCACCACCGGTAACCACTTTCGCGCCTGCGCTCTTTCCATCGGCAATATAACTCATGATTCGATCATATTGCACTTGGGAGACCTGAGGACCTTGGAAAGTTTCTGCGTGGAATGGGTCTCCGACCTTGTTTTCCTCAGCGCGCTTTTTGAAAAGTTCCAAGAATCGGTCATAGATTGCTTCATGAACAAGGATTCGAGAGCCAGCACAGCAGCACTGCCCATGATTGAAGAAAATCCCCATGTTCACCCATCCAATTGCTTCCTCCAAATTTGCGTCAGGCAGAATAATATTCGGCGATTTGCCTCCTAATTCAAGCGTCACCTTTTTCAGATTGCTATTAGCAGCCTCTCGCATGATCTGGCGTCCGACCAAAGTTGACCCGGTGAATGCAACTTTGTCAATATCCATATGTGCCGCAATCGCAGCGCCAGCATTCCTTCCAAACCCCGAGATAACATTGACGACTCCAGCGGGGAAGCCGGCCTCCTTGATAAGTTTAGCAACATACAGGGCTGAGAGTGGTGTTTGCTCTGCTGTCTTCATGACAATTGTATTGCCGGTTGCGAGAGCAGGACCAATCTTCCAAGCGAACATAAGAAGTGGAAAGTTCCAAGGAATGATTTGGCCGCAAACGCCGACCGGTTCATGACGGGTATACGTCAAGCTATTGGCGTCGGTGTCGATTGTCTGGCCATAGATCTTGTCGGCCCAGCCACCATAGTAGCGCAAGCACCCAGCAGATGCGGTGACATCACCTTTGGCCATTGTCACACCTTTACCATTATCAAGGGCTTCAATAGCGGCAATTGTGTCAATATCACGTTCCAGAAAGTCAGCGAGGCGAGTCAAGAGGCGGCCACGATCGGAAGGAGTGATCTTTTTCCATTCGCCCTCCAGTGCTTTGCGGGCGGTTTTCACGGCAATGTCCACGTCCTTTGCTGTGCCTTCATGCACAGATACAATGGGCTTCTCATTGTGGGGGTTGATAGTCTCGAATGTTCTACCTTCCACACTCTTCACAAATTCATTGTTGATGAATCTAGGATAGCCTGGTTAGAAAAGGTAACTTATGACCTTCTATTGAGGTGGAGCGATAGCACCTACAGTCCTAGAGGCTGTTCGTATGTCACCACGGGGGTCTTGATTGTTTGGAACAAAGACATGACCGATGAAAAGGCTGGACGAGAGATTCTCATTTGTCTTACGAAAAGATAATGTGATGTGGGTGACGTGTTTAGGCTGGCAGGTCGAGGTCCTTTATGTATCCATGCGGCTATAGGATATCGGAGCCCCGGCGACGGCTAACATCGGAATTTGAAGCAGGTTGAACATGAGCCAGTTCATTAGTTCCGGCTCGGGGTTACTGTCCATCGAGCTCTTCGCAGTCAGAATGTACTGACCGGGGGAACGGGGACATTGAGCTCGTTTGACTTGCCATGACTTCACAAGATCAACTCCACCTGACATCACAAATAATCTCATGTGTTTTGAAGCCCCGCAAAATGCAAATCCCAGGTTTTCCCGCGATGTGAAGATCTCATAGATCGTGCGGCTCCGCATGCGGAGCCCCCGCAAACCCCGCAACAGTTCACTAAGTATTCCTTGTCTGTCTGGGAAACTATTGCAAAAATATGTCCTATCCATTGCCCATTTGTCCGACTAGTATTTTCTATCGCATATTTCCCGAAAAGGAGCGGGCAGTAACCTCCCTCATCGGAATCGCCTTCCATGGCGCGATTATATATAGAGCCTTGATAGATGCCAGCGGATTTCTCACTATTTCATCTGCAATTGTTCAATTCTTCCGAATACAAATTCATTTTACTTTTTATCTACGCTATCTCATCAAAATGACGATTTCTGAGATATCCATTCCCGAAATGCAATGGGCTCAAGTGGCCGAGAAGGTCGGAGGCCCGCTTGTCTACAAGCAGATTCCGGTACCCAAACCAGGTCCCGATCAGATCTTGGTCAAAATTCGATACTCTGGCGTTTGCCATACCGATCTGCATGCTATGATGGGTCACTGGCCGCTCCCTGTCAAGTTCCCCCTGGTTGGTGGACACGAAGGCGCTGGTGTTGTTGTGGCCAAGGGTCCTTTGGTCACTGGATTTGAGATCGGTGACCATGCTGGTCTCAAGTGGATCAATGGGTCTTGTTCTGAATGTGAATTTTGTCGCCAATCCGAAGACCCTCTGTGTGCAAATGCACAACTTTCAGGTTATACTGTTGACGGCACCTTCCAACAATATGCTGTCGGCAAAGCTACTCATGCCTCGAAAATTCCAAAGAATGTGCCTCTTGACGCAGCTGCTCCTGTTCTCTGCGCTGGTATCACGGTTTATAAGGGCTTGAAGGAATCTGGAGTCCGTCCAGGTCAGACTGTGGCTATCGTTGGAGCAGGTGGTGGTCTAGGGTCCCTCGCGCAGCAGTATGCTAAAGCTATGGGGATCAGAGTTATCGCCGTGGATGGAGGTGATGAGAAGAAAGCCATGTGTGAACAGCTTGGAACTGAGGTATGAAGATCAGAAAAATAGTCCCTGATACAACCACACATTGATTTCTAATGAGATTTAGACTTACGTTGACTTCACTAAGTCGAAAGATTTGGTGGCTGATGTGAAAGCGGCGACTCCGGATGGCCTTGGAGCACATGCGGTTATTCTGTTAGCAGTCTCTGAAAAGCCTTTCCAGCAGGCCACAGAATATGTTCGTTCCCGCGGAACAATTATCGCCATCGGCCTGCCCCCGGACGCGTTCCTCAAGGCTCCTGTTTTTAACACAGTAGTCCGCATGATCAGTATCAAGGGTAGTTACGTTGGAAACCAACAGGATGGTGTGGAGGCTCTCGACTTCTTTGCTCGAGGCTTGATCAAGGCGCCGTTCAAGCTCGCTCCTTTGGAGGATCTTCCTAAGATCTTTGAGCTTATGGGTTCGTCACTCCCTTCCATGGTCTACAAATTTTCACTGACTTGAAATAGAGCAAGGCAAAATTGCTGGTCGCTACGTGCTTGAGATGCCTGAGTAATGAGATCTTTGTTGAGGATTGAGATATGATTTATTTCACAGGAGTAGAGAGTTATTTGGGTGACAAGGCACACAGAGAATGTAAATAGGGAGAAGATTATAGTTTTGATTTCATTGAACGGGAATAAATTGACTTGTGTCAGAACCGTGTGAGCCTCTAATACCTTTCATTTGAAATTCGAGCTGAGTTGACTTTCTGCTATTCACTTGTGCATTCCGAGTGTCTCCATAACACTCTTGGAAACAATCAAACTTGTTAAACAAGGTAAAACGTAATTCCTATGTAACATTACTCTATGTTGAAACGACAGGCATTTTCACGACCCAAAATTGACTCATGCGGCACCCATCCTCTCCCTTTCTTTTTGAGTCAATGACGCTAATAATGCCAATAAACAGGAGTACTATCCTGGCTTCATAACCGTAACAATAGAAGATTTACAATACTAAGCCCATCTTTTGGAAATTGACAAGGTGCTTTAATTGTTTAAACCCAGGCAATGATTTTCGTTCTCATACATATGGTAGTATTGGCCTTTCACTTCTCGTATACTTTGAGTCGATATCTAGATTGGAAAGAATGTGCTTTCCCATCCACTGCTAATAACAAATCCAGAGTTTGATCCACCGTCTGGACATACTGTGGTCTCATCGTCGTCGTGAGTATTCCAATCAGTAGAACATGATGCTGTGCCTTCTGGTTTTGACGACTGCGGTGAGATGTGCTTCGGAAGACTCGTTGGGCTTCGGTGTGATTCATCTGCCCGAGCCTTTTGCAGCTGGCGAGAGGTCGGCCTTACCGCTAATGAATGTGGGAGGTATGGAGAATCCTCATGTACATGAATCTTGTCTTTGCACATTATTCCACTTGTGGAAAAAGGATCTATCTCCCCTCTTTGATCTCCAATGTGCAGCAGATTTGGATCAATAAATTGAAGGTTATTATCTTGGAATGATACCGCTTCGAGATCATCTATTGCCGCAGTTTTGGCCGATTTAAAGTCAACATTCTTATTCCTGTATCGAATTTTAATCATTTGACTCTATCAAAGGAGAGTGATAGCGTACCATTCAAGTGAGACACTTGAATCGGTGCGCTGATGACGATCGGTGAATTTCATTAATGGCATGATATATGGCAAGTCGGCAGGAATACGCTCGCTCCGTAAAGAGTCAAGATATTTCGGTTTCTTCCGATACCCATCGATACATGCATTTGGAATTTCACGTCTTATACATTGTCCGCATGGGCGATTGTTTCCTATAATCAGCTGTAAGTAAACCTTGAAGAATAGACTTTATGAAGGATTGCGAGCCCACCGCATGTCTTGTGTCCTCTCTGACAGTTTGAGCATGATCTTCCAGCTTTTTTCCGGCGCTGAGACATAATGTACAAGATAAAGATATTCGGTGGTTGGGTGATTCGGGCCGGGATCGCTACATTATCGGCATGCAAGGCGATTGGATCAAAATGACTATCATTGAATGCTCATGTCATCATCCAATCCATAACTTATATTGCTGGGCGACGCATAAATTAAGAAGTTTCCAGCCTCAAAGCTGCCATCAAGTCATATACGTATCATTCTTGAAACCTAAAGCTCACGATTCCTTACACAAACTTTGAACAACATTCTCTCAAGAACTCGCTTAGTTGATTTTCGTATTCCCTTGCCCCAGCCGCATTCTCCCGAAGCCACATAGATCTGTATCCCCGCAGATTCTCCATGCGGATCCGCATGGAGATCGGAACCGCACACTGTGGTGCACTTATCGACTTGGTTTTAGGGTTGCGGGGAAAGATGTCCATTTTCCAAAGATCGAATCTAGATCAGCGAATCGATAAGATCATAACCCAGTTTCTGAAATCACATCCCCAAGTTTTAGCCAGTACCCCACTTCCGTTCCGCCGCAGCCCAGCTAAGTTGTGCTGGATATCGCATTAGCCAGGACTTGCTCTGCGCTTTTATAGGCATTCCTTTATTTAGGGGAAGTAGTATATCATACGTTAGTCACTCCCATCAATGAAACTGAGATTTGATTCACACTCTTGATCCACCGACCAATTAAAAACAATCTGGCGCCAGTGTTTTCATACTGTGCCCGTAATCTGAATTAACGCAACGGGAAAAAATGGACAACACTTTCATCCAAAATGGCGAAGCAAAGCCATCTCATGAGAACAAGGAAAGCGCAATGCAGGGTCTTACTACGATTCCCACATCAGTGACCCTGTCTGCTGAACAATTCGAAAGATTATACTTGACTCCGATGACGCGGCATCAACCTGCACTAGTCAAACAAGTGGGAAATCCGACGCCCTTGTGAGTCCACAAAATTCGAAAAGAGAGGATATTTTCAATTGCTAATTTGACCTCTTGTTCTGTTTGGCAGGGCATTGGGAGGATTCGTTATTACCACGACTCCCCTTTCATGTTGTTTGATGGCTTGGAGAGGGGCAAGTGGAAATGGAGTTGCCTTCGTGTAAGTGAACAGAGCAAATATCACTGATTGATGAATCCTGACGCGACAAGCGGCCCAATTGTTTTCCTCGGTGGCCTTCTATTGCTTATCACCAGTATTCTTGAGTTTATACTCGGAAACACATTTCCCTGCGTCGTATTTGGTACCATTGGTGAGTCCTATATTCAACTAAGCGCTCTGTCGTTCTTTTTCATTCGACCTTTAACTGTTTATCTTAAAAGGGGGCTTTTGGTTTGCTTTTGCAGCAACAATGATCCCTTCTTTCAATGCCGCCGGTGAGCTTGCTTCCTCTACACGCGTAATGATAAAAGAGAGTTATCCTAATGTGTCAACAGCGCCTTATTCCTCTACCGCCAATGATACAGCAGCGGGGCTATCAAGTGCTGGTTTTTTAAATACCTACGGTGAGAATTTTGTTTTGTCTAGTTTCTCTCAAAAGAATCTGACCGGTGGCTATAGCATTTCTCTTCGTTACCATGGCGGTTCTGATGTTAATATTCATGATATGCGCGACACGAACCAATATTGTCTACACACTGATTTTTCTCTCATTGTTGATTGTGTTCCTTCTTTTGACCTCAGCATACTGGCTGTTGGGCGGAGGAAATACTGCGACGGGCAACCGATGTGTAAAGGTAAGATCACGTTTCTTCCCTACCCTACCAGCCACATATGGCGCGTGTTGACATTCGATTTTTAATTTTAGGGAGCCGGAGCTTCATTGTTTGTTGCAAGTCTTCTTGGATTTTATCTTTTGATTGTTCAGCTATTCGAGGCACTTGAATTTCCATTCCATTTGCCAGTTGGCGATTTAGGGATGCTTTGGACTCGAACCCCACATAAGTAGGTGTGAATATCGAACATGGCGGAATACGTGATGCTAACTGCAAAACGAAGGCAAGTACATGACATTGAAGAGTGTGCTCCCATTGGTAATAGCTAATATGACTGGAATTTGGTGGATTTCGCTGTACGAATGAAACAAATGTTGTTGGTGATGGATGTCACATCACGGTGAACAAATACAAACAAAAGTCTGTTGAAGATACCATGAATCGCTATGAATGTCAGTGGGGAGTTTCTACCGAGCTAGTTTATGCCTAGTGACTTAGGTGAGACTATCGCAATCGAATCTCCCTTTCCTGCCAAGACCTGAAGCACGAGAGGACGTTTCCCTGTTCGGTTAGCTCTCTTTCCCATGAGCTTATCTCTTCTCCGCAGATAAGTCAGTCGGTTAAGAGTTGACAGCGTTTACTGTTTGCTATCGGAATGAACTATGGCATCCTCTGCTAAGCGACACAGACGTATCTATGTGGCGTGAGTATGTCCACCGTACTATGTTTGATCTAACAAGGTTTATAGTTGTCGACGATGTCATTCGCACAAAATCAAATGCTCTGGCACTCAGCCATGCCAAGCATGTTGCATGTCGAATGATCAAGGTCGGTGTGAGTTTCCTCCAAGGGATCGAAAAGTATCAGTGTCCGAGAAGTAGGTAGCACATGGCCCGTTACGCAAGCCATATGTTGACCATGAGCGTGTCCCAGATATATCAAACGGATAGAGGCAGAAGTCAGGGAACTGAGGGCCCAGGAGACGCAAAAGACAGCTCCTACGCACTTTGAAACCATCGATAAGACTTGCAATGCCGCACATGATCAAGACCAGCCAGCCCCCGACTTCCCCGATACTGATGTCTCAAATCCTCTACTTGAGTCACCTGCCGGATTTGTCGCTGCTGGCTCTGCTTCAGTTCCATTATATATTGGAGAAGCATCAAGCGTTGCGTTTGGAGATACCGTACTAACATGTGTGGATAAACACGCTGATAGTGCGGCTTTGCCTCCTGCAGCATACTTTGAACATGAAACATTTAGTCGACTGATACGACCAGACGTTCAAATGCCCGATCGAATTGAATCTCGATTGTTGATTGAGATTGCAATTCAATTCATAGGCACCGACTTTCACCTGGTCCTGAAACGATCTTTCTATGAGGAACTTGACCGAGTATGCTTGGGGGAGGGTCCACAAGACCTCGTGTGGATATGCAAGTTTTTCACTATGCTGGCGTTGGGAGAGATTTACTCAAATCGAAAACGCCGGACAATGAATCAACATGTACCTGGGACAGAATACTTTTTACGTGCAGTGGGACTATTGCAAGATGGATATGAAAACCCTTCACTCGACCAGATTGAGGTAATGATTTTATTTGTGAGTTTCTTGCATCAAGAGTCTCAATAGTCCTACTGACAATGCGTTCCAGTGTCTGTATTCAAATGCATTAGGGCGTTCCCGGTCTGCATATGGCTACATCGGCATAGCCATGAGGATGGCCCTTACGATAGGGCTCCATCGAAGTCTACCAACGGAGACTGAATGTACCACCGTAGAGCGCGAGCACCGCAGGCGTATTTGGTGGACGCTGTACACGTTGGACATATTGTGCAGTTCAATCCTCGGATACCCACTCCTTATAAGTGATTCCACAATTGACGTGGAGCTACCGACGAACGACGGACTCACCACGAATGACCTGGAAGAGTTCGCGGACCCAGCGCATTTGGTTGCAAATGCCAAACTTGCCAGGATAACTGGTCAAATTTGTAAGCTTTGCGAGCACATGAAATAGTATAACAACATTGACTTTGATTTCTCTTAGTGAGTGATATATACTGTCTTCCACAACGAAGCCAAGAGAACTTTGTACAAAGAGTGCATCGAGTCCTTTTGAGTCTACGAAAATGGGATGAAGAACTCCCTCCAAGTCTCGTTTTACGACAGAGTAATCTCCCTCGCAACGTTACAAGTCTTCATTTGCACTATAATCAATGTGTGATCTCGACCACTCGGCCTATTCTGCTCTATCTATTCAAAAACCGATTCGCTCTCAATGCCACCACGGTTGAAACTTCACCGAGGGTCTTTTCCTCGACAACCCTCGTTCTTGCAGAGAGTTGCGTTCAAGCTGCTAGAGCTTCGAATTCAATATTGTCAAGATCATTTGTTGAGGGAACTCTTGCATCCTTTGGCTACTTTGATGCCCATTATCTGTTCGCTTCAACTCTCATTTTGATCATGTCTGCTGTGATGGAGCCTAGTGTGACTATGTCTGATGCTGTCTCCTATGCTTTCACAATCATGAAAGCGATGAAAGAAGATGGAAATCTCCCTAGTTGTGACTATTACGAGAGGTTACAGCGGACAAGAGTGAGCGTGGGGAGGATGAGGGAAAGGAGTGAGGCACAGAGTCGCGTAACTGCGCTTGCTGATCACCATCAGATGGTGAATAGAGAGACACCTCCTCGAGTAGATGGACAGGCAGTAGGCTTTGGTGATGGTATTCCTTTAGATCATCCGTTGATTGATAGCTTTCTGGCGGATGAAAGTGTATGGTCTAACGGAATGCTTCCCGATGACCATTTCTTAAAGGATTTAGCTTGTGAATTGGGGGATGAATTTCTTTTTGGACCACCGTGACACACTTGAATTTACATCTCATTGTTCTTTTACTTTTCATGTTCTATAGCATGTGTAGAAATGCCTACACTAGCGATGGAGGCAGTGGCGGCCCCTCGGTGATCCACCCGATGGTCGGAGCCTTGTCCCGAACATAAGACAGCATATTTCTATGATTCTATGATAGTATGTGGTAAAAAGAGAGACAGTCTTAGGGATTATGAGACCGTTTCTTGATTTATCTAATCATAATCTGTTAAACTTATCTACACTCCGTCACTTGGCTGAATGACGGGCCAGTTAGCGCTAGTTGGACTCATTCCAGGGGCATCGGAGGCCAATTGTTGCTATCAACGTTGTCGTGCGGGGTCGGCTGAGCACTTTTCTTGCCGAAAGTCGCGTTCTTATCGGCTCTTCACTTGTCTTACCGAGTGAAGGTCGCGGCCCTTGGGCGACAGGTGCGGAGGCCATGCCAAATCGAGTTCGGAAAGATATGGGCGTGCCGAAAGAACTATATGGACTGCCTAAGCCGTGGTCCACTTGGTTACTATAAACTGTCAAGAACGTCCATTTACTGTGGCATCCAGTCCAACTTGGTACTCATCAATCACCTCAATGACACGAAACATGACGCAGCCCGGAATTCGAATTGCCATTGACCGCGGCGGTACTTTTACTGACGCCTGGGCGCAAATACCCGGACACACTGCAGATGTAATCTTCAAAGTTCTTTCTGTCTCACCAGACGAATATCAGGATGCGCCGACGGAGTGCATCCGACAGATCTTGGAGATTGCCAGTGGATCGCCGATTCCACGAGGTACTCTGCTGGACCTCCAGCCGGTTGAATCTATCCGGATGGGCACCACAGTTGCGACCAACGCCCTCTTGGAACGCAAAGGCGAACGAGTTGCTCTGTTGATCACCAAGGGATTCCGAGATCTATTAAAAATCGGAAATCAGGCACGACCGAACATCTTCGACCTCTCTGTGCAACGTCTTACTCAACTATATGAGACGGTTGTTGAGGTGGATGAGCGCGTCACAGTCGAAGGCTTTTCAGAAGATCCTGAGCCCAAGCATCCAGATGTTGACTCGGATTCGGCATTGAGAATGGGTTTAACGGGTGAAGTTGTGCGTGTATTGCGAACTCCAGATCTCGAAGCAGTTCGAAAAGACCTTCTTGTCATCTGGGAACAAGGATACCGATCTGTGGCTGTCGCACTCATGCATTCATATATGTTCCAAGATCATGAGATCTCTGTTGCTGCTGTTGCTCGAGAGCTTGGATTCAAAGTTGTTGCATCCTCAGAGCTACAAACAATGGCAAAGCTCGTACCTCGGTGTCAATCAGCTGTGGTGGATGCGTATCTTTCGCCGCTGACTGAAACTTACTTGGATGAATTCCGAATGGGCTTCAAGGGTGCATTGGAGGATGAGCATGGAAGGAAAGTATTTGTCAACCAGTCTGATGGCGGTTTAACTTCACTTTCCAATTTCTCCGGTCTTCGAGGAGTCTTGAGCGGTCCTGCAGGTGGAGTTGTTGGCATGTCCCGGACATGTTATGATGCCCAAGATGGAACACCCGTACTGGCATTTGATAGTAAGCAAAATGTCGAATATTTGCCCCAAGCTGGAAGAGACTAACGACCTGAAACAGTGGGCGGCACTAGCACCGATGTCGCACGATATGCGGGAAGATTGGAGCACATCTTTGAAAGCACAATAGCTCAGGTTACCATCCAGACACCGCAGCTTGACATCAACACGGTCGCAGCAGGGGGTGGATCGATGCTCTTTTGGGAGAATGGAATGTTCAAAGTTGGACCTCACAGCGCAGGTGCTCACCCAGGTCCAGCATGCTATGGGCGAGGTGGTCCATTGACTGTGACTGACGCTAATTTCTTCTTGGGGCGAGTCATCCCGGAATACTTCCCAATGAAGCTGGACTTGAGTGTGGTCAGGGAGAAATTTGTTGCACTCACAGCTATCATCAATACCGAGAAGGAGGGATCTTCAGAGCTCACAGCTGAGCAAGTTGCCGTGGGATTTCTCTCCATTGCGAATGCAACAATGACTCGCCCAATTCGAGCATTAAGCGAAGGTCGCGGGTTTGAGACCGCCGCTCATAATCTGTGTTGCTTTGGCGGTGCTGGTGGACAGCATGCTGTTTTCATTGCCCGGGACCTCGGAATTCGACGAGCTCTCATTCCACGGTATTCAAGCATCTTATCTGCTTATGGAATGGCCCTTGCAGATGTCGTGGTCGAAAATCAAGAGCCCGAGGCAACAACCTTCAATGATATCGCCATTCGAAGACTGGAGGAGCGCTTCTGCAGGCTTGAACAAGCCGGAATCGATGGGTTGATCTCCCAGGGCTTCTCAGAACCCCAGGTTATTCATGAGCGTTTCCTCAACATGCGCTATCAAGGTAGTGACACCGCTTTGATGATCGCGAAACCCGAGAGTACTGCAGACTTTGGCAGTGCATTTATAGCTCGTCATCAACAGGAATTCGGATTCACACAGCCACGGGACATTCTGATTGATGATGTTCGTGTTCGAAGTGTCGGGAAAGGCATGGATGTTGCCCTATCAAGTCCGTGTGCAGAGTTGAAAAGGCTTGCGGATTCGCCTCCCACAACTCCAATAAGACCATCACAGAACACCAAGGTCTATTTCGAGCAAGAAGGTTGGACCGATGTTGGCCTATTCTCTCTCAAGTCGCTTTCTCCTGGTACACGTATCAAGGGACCTGCAATGATCATCGACAAGACTCAAACCATTATCGTGGATCCTTTGAGTGAAGCCAGTATTCTTTCAGAGCATGTTGTGATTGATGTCACAGGCACCGAAAAGCCTGAAGTAAGCATTGATGTTGTGGATCCTGTCCAACTCAGTGTCTTCGGTCATCGCTTCATGAGTGTCGCAGAACAGATGGGTCAGACAATGCAGAAGACTTCTGTGTCAGTCAACATCAAAGAGCGATTGGATTATTCCTGCGCAGTGTTCTCTGCATATGGAAGCTTGGTTGCAAATGCCCCACACATTCCGGGACATTTGGGATCCATGAGCTACGCAATCGCGTATCAGGCACGGCTTTATAAACCTGGCGAACTGAAGCCCGGTGACGTCTTACTGAGCAACCATCCCAGCGCTGGGGGTACGCATCTTCCAGACCTGACAGTGACAACCCCAGTGTTTGACAGTGATGACAATCCAACAAGGATCCTGTTTTTTGTCGCAAACCGAGGGCACCATGCAGATATTGGTGGCATTCAACCTGGTTCTATGCCGCCTCAATCTACTGAGCTCTGGCAAGAGGGTGCTGCAGTCGAGTCTTTCAAAATAGTCAAGGAAGGACAATTCGATGAGCCGGGTCTGTTGAAAGTGCTGGTGGATATCCCAGCATCATACCCTGGATCAAGTGGCACTCGAACACTCCGTGACAACATTGCCGACCTGAAAGCTGCTATTGCTTCCAATAAGAAAGGAATTCATCTCATCCAAACACTGGTCAAAGAATACAGTTGGCCCGTGGTTGAATATTATATGCAAGCAATCCAGGACAATGCTAGTCAGGTAACTCGTGACCTGCTTAGAATGATCGCCGATAGGTTCGACGGACGCCCTCTTCAAGCCGTTGATTACATCGATGATGGAACACCCTTGGCTTTGAAGATTGACATTGACCGGGACACTGGAAATGCGACATTTGATTTTACCGGCACAGGACCTGAGCACTTCGGTAACTTGAATTGTCCTCCAGCCATCATGTACTCTGGAATCATGGTAAGCGCTTTCATTCCCCTCCGCAGTATCCTTAGAATGGCCATTCTAACAATGTGAAAGTACTGCCTCCGTTCAATGATCGCGTCAGATATTCCTCTGAATCAAGGATGCCTCAAGCCCATCCAACTTATCTGCCCACCCAACACTCTCCTATCCCCTTCACTGAAAGCAGCCACAGTGGGATCTAACGTTGAAACTTCTCAGCGCATAGTTGATTTGATTTTCAAAGCATTCCGTGCAGCAGCAGCTTCTCAGGGCACATGTAACAACCTGACATTTGGCTATGGCGGCACTGATGCAGAGACAGGAGAGGTTACAAAGGGTTTCGGATACTACGAGACGATTGCTGGTGGATCCGGAGCCGGAGCAGACTGGGATGGTGAGAGTGGCGTACATACACATATCACCAATACGCGAATCTCCGATCCTGAGATCTTCGAAAAGCGTTATCCGGTCATTCTACATGAGTTTTCAATCCGCAGTGGCAGTGGTGGAGCAGGAAGACATAGGGGTGGCGATGGATGTGTTCGAGATATCGAATTCCGGCTGCCAATGCAGGTGTCTATTCTGTCTGAGCGACGAGTAATCGCTCCATATGGGATGGCTGGTGGTGAGGAGGGTAAACGAGGCGTTAACATTTGGCTGCGAAAGTATCCAGATGGAACAAGTCGAACTATCAGTCTTGGTGGAAAAGCAACCACTCAGATGAGCGCCGGTGATCATATCATCGTTAACACACCTGGTGGTGGGGGCTACGGCATTGATCCTAACAAGAAACCGGAGTTCGATTTTGGTGACGTTTTCAAGATCAAGGAGAAGTTCGTTCCTGGCTCACTTCGCACTCAGGGCAGTGTTGCTGAGAGGACTGCAACGGCTGCTGGCAATTGATGCTACCGTCGAAATCAACTGGAAATATTGTATTTAGGAATTTTCATTCTGAGTTTTATCTAGCTTTTGTCTGAAATCATCTGTGAAGGACAATATAGTCAGAGGGTCCGAATCGGGAAACCTATATACACCATCAAGACCAGTAAATCAGTTCACGGGGTTCAAAATCAATTTCCGCATTCGTCGTTTCAGTCAATCAATCATAGTTCAATTAAACTGTTGCAGCCTAACTAGTATCGCAATAGCTATGCAGGCGCTTCTGTCCAGTTGAGGCAAGAACTTGTCTGTACGCCTGATAATGTAAATACAGAGAAACAGCTAGTCCTCACAAAGAGACTAAGTACCAGATCGATATGAGGTTGTCGTCATTTGCTCTTTTGTTTCTGTCTTACAACTCAACTGTAAGAGAAAAAGATGAAATTGAGCGGCGCACTCGTATTCAGAATCCCACCGACCGAGTCAAAGTAGCAAAACTTTCTGTCAATAACATCAGGCCAATAGTCCATTTCGACCTGCTTGAGAGGACCGTTGAAAGATAGGATCTACCTTTAGTTGCACCCAAGAGCCTATATCGATAAAGCTTTTTTGGGCGCAGCGTAAAGATAAATACTGCTCACTTGAAGCCGATTGGATCGGCTCGACCCTGATCCGGCCGACCAAAGAACGTACATCTAGACATCTTATCAAGCTTATAACTAGCATTTGATAGGCAATCACTTGTCTTTTGATAAGTCGGGATCTAGTGCCAGATGCGGCATGGCGGCGAGATGAGTATATATCAGTAACCTTTCGTGTCAGCCAACATGGCATCGCTCTATACCACAATTGTGTCCTTTCACTTCACTGGAGCAAATATGATACCATCTGAGAAGAAGGCGGGAGATGCCACAGTTCATGATCCCGATACGGTTGAAGGCACGAGCGAAACATACATAGATCCCGCGAAAGAGAACCGCATGATGAGGAAATTCGACGTGAGTAAACATATAGCTCCAACTGGAAGCTCCTACTGATATATCTTGCAGTTTTACGCCATCGGGTTGTTAGGTTTGTTCTACATGATGGCCAACTTGGACAGAAGCAACATCGGCAATGCTCAAACCGCTGGAATGCCGGAAGACCTAGGCCTAGTGGGAAATCAGTTTGGGACTGCTACAACCTTGCTGTAAGAAAAGAACATGCCCCGAGCGTGAACCTCGACTAAAAATCTTTTGAATCACTAGATATGCAACATACGTTCCGTTTGAAGGCCCAATAGCAGTTCTTTTGAAGATTGTTGGACCTAAACCTTTGCTTTCTACATGTGCATTTTGTTGGGGGGTTACTACACTAGGCATGGGTAGGTCAAATCATGCATATTCGCTTACACATTGCTAATGTTTGAGAAGCTTTCATAAGGTCCTGGAAAGGGCTCTATGCCTGCCGTTTGCTTATGGGATTATTTGAAGCTGGTCTCATGCCCTGTATCAATGTTTACATTGCACTTGTTTACAAGAAGAGCGAGCGCGGCAAGCGGTCGGCCGCCATTTTTGCATTCAGCGCATTTTCGAGCGCCTTTGGTGGACTGCTCGCATATGGCCTGACACAAGTCCACGGGCCCAACGGGTGGCAAGGATGGCGTTGGCTCTTTGCGGTCGAAGGATCCATGACTCTAGTCCTCGTGCCACTATTCTTATTCCTTTTTCCAAACCAGCCTGCAGTGGCGTGGTTTCTAAGTACTGAAGAGAAAGCCATGATGCAAGCGCGTTATGATAACGATCCCCACTGGGGTCATAACGATGAATTCACATGGGCCGAGTCGCTCAGTGCATTCACTGACCCGAAGTGGTGGGCATTCTGGATCTACCAGTTCAGCTCCGACATCTGTCTCTACGGCTTCACGACATTCCTTCCGAAGATTGTTTCTGGACTGGGGTATTCCGGAGTGGAGGCAAACTTGATGACCATTCCGATTTATATGGTTGGGCTCGTCTTCTTCCTATGCATTGCGTATTTCTCGGATCGGGTAGGACTGAGAGCTCCGTTTCTGAGTATAGCTATCATATGTCTCATTATTGGATATTCAATCTTGATCTCGGTAGAGAGCCTGAAGGTCAGGTTCTTTGCCTGCTTTGGTAAGACAACTCAGCATGCGTGTGTCCTTTCCATATCTGACGAAATCTAGTTATTGCCCTCGGTATTTATCCGACAACTGGGCTATCTATCATGTGGCTACAAGACAACACAGCGCGACATTTCAAGAGAGCCACAATGGTAGGCATGACCCTTTGCTTTGGAAACACCGCTGGTGTTGCAGTTGGCCAAATATTCACGACACAATCTGCGCCACGATATATGATGGGCCTATCCATTAGCCTTGGGTTTTCAGTAGTGGCTTTGATCATGGTGGCGACCTTGACGATCGGAATGGCGATAGTCAACAAGAAGCGGGCGAGGAAAATTCGCAGAGCGGAAGACTTAGGGGAAGTTTTGCAAAGAAAACCAGAACAAGGGGACTATGATATTTACTTTCGCTATTCACTGTAACTCCCATATTCTGTTAAATACGATACACACGCTCTGTGATTTAATTGGGAATATCTAGACATAATGCTGCCTTTTTTTTTATGTGACTATCGCGAATTACGAGAATATATTACTTGACGGGTCCGCTTATTGATCGAGTATTCTTCATAAATTCTTGGCCTACGAGCTAATCTCAAACTTCGTGCCTGTGTTCCACGGGGGCCGATCCGAGTACACGATAGTACACGATAGAAAGGGTAAGCAGCTCCCGAGAACATTCGAGCCTGGAATCGTTATCTACTCCTAGGGCAAGACTTGACAGACAGGGTTGTATATCCATTGGTAGTAGGATGTACAATTCCCCTGGTCGTAGTTCTATACTGTAGTAGGAAGAGTGGATGAGATCTGGCAATCTGGCTTGATCCAATGCTAAGTGATATTTCCACTATTTTCTCGTAAATGCTTTTCGTCGTTCTCATTCCCTTTCGTTGCTTTCTATCCTCTATAGACGTCTATCACAATTTGTCGGGTTCACGCGAGCCGACAGACCTTGCTTATACTAGACCAGATCCTAACACCATGCCATATCAACACTCGGACGTGGGTACTGACTCAACACAAGCATCAACAAAATCCAAAACCAGAACCCCCGAAGCAAGCTTGCCTTTCACAAGCTCAATCAAGTTCTTGTGTGCCGGGTCCTCCTGGACGAAATATCTTCGATCATCTTCACATTTGAATCGGACAATAGAAGCGAGATTGAATCCTATTACAACCCATAATCAGCATAACTGTAAAGGATTAAAGAACGCAAGTACCAAGCAGACCTTGACTTCGGACCGGAGGGCACGGTCTAGTCGTACCGCACTTGACGGACAAAATATATGATTCCCCGTTACGTAGTGCATTTGATGCTGTAGCCTTGATTGCTTGTATAGCGAATTCCAAGTCGGATACCTCCTTGAAAGACCAAAGGACGATGTGCTCGATTTCGGCCATGGTGGAAACAATTGCAGTATGTAATATGACTCGAAGAAATATTTCGCTGCTCTGAATTTCACGAAGAATCTGTATATGTGACCCTATGTACTTCGACTTGTTCTTTATGTCCGAAAGGTCCCACGTCCTAGCCAGGTCCCGCATTCCCCCACCCCTCGCCCCACAGAATCCTGACCCATGCCCTAAATCCGATACTATTTCGAATAATTCTATGTCAAGTATTTCGTAGCACCCAGTTATATGCCATTGCTCTAGGTTCGCATTCTAGAAAGTCGGCTGACAAGGATCTGCAGTAGAAAATTGCATTTCCATGTCTTCTATCAGGGGTGGTGTGTTGACAGATTCATAAGTCAACACAGGGTTGGTAGCAAGTATATTTTCTGCCATGTAATTGCAGCCAAATCATTTTCATCTGTTCTTCATAAGTATCTACATAGGGACCGCAGTCTGAGTAAGCCCGCAACTGTTCCGTTCTATCGGATTTCGGAGTTAGGGTGAGAATGCGGGACACCTGAACACACAATCTATATGACAGAACCGATCCACATTGTAGATTGTAGATTAATCTTACTCACTTCCAGCTTGATGCCCAGCTTTACTTGGTGGCCACATCGAGGGTCAGAAAATGAGCAGGCCTCGTAGTAGGAGTGTTTGGATTGAAAGTAGAAGCCACAGCATCTAGGTGTAAGCAGCTCCGTATGTACAATCTATCATATCAAGCAGTACACCTCTGAACCAGCTTTCCCACTTCTTGTTCCGTCGCAAGTTTGTTATTTGTATATAGAAACCCCAGGGTTCCGGAGTAATTCCGGACCGGGCTCAATTAGCTCTAGCGTGGAAATTCTCAACAAATATAACCGGCCCGCGCCAATCTCTCCTTTCTCTTTTTTCTTTTCTCTCCATCTACAGTTTACATTTCGATGTAAATCAATTGGGGCTCCACATTGTGGCTTGCTGAAGGTTACTCTATGGCTTCGGCCTCCGTGGGTTTCTTTCCGTTCCCGGCCCTGGAGAGGAACGTCGCTGCTTTTTCCTAAACACTCTCTACGCTGGTCATTCCCCCTCCGGGAAGGCCTAGGGTGTTGTCTGGTGAGAAGGCGTACACTTTTTTTTAAACACTCGTCATATTCTAGTCATTAATTATAATGAAATTTCGCTCTATCCGCAAATACCATTGCTTGATCCTGCCTCTTGAACACTGAATCTACTTGCTGTATCTCTTGTGAGCCAACATAAGCCGCAAACTTTTTTTTATTACATGGACCTTGTGAATGCATAAGACGATTCAACTTCATCTCAATTCAACATAGTCAGGCGTGTCATAAACAAACAGGGTCCTATCACAACCAGCTCAAGCGGCATCAAGTTACAATTTATATTCCTCGCCTACTCCTTCTGCCAACAATAACCATACGTTCGTATCCTGCACAGCATTTCAATCGTAATATTTGGCTACCACTCCACCAATAATGGGCTGCTCGGCGAGTTCACTCCGCGAGTCGCCTTTATGAACTCCCTTGGCAACTCTAGCCTTTACCCACTCACCGGCAGTAATGCCAATCGCACTTTGATCGGCTGTCTGGTCATATCCTAGGCGACGCAGAACTTCACTTGCAACCGGTCGCAGCTCCAGGCTATCCTCCGGCCGAACAAAGTACAGCACACCTAGACGGTCGATATCCCTCTGGTCTGGGGGAGGTGCAACGACACGATGGATGCTGCTTTTGAGGAATCCATTCGTGAGGAACTGCAGCGAATCGGCAAGGTTGACTGTGATGCTTCCTGGATAGGGTTTCACCCACTTCCACTCGCCCTCTGGCGTCCGAACCTGCAGCGCGGCTACTGGCTGTCGGAACAGTAGAGTTAGGCTGCCGAAGTCGGTGTGGCCTTTGGACCAGATCCCGGCGGCCTTCTTGTTCTCCTCTTCGCTTCGGCGGTGGTACTTCATGTATCGCAAGTGACAGTCACTCTTCTCATCATAGCGGTGTACCTTGAGGAAATAATCTTCGGGTAACTCGAGAATGATTGCCAGGAGTGTCAGCAGTTTACGAACAACTTCTTCGTGAATGTGACGTGCAAAGCTCTCAATGACCGGACGGTTCTGGTTCACGATATCGGGCTGTGGTCTTTCGAGAGCCGGAATGAATTTTGGAATATTAAAAATCTCTGTCTTGTCAAAGACGCCGGGACTGATTTCCTGATCGAGAGGTCAGAGGTTCAGTTCTTCACATCGCATGATGCATTGGTGCGTACCCGAAGACCCATTGGTTTATAGCCATTGTATCCACCTTTCTCTAGTTCTGCGCGGAACTTGAGCTTTTCCTCAACTGGAAGCTCAAAGATTTGCTGACCGATGGAGAATTGCTGGTCAACTTCTTCTTGTGATAACCCGAAGTTGGTGATATAAAAGAAGCCTACACCCATGTCAATATTTTAAGCATGGACACACGAATTTGAAGGTACTAACCGATATTCTGAATGGCGTCAAAAAGCTGCGCTGCCAACTGCTTCTTACCACCAGGCAAGTCAAACTGAGATAGATCCAACGTGGCAAGGTCCGCCCAATCCACTATATTCAACTGAAATGTTAGTCGCAACTCACTTCTGCTGTATGAGTTTTGGTGCACAACTTATGAAACATACAATCAAAGGAGGTCTCAGGAACCTGGTGATATGTTGGATTTTTATTAGCCGTAGCTGCTGCAACCGGAGATTGAGTTACTGTCGCCATGGCACAATTTCAGATTGAACTTCACGGAAAAAAAAATAGATTACGGTAATTGATGGTAGCAACACAATTTCTATTGTAGAGAAACGTCCAGCTGAGAATCAAATTCATGAAGAGAGCGGACTTTATCAAAGCTTCGATGATGAGGGCTTGGCAGTAAGCCCAGGAAAATTGAATGCTTTGCACAGGCTACTCCAATCGGTCATTTTTCCATTTCTCAAAAATTATGGTTAATGTGCAAGCCACTTTCAAGCAGCAGACTGCGTCTCGGCGGATCTCCGCGTTTGCAGTTAAGATCTCACCATGTTTTCCTCCGTTGGCGTGATAGCTGTGATCCTTGCCCAAATGAGAAACTCGCCACCATCTCCCCAAACGGTGGATTCGGTAACTTCTTACTCCTCCACAGAGGTAGTCCTGTGGATAAGCAACTTGGGTTGGTACAAACTGTAGCAAAACACGATTAGCAAGCAGGGTGAATTGATTTACTCACGCTAAAAACGAATTTCCAATAAGATCATTTCAGAAATAATGAAGTCATACCTGATAATCGCAATTATAAACAGAAGATAATATCTTCCAAAAGGGCCTTTCCTATCTAGCCAGATTCATGAGGGCGCTCCAGCGTAGGGTGAGTTAATGTCAGCACGAGGTAGTCACCTATGTATACGCGACACTTGGAACTTTATCATGGTTCACTCGGATTCCTTGGTGTCACCCAACATGTAATGACTATTTTTAATAACGCTATATTTAAGCGAGTATATTAGCTTCATCACAATGTAATATACTCATTATTGGAATCCTTAACATTAGGCATTTCTAACATATTGTTACTACATTCATACACATATACACATATCAAATTCATTCGTATACGTTTACCAGAGGCCAAGAGATCACAGGTAGCAATACAGATATCATCTTTGAACCAAATTCAAGTGAGTATTCCTAATAAAAACTGTCAGGTCGGCATTGTATTAACATAGACTTTTTGGCTCCGTTTGTGATACTTTATGTAAATCGAAGAAGAATCAAACGTAATTTCGTTAAGATAAACTATATAATGTGGCGATTTATTACATTTGCCCTGGTTTTCTTACCGCGACGCTCACCAAATGTGGCGCTCGCCCATGATTTACGTTGCCGTCATCCGCAATACCTTAAATTCAGCTAGATCATCCTATTAAGAAACTACACTTTCAAATGAACCCTTTCCGTATATATCCGGTTCGTTTTCTTCAATTCAGTGATTGCGTTTGAAATAGAGTCTCGATTATTAAGGAGTCGCAGCCGTAAAATATTTTGGTAAGAACCATAATACGTCATTACTCTAACTTGCATAACTCGAAATTATACAGTCCAGAACATAAATTGCATAGAAGGAGGAAACTCGATGATTGAAGATAAGGCAGAAACATTGGCAACATACGTAGATCGGCCGATGCGAGCTAAAGTTGCTTCGGGGATCTACACGTCACAACCAAAGGAGGATATACTGTGACTAGATTTCGGCCGAGGTTTTATATTGGACAGAACTTGGTAAGTATAAGAAACACTTCTGGATGCATGAGAATGTGAATCTACAAGTTACTCTCGAATGATCAATTCTATTTGAACTTACCACATCTTCTTTCCATCGACGCAGATTAGACGTCTTCAATCTGCAATATGTTACTCTCTAATTTGACAATGTTGAACGAGACGATGCGAGCCGTTGTTTGGACCGGCCAACCATACAACATTTCCGTCCGTGACGTCCCCAAACCAACCATCATCAACTCAACCGATGTCATCGTTAAGATGTCGAAGGCAGCTATCTGCGGGTCTGATTTGCATATTTATCGAGGTACAATGGAGGGACAGGTCCTTCCTGTCGGCATTGGACACGAGGGAGTCGGATATGTGTCTGAGGTTGGATCACTTGTGCACTCGCTGAGCGTCGGCGATCCTGTTATCGTGCCTTTCACGACCTCCGGCGATCAGCTCAATACGGAGCTCACTTATGTGCCATACGCGGCATTCGGAAATGGAGGAACCCTGGGTGGCACACAAGGTAAATTCATTCCTCGCCTTTAACCACGTTTGAACATCCTCTCATCTAAATATCTAGCGGAGTTTTTGCGAGTTCCGTTTGCCGATGAAGGACTGATCCCCATCCCTTCTGTCAACTACACCGATCCAACTACCAATGAAACCACTTCCCTGCTGAATGACTACGTTATGATGTCGGATATCTTTGCCACAGGCTGGACAGCCCTTGACTTTTCTGGCATGGAGCCCGGCGACACCGTGGCTGTGTTTGGTGCTGGACCCGTCGGCCTGATGGCGGCGTACTCGGCAATCTTACGTGGTGCATCACGAGTCTACAGCGTTGATTTTGTCCCCGAGCGCCTCCAACTTGCTAGCTCAATTGGAGCAATCCCCATCAACTTCGAAGAAGCAGACCCAGTGGAGCAGATTATGGCGTTGGAGCCTACTGGGGTTACTCGAAGCGTCGACTGCGTGGGATTTGAACAGTTGAACCAGAATCTTACCGTGCAGTCGGATGTTATCATTGGTCACATGCTGTCCGTCACTTCCATGAATGGCGGCATGGGCACTGTCGGAGTTTATACCCATGAGCACGGCAACACGGCAACTCAACCTCGTGCTTCGACTATCCATACTCATTTCAATCTTTCTCTCGCAGATTTCTGGACAAGGGGCTTGCACTGGGGAGCTGGTATTTCCCGGCCATTAGATCTTGCCCCACAGCTCTTGCATCTCATTGCATCGGGCAGAGCCAGGCCTGGATTCATTGTTAGTGATGAGGTGGATATTGAAGATGCCCCGGCAGCCTACGCCAGATTCAACAGTCGCAATGCCACAAAGGTTGTGATCAATTTTGATCATTAAACCAACCGCAGATGGAGTGCTACACCGGAAAGTGATCTGTTTTGATCAACATTGGGGCAGCTAGTGTCATGGGCCAACCAATTGACCTCCACCTCCCCACCTCCCACAGTTCTTGTGTTAAATTTAGGTTTTCCATGGTTGAATCAATCCATTGTGTATATTGTCTATGATAAGTCTAACATAATCTTGTCAAGAACTATGCTAGAACAGCACTAAACATAGATGAGCCAACAAAGTGCACACTACGCATCGCTTAGTTCATATTTCTTTGTAATTGGCCGCAAAGGTTCCAAGGGATCAAGAGAGACGCTGTCAAAGTAACGGTCACTGGATAGATGGCTCTGCGTGCGTTTTAGCTCGAACCGGGAGCCATCCTCAAAGTTGGTAATATTGTGAGTATACTGACATCTCGAAAAGCTCCCAGACAGTGTAGTCATGCAGTAGAAAGAGAGGCCGTATTAGCGGAAATATCGCATACGCTCGGGTTCTACGGCACGGTGTACAGCATGATCCAAATCCTGTTAGACGGCAAGTTTGACACTCCCAAAATTTCGTTCTCGGAGGAGACGACGGACCCGTGTGCCGGAGACAACTAATCTTTAAATCCGCAATCTCCATCGCAGGAATATTCCAAACCATAACATGGTCGCAGCGATTGGCTGAAGGCAAAGGCGATCTCCAAGCTCTAATTCTTAGCCAATCACAATGGCTCGGCCGAAGGCCCACACTTATTGGTCCGACAGATGTCGGCCGATGAGATCATGCATTTTTTCAGTTCAACGGAACATCTTGCTAGACGTTTAAATATATAGAGTCGAGATACATGATCCTTGCATTCAATCCACTGCCAAACAACTGCTTCCATAAACTCATTCAACCTTAAGACATTTCACATCAGCCCAACATGAAGGTTCTTTTGACAGGTCAGTCTTCCTGAAATACCTACTGCTAGCTAGAAAATGCTGATTGTTGGAATTAGGCGGATCTGGATTTATTGCTTCTCACTGCTTGAGGGTATGAAGTCGCAATTCGAATTGTTCCAATCATTTATGGATATACAGCGCTAACAGGACAATTAGACTTTGCTAGCCAGAGACCATACAGTTGTGACAACTGCGCGGAGTGCCGAGAAGGGTGAAAAGATTCTTGCAGCATATCCGAGTGCCTCTGAGGGCCAGCTTTCCTATGTGATCGTCCCGGATATCGCCAAGGAGGACGCATTCGACCAGGCCATCATTTCCGACCCCCCATTTGATGCTGTTGTTCACACAGCCAGTCCATTCCACTTCCGATTCCAGGATCCCAAGGAGCTACTTGACCCTGCCATTCGTGGAACCAAGGGGCTTTTGAAAGCAATCAAGAATAACGCTCCTACTGTGAAACGAGTGGTTATCACCTCCTCATTTGCTGCGATCACTCAAACGGAGGAACACCCTGCTGTTTATGATGATAGCATGTGGAACCCTGTCACCTATGAGGAAGGAGTTGCGGATCGAGGAAAAACATATCGCGCGAGCAAGACCCTTGCTGAGCGTGCTGCATGGGCTTTCATGGATGAAGAGAAACCAAACTTTTCTCTTGCCACCGTTTGCCCGCCCTATGTCTTCGGACCTCCAATTCATCGCCCCGAGACCCCGGCCGGCATCAACACATCAAACCTCTACTTTGCGATGTTGATGCAAGGAGGATGGAAGGAGAGACTTCCTCCAACAGGCACCTGGCTCTGGGTTGATGTGCGTGACATTGCCCTCGCTCATGTCAAGGCTATGGAAGTTTCTGAGGCCGGGGGCAAACGATTCCTCGTCACTGAGGGCCACTTTGATATGAAGAATGTCGCCGAGATTGTTCAGAAGAATCTTCCTGCGTATGCTGATAAGTTCCCACCTGTGCTGGAGTCAGACAAGCCCAATCCTCTATATGGATATGATAACAGCTTGTCCAAGAAAGTGCTGGGACTGGAATACTTGCCGCTGGAGACTTCTGTTTTGGACACAATTAAGACACTGGAAGGATATCATGCCTGAGAAAAGTGGCATGGTTAGCCCCTAACTTACCTGTTTCTCTTTTCTTACCTTTGTCATTTGTTAGTTTTTATTATAGATTTTAGCTATCTGATAGCTTGACCATTATACAGCAGCTGTATACTACTTAACTCTTCGTGTAATCTATAAGTTACTATGCAAGATATCATTACATCTAAGTAAACATTGTCTACGGATGATTATTTAGACTGAATCCTGGGCCAAAGCTTGAGATTTCTGTCGTTGCCATATCGAAACAAGGGAGTCCCAGGCTGTAAACCTACGCCAGTAGACCTAGCTGTCAGGGTGTCCAAAAGACAGCTCGATCTTCTAGAAACTCTTTGTACGGCTCTTTCGGGACAGTGCTTTCTTCGCGTTTTCGAAGTTCTTTTCTTCTTCTTTTTCATCAATCATGGTTTGCCTGTGGTTCTCCGAAACTAAAGAAGGCGGATGGTGATAGCTGAGGAATTCTAAGATTGCGAGGGTAAAGTGGATGTCAGTAGTTGTCATGTCCGCCCTGAACAGCTTAAATTACAACCGTATCTTACTATACGGATCAGTTATAGGGAGAACACCGTTTAAGCAGCCGATGCTAGTAAGGCAAAACATTTTTTGTCTTAACGTTATTGCAGGCTTGGACTTATATAATCAACGACATAAACTGGGAAACACCTGCAGATCTTAACAAGGTTAGCAATCTTCAAAAAGTGGATTTAGCGCTGGTATTTCAACTGCGTCGAATCAAAAACATGCACCAAATAAATGAAATGCACGGATAATAAACAGATAGTCAAAATGAGCGTCATTGACCCCTGCCCATTTCGCTCTTTCGATGTTTTCTTCCCTCTAACCGTCTAATCTTGTGAACGGTCGCGCACCCACTTCCCCTGAATAGTCATTATATTAGAAGATTAATTCCTATTTTTGAAAACTAGGATTTTACAATGGGAGAGACAGGCAGTACCTGACAATTCCCTGTGTCAAAGATGGTCATTTAGCCCGTGATATACGCAATCCATGTGTGCTATGAGACCATGTGGATAACCAACCGTCCAACTTGGCATCAGCCCTGATATCAACCTTTCGGACATTTTCCAAACTATGAAATAGCAATTGTCGCCCGCATATCGGCTTAATTAATACAAAGCGTGTCATACTTGATCCGCAGCTATGTCGGACAAAGTGCCTACGCAGAATATATCCAAAACCTTTGGTACTACAACGGCGACTGATGTTTCCTCCGCCACTGAGAGTGACTCTAGTAATGAACTCCATTTCGTCAAACGTGGTGAGGCTCTCGTGGAAGCAACATCGAGCCAAGAAAGTATCGATGGTTATGATCCCGACCTGATGAGCGGCAGAACCCTACTTACAGCGCAGGAAGAAAAGAAGCTGTTGCGGAAGATTGACTGGCGGTTGATGACCCTTTGCTCCCTTATCTTCATGTTTAAAAATCTCGACAGTAGCAATGTGGGTATCACCATTCATTCACTTGAGATATTTGAACTGACTAATGTACATGATAGGCCTCCAATGCCCGAATTATGAACAAAGGAACAGATCAGAATATTATGACACAGCTTGGAATCACATCGAATGAGTACAATCTTGTGACTGTCCTTTACTATGTACTTCACCCCATCTTAACATATAGTCTGATATCTTCATGCTCTAACTATCGATGCTTTCAGGTCCCATATATTTTGTTAGAAGCACCCTCAAATCTCCTACTGAAGAGATTCTCCCCATCCAAATGGCAATCCAGAATTATGATCAGCTGGGGTGTTGTGCTCATGTGCAATGCTGCGGTGAAGAATAAAGGCGGATTATACACAACACGATTCTTGCTAGGTCTGGTATGTTAATACACGTTAATACAACGGGTGTCTATTCATCGTGGTACGTCATGGTATAATCTTTACTGACGCCGGTTTAGGCTGAAGCCGGACAATTCCCCGGTGTGATTCTCCAGATGACATATTGGTATCGGCCAGACGAGATGTCTCTGCGTCTGCTATACTTTTGTAAGCCCTGGGCCAGCGCGGCACTACTTGGAATGCTACTAACTCTGTGTCAACAGACATTTGCGGAAACGTCTCGGGTATTTTCAGTGGTCTGCTCGCCTACGCATTTGACACTGTGTCAGGTGCAGCAGGGCTTTCCGGATGGCAGTGGTAAGTGAGAAGAAAGACAATTCCTTTGATCGCGCCCATACTTACTCATCTTCAGGTTGTTTCTCAGCGAGGGTATCGCGACCGTGATCTTTGGTGTGGCCATTGCCTTTTTACTCCCCGATTGTAAGGACATCTTTGGAAATGAGAAGACATGGCCCTTATATGCACATTGATATTAACATGATGAATCACCCTGCAGTTCCAGAAACAGCAAGTTGGTTGACTGAAAGAGAAAAGAAGTTCATTCAAGCCCGACTGCCAGCTAATGCCCCTCGAGCGAATGAGAAAAACTTCAATTTCCGAGAAGTCATTGAATCATTGAAGGATGTCAGATTATGGCTATTTACATTGATCTGGGCTACCTTTACAGTTGGAACCAACGGCGTCACTTTTTACCAATCGACCGTTATCGCAAATCTTGGTTATACGTACGTCCCATACTTCCCAGGACATTGATAGAGCGAGCGCAACTGACCATCACTTAGGACCGTTGCCCAAGCCCAACTACTCAACATTCCTATCACCGTCTGTGGAATTCTATTCATTGCAGTCACAGGCATTGCAGCAGATCGCAGTCGCATACCCCGACCCCTGTATCCGCTTTCTTTCCTCGTTGTGATCATAGTCTGCTACGGGGTTTTTGTGGCTTATCCCAGTACAGGCGCTGTATATGCTGTGACACTGATCGGAAATGCCCTACAAGCAGGATGGTTCCCAGTCATGTGGTATGTTGTTTTTTCACCTAAATCGGTTACAAATTATTATGGATAGCTGACCACAGTGCTTCAGGCCATGGCGAGTGCAGACTACATCACGAGCTACGGGATCTGCTTTCTCTATTGGATTTGTGAACAGCTACGGTCAAATTGGAGGTGCTATCGGCCCGCAGCTGTTCAATAGCAAATACGCACCACGTTATATAGTCCCCTTTTCCGTGGCTATGGGTCTCGTTGGGCTTTGTGCCATTTTGACTTTGATAACATGGTGGGTGACTTGGGATACCGAGCGTGATACTAGACGTCTGAAGCTCGCCAAAATTGCGGCGGAGAAAAGGGGCGAGACAATTCTGGAGGATGTTATGGACCATGACTTGAAGACTCGTTAAGACACAGCAAATGTTTCTCTTCGAAGAAGCTATATTACTCAATATACGCAAATTTCGGTCAAGCTGCATATTGCCACTCCCAGGAATGTTCTTACTAGAGTTTCTCATATGCTGCTTCAGTCTCTGCCTGACATATATTTTCTTTACTATTGCCTCATTCTGGTGCTTGAGCTAGATACTCCTACTCTTTTTTAGAACACATTCATTCAAACCCCTCCAAACTAAATCGAGTCGCTTAACAAATTCGTGATTCTCTCCAGCTGTTCGCTCTATAAACATCCGATCTTGTCATAGCGAAAAGGTCCGAACCAATCACAGCCACGTATCAACCCGGCTGTATTGGAAACCATCCGAGCCTTGAGACCCCTCTACATGTGACCTGTGCAAGTCGACATTTCTTTCGTCTATGCGAACCAGTACCTTTCCGACACACTCGGCAATCGGCTGATAGAGCTCCAAACATGGCTTCTGTTACACTCCCGCCCGCGCGACCATCCAGCGACCCTTACTTCAACTTGGGAACACTGAGTCGTCGAGTCAGTACAGCTTCAACGGAAGCTCAGATATGGTTTGACCGAGCGCTGGTCTGGACATATTGTTTCAACCACGATGAAGCAATCACTTGCTACCAGCAGGCAATCGCGCACGATGCGAACTGCGCAATGGCGTATTGGGGTGTATCCTTCTGCTCGGGCTCAAACTACAACAAAACATGGGCATTGTTCGATGAGAAAGATCGCATCAATGCAATTAAGCAATGTGATGTATATTCCAAAGAGGCTTTGAAGCGACTAGACCATGCCTCGGAGTGGGAGCAGGCACTCATCAAAGCTCTTGCGATGCGATACCCCAACGACGATCCGAGTAGGGATCTTGCCGCTTGTAATAAAGCTTACGCAGATGCCATGCGAGATGTGTATCAGACACTCGGTCGCGCCGACTTCGACATTATCACCCTTTTCGCGGACGCCTTGATGAACTGCGCTCCACGTAAACTATACGACGCCCCCACGGGACTTCCAATTGCATTGTCCCCGGTATTCGAGGTGAAGGACTTGCTGGAGAAGACTTTGAAAGTCTCGGGTGTTGAACGGCATCCAGGTCCCGCGCATATGTACATCCACCTGATGGAAATGTCCGCAACGCCCGAGGCTGCTTTGCCTGCAGCAGAAATGATCCGCGAAATATTCCCCGACACCGGTCATACATTCCACATGCCAGCCCATATCGATGTTCTCGTCGGCGATTATCGTCGCGCGGTCGAGTATAATCTGAAAGCGACCATTGCGGATGATAAGTTCTTCCAACAGAATGGCGGCTTGACCTTTTATAGCTATTATCGACTTCATGACTATCATTCTCTGATTTACGCCGCCATGCTGGGCGGAAAATCCAAGGCAGCGTTGTCGGCGACGGATCGAATGGAAGCTACTATTACAGAACAGATTCTGCGAGTGGAAACACCCGCACTGGCGAACTGGATGGAATTCTTCAAGGCCGTCCGAGTTCACGTACTCATTCGCTTTGGAATGTGGGAGGATATCAAGAAACTCGAGCCCCTTGCCGACAAGCATTTATATTGTGTGACGAATGTCATGAGACATTATGGAAAGGGCATCGCGTATGCGGCAACGTCCCAATTGGAGGATGCAGACAGAGAGCGAGAGCTGTTTAAAGAAGCCTCCAAGCTTGTCCCACCGACACGCCTCGACTTCCCGAATAAAATTATTGATATCCTCAAAGTAGCATCTGCTATGCTGGATGGCGAAATCGAATACAGAAGAGGCAATTATGAGACTGCATTCAGAAGACTACGTGATGCAATCACCTTGGAGGATGATCTCCCTTTCGCCGAGCCATGGGGATGGATGCTTCCTGCGAGGCATGCATATGCAGCTCTGTCTTTGGAGCAAGGGGAAGTTGAGCGCGCTGCCCAAGCGTATGCTGAAGATCTGGGACTTTATCCTACTCCGAAACGTGCGCATCAACATCCGAATAATGTCTGGGCTCTTCATGGCTACCACGAATGCTTGGAGATCTTGGGTCGTCACGCCGAGGCAAATATTATCAAGAAACAGCTTTCACTCGCCCTTGTGGAGGCAGATGTCGAAATTACATCTTCATGTTTCTGTAGACTAGGGAATATTCCCACGTCTAGTGACAAGCCAAAAGCGAATGGCTGTCATAGTGTGAAACCGAAGTGTCCTTGCTAGATGACTCAATACTATGATTGAATAAATTTATTCCAAAGATATAAGATTTGGACTGAAAAAGCACCAAATTCATAGACAATCTTGTCGCGCTCTCTATGCTATATGAAACAGGTAGTATTGCAAGCCTTCTAACTTCGGGCTCTTTCAAAATCACACGTCACAAGATCGATATTACAAAAGGGCTTCTGCAACATCCCTTATCATCCCCCGAACCTCCTCAACAATGCGAAAGCAAGGCACCAACTTCCGTTCCGCAGGATCTTGCGGGCAAAGATCCAGCGGATCGTAATTTACGTCTTCTTTCTTCCGACACCCTCCCTCAGTACCGGGGCAAATTTCGTGACCAACGAGATGACGATTGCGCTGCCGCAGCGCAAATTTGTCCCCTAGTGACAACAGGCGTTTTGCATCGGTCTGTAGACCGTGCGTGACGAGTGCTTGAAACTTCTCGCCGCTGATTTGTAACGTTGGACCGGAGGGAAGCCCCAGACTAGTCTCGAGATGGATGGCTTCTGTCTCACACCTCATGTCCAGCTCCGAGCAATATTCTCTCAACCAACGTAGATATTTGTGGTAGCCAGTTGTAATCCCAAACATCAGCTGACCGATCAGCAACACATTTTGAACCGTCAATCGAGGCGGCTTGGATACATCGTAGCATATTGGACAGGTCAGTAGCCTTTCCGCGAGAGAGACTCCGGTCCGAAGCATATGGATGATACCGTGAGACACGTTTGCGCGACTCAAATTCCGGACTATCTCCGATACTTCTTCGTCGCATTTACAGGATTGAGAGAGTGACACAGGAGAGGCGTAGGCGCCCAGCGCCGTGGTAGAGATCTCAGGCTCACTCGTTTCGCTGTGCTGTAGTGTCTGCCATGATTCCAGTGGAGTAGAGAAGATATTTCCATTCTCCAGCATCTCCCAATGGAGGGAATCAAAGCCGCAGTTTCCAGACAATTCATACGGTAGCGATGCGAAGTTCTCGTCATGAATTACCGCGTCGACAGCGTTTTGAAAGTACATCGCCGGTCGAGAGATGTCCGGCGACCGACTGGACGCACTTGATGGTTCGGGTTGCTTTTCCTCCAAATGACCATCTTGTCGTAAGCGTTTCCTGGGTCTTCCAGGAACGCCTTTCTCCTTGAATCTACACGCCATTGACAAGCCTCTGCACCGAGAACAGCCGGTCTTTTCCCCGGAGCATCTCAGCTTTCGAGAACCTATGCATCATTAGCTCAGTCTCGCGTGTAGAGAGAAGACATACGGCAGGCTTCACACGAATTTCGTTGTCGGGGGTTCATCTTACGCGGAAGTTGAGGACGAAATGGGCGAGAAAAAGGCCGAGATCGCTCATTCTGCAGCGCGATGGCGTTCGAGCGGGGTTTGTACAGTCGGCGGTTTGTGCCTGGTCGGCGGTTCAGGCGAGGCCGATTCGAGGTTGGCGATGTTCAAGTTCAAGGGCAGACAGGCAGGCAGTCTGCGTTGGAAGCTCCTGGCTTTGCAAGGTGGTGCTTTCCATCACGTCGTCGTCGACGGACGTAGAGTTGGACGCGTATCAAGATTCCCACTCCAACCCTCCAATTTTACTTTCTCGGAGTCCCACGAAAACAACATCTGGCAACTCAAGCAAATATAAGAAGAAACTAAAATCTCAGGGACCCTCCCAGTCTGAGCTGTTGTGTCTGGCGGGGCACAAAACCGTCCGAGGAGCCCCGAGAAAAACATCCGACTTCCCCCAACATCAGCGATGATATAGGGAAGGGTTGATCCTAATAAAGTGAAGGATTCGTCTTGTGATTCTCCAAAACCCCACTCTGAACCCTTCACGTCCAAATGGCAACATATACAACTGCACACCAGGTGCGTCATGCCTGGGTAATGAAGCAGGAAATCGCCCTCCTGGACGTCCGCGAGGAAGGCCCATACGCCGAGTCCCATCCCCTGTTCGCCGTCAGTGTGCCCGTATCCGAAATCGAGAGTAAACTGCCAGCACTAGTTCCTCGCCTGGCTGTCCCGATCGTGGTCTATGATAGTGGCGAGGGGTACGATATCCGGGCGGTATCCCGGATTTCAGCCATGGGATATGAGAATGTTGCCATTCTCGACGGTGGACTCTCTGCATATGCTCTGGTTGGTGAAGTTTACCGCGATGTCGGTGTTCCTTCCAAGGCGTTTGGGGAACTGGTTGAATCTATCAATCACACTCCGTCAATTTCTGCCACAGACCTGAGGGAGTCTTTGCGGAATGATGATGATATCGTGGTTCTGGATGCCAGGAGATTTGAGGAATTCAACACCATGAGTATTCCAGGTGGCAGGAGTTGTCCTGGAGGAGAACTCCTTTATCGCTTCTTCGAGACTGTGCCTTCTACAAAGACAACCGTCGTTGTGAACTGTGCTGGGAGAACACGCAGTATCATCGGGACCCAGTCCTTGATCAATGCGAAGGTCCCCAACAAGGTACTTGCGCTCCGTAATGGGACGATTGGGTGGACGTTGGAGGGCTTCGAGCTCGACAACAAGAAAACGGACCAGGCCCCGAGACCTGCACCGGAAGCATTGGCAAAAGCGGCCCAACTCGCGAAACGCTGGTTTTCTCGGCACAAAATCCCTCACTTGGACGGGGCGAGCATCGATGATCTAGCCGTGTATGGGCAGGATCGCACTCTGTACCTGCTCGACGTTAGAGATCCAGAGGAATATGCCCTGGGGCACCCAGCCGGTTTCACTAATGCTCCGGGTGGACAATTAGTACAAGCCACAGATGAGTGGATCGGTGTTCGAGGAGCTCGCATTATTCTCTACGATACGGACTCTGTCCGAGGAAGTATGGCAGCCAGTTGGCTACATCAGCTCGGATGGGAGGTTCTGGTATTGTCTGATTTACCATCGACAGATCCCACTGAGCTTGGTGTGCCAAAGTCATCTTCATTTGGTTGCGTAGAAACTCGTGGCATTTCAGTTGCCGCGCTCCAAAACCTTCAGGGGGCAACCGTGGTTGATCTTGCTCGCAGTCCTTCCTATCGCAAGGGACATATTCCAGGTGCATGGTATGCTTCTGGACCAGAGCTACGAAGAGATCTGAAAACGATCAAAGAGGTTGGACCGATCATTTTGACCTCCCCTGATGGTATCGTTGCAGCCATGAACTGCAAGGAGGCACGAGAATGGCTCCCTTTAGGAGAACAGTTCATGTACTTGGAAGGAGGAACTGATGCTTGGGTGGCAGCCGACCTTCCTCTTGAGATCGAGTCACGGTGGCTTTCTGAACCAATAGATGTCTACAAAAGACCATACGAAGGGACAGGGAATGCTCGTGAGAATATGCAGGGGTATCTCGACTGGGAGTATGGCCTTGTGGCCCAATTGGCAAACGACGGGGTCGCTAATTTCCGCGTTGTACGAGATTCGCGTGCAGATGATGACTGTGAGCATTTTACGGAGTCTACATTGGTTGATAGTTCTGCATAGTATAGACTATCTAGTGAGTTTGCAGCCAATAACTTTAAAATGTCCCCTGCATGCGACGATGGATAGACATAAATATCAAGCTAGTTCTACCATCTTTTACCAGCCGTAAACGAAGTCGGTAGATGTGTCATGCTATGTTTGAAAGTGTGAAGGCAGTGTTGTCATAATTCGTTAAAGCTAAGTATATCTAAGCGCTATGTGCAGTATTATGTGTAGCATTATCGACAAGCATTGACTCCGATCCGACCGTAGCCAACGAGACCTCCAACGGATCTATCGGTTCAGCAAGACCCGAATCAACCCTATCCCCTAATTCATACTCCTCCTCCAGGCCATCTTCCGTCGTCTTCTCATCATAGTCAAGAGCCACTTTCCCCGATCCACTCTCCCCACTCGGGGGATCAAATTCCCCGAACCGGTATCGCCGACCAAGTGCCTCGAGGTGCTGGCGCCGTTCAGTTCCGGACCAATCCACCGTGCCCCGGATGTCGGATAGCATGCGGCTTTGTGCAATCCACGGCATCAAAGCGCCGAGTGACCGCGGGATGGGCGGGCCGTTGTAGTATTTCCGTCGGAGCCAGAAGACGACTATAAGAACAGCAAAATCAAAAGAAAGGATGATGATCATGATGGCAATTGTCGTGTCAGATGCTGGAATTTCCCATTCCGCGGCTGAGAGGGTGCCATGCACTGGAATTATCTGCTGTTCAGCGGGGAGAGCGAGGAAGTACAGATTCTGCCAAAGTGATGTGTGCATGCTGAAGGTTGATTGGTAGACAAGCTTGACAGCGCGGGTCAGAGCGGTTTTGTCGTTAGATGAAAAGGGTCGTTTGGAGGTTTCGTATAGTTCACATGTCACAAGAGCCGGTCCGTGGTGGTGTCTAGTGAAGGCTTGGGTGAACGCTGCCAGGCTGTCCGATGCATTTTGGAACATCGTTCCATTGGTGATCCTACTACCAGATACCGGTGTGGAAGATTGAATCAATCCTTCAGGGCTGAAATCAATGTCAAAATCTTGGATCTGGACTTCTGGCGAGCAGTGAAACACTGTCGGATCTGCAGAAACCGTGCTAACCCCAGTGCCTCCTGCATAGCTCACAAGCACGAAAGATCTTTGGCATGAGATGTTTGATTCGTCGGGAGAAATCACAAAAGTCGATTCATTGAAAGCATGACGGTGACGTTTGGTTTTTCGAAACACCGCTGTACATTTGGTATCACCGAAGCTGGCAGCGGGGGTATAGGTCCAAGTTTGGTTCTCGGAAACCAGGTCAGAATTGCTGGAAAGAATCTCTGTGCATTGAAGATCAACCCCAATTCCGCGTGTTCGTGCCGTATACATCTTCCAGTCCGCAAATTCATCGGATTCTTTTATGTTGAAAGGCACATAGGACATATTCGCAGTCGTCCATGCCAATATAGAAGAGCTGGTAGACAGGGTATCTTCGATCATGTTATAGCCATGGAAGTCAACCCTAACTTCAGGGTTCAGAAAGTAGGAGTTGTAATATTGGGGCATCAAATCCTGGGTGATCTCAGACCAATTCTCGACTGATGGTTCAAACATTCCACTGCTGACCACAGTTAAAAAGTAGTCAACCATACAGACCAAGGATAACATCACCATAATAGGAGGCGCAGTTCTGCGGAACTGTTTCCATATGGTGATGGGCGTTTTGGAGCCATAGTTCACATTCAGAGACTCGCGCGCCAAAGCCGCGCCCTCTTTGAGTTGAACCCAGGGCTCCAAGTTCCCTAAATGGCGATGAACCGAGATAAAGAGGGAACTAATAACAGAGGCAATAGCCGTGGGTCCGTATATTAGGTAAAGGTAGAGAACTGTCGCACCAGCGGTGGGCGTGTCTAATTTGTCCAGGTGGACATATTGGAAAGAAACTCCAAATGCAGCAAGAATCCCAGCGAGTGCGATACATTCGAGTAGAAACCAGGGCGTCTTGACAAAATGAGGTTTTGCATTGGACCGTGGCTGTCGTGGTTGCTCTCCTGTACGTCTGGCTTGAGCAAGATTTCGCAGCCGGGGCATGCGAGAACTTGGAGCTGCAACATGCCCTTCGCACGAGATGATGTCGATCTGGCTTCCTTCGGGTGTATCTGTCCACCGGCACCAAAGCGATCTAGCAAAGCGGCGAAGCTGTCGTGGTGTAGCGGTTTGGAAGTCGATGCCTGATTTGATCACCGGGGCTGTCGAAATGAACATATCTGTTATGATTGCGCACTGTGCTCCAATCGATCCAGGGTCGGCTTGAAGAAAGTTGGGCCGGCGCGGGTACATATATGAAATGAAACCAAGCAGGGCAAGGGATATCATGAGGATTGATTCCGTGACTATGGCGGCGTGAGAGCTCACGCTATAAACCAGCCTAATGGTAGTTTGCTGTGCGTTAATCCGCAAGGGGGTATTCGTGGTGTTGAAGAATTTGTTCATCCAAAGAGTGAAATGTTGATTCCAAAGATGACCCACGTCCTGCTCGTATTGGCCAACGCTTGAGGGACTGAGAAGACTGATCAATGACCCATTCGCTCCAGTCGATCCAGTCAAATCTGAGTGGGAATGATTGTATCCATGACCCCACACCGTAAGCTCCCCATCTTGGTACCTTCTGAACATGCTCCTCTCAATGCCTGATATATCAAGCTGTGATGAGGTCATGTTGGTTTTTGTTTTGGATAGACCTGCAACACTCGCGACCGAGGTATTTGCGAGAAGCGAGAGCTCCGCCATCGCATGCATATATGTGCTCCGGCATCCAAAAACCGTAGCATTGGATGAGAAGTTACCCGATGATGTGGAGTTCAGATTGATAATAAGACCAACTGAAGAAAACGAATCACACCCGGTCCGATGAGAGGTCGATGTTGAGTTGATATTAGCATCTGGATCCAGTGGTTCCCAGTGTCGTAATTGAAATGATCCTTTGCGGTCTGGCAAGTAGCTATTCAAGAAGAAATCCAGTTTACATCCGTAATAATCCCCATCGGAAGACTTTTCGAGTTCGACGTCGGTTATGTTCCAGGCCAATGCTGTTGAATTGCCCATGCTAGAGGTATTTGTCGAATTTGATAACATCCAGGTATAGGGAACAAGGTGCTCCAGCGTTACTTCGGTGCAACTCATATTGGCCCAGTATGCAGGTTGATTCAGTTGCCAAGTCGCAGCGTGTTCCCAATGTATTGGCCTGGAGGAGGGTGGTGTAGCGTAGTTGAGAGTTCGATAAAAGAAAAACGTGTCGGCGTGCAACTCCGTCTTATTGTAATGATGATGTCTATCTTCAGCCAGCCATTCACGCTGGCTTTCCAGACTGACCACATCGGGCCAAGTATAAACGGGTTCATATGAGGTCACGTTCACCCCGTTAAGCGACACAAGTCCTGACATTAGGGACGGTAAAACCATCCGTTGAATCATCCCAATAGATGATACCAGAACCACAATCCAATGCCGGTTTCGAAAGGCTGTGATTGGGGCCAAGATGCCGAAAAAATAGCAATAATTGGTGAACAGCACCGTTCCAGGGGCTCCCTTGGGGTTAGCCAACTGAAAGTACGGCTCTAACCTCAGCACGTCCAGGGAACAGACATTCCATAGTGACAAGGCAAGCACAGCAAATGCGGTTGGCAAATATGTTGGCAGCCTTATGGCGAAGGTACCAAGTTCCGTGTAAGAGAAGAGATGAACTAGACCCTGGTGACGATTGGAATATTGACGAAGCGCTTCAATTGCAGCGGACATGCACAGGTAGAGCGCAGCAACACTGAACAAATAGGGACGCCTCAGCGAGGTTGGAACCCAATACTTCTTTTGTTCTGCTGGTTCTATTGGTTCTGTTGGTGGGATGCTGGAATTCTCCGAGCCATCTGCAGACTCGGCCATTTTTCCCTTCACCAGCGGACGTGTCAGGCCCAGAGCTTGCCAGAGCTACCCAGAAGCATCGTACTGGGCTTCTGGGGAATCTTGTCCGTTCCCAGGGTCAGGTAAGTGAGAACGCAAAAGAGGCGCGTTTCAAGTTTGCTTTGTATAAGGTTTGCAGGGTTTGCACACTTGGCGTGGCGCAGCTTCGGCCTGACCGAAGACTCAAAACCACGGAAATTTCTCACTTTAGATCTTTGGTTCTCATCGCAGCTGGAAACATTCAAGATTCAAGCATGGAAGCATTGAGTTCCGGTTTTTTCTTGGCTTGTGCTGACCTCCCCAGAATTTGACATGGGAATCACGTGTACACTCGCCACCGCAGGCTCTCATACTGGGTCTCGCCCTGGGCCGCTCAATTGGACTAGCACCGACGGAAATAATTCAATCCGAGATGACTGTGATGTGTCTCTGAAACCTGACCTATCGACCAACTTTACGAAGAACCCGTTTGACATGTGGAGGCGACTAGCCGGTTTTGGGACAATGCTTAGCCCCTTTTTCGCCGTGGTCTCCATACGAACTACCGAACAGAAGATGTGTTCAAATGGAGTGGAGCTTGAATCTCAACAAATGGTAGGCAGCATTTTTGCGTATTTCACTCAAATATCGATTTTCTCCTATACCGGATATGAATGTAGGGCTGAAAGTTCGACCAGCCAGGAACCCAGGCAAAATATCAATTCAACTCGCCAAGTCCACCAATCATGACATCTCCCAAGTCAACCACTTAGAGCTTGCTGTTTGTTGATCATGAAATTACAACATGTTTCCACCCCATTGCGAGACGATCAAGCAGTCAAACTCGCAGCATACTCTCTGAACAAAACCTCCAAACGCTTACCTTCATCATCCGCAACCTCGCCATGAGACTTGGCACTGCCGATGGGATGATACGGGAAAGGTCTAAGAAAAATCAACATCATGCTCAAGCAAAATGACTGGCAAATTCACTTACCCATATTCTGGCACGAAAATAAGTCTCGAGTCCGGACCAGAGTCTTGGACCCGAGCTGCGATAACTTGCTTCCATAATCTCTCGAAGCATTCTCTCTCTTCATTGAAGACGGCGTTGGTCGGCTCTGGACATTGCGATGCTTGCGTTGTTCCAATTCGTGCGTGGATGTGGTAGACCTGGTTCATTTTTAGCGGTATTGATCATTGCGACCTTGAGGCAGCTTACGTGCGGGATGATCGCGTTCATCATGATCTTGTCTCCCTCGCTGAGATCTAGGACTCGCTCACATCCAACCATCCAATGCGAGAAGTCGGCGTTGATCCGGATTCTGTTGAAGTGGTTAATGTTTTGATTGATCAGTGAGGCAATCATCGTGGTTGAGTGGTCACGTACTCGGGGACGGCTTCAAGGATGCGCCGGGTAGCATAGGGCGTGAATAGTGATCGGTTGCGGTGTGTCTCATGCCAGACACGACCAGAAACACCGAGTTCCTGGTCTACAGCCAGTGTTCCCTTGTAAAACTTGATAGACTCTTCGACATCCCAAATATCCCTGGCTTGATATATGAGTAGTTGAACATCAATACCAACGCTGCAGGAAATAAGACACTCACTCCCCAGATTGGAAGTTCATATACGAAGGCTTCAATTGTTCAACCGATTGCAGGAAGTTTCGGTAGTTTGTCAAATGGTGGTCTACCTTTGTCCCTAGCGGACGAGGACCGACGTATCCATACCAGGACGAGTGAATCCTTGTAAATGATAATTAGCTCATCTGCCGACATAGAGGCTCCATCTATGCAACTGAAATGCTCACATCAATCCAATTTCAAGTTCATTTTGATCACATAGTTCTTTTAGAAGCGGGAAGTCTCTGCTTGGTTCCAGCCCGTGAATATCTACTTCAACACCGCCTTTTTTGGTCAGATATAGTTAGCCAAAGAGATAAGCCGGACCAATATGTAGGCACTGTTTGGCATACTATATCCATGTGCTTTCAGCTTTGGGAAAACTAGAGCCCAGTTGTCCAGGTTAGCGCCCGGGGCAATCCCCCATGCCGAACGAAAACGGTCAATTCTCATAATGGCGGAGGTAGCGTCTTTAGCGAGTGTGAAGAGCTGATATTTGATTGAAGGGCTAGGATCTATCAGGAAAAATGTTCCACTATATATCTGTTGCAATAGCTTTGATACTTGCCCCATAGCTGCTCTGCATGGACGATCAGTTCCGCTTGGCCCGAAATAGGGAATATTCCCCGCCTTCGTGCGGTCCCGCGTTGAAACCTGAACACGCCGATTGGCTCGCGATTCGGTGTGCTTTTCTCCAAGCTCGATCACTTTGCGGCGAGAAATGCTCTTTGGGGATGAGCCCCACGTAGCCCTGCTATGCGGAGATATTTGGTCAACACCCACTTGGTTTACATGACGTTCTTGTTTACTGGACACAGAAGAGGTGAGTGACCTTAGATTAATCACATCTTGCTTTCTCTTGGAGATGTTCCGATTTCTACGATGCGCTCAGCCCAGGGAGTTGGACAGGCTGGCGTGTTGCTGATCACGCTTAGAATGATAATTTGAACAAGCACCGAGCTATTCGCCTGCTGTATTCATGATGCGCAGCCGTTGGAGAATATTGTATCAAGCTAGCAACGTAGTTTATGGCTCACACCCCCGGGAATAGAAATTTCCGGCTTGAGAATTTATAGAAACAAAGTCTCTAAACCGCCGCTAAAACAGCTAAAAAAAAATTAAAGGGGTGGGAGTATCTTGGATATGATATGCCAACAGTAAGAAAGTTAGGAAATGGAAATCAAAAATTTGACTACGGAGGCATATGACCAGCGGAACCCTAGAAACTCCTCAGTCATTCTCTTAGATTCATAGAAAATATTATGGGCAGCAGTGGCAAAGCACAGTCGCCATGAATGTAACCAATACTGAGTGTTCATTAAGGGCAGTGAGCATAACTACATGTGGTTCGATTTATATTGACTGACCGTTGTCAAATATGATCAAATTCAGGCCGAGGGAACTTCAATCTAATTTCCTCTAAAAGATAGTTTCCAGGAATTGGCTTCCGCCATATCAAAACCCACCATTGGGGTGAATGATTACCTTGGTGTATCCATCTTCTCTCTTGTCGAATTTCTCATAGGCGGTCTCAGCATCTGCAAGTGCAATTGCATGTGAAATCACAAAGCTAGGCTTAGCCTTGCCAGCAATAATCATATCACGGAGATATCGATTATAGGCTTTGACATTGCACTGTCCAGTACCGATGGATAGGCCCTGTGAGGCTATCGTCAGTCATGCACGAAAGGTCGAGTCAGACAAATAGGTACCTTTTCCCACAGCTTTCCAAAACTAAGACTGATCATTCCATTTGCAGTGGCTGCGTCAGAGGCACCGGGGTCACTGGATAATTGTTAGACTGATGCAGCGATATATGGTTATTATAGTGACTTGCCTAGGAACATAAAGTCCAGGAATACCAATTCCTCCACATGGTCTTGTCACACGAATTATGTTCTCAAGAACGATGTTCGCCTTCTCGGCAGAGCCAGTGGAATTGGCAGCTTGATATCCGACAGCGTCCACGGATCGATCAACCATTCCACCATTGTGCGCGATAATTTGGTCGACTGCGTCCCCCTTTGTGAAATCTATGGGAATGGCGCCAATTTTCTGGGCTGCTTCCAGCCGCTCGGCAACGCGATCAACGACGTATATGTTGGATGCTCCTCGCAAAGCAGCCGAGTAAGCTGCCATGAGTCCGACCGGACCAGCACCAAAGACTGCAATGCTCTCTCCCGATCGGAAGCCAGAAATTTCGACGCCGTGCCAACCTATACAGTGTGTATTAGTGGTATATCACTTGAAGGGTATGACTGGATTCATCGGTACCAGTAGGGAAGATATCTAGGATGATTGTTAATCTGGAGAACTCAAAGTTGCATCATGCTTGAGATTGAGACTTGCCTGCAAGAAGAACAAAGTCGGCCTCATGTTCCTTCCCCGGGGGTAATTTCAGAGCATTGAAGTCTGCATAGGGAACTCGAATGTATTGTGCTTGTCCTATAGCAGATGCCAGTTCATAAGTTACTTCAAATAACATAGTGCTAAGTTTATAGAAAGCACCTACCTCCTCGGTAAGGGCCCATTGCGACGTAACCTGGAATTATCAGCTTGAGAAAATAAAATCAAACAACCTACTCACCATAAGCGCCTCCAGCGAATCCGGGGTTTACACCGGTACAAAAGGCTGTCCTCCCCTCCTCACAGTTGCGGCACCGACCATCAGCTACGTTGAAAGGCATCACCACACGATCGCCCTTTTTCAACAATGTGACACCTTCCCCTATCTCTTCGATAATTCCCATATTCTCATGACCTATCTCCTCTTTAGTCCTGATTCTTGCGACTCGGCCTAACCAGATCTTACCAAAGGTGATACCGGGCTCGGCGGCTGTTCGTCCTTCGTACATGCTATCGCCCTGTTAGCTTCAAGCGGCATGATCGCATTATCTATGAGAAACATTGGACCTTACTGTAAGTCTGAGCCACAAATTGCGGCCTCAATCCCAAGTCAGTTCATTTCGCGCCTAGCTTGCGGGCGCTTGATAACTTACCGTCGTGACCTTGACAATGATATCATCAGGATGTTCCATCTTGGGCTTCTCGACATCTTCTACCCGAACCGTGTACGGCCCAAGGTAGTTGAGTGCCTTCATAGTAGTAGCTGCAGCCATTGTGTCTGAATTGGGGTATGTGACGACAAGAAGATTTCGGCGGATGTTAGCGGGACACACATGTATTTGTAGGAAATTGACGCAACCCTGGGTCACTCTTATTCTAGGTCTACGGCCACTTCTATGCTCAAATCAAAATGAATCACTTCAACTTTGCCCCTCATGGATCATCGCAAAGCTCAACTCATGAGGGGAGCTGCATAGTCCCCCGCATCGGGGAATACTTCTCTTTATGGCCTCAGTCGCCGCCTTTGCCCGAATGGTCTTTTTTGGTTCTCTCACATTAATAGAAGATCTCGATTTCGGCCGATTTCGGCTTCTGACTCGGGCATGATTCTGTGGGAAATTACAATGCCGATTTCATATCAGTGGGTTGCGTGTTGAGGCCTGCGGCATGATTGTTGCTTGTGGTGACGAAGTACACAGCAATATGCTGGACTCAAGCAATGGGCGAAATAATTGCAGAGGAATAAACCAGCCCTCCTCGTCATTATAGAATGGTGACTGGAACAAGTTTCCAATTCAAATATTCAAGGCGCACAACTGAGCCGATTATGAAAATCGTAAACCAACCTTGCGCAGCGAGATTTCCCTCCCAACCCCCTTGACAGTCAGCCTGCACGCACAGTACCGCTCTCCGCCAATCACTTCAAAGCCCCAGCTCTGTATATGAGTCAATCAACACAAACGGACGGCTTCTGGAGAAATCTAATCGCGCTTGAGGTGTGTTGTCGATCAATAGCGTACCTGTTCCGCTTCCCATGCAGACATTACACTGCTAGGTACGCACCCAAAGACCACGGCCCTGATCCTGATCCTGGCCTTGTTGAGACTCCTCCACAAGGAAACTCCCAGGGCCGGTGATGGCTTGACTCTCATCCCGATCGGGAAATTCGCCTCCGCATAGAAATTGCTTCATACTTTTTCCCTATAGCTTTACGTGCATCTCAAACTTTGGCCGCACTTTACCAAAATCATTCTCTGTGCTAGAGGAACCTTGTTAAAACAGCTTAGAGCCGTAGCATCTCCGAAAACGTAATCCGAATGGCCTTTCGCGTCCCAATCTAGAGGGCGCTCCTCGATGCTTGAAGCCAAATTGCCCACCAATGAATCCTGCAAGAATTCTATCCTGGTTACAGGTTTAGCAGATTTGCACCCTGGAGTGACGGAGATCCAAATTCCGAGACAGATTTCTGTGAGCGTGTTAGCTTTGCGGAATATCCAGCTTATTCCTTGCTGTACTCATTTATGATCTCTTACCCTTTCTGATCGAGCGTTGACATGAGACAAGATTACACACCTGTACTTACCAGCTTGACTAAATGGTCTATCTCGCTTGACGGCTTTTTGTTCTGTGCATTCATTCGTGAATTATTTTTCATTCTCATTGTGGATCGGGTCATCATACGAGAACCTACAGTAGTTCCCGTTCAGAGCGTCAATACTAATGTTGTGAGGGGGTCATGATGCAGTAACTTAGTCAGTATTTATGGACTGGGGTCCCTGAGGAAGTAATACGGTCGGACCATTTATATCTGTTTTGTCGTTGGTTTTTTTGCTACCATGATTTTATCGGGGGACGTAACTCATCTCAATGTTGCGTGCAGAATCTCACTCGTTGAGTTTCACCCCTTGCTATCCCTTATCTTTGATGCATTCGATCGATGGCACTTCTATTCTAGTCGTAGCATTCATACTAGTCGAATTCGACGGGCAAGACTGTCTTGTGATCTTGAATATTCTCACTCCATTCCCTCGATGAAGTTTGACTTTATTCGGGACTGGTATTCTCATCATTCGTTCGGATTATCAACGGTCAGACTATGCCTTGATAAGAATTGAATCAAGTCTAGTAAAGTGTATTACTGACTTGGTAAGTGCCGTGATCTCTTCAAGTCAAATGGTGGGTTACCGTGTTTGAACGCTATCCCTATACCGCCGATCCTTGTGACTCGGACGCCACACCACTTTTCAAGTCCACACTATAACGTACGACTAAATATCGTAAGGTGTGCGTAACTGGGATTAAGATAATCTCTCTGCCCTCAACCAACGACCCCATCAGCCACCCATCTTTGGGCGTTTCGCCAATGTCTTAATCGGGCAACTTGAGTTTCCACACAATCACACGATGCTGGGGTGATGACTGCTTGATATTCCCCACAAAGTTGAGCGCCGAGAGTCCCATGGGTGACATGGACGTGAGCCAATGGCGTCGTATGATTGTCACCACAACATCCGATTCTGTCAATGGATTACATCACTATGCAAATTGCGGGGAAATATAAGAACCTCGTCTCTGTCGTGCATGTTTTCCCTTCTATCCATCTTTCAATCCAATTTTCAACATGAACAACTACAATTCTCAGTGGGTCTCGTTCCACATTCGAGGCCACCTGGATAAGGGCGATGTTCTGATTCAGAACACCGTCATTGAAGGGTATTTGTTGTTCCCCACCACGCGTGATATAGCTCTAATAGCACAGTAGCGGGGAGTTTTACGATGTCTATGATCGCCGCAAGTCCCTCACCGAGGAGGAGATCGACGAAATTGTCATCGCCTCCGATGGTGTTGGCGAGATAGGGGCACAGAGTCGTCGGGGCAGCGAAGGTCGCCTCGACTTGTTCCATGATAATGACAAGATCTGCGAGCTGCATTGGGAAAATAGAGGAGGCAAGCATGTCAACGTGGTCGAAATCTTGGACCAGAGCGCCAAATATAACATTGAGCATAGAGGATGGAGTTCAGAGGAAGGACCTCTCGGACACGTGTATATGGATATTTTTGCGAAGAAGTAGTCCTTCGCAGCTACAAGATGGGGAGGACTTTGAGGCTTCCGATCCCTCTTTCTGCTATTCTCCACGTCAACACTCTTGTGTCAGCCTGGGAACCTGCCTCTTGTTGTTTGCTTCAGAATGAGAATAGTTCCTACTAGTCACCACAATTCAATGGGCTTCAGAACCCAAATTTTCAATCTTACGATCAGCGTGCGATAGTAGAATATTTAGTAGTAACCATTTCCGAGATGCAGGGATGCGAACCACAGGCTAGACAGTGATCCTGATCACGTTGATACGCAAGCTTGGTTCGTGCAACGCGTCTCAGTCTTCAATATATGCGGGAACTCTCCCATAACGCATCAAAAGACTCAACAGTCCAATTATCACTGTTCTGGGTGATCTGTCTAGAAATCAAAGCAACGTACAGTGTAAACCAGCCGATAACTTAATTGCGATCGCACAATGTTCAGGCGGGGCTCATATAGAGACAGGATAATGTCTAATAAGACTTGGCTTTCCCTTTCCGTTTTAGTGCTCTTAGCATTTATTGAATACAAAATCTGTATATAAAAGGTATTGCTCTGAGACTAGGCGTACGAGGATACAGCTACGGTGGGCTATATATCTCTCGGGCGATTGAACAACCGTAAATTCCTATGTTTAAGGAAAAAAAAGATTTGATCCACACATACTACCAAATCATTGAACGCATATTTTTTGCCAGGCGCCATCCGGTTCTGAGCCGCATATGAGCCGCATACGAGCCGCGTACGAGCTATACGATGTAAAGAACTTCCTTCCGATCTAGGTATGGTAGCCTATGATCTTGAAATACTACTCAAAATTTGCGAGGAATTTCCGAAGTAAATCGAAGGACCGAGGCGAGTGAGTTAAATTAGGGCAGATAACAGAGTGATAATTCTCCTCCACGGTGGTAGACACTTCCCGCCTATATAGTTACAGGGGTAAATTCTTCTCGGGAGTTTTCATTCTAGCTTATTGCATTGTTTCCTAGCCCTGAATATGTTCTAGAATCTTTGATGTGTCCTTGAAAAATGCTAAAATTAGCTTGGACGCGTACAATCGCGGAACAAAGAGGAGATTTTCGGTTTTCTTTTGGGGGCCAAAAAAGCTGTTATACCCGGTATGCATCCAAGTCTCTCACGCAAATGACTCTGTTTTTATTAGTGCTTCTCATTCATAGGTTGATTTTGCTTGGCTCATTTCCTGGTCTGTACCTAAGCCCCATTACGCTGGGGTATCCGACTCCGTGCACCGCACCAAACTGCATTCAGGCTTAACTTCCGATGAACTCCGAGCTTAGCGCAGAAATATGGCTCCGTTCGGCGAGCCCTGGCTCGGAAGATGTGCAATGACTGGCTATCGCCACTCCATTAGTCTGCCTAAAGAGCACTAAAACGTTCCTGACTCAACTGAACATCGTTAGTAGAAAGATGGAAGCGAGAGTGGGCTCAGCTGATAGTGTACAAATTTTGCCTGTTCGCCCCCTTTGTCGAGTTCAGAGATAAAAGAACTTTCATCCTGCATCTTGCCGTGGTTTTCAATTAATTGCACACCAGTTATAGCAATATTCCACGATCGACGCGTGTGTGATTATGTGGGGAATCTCTATCCTACCGCTCGCCTTGGCTTTGCCATGCGCCAATGCCATCACACTTCATAGACGGGACGATCCTGCAGTCTTTCAACTGCCGATCGCCCGCAGTGATCGACCTCAAACATTGCAAAAACGTAGCTCCAAAGTCGTGAGCACGGCCTTGTACAATGAGGTATGGATCATATTTCCGTTCCTATTTCAGTTATCTCAACCAGTGGAGCAAGAAAAATAGAGAGAAAAAAGACAGCCTCAATGCAGATGCAATGAGAGAATTGTTCACTAACCTTTCCGCTAGCAAAACATGTATTATATGGTGAACATCACCATCGGTACTCCGCCTCAGAATCTCTCGCTCAGTCTCGATATTGGCAGTAGTGATATCTGGGTTAATATCCCCAACTCCACCTACTGCGCAGGAAATGATGATCCTTGCTCCTCGACCGGCTTATTTAATTCAAAAGACTCGTCTACCTTCAACATGCTAGACTATGAGATGAACGCTACCTATGTCGGTGGCTTCTTGGCTGCAGGCCACTATGCTACCGACACACTGGTGATTGGCGACTCCAAGCTGAAGGATATGGAATTTGCAGTGGCGGAAGAAAGCTACAATCCCCGTATGTGCTTCCTAGTTCTTGGAACTCTAATAAAAAGTTGCACCTCGCTAACGATGGGTCTTTTGGTGACTGTACAGATGGCATTCTGGGAATTGGCTATTCGGCAAGTACTTATGCGGCCAGTGCTCTTGACAAGAAATACAACAATCTTCCGGTGGCGCTGGTGAAAAGCGGTGCTATCAAATCGACTGCCTACAGTCTGTGGTTGAATAAGTTTGACGGCACTGGAAATATTCTTTTCGGCGGCGTTAACAAAGCCAAATATGAAGGCGAGCTTCAAACGGTGCCTGTTTTGCCTGTATCTGACGGCTACTATTCTCTGGCAATTGCCCTGACCGAAATTTATGTGAAGGGCACCAAAGACACCTTGACTGATACAATAGGCCTTCCTCTGGCCGTCACTTTGGACAATGGAAGCGCTTTTATAGTATTGCCCAAAGATGTCGTGGATCCTATCTACAAGGCAGTCGGCGCCGCTTATTCCTCGAGCGACAGCGCCGCCTATATCCCTTGTGATATGTACACGGCAGATTACAACTTTACTTTTAGCTTCTCCGGCGCCAAGGTCACAGTTCCTATTAGCGACCTGATTTTCGAACACGGTACCGAAGCCGGTTTCCCTAAGGACACCTGTATCTTCGGAATCGCCTATGGTGAACCGGGTGTGAGTCTTATGGGTGACACGTTCTTGCGGGGCGCCTATGTGGTCTACGATCTCGCCAATAACGAGATTTCGCTCGCAAATGCCAACTATGACGGAGGCGATGATGATATTCTCGAGATTGGCACTGGAACAGATTCGGTGCCCGGTGCAACACTGATGCCTTCTCCAGTCACATCAGCCACCGGTAATGGAGCTAGTGCAACCACTGCCCCCTCGGGATCCTCGGGATCCGATGCCTCTGGTAACACTGTATATGTCAGCGGCACGAGCACTGTCACTGGAACTGCTAATGGTGGCAGCGCGTCTAGTACCTCCTCTAAGGGAATGGCAGCATTGCCTACCAGCAAGTCAAACCATCTTCTGCCCGGCATCCTCGGTGCCGGTTTGCTGCTTGCCCTGTAGGCTACTATCAGTACATGATGACTTTTGGATCCACCTTTAATACATATAATGAACCAACCAACTGTATTTGGACATATGACACAAAGGCAGTCAATGTAAATAGAAAATATAGTCCCCTTTTGCTCTTTCTCCAGTTGCCCTCGCCTCGGGGGACCCTCAAATCCCTTCCTACTTCGGCGTGGGACAAATTGGAACCCCAAAATAAGCCTTCCGCGTCCAAATATTCATCTTCCAAGGGATATTTCCAGCTCGTATCCCCCCGTCTCGAGGGTTAATGTACTATGCCGATTGCTCATACGACAATGACGTTCATTTCCCCGGATCCTGGGGAAATCATGTGGGGAATAAACACCGGCCATAGCACTCAGTCCGGGGTAGAAGTATCGCGCATTCTTTCAACCCTCATTCGAGATGTTGGATTTTAAACAACCCTATTTCGGCCTTCGGGGAGGATGGCTTACGTTCTGGATCACGTTGGCCTGTGGTGCTGACATGACCCTGTATGGATATGACCAGGTATGCAAGGGGTCCCATTTCGGCAATCGAGATCTAATATCTCCTTAGGGAGTCTTCAGCGGCGTTGTGATTTCGCAGGATTTTCTTCGCGTGCATGATCTCGAAGGGCCGACTAGAACTACGCTCCTCGGGACGGTTACCGCTATTTACGATGTCGGGTGTTTTTTGGGATCGATATCTGCATACTGGCTGGGTGAAATATTGGGTCGCAGAAATACTGTTCTCTTGGGCACTACTGTCATGTCTATCGGGGCTCTTCTGCAGGCTTCTTCGTACAGCTTGGGTCAAATGATGGCTGGTCGAGTGATTGCTGGAATTGGAAATGGTACCGTCTAACATGAACTAGATAGTCTCAGTGCTAATTTTCCTTCTCTACTCAGGTCTCAATACATCTACGGCGCCCATTTGGCAAGTCGAAACTTCCAAGGTGCAATGGCGAGGAAAACTTGTCATCCTCGAGAACGTCCTTGTACTCGTCGGCTTCTCGTTGGCCAACTGGCTAAATTACGGTCTCTCATTTGCCAAAGGTCCAGTTTCATGGCGCTTCCCATTGTCCTTCCAATTTATTTTCAATATAATATTGTTTTGTACAGTCCCATGGCTACCCGAGTCTCCGAGGTAGGGTTGAAAGTCGAAGTGCTTGGGCCAATTACCAGTACTGATATCCAGCACAGATGGCTCATTGCCCACGATCGCGCCGAGAAAGCTGTCCAAATTATCGCAGATCTTGAGGATAAAGATAAAGAAGATCCCTTTATTCAGCTTCAGGCGACCGAGATTCAATACAGTGTCGAGTACGAGAGAGCAAATAGCGTCAGTTTCAGTGATATCATACGTGGAAAGGGTCACGAAAAGACGGGCACGCATACAATTCGCCGACTTCTACTTGGAATGGGAGCACAAGCCATGCAGCAATTCTCTGGTATCAACGTCACCTCTTACTACTTGCCTACAGTATTAACCAAATCTGTTGGCTTGAGCGAATCTTTGGCCAGGCTTCTCACGGCTTGTAACAGTGTTCAGTACTTGTGTTTCTCTATGATTGGCATTCCAAACGTCGAGCGATGGGGTCGGCGAATGCTTCTGATGTTTGGTGCCGCGGGGCAATGCTTTTGCTATATTTTCATCACGGCATTGATTCGGTATAATCAGTTGCCAGATTATCCTCATCGACATGAAGTAGCTTCGGCAGCTGTGGCCTTCTTCTTTTTGTACTACGTCTTCTTTGGAATTGGTATGCAGGGTGTGCCATGGTGTAAGCTCTCGGAACTCTGACCTCGTTTCAGCATAGTGCTCACATCCGTCTAGTATATCCCAAGGAAATCAACTCGCTCACAATGCGTACCAAGGGAGCCGCTCTGGGAGCTGCTACAAATTGGATTTTCAACTTCATGGTGGTGGAAATAACACCCATTGGCCTTCAGAACCTTGGCTGGCGGTTTTATATCATTTGGGTTGCCTTGAATGCAGCTATGGTACCTCTGGTTTACGTCTTTTATCCGGAAACTGCAGGTCGCACTTTGGAGGACATAGATGAGTATTATCGCGGAAATCCCCCGCTTCTGGCATGCTTCGACAAGGAGGCAATTTGTAGCAAGCGCCCTGAGCGGTACAACCGTCGGGATGAACATGTTATTCGTGCGAAAGAGGGTGACGGCTCGGAGGAGCCCCAGCACTTGGAAAGCACGGCAGATACTGGTGCGTGATTGAGTGTACATTTATAGAATAGTTCCGCAAATACACATACAAGATGTTATCCTCGAATGGGAAACATAATAAATTGGATCAGGGAGCATAGCTCTATTTGATTGGCTGCTATTAGGACACTGGGGCTCCCCGGGGCGGGGGCAGCCTCGTCTCGTGGGCTCTATAAGGACAATTACCGGCCAATATCTCTCCACGGTAATTTCTCTGACTTCTTGCTTTCTTGCGATATAGTCCAGCTCCTGGTCGTTTTAATACCACAGTTTCATACTTAAATTTGTTTTGCTTCGAGAAATCAGGCTAAGATATCCGAATGAACTGCATAGCGGGGCGCGCTGGGATTTTGGGATCGGAAATAAAGTCAAGTGGCCACTTCGCGTACCAAAAATATTGTATTTCATTTGGCAGACCAATAATTTCATTGAAAACTAAGTGCTCATAAAGCTGGTATAGTGGAATTTATGATGTGGCTTGTTGACCTCGGGGGTTCGGTGGTCTGTCTATCGTAGCTGGGAGACGCGTTCGCGGTGGTCTCTTTCAGGGTTTTGGAACCCGACAACATGCTAATTCTCAACATAAAGTTCGAATATTTCGATTGTTGCAATTCGAACGGAACCAAGTGAAGTTCAGACTGGATCGCTCTTCTTCGCATAGTATCCAACACTTCATCCTCAAAATGTACAAGTATGGACCACACAGCTCCTAGATGTTGATTGATTCTAGTGGGGAATATATGCAATAGCTATAGAGAATACATGAACTGGTTGAAAATAAACAAAAAAGATTTCCGAAATACCTTCATCTGTGAAGATATTCCATCGCATTATGAATTGCCTTTTCTAAATCGGCAATGCTGCCACAAGCGGCGTAAATAAATCGGTCAGGACGAACAAGAACAAACTTGTTGCCATCCAACGATTTTCGAAGGTAATAAGGGTCATAGTATTGCGGTTCCGGTCGACCACGACACAAAGATGACTGCGCGAATTCTTGACCAGTCGCTAGGCGGTATATCAAGGATTGGTCCTCTTTCGCTTCTGGGAGCTTTGCTTTTGTATCCTCAACGATGTATGTTGTCTCTGAAGGATGAACTTGTCCTTTAAAGATTTCCTGGACCCGAGCTACCGACTGCTGAACGGCATCCAGTTCATCAACAGAATCAAGATACACCAGCAGCTGGAATAAGCTCTTTTTATCTTTCGAGAAAATGAGATCATCTGAAAATAATACCTTGTCGCCCCCAATTTGCTTGCAGTAGACTTGTGGAAGACAAAGACCACCTCTATGACTCGGATCAAAAGGCAAGCCTGGAGAATGATTGTATTTCACCAACCCTCCTTTTCGGTGGCCGAGTCTGAGATCACGCCTCCAGGATGGAACAAAATGCATGAAGAATAAGGACCAATCACGCAGGAAGATCTTGATAGGGTTTCCTTCTGTCACAAATTGTCCATTTTTGATCGTTGCCGCCAGAGATCTCTCCAACTGCTGTTTTCGCTCAACATACCAGCCCGAGAGCACTTCCTCATGATTGCTTATGGCCGCTTCTTGTCTGCGGCAGAGAAGAGCGAGGCGCCATGCTAAGGAGACGGCATCACGGAATCCAGAGGCAATTCCTTGACCGCCAACTGGCATCAAATGTCAGACTTGACGATGTCACTGGCGTCGGACATTGAAGAACTTACATGGAGGAAAAACGTGGGCTGCATCACCACAAAGAACAACTCGGCCATGAGACCATCTGTTGCAGCTTCTTGCTGAAAATCTAAAAGGTCGAGAACGAAGGACACGAATGCAATCCTCTGGGAATGCGACATCTTGCATCAAACTGTCAATAGTAAGCATAAATTTGGGAGATGAATAGAACCATCATCCTACCTGTATCGACTGCCCGGGTGAGTGATGTACGGAAAGACAACTTTTTGTATGTTGTCCGGCTTGGACATCTCTTCTCCATCCTCTCCGGCACGAACAACAAACTCAAATCGCCAGAGTCGGTCAGAGGGCAATCCAAAACGACCGCATACAGCTGGCCGCTCTGGGTTACAGACGAAACGGAAACTCGCAGGGAAGAATATATCATAGACCTGCTCGGGGGTATAACCAAGTCTCCACAAGGGGAAATCAGGGTGCGTCTTTTCGGTGGGAAGGCTGATTTCCCAATTAAGTGCTACCCAAGTTTCGTCATAAAATGCCCTAAGTCTATCAGTCCCGTACTCACTCCGACACTTGGTGGAGAGACTCACTGATGTGCCTGTTCCATGTGAATACCCAGCGGCTCGAGGAAATTCTTCCGTGTAAAGCCCGTTTTGCCATCAGCGCCAACGAGGAATCGAGACCGTATGCCATGAGCAACTCCATGCGCATCAGTATAGCGACTATATACGTAACCCCCTTCTTCGCGAATCTCAGACACACTTGCTCCTGTGTGCAACTGACAAAAGTCGGACTTCATCGCATTTCGTAGGTGCTTCTCAAGTACTGGTTGCTTGTGGCAGATAAATCCGATATGTCCTGTGCCACCTTCGGTCTGTAGAGAGTCAATAGAAGCCTCCACGCAGATATGGTAAATCAACGAACCGTTCCATAGTCCATCTCCAGGAAGGGCTTCTTAAGTAGACTTTTCTCGGTGCCTCCAATAAATTTGAACTTTGACATGCCTTGGTGACAGTTCAGCAGATGAACAACCAAGTAAAATCAAGACTATCTTCACTTACACGTTCCAATATCCGAATAAATCTGGTCGTAAATTCCAATGCCCTGCAACATCCGGATTCCATCCTCGTCCAATGCGATGCCACGCGGGTCTGTGGTGATCTCTGGTTCCTTTTCTATGACAATATGAGGAATATCCATTCGTCCAAGATAGGCAGAGAGCATAGCCCCAGTAGGCCCACAGCCACAAATGACCACATCAGTGGTTTCATAATCTTCTGTCGCCATGTTGATGTTGAGAAAAAGAATGTGAATGAGACCAACCAGAACGGCAAGTGAAGCGTTAAAAGAACTTGCTGATCATGTCCTATCCCCTGCCCCGGTATGTATGCAGTACAACCCCAGTGTGGGACGATGCATAGATGTGCAGGAACAGAGATGCGTAACTCCGGCTATATCCGAGTACGAACGCGGGGAACCGGTCCCGCATTCCCGCATGCGGGGCTCGGCGGGACGTGGGGTTGGGCTCCATGTGGCGCATATAGTTCGATCCTTTGCTCAGATCGGGGTGATGATCTTTGCAACTTCAACTCAACATGGTGTGTTGCCCAAGCGCGGAGGTTCTGGAAGTCTTCACTAACTCCGTATCCAGGGAATTCCAGGTAATCAAGGCGCCTCAATCGCGGACATCATCGCTATCGGACCTGAGTCTGAGAGTGTGCAAGCATGGCGTGAGCGATGCGGAATCAAGACTGAATCGCAGATTCGTCTGGTGAAGCTATCTCATATGCGGTATCAACATCCCGATCTAAAAGAAATCACTACTTTTCTTCAAGGTGGGTGTAGTTTATCTATCTTCCCATAGCAAGCATCTCACTGACTGGCATCAGATTTTGGCATGGTAATCTCCAAGCAAACCGACGATGAAATCTGGTATAGGGGTTATGGAGTAGACCCTTACGTATACTACGCCAAGAAAGGTCCAAAGCAATTCCTTGGTGGCGCATTTGAAGTCGAATCATACCAAGATCTAGAGAAGTCAGTGGCTCAGTTGTACATTGGCAGCGCAAACACTAACAGTGAACAGAGCAACGAAGATAGAAACTGCTGGCAAGATTGAAGATCTTTCGGATGCGCCCGGTGGAGGATTCATGGTTACCTTGACGGACCCCGAAGGCTTCGCGATGAATTTAGTCTTCGGACAAAGACCAGCGACTCCTGGCGAATACCCAGAAAAACTTGAGCTTAACTATGAGACTGAAAAGCCCCGGGTCCGCAGCTTCCTCCGCTTCCAGCCCGGACCGGCTGCTGTCCATAAGGTCAGTCATTGCCACTCATGCGTATTATCATTTGAGGACGTCGGCTAATGAAATCATAGCTTGGTCATTATGGCTTCTGTGCTACCAATTTTGAAGCTCTCGTCGAATTCTATACTAAGAACTTCAACATCGTTCCAACAGACTTCCTCTACGTTGAAAAGGAACAGACGAAGACAAACGTCGCACTATTCGCCCATATTGACCGTGGCGATGAGCACGTTGATCATCATTCCCTGTTTATGAGCTCTAACCCGACAAGTCATGTTCACCACTGCTCTTTTGAAGTCCACGACTTTGACACTCAGAAACTCGGTCATCAGTGGCTAGCTAAGAAAGATTACAAGTCTGTTTGGGGCGTTGGTCGGCATATTCTCGGGTCGCAGATTTTTGACTACTGGTGGGATACAACAGGAAACATGATTGAGCATTATGCTGATGGAGATTTGGTGAATGACCAAACTCCTATTGGCTATGGTCCTGCTGGTGATGAGTCTTTGGCTGTTTGGGGGCCTGAAGTACCGTCTTGGTTCTTGCAGTAGACATCATTTTTATAACCTCCTTTAAATACATTCTTTCTATGAAACTCTCGCATTACTTGTCTCGTAAACATCACTTATCGAAAGCGGTATTACCAAATGTGAATATTTCAGAAGGGGCAATTTGTATGTAAGAATCCTACCTCCTTAGATGATTTTACGTCATTCATGTTTTCAATGATAAACCGATCGAGTCCACACCATAAGTATAGTTCACTAAACTTATTCCAATGTCGCCCTCCAGATTCTGGCACTGCTACAGACAGCCGATATTTCAGGCGAACAAGAGCAACTGCAACTCAAATATAGAGCCTTTACTAAGTCTAAGAATGATATTTGACTTAAGTAGTCGAGGACAAAAGGATCTTGCATTTCGTTTTATATGTTTTCATCATAGGACTCTACAAGTATCTAGATAGACATATCATCTGCGATGGCTCTTTAACGGCTTTCGTACCGCACCTTGTTAATCAAAGTTCCAATCTGATCAATCTTGACACTAATCTCATCGCCATCACGAAGAACAACTCTGGGCTCGCGGAAGAATCCAATGCCGGCAGGGGTACCAGTAAGGAAGAGGGTTCCAGCCTCGAGAGTAGTGCCTTGCGACAGGTACGAGATCTGCTTCTTAATGTTGAAGATCATATCCTTCGTGTGTCCATCTTGAACAACCGTGCCGTTGTGGATGGCTTGGATGGAAAGAGTCTGCGGGTCTTGGATTGCGGATGGGGCAACCAAGACAGGTCCTATTTCGAGAAATGAATATTAACCAAAGTCTCAGAGTCTATACATTTTGTTGCTCTTACCAATTGGGCAACTTCCATCGAGTCCCTTCGAGAAAGACCATTGCGCGGTGAGCATCTGCATTGTTCGCGCAGAGACATCGTTCGAGGCAGTGTAGCCGAGGACGTAGTCCAATGCCTCTTCCTCGGGAATATCCCGACCAGACTTGCCAATAATCAGGCATAGCTCGGCTTCGTAATCACTAGTATCATCCTGGGCACATTTCGGGATATTGATAGCGGCGGGGTAAGGTCCAGCGAGCGCAGTTCGAGGCTTAGTGAATAGAATCGGTGCCTTGGGAAGAGGGAAGTTGCCCTCCTTGGCGTGGTCCATGTAGTTCAGACCCAGACAGCGGATATAGCTGCATTGTTCCTGGGTCACTGGAGATAGAAGCTATACCAGGCTGTGTTAGCAAAAAATCGTTGATCGTTTGTACTTTGAGTAACTAACCTGCTTCACGTGCATGACCTCCTCGGTCACACGGCCATCGAAGATGGTCCCCTCGATGACTTTGGCGGCAATTTTCACTCCGTCGACACTGTCGCGCCCAACATCGCGGGTTGTATCGACCAGCTGGCCGAGGTGAACCTGGCTGTCCTCGACAGCAATGAAACGAACAAGGTGGGTCCAAGAAGGCATTTTGACAATTTGAATCTGAAATTGAGAAATCGTAGAATTAGGAAGTGAGAAGATAGTTCAAATAGGCCTGTGACGACAACAGGAACTTGGGGCAATGTGGAGATGCGGGACCGTGGGACACTTTTATACTTCGCTCGGGGTTCGGGGGGATGAGGTAGATCCATGTCCCACATCCAACATACATCCGAGTTTGCATCTCTTTCATGATGTGGAGAATATTCGATGCAGTAGAGTTCCACGCTTTCTTGTCATAGTGAAGATCGCCATTCTGTGGTAAATAGGTCCAAGGTCGGCACCTGACAGACGGAAATTGGAAGCCTTCCTATAACGAAATTGGGATATATGATGGAGACCTCGCTCATCGTATGTCTCCTACTCGGAATACGTTGTCTAATTATGTTTCGAAATTCCATTGTTTCTCATACAATCGTAACTTGATATTCATCAACGCTCACACTCTCGGAAACCTCTCATCATCCTTAGTATCCGGTACAAGCAAGTTCAATATCGAAGCAAAAAGCCGAGAAATACCCCAATGTCCAACCCGAGGTAGAATGTCGAGGAGGCCACAAAGAGTACTCGATTCTGAAATAGTAGGCCGTAGCACCTTGAACCCATTGGCCTCGAATGTCAACCGCTGACAATTAATCCCGATCTTTTGCAATTCGGGGAATTCTACACTTGAATGGCGATTAATTGACATTGTCGAGCCAAATTCAGTATAGCAGAACCATATAAGTGCTGCTCGAAACACGATTCGAGGAACATGTAATGGAGGCTCTGTGCCGATTGGGCTTTTTTGTAGTTCGTGGAGGATGAGTGTTGCGTGGAGTGCACACCGCTGTGCATTTGTAGATGAAGCCCATTCACGTATGTGTTCTCTGTGTAGTTCAGACTCAGCGAGGCCTTCCTTCCCAATTGCCAGTTCTATGCAATTGGTGTCTGCATATAATGAAATGAAAGCAGAATGCCATAGCACTGTTAGGAAGTAGGTTTCTGTAGTTTGGCTTCCCCTTGATGCAATTTTCGAATCGTAGAAATTCACCATAGCATCCTCGTAGAAATTTTGCTGCGCTGTGTTGTTTGTGCTTTTAGCTTCCACGGCCGAAGCTGCAAGACTTCCAAGTTCCAAGTATGTAGAAAATCCGTTGAACGGGCTGATTGAGTTCGATAACCTCGGCTCATCGGCACTCCTTGTTAATGGTCGTGAATTGCTAGCGTACGATTGTGAATGTGAGATATGAAAAGTCATTTTATGCGCCCATTCCTTGGATGTTTTTGCCAGCCAGAGGTCGTCGTCGGATAAGGGCGGTAATTTGGATGGAGAATGGCGAAAATATGGATCTGCGAGGAACAGTTCCGAAATCTCGATATCATGAACATGAATACCCGCAAGAAGCCTTGAAGCCCGTTAAAATATAGTCGGTTCACGATGCAATGAGCTCACCTGTTTCTTTCTTCTGCTTGAATCCATGTCTTCCATGCTTTTTCGGGATTTTGTGAAATGTCACTTAAACCGATATAATCAGATGCTTTCTTCGCTTTTTGAGAGCCCGTGGCTCTTTTCGCCCACTTAAAAGTTCAATTAATTAGCTTTTTCAAAATAATCAGACTTATATCACTCACTACGACAAGAGTTCCGTGGAATGTCTGGGCAACGAGCAAATCTTTCTGTCTCTGTTCTCAATGGTTAGCCGTTCAGCTGAGGCAGACCATAACCAAATTTAGCTTACTGCAGACAACAACCCAAATGTTTGCCCAATAAGAGCTGCTTGAATCATAGCTATTGTTTCGGTTCCTTGGCGTGCAAAGTAACCCTCCCACTACAGCAAGTCAGCGGGCATTCACTCAATCTGTCTTCTTTTTTCCCTCGTACCGACGATAAAATTGCTTTGTTCAGCGTTTCGAATATTTTGGTTCCTTGAGATGCAGCATAAGAAGATCCCACAAACAGGCTGCCAATGGAGCAGATAGAGAGTAATAGTAAAGAGCTTTTCGATGATGGGCGAAAAGTGGGTGCATGAACAATCGGAAAGACGGGGTGGAATTTGGTAAAATACATTTGGATACATAGATTCTAGATCTGTCAGACGTTGAAACCGATATTCATTCATGGTGACTGAGCTTACCAAGAAGTCTGTTGATGGAAGAGGTAAAAATGGTATGTCGGGTTGAAGTTTGACAGCCAGGCTTGCTCGGTAGGCTTCGTCCACTTGTGTTTGTTCGGGTATCATCTCGGGAGTTATGTGACCAGTTCTAGATAGGCCTAGCCATGTAGGGCCCATATAAGTGTGCCAGTGGGTGCGTATAAGCTCTTCGCGTGATGGAACGTTGTCTTCCTCCGGAGGCTGTAGAGCGGGTCCACTTGGTTCATTCTGAGGATTGGATAGATGTCCCGGAAGCCAGTTTGTGGTTGACATCAGAATTTCAGAATTCAAAGCGCTCAAGTCAAAGTCGTCATCTGCAAACCAGGCTGGTATTTGGATATTGGAGTCTTCAAACATCCAAGATCCATGCTGACTGAGATCGGCGAAGGAGGAATCAAGAGGGGGTAGATGAGATTGAGACCCAGGTGTTGGAAACCCCGGGACAGCTTCTCCTTGCTCTTCAGGGTTTATTGAACTAACCTCTTCAAAATTGGAGATGGCTGTAGCTTGGTCATTAGCAAATGGATACGATGTCGATCGAGTACTGATGCCACCTGTGTACTCAGCTCCGACTGAAGAAGGCTGAGGCGGAGGTGTCGGGGGCTCCCTCAATACATGCGATCTTCCATACGGAGATATTTTATTTCCGTGGGATTTCTGCATCGCATCATTCGCGCTGTCCCTTGCGGGTCTCGCTGTTAACCCCTCCTGCGGAGCACTGGAAGGATGACACCTCATATGTCGCAAAAGTGAATCGCTGAACTAGCAGTCAGCAATTGTCCTACCGTCTGTAGCAGATTTATATATGAACTGTAAGACATACTGACGACTGAACGGCTTTCTGCAAGTCGAGCAGATGAAGGGTTTCTCCCTTGTATGTGTTCTCACATGGCGCGCCAGGTGCTCGTCCTTGGTAAAGGACTTTGAGCACCACGAGCACAAGCGCTCACGTTTATTTTTCAACCTTTCACTTGGCATACTGGTTTGAGTGTGGATGCGGGTGTTTCGGTGTGAGGCAAGAAGTCGGAGACCGAGAAAGACGGCGTGGCGAAGCCAATCTGAGGATGTGGCGGTGCAACTCCGGGGTCTCCAAGTGCTGAAAATTACCCTGCAGCAGCCTTGAGCAACTGATCTGCTTATGCAGAGATCTGTCTGCCGTGTTGCGATGAATACACGTCCAAGTTCCGGGGGTCCCGCGCGTCCCGCGCGTCCCACCAAATCGTGGGACAGAAGGCGAACATGCTCACAAAGAAGATGCATTTTCAGCCAATGAAGCAAATTAAGCTCAACTTTCTTTGTGTGAACCCCGCGTGGGCCAGTCTGGGGTATACGGGGGAAGCGATCCCTTGTATGGATATTATGCGCGGTGACCCCTTGTTGGGAAATCAATGCTTCTTATATCTTTAACAACTCCTACGGTATAAGGAGCGATACTCAATCAACCGCTAGTATGACTTTTTTCCTCAAGGGATTCTCTGTTCGGCAGTCTATCAGCACTGCTGAGACAGATATAATCCCCGGAACAGAGTTGATGAAAGAGAGTGAAGGTATCCATTTGACAAACGGGTCCGATCATGATATACAGTGAGTTTTTTTTTGAACGGACCATCTGCTCTGATTCACACTCATATCAATACAGACTGATTCCCTGTCCGTCGCATGATCCCCACGATCCCTTGAACTGGTCCAAGCCATGGAAGTGTTAGTATCCAAGTCGTCATATTTAGCAACAACAGCTGACCGTGCTGTTCCCCCCAGATCTTGTGATAACAACCCAATTTCTATTCCTGTTCGTCTCAGTTGAATCAGCTCTATCAATGGGACCTATGTTCCCCTTATTTGCAGCCGAATTCCAGCTCAACGATACGCAGCTTAGCCTTTTGACAGGGGCATCTGTACTAGCTCTCGGGTTTTCCAACTTCCTCATCGTCCCCTGCTCCAATATCTTCGGTCGGCGTCTCACGAGTCTTGTCTTTTGCTTGCTGGGCATTGCCTCGTGTATATGGCAAGCTTTAGCAGTGTCTTACAGCAGCATGCTAGCTGCCCGTGTGGTGAATGGAGTCGCTACCGCCACTAGCGAGACACTGCTAGTGCAAGTTGTGGCAGACATGCTTTTCCTCCATGAGAGAGGTCTATGGACAGGTGTATATTTGTGAGTCGCATCTATCGTTTAGTCAGTCATCTCTAACTTGCAAAGCATGGGGTACTTTTTGGGTTTGTTCATTGGTCCTATCATTTCAGGCAATATCGGGCAAAGGTAAGTCTCTTGTATTTCCGCACTCCAGAAAGTCACGAAGCTGATAAAATCTGTTTAGATATGGCTGGCGAAGTTTCTTCTGGCTCTCCCTAGCTCTCACTTGTTTCAACTTTGTCACCCTCCTGTGCTGTTTCCCAGAAACCCGATTTCACAGAGATACACAGCCAAACAACTCTCGGCTTGAAAGCGAAGATCTAGCCACCCACGCCATTGCCAAAGTAGAAACAGAGCAACTTGAAAGCATCGAACAACGCAGTAATGTTCTAGGCACCGGTCGGCCATCCAAATCTCAATTTAAACTCTGGCAAGCCCCAGAACCAGCTTGGAAATCATTCTTGCTAAGAGACATTATCTCGCCATTCCGACTCTTTCTATTCCCAATCATCTTCTGGGCAGGTCTGAATGTGGCCGGTCCCGCCAACATCCTCCTGTTCTGGAACTTGACCGAATCCGGTATTCTAAGTGCCCCTCCATACAATTTCTCTCCGTCAAGCGTGGGATACTCCAACTTTGCCTTTGTTGTTGGTGGTTTGATTGGTCTTGCCACCGCAGGCCCATTCTCTGATTGGATTGCCGTGAGAGCTACAGAGAGAAATAATGGCATACGAGAAGCAGAGATGCGTCTCCCAGCTCTTATTCCTTACTTTATGTTCACCGTGATTGGTATTGTCATTGGCGGTGTAGGCTATGACCGACTCTGGGATTGGCCTATTGTGCTCGTCGTTGGTTATGGCTTCAGCGGGCTTTGTGTGACCACAGTTCCTACAATAGCCATTGCATACGCCGTTGACTGTTACAAACCGATCTCTGGTGAGATCATGGTGGTTGCAACCGTTATCAAAAATACTTGTGGATTTGCGATGAGTTACTGGGTCATGCCCCTGGCAGCACGGAGGGGTTTCATTGTCCCTGCTATGGTTGAGTTTGCGCTGACTATTGGCCCAATGGTTCTGGGGCTGCCGATATATTTCTTTGGGAAGCGTCTGCGGAAATTGACTCGCAATTCTAGTGTACATGGGTATGCAGGGTGATTTATGGAATGTGATACTAAATACAATCCTGGTCCTTCTTTCAGCAATGGACTATTTATCTGAGCAATGCATGACCGGTACGAGAGACTAGGTCTTTGTAATGCACAATATCTCTTATGTGAGTATACAAAGCCTCAGAGCTAGACTAGACACGAATGAAGACGACTTGCCGTGTAAATTTTGGACAAATTGGCATCTACATAGGGCGAGGACTGGTGAGAACATATAGATACCAAGTGGGTCCAGTTGGTCCTAGCAACAAGGTCAACCCGGCTTTGATAGATCAAATTCTCTTCGAATATGTTTTTTTAATGCGAACAATGCATAGAATATGACCACAAAAGTCGTTCCATACTGGAATTGCCACTTCCAAAGCCCGTAGAAGTCGGCAATGAGAAGAATGCGTTCCTCCAGTGACGTTGCGCCTATCGATAAGCATTCCACGTGACCGCCAACTTTTTTTTCTTCCGTCAACATCTGCAACATCTGGACTACAGTCACCATTTCACTGTCGCCCATCATGTCCGACGAAATTGTGTGGCAGGTTATTAACCAGCAATTCTGCTCCTACAAGCTCAAGTGAGTTCTACTTTCCACCATAATGCCTATCGGATTTGCATTTGCATTTGAATTTGCCCGGGGTCGAAAAATCAGGAACAGCCACTAACGATCGATTTTTTTCTTGATAGGACGACAAAAGACCAAAATTTCTGTCGCAATGAATACAATGTCAGCGGTCTTTGTAATCGTCAGTCGTGTCCGCTAGCCAACTCGCGCTATGCGACAGTGCGAACCGACCCCGAAACCGGCGTGATGTACCTGTACATGAAGACCGTCGAGCGTGCCCACATGCCCAGCAAATGGTGGGAGCGTGTGCGCCTGTCCTCCAACTACGCAAAGGCCCTGGAACAGCTTGACGAGCGCCTCATCTACTGGCCCAAGTTCCTCACCCACAAGTGCAAGCAGCGTCTCACCCGCCTGACGCAGGTCCACATCCGCATGAAGAACATTGCCAAGGAGGATGAGCGTCTTGGGGAGAAGGTGGTGCCTAAGCTTGCCCCTAAGATCCGTCGACGTGAGGAGACCCGTGAGCGCAAGGCTCTGTCTGCGGCTAAGGTTGAGCGTGCTATTGAGCGTGAGCTTATTGAGCGTCTGCGCAGTGGTGCTTATGGTGATCGGCCACTCAATGTTGAGGAGGGCATCTGGAAGAAGGTTCTCCGGGGTCTTGAGCGCGCTGGTGATGGTGAGCGTGATGTGGATATGGATGATGGCGAGCTTGAGGAAGAAGAGGAGGAGGGTGTTGGTGAGGTTGAGTACGTCAGTGATCTCGATGAGGAGGAGGAGGACCTCGAGGATATGGAGGACTGGCTGGGTGGTGACTCGGCTGATTCCAGCGACTACGATGACGATGAGGATGAGAGCGATGAGGACAGTGAGGATGAGCCTAGCGAGGATGAGAAGAAGCCTAAGCCCAGTGCTAAGCGGAAGGCTGCTGCTCCCCAGGTCAAGCCTCGCAAGAAGGGACCTCGCATCGAGATCGAGTACGAGACCGAGGGTGCTGGCAAGGAGCTGGCATAAGGGAAGAAAAAGTTCACCAGTGTGCATGGCGTTCGGGTTCTGTGTTATTATTTGTAGTGATCAGGATACCCTATTGCATCCATTTTACGATCCAATTCCAATTTTGTACCAAAATAATGTTCTTCAACCTTGACCGTTCAACTTTCAACGTGCAACTTGCAACTTGTTAAGCTGAAACCAATCACGTGCCACATGTCGCCCAATGTCCGTCTCATCTTCTTAACTTCATCAGGAGAAATCCTCTTGATATTATAAGAACAGGCCACAATTCATCTTCTTTCATCGCCAACGTTCTCAATTACATCGCCTGCATCAGCTCCATCACCTGCATCGGATTGGGTCTCCACCGGTCAAGCTCGCTCGTCCCGCCCCGCATCGAAGCTCACCTTCAAACACCTACACTCACCCACCATGAGCTCATACTTCTCCTCCCTGACCACCTCCTCGGCCATATCAGGCCTAGGATCTCGCCTGACAAACCTCCGCCGCACTATCACATTAGGCGACGAAGGCGACGACCCGGAGAACGAAGACTGTTCCCACATCTCCAACGCCCTCCGCGCCTACTACAACGAAAAGGGCCGACCCTTCCCACCATGGCTCCCCCAAGATCCCAAAGCCCCAGTCTCGACGCCCTCTTCGCGCCAGATCGCAACAACCCAACTCTCCGGTGCGCAGCAGCCCAGCTACGGCCGCAGCGGCGGTCTGGGCGATCTCTGGGGTGATTCCGCGCCTCAAGCCCAACCCCAGAACCCACAGACCGCTAGTCTACGTCGTGGCCGTGGAGGCAACGCACCACCTCTCGTTGCCGCCAACAGCGCTCCGCCTGGCCCCGTCCCCTCCGGCACCCCGCCCGTTACCCTGTCTCAAGCCGGCTCGCCGAGCAACCTCCACCCTGCCGGTGCGCGACCTTTGCCGAGTCAGCGCACTGGATCACATCAGTCGCCGCAAGCTCGGGTCAATCTCGACCGTGCCGGGTCCGCGCAGGATCGGCTGCGGGCCAGGCTGCAGGGTGGCCGGTCTCCCAGTCCGAATGTCGATCCAAGTGTAAGGAAGCCGGTTGGGGGTATGGGTCGACGCTGAGTGGAGATATTATATGCATTGCATTGCGAGCATGGTGCTAGGAGTTTTCTGTTTTATGTACATACTTGAATGGAGCAAATCGCACATACGAGGCCTCTACCGGAAGTACTTTGTAGACTACCAGACAGCCAGAAATGGAGCACATTCGAGGAATACAACGACTTTGAGTCGAGGCTTCAGGAACAACAAGGAATACCTTGGCAAGCCACTGGATGCCGAACGGGAAGCCGGGGGATATTCTGGAATGTAATCTCCTTGGAAGTATACCGTAATATGCCACATATTGTATACTTTACATGCCTTGCTTCCCATCAGACTTGAACATCTGATATCATACCATCATGTACAGCAGTTCATGCAAGGTCAAACTAATGTGATAAATCAGAATATAGATCTGCAATGCATTGAAGTCTAACCCTCCCCGTCCAAAAGCAGCACAGTATTGAAAGAAAAATGATCTCCTTCTGACCGGGAATCGCAATCAAAAATGCCCTCTTTGAAAAAAGGCACAACAGTCTATCGATGGTTTCTCCCTCTATACGACTTCTGGGTTCTGGGCGTATGCAACAAGTATGCCTGGTCCTGCCCGACTGGATCTACTCTCCTCCCTTTCTACAAACGCAACCTCCGAAGACATCATCTAGATATCGGGCCGGGCACAGGTTATTATTTGGTGCGAAGTGCTCCACCGCCAGAAACCAAGATTACGCTTTTGGATCTGAATCCCAAGTCGCTGGCTCATGCTGCGAATCGACTTACTAGGGATGGGAATCGGAATGGAAATGTGCATATTGTAGAGGCGGATGTTTTGGGTTCGCTGCCTTTGACGGGTACCTTTGATTCAATTTCGCTTTTCTTTTTGTTACATTGCTTGCCCTGGCCTGTGTCGGAGAAGATGAAGTTGTTTAGGAATCTGGGGAGAGTTCTTGCGCCTGGCGGTGTGGTATATGGGGCTACTGTGCTGGGGAAAGGAGTCCCTTGTAATCTTTGGGGGAGATTTCTGATGAAGCGTTTGAATTCGGGGGGTGTTCTCTCGAATCTTGACGATGGTGAGGTAGACATCAGGGCGGCTTTGGAAAAGGATTTTATGAGGGTTGAGACTAGGGTTGTCGGCTGTGTTCTTCTGTTTGAGGCCGAAGGACCGAGGAAAGAAATATACCGCTCATCAAGCTGAACGTGAGTGTTGGTATAGCTCAGCGAAATCTATCGTGGGTTGTTTCCTTTCTGTGGAATGTGAATCAACCACCTTGATCAGACCTGCTAGTCCTCTTCCCTCCTGTCCAAAGATCATCAGAACACTTAACTACGGCGGACTCTTCCATATACAACACTGGGCGATATGGAAGCTGATGGATCAGTCAACTGACGTAGATTGACTATTCAAACAAGATGATAACCAACGCTAGATGCACTTCCAAGGTATGATGCTCAAGATGATGTACAGGCCACATGAAAGATGAGTGGCAGCTAAGGTAGCAAAAGGAGAAAAAGAAAGTCTAAGCGAGAGAACAAGAGCCAAATATACCCAATCCTTCGGACTCATCCACGGACTTTCCGATAACTTGGCGGGTGCCATGATTGTTTGATCATTTTACCGGCCCAAACTGGGACCAGGGCGACGGCGAGGACAACGACGACACGCCATAACCAGTCCAGGGTGATAACGAAGCCGAGGTCAAAGTATTCGCCTAAGAAGGGGACGCTGCCTGCGTATACAAGTAAGGTGCCAACCAGGCAGAAGATCATGACGGGGTGCCAGGTTGTGACGGCGATGGCAACCATTCCCAGCTCGTTAAGCACCAAGGCCGTGAAGGAAAGACTGATAAGTTGCGGGCCAGTGATGGTGTCCAAGAGAATCTGTGAAAGGCCTTGAATGACAGCCCCCTGGTAGACGGAAATCATGACCCAGCCAAAGAACGAACGGTAGCTCAAGCTTTTGCCTGTCTTCAACTCTTTGTACAATTCAGGGTAAAGATTGGCAAGTCGTTCATCCACGTCGCGATCAAAGGCGAGAGAAAAGACCGGAGCATTGGTATAGACTGTGGCATAACCAACCATGAGCCAATTGATAAACAGACCCTTAGGGTCAAAGTGACTGGCAATGCTGTACATGGTCTGACAGACACTGATGATCAAACCACGGTGCATGATGAACTGGGCTAGCTTGGCAGACCTCTTGTATGAGTTGCGGCCGTGCCACACAAGAAGCTTGGTGATATGGTGGAACTGAGTGATACTGAAATCAGCTGCAAGAGATGCCTGGCGGCCTTCTTTGCCCACAATGCCAATGCCTACATCAGCTGCTTGGATCATGGAGACATCATTGCCACCATCACCGATGCAGCAAACACGTTTCTTGGTGTGTTGGCGAATCAACTCCGCAATTTCAGCTTTTTGAGTGGGAGAGCATCGGCATGCGATAACAGCAGGCAGCAGAACCGCAACCGAGATAAAGGCTGATCGGAATTGTCCAAGCATGAGAGTAAGAGACTCGCCATCAATCAACAGACAGCAGTCAGTCTTGTTGCGCAAGAAGTCAAGGGCTTCTTGCGCAGCTGATTTGTCCGTCACTTTGGTCACAGTGTGGATGTATTGACCTCGGGACACCAGTTTTGCGGAGATAGCAACACATCGAGCGGTTTCGACTTTATCGCCCGTCAACATCCAGATCTTGATGCCTGCATTACGCATAAGCTCAAGGGATGATTTGACGTCACGCTGAAGTCGATCCTCCACGCCTGTCACTCCGGAAAGCTCCAAGTCTTGCTCAAGGTATTCACTCACGACTTTGCTCATACCCGCATCACGTCCTTGCAGTGAAAGCGATGCCTGTCTATACTTGGCAGAGAAGTCTTGATACTGCTGCCACGTAAGACGCTTGCGTCCAACAACCAAGGTTCGCAAACCTTCTCGGGCCATATTTGCTGTTTCTTCATCTAGCCAGTCATTCGTTGCCACAATAGACGACATGACAGTGTCTGCACCCTTTTGATAGAACCAGATCTCGCTGTCTTGGCCGAGCGTCTCAAGCCCTTTATCATCTTGCTGAAATTGCACAATGATACCCATTCGTTTGCTATCGGAAGTGAATGGAAAGATATCAAGAATGCGAACGCGAACGACAACTTGCTTGGTGTCAGTAGATTCCAGAGCAATATTTTGTCTGTCTCGATAACACAGCTTCAGTCCGACCTCTTCGGTATACCGAACAATAGCAATTTCATCTGGGGACGACGCTTGGTAACTTGTTACTTTTTGGCCATCTTCTTCCTCGGTGGTTGGTGTGACATTGTGACAGAGAGCAAGAGCTAGAATGATATCCCGTACCCGGGTGCCAATCTCTCGCCTTGTACGCGGAGCGGTGGCCTGGCCAGCTTGAGTTCCATAGGGAGTTGAAGGAGTAGTCAAGCCATTGCCTGCAAAGCTTTGACGAATAAATGAAGCAACTTCATCCATGGCCTCATTGGCGTATGAGACAGTACCAACGTGTATCTTTTTCAGCTCCATTTCATTCTGCGTCAAGGTTCCCGTTTTATCAGAAAGGAGGTATTCAATTCTCCCTAGATCCTCAGGGATTGTGCTGGTACGGACTACTGTACCCGGGATGTCTTTGTCCCGTTGGATAAATCGCCCGTAAACTGACTTGGCCATGTCCAAATTGACTCGTAGACTCATGGGAATGATGGTTGAGAAGAGAATAAGATAAATCATGATAGCGACATACCACTTCTTGTCATTAGTAGGTTCGAAACCTTCCAGCCCCACAAGAATGATAGAAAGTGTGAGTGTGAGAATACAAAGGATCTTGGTGAGGTTGTTGATCTCGTATTCCAATAAGCCGGTCTTCGAACGTGAGGCTGAAGTTGATAGGGCAGCGCGGGTTTGTGATCCTGTGTAGATAATCACGGCGTAGGTAGTAGTGTTGGAAGCAAGAACAGTGTTGGCCCAAGCAGTGTTGTCAATGTTCAAAGGTGCGGAGGGTGTAGATTGATCTTCGCCGGGGGTCATTGAGTCGCTTGGCTGAGGCGCATCGTAAAGTCCAGGGGGTGAGCTTAACTCGATTGTACCAACGAACTCGTTGACCCTCTTGTCGGGAGCACTCGCAGTGATTTTCAATCGAGAGAAGTCGCTCAAGGATATTGATTGGGACAGAACGGAGGGTAGTCGAAGCTTCCAATCCGTTTCACCGTCCAACTGATCCGTACGGATAAAGGTATCACCGGCTGAGGAGTTGTCCGCAGACTTGGAGGTTAGCTCAGACGGTCCTTGGTCAGATTCAAGCAGATCCGGAGTTGCTTCTGGATTTGCCGATAGAGACTGGCGCGGAGTACCAGAGTCGTTCGAAACGCTTTTCAGAATCACCACATCGGCGGGCAAGCGTTGGTTCTTTCGAACTTTAAGAATATCACCAACTTTCAAGTCGCGAGACTTTTTTGTAAGTTCCATTGGAGTAGATGTGCTTAGCGACATGATGCAGTATTCTTCCGCATTTGCCTCAGCATCTCTTCGACGCCGTCCAATGTCATCAAGTGCCTCTTTGCCCAGGGAGATAGCAACCACGAAGGCCAGTGGGGCTATGTAGGAAGACATATAGCCAATCCGTAGCACGGGAATAACCTGAGACAAGGCCACCAGGAGGAAGTATATGTTGAAGAAGAAGGAGAATTCGTTGTAGAGTGTTCGTGGTAAGAAACTCCAGGGTGTATATTTGGCGTTGGAGACGACATTGGCGGGATATTTTGCGGCCTGCAATTGCCCGACAAGTACTTCGCGGGGAGGTTGGTTGGACGAGTCGCTCGCGTTTGATCCAAGCTTGATGGAATTTCCTTGAAGGAAGCTAGGTGTCTTGAATCCGGAGAACCCTAGAAAGCCACCCTTTTTGGGGGGTTCATCGTCATTGAAAATCCGTGTCGAGCTTCTGCGGTCCAATAGGGGTGCATCATCGTCTGCGAGATTCCTCGAGCTCGCATGTGAGCCCCCTAGGCCTTCCTCTTCGCGGTTCTCTAGCAAAGCGTCCGTATCTTCCTCGAATTCCCCCTGTCCCGATGCGCTGCGTCTCCACCGGCTTCCCACTCCAACTCTCAAATTCCGCAGCGCAATTCCCGGTCCATAACCTCGTTTGCGGCCGGTATAGTCTCGAGACTCGCGGGATGTATGGGGTTGGGCTGTGCCCGGGTCAAGCTCTTCCAGGTCTAAATCATCATCCGAATCTGAGAAGTCATCTGGCACAGGATCGAGGGGATGTAGGTAGTCGGCTGACGACGGCATTGTCGAAAGGTTTGTGAGATCGAAGCTGGTTGATCAATGGCTGTATGTAGCGTTGTGCTGACCCTCGCATAAAATGAATGTTCATCCCAAGTCACGGCATTGGTTCAATAATTGAGCTGGAGCATGGTGAAGGAGTGTGAGGAGAATATCAAAGAAGTACCACTTATAAATGAAGCAGAATCCAAGACAATATACAAAGACAAATGTTCGTGACTGCCTTGTCGGGGCCACGCAATCACATGAGTGCATCCGTTATGTCACTGCTGATGTAATCATGCTTAAAGTCGACATAATTCGGATTAACTACGCTTCCGAGATCGACCAGACTTGAGCAGATATAGTTGGCCCTGTTGTCATCCTGCGTTATCTAGGTATATTGTTGAATGACGCCTAATTTAGATATATAGTCGAAGATTATAGGCAAGTAGATACGGCTCCTCAGATTTCAGTGTCCGTTGTCGAAAAGGCACCCTGAAGGACAGCTATATATACACATGCGCCGGTACATAAAGAAGGCCAGTTTTACTTGAACATTCATGGAGCATCCACATTTTAACTCCATAAAAACAAAGATCTACATCCAAACACGCATTTTCAATGCAAATAACCAGCATCAGAACAACCAATTAGACAGTGTCGGTGACTGACTCGGGAAATATTGTCGCGGAGACGGAACATCCAATATCCGAGAGGTTTGGATTTTGCCTAATCGGGTCTCAGTGAAGCTGACTCAGCAGCATCACCCCCCGACGGGATCCAAGGTTTGGTCGTCGCATATCATTGCTTGGTATTCTGTGCCAACTGATGACTACTTCTTTTCTTTGGCTTTGTTGTTCTGCTTATATCTATACTATTTAATGGCTCACTGAGTCTTCGATTCTTCTACGATTGTTGATCTCCTGAGGCGCCATTGGCGACGTGTCAGGTTGATCCCTCCGGACTGCGACCCCATCTCCAGTCACGTTGGCAATCGAGTACCACGCCGCTAAAATGGCACCCCAACCCTCCGAGAACGACCAGGGCTCTTGGAACCCGGCGTTATTGCCCGAGGACAGTCAAGGCACTTATCCGAGCGCCTCGCCCGAGAGTGGCTTAGCCATCGCGCACGATTCGAAAGAGACGGCACTGACCGACGCGAAATCGCCACAAAGCGACGAGGATTTTTCTGCTTGGGAAATGTCTGATGAGTTAAGCACCGCGCAGCCCCAATACACAAACATGGACGTGATGGTGAACATGTCCCCAGGGGTGGACATGCCCCCATCTTTGGATATTCCTACCATCGAAACACAGGCATCGGATATTACAAGCCCCGTTGCAGTGGAACATGAAACTGCCTCAGAATCAGCCTTTGTGCTGGAGGCCATGTCTTCCACGAATGAGCAAACTGTCGAACATGCCCCCGAATCGGTACCTGCGGGAAGTAATGATAACAAGGAGGAGATCTCCGAGGATCAAACAGCAACACGAAATGAAGCACATAATGCGGATACAGAGGACCCATGGGGTTTGATGGAGGAGGAAACGACTACTTCGCTACCCAGTGCAGAGGAGGTCACGCCTTCGACTGGAATCCCGCTTGCGAGTTCCCAACCTACAATCGCCGCTCAGCTCGAAGAAAACCACGAACCAAAGTTTGTTGCAGAAACTGTACTCCGACCTCATGAGCAGATCGTGGCTTCTGGGTCCACTTCCGGGGGAAACAATGAGGTCTTGTCGACTACGGAGGACCTGCCATCGTCCGAGAATGCCCAAGCCAACATTCAACCCGAGACTCCTGACCTCCAGCAGAACGCGGTTGCTGAGGCCTTATCTGAGGCAAGTAATGAACTGTTGCCCGCCACCGAGTACTTGACATCATCCGAGAATGCGCAAACCAGCGTTGAACCCGAGATTGTCGAGGTTGAGTCCGCCTTTGAACCGATTGACGACTCTTTCCCCAGCAATGAGGATCTGCCATTGGCCAATAATGCGCAAACCAACCTTCGATACGATACTGTTGAAAACCAACAGGACGCGGTCATGGAGCCCTCATTTGGGCCAAGTAATGACCTGTCGTCTACCGCCGAGAACCTGCCATTATTTGAGAATGCGCAAGCCAGGATTCAACCCCAGACTGTGGTCCACCCAACTTCTGCTCCCAACGACGTCCAGTTGACTCAACAGCCAGCCAACCCAGAAACCCCTACCGATGCCCAAAGCCCTTGGGCCCAGGAAATGAGCCGTGAGGTTGACTCAGAGGACGATAGTTTCTTCAACCAACTCAACACCCAGACAAAGCCAATATTCTCTCCTCCACAGGCAGAGGCGAGGTTTGAGGAAGGCCTTCCGCTATTGGATCAATCTCCAGCTTCAACAGAACCGGTACAGCTAGAGAAATCAATTGCGGATGTTTTTTCTAATGATGGCGACGGAGAGGACTTCTTCGGTTCTTTAGGATCTCAAGAAAAATCCCAAAACGTGAACGAAAAGCTCCAAGAAAATCTTCATGATAGCCTCCAGGAAAGCCTCCAGGAGAACCCGCAGCAGGACCTTCAACATGCCCCTCAACGAACCCCTCAGGAAAGCCTTCAAGGAAGCCTCCTGGAAACTCTCCAGGATAAGCCCCACCTGCGCAGGAAGAGTACCCCTCAGGTACTGGAGTCATTTGGATTCGACATCGACTCCCCAGTGAGCGATAACTCAGCAGCGGCGCAGTTTGACGAAATTCTGAAGGATGCGTCATCTGGACCGCCAGCTCCAGCCGAACCTTCGGAGGAAGAGTTAGCCGCCAGGTGGGAGGCCGAGTTGGGTGACGAACCAGACGATGACTTGGCAGCTCGTTGGGAGGCGGCATTGGATGATGACGATATCTTGCTCGAGAACAATTCTATCCCGCCTGCCCTTGAATTGCCCGTTGAACAGCCACCAGTACAACCGGCCCGCAATGGAGTTCCAGTTGAATTGAACAGTCCGTTCCAAGCCCCTCATAACCGCGCCCAGCCCTTGCCTGTGCCTGGCGTATATACACCTCACCAACCGTCAACAGCAGATCTTTTGCAAGGAATACCCGGGACTGCACCCCCAACCAGTGCAGCTATGCCGTCATACTTTTCCCAGCAGCCTCAGAACCCAGTGACAACCAGAGGGGAGAGTTTTGCTGAACGGCCCAAGGGGGGTTACAAGTCTCCGTACGACCTTCCAGATGACATTTCTCGACCGCGAAAGCCACCCGTCACTCATCGGCCTGTTCCTCCAGCCGTCACCAGCATGCCTCCGCCTCCTCTACCGGCTGCTCCTGGTACGTTAATGCCAACACCAACCACGTTCCAGTCAACAGCCGCCCCGCCTGCAGTCACAGCTCCTCCCCCAGCCCCAAAGAATTTCTATGAGGAGCTACCATCGGCACCACCGAGATCTCGGCCTGCGAGCTCTGGGAGGTATACCCCTAATCCACAGGTGGCGCCAAGCACTGGTCCATCTCTACCGCCGCCGCAGGCTCACTATGCCCCTTCTGCACCAGCGGTCCCACAACCTGTGCCAATCGTCGCCCCAAACCATGTTTCATTGCAACCTCCTGAACACCTGGACCCTTATGCCAGCTTGGCTTCGAGTGCTCCTGCCGGCCCACCTGCTACTTCGCGGTATTCGCCCCAGCCGCCTGGCCTGCAAGCCCCAGCGAAACCCCCCTCGCTCCCGCGATACTCCCCTGCCCCCCCCTCCCACTTCTTCACCTCGTGCCCGTTATGCCTCTCTGCCATTGAATGTTCCTGGCCATGGTTTGCCCTTCCAGCCACGAACTTCAAGTCCTCTCGCACACCATGAAAAGGTATCATACGTCCCCAACCCATCACAGAAGCCCCCATCCTTAGAGCCCGCGATCAATCTTTCGCCGCCACGGCCCCAAAGTTCTGGATTTGGGAATGCGCCTCCCAGTGTTCCCCAATACATGAATGGACCTGCGGGGGGAATTCGAAGGGAAAGTACTGGCTCGCCTGTTCAGGCATCTCCCCCTCAAAGTCGCTATGCCCCTCAGGAGTACATTGATGAATTCGCCCAACGCATAGCTCCCCCGTCCAACTATGCATCTGCCCCACCGGCTATGGCCACGCAGACCTCTCCGCCACCCAGTGACATCCAGCCCGGCCCTCTTCATAGGTCCCAAACACAATCACCAAGTCGGGCTATGTTAAGCCCGCGGTCTTCAGTGCAAAACATTGATACCGTTCAACGCCCCGCCTCCGTGCATGGATCTGGCTCACCGACTAAGACAGTGAATCCATATGCTCCCGTGCAAGCACCTTCGCAGACCCGTGTGGTGACTCAACACCTCGAATTTATTGCTCCTATAGACGGACAAGAACAGGATCCTTTGGAGCGATGGAAGGGTGCTCCACTGTTCAAATTCGGCTTCGGTGGATCCATGTTGTCTAGTTTCCCGAAGCACATTCCCCGTTACTCTGCTGGTCAGGTGGCACCCATGATCAAACCCAGCCCAGGAGAAATTAAGACCTCTCAGCTGAGCGAATATCTTCCCTCTGCTGATAGCCTTGTTCAGCACCCTGGTCCTCTGAAGACGAAGTCCAAGAAGAAGGATTTGGTTGCTTGGCTTTCTAGCAAAATTGCGGCCTTTGAAAACCTTGGTGTTCCGGCTTTTGATCAGGTCCATTCTGATGCACACAAGCGTCATGAGGAAAGGATCTTACTCTGGAAGGTTGTCAAGCTTTTAGTGGAGAACGATGGTGATCTGGAAGGCTCCGCGGAGGTTCAAAAGTCCCTTCGTCATGCTATCTTCCCCCACTTGACAGCCCCTCAAGCAGATGGGTCGTATGGCAATGGTTTCGCAGCTTCGGCTGGATTTTCACCCATGGAAATTGCTTCGCAGCCCGATGCCGTAGACCCCCAATGCTTGGAGGAGCTTCGCTCTAGCTTAATCGCTGGTGACCGGGAAAAGGCCGTCTGGGGCGCAGTTGATCGCCGTCTATGGGGCCATGCGATGATCATTGCATCCACCATGGACAAGTCGATCTGGAAACAGGTCACACAGGAGTTTGTTCGACGTGAGGTTAGATCAAAAGCTGGAAACACTGAATCACTGGCAGCTCTGTACGAGATATTCGCTGGCAACATCGAAGAAAGCATTGACGAGCTTGTACCTCCGTCCGCTAGGGCAGGCCTGCAGTTAATCAACAAAGCGGATGGCCATGGCTCTACCAAGAATGTGTTGGATGGTTTGGATAAGTGGAAGGACACTCTGGGATTGGTGCTGAGCAACCGGAGCTCCGAAGACCACCAAGCTCTTCTTGCCCTCGGTCGTTTGCTTACATCCTATGGACGCACAGAAGCTGCTCACGTCTGCTTCATCTTCTCGCGAGCGGCGGTATTCGGTGGACCAGATGATCCCCAAGCAAACATTGTTCTGCTTGGCGCTGATCACCAACGTTGCGCTTCGTCCCTAATGGATGAAGATGCCATCTTGCTGACTGAAGCGTACGAGTATGCTACCTCCGTTCTGGGAAACTCCCCCTTGGGTAATATGCCACATCTATTAGCATTCAAGACACTGAATGCAAGATGTCTCATTGACCGAGGCTGTAACTCTGAGGCCCAGAGCTACTGTGATGCGGTCGCAGCAGCGTTAAAGGCATCCACAAGACCCTCACCTTACCATCATAACTATCTTTATGCGGAGGTGGAAGAGCTCTCTATGCGTCTTCGTCAAACTACGAGCGACAATGGCTCCTGGATCTCTAGACCCAGCATGGAAAAGGTGTCTGGGTCTATGTGGGCACGCTTCAATAGCTTTGTTGCTGGTGAAGAGAGTGATGCTGCCTCCAATGGATCTGGGAAGGCCGGCGAAGCAACGGATTTCGGGCCATTTGCCAACGTGGCGGGAACACCGACCATCAGTCGTTCTCCATCTGTATCTGATATCTATGGCTCCTACCCTGGCGCTGGCGCTCAGCCAATTCCCACAAGTGGTGGCTCGAAGTATCACCCGTCTAGTCAGAGTCAATACGCCCCCCACGCATCGCCGGAGCAGTTCAAGGGCCGGTCTTCGATGGATTCTCAGCGATCCAATCCATATTTCCCTCCTGCCGGACGTCGAACCTCACAGGAATTTTCGCCATCGCTCGATTCGCAAATCTCTCAAGGCCCTATATATGGATCCCCAAACACATCTGGGTATCAGCCAACACCACCTCAGTCGTCTTACGTTCCTCTTGCTCCGGTGGAGGAAGCCTTGTCTCCTGCCGAAGCTAACCCAACCACTCAACCCGTGGTCAATGGGCTGTTCTATCAGCCTCCAGGTCAACTCGGTGGTTCGGCCAGTGAATCCCCTTACTACCAAGGGCCTCCTGGTATGCCAGATTCAGAGTCACCTTACGCACCTCCCGTTGCAACCTCATCCTATGAGCCGCTCGGCGGTCCTATGGACATGAGCTCTGCCCAAGAGACGGAGGACCAGATAGCTCATGAGGAACAGCCAAAGAAAAAGGCCTTCATGGACGATGACGATGACGACGATCTTGCTGCCCGGGCAGCAGCTATGCAGAAGGCAGAGAATGATCGCAAGGCAAACGAAGCTTTCAAGAAGGCAGCGGAGGAAGACGGTATGTCCCTCGAATCACAGTTGTTGACACTCGCTAACCCCATGACTATAGCTAAACGCGATGCTTCCCAGCAGTCCGGCAAGAAGGGCTGGTTCGGCGGTTGGTTCGGTGGCAAGAAGGATGAAGCTCCAACCGGTGGCGGTCCCATCAGGGCCAAACTCGGCGAGGAGAGCTCCTTCTACTACGACCAGGACCTGAAGAAATGGGTCAATAAAAAAGACCCTAATAGCGCCGCTCCAGTCCGTGCTACACCCCCTCCTCCGCGAGGCTCGGCCCCTCCCAGTCGGACCGCGAGTTCAAGTAGTATGCCGCCAAACGGTGCTCCCCCGATGGCTGCTGGCAGCAGACCCCCCTCTTCTTCGAGTGCTGCTCCGCCTTCATTCTCTTCAAGCCCGGGTATTTCTGGACTTGCACCCCCTCCTCTGCCTCGCTCTGTCTCTACCGGAGCGGCTATGCCAACGCCGCCTGGTAGTTCCAGTGGGCCACCTCCCCGACCTTCATCTTCCTTAACTCATGCCAGTTCGATCGATGATTTGCTCGGTGCTCCCACGGCACGCAAGGGTAACACGGTCCGCGGCAAGAAGAAGGGTCGCTATGTCGATGTGATGGCCCAATAATCATTGGAAACCTCATAGTTTCCAACGATGTATTCCTTCCCAGTCCATCACTGGGTAGGTCATGTCCATTTCTTTTGTTTTATTATGCTTCTTATTTTTATGTCTCTATTTTGTCACCCTATGATCCGTTTGACGAACACCCCTACACCAATAATACAACCCCTTCCCATCCCCCATCTGCTGCATTTGTCATTGCCTCAGCATCTTGCATGTGTCTCATCTCGTTCCCCCGAACAGACACTTCATCTGGCGTTCTCGCTCACTGAACCTCCAAAGCATTGCTTTTGCACATAGCTTGATCTTCGTTGTTCTTTGCGAGCTCGTCTATAGTGACGAGCGCCTCTCCCGGCATCATGTATATCACCTTCCCCTGTTATCTACGCCTTTGCTTTTTGAAACTTTGTTTAGGCCTGGTGGTCTTTTCTTGCATGCCTTGACATGTGATTGTCTTAGTAACGATTAATTGATTTGGACTTTGCACATCTTGCTTCTCGTTCCTTGACTTTGGATATTGGAGCTTGGAATTATAAATGTAGACTGTGTTGAATCAACTACCGAAAACCCAAGCCGTTGCTTCCGATGAATTTGTGGGTCTTGGAAGATCAAATGTCTTTCGGTGATAAGCCCTAAAGACCGTGGTCAGCAACTTGTGAGTATTTAGAACGCGTAGGATATAATTATTGTTCATGTTCTTCCCCGTTCATCCTGTCTCTATCGTGCCTCCGCTGTCTGCTACACTTCGTTGGCTCTTCTCAAAATGGAGCCATTTCAATATTCTCTTTCTGATGATCGTATTGTGGCAGGTGTCCATTCTATTCCACCATCTTCATCTCTTCTTCACCGTCCATTGATCATCGCCATGCATGGAGGGTGCTATGATCACAAGTATTTCGATGCCACTCCTACATTGTCTGCCTCCGTCCCCAGTGCAGCCTTTGGTGTGCCTTTCGTATCTATTGATCGCCCTTCCTATGGTGGAACAAGCTCTGTCTTGCCTATTCCTGCCGATTCAGACTTTCCCGAACAAACTGCTCTCTTTCTGCATCAACAAATCCTGCCTGAGCTTTGGCGCAAGATCGGCTTACCAAATCGTTGCAACTGTATCATCCTGTTGTGTCATAGCTTGGGAGTGATGCCGGGTATTATCACTGCGGCTTTGCATGCAAAAGATGATGTACCAATTTACCCTCTTGGTGGGATAATTGCAAGTGGTATGGGAGATAAACAGTCCTCATTCATGAAAGGCAATCCTCCTTCATTTCTACCGGTCGACGAGGACTATGCTCGATTTCCTCTAGACGCAAAAAACAAAGTCATGTTCAAACCTGGGACATTCAAACCCGAGATTTTGGAGCATACCGAGCGCCTCGATGCTGCTTGTCCTCTTTCGGAGGCAGCTCGGTTTGCTACCGATTGGCTCCCTATTTGGAAACAGAAGTGGGCAGCGCAAGTTTCAGTGCCCGTGATGTTTTCTCTTGTTGAGGACGACCCTTTCTTCGTTGCCACCGAGGAGGAAGTTGAAGCCTGTACCAAGGCGTTCACAGGCAGTGTTCGTGTTGACGGAAGCTTGATCAGAGGCGCACCTCACTGCGTGGAACTTAGCCATTGGTCGCAAGGATGGTATGCTCGATGTTTTGGGTTCGCCATGGAATGTTCTGCCAGTCTTAGCTTCATCTAGCAAAGAGTATTCACCGGACCCTCCATGTATTCCTTGAAAGCACAAAATCTGATTAGGACGGTATAGATAGAAGCAAGGTACCAACAAGACTGAGTCCCATTTCTTCCCTTTACATAACACAACATTACCAAATGATCCACCTGATGAGAAAGTTATAGAAGAGAATTCTCTGTTACTTTTTCTTCGGGGGAATGAAAAGTAGACAACCCTGACAGGTTTGGACGGAGGAATCGGAGTTAAGGCTTTTATCCTGGACCCGCTGGACCCTGATTTTCCGAGTTGCCTGATCTGGCACGTATTCCCCTTTACGGCGGTCAAACTTCCCAATCAGAGCGTCGATTCCAAATCTGCTGGCTGACCTACCTAATACGGAACAGGACTCATGTCCATAGTTGAAACCAGGATGTCGTCTCGACTCCCTGAAGTATAAGTACCCTTTTCCCCAACTCATCAATTCTATTTTCGCATAGACATCTCTATACACATCCCGAAAACAGCATGACCTGTTCAAAAGAATGGAAGAAGATGCTCAACGGGGGGCTTTACTGCGCATGAGATGAGGACCTGCAAATCAACCGCACACGATGCAAGAAAGCCTGTGATGAATTCAATGCAGCTGGAGGAATTCTCGCAAGTCGTCGAAAGGTCGAATTATGAAGGAAGTAAGGGCAACTCCTTGGCTGTTCATGGCGGTGCTCCTTATGCTTACAACGTACATTTTCGCCAGCATTATCTGTTACCCTCGCTCCATGCCACCATCGAAGCTAGACCCGAAGGAAGATGAAGCTCTGTTTGAGGAAACTGATCCCTTCGTGGATGGCCCCATCTCTGTTGACCCCGGTCTGAATTTCAGGATGGGCAAGCGCAATTTTCTCAATTTTAACCTTCTTGTGCTCGATACTTGTTTGATTACCATTGGTGAATGGGAGCTATTCGGTCTGAATGTTTGCATTTATGGTGCGGTGCGACCCATCCATTAGACCCGGCTGTTCGACAGGGCTTTAAGGGTCCTGAGGGGGGCAAGGAAGTGCATATCAAGGACGATGTTTGGATCTGTGGTAGTGTAATTATTCTAGCGGGGATTCGAGTTGGAAAAGGATCTACAATTGGTGCTGGCTCAGTGGTGACAAAGGTTAGTCGTAACCAAGTTGCTTTTTGTATGTTTGTCGTTGCAAGGTGCACATCTAAATGTCGCAGGATGTTCCCCAATTTCACTTTTCTGCTGGAAATCCTGCTAGAATTATTCGGCGAATTGAAACAGCATGAATCCTGATCAGCAATGAAGGTCATGCGATCATGCGAATTCTTGGTGTGATGATCTTGGTTTATTTTAGCACAGCATTCTGCAGGATAATCTTACGGTCAATTTCCACTATTCTGCAGTCACCAGACAAAGAGTTGATATGAATTTGTCAGAGTATACGTATTATAATAGGCGACATATATAGGGTTATAACAGCACTATGAAGCTTGAAAGTTCTCAGCAAAGAGCCACGCTTTGTTCGGAGGTGTTGGTCATAGCCGTTATCCTTTAATAGATACGAATGTCACATTCAAATAAACTCCAGCTGAAATCAAGCTGTGAACGAGTTGATATAATACTAAACGCATCACGTTAGAAAACTCAGTCGTCAGACGTGCGGCTCGACTCACCGTTAAACATGATTCCTCCCCATTCCAGCTACCCGGCAAATAAACATAGAGGACCAAGGCCATCTCGTTGATGAAACCTGTTCATAGCAGAGTCAGCATTGGCGATCCATATTATACCTTCCCTCCACATCGAACTCACAAGCAACAACCTTCGGACTGAGTCGTCCAATACTAAGCACCCGACTCCAATCCTTCCCGTCAATCCGCACCTTGGCCCACCCCTCTTCGTCATTGTCAGCATCTCGCATGCGATTCCGCTCGCTAGGAAGCCGATCAATTTCCTCCTGCGTCATCTGCCCAGCGGCCAGCGGCGGGTTCACAAGATCAGACCAAACACTCGCAATACGAATCTCATCTGTGGCAATGGCTAGCCGTAATGAGCCATGCATGTTAGCTGATAGCTCTAGTTTTGGAGCGTTGTTTGTGGATGATGTCGTTGCGCTGGTTTTGTCATTTTCACCGCCGAATGAGATTGTGTGCATCCCCGGTGCATCGACTGCCATCACGCCTGGTTGGTGGCTTTTGGAATCTGACGAGGCTAATTTGGTAAAGCGGTCTGAGATACTTTTTAAATGGGACAGGTTTGGGAGGATGATGTGCACTTCTGGGTCTGGGCAGTGCGGTTCGTGGAGACCCTCCACGGCCACTTCGTGAAGAATTTTGATGGGGATTTCTTGGGTTACATAGGTTTGGCGTTCTCGGGGGCCCTTTTCGCCTATTGTTTCGTTTGGGCCTTCGGGAGGGTGATCAGGATCCTCCGCTTCATCTGTAGTGGCGAGGGCCATGTTTCCTTCGGTCCACTCGGAAGAGAGAACTGTTAATGCCAAAATTGGTGTTTTGTCTTTCTTTGTCAAGCGTAATTGGGAGGATGATGCGCCCCATGCTGAACGTAAGGCGCGGTTAAGTACGCTGACGTTAATTTCTAGGTTGATGGCGTCCGAGTTGGACTCCAGCTCGTATGTTGAGTCGTCGAAGATTGCGCCCTAAACAGTCAACTTGGGTGCTGATTTGACTAGGGGTTTATCGTACAACTGGGATGGTTGCCCACACTTGCGTGCCTTGATCGGGGATGATGGTGAAACGGATCACCTCATGTTCCAGGCGCATCCAGCATACCTTGCCCAACGAGGACAAGGACGCGGTGAGTTCTGTTGATATAAGCTACTGTGATGTCTGCAACTGACTCGACTTACTGGAGAATACTCTGGTGTCTCGCAATTGAGCTCGAAACCGCATGGCTCAGTTGTTGACGGAGGAAGAAGTTCTTATCGCTATCATTTCTCTATCGACTGCTCTTCTCTCTTCTCTCTCTCTTTCTTCTCTCTTGACTTCACGTTCGTTGATCCTATTCTATTTCTTCTATTTTCCAGGCAGATCGCATTCTGCTAGTTCATCCTTACCAAGAGTTAAACATGCTACTAGAGCTGCTCCCACGCCCGAACCGTCCTCTGCCGCGTTGAGCGCAATCAAGTCCATCTCACCCGACGGCCAATCCAGGATCTCACGAAGAGCCTGTGCCGCCCGGCCCTTGAACATGCTATATTTATTGAACAAAGAGCCATCCACTCCGACATGGCACTGACGGATATTTCTCTTCTTGCAAATAGCCGCGATGCCACAGGCGTAAAGACGCGCCGCACGCGTCGCGATGAGCCCGATAAGATAACGACAAGACTTTAGTTCGTCTAGCGTTGGATGCAGCGCGAGATTCTCTTCGAACTCCTCTTTCATATCGACGAGTCCTTCGGAGATGTCCATCTCGGCAATCGAAAGGAAGGAGGCTTCCAGTGAATTCTCGACTCGCAGCCGCGTCACGTCTTGACCCTTGAAGAGTCTACCTTCTTCGTGCAAGGTGATAAGGATCAGGCGCAGCATTTCTCCAATGTATAGCCCCGCGACCATCTTCTCATAGATCTGCGTGCCGGGTCGAACGGACTGCTTGTCTATTTGGTGATCAAATGGCGTCAATGGGAGCACCTTACGCTCATTGTCGAATGCGCCATACTCGGTATTGATTATTACAGTTCCGTCTTCTGGCAATCCCGAATCGCGGAGCTTGGGGATAGAACGGCAGTCTTCCATATATGCTGCGTTGCATCCTGTGCTGAAGATGCTGCCGATCTTTATCTGAGGATCTCGATAATGTGATGCAACGAGTGTCCCCGTCGTGTCGTTGATCAGGGCAACCACTTTCAATGGAACATTCTGTTGGAGTCAGCTACCGCCTTTCAACTGCAGATCAGATCTTACTTGTTTTTTTAATGCAGCTTCGAGTTGTGGTACTACATCATTCCCCTCCACTCCCGGCACGTTGAAGTTTTTGGTCCACCGCTGCAAAATGCCACTCCGAATGGATCTCTGGTCGACCGGAAATGAAAAGGTAAAGGACATTGGAAGCGGTTCTTTTGATATCCTACCAGCATGATGATCTTCGAGAAACGATGCCAATTTCTCGGCAATAAAGTCCCACAATACTTCGCTTGTGCACGTCTTGACTTCATCTGGAAGCTTGTATTTCCGCTGGATCTGCTCAAAGTCTCCTTTTCCGGCCCCAAGACACACCTCACATACCCTAAGATTCGTTCCTCCCATATCAACCGTCAGAATCTGTCCCCTCTCACGCCCAGTGGGCAGTTTAGTGACCCAAGTGACGTCCATTGGCTATGCACGTCAACATGCAAGTCAGCATACAGAAGTATTCCCATAATTCCGGTCCACATGGTACTGACAATAGATCCGCCCTCGACTGAAAGACCCTTGGCTAGTTCCTCGACAAAATGCGCAGTGATCTCCTTCAATTTTTCGGCACCCACTAGGAACCAATCCTCATATTGCTTCAGAGATTGAGTGAGCTCCTCGGGCACACCCTGCATCATCTCTGGCCGGTAGCGGAACCCTTGCATGACAGGCTTGGAGTGCAGAAGCCGATTTCCTGATTCTTTGAGGGAGTCTGAAGAACCGATCGTTTCTGCTCCTTCAGTTCCGAGCCCTAGGAGCACGCCACCATGACCGCATTATGATCGATTTGGCTCCTAGATGATAAATACCGTATTGGATAGGGTTAACTATTAGATATATATTTGCTATTCATCTACTATTGAATTGATCTATTTGTATTTTCTACCAGGTCTGTCTATATCCCTTGCTTTGGGCTATTATAATCGATGAGATGTGATATATCGGTTTCTAGGAAGCTGGAAGTTACCAGATACAAGTTGCCCGAGCAACTTGGCTGCAAGAAATCAAAGCTAAAGAGCATCGAAGAGCATCGAAGAGCAGGATATTCGTCGAGTTTATAGTACGAAGAAACGAAGTAAACATCAAATCTCGTGACTCCGAAACTCAAGCGCGAACGGGATCGCCGGGACGTGCTCCACCCCCTGATCTCCAGATATCTCCAAAATAATTTCAGCTTCACTTAATCCTCCGAAAGGGATACTCACGCTCTTTTTCTCTATATTTCCCTGCCTGCGCCTCGTTTGTTCGTTGGTTCTGCCTCTTCTGTTCTTTTTTCCAACCTCTCCCGCCTCTCTTTCTTGGCTGCAGAGCTCCCGCTCCCTGCCACTCAAGCTTGCAGCTTGTTCTCTCACCGTGCAACGCGCGTCTCAGCATGCGGGTTCGACAGTCCACTCACTCACTTAGACCTCATCATTCTTATGCTACACTTGAGCCCGTCGATGCTTGTTGCGCCCAAGACCTAGGTTGAACGTTCGGAATGGCAGCCAGTCGAATAAACCCCAATCGCCCACTCATCCGCCTCTCCCCCGTCCACTCTCGTGATAACTCTCGTTCAACCTCGCCTCAGCGACGTACTCCTCTCTACCAGAAACTCGATCCTCTCCTCAGCAATCTCTCCCCTGAATCGACCCTCCACGCTCTTACCTCTACCGACGCTGTACCCTCCAACGAGAAAGGCGCCCATGACATCCTCTCAGAGAGTATTTCCCAGGTCTCACCTGCGGAGCGCGCTCTAGGGATCCGTGCCGCTGTAGCCGCCCAGAACTTAAACCTCTGGCATAAGGAGGTGCAGCTGTGGACCTGGCCGAGCCAGCAGGATGCAAAGCTCGGAAAGGGCTTTATGCCCCCACAGACATCTTCTCAGTCCAGCGACCCTTCTTCTGTCGCGCCTCAGAACAACCTGGATGACAATTATTATGGAAGTTTGCCAGCCAGCCTCGTGGAGCGATATGAGAAGAGAATAGAGGAGATCCGCGATGGAATGGACGATCTCAACGTGGAGGAACTGAAGGAACACGTTTTGAATGCCCACATTCCTTCTAGATCTCGCCCCTCGTCTGCCGCGAGTTCCATTTCTGCGCCTCCGCCGCTCAGCTATGTGCAGCTCAGTGACTTTACGGCCGTCATTACTGCCACTATCCTCCGCGCTCTCCCTTTCCTTTCTCGACTCAATGCTCTGCTCACTACCTGGGATGTGCGCCTGCTTGTTCTACGCCAGATTCCTGGTCTGCTGCGGGAGCTTACCATGACCCGGTCCGCCCTTGATTACTCCCTTGATTCAATGCGTTCCCCACAGTCTTCCTCTAGCCCCCGCCGATACTCCGACGCGTCTTTGGTTACTGACCATGTCAGATTGGAGTCCGCGGTTGTCGCGGCTGGGCGACGGATAGATCGTGTTCTCGATGCTTTGGAGGGTCGACCAGATTCCTTACCTGAAAATTGGATTGATGACCTAGAACGCCTTGAGTCTGACTTCGCTGCTTGGGTCGTTGAGACTGAAAATTACAAGGTTCATAACCAGTGGTTGCGTGCTCAGCAAGATGCGAAGGCACAAGCTGCCGCCCAAGCTGAATCCGAGAAGCAATTGGAGGAAACACGGCGGGTTCCGGTTTCCAATGAAGATCTCTCAGAGCCAGTGCCTACTGGTGAATCGAAACCCCTTGGAATCAAGCAAGAGAGTGAATGTGCCGTCGAAAGTCTCTCACACGAAACTCCTCTTGTCATACTGCCATCTGTAAACCGGACTGCCCTTGCAATGGATCAGCCATCACCTCCGGCTTCTATCCTTGAACAGTTCTCCGACCCAAAGGTCTCAATATCTCCCCCGGTATGCGCAACAGCCGAGAAACAAGAAGTCCATATGGCTGTGACCGAAGACCTTACAACCCCAACTCAAGCCGAGTTTCCATCGAGTATCTTGTCACTCAATGGACAACTATCCGCAGGCCAGACACCTCGTGCGAATGGGTCTGTTTCGGAGGACAAAGAGAACATTCCTCCTTCTATTCCGCAGACAGATGGATCTTGGTCAACCCATCGGGATGCACCCATTGCAAACCGATTGACTGATCATAAGGATGTATTTGAAGACCCCTTTTCGCGACCTTCTACAGCTGAAGCCAAGCCCCAACTCCCGACAGGCACCGCGTCCACCGATATCCCCCCCACTGAAGATGCCAATGTTTCTGTGGGCAGCGTTTTGCGAGCTGAGATTGCACCTGCTCTTCCTCTTCTCCAGTCTGATCCTGAAAACAGTCCCAAGTCTCATCTCGTCGACCGATCTGTGAAGCAGACTTCTCAAACGCCAGAGGAGATTCAACACGAACGTCACATGTCCACCAGTGTTTTCTCTCCGGACCTGCCTTCCGGTACATCTCATATCCGAATGCCTCGTGTTAGGTCTTCTGTCAAGGACTCCTCACAAAAGACTGTTGCTGTAGAATCCGCCTCTCATCCAAATTCTGCAGGCTTTAAATCCCAGATTCCCAATCCAGTGAAAAAACCAGACACTCCACGCACCGTCCGGAAACCGCTACAAAGTCCTATCAAGCTCTCTAAAACCAGATCGGGGCGATTGAGCCTTGACAAGGAACCCCAGCTGTCACCGAAGATCACCCGTCGTCGTCGGACCTCAACTGGATCTGTGCGTTCCTTGCTCTCGGACCACTCTTCGCTCATCTCCAGCCCTGACGTGCCGGGGCTACGGACTGCCTCATCGAACGAAACTCCCATCAGCGCCCCATCTCATCCTGAAGCCCCACACACCCTTTCACATGGTGATCACACTCTTAGAGAGGACCGTCTTCGTCGCTTGGAGAACCTCAAGCCCGACCTTCGGGTAACCTTCCAGCAAAATCGGACTGTCAGTCTGCCTCTTGAGCGCTTTATTAATGAGCGAATGGGGATGGGCCTAGGAAGCGAGTCAACGGATGCTCCGTCGAGACAGCCCATCAAAGGCTCAAATGCATCTGTTGGCTTGCCTACACTTTCCAAGGTGAGTACATACTTACTGATACTTTTCCACAAATTACTGACCCATCACTCCAGTCTCGAAACAAGATCACGGAGCAAGTTTCAGTCGTGTCATCGCAGGGACCACGTCTTCCCACGCGTCGCCCTCAACTTTCACGGGGCAAGTCTGCGTCCGACTTGCACGCTCAAAATGAGAAGCTCAACACTGCTGAACTCAACCGGAATGCATTCGCCAGAAATTCATCTGGTCGGATCATGGACCCTCAGGCTCAGCCAAAGTCCCTCCGCTTGAGACAGCGATTGACTGCTCATCCGAGTCTTGAAAGTTTGGGCATCAAGAGACAGGAACTGTCTTATGTGGAGGAGCATGAATCAGAGCTCACCGAGTTCGGCTCCCGTGCCTCCTCGCCAACCAAGCAGCTGAGACAGCCCCGAGACCAAATGGACGAACGGATTAGCTCCATTCTCAATACACTCCCTGGCGGCCGCATCCAATTGGTCGACTCAAACCACGAAGCAGATACCTCCTCTTCATCCTCCTCCGTGGATCGAAGAATGCGATACCGATCAGAGTCACCCACTGGTCCTCCAACTCGCAGCACTACCCCTGCGCCGTCTTTAATGTTGATGCCTGCTGCTCGCCGACGTTCCCATGCCTTCAAAACAGAAGATAGCTGTGTCAAGCTATATCACCTCCACCACGGAGGCCAATCCGCACCAACCAAGCTGTTCGTCCGCACCGTCGGCGAAACTGGCCAGCGGGTCATGGTTCGCGTTGGTGGCGGGTGGGCTGACTTGGGCGAATACCTCCGCGAATACGTCATTCATCACGGCCGTCGCAAGGTGTCTGAGACACCTCGTGTCGAAGTGCAAGGCATCCGAACTCGCTCCTCCCCATCTTACTCCTCGCCAGGCGCCATGCTCACTCCGGCTACTTCAACCTATCTCACCTCCGGCCGGGCCACCCCCTCCCGGCCACAGTCTGTACTTAGTACGAGACCTCCTTCATCACTTACCGTTCGCAAAACACGACGAAGCTCTAATGCATCGGATATCGCTGGCACCCGTGCAGTCACCACTGGTCATCTACATGCTTTCACCTCGCCTCCCCCTACCGTACCTCACGTCCCTGCCTCCGGTGGAAGACGCCTCTCAGTTTCCTCCGGCTATTCGATCGCAGAATCGCATTCACCGGCCAACAATTCCATCCCCTCCATCCCCCATGAAAACCGTGCCACTCCGCTTGGCTTGGCTGGCCCAAGGCCACGTGCACGATACGCATCCATGAGCCCGGAGGGTGAAGCCTGGGTCGAGGACGTTCTTCAAAAGACTCGTCGTTCCAGCTCGCACAACCCGCCGCCTATTGGACTTGGTCTGATGGAGCACGACGACAGCCGATCGGAGATCGGAGATGCTGGCATCCGATACTCTTTGCCTAAAGTGCGCAGCATCGACGAGATCGGATCTATTGGCACCAGCCGACGTGTCATCTTGCGTGGGCTTGGGAGTCGCCGGCCATAACCCTAACAATCTTCTCACTTTATCGTTACTCTTTAGCACTTCTTGCGCTCATTCTTCATTGCCTTGTTTGCATCAGTCTCTCTTCACATTTCATGGTCTGATAGACCCCGTGGCAACATACGATAGAAGCCACCTTTGTTCGATTTCGGGTTTGATAAAATTTGCATCAGCGTGGCGAAGTTTTCAATTGGTGTTTGCGTTTCTGTTTTTACTTCTGGTTTGTGTCTGTTTTGCGTCTGGTTTTGCGTCTGGTTTTGCGTCTGTTTTGCTTCATTTTTGACCCTGTCTCTATTTGCGTTGCCCTTTACATGGACGGAGTTAGCACTACAATACCCATAGTGATCTTGATAGAATGATATTGCATTTCCTCCAAACAAGCCCATCGAATGTTGTGCATCTGCCTCTAGATATCCTCCCTCCCGGCCACCCTCGTCACCGCAATTCCATCCACTCCAAAGTGAGTCTCAAACTCAATAACCTCAGTCTGATACACCAACCCAGCATCGCCCTTCTCCTTCTCCCCCTCCACATTCAAACTCAACTCTCTCTTCCCTTCACAACTAGCCTGCACCCACTCCATATACTCCGGCGCCCCAGGGAAAATAATATTATCCGCAATCACCATCGACCCAACCCCCACAGCCCCAAGCCCCTCCAACAGCCTCAGATCCGACAGGTACACATCCTTCCAGTGATCCACAAACACCATCGAAACCAGCCCAATCTCCTTCCGCGCCACCAGCCCGCGCAGCAACTCAGCCGCCGTGCCCACAAGCACCGTCACCGTCTCACTCAGTCCCGCCAGTGCAATCAGCTGGTTTGCAACCGCGGCCATTTCGGGGTTCATCTCGAGACTGATGTATTTGCCGCCGTGGGAACGCATTACAGACCCGAACTTGATGGCTGAGTAGCCTATGTACCCGCCGAGTTCGAGCATCAGCTGTGGTTGGTGGGTTTGGATAAGGTCTGAGATATAGGCGCCTTTTTCTGGGCCGACGTTCATTAGTGCGTTGGTCTGCGTGCTGTACGTGTTGATTGCGGTGAGGATATTGGCGGGGTTGTTGGTCAGGGTTGAGAGGTCTTGTGCGTAGATGTAGTGTAAGAGGTCGGTTTCGCGGCCGTCCTGGGTGGAGTTAGCTAGTTTGATGATATATTGGCTTTGGATAGTGGCGGTGACTTACCAGGGAGTATGGGGTTGGCTTTGGGCTGAAAGGCTTGGACATAGTGATTGATAGTGAGAATGGAGTATTTGGGACTTTGGATGTGAACGTGGAACACGGTTAGCCCAAGGGAGTTTCCCTGTGAGGTTATATAGTCGAGGGTATAGTCCGCAGAGTATCGTCGCGAATGCGAGATCTCATATCTCGGGGCTTTCTGCAGAACACCGAGTGCCAGTCGGCCCCGAGATAGTCGGCGTCGGATTCCTGAGCTCCGATGGCCTGCGCAGATTGAACGTCAAGAAAGCAAATGCCTAAAAAAACAAACTACCATTCATCGATTTGCTAGACCCAATCTGGTAAGGGCTCGTCAGCCACGGGTTTCTCCCGCACGTTTAGCTCACTAGCGTCATCGGCCGCCAACGTTAGTGGACAGAAAACAGGGAATCCATTGTAGGCCCCCTGCCATTAACGGAGTCGAAACAATCCATGGCGTTCTGGGCATTACGTCCTCCAGGATAACACTACGTCTATGATTTCAAACGCAACCAAAATCTGCAGGTACTGCGGACAGAATCGTATTCCAGGCAGACAGTCAAAGCTATAGGCTCAAGTAAACAGTGAGATAACGCCGTCGCCCAATGACCGACTCCGCAATCAAATCGTGGAAGAACTGTGAAGGATGTACATCATTAATCGTAGGGAGAACTAGGCAGTAATTGAAACGCAAGAACAAAGTGTCATTCCACGGACGGATCATTGGGCACTTCGTTTCCACGGGACATCTTTGCGGAGTAGTTCTCGGAGTTCTGGGGAGATCACTTTGGGCTTATCGGCGTTCACTGCCTTTTGCAGAGTCGAGGGTCCAGCGCTAACTCCGCTGCTGGATCCAGCAGGCCCTGGAGATTTGCCTTTGTCCTCTGAGCCCTGAGTTCCGGGCCGGCGTTGGTGGGCGGTCGGGGCAGCGGGGAAGTTGTCTTTCTTGTCGATCGCCTGAACAGAGCGTTCGAAGCGGTGGAAGAGAGATTCCGCACGGGTAAGAAGGGGAACCAGTTCCATGGTGTTGGAAAGTTCGTTGACTGTGACAGTTAGCTAGCGAGCAGGGATGCGGTGGAAGGTTGACATACTGTACTTGAGAACCTCATCAAAGTGCTTGAGATGGTCCATAATCACATCACGATGCTTTTCTAGTATTGCCAACGCAATGAACAGATGGAAGCTGCTGGAGAAATAGTCTGTCCAGAGAGTCTCCCAGAGTCGGAGCACGTCGGACCAATCGAACTCTCTTTTGTACCAGACCAAGAGCATGCGGAAGAAGAAAAAGAAATTGGTACTATCGGCTGACTGCAGATGCAGGTAGAGCTGCGGGTCCATGAGCTGGACGAGATTATCCAGAGCCAAGAGCTGACCACGCATTCCGGATTGATCGCGGAGGAAATTGTGTTCCTGGACTGGTCAGTCATCATACGATTCCAAGAGGCAGATAGACTTACCATCCGATCCATGAATCCTACGAATGCCCAGAAAGCGACTGCATCATCTTGCATAACGGCATAGATCGGCGCCAAGAGATCACTCATTCCCTGCACATAGCCGAGATCTGGGTTATATTCATTGTAAGTCAAGAGCATATCTTTCATTTGCTCTAGATGCACGTTGGTGCCGGTCTCGGCGAAAGGAGAATCGGGGTCAGGATGAGGGATGTCCTCGCCCGCGAAGAGAGGGATGGTTCGATCCGTTCGGTGAACATCCTTTTCTACATAATGTGTTAGTAGCTGAAGCGTCACCTTCTATAAGCTCTTACCTATACGATTTCGTTGTTCTTTCCAATGATCAAACTGTTCGACTGTCGAGTTACCTTCGACCATCCGCTCCCACCAGCCGGCTTTAAGTCGGATATACTCGTCACGCTTCGAGTTCATCAAAGCCTGTCGCTCTTCCCGGCTGCTGTCCCACGGATATACCTCGAGAAGGAAGAGCCAGGCATCTTTCCTGACGCCATCATTTGGATCTAATCCACCGTGGAAGATCCGTTCTTTGACTTCTTCCGCAGTCACTTGGAGTCTTCCTGATGTTGAATCGAAGAAGCCCTCCCATTCCTCTAACTTGAGGACTCGACGTCGCTCTTGGAGAGCAAGATTCCCTGTCTCCAACTCGAGGATCTCAAAGTCTCCGACGGAGCTATTTTCCATCTCCAGCATATCTTGTGCAGTCCATATGCGTTGATTGCGGTCTTTCTCGCTCTGATCAGCTACACTCATCGCCCAGCGAGCCAGATAGACTCTGGCGCTGTCGAACTCGTCTTGTAGTGTCTGGATTTCTGGGTTCTTCATGAGACGGCGCATCTGAGGTGGGATTCGAGGGTTCTCCGCAATCTCATTGGCAGTCCGACGGGTAAATGTTGTAATCTTGCTTAGCTGCTCCAATACCTTCCACCGAGTCTCCTTGAGAGTCTTCATGAAGGGGTCCATGCTTGCATCGGGCACAGCCGCTTGGCTGGGGCCGGCCGCGGCAGCTTCTGGTTGAGCCATTAGTGGCAATGATGCATCGCCATGACTGGCTGACCGTCCAAATGACAGCTGATCCTCATGGGACGGATTCACGAGGTAGACGTTACGGTCCACGGATGAGCGCTCCACTTCCACATACCTCCGAAGCCAGCGAAGAACCTCATCCCCGCCCCAAAATAAGCTCCCTTCATTGCCAAATGGGTCAAAGTTCTCTCGTACCCTCTTCTTCTTCTGCAAGATGGTTGACTCGCACTCGTCATCGTGGAAGAAGAGTGCCGGGAAGCCGTCGCCCGCCCGGGTATTGATCACCAAGCTTCCAAACCACCATCCTAGACTTGGCGGTCGTACTAGCAGCGAGTATATCTCTGATAATGGAATTGCAAAGGCATAAAGCCCGATGGGGTCTTTGTAGGTGGTGGTGGTCGGAAGCGGGGGAACTAGGTACTTTTGGCGCGGTGGCGAGGAGTCGTCAGAGAGATCAACCTTCACATATGTGTCGTATGCCTCTCCCAGGGAGGATTCTGGGACCCACGCAAGTAGGTAGGAGGGTGCATCAGGGTGTTTGGATTGCGCTTGAGAGGCATGTGATGCGGGGTTTGGTTTTTGTTGAATCAGGGCGATGAATCCAGCGATATTATCTTTGGCGGAGGAGGTGGGATGGACGTAGACCTGTATACTTAGTCAGTTGAGAACACAACCGAGGCTGGGGGAGGGCTTACCTTGCTTTTAGAGAAGAGTAGCTTGACTCCTCTCCTCGAGGACGCCTGGGCGATGGTATTGTATTCATCCTCCTCGTCGTCACTCATAGCGTAACAGGAAGCAGGTGGTGATGGTGTAGGAGGAGGAGTGTATTTAGGGGCCATGATGTGGAAGAGAGAAGTGGTCAGCGCAAAGTAGGAGAGCTTGGAAGAACGACGTAATATGCCGATAAGATAACGCCCCTCTATCAAAGGTTCACGTTGGGCTTTTCTTCTTTCAGCAGTTCAGCAGTTCGGAAGTTCAGAGAACTGATAGTCCTTTGAATGTAAATGAATGCTCTCGCCGCCTGATCTTGTTCGCTATTGCAATTCTATCGTTTCATGCCTTCTCACGGTCGCCACTCGGCTTCCAGGCAGCCAAATTCACCCCAAACTGGTTTGTGTACAGAATGACCCCTGCTCAACTAGGACTAACAAGTTGGATTGTGATTCTCGAGACAAGATGTCTGTTGCTATCAGAGGGTTGTCTTTATATCGCAAGTCTGGGATATAGAGCAGACATAGAGCTTGGAAATTGTATTGCATGACAACGTCCTGAAACAGGCAGCGCATAAAGTCTATCTCATTCATAACACTACTAATTATTATTCGACCGTCAACCTCCTCCAACTGCCTGAACTTGTATTCTGTTGTATAGTCCACCAGACCACCAGACCACCAGGGCAGCCCTGGCCCTGGCCGATATGTGGTTATGTAAGCACAAAATTGGTGTGCGAGATGGAACAAGTCGAATTAGAAACATCATTAAACCAAATTGGAATACTGAAGCTCATCGACCCTGTAGCAAGTTAACTACTGTCAGTTGTGACCATTGTGCACCCTGAACTTGGCTACTTTGAAGACCACGCCCAAATTCAAAGACCTTATACAGCATCCCGAAATTGTCAATACTTGTCTCTCGGGGTCAAAAATGGCCTCTACAGAACCATGCATTCTGCCAGCAGACATTATGGAGTCTCAATTGGCCACCATTGATCTCCTTACAGCTATGTTCCCAGCTCCGGGGGAGCTTGAAATCCCTGAATCCACAACGCAGTGCGTTGAGAAATTACGAGAGTGGTGCGAAAACCCGACATCCACGCCCTTGAAGGTCCCTTCAAGTCTATATCTTCTTGTATGTCTACCTATTGCAGACGGAGACAGATCCATCCAAATCAACGTCTCCATTCCACTCCATTGCGAGGACCCAGAGACGATTGATCAACCGCCCATGTTGGGATATTCTCTTCGACAGCCGGAATGGATGTCTAAAGCCGAGGTGGCAGAAGTCGCTGCTTCAATACCGGAAGGTGATGCTCTAGAGGCATTTGAATACTTCCAGACCGCAACAACCCGATTTCTTGAAATTAAGCAGGCTCAGGCTGTCTCTTCGGAACACAAAGACTCTGGGGGCCCGATCGTCCGAGTCTGGTTTTATTTCCCATCCTTATCCACTCGCAAGAAGAGAGATGATATGGTCAACCTTGCGCCGGGGTATTCTCTCACGGGCTTCGTACTGGCTGGCAAGCCGGGCGTGTTATGTCTTGAGGGTGCCTCCTCTGATATTGATTCCTATATGAGCTTTATCAAGACACATTCTTGGGGTGATATTCCAAGTCATCAGAAGAAAGTGAGTGAGAGGTTCCGTGAAACAGAAGGGATCCAGCGCGTCTTTTCTGGGATGGAGGAGATCACGAACTCGTTGGGAGAACGGGGTGGACAGCGGGCCAATCGGGGTGATATGCAAGCACTGGAGGCATGGTTAGGGTCTAAGGGACTCCAGGAGGCATTCGAAAAGGTCATCTTTTAGAGGCCGAGTGACTTGCACGTTAATTAAAATATAGTTGGAGATAGATTCCCATCATGGCACGAGAAATGGCAGATCTATTAGGCTCTGGGCCGTTTCCAGCCCGCATAGTTCCAGTTGACCATCTCTACACAACTGGTGCCTCAGCACTTCCAATGCCAACCTTGAAATTCTCAACAATCCCACGTTATCTCGGGAGATCTTTCAGCCAAATCCTTGACGAGACCTCGAGAATCCGTCAACTTAGGGCATCGAATCAGATGCGCGTGACATCGGGACCTTTTAACTCTTTTGGGAAACGCTATGCCGCAGCTCTTCTCAGTTCAAGGTTTCGCCGTGCAACTGATTACTTCCAAATATATGAACATGCGTGTCTGGTTCTATATTCAAATCCTCCAACTTTGTCTGTTGTCGGTTTGATCTCGATAACCATCTGCTACAACACCATGTCGGAACTCACTTGTACTTTGCCAGCTTCCTGGTACTGCAGCAAGTCCCTCTATCAGATGGAGCGGCGAGCAGTATTCCTGAAAGTATGCGTGTGCGGCCTTAGTTTTGTCTCGATGCTAAGAGAGATATAGTCCTGGTACTTGCTCGGCCCGGTGACCAGATTCCAAAAAGTGGGCGAACATGTTCAGTATGAAATTGCGCAGCAGTCCATCTCGGCTGTTCGCACATCGGGGGATGGGTTGAATCCGACTTTCGAGGAGCTGACAGTTGTCTGCGCGAAGACGGTATGCTGTGCTCAACTAGTCCGGGCAACTGGGACTGACAATTTTATACAGGGCAAGGAAGTCCGGAGTCATGTTACGCCAACGGGATTGCTGTTCTCGACTATTGCCGACGATGCCCCCAGCTTCCATGAGTTTTTCCCAGAACTTGAGGAGCTGCTGGGCAAAGTTGATTTTACCAAATTACCGCATCGTCGAAGTATCAGCTACGAGGGTCGTTTCAATTGGAAAACCATGTAAGACCCGATCTGGAAGTTTTGGACAGCATCAATACTAAGAGTGGCTAGGGTGGACGGATATCAAGAGTGCCTGCACTGCCAGTACACTCATCCATCGTTCTCAATTTACTATCCACCTACTTTCTATAGTGTGCACAATAAGCATAACTTCTCTCAGCACATTGCAGATCCGAAGAAGCCAGATGATGGCTTGTTCTTGTATTTCTTCCCAAACTGCACGCTGAATGTCTATGGTGGTGGCATGTCTTCGTTCAGAGTCTGTCCGACCGCGGATCCGCATGTCACTCGGATGGAATTCGACTATTATCACCTTGCCGAGGGAGAGAAGTTTGAAGAGTATTTCAAGTTTGTGCGGCAGGTTGCTTTGGAAGACTTTGAGCTGTGCGAGAAAGCGCAGGATAACCTGGCTAAGGGCGTTTATCATGAAGGAATCTTGAACCCAGACAAGGAGAATGGCGTTTCTTGTGAGTGATTTCTGTTTTTACTTTGTAGATTGTGTTGCTAATCTTTTGCAGACTACCAGCGACGAGTGTTTGACATGGTATGCGAGCAGCATGCTACCGATAGAGCTGCTCAAACGACCAAGGAGGCTGGAGTGGAGGAGCAGACCGCATCTCAAGTGATTCCAATGAAAGCGTAGTTCACAGGTCTATTAATAGTAGCATCTTGATCCGAGCTGGTATTTCCATAGTGAAATTAAATGCAATTTTATGTTATCTATTCTCTCTAGTCTGCAGGTGAAGCAGAGCTGGTAAGCATAAGATATAAGACAAATGAAGCAACCACTCAGTGATCTTCGATATCCAACCCCGACAAGATTGACTATCAGCAAAAGTCCACTCCGACTCAGGATTTAACAACCAAATTGGGTAGTATCGTTGCGAGGAGCCTGCATCAAGGGCAAAGTATAATGTGGGGTGGGGACTTGGGCCTCCTTAAGTAGTATATCAACTTGCTGGGTTCACGATCTTGACCAAGATTGCCAGTAACTTTTTTTTAATTGACATTTGCTCTTCATGGAGTCTACTCAGTCCTATCTCCCAATCTCTCCTGGTTCAGCCCTTGTGGCATTGGTGACAGTCGTGTTTTTACTTCGTCGAGTATGGCCTCGCTTATATGAACAGAAGAAGAACAGCAAACTTGCCGTTCCTATTGAAAATGACCAGAGATCAGATTTGGCTGTTTCAAAAGAGCCCGAGGTACCAGAGGGATGGTGGTCTGACCTGGATGTGTTCGAGCTCGAACGCCGTGCGCTTTTCAGTCAAGTAAGAGGCGTAAAACAGCTGTTGCTTCACATTCACTAATATCCATAAATAGTCATGGATCTATCTGGCACATATATCACAGTTCAACAAAGCTGGGGCTTATCAATCTTTCGACCTTGCCGGCTACCCTCTCTTTCTGATCCGAGGAAAAGATGATAAGATCCGCGCTTTTCATAATGTGTGCCGCCATCGTGCCTACACGATCACCAGGAAAGAGAGTGGCGCATCGACAGTCCTTGGCTGTCGGTATCATGGGTGGAGTTACGATACCACCGGCCGTCTAGTCAAGGCTCCTCAGTTTGATGATGTGCCTGGATTTGACAAGTCGCAGAACAGTCTGTTTGAGATTCAAGTACTGACCACTGATTATGGAATGGTTTTTGTGAATCTTAATGCCGGGGAACCTGAGCCGTTTGATGAGACCACTGCCGTGACTTCGGCTGCATTCTCTCGCATTTCGGGCTTGAAAGTGAACTCGATTTGGGTAAATGGACAAACTTTTACTGGGAATTTTAACTGGAAAGTGGGAAGTGAGTGGGATTGTTCAAAGAGGTTCTATCAAGTTACTGACCAATCTTGAAGTGGAAAAGCCTCAACTCAATACCTTCGCCAGCGAGCTGAACAGTCAATTATCAGAAATATGTGGCTATTCACCTCTCTTTAAGGCTGTCAGGTCACTCATGCAGAAAAGCACACGCATGGAGAAGTCTTTGTTCCCAATCACTTTCCTGTGCTCTTTTGAACATATCGGTCTATGTTTGGTTCTTTCCATCCTCCCAGTATCCGAGGCAAAGTCTAGTATCCGATACGATCTTTTTGCGAGTTCCACTGCGAACAAGACAGAGAACGAAGCCATGTCAAATACTTTGAGAGAAGTCACAAAGAAGCTGATCCGAGAAATCGAGGACCACTATCAGGCAGTCTTGGCAAATCAAGGGTTGGTTTCTCATCATCATCGCTAGCCTCTCTATAATCTGTCCATTAACACGTTTTTTATAGAAGTTCTCTTGAACGAGAACCGAGTATAACAGGTATTATTCAATCTTGGTTTTTCTTTTCCCTAAAAAAGAAAATCTAACAGGCTTATAGATGCTTCCCAGATTCTGAGTCGTATTCAGGAACACAGGAAACTTGAAAAGATCCAAGGCGATCTGATTCAACCAGCTACACATAAGCCTAAAGGTAGTACTTTGTTCCAGCAGGCTGAACAATGTAAGTCTATTCAAGCTTCGCATTCATGGCAGACATTAATCTTCTACAGTGTGTAAAGAGCTGGACTGTGTTAGCGGTGGATCGCAGAATGGGACTTCGTCGCAAGCACTGGATTGGTAGCTTATTTAGAGGAGGTTGAAATTTGTCATTTTATCTCAATTTTACTTGGAAGTTCATGAATATCGACTCATATGTGCCACTTGAACGTCGAGGTCTGAACTTGCAGCCCGATCTATGGACATTTACAAGGCGCAGAATCTACATGATATTCTACAAGCAAATTGCAAAAGAACAACTCCGTTGAGAATAAGCAACCGTAGATACTGAATAAACCCAGTTAACGACGAGTAACGACAAGCTTAATATCATATTCAAACTTTATGGGGAAAAAAAAAGAAAGGAAGCCGCAACATTCAAACTCGCACTCAACCCACACACTTAAATCCCCCCTTGAGTGCCTGCACTCATATCACCCGTCAAGTACATCAATTAGCCATATATTCTGTCATCAAATCCAAAGCTGAGGATCCACGGGATTGGCGGCCTGCGAGCTGGCACTTTCCTGTGTCTTCTTGCGATTTTTGATAACTGAAGTTCGAGGGTCATTCTTAGAAGAGAGAACACTAGGCCTCTTCTTACGCCCAGTCAAGCCCTTATAAGCAGCTCGAGTATCGGAAGCAAATTGTACAATCTTTTCTCTCTTCTTGGTCTTTTCTGTGGGCTTTGGTTCGCGACGACGACTTCGGAGGGTGGAGGTTGTCAAAGTACGCCCGGCCATGGCATGCTTGAGAATCACCACGTCCCGGTTGAGCACATAAAGCGTTAATGCATTTTGCCAGGGAGATCCACTCCAATCGTGAGACATTCTGCCAATAAGAGCTTTCATCTTCCGCACTGCTATTTGTTCTGCCTCGGCCCGGCTTGGCTCAGAGATGGTGCCGGCTTTCAGTGCTCGCTTGTGTCGTACTAGGCCATCTGCAATCTGGCTTCCATAGTACTTGCCGCCCATATTGGTGAATATTCGCTGTGGGAGGTAGTCCAGTATAATGGCGAAGATCTCATCGCTCACTGGGTCTGAGGAGCGAGCTGCACGAACCAGAGCCCAGGCTTCAAAGCCACCCCTGTCTCGGGCTAGCATTGGGTTACTGTGCTTGCACAGCCATTCGACTGTTTCAACCTGATCATAGGCTGCAGCAAACATCAAAGGGGTCAGGTTCTGAGCGTCTCGTACTTCGGTGCTTAACAAGGAGAACTTCTGCAGCCACTCCATCATCTTGGGACCCTCTGGGTTGTAAACAGCTGCGGCATGCCAAGAGGTTGTTATAGTTCTTTGTTTGTCCGGAATGTACTTGGCCTCGACGTTTGCGATGTTGACTCCATGTTGGTAGAGGAGGTCGGCCAGACTGGTTGGTGCCCAGCAGATCAGAGTCTCCAGTATATCGTCCGGCAAGATTTCCTGCAGTTCATCTGATTCCACAGGAAAGCTCTCGATGATTTTTTGAAAGACGAACTCGAATCCTCCAGGCGTACCAAATTCGACTAGCGCTGCCAGGATATGAGGTTCGTTTACTGCATGGAAGTCTCTGCGGCTACACAATTCAGCGGCCGTCATTTTCTGAACCAAGTAATTCACTGTTGCGACATTGCCACTGGCAAGTCCTGCATGAAGCCAATTGCGTCCAGCCGAATCATAGCCTGTGATCTGAATAATGTCGTGCTTAATCATGAATTCCATGCACTCACAGCACTCCGCCGGAAGGTTATATGCCACAGCAGTCGTAATATCGGGGCTTCCGTCAGCGTGTTTATCAAATCCCTTGTTCTCATGGATTGCGGTGGCCTCTTCACAGTTTCTGTATGATTTGAACAGGTTTCTCATTCGCCTTTTGGTTGTGGTATTTCGGAGCCAAGCATCAATAGTCGGTCCCATACCCTCGCCGGCAAGATAATGGAGCTCGTGGACATGGCTTTCTTCTACAAGCCTCATAGTAGGCGCGGTGTGCAGATCAAACATTCGATCGTATATCGCACTCAGCACCTCCTGAGGGAGATGCGCAAAGTTGCAACGATTGGCCCAGCCGATACGTTCCTCAACGCGACCTCGGATCAATTTCCACGGCGCGGCTCGACGTTCGTGCATACCAATTTGTCCATGTGTCATTCGATCGACGAGAACACTCCAGACGACATCATCCATCATTTTGACCACCGTCTCACCATCCGCCTTCTTTAGCTCTGGGTCCCATCTTTCCATGATTGCTGCGGTAAGTACTTTCGTTGTTGGATCTCGGGTGACTCTGATCGACTGATTTGCGTTGAGGTCCTGTTTCAAACCTAGAGAGCCATCATGGCATTATCTACCATTTGTGTTTGGGACAGCAAGATAGGCTAAATATAGATAGTCTATGGCTTTTGATTGAGCCACAGTAGGATGCCTTCATCTACAAAGCAAGTCAAGGAGTGTTTTCTGAAGGCTCACACGAGCACAAAGAAGAATTTGGACGCTTCTTTTCTCTATAAACTCAGACTTCTTGGTCCGAGCTCGATTCAAAGCCCTGAAACAAAGAACTGAACCTAGATTTGAGCCTAATCATACCGGCTGTGTACACTGGCAGTGCAATAAAGCACCGTCACATTTCAATCCACGATTTGTGACAAAGAATATAGCCCAGGATTCTGAGAACCAAATCCCTTGATCCCCTCAATATCCTCTCAATTATCACCTGCTCGGTTGCAGTGAGAAATATAGGCTCGTCTGTTCGTCATATGCTGCGTAAAGTAGGGTTCGAGGAACAAAGAAACCCCACCCGGGATATGCATTCATATTCTCACTACTCATCGTCTCAAATTGAATATTGTTCCGGTCGAGTACAGAAATCTACTTTTTTTCTATCGCATATTGTATAGTAGTCGTATAAGATATCAAGTACGGGCATATATAAGAAGCTGCGCCTAGTATCTATATTATGAACGAGAATAGGTCAGAGGAAGGCTTGAGTGAAAGAGAAAATTTACTCAAAGAACTCACGGAAGCGAGTTCCGTGAATGGCCCAGGTGAACTTGACTTGAGTTCATTGAAACATGCTACTTCGAACACTTGTAGATACCTTGGAGGAACGCGGAATCCACGGTGCTGATTTTTTCTTCAAGTTTAAACCAAATCATATACGGAAATTGGTTGGATTCCAGAAGCACACAGGGCTCCAGGATTTTTTAATGACTTTCTCGCAATCTCAGTTACCGTACTGAGCCTCAATATTCTAGCATTTCTTGTATACAGATTGAGTAAGTCGTTAGCCTGTCACAGCCTCACATTTTGCTATGTCGTCCTTGATAGACAGCCATTTTATACATATTAATTTCACTTTATGTTTCTAGCCAAGTGTTCTAGTCCTTGTTCTTATATAAAATGGAGGATAGCCTGAGAGCAACGCAATCCTGCATTTTACCTCGGCAACGCGTTTCTATTTTCAGTCATATCTCTCATCTGCATGCTTCAAGGCGCAGACATGGCTATAGGCAATTCCACCTTTATCCAAGCGATATTCTCTGGCAAAGACTGGCTGTCTGTCTTTCTGGCTATAATTAACACACTCTTTCAAGACCGTTGAACAAAATTGTTGGTCATTTCACTCTCATTTCCGGTATTTTTAAAGATGTTTCTGGTTTTGCAAAGTGACTTGACTACTCTTTTGATCCAATTCATTATACTGTATAGATATAACATGTACAGGAGTTTTAATGCCCACTCCCTGCTCCCCGTGCTCCCACTCCCTCATTCAGAGGCCGACTCGATTATTCCTTGCAGCCGCTAAAGGCCTGCGTGGGGGATATGACACAATCTTACATGCCGAAGCGAGAGATTCTTAGCTGCATTACCTTTATTTTTTTATTTGATATGTGTTTGTGTTGACTTTTGGACCCCAAGGTGTCGGGCTTACTCCGAAGGTTCCGAGCCCCAAGGGGTTCAGAGGCCAAAATTGACTGGATCGCAGATTTCTCGGCCGATGTCATCTTCAGGGCTCTTCATCCGGTGTGATTGGTGTAAATAGTGCTATTTCAGACCATGAGGTAATGGCCCCTGTCAGGCCAAGGGGATCTAGATGTGGCTGCTATGCTTCATGGGGATAGTTGAAATTACAGACAGGTTACTTTGACTTGAATGTTCTACAGAATCGTAAATATGATTTGCAATTCCAGGTAAATTTATTTTCAATTTCAATTGGAATGGATCTCCAATAATCGTCCTCCACTTCGTTGATGCACTAATCTGACTCCGAAGCCCACACCTAACAATAAGATCACTCTAATACCATCCTGGCAGGCTTCTTCAGTCCAAGATTACCACTGATCAGGATCGGCATCGGCAAAAGTACTGCCAGCGGCAATCTCATCATACCACACCTGTCTCGTACCCTGAGTACCCTTCATACCACCATCATCGTGCCACCCGTTAGCATAGAGACCGACACGGAACTGGAAGGCGCGGTCATCGGCAATAGTAGTCGCAATGTTATACTCTTCCAAGACCTTCACACCATCAAACCACAACTTGTAGTAGCCAGTGCCATCGGATTTCCAGCTAGACTGGATTTCAACCTTGTGCCACGCGCCTGCAGTCACAGTGGCCAAGTTGGAGAAAGTCTGGATCTTCTGCGCGCAGATAGTCCCCTGCTTCACGCGTGTGTAGAGCTGGTCGCCGACGAGCCAGACCATGCTTGATGGCATCCAGTCGTCGCAGCCTGTGTCGGTGAAGTCGGCGATGAACTGGGCGATGTTGTAGGACTGGGCCGGAGAGAACTGCCAGCTTTCTTGGAGGCGGAAGGTGAAGCCGTAGAAGCCGGTGTCGCCGCGCTTGTAGACGTTGTTCTTGACCACCTCCGAGTGGTAGCGGCCGGTGTAGCTGGAGTCGTAGACTTGAGTCATCTTCAGCGCTGTTGGGCCTTCATAAAATACGTTGGTCACTTGTTGGACTGTGCCTGAGTGTTCTTGGTTGGTGGCATCCCATCCTGAGGTGGTTCCAGTGTTGCTGAAGATCTGGGTGGCCTGGCTTGTCAGGCTCAGTGCCAGCACCAGGGCGGCAGAGGGGAGTTTTCCAAACATTGAATGGTCTTGTGTGCACTGGAAAAGTCTGGAATGGAGAGAAAGAGATGAGAGTGCTGGTTTGAGAGGGGTTTTGCGAGCTGCGAATGCTTCCTTTTATAGTGCAATCGCGGCTTTCTCCCCCCGACGGAGGGCTTGACTGCTCTCCATATTAATTAAATCGGTGTCGAGCGAGTCAGTCAAGGTCTTGAGGATTTTCCTAAATGAGAAAGAGTTATGCAGGGCCGATGCAGCGGCTGATCAACATCATAAGCTATTCTGCATGCTACAGCCCAAGGGTGTTGGCAGATTATCCCGAGGGCGCTTTTGGTCGTTATTGGAGGAAACTTGCGGGTTCAGGAATCCTGCAATCCCCGCTCATATGCGGTTCATGCAGGTGCAGTCAGAGATGGTTTCAGTGAAGGTCCAGCGTTACATCGCGACTGCAGAATCAACAAACCCGGGGCCAGTCTAGCCTTTTTAGGCAAGTGATTTGGTTCTCCAGTGCCGACGCAGGGCAACTCTTGTCCGCGTTTCATTCTCGTGGGCTCAAATGGCCTCAGTGGTAGGGACTCTGCCCTTCAGCTGCTCTGGAAGATGACCTAACATGGTAACATGGGCTGAGATTCCTCCGCTTCCTGTGGTTGTCAGCTTAGGACGAGGTCTCGTCTCGTTCGTCGTCTCGTTAGTCGTTCCGTCGTATAAGAATACGAATTCCTCATCTCAGAGTCCTCAATGCTCCTTGGCGATGAGCCGCGGCGTCTGCAGGCTATTTATACTCCGTAAGCCAAAAGCAAATTGAGACTGACGCTCAAAAGAAAACAAGTCCCGTGCTGTGGGACTGGTAGAAGAAGCACAGCTGCATGCACCAAGAACCCACGCACAGAGAGGCTCGGCTTTGGGCAGACGAGATATATAACATTCACTGAATTGGCGTGGACCCTTCAGCGGTCCCAAATTGGGTTTCGATGATGTGCCTCGCGCTAATGCACGAAATGCCAGGTGAGACTGCACCACTCTGCCAACCCTGAGGAACAGCCCCAACTAGCTGACTGTGTATCTCGCTTTCCCCTTTCAGCTTTCCTGAAAACAAGGATTCACACCCTCCCCAGGTGGCGCTCCGAACAGCCCCAATAGGGGCTTTCCGCCCCCTCTTTGCGGGTGCTGTTTCTTGTTCGAATTTGGGTCGACAAACGAGTTTTGAGCATTCTCGCGTAATAGATGGTGAGAACCATCGTCATAGAATTGGATGACAGAGAACGGCTGAGAATACTTACCTTGCTGATTCTGTCCAATTCTCTCGTCAGTGATTGTGGATTTGGGGGCCTAAGAATCTGACTAAGAATTGTGATCGGCAGCCTTTTCTACGGAGAATCCTGCAGACCTCTTGATATGAGGGGGCAGATAATCCCTGGTAATCCCTTGGGGGCCAACGGGGAGCTGTAGACAGCTTACCTCGGGCGCCTTTGGTGAGTGCTGGAACAGCGTGAATGAGAATCATATTGTCTAGTGGTGCAGAGCGTAAATACCCAGTTCCCACCAATTCGGGGGGCCAGGGGGGCCATGAGGAAATCAACTGAGCGATGTAATAGGCTAAAAATAAGTGATCCGGTGGCGCATTCTTGTTTGCGACGATCTCCTGTGCTTCTCAATCTCTTCCATACTCCTACGCCTTTGCGAAAATCTGCCCAGGTTCTTGAATAGACAATGTAGGAACATCAGATCAAGTATATCAGAAGGCTATGTTATTATTTCTTGTAAAAAATCAGTAGACGGTCCATAGTTATCCTGGTTATCTGTCACGGCCTGGATCGGTTCTTTGGCCCCAGCGGATCGCTATAGTGGCACGACGCTAACAGATGATAACCATAGTGAGTATGGAGTATTCGACTGAGAATAGTAGCGTGTTTGGCCCCGATATCAACTGTTGGTCAGGGCGTTGCACCCAAGGGGCCAAGAGCATCCTGATATCAGTCACGGAATTCCACTCGGTTCAATTCTAAAGAATTTGTTAAAAGAGACCCATCGCCAATATTAGCAGTTTCTTTAGTCTTTGCACTTTGTCAGGAAAAAGAAAAGTTGCAGGACTGGCATCAGTTCTTTGTTTTATACAAGCCACACCCGGGGAAGAACCCGCAAACAAAGGCTACACACGCCGCTGCGACTCTGGCTGGAACGGTTCGTGCTTTATCGGGGAGGCGATGACTCGGTCGATCGCGTCTGACAGTCTAGTGACAACATGCTAACACAGAGCAGAATATCACCGGGTCAACAATGGTCGGATAGATCAAACCACTTTCAAACATGGGATCATATACTTGCATTTCGGCGCTGCGGCCTCGAAACACAACGAAACATACGATATACGTTCCAGCAGGGCGACGATTGCATGACCTGATAGAACACCCGTCGTTGAATCGACTCCCCGTGTCCATCCCGGGTTCAAACAAAGAAGCGACAATGCAACCTGCAGAGACCGTTCCCCTCTGGCTCGAGACTTCCACGCCCCCTGTTCCGCCCAGGCCATGCGACCCCAGGAAAGCCAACCGAGACCAATCACAGCCAAATGGATTCAAAGAGGACCCCGTCGACGGTGCAACACTCGGGGGGACCGGGGACGATGGCCCCGACTCCTCGCAGGACTCATCACAGACGATCATTGACTTGGATCAATCCCAGTCTGAGAAGAAATATTCAATCTCTCCATTGTCGGACGATCATCCTCACGAAAGAACTCTGACCCGCTCTGATTCTAAGCTCTCGCACGCACTGGTGTCTCTGACTAGCCCAGATCTGAATATGAAGCACTCTATCCCCACGTCGTTGGAGACCGAGTTAAGAGAACGAGTGCAGATCCTGTGCGGGTACCCCGAGGAAGCAGAAACAGGTTTCGAGCAGAAGATTGAGGATTTCGAGGGACTGGACTGCGCTTCCTCGTGCTATAGTCGTCGCACGTCGCTGGCTAGTACAGGCACTTGGTTCGGAGAAGGACCCCGGTACAGATCGGCCGATGAATTCTCCATCTGTTCTCCTGTAGCGGCTGGTGTGTTTGACGACAATGTTCCTCTTCACTCCCCTCGGCGTCAATCAACGGTGTCACACCGTATGTATGCGCCGAGTCGCTTCGGACGCCCGTTCAAGTCAATCACCCCCACACTGTCCATGAATGACCTCAAGAACAAACCTTTGCCTTTGGAGCCAGGCAGTGCGTCTCCCACTCGTCATTCTTCCACTCGCCGAAGCGACTCTCCCCTTTCCACGGCGTCTCAGCGCTCCCACTCACCTATGACCGCATTTTCTCAGAAGGATATGCTCGTCTCGCCGCTATATCGGAAGTCTACGACGGTGCAGCCTTCTGGAAACCGTCACGCATGTCAGAGCTGTGGACACAACCGGTTTCGGTCTCGATCTCGGTCTCGATCTCGGTACGACTTCAAAGTGGCCGGTCATCAAGCTCGCCATGTTCCGACCTTGTCACAGGCGGCTGAAGAGCTGGAAGATGCTCTGGCGGACTTCGAGGGCGGAGCACACCGAACGCTACTTATTCTGGACGGGCCCCTTCAGATCAGTCGCAACAATGGCGACTTAATTGCGACCCGACCGGCCCCCCCACCTCCATCTACCAAGCCTCACTCTTCTCTGTCTCGTTCCGACACGCGGGTCCAGAAACGGACCAACATGAAACCGATGGCAGTTCCCAAAGACAAGCCCAAGAATAAGAAAGAAGAGAAAGACAAGCTGCGACGGAGCAAAGACGAAGACCGAAAAGCCAGTCCCAAAAAGGACAAAAAGAGTCCCAAGTCGTTTTTGATGCCCTTTCGGAAGAACCAAGACTCCGAGCAGCTTAGCGTCACGGCGGCCCCCGACTTGGATTCTGCACGGGAAGATCTGCTTCTGCAATTACCTCGTCTGCAGACTCAGTTGGACTTTGGAAATCCGTTTGATCGGGCTCAACACGCACTGGCCCTGGCTGAAACTCACCCCGTCCAGGCACCCGTTCAGGCACCCGCACCGGCTGAGGCGCCCACTCAGGCCCCCGTTGAGCTGTCAGACAGCTCCACACCGGACGTGCACCTTCGTATTCCAAAGAATGAGAGAGTAGTCTCCAAGATGCGACAGAGCTGGGCTTGGGTGTCGACTGCTCAGGCAAGCCGTGTTCAACTCCCCGAACATGTCTACGAACTGGATGCGGCGCCGCCGTCGCCCTGTGTGGTGCTGCCTGTGACGGCCCCCGGGGCCCCCGGTCTTGGCCCGGTGGAGTTCCCCGAAGACCTGCCAATCGATCTTGTGTTGTCGGTTATGAAGAATATCGACTCCCTCGATGATCTCTTCAATTTTGTCTTGGTCAACAAAAAGTTTTATTCCGCGTTCAAACGCAATGAGCTACCGATGATCAAAAATGCCCTCTTTAAGATGTCTCCGCCCGCATGGGAATTGCGCGAAATGACTCCGCCCTGGGAAATGGAGTGGCAATTGCTATTGGACCCGGACTCTCAAGTCCCCGAGTATACGCCGACTCTGTATTTGCAACGCTATGCACAGGATATCTATACCCTTGCCAAGCTGAAAGCTCTTGTCTTGGCTCGATGTGCACCTTTCCTGCGGCGTGATACCATTCGCGGTCTTGCCGGTGTGGATAATACTCGAGCCGAGGAGGTTGACGATGCGTTCTGGCGCGTCTGGACTTTCTGTCGGATTTTCGGTAGCGGGAAGAACCGCGAGGCTGATATCATGGGTCAAATGGATTGGCTGAAGGGTGGTGTTATGGCGCGGAGTATCATCAACTCGAGTTCCACCATGTCCGAACCATTTGGTATGAACAATGTCCTCTTTGAACCACCCGAAGGATTCGGTCGGGGTAACCTGGGAGGTCTGTCTCAGAGCCAGATGTATGATGTCACCGAGATCTGGACTTGTATGAGTGTTTTGCTGCAGCCTCTGCATGGCAAATGTATCGAAGCTCGCAGGGTTGGCATCTTTGATGGTATGCATGTACCGCATGGTGATGCGGTTCGGGAAGAGACCGTTCTTGGTGAGTGATGTCGTCCTTGTGGTCCGTTGCGATCATTCGATCATTCGAGCTAACTCTTCGTAGAGGAATGGACTTCCTACATTCTCACACTGGGCCTGTCGGCCGTATTGACACTCAGTGCAGTCTGCCCAGCTGACACCACAGCAGCAACGTTCAACAAGGCCAAGTCAATTGGCTTGACGAAATGGGAGCCCACAGAAACTGAAGTAAGCCGGTCGCCATTCCTAAAGGAAGCCGTCGCACGCGCGTACGAGCTTCAAGAGCGAAATCTCTCCCCGCGATCCAGTATCTCCGAAGAAAATCGAAGCAGTAGTCCTCACTCCGACTCGGCTCGTGAGATTCGCGAGCGCCAGGCTGGTTTCGCCCGCGAACTTGGTCACCGCCGCCGTCTACGCGGGCCATCCAGCGAGCCCGAAGGTGCATACTCCTTCTCGGCTGAGCGTCCAATGTCAGAGTTTAGCGCTATCGTCCGAAACCTCGATGGCTCGATTCGAATTCCTTCGATGCAGAATGATCCGCCTGTTCCGCCCGTGCCAGCCCTTGTTCTCGATCGTTGCTCTACTTCTACTTCGGGATCTGGATCTGGGTCCGGTAGTAACCCTCATACACCTACCCAATCCTCAAACTCTTTTCCTCTATTCCCACCTCCTCAAACATATCCGACTCCGCCGGTGAGAGGATATGTGCCTCTTCAACCTCAGGTCTTGGACCCCGTCGATCGTGCCATGAACACCATGGTCAACGAGATGGGTTTCAGCCCAGAAGACGCAAAGTGGGCTCTTAAGATTACTGATACTGGCGAAGGCATCGACGCCACTGCTGCTATTCAACTGCTTGAGCGCCAACGCAAAAAGAACGAGCGTAATCCTTTCGGAAAGCGAGGCAGTCTAATGTCTGCCGTTATCAAACGTCAAAAATCACAGGAGTCTGGCTGGCGCTGGGCTTGACCACTGTCTGTGTTTTTGGACTTTGGTGCTTTGAATCTACTTGACCTTTCTTCCCTTTTCTCATTGTCATGGTCGCGATCGTGTTGTATCATATACCCATTCACTTCCTTTTTATTTTGCTTCCTTGTTTTTGGCTTCAATTGTTACGATTAGGCGTTTGATGGGCTCTACGCTGACTTGGTTTTACTATTTGGGATTAATCTATTGCATCGGACTTAGATAGACTCTTTTAGCAAGAAATGTTATATTATGAACTGACCGAGTCAGTCCCTAAGCTCTGAAGGTCGGAGAAAGGGCTTATAGTACATACCCTTGTAAAAGTCTGTTCATACCGACCCTTTCGCTAGCTTTATGGATCAATCATTTTGACGTAAATGGGCCTTGAATCCTTATATTATCGACTCAATCAGAGCATAACAGCTTGATATATTATTATTCGACTATTCAGTTATATTCTTCTGCCACCAGATTAATCTTTGTCTACGTGATCCTCGTGCACTTCAACCGCCTCCCCTTCATAAGGATCAACAACAGTAGAGGAGAACTTTCGCGCAGATATCCCCCTCTCGAACAGCAAATCCAACTCTTCATATGTTCGGCCCTTGGGTTCAGGTAACCGGAAGAACGCCCATACAAGTCCAACCAAGCAAGTGCCGGCCCAGAAATATGCACAGCGAGCACCCCAGTTCCACGCAGTGGTGTTCAATTGGTAGTTAGTCAAAACGTTGACAACAATATTGCTAATGTTGTATAAGCACCGCGCGAGGACAATAGTCTTGGCTTTGAGTCGCGTTGAAGACAATTCTGAAACAAGAGAATATGTAACCGGGCCGACGGTGATATCGTAGCAAAACGTAAAGATGATCAACATGACACCGATAGCCCATTTCGCCGCACTGTTCTCGCTCGGTGCGAAGGACAGTGAGCCAGTGATCATCAAGAGAAGAAAGAGACAGGCTAGCCCGCATACGTGGATTGTCCGTCGGCCGGCAAATGACATCAAGAACCAGGAGCCCATTGTACCGATGACTCCAAGGCCGTATTGACCTAAAGAGAGGTTGAAAGACTGCACCGTTGGTAGACCTGCCTGAACGCAGAAATAGGCGAAATAACCCATGAGATTCTGTCCGCACAGTGTCTGCACGAGCCATACTATGCAGACCACTTCTGTTCGGTGAAGATTCGTCCCCTTGAAGCAGTCCCAGTATGTCGTGCCACTGGAAAGGGATTTTTCGAGTTCGTTGGTGTGCTGTATCATAGCAATTGTCTCGTCGGGGTTGAAATTCGGGTCTTTGGATGATGATGTCAAACGTTGCAGTGCTTGTCTCGCTCCTTGGATATTGCCCTGTCGAACATGCCACCACGGTGACTCGGGCGCGAATAGACAGCCGATCATAATCGGTAATGGCCAGGCCCATTGTACACCAAATGGAATGCGATATGCCCACTGATCATCGCGAGATATGGACCCGCGGTTCACGCCAACTGCCACAAACTGTCCAAACACCCAGCACATGTTGATGAATGTCGTCAGGTAAGGTCTCAGCACTACCGGACAGACCTCTGAGGCGTATGCAGCGGGGAGAGTTTGGAAGATACCCCATGGAATACCGGCGAGAATCTCGGCTGCGAGTAACATTTGAATGTTGACCGCGAAGAAGAAGATGAATATGACTGCTGTGACAGTGGCCAAGGCACAAATCATAGTCCGACGATATCCAAGGCGCTCCGATACTAGACCGTTGATCAACAGTCCGATGATTTCACCACAGCGTGCACCATTTGACAGGCCTGATTGCCAGGATGCGGGAACCGCCCATTTGCCCGAGGCCGTCAGTTCGCCGAACTTTTTGTTGAAAGCGGGTGACGCATACATGGAGCTCAGGAGTGCAAGGTCATAGCCTTCCATGATTAGGGTAGACGAAAGTAGCACTGACCAACCCACAGCTTTGGGATACAGTTTCAGGGCTTGCCAGAGAGTCATGGAGTGCTCTTTTTGGGCAGCATGCTGACCTTCCACTAGGAAGGGCGCTTTGCCGTCCATCCTGGCTGGATCTTCCACTGAATCCATAGGGTCACAAAGTCGATCTGGCCAAGTTTGAATTCAAGCAAGAGCTCGAACGGTGGCTCTAGCTCAAGGATCTGCTAGACGAGATTCGAACAGACTTGGACATACTCATAGCCGAAACATCGGGGGAATTCGTATATTTATACCAATCCGCCAATGGGCAACATAGTGCAGACCATGCATATCACAAGATCCGGGGAAGAAACCCTGTCAAAATTGGAGAAAACTGGGGGAGCCGAAATGTGGAAGTCCGCAACGAATCAGCGTTCTCGCCGAAAGGTCTGCCGGCGGCAAGTCGGGCGCTATTCGGGGGTGCAGAGGGCGTCGGGGGCTTGGCGGGAATCTCCTCACTTGAGCCCGAGTCAGGGCCGTGAGGAGAAAAAAGACTATAAGAGATGGGAAAAGTGCGCTAGAGACCAAGACAAGCCATGTCACCACACGCCCACATCGTCCCGACTGGGACGAATAACTGGTGGAAGGAGGCCACAGTCTATCAGGTCAGTGTGTGATCTCAGCCTGTTGCAACATTTGTACTGACGGATCGGGATTTAGGTCTACCCAGCATCTTTCTTGGACTCTAATGGAGATGGCTGGGGTGATATCCCCGGTGTAGTGGAAAAGGTGCCCTATCTTCAGGCACTCGGCATTGATGTGGTATGGCTGTCTCCGATGTATGACTCGCCCATGCATGATATGGGCTATGATATCTCCGATTACGAGAAGGTGTTGCCTGCCTATGGAACTGTGAAAGATGTGGAAGATCTCATTGAGGCCTGCCACTCACGGGGCATGAAGCTGATTCTGGATCTTGTCGTCAATCACTCCAGCGATGAACATTCTTGGTTCAAAGAAAGCCGGAGTAGCAAGGACAATGAAAAGCGCGACTGGTATTTCTGGCGTCCTCCGCGTTACGACGAAGCTGGAAACAGGGTGCCACCGAGTAACTACCGGGGCTATTTCGCAGGGAGTACTTGTAGGTGCCAGATCTCATGCGATGAGAGAGTCGCTAATGGTCAAGCAGGGACTTGGGATGAGACAACACAAGAGTACTATCTGCATCTCTATGCAAAAGAACAGCCAGATCTCAACTGGGACAACAAAGCCACCCGCGAAGCTATCTACAATAGCGCGGTTCGGTTCTGGCTAGACAAGGGTGTCGATGGTTTCCGGGTCGATACTGTCAACAAATATAGCAAGCATACAGACTTTCCCGACGCTCCAATCACAGATCCAAAGAGTGATATACAGCCAGCCATCCAGATGTGGTGCAACGGACCTCGAATCCACGAGTTTTTACGTGAAATGTACGACGAGTCTTTTGCCCCATACGGTGACATTATGACAGTTGGCGAGTTGGCCAACACTCCCAACCCTGAGAATGTCTTGGAATATGTCGGTGCGTCAGCTAAGGAGCTGAGCATGGTCTTTCATTTGGATATTGGACATATCGGCATGGGACCCAGTCTGGAAGAGAAATACATCTTCCATGCCTGGAAATTGACAAAACTGAAGGCCATAGTGGAGAAATGGCAATCTTTCATTGATGGAACAGATGGCTGGACCACTGCATTCTGCGAAAATCACGACAATGGTCGCTCTGTCTCTCGTTTTGGATCTGATGCACCCGAGTTCCGGGAGATATCTGCCAAAATGCTGGCTCTCATGATGGTTACCATGACTGGGACGCTGTTCATCTACCAAGGCCAGGAGATCGGTATGATCAATGCTCCTCGCGACTGGTCGATTGATGAATACAAGGATATTGAAGGGCTGGGGTACTATCGGGAAGCAGAGCGGCGAAGTGGCAGTGATCCCACACGCAAAGATCAAATCATGGATGGTTTGCGTATTCTAGCTCGTGATCATTCTCGATTACCTATGCAGTGGGATGACTCGAATCATGCTGGCTTCACCACTGGAAACCCATGGATGCGAGCTCATGATCTTTCGAATGAGATCAATGTCAAAAAGCAAGAGAATGACCCCTCTAGTGTGTTGTCCTTCTGGAAAGATGTGTTGCTTTTGAGAAAAGAACATCGGGATTTGTTCATTCATGGCGCGTTCGAAGTGCTCGACTATGAAAACCAGGAAACCTTCTGTTTTGTGAAAACAAGGGGTGATAGACATGCATTGGTTGTTCTTAACTTCACTGCAGTATCTCAACCATTCACACAAGCCGAAAAAGCCATTGGTAAAAGTTTGCTGGTGGGCAACTATGAGAGATCGTCTTTGGAGATATTGAAACCTTTTGAAGGCAGAGTGTATGTTTGATACTTCAAACCTGCCTCACATCTTAGCAAATATGAACTCTTTGGGGGTTTTGATATGTAACAAGCTCTACAAAAGTTCCACCTATGCAGTGTTCCATGAAAGTGACAGAAGCGAAATAGGTTGTGTGGTCGAACTAGAGTAGTCTTGAATGTGTATGCAGCGCCGTGAGGTTGGGCAATTGAAGTGTGAAAGTCAACTAGCTCAACAAGCTCATCAATACAAGAGTTCATATTTACTTCAATTTCTCAACTGCACTATGACCCAATGTCACTATTCGTCTTCCATCTAGGGCTTCGTAGTTGAACCAATGCGGCTATGGGCTGCCAAGACCGCACAACCTCCCCCGACTTCATTCCGACTTCCCTCCGCATCCCCGTATTCTTTGCTATGGATTCCAATCCACATTCAAATAATCTTCCAAAGCAGGCATGCGACGGCTGTCGTCGGCGAAAGGTTAAATGCATATCTCCGCGCCCTTGCAAGCAATGCCGAGCAGCCGGTCTCGTCTGTCGAACATCTATACAGCGGCAAAGAAAGGGACGTCAGGGCCAAACGGCGAACATCCTAAGTGAGCTCAGATCAAAAGAAATCGAGCGGACTCTCCCGTCTGGTTCAAGTGCCTCTCCGTCCACGCCTCTGGTTCCACAGTCGCCCAAACCGCAGGGCAGATCCTATTTCTCGAGAACCCCAGACCTTCTGGGACTCGAACTTATCAATGCTTGTTCGGATTATTTTTTCTCGCGCATGAGAGGTACAGTCCCTATTTTGCAGCCAAATGGCTTTCAGAAGCAGGTGGATACGGTTGATGCCTCTCTTCATGCCTATTGTTTTGTCACTGCTTTCTGTGCCTTCGTGGTTACTCAAACGGGATTTGGCGTGGAACAATCATCTCGCCCTAATGGCGCACTGTTCTCCGAAGATGACCGAAGCCGGTTGGTTGATGAGGCTACTGAAGCTCGAAAGCACCTCGACCCTTTCACAGATCCTGTGCGACAGAACATTATCATCGCTTTCCTTCTCTATGGATGTCATATTGGTTTGGGAAATCAACGACATGCATATTACTTTCTTCGTGAAGCTACAACGCTCTATACTGCGAGTGCACTAGAAAGTCAAGCCACATCTGCGCAGGCCGATGACGCCGATCCCTCTTTGGCAGGCAACTTATTCTGGCTATTACTAGTATCAGAGAGGTAATCTATTGGGAAGAAATCAAGATACAGCACTGACTCTATATCAGGGCTCACGCTATCAGACGACACAGACCAATTACCCTCCAGGTCACATCCCAGAGCCCGCAGCTAGAAGATAATCCCAATCCAGAGCCATCGGCCATTGGATTTCGCTGTTTGGCTAATCTTTATCTTCCGTTTGACGAAGTATTTTTGAGTCACTGGAATGGCAACCACACCACCTGCTCGGTTGAATCCCTTGTTGTCCTTGAGGAACGTATCCAAATCGCAGTCCCTCCAGAGCTTGACTTGCCAGATGTCATCATGGCTGATCTGAGAGTGTCTCAGCAGTGGCTACGCATTATGATATGGCAACTATCTACCACTGCTGGATTCTTATCCACCAATCCTTCTCACGAATGCATGGATTTCCGCTACCCTCTGCTAATTGCCCAGGACCTTTGTCTCGCAACATGGAAATTGTCTCGGCAGAGTATGGAAACTCACGGGATTGGCTTGGTACGTTAAACTTGATTTATTTTGAATATTTCTAATCATTTTCAGATTGAGAAAATATTTGAGGTTGCGTGTACGTTAGTCGACGTGATGGCATGCCTGTCAGCGGCTGGGCTACGTTCTTCGGGATTCAAACTTGGTCCACAAGACTATCTCAAGCATTTCTCTTCTTTAATTCACGATTTACCAGGAGGACGGCGAAGATTCCTCCCTCTTCTTTTCACCAAAATCGGTCAAACGTTGCCTTCTATGATAGACTCGATTACCATCCATTTGAATCTCCCTCCTAACCCAATCTTGAGCTCAACAACTAACGCCCAATCTACATCAATGCTAGCTGAAAAGGAAGCCCCCAGTGAATCCTCAACTGTGCTTGTCGCCAATCCTGCCTCTGATGATTGGGCGGATGAAAATTTCAACTATGCGGAGATGAGTCGTATTGGTGATAAGACGCCAGAGATTCATGAAGCATTCCTTCAATATTCGACGTATTTTCCTTGATTCTCGCGTATTGGATATCAAACCCCGAAAATAATTCATTGTTCTATTCTATATTGGTCTCATGGATCTGTCAATAACTGGATCTCCTGAAGATAGGAGACCGTGTCAATCGCTTTTGCTTGTCCCCAGCGTGTGAAAGATACCCAATATCCATCAAATATCTCACGCTGCTCTCCAGGGCTACGATTGTTTCTTTGGTGTCAAAATGGCAGTTTTCTGGGACTTCGTCTTGATCTCCCATGAATTGCCATGTATTCTCTTCAAACCACCTCAGCATTGGCATGAACGGATGATCAAAATCAGCCTCCTCGACTTCGGCTTGTACAAGTCTCATCCATTTTTCATGCTCTATTCTTTCGATTGGTAATCCCGTCACCTTGCCAAGAGAATCGCAGAATGTGGAAACTGTCACACCATCGACACAATGAATTGCCTCTGCTGAATACCTTTCCGGTTGCAAGAATATATCCGTAATGAGATTGGAAATCTGATCCACGCCTGCCACAGTGAAAAAATGAAGCTCTTCGCTGACGGATCTAAGGCGTGTAATTGTGAATGCCAGTCGCCAGAGGAAGTCTTCTGAATGGGCGATCCCTTCTTTCTGGGACCCGACAATGAATCCTGGGATTACAGTCTGTGCTTTCTGGCTTTTTTTCTTCTCTCGGTCTAGGTGTCTGTTGTACTCGGCTAACAGCAACTGAGACATGAACTTCGTTTGGTCGTATCCTGATGCGTCGGAGAGCTTTCTCGCAATCTGAGAATGGCTTTCTGCATCTTTTGGCATGTATCCGCCAGAGACATAGATCAATTTGCAGGGAGAATCCATTTTTGAAAGCCCGGACAGGATCTCAATGGTGCTATGGATGTTGACTTTTTCGAGCTCCTCATAGCTGTCCATCCAATTCACTCTGGCACCATTGTGAATGATGCAGTCGATTCGTCTAGTCGCGTCTGTTGTGAACAGTCTTTCCCACTTAGATTGTTCCAATCCAAGCGCTTGTTTGCTTAGATCTCCAGTCCAGACTTCAATACGATTTTGGTAATCTGGCTGCCACCACCGACCAAGTTCGCCATTCTCTTGAACCTTTCTTCGCGCTTCTTTTTCATCCTTGGCGCGGACAAGTCCAATTACACGCCCAATTTGGGGGTGTTCCAAAAGAGAACGCAAAATCTGGCTACCAAGAAAACCGGTGACGGATGTCAGGAAGACAGTCGCTGAGCGAATCTGGATGAAATCTAGCTTTGACTTCAGTTTCGCGAAGTCGGCAATCAAATTCCGGGAATCTGTGTCTTTCTTTTCTAGCTTGATTATCCCTGTGAGACTGTCTGCAATGTTGCAAACGGTCACATCTTTATGCAAGGTCTCAATGTTGAGCTTTTTTTGGTATTCCCTGCGAATCACATTCACCAATGATACCAATTGCATGGATGTAAAACCAGTCTTGACCAGCGAGAAGTCCCGACCCCGAATATATGATGCAAACTCCTCGTCTTTTGCCTCGATCATGTCTGCAATTATGTTGCTGATTTCTATCGCCGTTGTGTGCGCTTCTGGGATCTCAGGGAACTCTTCGCTCTCGGAGCCACCTCTGCGGCACATACGAATGTCCTTTTGGCTCATCTGAAGAAGTTGGCTGTGAAGCTTCTGTCGGTCAATCTTCTTTGACATTGTGAGTGGCAATGAATCGATTGGTACAAAAATGCTTGGAATTATGTATTCCGGTAGAGATTTCGAGAGCTGGGTGGAAAGCATATCCGCCAGTTGGCTTTGCTGATCCTGACTTGTTTCAATGAATGCAACAATCTCGGAATCACTTGATTCATTATCAGATAAAATCACTGCCGAGCGACCGGTCTCGAGACATAGGCCTATGGCACTTTCCACCTCTCTAAGGTCCACACGTAGACCTCGAATCTTGACATAACCGGTCTGACGACCCAGAAAGATAATATCACCATTTTCGTCGTATTTGACCAGATCCCCTGTGCGATAGACTCGTGAACCTTTGATTGGAGGCATGAAGGCAGCCCACTCGAGTGACGAGGGTTCCAGAAGGACTTTGGCCTGATCATCGGGGTCTTTGAGGTATCCAAGTGTCAGGAACGGACTCTGTATGAGCAGCTCTCCCTCGGCACCGAAAGGCATCAATCTGTGCACATTGGAAGGATCTGTGATCCAACATGCAACATTGCCGATTCCACGTCCAATATTTCGGGGGTTATCACCGGGCTTCATTGCCAACTTCACTGTGTCCCAGACTCCAGCTTCGGTTGATCCGTACATATTGTTCAATTGAACTCGCTCGCCCCATGTTGACACGATCTCCGCCGTTGTAGGTTCACCTCCGAGCCCCAGAAATCGAAGACCTGGCAGATTTTCTGGATGAATTTGGGGTATCATCGATGGAGTGAGCCAAGCATGCGATACTTTCAGATCGTTCATTGTTGATTCGAGGTCGCCGTTGCGCTCTTCCGGTGAGATCATGCAGAGACATCCACCAGCTGCTAGTGGAGCGAACACCTCCATTATACTGGCATCAAAAGCAAGACTGGCAGATTGCATGAATCGGGTGGAAGCATCAATATTGAATTCTTCGATACACTGGAGAAGGCTACGAGAGACTGCATCATGGCCGTGAATGACGCCCTTTGGGACTCCCGTGCTTCCAGAGGTGAACATGAAGTAAACTGGCTGTGAAGCATCGATGCTGAGGTCTTGCTGCCAGTCTTTCGGGCACTCCTCATCATCAAATCCCTCTGGTTTGATCAGCCTGGCTTTGAGATCTTTGAATTTCTCAAGTTGTTTTTCTTCAGTCACGAGATATTGAATATCAGCTCTTTCAATCACTTCTGAGATTCTTGCCAAAGGATACGATGGTTCTATTGCAGTGTATGCAGCACCTGCTCTCAATATTCCAATCAAGATGATGATCGTCTCCACGGATCTTTCCATGCAAAGGCCTACGGTACCTCCGGGCTTGACACCTTTGCTCCTCAGAATCTGACAGATGACAGCAGATTGTTTTCCCAGCTGTTCATATGTGATCTTTTCTGTGGTTGACTCAATTGCAATGCTGTCTGGACGCAGATGGTATTGCTTCGTGATAATTGCATGCAGACATTCTGGATAGTCGTTTTGATTGTGCTTTGCGGTATTGATGTCGCGCAGTCTTTCGATGTCGAATGAGGTTATACTGCTCATTTTATCAATTTTGATGCTGGGTTCTCCCAATAGAGTTTTGTATATACTCTGAAGACTTTTCAATACGGCGCATGGCTTAAGCTCTGGCTTTTTAAGGCTGTTACTGTAAACATTTGCCACCATACTGTCGTCAGAAATTGCAAAAACAAGCAGCAATTCAACCTGAACTGGATGTCAGCTCCGCTCTAAAGCAATGGAAATCTTATATGTAACACGGGTTTCATACCTCAAACAGCTCAAGCACCTTTGGCGGACATTTCAACTGCTCATTCGAAAGCAGCAAGACAGCCGTCTTCTGTTCCTTGCTCGTGCATCCTTCCCAATCATTGGTTGCAATAGCCTGCGATAATGTCTCTATCAATTGATTGCTTGTAAAAGCATTATCTGTTTGAATTGAAAGGCATTGGCCGTGAAGATCTTCCGATGAGACCTTCGTGTTCTTCTTGGGAAGATTTTGATGTTTGCCTTTTGGTTGAAGGTGAATAAAAGTAGGTAGGTTTGGTGCATAGTAGTCCCTCAAGAGGACTGTCCAAGCAGCGAGTATTGTTGTCTGTGTTCTCTCTATTTCCGACTTATCCTCGTTAATTGTGGCTGGGTGGCAAGCTGAGAAGATATGAGGATTCTCATCATCTGCGATACAGCGGTGTTCGGTGATAGTCATGGTAAAAGATCATCAGTAATGGCAAGGACAACTTGGTATTTGTTCAATTCTTATATTTGATAACAGTTGATTGATTTTCCCGTCTGATGCTCTGCTTTATATAGTTTCACAACCAGTACTGAATACCGAATCGATCTCGATCTTCGAACATTATGCCTGGGTTTCATTGCATCATGTCCAGAGAATTCAAAGCAAGTTTTTTGGTGGCTAGTTGACCGATCTTTGCGAGCAGAATAATCCCTGCTGTTCAAAGTCTGCCCCTATTTGACAATAGATCGATTTGCCAACCTACTACAAGTCACAACATGCATAGAACCCTTTTTAGAATACTCAGACCGTCCCTCCTGCAGCAGAACAACAAGTTCAATAGATCAAAACATGGCAATCTGCGTCTGCTGGTAACACGACTTCTATGCAGATGATCCAAGAGGTCCAGTTTTGCCCCTATTTGACACATAAATCGATTTGCCAATCTACCACGAGTAACAAAATGCAAGAAACCTTTTCCAGAATGCTTAGATCGTCACTCCTGCAGACGGAGAACAAGTCTGACGAATGAGAACATCGCATTCTGCGTCTGCTAGTGACACAGCTTTCTATGGATGATCGAAAACATACAGTAATTGGTTCGATTCATAGTCTCAATAATTAACTTATGACAAATATTGTGTTATTCTTGCCTGTGAATCATACCTCAGAGTCCTTGCACCCCAGATCGTGGCGAAGCTTGAGTAGTCCAGAGGTCCGTCATTCCTATGACCTTGTTAGCAATCGATGCTCGCCCAGTAGTCTTCTTAGTCATTGGCGCAATTTTAATTGACCTGCGGCTCTTTGTACGACCAGTCGATCCATTTTGAGAAAGTTCGAAGAAATTATATCGCCCTGATCTTCATTTTCCGGTCCTCTGGTCGCAACACTCCAATAGCGAATCGTATGCAACCTCCTGCAAGTACTTTCTGGTAAGGATGGATTGAATGAATTCAAGAATGCCTTGGTTTTCATTCACATATCACACCGCCACTACACATAGCACTATCTCTAGCAGACTTTGGATCTAATCTCCGGCCACAGTTGCACGGTCAATCAGGCTCGCGTCAGATGAAAATGTAAATGAACTCTAATATGACATAGCCTCGCATGAATCGCTTTCTTCTTTGTGCTCCGTGTATCTGGTGTGTAGTACAACTTTCGAATGAGGCTTTGTTCAACCCCAGGCTCTGCGTAATACTGCTTTGATTGGTTGAGAACAGCGGACGGCTGTAAGGAGGCATTCCTTCACTGACCTCTATTTTAAATCATCGAACTGCAATCTTGGTCGCATGGCCACTGACGCTGAATCATATAATGCTCTACTAGAATTGAGGATACTATAAGTTATGTCAGAATCACCTTCTGTCGAAATCTTGCATTCAGCTAACGCACTTGCTACAATACAAACTGTCCTCCACCTCCTCAAGATGCCTTCCAATGAATCTTCTATGCCTCGGCTTCCCAATTCTATGCCTGAGAAGGCTCTCTCGGTTGAGGCTGTGGGAGAATTGCTACAAAAGAATATGGCAGCAGATATACCTCCATCCCGCGATCTTGGAAGGTAAGATCTTTTTTTTTCAAACTTAGGGCTGAATCATATGCTGATGCCTAACCGCAGATTTACAACAACCAATTTCGATGAGACTGCTATGAATCTCATGATCGCAGGTGGTCTACAAAACCAAGCATGTATTGAAGAGTACCCATCTCTGGCAGAGTCAGTCCTGATTCCTAGTTGTCTACTATTCCGTTGTAAGGGTAACTGAAATCACGCTCTCTATAAGATTTGAAGAAAAATGCATCGCCATACTCGCCAATCTTTGGAATGCCCAGATTGGCTTTTTCGGCGCTGCAACGACGGGGTCCTCTGAAGCTGTTCTTCTGGGTGGTCTCACGATGAAACGACAGTGGCAGCGGAATCATCCTGACTCTTTGGGCTCTCGTCCTAATGTGATCATTGGGGCCAATGCACATATTTGCATCACTAAGTTCGCGGATTACTTTGATGTCGAGGCTAGGATTATACCTGTCAGTGAAAAAAGTGGATATGCGTTTGATGTGAAGGCTTTGGAAGCTCACTTGGATGAGAGGACAAGTATATACTCTCTATCTCTCTCTCATGTCTGATTCTTCTTCAGAGCTGACTTTGGATAGTTGGGGTTTTCTTGACTGTTGGATCTACCTATACGGGGCATTTTGATCCTGTCCAGCAAGTCTCGATGGTGTTGGATGAGTACGAGTATCGGAGCGGAAACAGCATTCCCATCCACGTCGATGCTGCAAGTGGTGGCTTCATTGCACCGTTTACTTCCAGCAACACAACCTTCATCTGGTAAACTGACATCCCTAAGCTTCATCCGCAAAAGTTAATGAATTCCTTGCCAGGGATTTCCGTCTCCCTCGCGTGCAATCCATCAATGCCTCAGGACACAAGTTCGGCCTGACTCCTCTCGCAGTAGGATGGATCGTCTGGCGTGAAAAGTCCCAGATTCCACAAGAACTTCTGCTCGAGTCTTCTTATCTCCGGGGAACTCATAGCAATTTCTCGTTGAGTTTCTCGAGATCGGGTGTACCTATCGTGGGTCAATATTATAACTTCCTCCGTTTGGGACTGGCTGGGTATCGGGATAGAACCCAGAGCTTGTTTGATCGGGCTTCTCGTTTGAGTGCTCTGCTAGAGGAGACGGGGTTTTTCTGCTGCTTGGGCGATGCTCATCGGCGGCAGAGTGCAGCTGGTTACCATACGCTGTGTCGGGGAGGTGACCAAGCTGCTGCTGCTCCTGTGCTTCCCATTGTGGTATTTAGGTTGACTGATCGTGTTCGACGACAGTATCCTAACCTCCAGTTATCCAATGTTAGTGATGCAATGCAAGGTTTGAACTTCTCTATTCCGAGTAAGTAGCTTCCATCTTCCTACCAGGTTTGTATCTGACACAGATTTCAGACTACACCCTTCATGGTTGGGGAGCTCAGGGTGAAGATATCGAAGTCATCAGAATAGTTATTCGCGATGAGATGACGACGGACCTGATGGGAGAAGTGCTTGCGGGCATAATTCAGGCAGTGGAAAGACTGATGGACCAGGCATACCTACTACAGGACTCGTGATTCCTTCGGGGATTGGCTATGAAACCTCCACGGCAACTGATGAGAAGGAACAAATCTTAGAGCTAGAGTAAATAGTAACTGTACAGATAATATATCATAAGAATAACCCACAGGAAACAAGTCTAAACGCAGATCTAGATCGAGCGCCTAAATTGTCTCAGCAAGAATGCAGAGCCGTAATTCCAAAGAACATCGGGTTAATGTATATTTCAAATGCAATAGGCTGAAGCGAAAGCAAAAATTCGTGACATCGTCATGTCGACAACTTTTCAGGGATCTGTTAAAGATCAAGGGGCACTTGGCTCGTCGTCGTCCGACTTGTCAATTCCATCATCGTCACTCTCCTCGCCCCAGCCGTCTGCTTCGAGGGATCGGCCTCGAATTCCGAAACTCATGATGAATCCAACAAAGGAAACGGCACCAAAGACTCCGAATGCTAGGGCCTCGCCTTTGGGTTGGACCTTCGCCGTTAGAGAGAAAAGTCCTCCGGATAGGAATGGGCCGACTGCTCGTCCGGCTGCGGAGAGGGTCTGAGCAAGACCATTGAGCGCACCCAGGACGGCATTGTTGGGGGCGGAGTTGGTGATCAAGAGCAAAGCGCTAGTCAAGCCACCCACGGAGGCTATAGTCTTGACTAACAAGACAAAGCACAATTCTATAGCCATGAGCGCGGACTTGCCAGTCAAATTCTCAGTCTTTGAGCTCTTGTACCCGATGAAAGGCATCAAGATAAATGAGATGACGAAGCCAAAAAGCCCCGCGCGGTAAGACCATCTATTGCCCATCTTGTCGCGTAGGCGATTGAAGATGCAGATCTGGAAAATAATGGTCACGATGCCAGCAAATCCTTGCGAAAGCCCAATCTCAGACGGGGTGAGTGATCGTCCCGCCGGTGGTTTAGCTTGTGCAAAGATGGGGAACAAGGAATTGAAAGAGACGTTGCAAAAGGCAAAAATCAGGTAAGTCAAGAGAAGCAATATAGTATCTCGGGTGAAAATTTCATCCCAAGCAAGTTCCTCGTGGTGTCCGAGCAGGCTAGACACCTCCGATGCAGAATCTAGGTCACTGTCATGGTCTTCCTGTTCTGTGCCACGGTGGTCATGGGGATATGGAACCCCCTGCGGAGCTGCCACATATGTTGGCCGACGAGAAGAGCTGGTAAACTGCCAGAGCCAGGTGAAAAGGCTGCGTACTTTTCTTCCAATCTTTGGGATACTCTCTGCATCTTCCAGGCTCTCTTGGAGGAAAAGAGTTGTCAGCGCGAAGTCAATCAGAAGAATGACGGCAGCCACGAGATTAGGCGCAAGGTATGGGTAGGGGTTTTTGTTTCCGGTGAAGGGATTTGTTTCGAAGATAAAAAGCCCTCCCAGAAGAGGACCGGTTATACCGCCAATTCCGTACAGAACAGGAAGGTAAGTAAAAGCCTGTGACTGATTACTGCGGTCGGTGATTTCTCCCAGGCATGTAGATACCAGTCCCTGGTTGCCATTGACTACACCCATCAGTGCCTGCACTGCGATGGCTTGTCCTAGGGTCCTGCAGAACCCGAATGCGACGAAACACAAAGCAGTCAAGAATGTGCCGAGTAGGATCACCGGCTTGCGACCAACACGATCCGAGAGCCAGCCCCAGAAATAGTTTGTAGCAAATTGTGCGAGTGCAAATGCAGATGCAATAGTTCCAACGTATACACCCACCTGACTCGGCTCCACCTCGGGAAATGTCGATGCCATGTCGGGAAGATAAGGACTGATCGAGTTCAGCGCAGTCTGCTCGGCCAGGGCAATCATGGCTAGCACGGCCATCTGCCTTTTTGGCAAAGGTGATTGTGTTCCTGGGTGATCAGCGGCATCATGGTGGTGATCGTGTGAGCCATCTGCTGAGGACTCGGACTGGCCCGAGTTCGGTCGTCCACGCGACTTGGGCGGAGGGGTATCAAAGGTCTGGTAATGTTGCGTAGAGGAACGGCGATTCAGCGAGACTCGATCGGAGCCCGGCATAGTGGCAGCACACCGAGAAGTCCGAGAATGGAACGCGCTTCAACTCATGCGATTTTGCCGGTTCTAAGCGCAATGATGTCGTGTGAGATGTTGAATAACAGTCTCAACCAACACTGTCAGTCGAGTGTGTGCCCGGTGACGGTTCCAAGCGGTTGTAGGGAAGATCAGGGGAGTGGTTTCCGACAATTCGAGGTGTTGCAATGGTTCAAATCACCGCAATCGGGAAAGCAGGGAAACCAAATGATGATGTAAGCGTGGGGATGCTGACTCATTGGTTCTGGCCAGCAGTTTTGGGTGGCGTAGTAATTATTCATGCAGGTTCAATGTCTAGTTTGATGTGTTGGTTGGTTATTATTGGACTGACCCTTACATTTTAACAATACTATATCTCCTAAGTCTACTGGATATTGTATATCTATGGTAACATTACAGTGTACCTTATGTAGGGTGCAACACTATATGTGCGTCACACCTATAGATAGCTATGTCCAATTATGACCACCTCACTTCTCAACCCTGTGGTGTCTCGGGTCCCATCTCTACTCGGTCTATTTACTTGAACTGGGACTACTCTCACGTTTGGTCATAATATTGGTGGCCTACGTCTGAAGTTAACGTTATAACCTAGACAGTAACCAATGGTTCACTTACCAGCATCATGTCAATCCACTTGGATATATATATACATCCTGGCTTTTGGCAAATTGGATTTTCACGCCAAAGGTGCGTGAATGTCATATTCTGATCAAGCTCGGGTCATCAGCATCACCGAATTGAATGTTCATTTGATGCCAGTGAATCTATAACTATTGATGATGTATTGGTAGATTGCAAGTAGAGATCAAGTGTCGCTTTTCGAACATAATGTCAATGATGGCCCGATCATTCATCAACCAGCCAAGTGGTCGAGCAGTAACTCGATCATTCAATCTTCCTTGGTCTAGTGGTGATGATTTCCGCTTGTCATTAATACCGATAAGCGCGGGAGACCGGGGTTCGATTCCCCGAGGGAGAGTTTCTTTTTTTGATTGCACTTGCAATATCCATGCTTTTTTTATAGCTGGATTTATTCTGCTTTTTTTTTTTGCCAATACCTTCGAATATAGATAGGCATGCTTCTTGCTCTTCACTACGTATATTCTGTCAGTTTATCTATAAACGACCTGCAGGGTCGTGTGGTGTGCAAGTGGTACCTAAAGTGGGTCCGTCGCCGCAAGCCCTAAGAAAAAGTCTGTTGCCCCATATAACACAACCGGGCCTGTCCATTCAACAAGGCCGGCTGGCCCAATGGCAAGGCGCTTGACTACGAATCAAGAGATTGCAGGTTCGACCCCTGCGTCGGTCAATTACATTTTGCTTTTTGAAGCTGTCAATGGTGTGTGTGGTGGACGAGAAGCTCTTATCATTTTGCATCGAAGTGGTGGCCGTGGAGCATGACTGGCCAGGAATGGTAATATATGATTGGAGAGAGAGAAGGAAAGAACAGAGAAATCACACTAAAGAATGGCCCTCAACCAGGAAGACAGTGAGAACTCGTTGAGTGATCTATGAAGTTGAGAAGACAGTGATGAGACGCAGATGGAAATCCAAAGTGTATAGGGTATAAGCCGAGCACACAGCTAGTAAACATAGGCCAAGCTTTACGCAGCTCAACACTGGAATCTGCACAAGGTGAAGTAAACCAGACGTAAACCACGTTGAAGAGAGAGAGAGAGAGAGAGAGAGAGTCAATTAGACAGGTATCATACCCAGTTAGCCACACAATATAGTATTTCTTCTATTCTATACTGGATACAGGTAATGTCACGATCAACATTCGTTTGCTGTTAATAAGCAATCTTCATTCTGTTAAGTATAGCATAAACACCATCCAACCCGGGGCACCATTCGGGCCTACTGCGGGTACGAGTTTCCACAACAGCAACCAGAGGATGGGGAACCGACAATTCCGCCGAACAAAAGCGGAACGGGACTGAGGATTGTTCTGGGATTGGTTCAGGTAGACATCAAACCTGACCAGGTGGCTCCCGGAAGCAAGAGAGCACTAATACGGAGGACGCGAAGCGGGAGAGGAAATTAAGTACATAGTCAAAGGATATGAATGGAATTAATGAATAGCAAGCAAAGGATATAAACAATGCAAAAGCTAAAAAAATAAGAACAAACACGGCAAGAGGCCATCATTTTTTCATCACTTCATCACTTCATCAACAAACTGACAGCCCAGGGAACACTAAGTCCCCGCAAATCACCATAGTGCTGACCGACGCCAAGGAAGACAATAGGAATTCCAGTGGCGTGAACCATACTGACAAGTGTTCCCACCATATCACCAACAGTGTCACACTTGCTGATAATGAATCCGTCTAGATTCCGGCCTGTGCCAAAGGCTTGGTTGAAGTTGCGTGCTTGCATGACACTGTCCGTGCCAACGAGAGCCTCACCAACCATGAAAATCTTGTCCGGGTTGGCGAACTTGGCGAACTTCTCCAACGAAGACATGAGACGTTGGTCGTTGTGGCGGCGGCCTGCTGTGTCGATCAGGACAACGTCGAACTTTTGAGCGGCTGCGTAATCAACGGCGTCCTTGGCTACATTGGCGGCATCTTTGCCGTAGCCCTTCTGATAGATCTCAACATCACCGGCGTTCTCGCGGACGCTCAATTCCTTAAGACGATCTACGTGCACACGGAGTTGCTCGACAGCACCGGAACGGAAAGTATCACAGGCTGCGACGAGGACTCGGTACTTGTTCTGCAGGAGGAAGTAGCAGATCTTGCTCAGGTTGGTCGACTTGCCAACGCCGTTGACACCGACAATAGACATGACGTATGGCCGAGGGGCCTGCGCCTTGGTGGTGGGAGCAGTCACGGCGTTGATCTCACGCAGCAGATCTAATGAGGACGTCGGGGTCAGGATCTTCCGCAACGAAGACTCCATGGCCACCTGCAATGCAGCATCGGCACTCTGGAAGTTGGCAGTCTTCTTTCCAACCATCTCACGCTTGACTCCATCGCAGAGACGAACCGCAGCTTCGCGAGCAACGTTCTTCTTCAAAAGGTGCTCTTCCATCGCCTTCAAAGGCTTCTCGAGATCAGATTCAGTCAATACCTTTCCGCCAACAATGTTGCGGAAGAAGCCCCCAACGGCATTGAAGCCAGACCCAAGGACACCAGAAGACCCAGTGGATTGAGCCTTGTCGGCATCGGCTTGATCTAGAATGGATTGGACTTCCTCGCCCAACTCTTTCAGCACAAACTGACCCTTGCCAGTCCTGCGACCCATATCACCCTCAGAGACGGCCTCCACCACTGGAGCAATAGTCTCTCCTTCATCAGCGGGGGCGGAGTAATCAAGGATCTCTCCGTCATCCTCATCCGCCATCCCACTAGCATCCCATCTGCGCATTTTCTTCGCGGGGGCCTTGGCAGGCTTTCCCTTGCGGGACGTTTCATCGCCAGATGACGCATTGGCGCTGGAGGCAGCCTTGCGCGCACGGCGAGAAACACGACCTCCAGGTCCGGCCTTGGCGGTAAGAAGATGGCCTTTTACGGGAGTCGAAGATCTAGAAGTATCAGGTGTGGCCGGTGGCGTTCCCTCGTCAGAGGTTGCCCCGGCTAGCACAGCTCTAGGCTGCGCTTTCAGTTGGTCAGCACGAAAAGCTGCTTGCTACGGGACGGAAACCAGGTCATACCTTTCACCAGGCCAGGAATTGGTGGCGGCGGTGGGCCTCCATTATCCGATGAGACAAGCGGGTCTTTCTTTTCCGACTCTGCTTCATATTCCTCTGCAAAACCTCCAGAGTTGTCCTCAAGCTCCCGGACTTGCTGCTCAAAGTATTGATCAAATCGATAGTTCTGGATTCTCGCGCGGTTTCCTTTCACTTGGTCTTTGTAGAGGTCGATGAAGATAGTCGAAATGTTCTCCAGAAGTTTATCAATCCATCCGAGGTGAAGCAGCGACTGGTAGACGGCCTATACAAGTCCATGATTAGTTTTGAGGTCGGCTGGCGATCTCGATGGGCGCATGCGCAGACGTACCACGAAGATCAAATCAAACTCCTTGACTCGCTTCCACTTGAGAGTGTATTTTTCCTTCTTGAATGCTGGCGACACTCCCGTGGCGCTGGGAACGACCTTTTCCTCAATGAAGACGTCGTTGATCAGGCTGTTGATGACATGTGCGCCCACTGGAGCATACGACTTGGACCAGAGGACCACACCGGAGGTCGTTAAAATCTCAAAAGCCTCCAACATGCTGAGCTAGTAATCAAAGAGTTCGCAGAATCAAAGAATGACCGAGACGCAACAATAATGTGGGAGAGGGAAAGCTGCCGGGGACTGGTGGCGGAAGTTGGAGATCTCGGGAGCGGATTGGACCTTCAGCCACGTATAAACACTTTCCCTTCCTATCCTCGCTTCCAGTCCATCGCCACCAAACCTTCCACTCTTTAGCTTATCTTCTCTTTCTTTCTACCACTATGTATCGCGGCTCGTTCGCTCCGCCGCCTGCGCAATCGCCACCCCTTCATCACCCAGTCCCCCAACATGTTTCGACGGTGCCTATGATGCGCTCACCACCACCTCCAGCTCCTCAACAACCCCCAAGTGCTGGCTATGGCGGGAACCCATACCAGCCCTCCCCTGCCCAGGGCGGTAGTGGCACATATGCTCCTGGGTTCGGCGGGTTCATGAACGAACCCACGGCACAGATGGGGTTCCAGGTCGGCAAAAGTGCGATGGCCGCTGGCCAGGAATATATGGAACAGAACGTACGTGCCTCTCTCTTTCGTGCCTTGTTGTTCCTATCTGACCAGATGACAGTTCAATCGCTATGTTTCCATCCCCGCGCTTAAGCACTACTTCAATGTTTCCAACTCCTACGTCCTGAACAAGCTGGTTCTCGTCCTCTTCCCCTGGCGTCACAAGCCCTGGTCCCGCCAGCAGGCTCGACTGACCTCCAGCTCTGCTGGCCCTAATGGCCAGATCATGCAGCAGCAATACTCGTCCATGTTTCTGCCCCCGCGTGATGACTTGAACTCACCTGATATGTATATCCCCGTCATGGCCCTGGTCACATACATTCTCCTGTCGGTGTTACTGGCTGGGTTCCGAGGCAACTTCCATCCGGAGCTGCTGGGTTCGATCACTACCACCGCTATTGCTGTGATCCTATTTGAAATCCTGTGCCTAAAGCTGGCTACATACATTTTGAGCATTAACAATGACTCTCAATTGCTGGATTTGGTGGCCTACTCGGGTTACAAATTTGTGGGTATCATTGTGACTATGGTCGCAGCGGAGATCTTGAACCCCGGTCAGGGTACCGGAGGTTGGGTTGGCTGGACTGTCTTTGCGTACACCTTCTTGGCCAATGCATTTTTCTTGGTGAGGACTGTGTCTGTGATACCCAGGGTGTTCCAATGCTAACTTCGTATACCAGCTCCGCTCTCTCAAATATGTGTTACTGCCGGATTCGACCGACTCCGCCATTCACGCTGGCTCGATGCACACCGTGGCTCGCTCTCAGCGCAACCGCCGCACTCAGTTCTTGTTTGTGTACTCCTACGTTGTGCAGTTCATCTTCATGTGGGTGCTTAGTCGGGAGGGACCCTCGACATCTGGCTCCGCGTCGTCATAATCGGAAGGTGAGATATTGCTGATATAGAAGGGAGGAAAGGACGGATAGCATAGGAAGGACAGAGTGGATGCCTGATCGGGCATTGCACGGGGTAACGATATAGCACGACTTATTGTAATCAAAATACCTGCATTTGTAGCGGTCTATCGTACGGGCACTACCAAATGAGAATAGCTACAGAAGCACAAGAGTCTAGAGAAAAGTAAAGTAAAAGACTTTATATGAATTATATTAACTATAGACATGCTGACCACTGGAAAAATCTGTCGAAGGTTAGAAAAGGTTCATCAACGACTCAGAGCAAAAAGTTGCAAAGTAATCAAAGGTCCTCAGAGATCTTGGTAGTTATGGTAATATCATAGCCATAGCTCAATTACTATCTAGGCGTGATAAAGTTTTTAATCATCGGACGGGGAGGGGATGGTGCAATAACTGAAAGTGCAAGGTGAACATACCCAGTAGAGAGTTGTCGAGTTGGAGGCCTTGGTAGTTAAGGCGGTATATTTCCTAGATATCTTGAAACAGTCAGCGCGATGTCTTCTCAACAGCAATGACAGTATTGTGTGGAAGGATCCAAATCAGAATATGTAAGAAATTAAATATCATCCAACAGCGCTGTATAGAGACCCCGGCGAGGGCCTCACAGACGCTGGGTCAATCGCAAATTACCGCATCATATGAGGAGGCAGAGGGCAAGGCAGGAGGGAGGCTTACCATCAGTTCGTGCATGTATACACACTCGGCTGCAGCGCAGATCCATGGATATCGTCCAGTGGCAAATCATCCAAAGCCACTGGCAGATAATCCAGTCTTAAGTAGAAGAAGAACTGCGGTTGACCGAAAAAAATATAAAAGCACGGTCTCGGAGCCGGGTTAATCCGGCTGCTGACCTCAGCAGAGCCCTATCGCTGCGAGTGGCCGATTAAGCGAGAATTGCGAGTTGTGGGCACATCCCGGAATTTCGAGCCAACTTCTGGACAATTGAACTCTTTCGACAACCCATACACATACCCTCCGACCGTGAGTAGCCTTACTCTTCTACACGCTACAAGAACACCCGCTGAATTTTTCGTCTAGAAATTCGACATGGCCGATATCGATGTCAAGGTCGCTTCCTGGAAGCTGGTTGAGGTTGGCCGCCTGGTGCTGATCCGCGCCGGTCCCTACGAGGGCAAGCTCGCCGCTGTCGTTGAGATCGTGGACCACCGCCGTGTACGTTGAGATCGCTTTCCTCTCCGACTCCGACAATAAACAAGAAATTGCGAAATTGGAGTTTTTGGAGATTGAAATCGGGAACATTTCCACTGACATCGAACACAGGTCCTGGTCGACGGTCCCTCCACCGAGGAGAACAAGATCGTTCCCCGTCACGTTCTTCCTCTCGCCCACGCCACCCTCACTCACTTCACCATTCCCCAGCTCCCCCGTGCTGCCGGTACCGGTCCCGTGAAGAAGCTTTGGGCTAAGAACGAGATTGATGGCAAGTGGGCCAAGAGCTCTTTCGCTCAGCGCACCGACCGCTCCGAGCGCCGCAAGAACCTGTCCGACTTCGAGCGCTTCAAGGTCCTCCGTCTCCGCAAGCAGGTATGTGATGAAGATCGAGACCCCAGGGACTCAGTCGCAATGATGCGCCTGGGCCCTGATTGGATCCGATCCGATCTTGAAAACCATGAACATCCAACTAACTCCACTACAGGCCCGCTACGAGGTCCAGAAGTCCTTCGCCAAGGTCCGCGCTGCCACCAAGGCATAGATGATTACGAGGTTTCGGTGCATGGGTTGAAGGAGGTGTCCTGGAAGGGTTTCCATTGCTGGTCCCCCAGCAAAACAGCTGTATACATTACCAATGAACAGCAAAAATGATTCAAAATCCTTGATATCCCGATAGGGCCATTGTCATCGGTTTTCTTTCCTCCGTGGACTACTGTTATATCCCCAATTTATCCACGGGATCGTCTTGCTCTCTCCAAAAAAAACCCAAATCCCCCAAAATAGAAGCAGAGATGCGTAAATAATGACCTATAAACATTTAATCGCCTGAAATTGGAGACCTTAGCGTTTAAAAATGGCGATGTCGTAGTTCCCTATAGTCCAGATAGGGCAATGTGTGCAGTCTGGGGAGTGGGCATCCGCTCGCTAACGATTTTCGGGTCGGCCGCACAGCTCTCATCTTCAACCTCAACAAAATCCATCAACCAACCACCACAGCTTGATATCTACCTCTCAGGTACGTATTGTCATTCAACTCGTTCGAATCCTCGCCTTTTCATCATCAAATCCCGCCGTTTCCCGGATGTCGTGCGATTCGTGGGGGGTCGACTCTCCCACCATGCCCGCTTTCCCACCATTCCCACCTTGACGGTCATGAACCACGCAAAAAACCAACCCACTAATCGAAATCTGCTTTTGTTATAGGCACACATTCGCAAAAATGGCTGATCCCCGCGTTGAAGAAATCCACGATGACGAGGTCGCTAAGACCGTCGAGGAGAGCTCCTCTGAGTCTGGCTCCGAGGCTGGCGATGAGCCCACCATCCCCGCCGGTGCCTCCGTCGCTGTCCACTCCCGTGGTGAGAAGAAGGCCCGCAAGGCCATTGGCAAGCTCGGCCTGAAGCTCGTCCCTGGCATCACCCGTGTCACTCTCCGCCGCCCCAAGAACGTATGTCTGCGACCGTGAGATCTGCCACCACAGCTGTCATTGAATTGAACATTGCATTGCATTTTCATGACCTGCACCTTGCTTGGTGGTGGTCTACGACATTCCAATGAATGCGCTGATACTAATTGTGTACATAGGTCCTCTTCGTTGTTAACCAGCCCGAGGTCTACCGTTCCCCCAACTCCAACTGCTGGATGTATGTGACCTTTTAACCCTACTCCATGAAATTTCCAACTGACCATCTGCAGCATTTTCGGTGAGGCTAAGATTGAGGACCTGAACTCCCAGGCCCAGGCTTCCGCCGCCCAGCAGCTTGCTGCCTCCGAGGCTGCCGGTGACCACGCCGGTCACAACCACGAGGAGGAGATCCTCGGCAAGGGCAAGGCCCCCGAGGCTGAGTCCAAGGAAGAGGAGGAGGATGATGGTGAGGCAGCTGACGAGTCTGGCCTCGAGTCCAAGGACATCGAGTTGGTCATGGCACAGGCAAACGTTTCCCGCAATAAGGCTGTCAAGGCTCTTCGGGAGAACGACAACGATATCGTCAACTCCATCATGGCCCTCAGCATATAATGAAGGAGCCCCAATAAGGTTCTAAGGATTGGACGATGGTGATGCCCATAGTTGTACACAAATAGCCCAAAAACAATTGAACCCGACTTGTTCGACAACACAGAATATCTCAATTCTCTTCGTATATATTTAAATCAGTACTGAATAGAATAGATATTCAGTGCGCTGCGAGATATCCCCGTATGGATTCGGGCTGTCCATTTTATACTCGTAAGGTCCCGGAACCATGGCTCACGTGACCCAACCTCCAAACCTTTCCGAGCGCTCCTCGTTTCGGCACCTCCCTGCACATCGAACTCCCCTCTCTTCTCCCCACCCCCCAAACCTCTATCATACCCGTCACAATGGCTGCTGTATGTTCCAATCTTCTTCTTTAGCTGGTGCACAACCAGTCTACCCATCTCGATGGCTCCCGCTAACTCCCCTTACCCGAACAGCGCAGCGCCGCTACCAAGATCGACTGGGCCAAGGTCTCGAGCTCGCTCGGCCTCCGCGGTCAAACCGCCATCTCCCTCCAATCCTTCAAGAAGCGCAACGACGAGGCCCGCCGCAAGGTTACCGTCCTGTCCGAGCAGCCCCAGACCGTTGACTTCAGCCACTACCGCGGTATCCTGAAGAACAAGGCCATCGTCGACGAGATCGAGAACCACTTCAAGACCTTCAAGCCTGCTTCCTACGATGTCAGCCGCCAGCTGAAGGCCATCGATGCCTTCGAGGCCCAGGCTGTTCAGAACGCCGAGGCTACCAAGGGCAAGGTTGAGGCCGAGCTGCAGAACTTGCAGAAGACCCTTGAGAACATCGAGACTGCCCGTCCCTTCGAGGATCTCACTGTCGTAAGTATCTACTGCTGGAATGAGGTATCGGGGATATGTCACTTACATGATTATTTATTTAGGACGAGGTTGCTGCCGCCCAGCCCGAGATCGACGAGAAGACCGCCTCTCTCGTCTCCAAGGGCAAGTGGATGCCCCCTGGCTACAAGGTATGTGATGGCCACTATATTGATAATGAATCGATACTCATACAGTTTGTAGGAGCGCTTCGGCGATCTGTCCGCTGTCTAAGCGCGGACTCTTGTGGCCTCAAATCCGCCTTGTTATCCCTCGTTTCATCACACTACGTGATCATGTTGTTTGGAGCCAAGAATATGGCTATTTCGTCGGTAGATGGTCAGATACCTCCGATAGTGTGGTGGGCTGGGATGTGTATAGAAACATACATTGTCGTTTCCGTTATCAATGGTTTCAATTGTCCAGTAAATGTCTGCGTAGTTGTTTTCTGCTGCATGGAATGTTCCCTGCATTGTTTCGTCTTCTATAGAACGAATGTATAGAAAAAAGAAGCATCAGAGTAAACTCAGACTTCATAGTGAGTCAGGGTATATATCTCGAGACAAATTTCGTACCAACCGCACAATCTTCTCATCTTTGCACTAAACACCGATCATAACCAGCGGCAACATGCAACAACAGCTGTCAAAGCCCCATACTGCGTCAACTGGTGCATCAAGCCACAGACCTGATGCTCAATGCGGAGCTCTAAGGGCGCCAAGACACGCAACTCACCTCGTTTACCCACTTCCCCTCCCCCTCGAGCTTCTTCAATTCTCCTCATTGGAGACGACTCTGCAGGTGCCTCTTTACGATCAGATGCTTGCTCGTCGGCATGCCAGTGCTGTACCCTGAGGTCATTGCATCCACTGAGATGCCCGAGATCTGTTAATTGACGTCTTCAACCCCCGGCAGTATATAACTGTTCTAAAAACAGAGGCAATAACCAAAGAAACGCATAAAGAAAAGAATCAATAAGGTTATCAATATATTACACCCAAGCTTGACACAGCCAGATTGTCACCTGCAAAGCAAATGGGCCAACAAGACCCAAACCCATTGTCCGACCCATGCTCGCGCCTGGAATCCCTCCCAGTGGAAATAATCCAGTTGATATTCCTTCACTGTCTCGAAGTGAATCTCCCACGTGCATCACCGCGGCTGAGCTACGCGCTTTCCAGTCCGCTGCTGTATACCTGGCTCATTCGGCTAGCGTTTAGCAGTACGAACCCCAGCTCGCGCGAGGGATTCTTCACGCCGGACTTTTGCCGCCGCCATTGGACTTTTGGGCGTTGTCTTGGGAGGAACGACAGAAGCTTCAGACTACGCTTCTGACTTGTCGGTGGTGTACCTTTCCGCTGCTCAGGCGGTGTCAACGAGAGTATGTTCTTCATACAATTCGGAGGAAATGTGCCGGCTTAGTTTTCCATGAGGATGACATGGCTCTGTTGGAGAATTTAGAGGCCCGATTTGAGGATCTGGGTGGGTGTGATTGGGCTGTTAATGGGCGGCGTGGGAAAGGAGACCTGGTTTTTCATGCGCAGCTGGACAGTAATGCGTCGTCTCGAATCGACCGGAAAGTCGCCATCTGGTTCCACTTTGGTGCTGTACAGATCCGTGAGCCGCATGATATCTACTATGAGAATGATCTCTTTCGGCTGCCTTGTGCTCTGGCTATCCGCCCAGGTCGTATTCCAGATAAAGTCTTGCGGTCCCCATGGTCGGATTCTCAATTTGAATTTCTCCAGCTCTTGTCTGCGGATTTTTATCTGGATGAGGATGAGGTTTGCCCTGAGCGCTCCTCTGAGATTACATATCGTCTCATCCGAAAACGAATGATCGAGCCTTTTCGTCGATTACTGGGTATGTCTTTCCGCGCTGCGAATTGTCGTGTCCCTGCTCGCTGGCCGTTACAGCCTTCGCATTACTCCCTGGTTCGACGGTATGCATCTGGGTCCGGGGATCCGTTTGCCATGACTATTCTACATGACCGATGGGATGATGTCCCCGCCGACGCAAAGGAGGACTTGCTGCGATACATTGAGCCAGAGGGTACGTCGTGATGCATCATTAGGATTGAAACACCAGGTGATTTCCATCTCTATTCTTGTCCATATTACGATACCATGTGCATAGCGAAAGAAAGAAGTGATAAACGTCATATCCTATCATTTGATTCATGATTCAAAATTAAGAATTGCGCCTCGGGGTATGTACTCCAGATAGCAAAGAGCAAGAGGCAAACAGCAAATAGCAAAAGGAAATAAAAAATAGGACAAAGTCAAGCGCTTCCATAACAATCATAGATCCCCACACTGGCCCATATTATGCTTCAGTGTGTAAGGTGTCAGAGGTAGGCTCGCCGCAGCGAGGCGCTTCCTCTCAGACTGCCGATCGTCGGCCTCGTCTGCGTTTTCCACATGTGCCGCAGGTGAGGCAAGAGATGATGACATCGATCACGGTCACGACGCCGCTGATAATAGCGTGGAGGATGGAGCCGATGGCATTGACGACAGCCATGAGGCAACTTCCGATGGCGCGGAAGACGCTTTGAATCTGGGACATGTTAGTGGGTGTTGTTGATGACACTAATATAGATGAGTAACATACACAGGAGACGACGGCACCCATTTTGAATGTAGTTTGGTATGAAGTATTGTGTGTTGTTCAAGTCAAGTAGTTAAGACTTGGGGTTGGTTGTAGAAGTAGACTCCGAGCTGGAAGATGCGTGGGTATGGACGGTTTTGTCACTGAAAGGGTTCATGATGCAGGTATGGTGGGAAGCAGTGAAGATTTAAATAGAGGAAGAGATTAAATGACGATTGTTGCCAGCCCTAGAGTGATCTGCTCTCTACGTAACTGGTGTCTCAAAGAGGTGAAGATGGACAAGAGACAGTTCATGCAAAGCTTCAGGAATACTATCAATAGGGCAGTAGTGACGTAGAAGTTATGACAAAAGGCTGGGGGGCTTGCAGGTTGAAGTATGAAGAGGTGAGGTTCCCCCAAGAGGAACTGGTTTGAGCCATTCCGTCATATCGTCATTTCCTTGATTTGGAGCTCAAAAAGGTACAGGGTTTTTTGTCTTGGCCAATGATGGGCCCACGTTGCTATCAGGGATCGTCCAACGTGTGAGGAACCATATTCAAGCAGTTTCAGGTTCCTTCTAGGGCTTCATCCTGCTCTGACAGCTGAAGGACATTTTTTTGCTGCTAAATGTCATTGACGTCATTTGATAGTCACCTGACATATCCAGATTGGGCCACATCACCTGACACTAGTCAGCTGACCTTGCTCGACAGGGGATCACATGATGTTAACTTACCAGGTGACTCTTATCGCAGAGGGTGTTATCGCCCTGCATTGACTTTTTTATACTTCAATGTTTTGACTTGACCTGGCTCTCACTTAAATGGCCTGAGCTCACTGGCCCTGGTTCATTCGATCCAAGGTGTGAGTCTGCAACTTTATGAGTACTTCTCAGAATAAGTATGGAGCTAGAACGGCAAAGGTCGCCTTGCCAACCACTAATGGCAGCAGACGCAGACGCGGCCGTCAGTTCAAAAAGCCTACGTCGAGTCGAACTTCCCGGTCAAGCTCCCGTCCAGATGACATACTCTCCAACTCACCTGCAACTGCGCTCCCGCAAGCTCCTAGAACCATGTCTATGCTGGAGGCTCTTCCGCACGAGGTGATCGAACAGATCTTTCTGTTCTCACTCGAACTGAACTTCCCGCGCGCATCGCCGTTCCTATCCAAGGCTCTATCCCGCGAGAATGTCTACCGTGTGCTTATCCTCCTCGCTTTCTGGGTCGACCCACGGACCTACTCCGGGAGTAAGGCCATCGATCGCATGATGGCTCCGTTCGACTATACCCCACTTGAAGAAGATGAGCGCAAGACTTTACAAGAAGCTGTGATCAAGTGCAAATGGTGTACAGCCAATCGCCTGCTCCAGAGAATCCCAGATATGCAGATCCTTACTGTTCACCGGTATTGGATCAATGCTGGCATTGTGGTAGATGAGCAACAACAGGACGCTTTCAAGAGATTCATGGGCCGCAAGGATGTTGAGAGCCAACACAATTTTCAAGGAGTGGGCGATCCGCAATACAAAGCTGTTGGCCCCCTCAAAGAGCGACTCCAACAGATTTACTCACGATTCGGTCCCTCAGGCCACAAAGGACCCTACAATTTCGACCTCGACATTAAACCCATGGTGTCCCTTGATATCAAAATCCGTGAACTTAATATGTTAATGACCTTGCCGGCTCTGGGTCTCTGCACCTTTCCTTCCCATCTCCTCCGCGGCCGTAGCAATGGCTTTACCCAAGAAGACGTCCAATTTCTGGAAGTGCTGCGCTTGACGTCCAACAACTGGACTGAAGCAAAGCCTCGCAAGCGGCCATCGACGACCACAAAAGTTGATCGCAAGGCTCTGCATGAAGGACTCGATAATGCAATTCGCCATTACAATTACGAAGCGCTCCTCTCGCTTCTCAAGATTGATGAGTTTGTCTTCCGTCATCAAGAGGACGCTTCCGAAGATCTGCCGACCCGGTACATGATCCCTTCTCACCTGTTTGTCGCGGCTGCCAAGCTCGCTCCTCGAGAAGGAACCCCTACTTGGCGCTTCTTCGAGGCTCTCATCCGTGCTAGCGCGGAGTCCATCCCGCGCAACTCCCCGGAGATCACTCAGTGGGTTGTCGATACAAAAGCTCGTGGTCACAAGGGCCAGAATCGATTTGACATAAGTGGCAATTTTGCTGAATGGGTGTCAGACTTCCAGATTCATTTGCCCAAGCACCTAAGAGAGCTCCATGGCCCCAGCATGCAACTTTTCAATGGTGGTCAACTGAATTGGATGTTAGTTGAGGGTGGTCAGTTGCTCATTGCACTGAATATCGATCTTAGAGGCACCAGTGAGGATTCGTACTTGCGACCTTGGTATTCTGCAAGTATGAGCAGCTTGGAGAATTACTGGGTGACCAAGTCCCCTACTTCGAAGGAATAGCTTCATTTGCGTGGCATTCTACATAGACGGCCAGCATAAATCATGATGGATTACGCAGTCGACTCGCACATATCTGAACAAATTATGACTTTACATGTATTACTAGATGACAATGTACAAAATACAAGAAACAATATCACCAGCAATTAGGTGATAGTTTACATATTCCCCAACAACCGCAAAATTCCAGCAACACGTCCACCAATCGTCAATTGATACCCAGTCTCAACAACCCCCTTACACATCTCCCAAGCAGCACGACCATCTTTAGCGCCAGCCTCACCCTTACGCTTCTGAATGGGATAATCGACGCGGGGCGGGATAGCAGTGCCCATAATCTTCGGGAACCGATCTACACAAACAGCCTTGGTATTGCACAGTCCGCGCAGACCCTCTTCGCCCGCAAATCGGCCATAGCCTGATCCACGCACTCCTCCAAAGGGAAGCTGCACGGCGTAGTAACTGCCAAAGTCGTTGACTGAGACCATTCCGGCGGAGATGTTGCGGACGCAGGATTGGATGTCTGTCGCGTTATGGCCGAAGACGCTTGCGCCTAGGGCGTAGGGCGTTGAGTTTGCGATGGCGATTGCGTCTTGGACGGATGATGCGCGCATCACGAGGAAGACTGGCGCGAAGAGTTCTTCTTGCGCGATGCGCATATGCCGCGTGACGTCTACTAGAAGGGTTGGGGTGAAGTAGTGGCCGTGGGTGTGGGTTGGGTGGGCGTGTTGGGTGCCGCCGGCGAGGAGGCGGGCACCCTGTTTGACGGCTTCCGCGATGAGGGTTTCTAGGTTAGCAAAGGAGGCCGGAGAAATCATTGCGCCCATGTCTGGGGTTGTGGAGTCGAGGAGGATGGAGCCCAGACGCAGGGATCTAATGCGTGGGGTGACGATTTCGATGAGACGGTCGTAGGTACCAGGAAGGGCAATGATACGCTCGACACCGATGCAGTTTTGGCCGGCAGATTGGAAGACGCCGCGCATGAGGATGGATGCAATTGATGAGAGGTTGTTGACGGTGCGCGAGTCATCGAGGATCACGGCTGGGTCTTTGCCGCCTAGCTCCACGCAGACGGGGATAAGGGCCTTGGCTGCTGATGCGCAGACCTTGTGGGCGACAGGGCGGGATCCAATAAACGTCAAGTGTGCGATACTAGGGTGCGAGGTGAAGGCGTCCGCAACGGTGGGTAGACAGACGAGCATGTGGACCAGGTCGCGTGAGTAACCACAGCTGGAGAGGGCACCGCGCACCATATCGAGGAAGTAGGCTGAACACCATGCGGTCTGCTCGGATGGCTTGACAACCACCGCATTTCCGGTGAACAGCGCGCTGATAACGGGTCCGATGAAGTTGTGAAGAGGGTAATTCCAAGATACACAGGCACCCACGACGCCGAGTGGTTCGTATGTGACCATGTTCTTCTTGTACATCATCAGGAAATTGGTGGGCCGGCGCTCTGCGAGCAGCGCCTTCTCGCCATGATCGATTGTCCACTTGAGCTTCTCTGCGGTGACGAGGATCTCGCCGAAGGAGGCATCCACTTTTGTTTTACCCGAATCGAGGCAGCATGCGGTAACGAGGTCGTCTTGGTGGTCGAGGACATATCTGCGAACATTAGCATGTCTCTCGAAGCTATCCCACGGTATACAACAGGACCACATACTTTAACAATGTCCGAAGAACCTTCCTGCGCTCCGCAAATGTAGTCTTGGCCCATTCCCGCTGCGCAGCCGTTGCCGCTCGAATAGCATCGTTGACATCGTCGATTGTAGCGGGCTTGATCCCATTGCCAAGCACTCTTCCATCGGCAGGACAGTAGCTCATAATCAATTGCTCGTTCCATTTCTGTCAGAGACCGGCGATTAGCACAAGTATAAGAACCAAGTGGAAAACACAAGCAACTGTACTCACCCCGCGGGCCTGATCCTCCAAGACCTTCTTCTGCTGCCCCTGGGCCTCATCCCAAGACTTGCCAGTGTGGCTCTTGCGCACTTCAGTGGGAATAGGAACATTGAACGCGACTGCTGCTTCTTTCTGGGTTTGGATGTAGAGATACCCCACGTACACGGCGACTAAGGAGGCCAACGCGACCCCGATCATTGGGGCATGATCAGCGGATCCAGGAGGTAAATATACCTCTAGGAGGGAAAGCACAGATGGCGGGACGTGCTTTGCCAGACAATGCATCGTGAATTGAAGCAATTGCAGTTGGTGAGTTGTAGGGGGGGGAACTTTTTGAAGATCACAGCCGGGCCGACTACGCCGATCTACACGACTACTTTCTCCGAGGCATAAAGAAGGCTCTCAACAAGACACGTTATTCAGATATTAAATAGTAAATAGCTAAAGCAAAGCTCATCATGCCGAAGTATTGCAGCCATTGTTGGCTGTCATCCATATGGATATATCATAATTTCTAAGTCATAGTCCCAGAAGTAATGCCTCAATCATCACTCAACTCAGAAAGGTCACTGTCAATATCACTGAGACTCTCACTTTCCTCCGACTCTTGCTTCTTCCGCTTTGCAGCCTTTCCCTTACTCTTGGCCTTCACGGCACTAGCACCAACCAAGCCCTTTCTCTTCCCAGTTCGAGTAACAAGATGATCAATCACACACCCATCCTCCCATCCAGCACTAGAAGCGCCTGTGATAGCCCGACACCGGGAACAACTCTTTCCATGCCGAATGAAAAGCTGATGGAGGGAGTACTTGAGATGATCAGGGATCCTAACTTCAAGGTGACTAAACGCTGTCACTTCGTTTGCGCGCGGAGGAACCCAGCCGAGCCATTTGGTTAGTCGAAAGATGTGCGTATCAACTGCGAAGCAGGGCCTCTGTAAGCAGAAAAGGATTACGCAGGCTGCTGTTTTCGGTCCTATGCCTGGGTATTTGACTAGTTCTGTCATTGCTTCTTCGGAGGTGAGGGTGTGCATGTGGTTGAGGGAGAGGACATTTTGGTCTGCACAGGCTATTTCGTAGGATTTATCGTTTTTCGTTTCCTCTTCTGGGTTGGCATTTGCGACGAGGTCATTTCGGCGTGTTTGGTTGTCTTGGTGGACGATGTCCAGGATTCCTTTTAGATTCTTGCTCTTTATATCTGCTAGGCCACCGCTTTTGATTGCTTCGAAGACGTCTTTCACTGTGGCTTGTCGTACTGCTTCCCAATTCACGCTTCCTTTCCCAATTCCTTCTGTGAGGATGCCGAAGCGCTGCACGAGTCCGTTGAAGGCTCTGGCTGAGTTGGCGCCTGTGGTTGCGCCGCTCAGCAAAGTACGGATGAGTGCATCTAGGACTGATGGGACTTCGCCACAGCCTGTCACTGTCAGAGAGGGTTCCGGGATGATGACTGGAGGCGTAATCTCTCCGTGGATGGTGGATAGTAAGCGATTAACTTCTTCACATTCTTCTGCACTTGGTTGGGCCCATTCAGGAAAGGGTGAGGTTCCAGGTGTCAGGCCATAAGTGTTCTTCTTGGGTTTCCGGGTAGAAGAGGTGATTTCAGGCTTGGTTTCTTCGACCTTGATTGCAGCTTTGTCTATAGTGTCTTGAAGCTCAACAGCAAATTCTTCGATCTTTTCTCCCTTGATAGGATTGTTTTCCTTGTCGGACCCAGCAATTGATGTTTCTTTAGTAGCTGGTGGGATTGACAAAGATCCGAGATTATGAGGCAGTTCGTCTGAACCCAATGGCTTCGCAATTGTGACAGACTGTCTGTTTTTCAGAGATGAACTGGGTCCATTATGGGCAACGGCGGTAGTATTGGCTGTAGCCGACTTGCTGATTCTGGCTCTCTTGGATTTGGGCGCCTTGACGGTGCTCGGTGTTTGAGCCGGGTTGATATCCCCGCCCAAAGTAGCACGCGCTGCAGAGCGAGTGACACGATGCTCCATTGATTGAAAGTGAACTAAATATCTTTGTGAGGTAGGGTCATCATCTCGCGCGGAGAGGGGGAAAGAAGAAGTCAGAAACCGGTTGAATGATGTAGACAGGAACCTTGAAAATATGGACACCTGAGGCCACAAAGTCCTGCCTTACAGCATCACATCAATTTGGATCGCGTAAATCATACTGAAAGAGAAGATATTTACGATTTAAAGGTTGAAAATCATGATACATCAACGTTGCTTCATCTAGATTCATATAGTAGATGACCTCGAGACGAGACACCGGGTATTGGTAGTTTCAATGCTTTTGCATAGTAGCAGATCAGCCACCCAACAGCATGACAATGCTCCTTCAAACAAACTCCCAGACTCCCGATGCAAACTGCCAAATGGACAGCGTAAACTTTGAAAATAATAATAGAAAAAGAAAGAGTATGTCATCATCATGCGTCGTGGTGGTCGGCCATGTTGTGGATGCTGATATCCATCCGGTCGGAGACCTTGGGGTTGTGCTCTTCATGGCTTGGCTTGGTCTCAGGATGGGTAAGAGACTCGGTGCTTCCAGGAGCGGGGATAATCTTGCCGTTAGTGTCCATGGTCACGCCGTTGGCGGCGATCTGGAAGTCGGTCAAGTTGGCGAAGCCGTGGGAAACGGCTTCCTTGGCTTTGTCCAAGGCCTTGGACTTGCGGCCTTCGCCACGGACGGACTCCAAGTGCTCGAAATAGCCGTTAGACACTGGGGTCACGTAGCTACCGCAGAACACACCGACCTCGAAGTCTTGGGGTTCGGCCTGTCCGTTCTCACGGGCAACCTCGGCACAAGCATCCTTGAGATCATCCAGGGTCTGGAAGATAACGCTCTCGGCACCAATGTGCTTGGCGATGGCTTGAGCATCCCGGTTGTGAGCGACAAGCTCCTGTGGAGAAGCAAGGTCAATACCGTAGATGTGAGCATGGGTGATCTCGGGGGCACAGCTAGCAAGGTAGACCTTCTTAGCGCCGGCCTCCCGAGCCATGTTGACAATCTCACGGCTGGTGGTACCACGAACGATGCTGTCATCAACAAGCAGCACGTTGCGGTCCTTGAATTCGGCCTTCATAGCGTTGAGCTTGCGACGAACACCCTTTTGGCGAGTCTTTTGCTCAGGCATGATGAAAGTACGGAAGACGTAGCGGTTCTTGACGAAACCATGACAGTAAGGCTTGTTCAGGTACTGTGCCACATTTGTAGCGGAGGTGGTGGCCGTTTCAGGAATGGGGATGACCACATCAATATCCTTGACAACCTCGGGGCCAAGGACATCAAGGATGCGTGCACCGAGACGGTCACCCATGCGTTGCCGGCTACGGTACACACTGATACCATCCATGACAGAGTCAGGGCGAGCAAAGTATACGTACTCGAAGATATCAGGGGCGTAGGCCTTCTTGGGAGCCACCTGGCGGAAGACCGGCTCACCACCCTTGGCGATGATGACAGCCTCACCGGGCTGGATATCGCGTTGGTTGGTGAAGCCCAATTGGTCCAGAGCTACTGACTCAGAAGCCATCATGTAGTCCATGCCGGGTCCATCCAAGGATTGGCGGGAGCCAAGCACCAAGGGGCGGATACCGTAGGAATCACGGAAACCGAGGATACCGAATCCTAAACAGTCAGCACTATATCAAATGAATCAAACGAAGAGAGTGAGTCTTACCGGCAAGCATAGCTGTACAAGCCCAGCCACCTTCACAGCGCTGGTACATGCGAGTCAAACTAGCAAAGAGATCCTCGTGGTTGACACGGGCTTTCTTGGTCTCGCTCAGCTCATCGGCAAAGACGTTGAGCATCAGCTCGCTGTCACTGTCGGTGTTGATGTGACGGTGGGCCTCCAAGTCCAAGTGCTTCTTCAGCTCAGGGGCGTTGATGAGGTTACCATTGTGGGCAAAGCAAATACCGTAGGGGCTGTTCACGTAGAACGGCTGGGCCTCGGCGTTGGCACTGGATCCAGCGGTCGGGTAGCGCAGGTGGGCAATACCCATTGAACCTGGCAGGTTGGTCACCTTGGCACCATCCTGGAAGACCTTGGCAGCCATGCCGTTGGCCTTCAACTGGTAGATCCGACCCCCGGACGCACAGGTTGCAATACCAGCTGCATCCTGACCACGATCTGTCCGACGCGTTTAGTCTCGCGGTCGCACGTGGGGATTATAAACCGAACTCACGTTGGAGGAGGTAGAGGGCTTCGTGGAGATCCACGGCAGCCGCGGATGAGGGGTTCGCCTGGATCAGAGCAATAATACCACACATCCTGGCGGGGTTCTCTGTTTTGAGTAGAAGCATTAGCATGAATTCCACCCATTGCATGCACACATGATAGAGGAATGTCTCAAATCAGGATGGATGTTTCTCCGCAATGATTGCTTAGGAAGTCTAACATCTATAAAAAATACCAAATTCATCATAGAGAGGGGTGAACACAACAAAAACCAAACAGAAACAGGGCAACTCACAGAAATCAGGGGGGATAGAGGGATAGACAATCACCACCCAGGAGAGAAGAGGAGGAAAGTCGCTCCATAGTGAAATTTTGTTCTGTGGTTTGGTTCGGTGGAGCTCGAGTTTTTTTTTCTCGTTGGCCGGTTAGTCAGGGATGAGTCAGCTGTGCCCTAGTGGCCGAAAGGGGAAATCGGCATCTCTACGACGGCGAAGTGATATCTACAGGAACAACCAGACAACAAATATGAACCGTCATGGCTTTGAACACTGTGTCTTTATTGAAGTCATTTGTCTTTCATGCTTCACATTTCTGTTGACCCTGAGGCGCTTTGTTCAATGAGTAGATATACCCTCAGCCTTGCCAGCTCGTAGCCGCGTAGCACATAGTATAGCAGAATTTCTCAGTTTCTCAGTTTCTGGATAGCATCGATTTCGAGATACTTAGCTTGCTCAGCAAGTCACTTACCCCGCACTTTGCACTTTCTCACTTCAGATCAAATTTGCCCGTTTTGTGCATCTCGACTCTCATCTCAACCTCGATACCCGGTGAGATCAGACCCAGACCACTGAGGCTTCGCTTTTATTTTTTCTCTGACCTCACTTCTTCTCTTGATACTCAATTGCAACCCCCTTGCACCTCAGATATGGCAGCAATCGACCGAGCTCGCATCTCGGTCTCCCCTTTCGGGTACCCCCGGTCACACGAAGCCGGAGTTCTATCACCGACGTCATGGATTTGGCCATGAGCGAGGATAATGAGAATGAGAGAAAGATTGAGTCTTCCCCGTTTGCACGCATATTTGCACAGGCAACGTTTCCGAGCCCTCAGGCTCTCATTGACCTGACCTCTCTTTCTGAGGATGACGAGGACGTGCAGATCCTCACTTCTGAGATGAAAGATATCTCAGGTCCCTCTGGTGCAGCTGACGCTGATGAAATGGAACCTGGCTCACTTATTGAGTCTGCTCGGTCTTCCCATCGGGCCATGAACCGTCCGGCATCCGGACAACCTATCTCGGACCGTCACCTCTCAGAGACCGTCATCGGCGGTATCCTCTACCGTACTGGTATGTCAATGGAACTCAAGGATGGATCTTTTATGCGCATTGAGCAAGTTGACCCTATGCCCTACGACGTGCGCTTCACCGGCCGTCGTCTCTTCCGTGCCACGCATCCCTTTGTCATGATGTATCTCCCAAAGCAGGAGAATGAATTGATCTGGATCACACAGAAGATGGATTCGGTGGGTATCAAGCATGTCAGGCGCATTTGCAAGATTCGCTTCACCAACCATCGCGCCGATTTCGATGAGCCCACTCCGCAGCTCACATGCCGCCTCAAACTTACCATTCGCCAGCAGGGCGTTGTCATCCTCCCTGGCCAGCAATCATTGACAGCTGATCAGACAGCGATTGAATACCTCAACTTCCGTGAGAGTGACCCAGGCTTTGGAAAGACATCCATCCAGCTTCGTGACGAATGGCGAGGAAAGGGCAAGACGGCCTTTTTCGGAGAAGGCCGGGCTTCAACCAATGACACAGATGAAGATGACCAGGTTATCGACCTCACGGCTACGGTCACTCCAAAGTCGCAAACATATACCTTTGGTGATGCATACTGTGGCGGTGGTGGAGTGTCCTGTGGCGCCAAACAAGCTGGATTGGACATTAAATGGGCTGTCGACAATTCCCACCATGCTGTCGATACTTACCAGCGCAACTTTGATCATGTGGAGATCGAGCATTCTGATTTCTTTAATTTCCTTACCAATGACCCTGACTGGATGCGTGTGGACATCTGCCACTGTTCACCTCCGTGTCAGACATTCTCCCCTGCCCACACAGTCACCTGCAGCCGGGATGATGCTAATTCGGCTTGCATTTTCTCTGCCGGATCTTTGTGCCAGAGTGCAAAGCCTCGGGTTCTGACCATGGAAGAAACCGCAGGATTGCCTGAACGATGGACGGACATCTTTCATCGGGTTCTTCTTGACATGGTGGAGATTGGATATTCTCTCCGCTGGGCAGTGTTGCGTTGCGACGACTATGGTGTCCCTCAGGAGCGAAAGAGGTTGGTGGTGATTGCTGCGGGGTAAGTGAAAGAGAAAGCGAAACAGAACGAGAGAGAACAAGTAGAAGAAAGAAACGAAGGTATTCAGGGCAAGGCTAACCAGGTGACCAGACCCGGAGAGATCCTTCCTCACTTCCCTCAACCCACTCACGGATTGATTTCCGCCCCTGGACTGCTCCCTCGCGCAACCATTTGGTCTGCGATCTCGGCCATCCCTGATGATGCTCCTGATCACGATGTCGATAAAGCCCTTTGTCGCTGGGCGCTGGCCCACCGCGCCCCTTTCAACGGACATCAACCAGCCAAAACCATCACTTGCGGCGGTGGAGAGTATAACTACCATCCTACAGGACTGAGACCCTTTACGGCGCGTGAAATGGCCTGTCTTCAGACCTTTCCCATGGAATTTGAGTTTTCCGAGAGTAATGTGCGAAAGCAGATTGGCAATGCGGTGCCCCCTTTGCTCGCAAAGGCCATCTATACCGAAATCGCTCACAGCCTACGAGAAGCGGACGCACAGGAGGCCAATGGAGTCTGGCATTAATCGCCGATCGCCATGTGAGGTTCAATTGGTCCGAGGAAGCACACTGAGATGTATCGTGGGTTTGCTCCTTTCCCCATGATCCCTCCGACTTTCGCATTGAGATACCTGTTCCCCCGAGTTCGGAGAACAGATTCCATAGCTGTATAGCTGCAAATCAATCGATTCACCGAGACCCCCAGCACTAAAGCGCCAAAAGTTCCCCGTAGATCAAACAAAACAGGTGTCGGACCGACAGTAACCGACCCTCGGCATGAAGTCAGCTTGACATCCCTTTCTTTCCCCCATTCTCCATCTTTCATCTTTCTCCCCTCTCTCCTCTCTCCTTTCTTCTCTCTTCTCTACGGCCTTGATCGCTACCTCTCCCTTGACCTTCAACTTCATTCTCTCCTGGTCAATTGTGCCCATTGTCTTCTCTTCCATTATGTTGCCAGTGAGGCGCTTGACCCACACGGCTCCCCGCACTTTGGCCCGCATCTCCAGACTGCCCGCTTTCGCTTCTTCTCGCATCTCAGTTCCTACACTTACACGTACTCCTCGCTTTTCCACCATGGCTGCTCGTCAATCTGCCGCTCCTGCGGTGCCTACCGATAAGGCCTATGACCCTGAGATCCAGGACATGGCCTCGTACATCCACGACTACAAAGTGGATTCGGACTTGGCGGTAAGTGGAGCGGGTAACTGGAACCCTGAATCAGGCTAATAATTACTGTGAACAGTTCGACACTGCTCGTCTGGTCTTCTTGGATACACTCGGCTGTGGTTTGGAGGCCCTGAAGTTCAAGGAGTGCGCTAAGCTGCTTGGTCCCGTTGTTGACGGCACTGTTGTTCCCAATGGTACCCGTGTCCCCGGTACCCCGTACCAGCTGGACCCTGTCAACGGCGCTTTCAACATCGGTTCTATGATCCGCTGGCTCGATTATAATGATTGCTGGCTCGCCGCTGAGTGGGGTCACCCCTCGGACAACCTGGGTGGTATTTTGGCCGTGGCAGACTGGATCTCTCGCACCAATCGTGCCGGTGGAAACCTTGGTAACGGCAAGATTTTCAAGATCCGTGATGTTCTGGAGGCTATGATCAAGGCCCATGAGATTCAGGGTGTTCTTGCTCTGGAGAATTCCTACAACAAGGTCGGCCTTGACCACGTTGTTCTCGTCAAGGTTGCGACCGCTGCTGTCGTCTCCAAGATGATGGGTCTTACGGAGAAGCAGACCGCCGATGCCATTACTCAGGCTTGGGTGGACGGCCAGAGTCTCCGGACCTACCGTCACTCCCCCAACACCATGTCTCGCAAGTCGTGGGCTGCTGGTGATGCCTGCCAGCGTGCCGTCAACCTGGTCTTGAAGGTCCAGAAGGGCGAGGGAGGTCTGCGCACTGTTCTCTCAGCCCCAACCTGGGGCTTCTACGATGTCCTGTTCAAGGGAAAGAAGTTCCAGTTCCAGCGCCCCTACGGTAGCTACGTCATGGAGAACGTTCTGTTCAAGGTCTCATACCCTGGTAAGTGCCTTATCACTCCCAATAACAATTGAGCATACTAACTCTTCCAGCCGAGTTCCATTCGCAGACTGCCATTGAGGCCGCCGAAAAGGTCAATGCCAAACTCGCTTCCATGGGCAAGAGCGCCAAGGATATCAAGGAGATCACCAACCGCACACACGAGGCTTGCATTCGCATCATCGACAAGCAGTTCAAGGAGATGGATAACTTCGCCGACCGTGATCACTGCGTGCAGTACATGGTGGCCACCATGCTCGTCTTTGGCCGTCTCACGGCCAGCGACTACGCCGACGGCTCCGAGGCCGCTACCTCTCCTCTGCTGGAGGACCTTCGCAAGCGCATCCGCTGTGTTGAGGATACTCAGTACACCACTGACTACCACGACCCAACCAAGCGTACCATTCCCAACGCGCTGACCGTTACCTTGAACGACGGCACTGTCCTCGATGAGATTGCCGTCGAGGCTCCTCTCGGCCACCGCCTCCGCCGTGAGGAGGCCAAGCCCGAGATTCTAGCCAAGTACAAGCGCCACCTCGAGGCACACTTCGACCAGGCTCGCGTCGATGAGCTACTGCAGGTGGGCTGGGACCGCGCTCAGCTCGAGAACTACGATGTCGACCAATACGTCGACCTTTACGTCAAGGACAAGATGGTTGCCAGCTCGTAACCCGATCAATGACCAACGAAGAAAGAGACTAAGATTACACCGTGAACATATATAACTTATACCGCAAAATTGTATAGAGATACACTTCTTTCCCTGAATTACCCCGATGCCCCAGCCGTACACGTAACCCCCAAACCAGACGGCGTGTTCGCACAAAGAATTTGCCCACTGCCAGACTTCGGCTTCACTGTATAAGAACTCATCTTGACATCACAAATGCCCCCAGATCCACAATCCAAATTGCCCGTCACAGCTCCATACTTCCCACTCGTCACACCGCTAACATCCTCAATTACAATGCCAGACAATATCGCATTCCCGGGATGGTCTTCACAGTATTCGCTATCCTCCCCATAGCAACTCTGAATCTGAACCGCATAGTCGCACCCCTGGACCACAACTCCACTCCATGTCACATTGCTCACAGTGGATAGACCATGAGATCCGCCTGATGGGTATGTCTTGATACCTAGTGCCTTGGTGGAATTGATCATTGTCGCGCCAGAGACATAAATGTTTTTTACTGTATCGGCGGATGATTTACCCAGAGATCCAACCGATAGCCCATGGCTCCCCGTGCAGGTGATATCCGTGACTGTGACACCGTCACACCCTGGTTTAAAGGCGACACAGTCGTCGTCATTGCTAACGTTGACATTGCTGATGGTGACATCGGTGCTGGCACCGATGTCGAAACCGTCGGTGTTTTTGGGCGCGTTGTCGCTCTTGGAGGTTGCGTCCATTTTCAACTTGGAGAAGGTTATGCCCTCTGTGTTGCCCTTGACGGAGTTGAAGACGTTGGGTGGGTTTTTCTGGCGAAGATTCGAGATTTCGATGTTTGAGCCGCCTGTGATGTAGAGGAGAGTTGGGCGGGCGTAGCTGCTGTCGCTTGCGAAGAGATCCCATCTATGTAACGCACGGCGTGAGTATGGATCGGGGATCAGTTACTGCAAAGAAGAACAACAGGTCCCTTACGCATTCTGTCCATTCCCATCAATCACTCCACTTCCGGTCAAGGAGCGAATCTTAAGGCCATTGATATTCTTCACGTTGATCATGGCTGTACGGCCTTCCCAGTAACTTGTCGATGATGAGAACTTCAGTAGACCTTCGACTTGGAAGTCACAGCCAGTGCAACCAGAAAAGTCAAGCACACTGTTCAAGTAGTATGTACTTCCAGCAGGTATAATGATTGTTCCTCCATTTCCGCATGATGCAATGGCGGATGTGATGGCTGGAACATCATCCACTGAAGATGATCCCCCTGATTTCGGTGTACAGGTTGATGCACGGGAGTTGAGTGGTTTTGTTAGAGTCAACGCGAGTGTTTGTGTTAGTAGCGCGAGGGCTGTGAGGGTCTTGGATAGGGATGGCATGGTGGTTGGTGGTTAATCTTGCATTTAGGGAGGAACTTAGTAGCGAATTTATGTCTATCTCTTCTTTATACTTTCCGAGCAGGTAGGAATCCTTCAGATCAGGCTAATCTCTCCTAGCGTCGGAGAGGAGGTTTCATGCTTCAGGGAGACGTCTCTGAAACGCGCCCCGCTATTCGAGGAATATTTTTGGCGGACTTGTCTTTTTGATCGTCATTCTTCAGCTGGACCGACAGGAGACGGGGGATTTAGTTCATTGCCGCCAATTAGTTCCAGGGACATGACGCTCGCTTGGCTGTTTCTTGTTGATTTCCCCGGATCTAACTGTATACAGTTCGGAGCTACCAACTCCTGGTTTGGAGGACTTCCAGCCAGAGCATGATTGACCCCTGACTAAACATAAGCCAACGGGTCCTCGGGGATCTCAGAAATAGATCGGCCTAAATAAAAAGTCCCTGCATGCGCCTGTCATTCACGGGAATATCGAAGTGGGGAATCATGCGCATGTCTCAACTATAGAGAGCTAGTGCTGACCCTTGAAACAGGAGAACATGGTCAGGAATAATGACTGGCGGGTCAGTTATACCGGAAGAATGGCATATAATATCCATGCAACCGCACATTCAGAAAGATCCTTTCCTCTCTAGCCAAGTTCGCACGTTATGCATCTGGTCAAACCTCTTCTCTCAGCCCTAACCCTTGGCACTGGGGTCATTGGGGCCCCGACAGAACTACTCCGTCGCACAGCGAGGACGAGCGCGCCTTCAGGATGTCTAACCGTCGGAGCGAGTGGTACATACTCGAGTGTCGGGGCTGCCGTCTCGGCCCTTGGCTCGTCTACTGCTGATGCGTGTATCTACATTGCGACGGGCACCTACACCGAGCAGGTGACCGTGAAATATGGTGGTGCTCTGACTCTGTATGGACAGACTGCTGATACCTCCTCTTATAAGAAGAATACGGTGACCATTACGCATTCTCTCAATTCCGCCACTGCGGGAAGTTTGGATAAGAGTGCCACGGTAAATGTTGTCTCCGATGGATTGAAGATGTATAACATCAATGTGGTGAATGGATACGGAGCGGGATCGCAGGCTGTGGCGTGAGTTGATCCTCTCTCTCTCGGATTGGATAGGACACTGACTCTGATAGACTCGTTGCAAATGCTGATCAACTCGGTTTCTATGGCTGTCAGTTCTCTGGATACCAGGACACCCTGTACGCCAAGTCTGGAACCCAGTACTATTCCAACTGCATGATTGAGGGTAAGTCCAGCACAATCACCTAGTACTCACGATGCTAACAAGTGATAGGAAACGTCGACTTTATCTTCGGCGATGCCTCGGCCTGGTTCGGTGAATGTGATATTATCGCCAATGGCGCTGGTGCCATCACTGCCATGTCGCGAGAGACAGCCAGCGACACTGCCTGGTATGCTATTGATCACTGCAACATCAAGGCTGCCTCTGGTGTGACCCTGGATGGTACGCAGTATCTCGGTCGTCCATGGCGTGTTCTAGCTCGTGTCATCTACCAAAATTCCAATATCGGTAGCTTGATCAATGCCAAGGGCTGGACTACAATGGCTGACGGGGCTACTCCCTTGTATTATGAGTACAACAACTCGGGAGACGGAGCTGACACCTCCAACCGACTCTATGAGACTTCGATCTCGGCAGGAGTGACCAAGAAGACTGTTTTGGGCAGTGATTATGGTTCTTGGATTGATTCAAGCTATTGACCGAATCATGTTTATGTCTTTTCAATCGTGAAGCATTTCAATCTCGAAGATCATATGCGTAAGGTAGCAACTCATCGATAGATACACAGACTGCATTTCCATTCTTCTGTACAACAACTCTGATGCCAGGATGAAGATCCCGTAAGACCTGTCGACAGCGACCGCATGGACTCATGATAACTCCATCTTGACCATCCTCTCCCACTGCAACGATATGTGTGAGTTTCTGAGTTCCTGCGCCAGCGGCAGCACCGAGAACGACTAGTTCAGCACATGGACCACCGGTGAAATGGAAGACATTGACACCGGAGAAGATTTGTCCCGTTTCGGAGAGGGCTGCGCTGGCGACACTGTGAATGTCTGATTTGGGAATTGAATTGATGGTTGTTCTTGCGAGGTCGACTAATTGGTACTCTTTTGGAGTGAGGGACATGTTGAGAATAAACGAGGAGATATAAAAGAAGAAGAAGAAGAAGAAGAAGATGCGAGGGCGATGAGAAGGGGAACGCGGTGAGATTGACGGGGCTGGCATGTCCTTACCCTTTTCCGGTGCCCGACTCAAACTCAGCGGGAGACTCGCCCAAGTCAACGCAGCCAAGGGTAAGGTGGCCAGTACATGCTTCAAAAGGTGCTTCATCTGCAACATTAAGCAAGTTTTGAATAATATGTTGGAATCCTTTACGCTACTTCTCTATTTTGCATCGAAGTACGAAGTGCCACCTATGGAAAGTTGATCTAGAACCAGACCCCTTCACACTCAAGACCCGAAATGTCTTGGTGGTCACGTCAACCTGTTTAAAATGCTAGAAACCATGCGCTATTTGCCTCTGCATTCGTCAGGGCTTGTATAGCGTTGGGTAGTATCCTTCATTCGAATGAAGGGCTGCAAGACGAAAGAAGCAGGAGCTAGAGGTCTGACTGAGCTGGCACTAGACCGGTAATCTGAACTACATACGTATGTCATGAGTGGCGAGTATAAAGGCCTCAAGATCCTTTCATGATATGTCACAATAGAATAAACTTGCTTTGATACGGAAATCTCGGATGATGTCAAGTCGGACTCAAGTGGAAAATGAGAATCGAACTTGGAATGACCAGTTGCATGACTTGGCTACAATGCATAGCGGCTTCGTGGAATACTTGTTGATCAGGAGACAATGCATATGTCATTTAAAGCAACTTGCATAGACAAGACATGAAGTCCCCGAGATAATATCTCGAGCGCATTGGATATCATAAAGGCAAATTGAATACAAAGCTAGAGCGGAATCCGGTCTTGTGACCTCAAGCATATGCGCATGGATATCAAAGGTGAGCACCCAACCAGCCAATCGTACAGGGAAAAAAAGAATATCAAGATGAGGGTCTTGATCCGCTTGCCTCCTCCTCGGGCGAATACGAAGCTTGGCAAATCGGGCACTTGTACCGACGATACTCAAACCAAGATCTTAGACATGCCAGGTGGAATGCATGCTTGCATCGATTCAACACGATGGGCTCGTGGCCAGGGTCCAGGGCCGCGCGTGCATGGGGATCCTCGACCTCAATTGGGGAGTTAGGGCGTCGACCCCGGGCTAGAATGGCTGGATGTGGAGAGGTCGGATAGATCGGCGACGAAAGTGACAATGCACAGAGGCAAATAGAGCTGTGGGGGTGTGTTAGCCGCGGTTCTAGAAGGTTCAAGCGATTGGTCGTGTGTTGATAACTGTTTGGCCAAGAGGTGATATCATCCAGGAACATGGGACAGGACCAGGCATGGCATTGACATCGGATGGACACGGTTTGACAGGATTTGAGACCAGGCAATGCGCGGGCCAGATTGTCTTGCCCAGCCTTGAAAATTGCCGACAAGACATCGATGCGCCCAATAAGGCGGATTCAGCCTTGTGCCCAGCCCTAATGTCCCCGCACTAACATCATCCAGGCCAAGAGTGCAATGCGAGACAGGGAAGATAACAACTCACCAAGTGTCTTGGCCATATTGCTGGATATTGGTGGGCACATTCTGTTCTTCCAGCCATCGATCCACCGAGACTGGATGGCCCAAGACATCCTGCAGGGGCAGTTGTTGGGTCTGTTGATTCCCGAGCCTCCACTCGTTGCGATTCAATGAAGCCTCGCGATTGACCCGTCGGCGACACCAGATGATGGCTCTACCGGTGATGAATTTCAGCAGGGAATCACTTGGAGAGTATTTGCAGGCATGAGGGGGCGTAGCCAAGACTTATGCGGGGACACACTCACAACGGAATCATGCTGATCAGGGCAAATATCACTACACCCCCAATCACAACCCCGATGATCTCCCCGCGGGGCATTGATTCCTCCATGTGGGATCATGCGAGTGAAGCAGGAATACGACAATTCAATCAAAATTCAAGTATCGGCCAATAGGCCCAATAGGTCCAATGAGAATGCCCTGGAGAGTGTGGGACAAGGGACACGGTGTGACATTCGGATCACTCGGGTGTATTATGAATAGGCACCGCAGTGCAGTGAGATATCACTGAGTTCCCATACCCTCTCTCTCTCAAAGCACGTCTGATCCAAAGTCAAACGGCAGACCGGGGCGGATTTGAAGGAGACACTCTCGGACCTCACCTGCCAAGACCTTAACCCCAAGAAACCAAGAGCAGCCAAGACATTTCCAGCCAAGACGAGTCGTGTTGCCCCGACGGAAATAGATGATCGGGGAGTCCAGTCGCCGCCCGCCGAGCTTCCGCCCAGACTTTCCGGGAGGTTCTTGGCATTCCGCAGCCAATCAGCACCCACAGCTCCTCGCGTGGCCAGCCGCCGAGTCAGCGCCGAGAGTCATGTCGTCATCCTCTCCCCAGAACCAAAAACGAATCAAAGGCGCCAAGAGTCCGCTCCATACCGAGATTTGGTTATGGTGGCTGATTGGGTGAGATATCGGAGAATGGTCGGTTCCCCAGACATCTAACCACTACGTCCTCCGGAGGACATACCTGGTTGCAGGCGGGCTTTCGCCATCCGGTCCGACTAGACCTTATTTATACCCCGAAACACCCCCGGCACCACAGAAGGAAAAGAAATCAAGCAAACTTACTCTATACTCTTCTCGCGTAAAAGAAGTAACTCTGCTCTGTGTATGGACTCTCATTCTCTTGCGGATACCTTCTACATGACGCCTCCTTAAGAGACTTATAGAAGTATACACTACACCACATCCCTGCTACACATACGACTAGACCCCCCTTCTTCTCTCCGCGCGTGATGTCTCAGGATAGAGCGGAGAAAGGCCAGGGCGACCAGACACAGCAACCTCTTTCTCAGCCTGCCCACTCTCTCACCTACACAGATGTCATCAGCGAATTAGGCACAAACTCGGATGATGGATTGACCTCGGGAGAAGTCAAGCTACGGCTGGAGAAATATGGTGAGAACATGCTGGAGGGAGACGAAGGCGTCTCCCTCGCCAAGATTGTCATTCGACAGATTGCCAATGCCATGATGCTGGTAAGTTGATGAGCTGGAATATCGGAGACTCGCGACTAACAACATGTAGGTCCTTATTATTGCCATGGCTGTCAGTTTCGGCATTCAGTCCTGGATTGAAGGTGGCTTCATTGCTGCCGTTATTGCTCTCAACATCGTGGTCGGCGTTTACCAGGACTACGCAGCAGAGAAGACCATGGACTCGCTGCGATCACTCAGTTCACCCACTGGTGTTGTTTCTCGCGATGGTAAAACATCCACCGTGCCAGCCAACGAGATTGTACCTGGTGACATGGTGGAACTGAAAGTGGGAGATACAGTGCCCGCTGATGTCAGGTATGTAATACTCCATTCTTTTCTTAATATTCATCCATGCTAACGAATGTAGATTGGTGGAGGCGTTCAATTTCGAAACCGACGAGGCCCTTCTCACTGGCGAGTCTCTGCCAGTACTGAAAGACGCCACTGCCACGTTTGACACCGACACCGGTCCAGGTGATAGACTCAACATTGCTTACAGCTCATCCACCGTGACTCGTGGCCGTGCCCGTGGTGTGGTTGTTGGAACTGGCATGAGAACCGAAATTGGAGCTATTGCCATGGCCTTGCGCGGAACAGACTCGAAGCGTCGCCCTGTGAAGCGTGGCCCTGAAGGAGAAACCAAGAAGAGATGGTATATCCAGGCTTGGACTTTGACCACCACCGATGCCATTGGACGCTTCTTGGGCACTAATGTCGGTACACCGTTGCAACGGAAATTGTCCAAATTGGCTCTGCTATTGTTTGCCATTGCTGTGATCTTTGCCATTGTTGTGGCTGGCTCTAACGACTGGCGCGGAGATAGTGAGGTTATCATTTATGCCGTCGCCACCGGTCTAGCTATGATTCCGGCTTGCTTGGTGGTTGTATTGACAATTACAATGGCCGTCGGAACGAAGCAGATGGTGAAGCGAAATGTGATTGTCCGAAAATTGGACTCTCTGGAAGCACTTGGTGCTGTCACTAATATCTGCTCAGACAAGACGGGTACTCTCACACAAGGTCGCATGGTCGCTAAGAGGGCCTGGATTCCCTCTGTGGGCACATACTCCGTCGGATCTTCGAATGACCCCCTCAACCCAAAGGATGGCGATTTGAGTCTGGTACCTGAGCAGCCTATCCAACTTGACGAAAAGTCCACCGGCCAACCTTCAAGTCCAGACGATCTGCTGAAGGACAACGATGCCCTCAAGGAATATTTGGACGTAGCTTCTATGGCCAACCTCGCTCATATCCATGAAACCGCCAACGATGGCTGGCAAGCTCGTGGCGAACCTACAGATATCGCTATTCAAGTCTTTGCCTCTCGATTCGACTGGGGCCTGGAACGCTGGACCAAAGGCGAGAAACCCGTCTGGCAGCAACAGGCCGAGTACCCATTTGACTCCAGCGTGAAGAAGATGTCAGTTATCTTCTCTAAGCGCGATGAAAACTCAGAGAAGTCTCGTGAGATGATCTTCACAAAGGGTGCCGTTGAGCGCGTTCTTGAGGCATGCACCACAATCAAATGGAAGGCTGATAGTGAGCCCGTTCCCCTTAATGACGAGATCAAGGATGAGATTCTTGAGAACATGGAGGCCCTAGCTAAAGAGGGCCTTCGAGTACTTGCCATGGCTGGCCGAAAGCACACTGCCGACCCGAAGGAAGGTGGCGAGCCTCTTCCTCGAGAGGAAATTGAGAAGGACCTGTCATTCTATGGTCTCATCGGTCTCTATGATCCCCCTCGCCCTGAGACAGCTGGTGCTATCAGTCAATGTTACAAGGCTGGAATCTCTGTCCATATGGTGACTGGTGACCACCCCGGAACTGCTCGCGCTATCGCAGCCCAGGTTGGAATTATCCCTGCAAACATGGATAGTATCGCCAAGGACGTTGCCGATGCGATGGTGATGACTGCTTACGAGTTCGATAAGTTGACTGAGGATGAAATTGACGACTTGCCCACGCTTCCGTTAGTCATTGCTCGCTGTGCACCTAATACCAAGGTTCGCATGATTGATGCTCTGCATCGTCGTGGCAAGTATGTTGCTATGACTGGTGATGGTGTCAATGATTCCCCGTCTCTCAAACGTGCTGATGTCGGGATTGCCATGGGCCAGAATGGTTCTGATGTCGCTAAGGATGCATCTGAATTGGTGCTATCGGATGATAACTTTGCCTCTATCATCAACGGTATCGAGGAAGGACGTCGTATTTTCGACAATATCCAGAAGTTCGTTCTGCATCTTCTCGCAGAAAATGTTGCCCTGGCCCTCACCTTGCTCATTGGTCTCGCCTTTAAAGATGACAGCAATCAGTCTGTTTTCCCCATTGCACCTGTCGAGATCATTTGGATCATCATGATTACCTCCGGCCTTCCTGATATGGGCCTGGGAATGGAATCTGCCGCCCCAGAGGTGATGGACCGACCCCCACAAAGCGTATGTTTCACTATCCCTATGATCAGAACCCTACTAACAGTCCTATAGAAACAAGGCATTTTCACATGGGAAATCATCATCGACACCTTGGTCTATGGAGTTTGGATGGCAGCCCTTTGTCTCTCGGCATTCGCGCTCGTCATGTTCCGCTGGGGCGATGGTAATCTCGCTATGGGTTGCAACACTCAATACAATGATCCAAACAAGCCATATACCTGCGACACAGTCTTCCGTGCCCGTGCAACAACATTCACCTGTATGACTTGGTTCGCGCTTTTCCTCGCCTGGGAGATGATGAACCTCCGCCGCAGCTTCTTCCAGATGCAGCCTGACTCCAAGCGTCGCTACACCCAGTGGATGCACGATATCTGGAACAACAAGGTTCTGTTCTTTGGTATCATGACTGGATTTGTTCTTGCTTTCCCGATTCTCTATATCCCCGTTATCAACCACAAGGTGTTCAAGCATAGCAGTATCTCCTGGGAATGGGGTATTGTCTTTGTCGAGACTATCCTTTTCTTCCTTGGTATTGAGAGTTGGAAGTGGTGCAAGCGTGTTTACTTCCGTCGTCAAGCTCGCAAGGCTGAAGCTGCGGGCGAGCAGCCTGGAGGCGAGAGAAGGGGCCTGAGAGATTTCAGTCGCTACACTACTATGGACCGCTCGGATACCCAGGCCAGTGAGATGAAGGTGGAACAGTCAATGGTGTAGATACACCGGTTGAGCGATTCTTCTTTTTGCATAGATTTACACACACGTTGCATTCGGAGATTATGGATCTTCGCTATTATGAACATTTAGAGAGATACCAATACTTTTGAGTTTAATGCAGGACTTTTCTTATACTCCTATGACACCCTATTTTGCTTCGTATGATATCGACATAGAAATTGCTGGGAAACCGGCCATTTTCGGCCTAGAGAGAGTGTTTCCAAATTCAGTATTCGACATGGGCTCGTATACTGCTAATTTAGCACATTTTTCTTTGTTTAAAGTTGTCTGTCTATACGAACCCTTACCGAAATTCTTGCTCATCATCTATGCTCTGTGCCTTTTAACAATAGCTCTTCTCTAGAGACCCGGTGTATCCCGATGCCACCATCTCTTCCATGGTTGGAGGCAGAATGCTTCAATTTCTCTCCGAGCATCCTCGTGAGATCAAAAATCTTCTTCTCCATACTTCTTTGAAACATAATCGTCATAGACTGGCTTCTTGATCCCATCATGTTCCGCCACCAATCTTAATTCTTCCAACTCCACAAATCCCAGTCCGATCAACATAGACACCAGTTTTTTCTTATATTCTGAGCTTTGAAGAGAAGCCTCAGAACTCCTGATATCCGTCAGAATTCCATTCTCATGATATTTCTTACACTTCCGTTTCACTCACTGTCTCATGGCTTGGGATTGCTTTGTGACCCATTCATTCAACTTCGCAATATAGGCAGTCGCGAAGATAAATACCAATGATGCTCCAGGGACTCGGCTGTTATGGACGCTCAGCGCTGCCACTAGCGGAATGGAGATCGCATAGATCTGGCTCGCTGAATAGGTTCGGATATAGGGTGTGTAGCTGAAAAAGAAAATGGCTAATCGGGCATAGACAAAGCTATCTAGCGCGTACACCGCTACCTTGTATAGACTGGGTATGCCACAGAAAAATGAAATCAGGGTCACGACCGGACGTAGGCAGGCACCCGCTTGATACGGCGGCCGGGTGGTTCGAGGATCTCCTCGGCGGAGTGTCTTGACCAGCTCGAAGCTCGTCCATGACCAAATGAGACAGAAGAGTACATCCAGAGCATCGGGCAAGAGGTCCGCGTCTCTTTGGAATATCGCATTCAGTCGATACCGGACCGCCCCGGTGAGACCTGTGAACACATGGATGTACAGGTATATCTTCTTCTTGTGGAATTTCCGATGATAAATGGAGATTTGGTGCTGCGTATGGTAGAGGACGATTGCCAGGAAAGAGATGCTGAAGGAAACCGGCCCAAGATGATCCTTCAGCGCTGCAATTCGCGGCAACTCCAAAAGTGAGGGATTCATTGTGAGCGCGACCATTGTAAAAACCAAAACTATTCCGTAGACCAGGAGAGGAGGCTTCAGCGTTATAAGCTCCTTGGTCTTTTTCATCTTGGGATAGATGCAGATGCTATCTCTCGCCCTTCGCCTATTGTTCACGCGTTACACGGCATTGGCTTTGATCGGCACTGAATCATGAATCAGAAATGAGTTCGGACTGTCGGTGAAGATTTTCTCGCTCTCGAAGCTGGCCGAGGTGACACGATCTCTGGATATGCTTTCGTGGTGTCGAAGAATCCTGCCAGTCGATTCTTAAAGCGAACTTTGCCAAATGACTCTCACGCAGGTCTGTCCCAAAGGAGACCAGATTGACCTCGTTGGTGTAATCGTCCGAGTCCAGGACACCCAATGTGCGAGTCTGAAATAAGCATGATATAAGTGAGGCTATGATCATTGCTCCCTCGGTTCTCTCCAACTGGCTCAGTCGGTGGATCTCTGACTTGCATCCGCCCACTCGTCACTGTTCGTGGCGCGTTGAGTAAACCCAATGATAGGCCTCTCTTAGTTACACAGGATCGCTATCGATGATATCAAAGCCTTCCGATGCACTCTGATTGGCTCGATGTGATGAGGTTCGAGATCAATATCCATTCAACTCTGAATCAGCGGTGGTTATGGCCTCTACGCCACGAATCCGGAGCAGACGTCAATACAGCTTTGTGTAACCGTCCATGACAGGTTTATGCAGTCTGTCAAGGTCTAAGCCTGAACCGAAGACCGGATATTTACCAGTTGATCTCGTCCCTCAGAGTTGATTGGTGGGGGAGATGCTGCATAGAACCAATCAGTGAAGTCCTCCGCGATGTTGCCTGCTTGAGTTGGGACTATATAATATCGACAATCGGAATTAGACTTTGTCACATTTCATCTATCGCATTTGCTATCTTGAAGATCCCATACGAATCGGAAGGAAGCAGGGCAAGATCATGGCGACTTCTCCTCACTGGCAACGTCATGTTGGCCTCTGTTCGTATGGCGAAAAACTACGAGTTTTGGTCCATTCTAGCATCTGGAATGATATAAAGGGTCATGAATTATCTCCCACCGAGTGTTTTTCATCCTATTCATTCGGATAGTTACGAACAGAATAGTCTGCGATATGCCAGCCCCATCCGAATCCTCTTCGCGTGATCTTCTCTCCTTGAAGATATTTGACCATCACTATGAAGATTCCACACGCGTGGAGGAGCTGCAACGCTCTTATTTCCGAGCTAAGCATATTGCCAGATTACATGGTATGATTGACCACGGTGTATGAACTCGGGAAAAGGGCTAAGACGAAAGCGAACTGAAATTAGATCTGAACTTGGAAGATGTGCATCATCTCACTACCAAATTTTGGGATGTTCACAGAGACAATATCATTGTCAGAGATACGACCGCCCAGATTCTGGTCACGATCCAGTTCAACCTGGTGGCGGGGACACTCGCTCCCTTTGTTCTGGAGAGACCTGACCTCAAGCCCTTTATGAAACAGGTTTTGAACTTTGATGTATCGTAAGTTTGGTGACTTGTGTTTCCAATGATCCTACTAACAGAAAACAGAGCTTCTTTCATGCTCAACGAGGTCGGCCATGGCTGTGATGCAAGGAACCTGGAAACCACCGCCACTTGGAGGGCGGATGGTAGTTTTACCCTTCATACACCTAATGCTGGGGCTATGAAGTAAGAGGTCCCTCTCATTTCTTATGAGTGCATTCAAGTAACACGGTGTTAGGTTTATGCCGCCATCTATGCCAATTCCCGGAGTTCGTCGCGTTGGACTTGTTTTTGCGCGTCTCTTGGTGAAAGACGAAGATCGTGGAGTTCGAGGGTTTTTAGTTCCTATTACGGATGGACAGGAGATGTGTAAGGGTGTACAGTCATGGTATGTATGAACCAGAGAAGGCCCAATAGCACGATGCTCAAGACTTACATTGATACCATAGGCTTCTTCCGTCAATCACTGGTGGCAAGATGCTAGACCACAGTCTAACATCGTTCGACCAGGTTCGACTCCCTCCGTCAGCAATGCTTGGAAAACTTGAAATGCCTGCCAATTTGCGAAACCAATTTCTGTCTTCTATCAGTCGTCTTGGAACAGGTGCATTGGCGCTGAGTCTCTGGATCATTCCGTTCCTCAAGTGTTCTGTTTACACAGTGGGAACGTATAGTCAGAACCGAACGGTGCAACAGGGTGCGCGTGGTAAACGAGCTCCTATCATCTCATTCCGAACTCAACAGATTCCAATTCTTCATACTCTGGCACGCATTGCGGTCATGGAGGCATTCGCCGATTGGATGACCGATCTATATTCGAACCGCCAGTATGCATACCACCCGGATGCTAGACATGGACTAGCGGTGATTGTGAAATGCCTCTTTATACAGAATGGTCAGAGTAGCCTGAAAGATCTGATTGAGCGGAGTGGTGCCCAGGGAGTTTATCCTCATAACCAAATGACAGCATTTGAGGTAACAAGCATCTCTGAAACACCCCAACTTTGAATGAGACTGACCTGTACTTTTAGTCTCTGACTCGAGCCACCGGTATCGCTGAAGGGGAGGTGCTCGTTCTTTCAATTCGTATGTTGACTCTCAACTGCTCCATTGTGGCTGCCCTATTAATATCTCTCAGGTCTGGCCACTGAAATACTTATTGGCCGGTATGATGTGCCTCCAGCCAAAAGGCCAAACTCTCTGCTAGCGCAGCACGAAGCTGGAGTGATGGCCGAGCTCAAGGCACACATGACAGGGATTCAGGACCACAGGGGAGAAGAGTACAGCAAAAAGATACTACCTCAATGCAGACCTCTTGTCCTAGCCATTGCACAGCGCATGGCGTATGAGGCTGCAGTTGATGCATGTGTCGATCCGGCCTTGCTAGAACTTTTCGAAGCCGATGCGATAAGTGTAGACTCTGCTTGGTATACTGAGACTCTCGGGTTGAGTCGGGCAACTCAGTTTGAGATGGACTCCAAGGCCCTGGATGCCGTTTACCCTCGCTTGCAGACTCTTCTAGATGATCTTGATGTGGAGCCATATTGTACTGCGGCGATGCTGTCCCCGGACAGATGGAGTGGCATTATCAATGCCTCTCAGACGTTCACGGGAAACGCACAGTTTGAGTTCTCGGGGAGACCTTCCTCCAAGCTCTAGTAGGGCTTACGCAAACAATTCAATGAAGCGTGTATCAAAGCAAGAACCGGATCTGCGCAGTGTTGAATCCACAGTTGGGATATAAATGCGGTGACGAACTTGGCTGTACCTTTCATGTGCAGTGCGCTGGATATCTCAAGATAGTCTTTCAATTTATGGTTGTTGCAGAATGAATTAGGGGTTCAATTGAAACTTCATCAATTTCCCGCCCTCGACCATTGTAATGCGCGTAGCTGGCGAATTAGGAATCAGAAGTTTGAAATGAACTTCTGAACCTCTATCCCCGATATGCCTGGCCGATGAAAACCGCGATAATTCATAGTTGTATGCAGAGAAAAGATACGCGCGCAAGGGATGCGAAGATTGAGAGCCCCGATCGTCCCACGGTTCGCGTGAAGCCTAAATGAGCCTCAATCGCGCCAATGGCATCGCAAGATCTTTGGATTTTGGCGATTTCTACGTCAAGATGCATCTTCCATATGCAGCATTCTGCTTTGTTCAATTCTTTATTTAAAATCATGTTTCGCTAGAAGTATCACCGATTCTCACCATGTCATGTGTCGTCATGACTTTTCGTGAAATCCGCCCGAGGAGATGTAGTCGGCTGGAGATGAATTATCGATTTAAATCAAGGCCGACCGGAGAAGCTTCTCCATCTCTTGCAACGACTCGGATTTCGACGTCACACTGGACATGAGATACAGAACGTTACCAAGGACGCGCGAGTGGACATTGAACTTATCACCGCCAATAGAGAGCTTTGTTTGCAGACCCTTGGCAGCGTTGGAGGTATAGCCTGCAGAAATGTTAGTGGGAAGATGGTGTTATGATCGTGGTGGTCCTTACCTCCACCCTCGGCATCACGTAGGGAAATGCTAAGCACAGTCCCGATAGCAAAGACACTTTCCACTGATTCGGCACAGGACAGGTCCTGTAGCAGACCTTGGGACCACACACTCCAAACATCGGGAGTGGAGGCTCCAGAGGGAACAACTGAGCTGCTGTGCCAGTCATCGCGGAATCCATCCCAGGATCCGTTTGAATCGAGCTGTGCCATGGTCTTCAGTGAGTCGACAGCGACCGTGCAGCCTACAGCGTGCGCAGTGTAGCTGTGGCCGTGGAGGAGAGCATCACTTTTCTCCGGGCTAGAAAATGCATTGAAGATCTCCTCGCTAGCCACCGTCGTACAAAGCGGGATCAAACCACCGGTGAGAAGTTTGGCGTTGACCGCAACGTCTGGGTGAATGCCCAGGAATGAAGCAGATGTGGGACGGCCCAGACGGTACAGACCAGTGAACACCTCGTCAAAGATGATTGGTAGACCTGACCAGGACGGGGACTCCTTAGGAGCAGTAGCATCAGAAGAGAATAGCTCCGGGTGTTCGCGGACGACATCAGCCAGGCATCTCTGGAATAGTGGGTCACAGAAGAGCATTCCACCAGCACCAAGGATAACAGGCTCCATAATCAGAGCACCAAATTTCATACCCTGGCGCTGGACCAAGTCCTCAATGGTGCGGTGGATATAATCCTTGTAGCGCTGAGCGGTAGCAGATCCAATACGCTGTTCAAGATCGAAGACTGAGCCCAATGAAGCAAAGTCGGCATTATCACCCAGATCCGCTTGAAGCTCACCGGGAATCTCAACTTTCCATGACCCGCCAACCATCTTGACCAGCGGGAAGTCAAACCAGTGACCACGGCCACGGTACCATTCAACCTTTTGGTTAAAGGTGGATGGCTCTGAGCAGTCCATTACACCAATAGTGTCGCCGTGATAGCTGCCCTTGAGACCCAGAATGCCAATTTGCTCCTTGCTTGCGTCCCAGCCGTAGCGGTCGCAAGAGGCGCGCAGACCCATTTTTACGGCCACTTCCATTCCTGTGCTTCCGTTGTCCGTGTAAAAGACCTTGGTGAACCGTGGGTTTCCAATAGTCTCCAGCAAGCGACTCGCAAGAGATAGCGCCGGTTCATGGACGGCGCCCGCGAACATAACATGCCCGTACCGGCCAGCGGCGTAGGCTGCAGAAAGTGATAAATCAGGGTTGCCATGGCCCAAACCTTGAGTCCACCAGGATGCCGACCCATCGAATGTTGGCTGTAATTGACTTTCGGTATTTTTGGACGAGTTGGATTTCAACGTCTGGAAGTAGTCATCGTGGGCCGAGTCAATCACGGTGATGTCCTTGGCTTGCATGCCTTGGTGCTGAGTGAAAGGGTACCAGATCAGATCTCGGGCACGGTCGCCCATCTCTTCTAGACGTTCAATACGCTCGGTATTTTTGACTGTCATCTCCTCCAAGAGTCTGAGAATGTCAGACTCCTGTGCGGACTTCTCGTAATAGGTGAGCATAGCTTCCTCATCTCTCAATTGATCATCTGCGCCGGGCTGAGATGGGCGAGATGGAGGTTTTGGCAGTGATACTAGAGGAATGCTCTTGCTCTTAAAGTAATCACGGAGGTATTCGTGATTTTGGTAGTAGTCATCTCGGAACAAGAGTACCGATTGCACGTCATAGCCGCGAAGTAGCAGCGACTCGTAAGCAGAGATGGAGGAAGAGATCCCCCCTAGGCGAGAGTCTGCGACCATCACGATTGGCAGCCGAAGAGGTCGGTACAAGTCTGCCTGTGAGTTGCCATTGGGGCCTGGGGAGTGGACACCCCCCGCAGTCTCGACAAGAGCAAAGTCGATATCCGACTGAGCCCAGCTGGACAGAGTCTTGTGAATTGAGGCGAGTAGATCATCGTCTCGTGGGATCTGTCTCGATCAGCTTTGTAAATGACGAGAATATATCGGAACTCACCACTTTGTCCTTGGCAGCCAAATGCGGGCTAACCGGGTCATCGAATTGGTAAAGACATTTGGTCAATGTGCCCGCGCCAAAGCGCTTTAAGTGTCTGCAAGTAAGTTAGGGGCTGATCTCGAAGCAATGGGCCCAATTGTAGCATTGTAACTTACTGATCATCGGCGTCGTCCAACGCTCCTGTGGACACCGGCTTGAGGAATGCAGCTTGTTGTTTCTGCCGTTGGATCGCATTGCACAACACAGTCGAGACAATTGTCTTTCCCACATCAGTATTGGCCCCATAGACCTGATGCGCACGCAAGTTGCGCCACAGCGCAGCACCGACAGGCATTGTTGAGGTGAAGTTGTAGATCGCGGCGGGCGAGTCAACCTGGTGGATCCCGTGACCTCTCCACTCACCGAGGTTATTCTCGTTGAATCCCAACCGGTTGCGGTTCCGTCTCCAATTACCTGCCAATTATCTGCCAATTGTCTGTCAATTGGCTCGTGTTCGTGTTTGGGCTCGGTTTCCCTCGGAGATAATCAAGTGGACGATCATCCCGAGATCGGAATCCAGGAACATCCAGAAACATCCACAGCCAACGGCTTCCTGCAGAGGTGCCTGGAACATCACAACCTCACAATGGCTTCAGTTCACACATCGTCAACGCCGACACTCGTGGAGTCTCTCTCCGCAGCACTAGCACTTCGGGAAACCAAGTCTGCCCGCCGGAGATTAACTGTTCTACCCCGGACGGCGGTAGACTTCTCTTCCAATGACTTCCTCTCATTGTCAACGTCGCCCGCCTATCGCAAAGGGTTTTTGGCGCTTCTGAACAACACTCCTCCGTCATTTCCCTTTGCCAGCGGCGGTTCTCGGCTTTTGGACGGGAATTCGGCGTATGCGGAAGAGCTTGAAAACTTTGTCGCGGACTTTCATCAAGCTCCGACGGCATTGCTGTTCAATTCAGGCTATGATGCTAATGTCGGAGTGCTCTCCAGTCTCCCCCAGCCCGGGGATGTGATTCTGTATGATGAGCTCATTCACGCCAGTGCTCACGAGGGAATGCGTCTCTCCCGGGCGGGGGCTCGGAAGATGTTCCCTCACAGTTCGCCAACAGGCTTAAAAGAGGTTCTCCAGGCCCAGATTGCGGTGGATCCAGCGATTCGGAATGGCAGCCGTAATGTCTTTGTGGTTGTTGAATCGATATACAGCATGGACGGAGATGTGGCTCCTATCAAAGAGTTCATTCAAGTTGTGGATGATCTGCTCCCTGCGGGTAATGGATATTTCTATGTTGACGAGGCGCATGCGACTGGTGTATTTGGACCCAAGGGGGCTGGAGTAATCCAGGAACTTGGTGTACAAGATCGTATGTTCATTCGAGTACATACCTTTGGCAAGGCCCTGGCCAGTCACGGAGGTACGCCTTTTAACATTGACGAGCGCCTGGGATCATATACTGACATTCCTCTAGCCATGGTGCTCTGTGGACCTGAGACGAGGGACTACTTGATTAATTATGCCCGGAGTCTCATCTATACCACTGCGCTGGGATACCCGTTCTTGGCGTCGATACGTGCTGCCTATGAGCTCCTCTCATCTGGTGAAACAATATCGGTAAGCTACTACCATCTGCACACGTTCCGAGCTCAAATTACTGATCGACTTGCAGCTACAGAATCGACTTCAACAATTGATTCGACATCTTCGACAGAAACTAGATGGACTTCATACCCATCCATCTGTCATGTTTGAGGTCGACCATTTCCCCACATCTCCCATCATCTCCCTTCGCACATCACAGCCACGACAGCTGGCCAGTTCGTGTCAAGAGAAAGGATTCATCGTTCGGGCAATTATGCCCCCCACCATCCCCGATGGAAAAGAGCGGGTACGAGTTTGCATGCACGCAGGCAATACGGAAGCCGAGATTGATGGCTTGGTGCAAACGATTCAGCTGTGGCTAGACGACAGTCGTAAACGGATAGCGAAGATATGAGGTGCCCTAACAGACGACATAACGGTATATTAGAAGATTAACGAGGAAAGAGACAGAGCCCCCAAATCTATAGCCCAGAGCTATAATTATACCCTTTTTTTGGAGATTCTCATCATGTCAGTTGCGGAAAATAAAGTTGACTTGCTCTGCAAGGCTGTGCTCTAGCACAGCAATGCCTCGTAAATCTTGGTACTTAAAGCTCTGTATAAGATCTTCCTTGAGCATACTGTCAAGTGCGTATGTCTGCTCTTTTACAATGATCTCAGGGGGTTTAATGTAGAAGTTTAGATATTTACGTATTTGTGGCGGTGAGACCTAGTGCTAGTCAGGTCGGGCTTTTATCGTAACTGATTTCTGCATAATTACGGAGTCTTTAATTCCAAATTTACATCGATCGAGCCACAATCTCAGAGTCAAGATGCATGAGAGTAGAAAGCTTAAGTGGTGATGGTCATCACAACCGAATAGTGTGTAGTGACTCGGAAATTCCTCTGGTTATTGTAGGCAAATCGAGCCTCTCTCTCACATAATATTGACTTAGTGTAAAATATATTGACTTTTGAGACATTATACATTACCACCACGGGTTCGCATGAATAGATTGGCAGGCCTGTCGCGGTGTGCAAACTCCGGATCGACAATGTAGTCAATATCAGTGCCGACAGGCTTGAAGCCCATCTGACCGTATACATGTCGGCCCATGGCAGATGCCTCTGTGATAGCCTCCAAATCGCCACGTCGCTGGGCTTCATCAAGACCCCATTGCACCAGGGCTCGTGCGAGGCCCTTTCGCTGATAGGCTGGATCGACGACGCACATATCCAGGATCATCACTGCGGGCGGCGTGGCGGTCGCCTTTTCTTGGATAACCTGATTGCGGCGTCGGAAAAATGAACTCATCACTTGTGTGATATATCGCTGTTCTGTTTCATTTCCGGGGTAGAGCGATTCCAGCTGTAAGGCTTCACCAAGATTCTCTGCTGGCTTATCACCATGACCTTCGACGGCTGAAGCCTGGACCCAAATGGCACACCCGGCGATTACACGGCCGCCCTCGGAGTTGGGGAGGGTAGCTTTGAGGAAAACGGTGTTGGGAAGGCCATCTTGGTTCTGAGTAATGGTGGACCAACGAGAAACCATTGCTGCAGCTCCACGCGCAATTCCTGCGGGCTTTTCCCAGTCTGGGTTCATGCACATCCAGACAGCATCTTTGGCTTGACGCCCGAAAGCTTCGCTTGCACAGTGAAAAGCCTGGGTGAAATCCTCAGCTTGGCTGATTGGTTCGATACGTAATCCGTGATCCATTGTGATACAGTTTAAAAAGGCAACTTGCAAGTCAATGAAGATGCGAGAATGAGAGCAAGGAGAGAACTAGTACATGTGTCCAAGTGCCCCCCGGTTGACAGCCCGGGGGCCAGAGCATATATTAGTCATCCCGGCTAATCCTCGGGCTTGCGCATAGATCTCTGGAAGGGCTTGTTTCTTGGGGGGTGCTATGTTCTATTCTTGAATCGGTTCTAGTTTACTTGGATGCATGAGGAAGGTTGGGAACTCAAACTGCAATTTATACAGAAGCCCATATGTGATCTACACGTGAACAATGGAATTCCTCTCTACATAAAAGTTCGTTCAAACCGGTCGATTAATTGAGAAACAAAATCATAGAACTGTATTTGCGGTAAAGGAAAGATAAAGAGAGACTATTAGAAAAAAAAATAGAAATTAATTGACCTATGAAAATAAGAAAAGCAGAAGATCCAATGGCTCTCACCTGTAGATCGCCCCCTAATTACTCGATATCAATACCAAGCCAGGTTGTATCCATGAGGGCAATTTCAAAGCTCTCATCATTAGGCCAGTACAGGCTCAGCAAAGACCGCCTGAACTCATCAAAGTTCTTCTCGTGGTTATGAACATCGAAATTCTCTTCATTGCTGAACCGGAATTTTCGTCCGTTAATATGCCAGCTCGTAAATGGGGCACTGGTCTGTCGAACAATCATACGTCCAACCGGTGCTGAAGGAATGCTAAAGTCAATAGGGAAGCTAGGGTCTGTAAGCTGTCGCTCACAAATGTCTCGCAAGTTCATCTCAGTTTGCTCCCATTGTGGTCGCCACTGTTTGAAGACCTCTGTCCACTCTTCGTCAGTGCCACTGTCAGCTAGAATTGCGCACATGGACCACACAAAATGGGCGCTACAGAGCCACTCACCAAAGTGTCCAATGATCACATTTGAGTCACGGGAGAATCGGATCAGGCTAAAGGGAATAATTGGGTCTTTGTCTTCTGCTAGAAGGGCAGAGTAGTATGGAGGAGCGGGGGACAAGTCGCGATACTGGGGAGGGGAAGCGGTTAGACTAATACTATTGCTGTGTTGATTCGTACAAATTTCCGGGGCTGGGATTCGCCTGCCCCGAGTAATCGGTCTGCGATTATGCGATGAGTCGGGCATGATTATCACTTGAAGAGACTCTGTGTTGTTGGGGTAAGTCAAAGTTTGGGTGTATAGGGGGTAAGCTGAATCGGTCACAGTTTGATACTGTGGAAGAGTCAATAGTGTGAATGATACTGGAACTTTTATCTCGGGATGCTGCACTACTTTATATACTTCAGGCTTCAAGAAGAGATTTTTGTCGAGGCCAAAGACGTCTTGACTCGATGCCTCCTTTCAACGCCTCAAAAATGGAGTTCGATTGAGCAAAAAGGCCATTGTGCAAATATCTTTGTTTGAATGCATGCTTTGTAACATGAACCTTGGCGAAAAAGGGATCTTTGTAAGGTTTTATCCTTCTTTCGAGTCTCAGTATTGACCTGTGACTATCGCTTGCAAAGAAAAAAAAGAGCCTGAAAGAAATCTACATCTGAAATTGAATATGATTCTCTTACTGAGATTCACTCCTTCATTTTTCGGTACCGTGCAGTCTCCAACTCCTCAACCCCATGGGAACGATACCATCACCTAAATTCCTGTAGGCCTAGCACCAACAGTCCCCGAGAATCCAGGAGGAGCACCCCCAGGCCCATCACCAGGCCCGCCCATGCCAGAATCAGGATTCGCAATACCCCCTTCCTCAGTATTGTAAGCAGCAGGCGTAACATCCCGATCAACAGTCGGGTTCACAGCAACGGAAATCCAAGCGAAAATTCCATCGGAGATATCATCACCGAGATAAACGTATTCCATGAATGGGTCAATCGTTTCTGCTTCTTCCGATAGAATCCCATCTTCGGCATTTGTCGTTAGACTTTGCGTATTGGTGTTGTAGGGAGCTGTCAACTCCACTGCGGTTATTAGATCTTGGTCGAAGAATGTTTGGCCCACGTATGACGAATGGGTCTTGTAGAGACCTGTTATTGTGCCGTTGACCAGGATCTTGGTTTCGTTTTTGGGGTGGGTGAGAACTTGCTCTTGTTAGGGTTTCCGTACTTTAAAGTATCTCGTGGAAGGATTGTGTGAGGTGTGGATAGTGAGTAGCATACCGTGAATGTGAGCTGTTCGACCTGTGTAGTGACCCGGAAAGACAGATTCAAAGTGAACGACGCCATCTCCATCGCTAGCCTGAATCCCTCGCAGCCAAGTGGTATTGATGTTTTCTTCGTCGGAAGAATCTCCATTTCCACCTGCAACGATGCCGGAGTAAACGCCCTGATATAACCATTAATAGTGTCCCTCGATTAGGGCTCAAAGACAGGTAACCGATTTAACTCACAGTAGCATTACAATGCCAGAGATCCATATAGATATCCGGAAGTGGATCACAAGTATTGGTATCGATCAACTGGATATCCATGTAAAGAGGGACACCCTGCTGGGATTCGACGATGTCCTCTCGAACAAGTTCACCTGAGACATCTGCATCATATAAGAAAGCTTTCAGCCCACAATTTGGATTTCATTGACAAACAGTAAGGCCCCTGAGTAACATCAGGAGCAAGGATACAAGTTCCCCCAGATCCGAACAAAATGCTCGGATCAGAAGAGAGATCAATGCCCGTGAGGTTCGAGTGATGCGAGATAGTCAAATCTTCAGCTAGACTGCGGGCTTTGATGAATGATCCAGCTATAATAGACATCACTTTAGTCAGGGCTATCTAAAGCCAGGTCTTTGGCTGGGACATACCATAGTCAATACCACGACGGCGACGCAAATGCTTGACAGCCATTTCGCGACGCACTACACTCCGTCTCTCATGGCCTCTCGCTTTCAGCTTAGACGCACACTGAGCAAGACTTCGTGCGTGAATGGGGGCATTTTGAAGGAATGCAGCTCGTTCAGCAGCTTCTGCTTTGATATCATGTCCTGGATGGGCGGATACAAAGATTGTCAGGCCAACTAGACCGAGGTAAACTATGGATGAAAGATGAAGCATTATTGCTGATACAGATGAAATCGGTATTCAAAGGGATGATTTGACTTGGAGCTCGGGATTGTTGTTTGGATGAATTATGGATGTCTCGTAGCGGAATCAACAAGTCTATTATATGTTTTTTGTAGGTCAATTGCATGTGTTGAAAACGGAGAGCTTCTTCATTGAGAATAGTGTAGTCCGCAAGATCCCCTTGATTGATGAAGCTGACGACGAAAGTCAGGGTCCCATGGCAGTATCGACAAATAGAACACGACACATTTCTCAGAAAAACGCCGCTACCAAGCTGGCGTCGGAGCCCTATGATGCTTCGATCACGAGCAGAAAGCAGCCTTCTGCCAAGGACTTTGAAATAGGCTGGGGTTGATTGGATTGTAAGTGATGAAGGAGGAGAATGCACGACGGCCCTTCAAGCAAACAGATGTTCAACCCCCGTCGATCATCATCGACTAATGCCAGCCAAGGAATACTGGATTCTTAGTTCCTGGTGAGTAAGCGGAGGAACAGGGTCCAATGCCGGATGCTGTAGCTATAAAGTACAGTTGCATGTTAAGTCGATTTGCCATCGTAGCTGAAATAATCGATGTTGGCAAAACACCATTAGAATAGATTATGTGGACTTTTTTTGGACCTTACACCCTAAATGTTGAATGAGTTGTATGAAGAAAGAGTCAAAGACATCAAAATGATGCCTTCCCTCTGCACTGTAAGGAAGATCGGTAATGCGTCGGAGATCCGTCCTGACTCCTCACGGATATCCTCCGTTATGCAAATGCGACAGAGCACCAGCAAGATCCCTGTAACTATAGCTAATGAACGAATGGGAACTAGCACTGTGTGTACTAGAGTGTAGAGTAGACTAGGGTCTAACCCCAGGGGTTGGTTTCAACGTGGACACGGATGGCATACGTACTTCTCCTTGGCATCTCTTCCTGTGACAAGTTCTGTTTCGTCGGGAGATAAACCGCGCAATTCTTGGCAATTGCTTGGAAGCGTCCTTTTGTCGCGCGTTCGACAGTGTGGCGCATATGCTCAGTGTGAATCGGATTGGTCTATTAGGCCGTAGTTTACCCGCCTTGGCTTTCTTGAGAATAAGTTAATACGAATTTACGAGAACAAGATTTAGCAATAAAAATTAGTCAATTATGATACATGCAGCTTCATGGATATTGAACAGGAACACATCAAACATCAACACGTGGTAGAGACAGTAACAGGCGTAGAGAGTAAGAGTCAGAGTAAATGGCTTGAGACAAGCGTAAATTACTGAGCACCTAAATCTCAAATGATTAAATAACAAAAGATACCACCATATCAGAGCCAGTCTGATAGGTCAGATTAGAGCAATAGATCAAATCTAAACCTCCTGCTGGGTAATGGTAGGACCGGTAGCCATCTTCTCGTCGACAAGGCCGATCTCGGCGGTGAAGGTGGAGTGAGGCTTCCACTTGGCGGATGTGCGAGGGGTGCTCTCCTCCATCATCTTGTCAACCTGCTCCAGGGTGAGACCCTTGGTCTCGGGGATGAGGAAGTAGGTGTAGATGAAGGCGCAGGCGCAGAGGGAGCCCCAGATGAAGAAGACCTTGGCGCCAAGGTTGCCCTTGTCGGCATCGACCATGTAGGGGGTGATGACGGCGATGATGCAGTTCCAGAGCCAGTTGGAGGCGGTGGAGAGAGCGACACCACGGGAACGGATGGGCAGAGGGTAGATTTCACCAATGACGACCCAGGCACCAGGACCCCAGGTGGTGGCGAAGAAGAAGATGTAGATACAGATGAGGGCGATCATGGCAGAGACAGCAGCAGGGTTGGCACCATCAGTAACACCGATGATGGCGACGATGAACTGGCAGATAACCATGCCGAGAGCACCCCAGAGGAGGAGGGGACGACGACCGAGCTTCTCAATGGCGTAGAAGGAGAGCGGGGTGGAAACGACGTTGACAATGGTGGTGATCATGCTCAGGAGGAAAGGATCCTGGATTGTGCCGAGCTGCTTGAAGAAGGTGGTACCGAAGTAGAAGACAAAGTTGACACCGGTCCACTGCTGCATCATCTGGAGAGATGTACCGAGAATCGTACGGCGCAGGTTGCTGTTGGGCTCCCAGAGACTGCCGCTGAAACAGCTGAGCCAGGTGGTGAAGTAGCCACCCTGGGGGATGTGCATCATCTCGTACTGGTTGTTGGCGTCAATCTCGTTCAGCTCCAGGGTGACGTATTCGGAGTCAACAGGCTGGCCACGAATACGGGCGAGCACATCACGAGCCTTCTCCTTCTCGCCCTTGCGGATGAAGTAACGAGGCGACTCGGGCAAAAAGAACAGACCGCTAGCCAGGATAACAGCCCAGAGCATCTGGAGGGCAATAGGAATGCGGTAGGCACCAGTGTCCTGGCGGTTCTGGGTGCCATAGTCGACACACGAGGCCAGCATGAGACCGATGGTGATGCAGAACTGGTAGCCGGAGACGATGGCACCACGAACCTTGCGTGGGGCAATCTCAGACATGTAGAGAACGATAATGGCCGAGACGAAACCGATACCGAAACCGGCAATCAAACGACCAGCAACGAGGAGACCCAGGCTGCTGGCAGCAGTCTGCAGAACAACACCAATGATGAAAATGCCACAACCAGTGATGATGGTGGTACGACGACCGAACCAATCAGCCAGATCACCAGCAATCAAAGCACCGAAGAATGTACCAGCAGACAGAATAGAGACAATGAGAGACTTGCGGGAGGAGGGAACCACGAAGAGGTCGGAAGGAGTAGTAGCAGGGTCCTATGGGAAAGATTTAGCGGGCAGTTCCCAGCGGTGGACATCAGGAGGTACTCACGAGATGCTCGAACTTCTGAATGAAGTAGTTCATTCCAAGAACACCAGAGATATAACCAGAGTCATATCCAAAGAAGATACCACCAAAGGCAGCAAAGGCACACATCAAGTAGGCCTTGAATGTGACCGGGGCCTCGACACGCTCGGTGTCCGCAGGCGAGGAGACGACTCCACCACCAGGCATGGTGAGATCAAGAGCAAGAGCAAGGGGGTAAAGTTGTAGGAGACTGAAAGGGTTTCTTTAAAAAGATCTGAAAGATGTGAAGGGATACGAGAAAAAGGAATGAGACTGAGGGGGGAGGAGAGTAAGATTTATACTACGATGGACCCGCTCGACTAAGCATCCCCAGACCCCATGGTCAGAAAACCAAAAAAGTCAAAAAATGAAAAAAGCAAAAACGCAAACGCTAGCTCAGCTTTGGGCTCGGGCATGGGAAACTGTCGGCTCCTCAACTTCTCGGCTACAGAAGAAGAGGCCAAGTCGGGCTGGGAAGTATAGGAAACCGGGGAAGTCGATGCTGATTGGTTGATGAGGGACTCCGGGGAAAGAACGGGGAATTCGGGCCTGTGATTGGCTGGCTGGTGCCGTTGAAGTGGGGGGCCACACCCAACAGAGCCTCGGGCTGGACCCTCGGGACCGGCGAGACTATCCCCTTTAGGCCTGCAGTCCGGCCTCTTTGGGTTTCTGATTGGTCGGATGCGGTGGACCACGTGCCATGGGAAGTTTTTTTCTTCTCCTTTTTGCCCTTTGCGTACCTTTTGCAGGGACCCTTTGACCCTTTCGGGTTCTCGCCTTTGCCTCTCGCTTCCTATTTTTAAAATTGGTGGTCGTTAGTGTCCTCGTTGCTTCGCTTTCCATTCTGCGATCCCTTGCAGGTTAGACACGCTTTGGCCTGCTGACCCTGCAACTGCCGTGATTCCGCATAATGTCACATCGCCAGCCGTCTCAAAGCACAGACCTGGGGGACGCCACGAAATATCACTTTCCCTCTTAGTGGGCAAAGGGTCTTGGCGTAAGGCGGGCTGACTATACACTGTGTCTATAATCTATTTCGGATGGGGGATCTTTCAGGGTCTCATCCTCTAGTCTAGGCCTCATCGACCCCATGAATGAGCGAGCATAGAACCTAAACATCGACTGGAACTAGAAAATAAACAGATCATCATGACAGGCAGACGATCAATCTCTCGGGCATAACCGAGTTGGGTTCCACCCCCAGACAAGATTCCTGGCGTTTCTCTCCGGGGGAACCAACCAGTCATAGGGTCTTGGTAACCTTGGCTCCCTAGAAATCTCTGCGAGTAATTTGCCACGGGTTAATGTCGGGCCCCTAATCTCTGGGTATTCTTGGCGGGGTGGAGGTGGCATGCTACACTACCATATCCTTCGCTTTCGGGTTCACGCTATAGTACAGAGTGGCTCGACTCTATAACTTGGGCTGTTCTGATCCCCCCCCCCTCCCCTCGCTGGCGTGTTCCAAATCCAGCAAATGCTACATAAACTGTCTAAGCGCTCTCGTTTATTGGTTTGTTCGGTTTATTAGGGTTCATGAAGTTCCTGGGTTCATCTCCGTCGCTTGTCTTGACCTGTTCTAGCTGCAGGTGGGCCATGTGGTCTCTCATTCTGGGGGACCGATGAAGTGGATACACGCTGTGCCGTATGTTCTCCCGACCGAAGACCGGTTGTCCCCGTCTTTTTGCCCCGTCTTTTGGTGAGCCGAGGAACATGGTCCGATGCTCTTCGCCATGCCGGTGAGTCAATTTCGTTAGGCTGGCACAGTATGGTGGGTTCGGTTCAGGCCTGGGTTCCTACTTTCGGCCAACGGGGAGAGACACCTGGAGACACTCCGGATTTCCGGATACCGGGAGTCCTGGAGTTCTGGGGGAGATGAGGAGAAGAGGAGCTTCCCCAGGTCTGGCATTTCTCACCGGAAACCAGAAGAGTCCTAATGTCCGGCAATTATAGTTTCGTGATGCGATGAGTGAGGAGTTAGGGTTACTTGTTTATGGTGACATTCGCTCTTCATCTAAATTCTTCATCGTTCCAAGGTTCTGGTTTGGACTTTTCATAATCTAATATCCCCTTTCTCTCGGTCATGAATAATGCTGAATCTCAAGACCGTCTAACCGGTCATCCCGTCGCCAGTGTTCAAGGTGGTCCACATAATCCTTGATCCCTTGTCCCCAGATGCAAAATCGGGCTGCCTTGAATGTCTCCTTCTCATCGAGCCGAGCACCTTCTCGGTTCCAATATCCAGGGGTACAGTTAGCGACACCTTCAAGGGCTCGTGCTCTCAACAGCACCTCTTTCGTCCATCCTTCTTCCGCGGCACTACTAGGCACAACCATAAATCTTTGAATTTTTGATCCCCTGCCTGCTGCCGAGATGATGTATGCCACTTGAATTGCAAGCTGGTCCAGAACGTAGACCTGGTTTGGAGACGCCCCGGCTTGATATGGACCTGGAAAGAACAAATTGGGAAATCCAGAGCTCATAATACCATGCAGTGAGGCCATCCCTTCTTCCTCCCGTTTCTGTTTTAGGGTCTTCTGGTCTCGTCCGATGATGGGCACATGTTCACAGGCAGTGTTGCTTCCAAGACTGTATCCTGTACCGAAGATGATGGCGTCCAGATTGATTACTCTGCCATCCACGACAATACCCCGGTCTGACACTGTCTGTACGCCCTTTCCCTCGGTGTCTATCAGTTTGACATTGGGTTTATTGAAGGCTTGGAGGAAGTTGTCACTGAAGCAGGGGCGCTTGCACCAGCCTGGATACCACGGTTTCAGGAGCTGTGAAGTTGCCGGGTCAGTGACTGTGGCCTCAACACGATGGCGAATCTTCCCCTGTCGATTAATGTCTAACGATTGCATCCATGCGAGGTAGTCAGGCTGCAAAGATTTGGGACTTCCGATCAATGCACTGAAGGAGGGCATTTGGGACCATGCATCATTCACCATGTTGACGTCTTGCCGCATAGTATCATTGGATACGAAGGAGTTGAAATTCTCCATCCGTTCTCGTTGCCATTTGGGCCCTTTCTCTTGGGTCATCGTTTCCCACCAGGTAGGATCTGTGACTGAATTGTCTCGAACATCCACAGATGATGGTGTACGCTGAAATACAATAAGCTTCTTCGCCCACTGGGCCAAGTGAGGAACTGCCTGGACAGCGGTGGCACCTGTGCCCACAAACCCAACCGTCTTATCACACAATTGGCTCATGATGGGATTTTCTGGGCTCCCTCCAGTGTAAGCATAGTCCCAGCGCGACGTATGGAAAACATGGCCTTGGTATGTGTCGAGGCCATTCAGCTTCGGTCTCTTGGGGGAGTCCAGCAGGCCGCCAGCCAAAATGACAAACTCCGATTTGAGGATCGCAGCTGCGTGATCCTTGGTCGTTACCTGTACGCTCCACTGGGTCTCCTCATCACTCCAGTCAAATCTGTCGACCTTTGTTCCAAACAAACCTCGGTTCGTGAGTCTCCATCGATCGGCGATTCGCTTCGCATGCTCTCTCAACTCATTTCCAGAGACATACTTGTGAGAAGGCATGTAGTTCATCTCCTCCAACAAGGGCATGTAGATGTAACTTTCCACATCGCAAGTCAAACCGGGATATCGATTCCACCACCACGTTCCGCCGAAACCACCGGCTTTATCCACAAGGAGTATCTGATGTGCTTGACAAAAGCCTGTTTGCAGCAGACGCACCGCAAATAACAACCCCCCAAAGCCAGCGCCAACAATTAGGACTCGAAAGGTCTCTTCCCGGATGAGGTTGTCGTTGCTTGCTATCCTCTCAGCTGGATACATGTCTGCTGTGTCATCTAACTCGACGTATTGTGCAAAGCCTTCTGGTCGCAGTCTTTTCTCGCGCTCGGAATCATATCGCCTATATGTGTCTTTCGTGTTCAAGTTGCTAGTCTCAGGCCTGTTTACGGCTGGGTTGTTGGTGAGACCCATCTCTTCATGACTAATGCCAGGCTCACCCATGATGATGGATCGTAGAAGGTTGACAAAATGTTGGAGATGGCACTTATTGCTAGGTATCTATTATGGATGGCCTCATAATAAAGGTTGGTGCTTGTCAACAAGCAAGGCTCATGCGTGATTTTAGATGCATTGATGTACATTTCTCATGCAAGGGATAGCTGGCTGTGTGAACAAAATGATCTAGAACAATCAATTCAGTTTGAAAGCAATATTTGTCGTTCCTGGTCTTAAAATCTGCATCTAGATAACCAACCTGCTATAGAGTGGCCAAGTTGAAGTCGGAGCCTCAAGAAACTATTACGTAGTATGCCAGATCATATTTCTCTTACAAGTCTCACATTGTGATCAGCGATCTACAGTATAAGATTGTAAGACCGTTGACCAGGAATAACCCGATCATATCTGTTGGCTATTGCCTCGGACGGAAAACCAATAACAGAGGGAATGCTAGAAAGTTTAGCAACAACACTAGTCACCGATCCCATTCCCTGATACAGTAGCCAAACAAATATCCTGTCCTGAACCCTGAAAAGGTATTAGGGCGATCTCCGAGCAAATACACTGGCGCCAAGAACGCCATACTCTAGTCTCAAACCGAGCAATCAACCCTCATTGGCCCGGCAAGTCTTGGCTCCCGGTTGACCCTTAGCCTCGCATTTTGAGTCCACACGAGGTTAGTTCTGGCGAGAAATACGAACGACTTGGAATCGATATGGTCGGATAACAAAGATCTCCGCCGATCTCGCGATTTGATTCGAGCCGTTTCAGGGACCAGCCCTAGAAATCAGGGTAAGCAGGGTCTAGTGATCCCTGCAGCCGCATCGGTCGTGTCTTTAAGTAGGCTTGCACCTGGCGATGGATAGCTCGGGGTTTTTGTTCTTTTGAATTGGATCATTTGCGACAATGGTATGCCAGCTGCGTTTGTTTCTTGCCTTGGGGGCTTTGGCTTCTTCCGCGCTTTCGGAGAAAGTTGGCTATTTTGATGCGTCTGTTTGTGCCGATACTAAGGGATTCACTTCCTGCTACAAGGCTGCAGATGCAGAGTACACAAGTTGTGTGAAGGATAACTGTGCTGGTGGGAGTCAAGCGTGTTACGACTCTTGCGATGGCAGTGTTGCCTGCATGAACAAGCAATGCCCCGGTCTAGGCATTGATTGTATAAATGCTTGTGGATGCCAGCAGTCTGCACACCAAATTGACTGTGCTGGTGCAAGCTGCTGGAACCAAGTCAGTAGTAGAATAACTTAACTTCAACTACTCGCCGCTAACACATCTACAGGTCTATTCCTGTGAATACCAGAATACCGTCGGTGACTTTTTTACTCTCTGCACCAAGCCCAATTACGATACTGTGCCATTCTGGCCAGCACCCGACGATGCCCCCGATTCCTGTTCTTGCAACCTTGGAGAAATTGAAAAGAAAGAGTACTTGATTTCGCTCCAAATGACGGAGTGCAGCAACAATATGACCAACCTCAACCAAATTACGAAGACCGATGCAATTGTAGACTACGGGAAAGCCTGTACCTGCTGTGGAATGAGTGCTATAATCTCTGCGTATGTTGAAGTCTTCCCAGTTAGTCTTTATGTCTCTGCTAACCAATTTGCAGAATTTATGACACCTGCCCCGACACAAAGCCTTCCCTGCTTGGCGTAACCGAGTGGAATGATGCAGTATTTGTACCTAATGACTGGGCAGAGTGTGGGCCATATCTTGAGGCATATGATTGCGCAGGCGATTTGGGGTATGGCCGCGCTGATGCTGGTGCTATTAGCAAATATTACCAGCCCAGCAGCATGCCATCTAATGGTACTAAAACCCTATCGAATGGAAATGGTGTGGTTTCCACTCCGATTAGCGGTGATACTTTTACTTGGCAGTTTGGCCAATCTTCGAGAGCATTGTATCATACTGTCACTGTTGCTTCGGCCAATGCAGTGGTCACTGGAAAGGGAAATGCCAGCGGAGGTGAGAGTTCAACAACTACGGCGACAGAGACTGGTGCCACCACAGAAAGCACACAACCCGGAGGAGGAGTGTCCTTGGGTATTCCTCTCTGGACTATGGCTGGCACTGCTGGTGCCTTGGTCTGGTTAGCTTTCTAATCCCAAGTTCAGTCAGGGTCTATGGCTGCTAAAATGGGTTTGCGATAGGGTATGTGGCAATTGAATGAATTCTGCTCAATATCATACAAGAATCTGAATGTTGCCCTTGGTCCTACAATACAAAAACCATATATCAATAATGTACAAATTATATCTTACAATGTGGCTAGCCACTTATCCCCATCCCTTTAAGCTCCAGTGACCCGCAGCACAAATTCATAGACACCAAGAGTGATAATGGCTGATGGCAAGGAACGGACCATATGGGGTGCCAGGCCTCCATACAAGCCCGCCATACCTTCTTCTTTAGCAACAAGTCGGAAGCATTGTACCAGGCCTGTGTATTTAGGCCGACCATTCTCCTGTGGTGCCTGGCGCAGTCTTGTCCGGATAACCTAATAATGTTAGTATAAAGTGAGTCACACCCAATTGCTCAAGATGCGTACCTCGTGGGGATATGTCATCAGACCAGCCACAAGCTTCGCAGAACTTGCAGCACCGCTGGTACTAATCCAATGGCAGACTTCATCCCAAACAGGAGTTCGTGTTCCCTCGCTAGCTGCTAACGACTGACTGAACCCAGTTTTCAACCGCTCATAAAGTACCAAATGTAACGCCGTCTCGATGGATCCGAGGTAGCTTGCACTCATTCCTCTGTAAAGACCTGCTATGCCCTCATTTCGTAGGACTTGCTTGATGCAATCCACACTATTGCGATATCGTCGACCACCGGTGCTCGTCTTGTCCAATTGGAGCCGTGTTTTAATTAGCCAAATAGGATTGGTCGCTGTAGATGTCGCGAGCCCCGCACAAATTGCAGCCTGAGCATGCACTAGTGGAGAGTCTTCTGTGTATCCCATCAGTTGAGCCCCGACGCGCTTGCAGTTTCCGTAGACATAGAACTTGATGGCGGTCGCTGGGACTACACCCGCTATGCTTGGGCCAAGGCCTCGGAAGAATGCTCGCCATCCTTCAGCCCGGTATATGGAGTTGATAATGCGTATCGTTTTATGGTTTGATCCTTGGGGCTGGTTGGCGCCTGTGTTTTGGGTTCGGTAGAAGTCGGATTGGAGACGTGTTCGGAGGACATCGAGGGGAGAAGTCACAATGGCAGTAGCCATCCCACCGCTCCTACAGAGAACAGTGTCAGACGTGTAGATTGGATTGCAGCTGGAGAAACTTACGCGCCTGCAAGCAGGTGTACCCATGACTTCACAGCCTTCTTCGGTGCGACATGAACAGGCTTGATTGGCTCCCCTGATAAACGGGGTTCCCCTGTATGCTGAAACTGAGCCTGTGCATTTCCCTCCATGATCACAATTCAATGATGCGAGACAGAAGTTGATCGACAAACAACTTTTTCGGCGATAAGCTTTTCCGCCTTTCTGAGATGGCGATAACAGGGCACGTGACAGACACCATGTCACGTGTCGCTGTCTGTTTGCTCACTGAGTTTGTGATCCCGGCATAACTACTTTCAGTTATAACTACTACAAGCTTGACCCAATCAATGAAGTAATTAACTATTTGTAATTTTGCCAGAGACTCCAGATTTTTGGCATTTGGATGGCAAATCTCAATGTTGCGAAAGGACATTCATACTACTCGGACCTCGGCTTCAATAGGAAGATCTATTACAATGTGATACACTTGTGATATCTCACTCCTTGATGGAGTCTGGTCATATATACGTATATACGAAAGGCGTAGATTGTATCGATAATATCATATCGGACAAGAGCAAAATCTGAATGAATTAATGAAACATTGGTATAGTGGCATTTCATACCCAAGATATATAAGTTCTGCTTAGTGCTTTGATATGCACAATCTGCCGGATCCAAAGCTTGATGCAAGTAATCATCTTCAAATCATGTTCTCGATTGATATTTGAATTTCTTTAAATTGATAGAAACACCAATGAAATCCTTTACAAAGTCCGCCCTGGTGGAAACGCGTACGGAAACTCTTGTCGGAACGTGTGATCTCGCGTAAGTACAGCGAACAGACTTCTTGCCCCGGCCTCCCTAGAACCTTGTCCATCAAAAACTTTGACACGGAGATTCAACATCAAAAATCAACCATGAATCAAACAAGCTCAACAATACTTGCCATTGCAATGATAGTGGCAGGCTTTCTCAGCGCACTCTGCGCCACGCCGCCGAATCCGCCCCCAGAACAAAAAGATCGCCACCGAACAGATCGCATCAATCTCATTACAGGGAGTTTCCCAACAATTGTGCGCCGTGTCCTGGTCACCGCTGTCATGTATCATGCGCTTGTGACTGTAACTCCCTACTATGCCCCTGCTCGTCTGGGACAGGTGTGTCCCCTGTCTCAGAATGCGACTTCGGACCTTTTCACGTGGAACTCGATTACTTCGTGTACTCTGGGACTTATTTACATCGGTGCCTATATCCGATTGTCGGCTTATGGCGGACTGGGCAAAAATTTCACTTTTCAACTGGCTGCACCGGATGACTTGGTGACGACGGGTGTGTATGGCTGGATTCAACATCCTAGTTATACAGGTACGGCCATGATTGCAATTGGGTGTGTTTCCTTGTTTTTGCGGTGGGATGCAACACCTGCCTGCTGGATTCCTGCGTCGGTACTATCTCAGTGGCACGGGTGGGGATTTACTTCGATCGCTGGACTTGTAGCGTTTGGCTTTTGGGCCTTGATCATGCGAGTGCGAGATGAAGAAGATATGCTGCGGCAGAAGTTTGGCAAGAAATGGGAGGTGTGGCATCGTTCGACCAAGAGATTTATTCCAGGTCTTGTTTAGACCAGTTGTTTCTATTCTAGCTGGAAGTGTTGAACCACTGGAAAGTGATAACCAACATGGCTGATACATGCGGGAAACAGTACCTTGGATATTCAGAATTAGGAGCAGAGTTTACTTCTCCTGTCTGCTGGGCTCTTGCTCTGTGGGCATGGCGTCCAGGGCATCGATAGTCATGTCAAAGCGAGGACCCGTGAAGTTTTTCCTTCCGTCAACAATCCACTGGAACACGGAGATGATAATGATCACAGCAAAAGCTGCAATGCAGTAGTCTAATAAATATAAGCGAATGTCTGTGTCAACCTGAGCGCGAAAACTCACTCATACTGCTCCCTGTGACCGTGCTGGACGGAGGGAAAACGAACAATACAGTGGTAAGACTGATGTAGGACAAGGAAACCTGTTCTCCATTAGTGATCTGGTCTTCAATCTGCATGGAACACCCTGGCGCAGCATACGATGTCGGCAAACCATCCGACGGAACTTGGCAGCTTCCACTTCCGCTCGGGTAGCCTTCGGCGTCCTTGCAGACAGTTGATAGCGATGGGAATGCCGTAGGATAAGTCAAGTGCCACGACTGAAGCGGAGATAATTGCGTTGAAAGCACTAGATTCAATCAGTCGCTGCTGAGAAATCATTAGAAGATTGGAAATTACCTTGAAGAGCCCAGGAAGATGCACCCAAAAGCGATGACCACAACAACACTCAACATGAGTGCGTTCAGAGGTAATTTGAGCGTGGGATGCACTGTTGCGAAGAATCGAGAAGCTGGGAGCCCACCATCTCTGTTGAAAATAAGCACACGTCTTCAATGCCATACAACAAAGGATATTACCTCGCGAAAGCAAAAATCATTCGGCTACTAGTAGTCATAACGCTAATGATAGCGAAAACCAAACAAACAAGAGGCAGCCTGGATCAAAGTTGCAGTTAGTACAGTCTTAAATGAAGCGATTTCGAATTCCACCTACATCAAAAGGCAGATAGCGCCGGCGTTACTTTTTGTCGCATCAAGCAGAATCTGCAAAAGGGGACCAGCTGCCGAGGTTGTGACTTGTTCCATGTTGCCAGCGACAAATAGGAGAACAATGAGAAAGATCGAACCGGTAACAGTACCGATTCCCACACAGGATACCATGATTTTGGGTCCTTCAACGGAAGCGTTGGGTACTTCTGTGATAGAGAGATGTTAGCTTCGAGATCCGCGAGCGAAGGCCATGAGGGATCATTACCTTCAATCATGTGTGCTACAGCGTCCTGAAAGGTATTAGTTGAGCTGCATCAAAGTCCAAAAGCCTCAGACACTTACAAAAGCCGTCACACCGAGGCCTCCTTGGAGTAGCTGGAGATTCATTAGTATCAAGTTCGATTTTCTTATATGAAAATAACATACACCAAGAAGCCATGCGACTCCATCAGGCCCTGTTTGAATTAGCTGAATCCGATGAACGTTTGACGGGAGACATACAGCCTGTTTGATTGACAAAGTCACAAAACACGAAGCTACCAGGGTCAGAATACTATCCATTAGAGTCCGAGCACGTGGAGACATACTAAGCCGAATTGTAATTGGGCGATGCACATGCGAGGACTGTAATAGACACAACCACGAAACCTCCAATGGACCATGCAACTACGAAGTGTGAGAATCACAGCGAAGAAGGGTGGGAAATGAAACATACAAGCGCCTCGGTAAATGACCGGCAGAATGGAGTTCATAAAAGCGTTGATAACGAATGAACCAATCGTCAGTCCAATGTAGATGAGAAATTGATGCCAGCGTTGGGGCTCATAGCTCTGCGTACTGCATTAATACGGGTTGATGGCAATTCAAACCAGGCTTATTACCTCGTGAAGGGTGGAGATAACCCCAACAATAAGTTGACTAGACAGAAGCGAGTTTGTAGCCACCAGGGCAACCTGGAATCATCAGTCTTGAGTTCATGCCTGGTCGACGTTTACCTACCCAGCCTGCCACATTGATCCAGCCTGTGATCCACGATAGAATGGGAACCCACTTTGGCCACGCGACTGTATCTGTCAGTAGGAACCACAGAAGGCCATCAGATCACCTACTTGCTACTACCTGTTAGCTATCGTCCATGGTTGAATATAGATATGAGTATGACTCACCTGCAACCCAATGGTATTGTCCTCCAGCACTGCAAGATATCAGTTCTGACATGCCCGGCTATACCTCCCAACAAAAATATACATACGTTGGATAGGCCGAGAGGAACTCAGCCAGCGAGCATGCAATGCATAAATTGCAGAATCCCGCCGTCACCAGTCCCCATATCACGCTTGTGCTTCCACCGGAGGTAAGACTGATTGATAGACTGGCCGAGAGTGCTGTCCATGACTGATACGAGTCAGCCGAGTCCAAGAACCAAGATGCACACCTACGTTGAGGACAGCAAAGGCTAGTCCTAGCATTGACCTTGACATCCATCAGTCTTCACTTTTTCCCATCTTTTCCCCTAAGTGGAGCCATCTCACCACGTTGAAAAACTGCGTTGGAGTTCGGGCCGATGCCCCATAGCCGCCAACTGAGCATCATCGCCTTCTAGTAGAATGTCTTTCATGGTGAATATGGATTTGGCGATACCCAGGAAACCGGGGAGGAATGGAGGCTAAGTACCCGCAACACCAGGATGGTCCTGCCAAACTGCGAATAGCTGCTGACATGCGGGGAAGAAGCTCTAACTGTCTCTGAACGGATCGAAGCTGAAGTTGAAACTGGGTGAAGATCTTCGCATGGACTTGCCCAACATTGCATAGCTTTGTTGTCCACGAATCAGAGCAGACCCCTGGAAGTTGATAACCCCAGAATGGCACAAGTCTTGCTGCGAACTGGACGATAACCAGTCAGAGAGGTCCATTCTGTTTCCGATCATTTTCCGGATGAGAATGCAACTTGTTGCGACCGAGAGATAGCAACTGGATAGTCCCAAGTCATTGTGATAGTCTCTCACGGTCAATTCACGTGGATTCGGCCCGGAGAAATTTGGGCGACGTAGAGGCAGCTCTTGTTGAAGAGAACGAGTGGAATTATTGGAATTATTGGGCTGGGAGACTAAAATAAAAAGGGGGTTCAATGTGAAAAGCGGCTTCGAAGGGGGGATGTCTGATAAACAGCACGCGTTTTCTACCCCCTTGTAGCATGGCTCTCAACCGCAACCCGTTTCAGGTGAGAGTGGAATGACTTTGGGCCAGAGCTAGACGTGACAGCCCATGGATGACCAAAGAAAGACAATTGTACGCTAAGAAAAAGGATCACCTCTTCGGGCCTCCGCCGATCCTCCGGCCTCCACTGCTACAGACATATAGCCAGGCCGAGAACACGGTCAAAGCAAGAGGAAAACACATCTGGACATCAAAAAACATCATGCTTATTTCAATGTCAAGCTAAAAACTCAATTTCGGCTTAATGTACAAAAGCTGAAAATATCCCGAGACTCATCCTGGAGATCTCAAACGCCGAATGTGAACCGTACATATACCAATGTGCCGGATGCCGGAGAAAACCTCATACAATCAAACACCAAAACACGCAAGAAGTGCAGCAAATAATGATTCAAATGGCCTCACTTTGGGTCTGCCAGCATCGCAAAGTAGAGAACGAATGGAGAAAAAGGGGTGCCTCTATTGGGCATGATAGGTGTCGAGGGCATGTTGGACATCATGAAGACTGTTCTTGTCGCCGTATGCATCCATGAGCTGTTGGTTTCGAGCGAGACGCTTCTGTTCTTCTGCCAGGTCGTATTCTCGGCGGGATTTGGCTTCCACGTAGTAGTTGTATGCACCGAACCCTGCCCGTGCTTGTTAGTACGAGTCTTGATTGACGCAAGGTGGTTCGGATGGGAGTACATACCGAGACCGATTGTCGCCATCAAAGGAATCAGCCTGAGAGAAGACGGATGTTAGTTGTGGTCAAAAAGGGGGTGGGCATGTGCCATTTACCAGCGGCCGCTCTTGGGTTTCAGATTGGGCCCAGTTGGGTGGTTATAGGATTTGTTGGCACCAAAAGCAAATTGAGACATGGTTGAATATGGGGAAGCTTGGTAGGATGTTAGAGCCAAAGGGGAAAAGGAGAGCTAAAAGGTGAAGTCGGCAGCTTATGAAAGGCTGAACGGAACAGGAATGCGGTAAATGCGGGGGAATCGTGACGTGGAGAGCCGATTCGACAGCCGGGGGATCCCGAGGTTAATAAGCCGGTCAGCCCACACAGCCCAGCATCATGCAACAGATCTACAACATCTGCCTAGTATATTAATTAGAGATCATATGGTCATATTCATCATATGTTCACTTTCCATGGTCTATGATTGGAATCCCCGAAATGTGGAAAATAGGGAACAGAAACTGCAAATCATTCAACATTCAATATTCAACATCCAACAATCAAGGTCACATCATAACGTTCAAGTCCTCTAAAGACCGTTGTTCTGAGGTGCTGCGAGTGGAGGGCCTTCGGGGGTCACGTAGGCCTGTGATTCGTGATGCGTTAGCGCCGTCAGGAATGTCGCGTACTCGCCATGCATACCTTGGTCATTCCACCGTCCACCACAAAGTCTGTTCCATTCACAAAGCTGCTCTCGTCGCTAGCTAGGAAAACAACAGCGTGGGCCTGTTCAATGGCCTCACCGAACCGGCCGGTGGGGAAGTGCACCTCGCGGCGGAAGCGCTTCTCCTTGTCCTCGCCCAGCCAATCCTGCAGCAGGGGAGTGCTATACCAGTGTAAGTAATGCGGGGTCAAGAATTAAAGAATCAAGTGCATAATGCGACATACTTCAAAGGAGCGGGGCACAGAGCGTTGAACCGGAAGCCTTCGCGGGCGTGTACGATGGCCAACTCGCGAGTCATGGCCAGGACAGCACCCTTGCTAGCGGTGTAGGCCAACTGTGGGGTGGCGGCACCAACTAGAGCAACCACGCTGGCAGTGTTGATAATGCTGCCACGGGCCTTCTTGTGACGACGCAAACTGATGACGGCGTGCTTACTGCCGAACCAGACTCCCTTGACGTTGATGTTGTGTGTGAGATCCCAGATCTTCTCCGGGGTATCGATGGCATCCGCATCGTTGGCGTGCATGATACCGGCATTATTGAAGATCACATCAGTGCCTCCCCAGCTGTCCTGGGACTCGACCATGGCCTGCACGTCGGATTCCTTGGACACGTCGCACTTGACGGACTCCACACGAGGGGCAGCGGGAACAACCTCCTTCACCTTAGCCAATGCCTTGGCAAGGGCAGCCTCGGAAACATCAGCCATGAGGACATTGGCACCTTCCCGAGCGAAGAGGATGGAGGTTTCGAGACCGATACCACTATTCACCGTTGAGTCAATTGCTCTGAAGAGAACGCAAGATGGAGGGCGAAGATGCAACATACCCACCAGCACCAGTGATGATGGCATTCTTGCCCTGAAGACGACCTTGAGTAGCAGCCATGATTTCAATAAGAATAGAGTAATCGAGAGTGTGTTCGGGGGTGTTCTGTATACACCGCAGCTGTTGACGCGGGGCAGGGATGTTACATAAGCAGTGACGATATCGTTCCCAAAGCGGAAAGGCGTTATCGTGCCAGCTGATAGCAGCTTGCCTGATCTCGCAGATGCGTCTCACTTCATACCTGTTTCTTCTCCCATTTCTCACTCATTTCAGATCTTTTCCTACCATACCCTCAAAATGTCGAGCTCAGATCCTGAAGTCACTCTTGAGAACATCTCCGAAATCCTCCAGCATGACACCAAGGTGAAGGTGGCTGGTGTAGATGTTGACGGCATCTTGCGCGGGAAGCTCATGAAGAAAGACAAATTCCTTTCCATCTTGACTGAAGGTTTCGGGTTTTGCTCCGTGATCTTTGGTTGGGATCAACACGATGCAACATATTTCAAGGAACTGACCATCAGTAACAAGGAGAATGGATACCGGGATCTGGTCGCTGTCCCTGACCTACGCAGTTTCCGTCGCATTCCATGGGAGAACAATGTCCCGTTCTTCCTGATAAGCTTCCTTGACCCTGATACCCGCGAGCCAGTCTGTGCCTGTCCCCGAGGATTGCTGAAGACGGCAGCTGCCAAACCCGAGGCGGCGGGCTACCGAGCCATGGCCGGAGGTATGTTCAATTGGGAGTGACGTACTTCAATGCCGTTGCTGACCTTCACAGCCGAATATGAATTCTACCAGTTCCGTGCACCTGGCCCTCATCCTACCCCTGAACAGGGTGCTTCGGCAACCGCAGCATTCCTCCAGACACACCCCGCCGATGCCTTGCCTTCAATAACGGAGGGCATGTTTGGGTACTCGATCACCCGTCCCCTCCACAACCAAGATTATTATTATGGCATTTTCGACGCCTGCGAACAGTTCCGATGCGATATCGAAGGATGGCATACTGAGAGTGGACCGGGTGTCTTTGAAGCTGTAAGTAGACTGGAGGTTGTGTCGCATTGGGTGTGTTGCTTTGGGCTAACTTCGAGTCAGGCATTACAATTCGGCGAAGCAAAGGACATGGCCGACAAGGCTGGGTTGTTCAAGTAGGTTTCTCAGAGCTCTGCTGCAATGTTGTTACTAACCACGGTGCACGTATAGATACGTTGTTAAATCATTCGGAATCAAACACGGCATCACACCTTGTTTCATGGCCAAACCCCGACAGGGCTTGCCCGGAAACAGCGGCCATATGCACATCTCGCTCGTGAACGCCGACGGAAAGAATGCCTTCATTCGCGATACCCCTGATCCGTCTCCTGCTTACCCCGACATTGCGCACCTCTCTGATCTCGGTCGCCATTTCCTGGCTGGTCTCCTCGTCGGTCTTCCTGATATCATGCCGCTCCTTGCCCCAACTATCAACTCTTACAAGCGACTGGTGGAGAACTTCTGGGCCCCTGTCACGGTCTCTTGGGGACTCGAGCACCGGGCGGCCTCGATCCGTCTCATCACCCCACCGACTGCCAGCCCCAAGGCGACACGGTTCGAGGTGCGCGTCCCTGGTGCTGATGCCAACCCCCACTTTGTCCTCGCTGCCATTTTGGCGCTGGGGTGGCGCGGTGTCGAGCAGAAGCTTGAAATTCCCGTGCCACCCTTGTCCCGCGGCGAGGACATGGGTGGAGCCAGCGACCAGGGCGTGCGTTTGGCCAAGTCTCTGAAGGAAGCTATTGTTACATTTAGTCGGCCGGAGAGTGTCGCACGGGAAGTGTTTGGTGATTCATTTGTAGAACACTTTGCTGGTACTCGGGAACATGAAGTGCGCTTGTGGGAGGAGGCAGTGACTGATTGGTAAGTTCTACCTTGGAACGATTGACATTGCATGCGCGTTGCTGACTGGATTGCAGGGAGATGAAGCGATACATCGAGACCGTTTGATAATACCCTTACGATATAGAAAGTACATAGTCTAGCCCTGAACGTCAGTATTTCGCCAGTTTGATTCGCGTACTCCAAGTCATTCAGTAGTTCACATGTGACATCACATGCCCCGGGACAAGTCGGGCATGAGGCATTGGATGAAGCACCAGAAAAGCCGCGGTTGATTGGATTTCCGGAGAGTATAGCCAACTCGTCTCCTTTTTTCGGGTGAAGCAGGAGAAACCGAGAGTTTTCGAAAATTGACTCTCATCAGACCCTATATAATTGTCGGTCCCCAAAAGCAATTGACACGATCTAACTGCTAACCGGAGTGATAAGAATCGGTATGCGGCGTGTGCCGAGTGCAGGAAAGGGCCGAGTATTTGAATCAGAGCCAGAGAAGCGTGCAAACACACGGGGAAAAGGGCGAATATCGGCCGAGAGGAAGAGTTTCCCTCGGGAAAGTCGGGAAAGTCCCAATTGGGGTTAGCCTGTAGCGAAGTTCGGACCACCGGTTAATCGATTGTCGGCTTATCACTACCGCGGCTCAGTGACGTATTCCATATATACCTTCATTCTTATACCTGTCTTTCTTTTCTCTTAGAATTGATCTTCTCATCTGAGTTATTTGGTTTCTCTGGTCTCTCTGGTCTCTGGAATTGCTTTCCTTCTGCGCATGGTATCATCTCTTATCTATATCTGATACCCCACATCTTATCTACGTCTATCGCCCACCATGTCTCACGTCGAAACACAGCTCAAGGATGTGGCCATCCTGGGCTCCATCAACAATGATGCCCGTAAGATCCTGACCAAGGATGCCTGTGCCTTCTTAGCTCTGTTGCACCGCACCTTCAACTCCACCCGCAAGTCCCTGCTCCAGCGCCGTATCGACCGCCAGGCCGAGATCGATAAGGGTAACCTCCTCGACTTCCTCCCCGAGACAAAACACATCCGTGAGAATGATGCCTGGAAGGGTGCCCCTCCTGCACCTGGTCTCGTGGACCGCCGCGTCGAGATCACTGGTCCTACGGACCGCAAGATGGTCGTCAACGCGCTCAACTCCGATGTCTGGACCTATATGGCCGACTTTGAGGACTCCAGTGCCCCCACCTGGGACAACATGGTCAACGGCCAGGTCAACCTGTATGATGCTATTCGTCGCCAGGTCGACTTTAAGCAGGGTGGCAAGGAGTACAAGTTGCGAACTGACCGTACTCTGCCTACTCTGATTGCTCGTGCCCGTGGCTGGCACTTGGAGGAGAAGCACTTCACTGTTAATGGCGAGCCCATCTCTGGTAGTCTGTTCGATTTTGGTCTGTACTTCTTCCACAACGCCAAGGAGCTCGTTGCCCGCGGTGCTGGTCCTTACTTCTACCTCCCCAAGATGGAGTCTCATCTCGAGGCTCGTCTGTGGAACGATGTCTTCAACCTCTCCCAGGACTACATTGGTCTGCCCCGGGGTACCATCCGTGGTACTGTCTTGATTGAGACCATCACCGCTGCCTTTGAAATGGATGAAATCATCTACGAGCTCCGTGACCACAGCTCAGGTCTGAACTGTGGCCGCTGGGATTACATCTTCTCGTTCATCAAGAAGTTCCGCCAGCACCCCAACTTTGTTCTGCCTGACCGCTCGGATGTGACCATGACCGTGCCTTTCATGGATGCCTACGTTAAGCTTCTCATCAAGACGTGCCACCGTCGTGGTGTGCACGCCATGGGTGGTATGGCCGCCCAGATCCCCATTAAGAACGACCCTGCTGCCAATGACAAGGCCATGGAGAGCGTCCGCGCTGACAAGCTGCGCGAGGTGCGCGCCGGTCACGACGGTACCTGGGTTGCTCACCCCGCTTTAGCTGCCATTGCCTCCGACGTCTTCAACAAGTACATGCCCACTCCTAACCAGCTGTTCATCCGCCGCGAGGAGGTGAACATCACCGCCAAGGATCTCCTGAACACCAACGTCCCCGGCAAGATCACCGAGGAGGGCATCCGCAAGAACCTCAACATTGGTCTCAGCTACATGGAGGGCTGGCTCCGTGGTGTTGGCTGTGTTCCCATCAACTTCCTGATGGAGGATGCCGCCACCGCGGAAGTTTCCCGCAGTCAGTTGTGGCAGTGGACCCGTCACAACGTCGCCACCTCTGACGGCAAGCGCATGGACAAGGCCTTTGCCCTGCGGCTCTTGCAAGAGCAGGCGGACAGTCTGGCGGCCAAGGGACCCAAGGGTAACAAGTACCAGCTTGCTGCACAGTACTTTGCCGGCCAGGTTACTGGTGAGGACTACGCCGATTTCTTGACCAGCTTGCTGTACAATGAGATCTCCTCGACTGGCAGTGCTGCTAAGCTCTGAGTACTTGACTAAACTTATGATGACGAATACCCTTTTTCTTTGTTTTCTGGTCTGACGACGTTCTGATCCAATTTGAAGTTAGCATCGTTGTATAACAATTATTCCCTTGTTCATTTCTTCTTTGAGCCGTAATCTGTAAGGACTGAACATTTAGTAGACAAGATAAGATTGCACATAGGTGTATATCCCTCATCCTGTCCTGTTAGGCAGAGCTCCAAGCAAAGCAGGACAGCGCGAGTCGTGTCGCGACGCATAGAGATCAACATTCGCACGTCCCTGATGCACGCTAACCCCAACTCGGCAAGGAATGCGGGTCTTTACTGTAGCCTAATTCTGGCGGTGTCGATCATCTCCTGTTTGGGTTAGAGTTGCGAACTAGCGTGTGATGTTTATCCGCCCCAGATGTAGAATGCACCGCGGGCGCCGAAAATAGAAGTGAAGCAACTTATAAGAGGTCAAATATCTGGCAGATCTCTTTTTCAAACCTCCATCTTCTCACTTCTTACTTCTCAATTTCATTTTTCACTTTTACTACTTCTTCTTACTGCTTCCTAATTCTTTCTTCCTTCGCCATGGGTAAACACCTCGTGAATCTCATCGAGTCAGGCATTGGCCTTGCCTCTGATGTCATCTCAGCTCGCAAGAACTCACCCAAATACCCATCTCACTCTTACAATGCAACCAAGAATGCTACAGAGAACTCCACCTCGCGTGATCTCAACATGGATCAAAGCAACGGACTTGTCTTCACAACAGAAAACAGGACTGCTGCGCCTGTTACTCCGATTGCTGCAGGATACACAGAGTTGCCAGTTCCTACCGGTCAGGAATCAAGCAGAGAATATGCAGAACGTGTCATGGGCGATGAAACACATTCCTACCGTGATGCGGACCTGCACGGCCTTCGTGAAGAATCACAGAATCGGACTACAGATAATGTCTTCTCGGCCTCAGCGAAGGAGCTCTATGCAGACACCCCCATTGGGCAAAATTGTGATGTGCATAGCGAGTCACAGTACCCGGTGGATCGGAAAGATGAGAACAATCAAGTCGAAGCAACCTGTGAAACGCATGAAACCGCTTATCATGATCTGCCGCCAACCTACGAAGAAGTGGAATTCTCGCGTGAATTCACTTACCCAAACGACAGCCCTAGATATCTTCAGACTTCGATTGATGTGCCTAGAGTCACCCCGCTGGTATCGCCGGAGGCATATCAGGAGCAGGCGCGTACAGGCTCCGCTTGGGCAATTCCTCAGTCAACCCAAACAGACGGTGTATCTTCTTATCAGATCCAAAGCCACCGATGTTACAGCAAAAAGTTGGTCTCACGGCTTACGGCAGGCAAGTTGGGAAACAAGGCTGGCTTGATTGAACGGGTTGCGGCATCCATCCAAAACTCTGAAAATATCAATTTGGCGGCCATGCCAGGAACGAATCGAGGAGTGTTGAGAAACAAGACGGGCTTGATTGAACGGGTTGCGGCATCCATCCAGAACTCTGAAAATATCAACATGGCGGCCATGCCAGGAATAAATCGAGGCGTATCGGGAAGCAAGACAAGTTTAGTTTTGCGCGCTGCGGCTTATGTCCAGGAGTCTCAAAGCGCTAAGCGGCGTTGTCGGTGTAGATCTTGATGCCGACATAAGGGGTGATGACAGAATAATGGAGATGTGCAAAGTGCCAGGACCCTATGATAGCGTGATTTAAAATGCATGAATTTTCTCCATATATCCCATTCAACCATTCAAGAACAGACAGAGTGATAGTATGGTTGTCGAGGCTGATCCTGTTGGTTACGATGTAAATGCAGCGATAACTGTTCTATATTCGTACCAGAATCTTGAGGTTACGTATGTCTGTGAAATATAAATGGTCGTATAAAAGACGTCAGAATGACCCTTCGAGAGAAACATCTATTCGCTCAAGATTTACTTATCCGATCCTCCCACCCCAAACGATGTCTGCGATCAACCTCATCTTTGGTGGGGCCAACCTTGGAAACCTCCCCTCCTTGAATACTCCAGAGAACTTGAAGGAGGTATTCTCGGTGCTCACTAGCCATGGAATAGTCGGCATAGATAGCGCGCAGCTTTACGGCGAAAGTGAAACCCTTCTTGGCGCAACACAGGCTGGTGAGCGCTTTATTCTCGACACCAAGTGGATGGGTGGCGTTCAGCCAGGGTGGGCTACGAGGGAGAACATGGTCCATTCCGCCAAGGAGTGTATTAGAAAGCTTGGTGTTAAGCGAGTGGATGTCTTTTACATTCATTTTCCAGACGCCCAAACCCCAATCGCCGAGACACTCGCTGGAGTGGAGGAGGTCTATCGACTCGGCCTTTTTCAGCGCTTCGGCCTTTCCAACTACCAAGCAGATGATGTCCAGAAGATCTTTCATCACTGCAAGGAGAAGGGATATGTCCTCCCGACCGTATTTCAAGGCAATTACTCCGCTGTTGCACGCCGGTCGGAAACTGCTCTATTCCCTACCCTTCGGGAGCTGGGAATTGCGTTCCGCGCCTATAGCCCCCTAGCTGGTGGATTTCTCACCAAAACACCCCAGCAGATTATGGCTGGAGCTGGCCGCTTCAATGACGACACGTACGGTGGCATGTACAAGCAAATGTTTGTCAAACCGGTCTACCTCGAAGCGCTGAAGAAATGGAATACCGTGGCGAAAGTCGAGGGTTGTTCGAGTGCCGAGCTTGGTTATCGATGGGCTGTGTACCACTCACCCCTGAAGAAGGAGCTGGGGGACGGCGTTCTTGTCGGCGCAAGCAGTCTGGGCCAACTGAAGCTCACTCTGGAGGGAATTGCCCACGGAAAGTTGTCCGACGAGGCAGTCAAGGCGATCGATGAAATTTGGGCAGGGGTCAAGCATGATGCCCCCTGAATTAACGGGATGGTGTTACAAGACAGGCTTATTGTGTTGCAGCTGCCGTGTCTTTTGGATGTCAAGGGCGTTTAGTATCTTTCACCAGCTGTGGCGGCCATAGGGACGTAGGAACAAGCAATCAATGCAAGTGGCAACACCAGTCTCAAGTCGCAATGTTTATATGAGTTCATCCCTCGATTCTTCAGAAGATATGTCATATGCCAGCCACTTTCAGCCCTAATTACAGGGGCAAAAGAAGGGCAGCCTAACCCCTGGCACGGAGTGTACCGTCGCGGAATATAAAAATCCGCAGTCGACTAGCGTACAAGATTGACCGAAAATATGGTATCAGTAAGTACGAGCCCGACGATCTAGGCTCATTGTAGGCCTCGCAATGCAGTCGATATTGGACATAAGCGTGAAAATTCATAACTCAACGACCGTTGACCCACTCCAATAATACACAAGAATACCGACTTCTCTTTATAGTACAGCCGGATCTTGAATCGACTCTCCGATTGGTCGACGGTTGTACACCAGTTCTCTGTCAGTGCTCTCCCACTTATTGATCTCATATCCGACAATAAGGCTTTGTTGTAGCTTTCCTGTAGCTGCAGCAGAAGTAGAAACTGAAAAATAACAATCTTTGGTGTCAAGAAACAAAGGCTGAAATGGACTTGCCAGTACAAGTTAGGTGAGATCGGGATCCCCTGTGAGTAATAAGCTGTAATGATACAACTCGGGACAGCGGCACTCGAGACATCCGTTTGAGCCGCAGAACTATATTCTATGGTATGTTCCTATTGAAGAATTAGGTTTCAGTCAATATCTCCTGGCATATGACGCTGATCTTGTACCAGATCCCCGGAGAACTCTCAACGGATATTTTCAACCCGTCACCCGAGTTCAGTAACTAGAAGCCCATCTACAAAGGCTGGCTATACACTGTTTCTTTTTGTGTACAGATTCTCTTGCACCTGTTGAACTATGAAGCCAAATCACATATCATCGACAGGGGAAACCTCACTGAGGTCGGGTGATGGTGTCCGCAGCAGAACAAGCAAGGCTTGCGATCGCTGTCGATTGAAGAAAACAAAGGTATGGATCAAGCGTACCCGGTGCGAAATCCATTCCACTTGACGTGAACTTAAAGTGTTTTGATATCCTTAGTGTAATGGAGCGATGCGGTGCTCGAAATGTGAAGGCGATGATGCAGTTTGCATATACGGCCACCGGAGGAAGGCCCATGATAAAGTGTATCCGAAGGGGTAAGCAAATAGATCCAACGGTCAACATTTCTCCTGGTGGAGGCCTTACTTATTCGGTAGATATGCGCAGCTTCTAGAACAACAGCAAAAGTGGCTTGTGAAGGGGGTTCAAAAATTGTATCAATGTATGCAGACCGGAGAAGGCTGGCCTGCCGAGTCATTGAAGCACGAAGCCAACAACCGTCCTCTCACACACGATATCCTTACTGCTCTAGATGTCTTGGATGCGGAGCAAACGGTGAATCTTGAAGACGAACATTCTACTGTGCAGCAAGGGCTGGGTAAGCAAGTGAACGAATGCACGAAGCAATCAAACAGTTCCTTGAGCCCTGAGGCCTGTATTCCCATCCAACCTTTGCCAACACCTGATGATCTTAATATATCTTCATCAGACGGCCCAGTTGGAGGTCTCGAGGCTGATCCACATTTTGCCTGCTCGAAAAATCTCAATTCCAATACTCTTGGTGTTGATGACCACCTTCAATTGCTTCCAAACAGCAGTTTCTCTGGATTTGAGGAAAATCGCTCAACGGCAATTGGTAGCCATGTCGATATCTTCGACGACGAGCTTGTGAAGCTGTCAACCGATTATTTCCTGGAAAATGGCTGCATATCCATACATACAGTGAATGAGGCCAATGACTTGAGCCCGCTTGATGCAGGAACAGAGGCATGGCCTTTGTTGACTGAGCCCTTTTTGGGCCCCTTTTATTCGTGTCATTTCCCTTCAGAATCATTTGTTTAATAGATTTGCACAGTATTTGAGCCAAGGTCTTGGGCTTGTTTCTTCTCTACTCATGTATACTAACTGATAATCGTACAATTCACAAATTCCAACAGTGTTATTTTTTTTCTCTTTTTTTTTTTCAAAACAACACTTCCAAAAATGCTCCATACTCACAATTATTACATCGGAAGCTGAAACTCCTTTGAAACTACGCCGTATGAGACCCTGGTCCATATGGCCGGATAGATCAAATTCGAGCTCCGAAGATTTCGTGTCGGATCAGTTGTTTCCGGGCGTATTTGACCCACTTGTATTATGATCGACGTGTATTTTATATTGCTCTAAGTCTTGCCCTACACGCAACTAGTACAGACTGATCGGTGGATTAGATATGTATTCTAGTGTATAGTGAGTATTCTATGTCAAGCCGTGGGATGTAGGGTTACGGAGACCCACGGAAGGGAATTTATAAGCTGTGATTGCTACGAATTTTAAATAGAAGGGACCTTCTCGCTTGAAGAATTATACTTGGCTACTATCACAGTAATCATGTCAGTATTTGGGGGGATACCTCCCGGGGATAGCTCTCAGTATCAGCACCGTCTGGGAGCTGGGCTGGAATCTCACGACGATGCTTCTTCTCAAACTCAGATGGAGGAATCAGATAGTGAAAAGCCCGCTGATATTGAAGAAGAAGTGCAAGAGATGGTGAGACAGCTCACTCGTCAATCCACGCATTTCTCTTCGTCCCAAACGAAGAACCCCTTCTTTGAGGACGACAAGGAAACTACCTGGCATCCCGACAGTCCGTTCTTCAAACCGAAAGACTGGATTCGATCGCTCATTGCAGCTCAGTCGCAGGATCCCGAGCGATTTCTACAACGGTCTGCCGGTGTTGCCCTCAAGAATCTGCATGTGCATGGGTTTGGAAGTCCAACCGACTACCAGAAGGATGTCTTCAATGCTGTGTTGAGCATCGGTGGTCTCATTCGCAACCTTGTCGGCAGTGGCAAACAGAAAGTCCAGATCTTGAACAATTTCCACGGCCTCGTTCGAAGTGGAGAGATGCTCGTTGTCTTGGGTCGCCCTGGAAGGTAAGCCCTCGCATGAACATTTGATATCAGTTGCCACAAGGTCTCACCCAAATCCAGTGGCTGCTCAACATTTCTGAAGACCATCGCTGGGGAGATGAACGGCATCTTTGTGGATGACGAGAGCTATGTAAACTATCAAGGTATGCACCAACGCCAGACGAGATCTCCAAGGCAACTAATAGGATGGCAGGAATTTCGGCCCCAACGATGCACAAGCAGTTCCGTGGAGAAGCTATCTTCAGTGCCGAAACCGACGTTCACTTTCCCCAACTCACAGTCGGGGAGACTTTGACCTTTGCTGCCCTGGCACGCGCGCCTCGCACTCGATTCGAAGGCCTCACTCGGAAGCAATATGCGGAGCACCTGCGTGACGTGGTCATGGCCATGTTAGGACTACGACATACATTCAACACGCGAGTGGGCAATGACTTCGTGCGAGGTGTCAGTGGAGGTGAGCGCAAACGTGTGAGTATTGCGGAAGCCATCCTGAGTGGAGCTCCTCTGCAGTGCTGGGACAATAGTACTCGAGGCTTGGATAGTTCCAACGCGCTAGAGTTTTGCAAGAATCTTCGTTTGATGAGTGATTATGCAGGCACTACGGCTTGTGTTGCAATCTACCAAGCTTCGCAGAGTGCCTACGATGTGAGTATAGACGAGAGCCTGGCCTCCAAAGCAGAGTATCAACTCACACGCTCTTCTCCGCAGGTATTCGACAAGGTCGTTGTACTCTATGAGGGTCAGCAAATCTATTTCGGTCCCACTGGTGAAGCTCGTGAATTCTTTACCAACATGGGCTTCGACTGCCCTTCGCGTCAGACCACGGCGGACTTTCTTACTTCTCTAACTAGTGCAACAGAGCGTCGCGTGAAGCCTGGATTCGAAGGCAAGGTGCCCCGAACACCTACCGAGTTTGCGCAGCGATGGCACAGTAGCCCAGAATGCGCGCAGCTCCTGCAGAACATTGATGCCTTTGACAAAGAGCATCCTATCGGTGGTCATTCCTTGACAACTTTTAGTGAGGCACGCCGTTTGATGCAGTCGAAGCAACAGTCAGTCACTCGTTCGTTCTTGTTTGCGCCTTCAGCTTATCATAAATACTCAATAGACGCCCCAAATCCCCCTACACGCTCTCTGTTATCGAGCAAATCAACCTCAACCTGAAACGGGGATTCCAGCGACTCAGGGCTGATATGACTTTGACATACTCGGCTCTCTTTGGTAACTTTTTCATCTCTCTCATTCTGGGAAGTGTGTTCTACAACCTTCCCGCGGATACATCCAGCTTCTTTTCGCGAGGCGTTCTTCTCTTCTATGCGGTTCTGCTCGCCGCTTTTGCTAGTGCTCTCGAGGTAGGTCACGAAGCTATTCGATCTTTCAATGATGATCGCATCGGTTCTGATACGAGAATCATAGATCTTGACCCTCTAAGCTCAAAGACCCATTGTGGAAAAACAGTCTCGATATGCATTTTATCATCCTTTCACGGAAGCAGTAGCATCCATGTTGTGCGATCTTCCATATAAGTTCACCAACTCGTTCACATTCAATCTTCCAGTCTATTTCTTGTCTAACCTCAAACGTGAGCCCGGAGCATTTTTCATCTTTTGGCTCTTCTCAATTGTGACAACATTGACCATGTCCATGGTCTTTCGCACATTTGGTGCTGCGTCCCGGTCGCTTGCTCAAGCACTGGTTCCTGCAGCCCTTCTTATCTTGGGTTTGGTCATTTATACAGGCTTCGTGATTCCCACCCGTGATATGCTGGGCTGGTCTCGCTGGATGAACTACATTGATCCAATTGGTTATTCTTTTGAAAGCATGATGGTCAACGAATTCCGAAACAGGCAGTTCAAATGTACTTCTTTTGTCCCCTCTGGAGAAGGTTACGAGGATATCGATCCCATCAACAGAATTTGCACAACAGTCTCATCCACTCCAGGAGATAGCTTCATTGACGGAGACGCATATCTGCGCACCGCATACGCTTACACCAATAGCCATTTGTGGCGCAACCTTGGTATTGTCTTTGGTTTCATGATCTTCTTCATGTTTGTCTATCTCCTAGCTACAGAGTACATCTCCGAGGCTGCCTCCAAGGGCGAGGTGTTGATTTTCCGCCGAGGAAATCAGCCTAAGCCCCAGCAGGGGGACGCGGAAACCACGCCAGATGCAGCCTATCGGGCGGACGAAGAGACTGAGAATGCTGGTGCTAATATTCAACGTCAAACTGCTATTTTTCAATGGCAAGATCTTTGTTACGATATTAAGATCAAAACTGAAGAACGTCGAATCCTCGACAATGTGAATGGATGGGTGAAACCCGGCACAGCCACTGCTTTGATGGTAAGCACTACATATATGTCAAAAGGCCCGAGGACATTCTACTAACTATTAGCAAGGGAGTCTCTGGTGCGGGAAAGACTACACTGCTTGATGTACTTGCAACCCGTGTCACTATGGGCGTCGTGACTGGCTCTGTGCTAGTCGATGGACAGGCCCGAGACGATTCCTTTCAACGGAAAACCGGATATGTTCAACAGCAGGATGTTCACTTGCCTACCTCGACAGTTCGAGAAGCTCTTCAATTCAGTGCCTTGTTGAGACAACCTGCCAATCTCAGTCGGAAAGAAAAGCTGGACTACGTTGAAGAAGTATTGGAATTACTTGGTATGCGATCATATGCAGATGCAATCGTTGGTGTACCGGGTGAAGGTATGTGAATTCCATTGAATCTATGCAATTCTGCATTTTGACTACGTCGCGAGTACTGATGATGCATAGGATTGAACGTTGAGCAGAGAAAGCGCTTGACCATTGGCGTGGAATTGGCCGCCCGACCTCAATTGTTGCTTTTCTTGGACGAACCTACTTCTGGTCTAGACAGTCAAACCTCATGGTCAATCCTGGATCTGATTGAGACTCTCACAAAGCACGGGCAAGCCATTCTGTGTACTATCCATCAGCCGTCTGCAATGTTATTCCAGCGGTTTGATAGGCTGATGTTCCTTGCTAAGGGAGGACGTACGGTATACTTCGGACAAATCGGTGAAAACTCTTCGGTTTTGGCCGACTATTTCACTCGAAATGGCGGTCATGCGCTATCTGAGGGAGAAAACCCAGCCGAATGGATGCTCGACGTGATTGGTGCTGCTCCGGGCTCTCACAGTGATGTTGACTGGCCAGCGGTTTGGAATTCTAGTCCTGAAAAGGAGACCGTCATTCATCACTTGGAAGAGCTGAAGTCCACCCTCTCTCAGAAGCCCAAAGAAGCCGAAGCAGACTCGAATTACCGTGAATTTGCGTCCTCAACGAGTGTTCAGCTTCGTGAGTGCCTGACTCGAGTGTTCTCTCAGTATTGGCGCACTCCGTCGTACATTTACTCCAAGATCGTTCTCTCCATTCTCACAGCCCTTTACAACGGATTCTCTTTCTTCCACGCCAAAAACACTCAGCAAGGCCTTCAGAACCAGATGTTTAGTATCTTCATGTTGATGACTATCTTCGGAAATCTTGTGCAGCAGATCATGCCGAACTTCATTATCCAACGGTCTATCTTCGAAGTCCGCGAGCGCCATTCCAAAATGTATTCATGGCAGGTGTTCATGACGTCGAACATCATAGTTGAGTTGCCCTGGAACTTCCTTGTGGCCGTGTTGATGTTCTTCTGTTGGTATTATCCTGTTGGCCTGTACCAAAATGCCGAGATGACCAACGCTGTACATGAACGTGGTGCGCTGATGTTCTTGTATCTGCTGCTTTTCTTATGGTTCACGTCTACATTTTCGCACATGGTCGTCGCCGGCGTGGAGAATGCGGAAACAGGTGGTAACATTGCCAACTTGCTCTTTTCTCTTCTTTTGCTGTTTTGCGGGTAGGCTTTCATGGTCTTCTGATCTTCATGTTGGAACTTATTCCACTAACATTCGCTTCATAGTGTTGTATCCACCCCTGCAGCCATGCCCGGCTTTTGGATCTTCATGTACCGGGTTTCCCCATTCACCTACCTGGTATCTGGTATGCTCTCCACGGCCGTCAGTGGATCAACTGTTACCTGCAGTTCGATTGAAACCTTGATCTTTGATCCTCCAGCAAATCAGACTTGCTCTGACTACTTGAGCGCGTATGCTACTCGGACTGGAGGGTATATTGAGAACCCTGATGCGATGACCGCGTGCTCATATTGCTCCATGTCCTCTACCGATACCTTCTTGGCCCAGGTCTTCTCTTATTGGAGTGATGCCTGGCGAAACTTCGGAATAATGTGGGCATATCTGGTGTTTAACATCGTCGCTGCTCTTGCTATCTACTGGCTGGCTCGGGTTCCCAAGGCCAACAAGACCAAGAGCAGCTCTTAAATGGTCGCTGATCCCAAACTCAGGCCATCGACTCCTCTCCTTGAGTGACCCAGAGCGACGTTCATCCCCTCATGGAGGGTGATTCTAATCCCCGTCTGCTTGTCTTTCTTTTCATCTCCTTTTCTTTGTAATCATCACTCCTTCCTTTCTGAACACTATGTTCCATCAGAGTCCACGCTCCGTTTTTTATAGATAGAATAGAATCATCTAAGTTTTGTTATTGCGTACTATGTTGATACATCAAGTTCTCGGGGAATGAATGACTAAGGTTGGACAATAAAATCAATGTATATCACAATCTTGGTACAGTCTAGAAGATAGATCTAACAGTAATACGTCAAGTATTCCGTTGGATCTTGCCAAATCTCATGATTACTGTACATGTACAGTCAAGCGTCAGCTCCAGGCTCAAACACTTTAGATGTACTCCCAGGTAGCGGGGGCAGTGGAGTTATCAGCCACGGCAAGGGCGTCAAATCCAATGCAGTCGGAAACACTGCCGGAGGGCACAGTTGCGTTCTGCAAAGCGGCATACACCTGCCACTGGGGGGCTGCAGCGGCGCGACGAGAGCGGCGGTAGGTAGTGGTGCCGTTGGTGGGGCAAGCCATGAAGCCGGAGGCGCCCTGGCCTTCGTAGGACCAGTGGCCAAAGGTGTTACCGGGGGTGTAGTTGAAGGGACCGTCGGAGGAGCCAGCTGGCTCATAGGCAGAGTGAGGAGAGGTGAAGCGAAGAGCACCCTTAGGGTCGACAAAGATAGCCTGACCACCGGGAACCATGACGTCCTGTAGAAGTTAGTGTCTGTGCAAACTAGATGCACCTCGCCCACTCGGACGACTCAATGCGAGTTTACATACCAGGAAGTGGCCTCCGGTGATCACGGTCTGGTTGGTCTGCTCGCAGCCGGGAATGCCCTCGGGGCAGTAGGACTGAGCATTACCGCCGAGGTAGAAGTAGCTACCGACGGCGTTCAGAGGCAGAAGGTGAATGGGAGAAGCGGAACGAGCGGAGATCACACCGAAGGAGGCATCAGAGCTCTCAGCCTGCTTAGCTTGCTTTGCCTGCTTGCCGGGGATGGCAGCGACGAGAGGGACAAGAGCAAGAAGGGCGGAAATCTTCATGGTGAAAGCGAGTGAGAATAATGTGTGAAAGATGAAAATAATGCTTTCAATTCTCCGGGGTCCACGATCATATAAAACTTGGAAGATAGAGGGACGTGAGCCAGTGAGCGGGTCAACTTGGGAAGTATAAAAAGATCGACATCATATAGAGGGCAAGCGACGCAGATAGATTCGAGAAATGCCTAAGCTTAGCTCCTCCGGTATGGAGACTATCAGCTTCACCAGAGTCTGATTGGATCGCAAAATACTCAATACTCAGCCACTTAGCCTTTTGTCCATTCAGGGTCTTCGATTGTAGAACATGTCGACAGTTGCAGAATCTCCACAGATCGACACAGAACGGCATTCCGGCAACTTCCACGCTATTTATGAATACAGTATTCATTTCTGAGTCTGAATGTGCGATGGTCTGACGTTGTGTCGGAGTTTTTTGTTAATCACCATACCCTTTGCTACGGGCATATGGTTCATGATTGGGTAAAAAGAGACGTGTATGTACATGTGGCGATCCCAATGAAGACCCTGAGGAGAGCATGTTTCAGGCAGAAAGGGAGTGGCGATCGACAGGTCGGACGGTCAATCCAAGACAAGGCATCACGTTGGACATCCACTGAAAAGCGCCGAATTGGACCGTTGACTCCACGAGGGTCCACCATGTCTCAGGACACACCGGTGCTTGACATCACTGGCCTCATCGCAGATGAGTTGGGCCGTCTGATCTGTCGCTTGACTTCCCAAGACGATGGGAATCGGTCTCGACTTCATATAATGGCGACCGAGTTAATCTAAGGACCTTATTCCTGTACCGTATGCTTGGAGATCCAGCTCCGAATATTCCCTCAGCCCCGGGGCACAGCCATTGACATTAGCTTTGCCAGTGTCTCCAGAAGATGGAAGTGCATGTAACCTGCCTATTCAGAAGAATTTAGATGCTTCTCTAGACAGTTGAGTTTGACGGTCAAGAATCAACGCGTTTTACTATGGGCGCGTGGTACCACAGAAAGTAGACTGAGTAGACTCCGCTCGTATGCAGTTGCAGCAATTGCAACCTGGATTTCTATCCGAGTGCTCGGGTGAAAGCTGGAGTGGTCAATCAATCATGTCCAAGTCGACCTCAAATTCCCTTCACAGCTCCGATGTTGACATCTGATAAGGTCAGGTGACCGTCCCTTTTTTGCGGGAGCATCAACCTGACGTTGATGCTTCACTGGGGATTCTGCAGACTCATGGAAGAGTGAATAGCTTCCCCACATGCCACAGTCTCACCCTCACTAGTCAAGTCCTCTAACAAGGCTGCAAGTACGCGTCGCAGCACGTCCCAAGCAGAAATCAACCGAAAGGACGGATACGGAGTACTGATCCCATGAGATGTACACCCCATCCACTGGCGATGAGTCGGTCGAGACCGAGTCCAATTTGAAATTGCTCCCCTTGAAACAAGATCCGCAACCCTCGAGCTCGAAATCAACCGACCCAACTCCCACGATCGATGTCCCCGAGAGCGAACGCGATGTCTCAAAACGGATTGAGCAGTTTCTAGGCGAGGATCGCACACCACTTTCGGATTCCTTCGACACAGACTTGGAGGGGGACTCGCCCAGAACATCTCTGGCCCTGAGCGACGATTGGGGTGGCCCAGCGGACAAGGGCTTGTTACTGAAGAATGATCGCGAAGAGGAACCCAAGGGCTTCAATTGGAGATCCCTATTTCGTTTGCAATCATGGTGGAACGTTGTGGTGTTTCTTATACTCGCAATATTGACGGTATGGCTGTCGATTAGAGGCTTTCCGTGGTCTTCGTCGGGCGTAGCAGTCAGTGAAACCGTACGTGCTCCTTACTTTGCCATGATTTGCCATGAGAAGCTGTCTTACAATCCGGTTTATAGCAAACGGTCCCCTGGTACCCTACCCCCCTCGGTGGAACAAGCGCAGAATGGAAGGAAAGCTATGTCAAGGCACAGGAAATGGTCCGCCGAATGTCTCTTCCTGAAAAGGTGAACATCACTACTGGCACAGGATGGCAGATGGGACTATGTGTTGGAAATACTGGTAAGGCACAATCTACCATGTTCTATCAAAATAGCACACGCTGATTCCGAGTTTTTCTGCTTGTAGGACCTGCTCAACTCGTCGGTTTCCCTTCTCTTTGTCTCCAGGACGGTCCACTCGGTCTTAGATTTGCACACAACATCACTGCATTCCCTGCAGGTATCACAACAGGTGCGACATGGAATCGCGAACTCATGCGAGCTCGTGGTTTTGCTCTCGGAAAAGAAGCGCGGCTGAAGGGTGTGAACGTCATCCTCGGCCCTGCCATGGGCCCACTCGGGATGATGCCTGCAGGAGGTCGCAATTGGGAGGCCTTTGGATCGGACCCTGTTCTTCAAGGAGTAGCTGCGGCGGAAACCATCCGTGGTATCCAGCGGAATGGAGTGATGGCCACGGCCAAACACTTTGTTGGCAACGAGCAGGAGCACTATCGCCAAGCATTCGAATGGGGCACTCCAACGGCTCTCTCCTCAAACATTGATGACCGCGCACTCCATGAGGTCTTTGCGTGGCCTTTTGCCGAGAGTGTACGTGCTGATGTTGCTAGCATTATGTGTTCGTACCAGATGGTCAACAACACTTATGCGTGCGAAAATAGTAAATTGATCAATGGAATCCTCAAAGATGAAATGGGATTCCAGGGGTTTGTCCAGTCAGACTGGCTCGCGCAGCGTTCGGGTGTCAACAGTGCCATCGCAGGCCTGGACATGAGTATGCCTGGAGACGGCTTACACTGGACTGATGGCATTCCCCTCTGGGGAGGTGAATTGTCTCGCGCGGTGCTGAATACGTCGGTCCCCATGGAACGATTGAATGACATGGTAACTCGAATCGTGGCATCTTGGTACCATTTCCGACAAGATTCGTGGGAGCGACCTCAACCAGATGAAAATGGGGGTCCAAACTTTTCCTCCTGGACCCAGGAGAAAATCGGCCGTCTACATGAAGGCTCCCCGGACAATGATGCCACCGGAGTGGTGAACAGATTCGTCGATGCACAAGGCAGTGGCGCGAATGCCCATTCTATTATCGCTCGTCAGGTTGCTGCAGAAGGTACTGTACTTTTGAAGAACGTTGACAACACCCTCCCACTCTCACGGCAGATGACTGGCGCTGCTGGAAAATACAGGGTTGGTGTTTATGGTGAGGACGCAGGCCCTGGAAAAGGCCCAAATGCTTGTGCGGATCGTGGTTGTAATCAAGGAACGTTGGCTTCAGGTTGGGGCAGTGGTGCTGTGGAATTCCCGTACCTGGTGAGTCCATGGGAGGCATTGCAGTCTGTATGGTCGAAGGACACAGTTGATCTTCAAGGCTACTTGTCGAACAACGTTGGATCGCAGGACTTGACGGATCAAGACCTCTGTTTGGTTTTCGTGAATGCAGATGGAGGAGAAGGCTTCATCCGTAGTGATGGCATTGATGCGGATCGCAATGATCTTTTCCTGCAGAAAAATGGCACTGAACTTGTGGAAGGGGTTGCCGAACACTGTGGAGGTGGCCAAGGTCGAACCGTCGTCGTTGTTCATTCGATTGGACCCGTTGTGATGGAGTCTTGGATTGACCTTCCTGGCGTCCACGCCGTACTTTATGCCAATCTACCCGGCCAGGAGAGCGGAAATGCTCTGGTAGATGTGCTTTTTGGCGACGTTGATGCTAGTGGTCGACTTCCCTACACCATTGGCCGAAGCTTAGAGGACTACGGTCCAGCAGCTCAAGTGCTGTATGAGACTGAGGACCCTGCTGTTCCACAAGTCAATCTCAGCCAGGGTCTTTACATCGATTATCGTTATTTCGACCGATACAACATCACTCCGCGTTTTGAGTTCGGCTTTGGTCTATCATATACAACCTTTGACTACACTGCCGTCAGCATCGAAAAGCTGCAGAAGAAGACGCAGCACCCATCCAAAAGACCAAAAAACGAAGTTGAACCACCTACATATGACAACAGACCACCCCATCCCTTCAGTGCCCTGTTCCCGCAGGATTTCCGCATTCTTCGCAAATACATCTACCCGTACATTGAAACTACCGACGGAGCCAATCCTGGCCCATATCCCTATCCAGATGGATACGATACACGTCAGAAACTCTCCTCTGCAGGTGGCGGACCAGGCGGAAACCCCTCTCTCTACAAGCCCATGCTTGAACTCTCCGTCGAAGTAACTAACACTGGTACCCGACCCGGGCAAGATGTGGTGCAGGTGTACGTCTCATTCCCAGAAGATGTCGCCGAACACCGCGGGCTTGGCTGGTCGCGTGAAACAATCGAGTTTCCAGAGCGAGTGCTCCGCAACTTTGAGAAGATCCTGTTGCAGCCTGGGGAGACGACGACCATCAAAATGACACTAACTCGAAAGGATCTCAGCTACTGGAGTGTTCGTTCTCAGAACTGGATCCTTCCCACCGAGGGCAAGTTCCGTATCTGGGTTGGGCGAAGCTCGAAGGATTTGCCGCTTGTCGTCGAATTTTAATAGAGCAGGACTAAAAGGTCACCTCCATAATCTCATGTCACTAAAACCATGCACATTTTAGCGCTTTTTGAGTATCATATTTCACTTCGAATTTCACCTCAAAACTTTGCATTGAATTCTGGTTTAGATCAGATATTGAAAGAGGCAGACATTAAACCACTTAATTTATTATAAAATCAGAACTCTACACGGAGAAAAAGCGAATAATCGGATGTTGAAAGGAGTAGACAGAACTTTTGCTTCGCATGGTAGATGCACATGCACTGAAGTGTCTATCTGGAACACATGTACAACACTGGCGAAGGCTATACAACTAAATCTATGCCAGGAACAAAACAGGTAGATCAACTGAAACAAATAAAACGCCAAAACACCATCTATCAGAACCAATGCAGACCAAAACATTAACATGGTGCTCATGATGCAAGAGAAGGGCTGAAAATAGCCAGTCCCTTGCGATAACGAATCATAATGCTCTGTGAGGCGCGTTCAGGCCTCGTCGTCGGTATCCACTGGCTTGGGGGTGCCCTTGGGGGAGTTCAACCATTCGATGTGACGAAGACGGCGGCGAGCCTCACGATCCTTCATCTGGGCACGGGTCATCTTCTTCTTCTTCTTGGCGCGGAACTTAAGTTCGCCTTCATCGCCAGAGTTGACAGCAGAGGGGGCAGCGCTGGTAGTAGCGGAGCCAGTGGCAGGGGTGCCAGGAGCAGAGGGAGTATTGGGGGTGCTATCCTCGAAGCGGTCCAAGCTGATGGCGTTGTTGGTACGGCTGACGACACGTCCGTCGGCAATGTGCAACTGCTCGGGGCAGAGAGCACCCACGAACTCTTCGTTGTGAGAAATCATAACGACACCACCCTTGAAGTCACGAATGGCAACAGCCAGACCACCCAGGGAGTCACGATCCAAGAAGTTAGTCGGCTCGTCCAGGACCAGCAAGTGAGGGTTGTTCCACATGGCACCAGCGAGTACGACCTTGACCTTCTGACCACCAGACAGACCAGAGATCTCGTTGTGGTTGGCGATCTCGGGGTCCATACCGATGTCCTCGAAGTGCTTGGAAATGGTCTTAGGGTCCAGAACACGGAAACCGAGACCTTCACGCGAAGCCTCGTGATCATCAAACTCCTGGACCATCTTGAAGAAGCCGAGCTCCAACAAGGTCTCGCGAGAGATCATGGTGTTGTTCTTGGGGAGAAGACCAACCCATTTGCTGTGAAAGAGATTAGTAAGGATATGTCAAAAGGCGCGACAAAGGTTAACTTACACCTCGTACTGGAAGGACTTCTTCCACTTCTGACGACCAATCAGGGCCTCGATACGCTTGGGGCCGCGACCGTCGCCCAAGTCAATGTGCTTCTCGAGCTGCGCCTTGTCGGCTTCAGTCAAGATACGGGTCTGCTTGAGGAACACTTCACGGTCATCACCGTTGGCATAACGCCACTGGAGGTACTGGCTAGGAGTCTTCTCCAAGTGCATCTCAACGTGCTCAAGAGCGTGCTGCTTGATGTAACCAATACGCAGGTTGGGATGCTTCTCAACCTTGCCGCCCTGGGGAATGGTCTCACCAGTGAGAATCTTGATGAAGGTGGACTTTCCAGCACCGTTACCTCCGATGATAGCCACACGGGAGGAAAGGGTGAGTGACAGCGAGGCATCGTGCAGAGATGGCTTGGGGGCACCGGGATAGGTGAAAGAGACATTGCTCATACGAAGAATGGCACGGGTCTGGGACTTGATACCAGACAAAATTCCGGGAGGAGGGAACTTGAACTGCACGTTGGAGGCAGACAGGGTGTAGTAACTCTTGCCCTCAGGCTTAACCTTGACAAAGTCGGCAAGATTACCCTTGTAGGAAACGAGCTTCTTGCCCTCGTAGTGGTAGATATCTGTGCAGACCTCATCGAGGAATCCAGAGTCGTGACTGACGATCAGACTGGTGATGTTGGTGTGCTTCTTGAGGTACTCCTGCAACCATTTGACGTTGGCCACGTCCAAGTGGTTAGTAGGTTCGTCCAGCAAGAGGACATCTGCCTTTTGGAGCATAGCACGGGCGAGAGCCAGCTTCATCTTCCATCCACCGGACAGGGAGCCCACGGGCTGGGACTGACGACCCTCGGGGCCATCGGTGAAGCCGAACTCGATGAGAACCTCGGCGATGTGCTCCTTGCCTTGAGAGGCGATCTTGGGATCTTTGCACACATACTCGAAAATGCTGAGGTCGGCATCCTCACCCTGGTTGTGTTCAACAAAGCAGGTGCGCACTTCATCCTGAGGAGGGAAACCCTCAAGCTTGTCGTTGGCGATACTGCGCATCAAGGTGGACTTTCCAGCACCGTTACGGCCGCAAAGACCGTAACGGTGACCCTTGAGCAAACGCAGCTTGGTGTGAGAAAGCAGAAGCATACCTCCGTAAGCGAGCGAGAAGTCGGCGTTGACAATCTCGACCTCATTGGGGTCTTCGGGAGCGGGCTTGCCGTACTTGATTTCGTCTTCGGCAATGAAGTGGGCCTCGACGGCGGCAGCAACGGCGGTAGCCTTCTCCTCCGAAATGAGACCACGGAGGTAAGGGGCAGTGCAGGCTGGGATGCGGTCATACATGCGACAGTTGACGTCCTCACGGATCATGCCGGCAATGAAGAACTTGACTGCCTCCTGCAGCTTCACGTCGCCGAAGCCAGCAAGGCCGCCCTGTTCCTGGATCTTGGCATCCAACACAGCCAGGACTTCCTCGGGTGTGATCTTCATGATGGAACCAGTGGCGACATTGCTGTCGCTCATAGCCTTCTCGATAACATCGAGAGCGCGGGCCGACAATTCACGGACCTCAGGGAGAGAGGCACGGTCCTTGATGGACTTGACGCCAGGCAGGAGCTTGGGAAGGAAAGTGCGAGCTTCCATAGGGTCGTGAACTAGCTTGGTCAAGTTCTCCACGACGACGACAGTCTGGCGCAGGGTTTCTTGGGGGGTAGCGGGGGTGTTGAGGGAACGCTCAAGAAGGGGGGTGAGCATGGCCAACACAGGGGATGTGACAATGGCGACGAAAGTAGTCTGAGAGAGGGCATGGATGGCCTTCTGGAGAGTCTGGGCAGAGGGCTGCTCCATGGTCTTGATCAGGAGGGGGATACGGGGAGCGACATCGTCGTTGGACAGGAGGGTGGTGAGAGCGTTCATCGTCTTGCAGGACTGCTTGGTCACTTCACTCTTCAAGTCATGCATGCCAGACTCGACAATAGGAATGAGCTCCTTAAGAGTCTTGCCCATGGCATCGCGCAGCAGATCCTTTTGGCGCTCCTCGTCCTTGGAGCCGTTGCCAAGTTGGGCCTTGACGGCTATCTTCTCCAGGAGGTGGTATGCACCAACGAAACCCTGCCACTTACCAGAGCCTTTGCTCAGGTAGCTCTCCAGAGCAGGCAGCAGGGCGTTGACCATAGCCTCGGGGCTGAGAGCGCCGAAGAGAGCATCGATGGCGTACTGGGCAGCATCGCGCACGACGGCACCCTTGTCAGCCAGGGAATCCAAGGCAATGTTGAAGATGCCACCGTCGTGCATCAGGAACACATATTCGCTGAGGGGGAACTCGCGAGGGAAGCGCTCGAACAGGGCGCCGATGATAAGCATGGCACTCTCACGCTTGGAGCCATTCTTCTTATCGACAGCGGCCTTTTTGGTCTCGGCGAGAATGTCGTAGTTCAGGAGACCGGCGCATCCAACGCTCTGAATGAGCAGGTTGGTCAAGGCATATGCGCCATCAAGGGACTGCTGGGAGGACTCGGCGGAGAAGATAGTGTTGAGGAGGGACGAAATCTCTTCGGTAGTGGGGGGGACGCCGGAGGGGCCCTTTGCGACAACGGTCGGCATGGTCTCGGGAGACACCGTGTGTGGCATTGTCCAAAAAATGAAAAGCTCACAGGGTAAGCGTCGATATCAAGGATATCGAGGGGGCGAAAGGAAAGGGGGGGGGGGGCCTTGATGTGAGAGGGGCAACTCTAGGGCACAAAGGGCGATCAGAGCGCAACTCGCACAAACAGAGAGCCAAGGATCAGGTAGAATCGCAGGATCTATACAAGACGATTCTCAGACACCCAAAAGACCCAAACAGAAAGAAAAAAAAACACGAAGAGGGGAGAGTGAAGAACGAAAGATTATCGCCGCTTGATTGCTGATCCACCCGAATTTTTTTTTTGTTATGCTGAGTCAGCCAATCAGCGGGCGGCGCGGGGCCAGATGACAAAAGCGGCTAACCACATTGGTCATGTGTTTCTGCCTGAGAGATTGGTGCCTTGACACCTGAAGATAAGGGCATCAGTTGTTGATGCCTGATGTTTCTGCCTTGCTCTCGTTTCCCCTCTCCTCATGTCCATCGATGGATGGATGTTCATAGCTTGGTTATACGTCAATTCATCTAAAAAATTCAGTTCACTATCCAATCCACCCTCTAATTGCGAGTAGTCACACTTCCCAAGTTCCTGAATATCTTTGCTTTACTCTGACATGGACTCAGCTCTTTCAAGGGTATTGGTCCCAAATATATATTGCTTCCGGGCATCATTGTCAAATGATCTAGCTCTACCTATGTGTTTGCGGGTCGCATTGAATTTCTTCCCAACTATCGTATCAAATCTGTCTAATACCAGAGAAGAGAACGGGTGGAATAGCCCCGAGGACCTATATTGAATTGGAGTTCCATACCCATACTACCGTGCTAAGGAAAGGATAAGGCCAAATGCGCCGAAGCTCAATCTTAGACCAGACGATTGACATAGATGAGCCTACAGTACTGTGCAATACCGGTATACTCGGATATATCCAAACCAGTGATTTTGGTAGCCGCCGATTCACAGCAGCTGCCGCATGCAACCGCCACGGGCCTCGGTTGACTGTCCCCCCTGTCATCCCCTCATCCGCGTTCAACCGACCCCAAATAGGCCGATCACTGCATCAGTTCGGCTATTTAGCGTTCTCTTACATCTCTTCCTTTTTCACTCCTTGGATTCCTCAATTGCTGTGTTTTTCCAGCTTCATCTCTTCCCCCCCCCCCCCCCCCCCGCGTTCCCGCCCCCACAAAAATACCCCGGACCCATCAGACACAATGGCTCTCTGGAGATCCACCCGCCACGCCTCCAAGTTCGCCCAGGTGAGTTGAGAGGCCACGCTCAAGAACCTTTTCTAACGGAGTGTAGGTGACCCGGCCCATCTTTTCTCGTAATTATGCCACTGAGCCCGATCTGAAGACTACTCTGAAAGAGGTCATCCCCGCGAAGCGAGAGCTGCTCCAGAAGGTCAAGGCCCAGAGTGACGAGTCGATCGGAGAGGTCAAGATCGGCAATGTCATTGGTGGGATGCGTGGTCTCAAGGCGATGCTTTGGGAGGGCTCTGTCCTGGACCCTGACGAGGGAATCCGCTTCCACGGCAAGACCATTAAGGATTGCCAGAAGGAATTGCCCAAGGGTACCTCGGGCACTGAAATGCTTCCCGAGGCCATGTTCTGGCTGCTGTTGACCGGTCAGGTGCCCTCCACGAGTCAAGTTCGCGCCTTTTCGAGAGAGCTGGCCGAAAAGTCTGAGTTGCCACAGCACATTCTTGATCTGATCAAGTCTTTCCCGTCGAACATGCATCCCATGACCCAGCTGTCAATTGCTGTGGCCGCCTTGAACACCGAGTCCAAATTTGCCAAGGCCTATGAGAAGGGTATCAACAAGGCGGAATACTGGGAGCCGACATTTGATGACAGCATCTCCTTGCTGGCTAAGATTCCCCGAGTGGCTGCCCTCGTTTTCCGCCCGAACGAAATTGATGCAGTCGGCACGCAAAAGCTAGATGCCGCTCAGGATTGGTCATACAATTTCGCAGAGCTGTTGGGCAAGGGGGGTTCGCAGAATGAGGACTTCCACGACTTGTTGCGTCTTTACTTGGCCCTGCACGGGGACCACGAGGGTGGCAACGTGTCCGCCCACGCGACTCACCTCGTCGGAAGTGCGCTCAGCGATCCCTTCTTGAGCTACAGTGCTGGACTTCTAGGTCTTGCCGGCCCCCTCCACGGCCTGGCCGCCCAGGAGGTCCTCCGCTGGGTCATGGCCATGCAGGAAAAGATTGGCACAAAGTTCAGCGACGAGGATGTTCGCACCTACCTCTGGGATACCCTGAAGTCAGGCCGTGTGGTTCCCGGCTATGGTCACGGTGTCCTGCGCAAACCTGACCCCCGTTTCGAGGCGTTGATGGACTTTGCTGCCACCCGCCCTGATGTTTTGGCGAACCCGGTGTTCCAATTGGTCAAGAAGAACTCTGAAATTGCACCCGGGGTGCTCACCGAGCACGGCAAGGTATGTCGGTTCCAGCATCGTCTGGATCCATGAGCTAACAGTTTATAGACCAAGAACCCCCACCCTAACGTGGACGCCGCCAGTGGTGTTCTCTTCTACCACTATGGCTTCCAGCAGCCTCTATACTATACCGTCACCTTCGGTGTTAGCCGTGCCCTTGGACCCCTTGTCCAACTTATTTGGGACCGTGCTTTGGGCATGCCAATTGAGCGTCCCAAGAGCATCAACCTCTTGGGTCTGCTTAAGAAATAAATGCATCAATGCCATCCTAGTAGCCCGGTGCCACCTGATGCTCATTCTTCATGTATTGACTCAATTGATGATTTCCATGCCAAGCGAGATGATTTTGTTTATACCTTTTTGATGGTTAGACCGCTGCTTGCATAGTTTAAAATTATACCATGGTGTACATAGTTCTGACTCCCTGTGTCCAACAGCCCTATAGTTCTATTTTAAGCTCCTTGCAAACGTGGCTGATCTACCGATATACTATAGTCTGGGCGTGCATACATACTTTGGAGCGGTACGTATAGCTATAATCTGACTAGTCATTTCTGCTGGTCAACTGACCTTTTTAAATTTTCACAGACTCCTTTCCATACCTCCCACATTCTACTATTGAACAGTACAATCCAATCTCGGGGCCCACCTTCAATTGAAGTATATACCAACGGCCGTCATCGGCCTCGACTTGCCTGGAAACGGACGGAAACCACGTGACAGGCCGAACGCGATCGAATCACCAACTTCACTTCGCCAGCTCCGTCGCGCTTCAGCGGCCTCATTGGCCTCGGTGGGTCGCCCCAGGTCCCCACATGATGTAATACGCCTCGCTGACCAGTTTCCGGATGAGCGGTCAAAACTGGCTACATCTGCTCAATTCATTCCTTGCATCTCTTTCTTTTCTCATTCATCACAATGGCTCCCCTTAAGCTTAACAGTGCCAACCTCTCCCACATTTCCGCCGCCGGCGACCAGGTCAAGGTTCCCACCTATGCCCGTGGCAATGCCGTGAAGGAGGGAATCGTCCATATCGGCATTGGTGGCTTCCACCGAGCTCACCTGGCTGTCTATGTCCACCAGTTAATGGAGAAGCATGGCGTGAACGATTATGCGATCTGTGGTGTTGGCTTGCAGCCCTTCGATGTTGCTATGCGCGACGCTTTGGGCTCGCAGGACCACCTATACACAGTGATCGAGCGTTCTGCCAAAGGCAGCACTGCCAACGTGGTCGGCAGCATCAACTCCTACCTCTTTGCTCCTGATGACCGCGAGGCCGTGATTGCCAAGATGGCCCATCCAGATACACACATTGTGTCGCTCACCATCACCGAAAGCGGCTACTATTACAACGAGAACACCCACGAGCTCCAAAGCGAGAATCCCGACATTCAGTTCGATCTCAACCCAGCCAACGATAAGAACCCCCGCACAACCTTCGGTTTCCTCTACGCTGCCCTCGCACGTCGTCATCAGCAAGGCCTCAAGCCCTTCACTGTCATGTCGTGCGATAATATGCAGAAGAACGGTGCCATCACACGGCACATGCTGGAGTCGTTTGCCCGTTTGCGCAACCCCGAACTTGCCAAGTGGATTTCCGAGAAGGGCCACTTCCCCAATGCCATGGTCGACCGCATCACACCTCAGACTTCGCCCGCCGATAAGAAGTCCCTCGCCGAGAACTTTGGTATTGAGGACTCTTGGCCCGTTGTCACCGAGCCTTTCATGCAGTGGGTGATTGAGGACTGCTTCTGCGATGGCCGCCCTCCATTCGAGAAAGTCGGTGTTCAGCTTGTCAATAATGTGCACGATGTCGAGGAGTTTGAGAAGCACAAGCTGCGCCTGCTCAACGGCAGCCACTCCGCAATCGGATACCCCGGCCAGTTGGCTGGATTTAAATACGTCCATGAAGTTATGGAAAACTCAGTCTTCTCTAAGTTTGTGTGGCAGATGATGCAGGAAGAGGTGAAGCCGCTGCTGCCCCACATCCCAGGCGTTGACATTGATGAATATTGCAAAACTCTTGTTGAGCGCTTCTCCAACCCCACTATCATGGACCAGCTGCCTCGCGTTGCCCTCAATGCTTCGGGCAAGATCCCACAATTCATTATGCCCTCTATTGCGGAGGCTATCTGGGTGACTGGACCATTCCGTCGCCTGTGTTTCGTCGCCGCTGCTTGGTTCCACTACTTGCACGGTGTTGATGACAACGGCCAAACTTTCCAAGTCGACGACCCCATGCGCGAGGAACTGCAGGCCAAGGCCAAGGCTGGAGGTACCAACCCCTCCGAGCTTCTCAGCATTAAGAATCTGTTTGGTGACGACTTGCGTCGCGACCAGCGGTTTATCGAGACCATTACCACTGCCATGGAAGACATTGCGCGGGATGGCATCCTGAAGACGCTCCCCAAGTACGTTGATTAATTTTAAAGCGTGGAAGATCTAATTGGGGAAAAAAAGTTGTATTGGAACTAAGTACTTTGGGATTTTCATGTTGTGTACGAATGTGTCCTGAGGGCGTGATTTACGAGAGAAGTAAGATATAGAGATAGATGATTGGGATAATATTCCATACTGTTTGTTCACTGGCAGGATTCATTCCGAGTCGAATCTTTCCACCTTTCACATATATGGCATAGGACAAGGTCAACCAGACCATAGAGGATTGCAAGGGTGCAGACTGGAATGCTGCGGGAACATATTTTAGGGTTCCATTTGGCAGTCTAGAGGTCAAGTCGTCTACCATTGCCTGTTTTCTTCTGATGCAAGGGGTGATATCACAATCCTCAGCCCTCCAAAGCCTTCAGGGCTGGAGGTCCGGCTTACAGCCCCGGCTTGTTGGCAAAATGCTTATTTGTTCGGTGCAAAACTGCAGTAAACCAGAAACCCAGGCTATCTCGATCACGTACACCGACGATGCAGAAGATGACTCTTCAAACATGTCTACCTTGATAGGATCTGAAGTTTTCATTATGCACTTGAACCCTTCCGAGTGACGAACCACTATCCATTGGTCTTCTAACTTGTCTTTCAACGCCTCATTCCTAAATTCCTCGGTCTCGCTTGCAATTCCAGGATTTAGTTGCGCCAGGCAGGGAATCAGATCCATAGAAGATTGATTCATTGCAAGACTTATTTGGCATGGTAACCATGGCGCATTTCTGGGTTGTTTGTTGACAGTCCACACGGCCATTGAGGGTTTTTGTTATACTTCGGAATCTTTTGAGCCTCATGCTGAGAGGCTTAAAAGCTTCACTTTCCCCAAGCAACAGGAGGCCATCACAAGCTTCAGTCGACAACCCTCGCCCCGTCCGTCCTTTCGTCTTTTCGCCAGACAAACGCTCCTTAGGACGTGGTTAATTGCTGCCTATCATTAATCCCCGCAATTCTGAACATACGTCGCTTCCGCTTCTTTCAGGATGAAGACAATTACTTTCATTTCGCTTTTTGGCGTCGCTACACTCGCCCACCCAGCGGGCCTGGTGAGTTTTGCATCATCGGAGACGAGTCATCATGGCTAATCATCTCATAGTGGTGGGGGACCGACGTCTGCTACACCAGTCCGGACAACACTGACAACCAGTGCTCGGAGGTCCAAGAGACCGGATTCGACTGGTCTGAACTGGCCAATGGCGATAACTGGGGGTATGATGGGTTCGACTTTGTTGGATTCAGCCCTAAGAGTGCCTGCGGGTCCCGAGGAGTGAGTTGAGAAACAGCACCCGTCCCATATATGGACACTAACGGGGACCAGGACAACTGCATTGGAGGAACGCTGTCCGGAGATGACAACTACAATCTCCAGGTGGATGCCACCGACGCTCCCTTCTCCATTCGCAACTTCCATCTGACGACTTCGCGGGAAACCGATGTCATTCTTACCTACAAGACACCCGAGGGCCATGCCTGTCACCAGGTTGTGTCCAGCTCGCCCCAGGGAGTCGATGTCCAGAATGACCAGTGCGGTGGCGCCGTCTCGGTGAACTTCCAACTGCCGGAACAGAGCAAGTTCGGCGAGTGTGAACTGAACCTGCATCAAGTCGACTTCGATTGTTCCGCTGGAGAAAAAACCCCAGGCCTTCCAATCCCCAGTCCGTCGCAAGAATCCTCGGAGTATTGGCCAACCCCGACTCCGGCCACTGTGCATGAGCTCAGTTCAATCACGGAAGTCTTCCTGTCTACCAGGACTCACGAGATAACCACTTCCACTGTGTGGACCACCTCCGAACTAACCATCACCAGCTGCGCACCAACTGTTACGGACTGCCCGACACACTCGACTGTGGTGGTAACCTCAACATATGCCCTATCGACCACGGTCTGTCCTTCCGAGCCCACTGAAACTGGTCCTCTGCACTCGGTTGGCTGGGGAACAACTTCCACTGAAGGCTGGCATGAAAGCTCCCAGATTGTGGTTCCGGATCTTCCTACTACGATCACATCTGCAGTCAGCGAGCCTTCTTCTCCTGTCGTTCCTTCGGCGCCAATCCCCAGCTCTCCTAGCACACATGCGCCGTGTCCCGAATTGGTTCCCAAGTGTATGAACACCTGGCTCTCAATTCCCAAGTGCGACTCCAACAGTGATGTGGCCTGCTTCTGTCCCTCGTCCGAATTCACAGACAAGGTCACTTCCTGCATTCAGTCCTGGGGTAAATCCAACGAGGAAATCCAGTCTGGTCTTGCTTACTTTGCCGGTATCTGTGCCTCCTATGTGCCCAAGAACCCAGGCATTGTCGAGATTGTCCCGACTAGCACTCCTGTCGCTCTGACTACCGTGTCTAGCTTCTCCTCTCACGTTGCTTTCACCACAAGCACACCTGTCGAGGACGTCATTCCAGCCACAACAGCTCCTCAAACCCCATGTACTACTATTACCTGGTCTTCCCACACAGTTACCGTCCCACAGGTTGGGTTCAGTACCGTTACCGGCGCTTCTTCGACCACTGTGGACCTGGTTCTTATCACACCCACGAGTCCCACAGCACCCTTGTCAACCAGTTGGACAACGACAACTCAGTGTACAACGACTGCTGACTCTACGACTACTGCCCCTAAGCCCACTGACACCTTTGTGGTTTCTAATTCTGGATCACGATCTGGGTCGGATAGCTTGTGGGCATTTGGTGTGGCCATTTTGGCTCTTTCTCTTCTTCAGGTGTAGATTTGAACTATCACCCTATTTCTTCAGGCTTTTGTGATATAATTGAGCATCATCCTGCATTTAACGTGAATTTAATTGGTGAATACTATATGCTTCAAACACAAAATCCGCAAGTAACCTTCCCAGAAAACCACTGCATGCTCAGAATTTATGCTATCTCAAGATGAGAGTGCAAGCGGCAAATTAGTGCATATACAATAGCAGTCGATATGTTTCGTTTGAAACATGAATCCGCTCAAAATTCAACTTTGTGAGATGAGTTGACGTCTATCAATCACAAACGTGCACTTCCATCTGTTATTCGATTCCAATCCTTCTCTCCATACGGCGTGTAGCTATCTTCACCAGGGGCGATCCAAAGGAAGTGATCATCCTTTCCTTCCGGAGCCTTGGTACCTAGAAGCGCAGGATCTACACCCTCGTCACGGAGAGGCACCTTGTTCTGTTTGTGGTTATGGATGTGCGTGGGATTCTCGACAACACGCAAGAACAGCGGAACAGCATATCGAGGTAGCTTAGAGCGGGCGAAACGGGCAAGTGCTGTGTAGTCGAAGTTCTGACGGGCTTCAGGGCTAATCTGGATCGCTGCACAGCCGGCTCGTCCTTCGTGATTAGGGAGCCGGACGCCATACACGTTGGCCTCCGTCACGCCGGGGAATTTCCCTATGACCTCGGAAACTTCGGCAGTCGCGCTTTGAGGTGAAGCAATTAGCTTGACATCATCAGATCAGCAGATCTCTTACTTACACATTCTCGCTCTTCCAACGGAAGGTATCGCCCAGCCGGTCAAGGAAGTACCAACGTCCGTCATCCAGTCGGCGTAGAGCATCCCCAGAGCGATAGTACAGATCTCCCTTCTTGAAGACATCGCGGAGGAATTTCTTATTAGTTGCTTCGGCATTGCGCCAATATCCCTGGAACACTTCTTCCCCGGGGATATTGACCAGAATCTCTCCACCCTGCTCATACGGGGAGCGAACCGCAAAGCCGGTCTTGGGATCTCGCAGAATATCGCCGGTCTCTGGGTCAATCGCTACCGGGACATATACATTATGCAGGACCCCCCGCATCAGCAGTCCATGGTGGCCGACACTGCCGGCCGTGAATGGACCGCAGTTGTAGTTGAAGAGGCCGAAGATTCCTTCGCTGCTGTTGAAGAACTCTCCTACCTCGGCCACTCCAAATCGCTCCCGGAACTGCTCCCAAACATCTGGGCGAAGGCCATTTCCATACATGCACCGGACCTTGTGGTTTTTGTCTTGGGGCGAGGGTGGCGGAGCCAGTAGATAGCGAGCCGTCTCGCCAACATAGACAAAGAGAGTCGACTCGGAGTCGCGAATATCCTTCCAGAAGTTGCGTACGCTAAATTTGGGACCGATCGCGATACTGACTCCCATGACTAGACACGAGGCCAGTGATATCGCGCCAGTGCCGTGGTATAAAGGCATGCAGCTATACCACCGGTCCCCACCTGGGCCAGGTGTATCCCCCATCATCCCATGGCGTATGAAGAGGGTGGTATAGAGTCGAGCCATGGTGAATGCACATCCCTTGGGCAGCCCCGTGGTCCCTGAGGTATAGATCAGAATGGCCGGGAACTCGCCCTTGATCCCCTTCGCCAGCTCCTTTGGCGGCAAGGATTTTGGACGCGTGCTGATCTGCGCTTTCAGAGAGCCATCTAGCGTCATGGGATTCATTCCCAGGCCCGCTATGGCTTCCTGCGATTCCCCTACCCGTGCCTGGCAGCTCGCATCTTCGTCGACGAGGAGCAATTTCGCGCCACTGATCCTCAGGCAATGTATGAGCGCATCGCCTGCCAGATTGTAATTGATGGCTGCCGGGGCACATCCAATGCTCCACAGGGCTATCCACACCACCATAAACTCCGCACTGTTTTGCAGATACACTGCTACCAGCTCACCCTTCTTCACGCCTTGCGATAGGAAAAACTGGGCGTATTGGCACGCCTGATCCTGTACTTCTTGATATGTATATGATCGCTCGCGGGTCCATAGGCAGTTCATGTCAGGGTGACGTTTCACCGTCTCCAAGAAGACAAACCAGGGGTTTCCGCGACTCTGACTGACTGCGTGATAGGGTCAGTATGCATTTGGCTCTTGTTTGGGGGGTTTCGCTTTCGTACCCGCCCGGGCATATTCACGCTCGGCTTTCTTTCCGGTGAGTATATCCGACACGTCTTTTTTGATATGAAATTTGGCATTTAGATAGCTGGCGACCGTCGCACCCCCCAGCAGGGCAGCGGCAGCGGTTCCTGTCCTTGGTCAATTTGCGTTCGAAGGGTGATCAAGCCCGTTGAGAGACACACCTAGATCCATTATTGAGCTCCTGTCAAACGACAACACCAAAGCACCGAAATTGAGAGTTGAGGTTTCTGAGAAGGAAAAAGGGCACACATAAAGAGGCGAGGCATCCTCGGCAACGTGACTCCGCAAAGTCCATCAAATGCGGGGGAGGAATTCATTTGCACCTCGGTCGTTTTGATAGCCGATGGCTTCACTTTAGGGCATTGAGCCAGGAGAGAGGACCAACAGCAGGCCTGGTTGCATTCATTGCTTGCTTGTCTGAGATGGAGGAGAGCTGCTCCAAAGCTGGGGCAGAACAATCACTCCCAACATCACACCAACCAGTAGTTGGACTGCCCAGTTCCGTGGTCAATCATTCAGCCACTGTCTGCCTCGGGGGTGGAATCTGCCTTGAATGGAGTCTGCCTCGAATCATTGCTGCCTGTATAGCAGGTGTGGCGCAGGCGCTTAGGGGAGGAGAGAAGAAGAAGGACGAGCATCTGCCCCAGGATGATTTGACGGATTATAAGACACGAGAAAGCCACAGCAAATGCAATTCCAATTCATCCGCCTCTAACTAGACCACGCGGTTCTCGTGCCAATTTCCCGGGTCCTTACAATGCCATGCGACACGATCTACACCGTAGCAGGGATCCTCGACCTTTACATTGGCCATCCCAGAGATGGCAAACACCACTGCCTCGCCAAGACCAAGAAGTCTGGGGGCAAGGACCAGTGTGCGCGTGCCATTGCCTCGAGAAAACAAGAACAAGCGTGGTATCTTCTACGTGAATGCATGTCGTGTGCGGATCTCGACGATCAGGCAGTCAGATGCCACACAAGGGCGCTCGGTGAGCTCCTGATTCATAGCTTTCATCCAGAGGCTCGCAACGCGCACATGGCCGCATGGACCCGAAAGATTCTCGCGTTTCAACAGGATCCTAGAAACAGGCATGCCTGCCGCCGTCCCCTTGTAGACGGTGAAACACCCTTGCCAAGCGTCCCTATCGCGTATCCCAGCCTTCCCTACGTCATGGACGATCCTGTCGAGCCCGCGGCGATCATGATCCGCAGCCCAGGCTTCGACCTCGGTGAGCAGAGGACCATCGAGCGATACCGGAGCCGTGCAGCCGATCCGTCTGGCCGTGTGTCCACGCATGAGCCAATTGACGCGATATCAACGTCGAATCCGGCTTCCCATGCCCTGCCCGGCAACGATCCCGCAGGTTACGGCCCTATTACCTTGTTCACCTGTCTATTTGGGCGTTTGATGCACGTTGGTAGCTTTGGTGGACTGTGCCTTCAACTTGGCGTCTCCCTCTCCAGCCCGCACGATGTGCAGGGGTCCCTGGTTTACCTGAAATTTGAATTGGGGATGCTGGCCCAATTCCTACCGCTGGTGTTATTGGGCATCGTCTCAGTCATGATTGGACTCTGCTGAGCATCATGTGCGGTTATTATTTGTTACAATAGACAATAAACACTCTGATCTCTGATCTGATCTCCGAGATATCTTCGAGGTGGCTAATGTGCGCCGTGTGATTGGTGGCATCGGGAAGCAGTGGGGACATGACGCAAACAGCAGACAGAACAGAAGAGAAGCGAAGGCAGAGTTTGTACGAGAGTAGGCGAGCCACGAAGAGACAAGAAGAAGAGAGTGAAGACAGAGCAAGACAGAACCCTAAGTCTAATCCCAACCCCAAAACCCTAACGTCGGTTGGCCTCGGGAAAGGTGTTGGGGAAGCCCAACATGCTCCGGTGTAGAGGGGAAGAAGGTTGAGAGGAGAGAGTTCCCCCACAATCTCCTTCCTCGCTCTCTCTTCTCCTCTACACTTTCCCCCTCCCCCCAAACATGTCTCTCCCTATTCGTTCATTGCCTCGGTCTTTCCTGCGCTCTTACGGCACGGTGCAGGGGTCCAGTGTGCTGTCCAGCCAGACTCAGATCCCGCTCACCTTGACTGATGCGACGGGAGCAACTGCCCCACGCACTACGTGGACTCGAGATGAAGTCAAGCAAATCTATGAGACCCCATTGAATCAACTCACCTACGCCGCCGTAAGTCAATGCCGACCCATGCAGTCGGGGCAGGACAGGCAGGATCGTACTGACCACCTCTAGGCTGCCGTCCACCGTCGCTTCCATGACCCCTCCGCCATCCAGATGTGCACCCTGATGAACATTAAGACGGGTGGATGTAGTGAGGATTGTTCCTACTGTGCCCAGTCCTCGCGACACAACACCGGTCTCAAGGCCACCAAGATGAGCCCGGTGGACGAGGTCTTGACCAAGGCGCGCAACGCCAAGGCCAATGGCAGCACCCGGTTCTGTATGGGGGCAGCCTGGCGAGACATGCGCGGTCGCAAGACGAGTCTCAAAAACGTCAAGCAGATGATCACCGGCATTCGGGAGATGAACATGGAGGTGTGCGTGACCCTGGGCATGATCGACGAGCATCAGGCCAAGGAGTTGAAGGAGGCTGGCCTCACCGCATACAATCACAACCTCGACACCTCGCGTGAATTCTATCCATCCGTCATTACCACCCGCTCCTACGACGAGCGGCTGAAAACCCTCTCCCACGTCCGGGACGCCGGGATCAACGTCTGCTCGGGAGGTATCTTGGGATTAGGAGAAGCCGATTCCGACCGCATTGGGCTCCTGCACACCGTTTCCAGCCTACCCGCACACCCGGAATCCTTCCCCGTCAACGCGTTGGTTCCCATCCCCGGAACGCCGCTTGGCGACCGCAAGATGATTTCCTTTGACCGCTTGCTCCGAACCGTCGCGACCGCCCGGATTGTGATGCCGGCCACCATTGTGCGCCTGGCGGCGGGTCGCATTGCCCTCACCGAGGAGCAGCAAATCGCCTGTTTCCAGGCGGGTGCCAACGCGGTCTTCACCGGTGAAAAGATGCTGACCACCGACTGCAACGGTTGGGATGAGGACAGTCTTATGTTCAAGAAGTGGGGATACTATCCCATGAAGAGCTTCGAGAGGGCCAAGCTGAGAGTCGACCCTGTAACGGCGGAAAAGGAAGCCGAGGTTGCTGCGCCGGTCGCAGCTAGCCCTTCGGCCTAGACAAGTTAGTTCAGAAATAAACACAACCTTTTGACCTGCAAGATAGTCTGTGGACGGTGTGATTCTGTAGAGGGAATGGGCAGAGCCTCAAAAGCCATAACAGGATCGGTGACACGTGACCCACGCAACCCAGGCAGGAACCGTCACTGCTTCTCTTCTCTTTCTTCGATCAAACCCTGGCATACTCTCTTCATGGAAGGTTCCATGTGCCGTGACGCCAAATGTTGATCGGCGCTCCACTGTCAAATGGCCGGATGCCGAGGCCCAGCCAGACGCACGCTGTGCATTTCAACCTCCAACCCATCTGGCCCCTATTATTGGATATCAATTCGACCACCGCGGATCACACTGGTTCTCTCTTTTGTTCCAACAGGCTCTAATTAGCCATGCAGATGCCCTCAAAGGATTAGCCGACTCCGAGGCCCCTTTTTGCGGAGAACTTCACATGTGGCAGCCGCTGATCGTCGCCCATTTGGCATGGACTGTCCACGATCTCCTGTTCATTTGGTGTGTAGGTTTTGTTGGGGTAAGCCGATCCACACAGGGAGTCTTTCACACCATGGCTCTCGATTCACATGGAGCATGTCGTTGTAGAATGATATAAAGCAGATCCGCGCCACCAGGAGTGGCCGTAAACCCACCCCAAGCCGCTCACTATGGATTCCAAACCGCTGTCCAAAGATTCAATGAAATCCACTTGGCGAACTGCACCTCGCAGTGAGTGGAATATAAACCACTGGCTGTTAGATCTGCTCAACGCCCATCCTCAAGAGCTCAACGAGGAAGTGCCAGTGCACAGCAAAGACGAGAAAGTCCCTTTCATGCCTCAGTGGTCCCTCCAACGCTGGGTGCTTTTCTACTCTGCCCTTCCACTGCTCCTCCACGAAACCTACATGGCCTACACCGACCGTACCATCGGCCCAATCACCGCTTTCAATTTCTACTTTTTCGCCTTCAATGCTACAGTCATCTATCAGGTGCACATCCTCCGTCGCCTAGGTCATCAATATGGCTTCCTCGACGGCGACAAACATGAACGTGATGGCGTGCCTGATGTAGGCGTGGCCAAAGTAGTGACCTCGCTATACAAAACCACCGGATCCCGCCTGATCCTGTCAATATTCCTTTCCTACAACGCTAGCCAACGCCCCTCTGAGATGTCGTGGGCGTGGCTTCCACTCGAAATTGGTCTATACGGCATTGTCCTTGATTTTTGGTTCTACTGGTATCACCGCCTGATGCATGATGTGAGCTTCCTCTGGAAGTTTCACCGCACCCACCACTTGACCAAACACCCTAATCCTTTACTGGCTGCCTACGCGGACCATGAGCAAGAATTTTTCGATATGGTTGGGGTTCCGATGATGACCTACTTCAGTCTCAAACTAGTTGGTCTACCGATGGGCTTCTATGAATGGTGGATCTGCCATGAATACGTTGCATTTGCCGAAGTCTTCGGGCACAGTGGGTTGCGTATGCACCTCACGGTGCCATCGACGCTGAGCTGGCTACTTCAAATGTTCGATTCAGAGATTGTTATTGAGGACCATGATCTGCATCATCGTAAGGGATGGCGTAAGAGCCACAATTACGGTAAGCAGACTAGGCTATGGGATCGCATTTTTGGTACTTGCACCGAACGTATTGAATCTGCGGCCGATAATGTCGATTATGAGAACACGGCCAAGATGCCTCTTTTCTGAGGCCATTGGGATTTATTGGCTATAACGTGGAATAAGCGATGGTGCTTGCAAGTCAACTGTATAGATCTCAATTTTATGAATTATGCTACAATATCTCATCTCACCAGTAATTTGCTTCTCATTGACAGTGTCTTGGAAGATCTTTGGAAAGCTAACAAAGGCGTCTGCTCAGACTCGCCTGCTTTATCCGATCTGTCCCAATGAAGCCAACCTGGCACGTTGACAGTGTCTCCGAGGCTATACATTATCCTATTCCGTTGGCTTGACCAGTACATCTTTTACTAACATTCATAACTAACGTGAGACATAAAATCTGATCTCTATCAATATCTATGACACAGCAACTGGTGCACCACGCGTTATATATTTATCGATCAATCGATCCCTCGCCAATATATCTTGTGTCATGAAGTAGGACTAACTTACCTAACATCCAATTATCGTTTCTCAGTTCTCAACTGCTTACATGCACCAAGCTCTATTCCCCAAGAGACTAATGAACATGGGTTGAGGTTGTGGTTGGCCGGGGTGTCTCAATGCTTGATACAAATGATTGATTCTTTTGATGCGACATATTAAATGGACTAACTAACTATCATTTGAGCACCTCAGAAGATAGTACCGAGAGCCAGAGCGATTTCATATATCAGAGTTGGTCGATTCAGCTAAGTATTGTTGACTTATTTCCTAATTTCATAACGTTTCTATCACGATGATGAAGTGGGCAGACTCCTGGACACGAATATTGATTTTTACACAGCTTTTTATGGCAGACCTCTCAGCTTGAGCCACTGGAGCTTATGTTGGACAGAGACTAAACCACGAAGTCTACTTTTTGATTTCCTAGCAGGACAGCGACTAAGCACAAGTGCAACACGCCTCCAGTGTTATTCAGCACAAAGCAACACCAAATTTGTACTTTCGTTTATACTTTCCCCTCTCCGAGACATTGAGACGACGCCAAAGAGGCTAAACGTAAGACTCATATCAAGGTTTCGGTCGGTAGACCAGAAAGAGTTGGTGGAATATCAATACAGCGAGGCTTCAATTGAGACGTCTAAACCTTGGCCGGTGTTCAACGTGTAAGTTATAGTTAGAGCCCAGTATGATCCATTGGGCAAGAAACTGACAAATACTTCAAGAGATATCCCGGGAGATTATCCAACAGAGGCAAAAGCCAAGCCAGTAACCGGACAAGTCTCGTCAGATTTAGAGACTGACCCAAAGTTACTGATTCTCTATAGCTCTGCAGTGGGTACATGCCATCTTCACTATCAATTCGGGCGTTCTTGATGCTCGGTCTGCTTCCGAACTTGGGGGCTTTCTGTGGAACTGAACAACAACTGTTTCAGATCTAGAGCAGCTTTTAAGTTTGGACGAGAGTTTTCTTATAGATATGATACATGGAAGGCGTTGTGGAATGCTTCGGTACCCGGCCCCGCTGGTTCGCGTCGGAGTGTTGACCAGGTGCATCCGGCGCTTGTGTCAATATCAATAGTGCTGACAACCTGTGGAGAACTCTCCAAGGTCTTGGACTGAGATTTGAGCAGGCTTTAGTCTCCATCACCGAGAGTTCCTAGGGCAATGCCGCATTTCCACACAATCTCGGCTATAATGAACATATCGTGCAACGCTGCGAGCTAAGCGTTACGCTAATGCAGAGCAGTGATCTGGTCTTAATGTGTTCATTCCGTCTACCTGATCCAGCCCGATCGCAACGCTCACAACTAGTCTATTACCAATGTTGATTGGTCTGGTCTCAACTCCACATCGTTACGCTAGTCAACCTCGGTAAGCCGATTCCCGACTGAACTAACGATCTTTTCTAGCGCGATTTCAGTGAAGGGACGGGTTTGTCCTTCCTGACTAGGTTTAGCCAACAATCATGGTGAAAAGTGGATAAGTTATAGATTCGTGACGGCGTACACTAAGTGACAAGTCTAGGAATAGTTATAATATGTAAACAAGAAAAAAAAAAAAAAGAAAACCCGGCCACCAACATCATCAAAGCTGCCTCACGGACTGTGGTAGCTGCTCTTCGTCGGAGAAAACAGAAATCTCGACCTGCTTCGTAATTCCAGTACCGTCGAGGGTAGGAGAGTCCGGGTGGCCGCCGACGCTGGTGCTGGTGTGCGCGCTTTGGTTGAGAATGTAGTCAACACTCCCATTTTCCAGATCAGACTTGAACCTGCGCGTGCGTCGCGACTGGTTGGTCTCGTTGGGGTTGGTTTTGTTGGTTTTGCGACCGGTAAAAGGACCGCTGAGTTCGTAGGAGCGCGAGAACTTGCCGCTGGAGATCTTGCGGACGGAGGAAATGAGCAAGGGTCGAATGCAAGGAATGGAGGAAGTGATAATAATGATGGTGTTTTCGATGTATCCCCAGCGGATGAGCTCAAGGCCACCGGTGGCTCCGATATTGGTGATACTGGGGATTGAATCGAGTTTGGTTGTCTTGATGATAGATGCGATCATTGCACTGACTCGTTAGTACGTGGTCCATCGCAGGAGAGAAAAATGACTTACACAATACCCAGACTGAGTAGAACGATCAGACTGACTTTGATGCGGAGCTTCAGGTTGAGGTTCCAGAACACGATCGCCGGGAATACGGCTAAGAACAGATCGGTGGCCGAATTGAAGGTGTTGGAGAAGTACGCAAACTTGATGATGGCGCTGGAATCACCGCAAGTGGTTGAAAGAGCGGCCTGTTTATCCCACAGAGCCGCCACATTGCGACAGATACTCAAGGGAAGCACCGCGGAGGTAATGTTGCCCGCGAGCTGGATGATCATAAAGGTCCATAGCAAGCCCTGGTAGATCTTGTTGGTACCGAGCAGCGGAACAATGTAAAGAATGAATGCAGAGCGCGCGAACGTCGTACTGAAGGTGACAATGGGGACCTGAATGGCAATGTACTTCAAGACCAATTCCTGATCAACCGTGGGGAGGGTTGTCAGGTCCTTTCCAAACCCATGTCTCACGCACAAGGTCAAGAAGACGGTTGAAGCGATCGCCAGAAGCTAGTCCCGTTAGCAAAGACCCCAACTAGACAGAGGAACAAATGGTACCTCGGCAAGAATCATCAAGGCATCGTCGAAGCCAAACCGTTTGATTTTAATTTTAGCAAAGACACGTAAAATCACGATCACCGCGGCGATGATCACCGCGGCCCAGATCCCCTTCTCTAGGGCTGGGCCAAGATCCTTTGACATGGTGTGGAGATGCAAGAATTCAATTGAAGATCATTGTCGAGACAATCCAGTGACTTTAATAACAGCAGAGGGGTAGTCAACGCCTGGGAATCGCATGTGTTGCAAGCATGCCGGAAAAGAAAGTCCAATTTGGGGTTGAGCGCGAACCCAAGGTTCAGGTTGGTCATAAACCCCGGATAGACCGAGAAAAGGGAACGGAGACAGGGCGAGGGCCAATCGAGTCTACTCATCTCCTGGTCCAAAAAAGAATGCCGGTGGAAAGACCACGGATTGGCCTGTGAGGGCCCCAAGATCGGCAAACTCTGATGGATTGAAGCGAGAGTATAACGGAACAGGTTCTGCGCCGGATGCGTCGTCTCCACTTAATCTAATAAAATGAGATGGAGTGAATGAAATAATCTAGAAACAGCGGCACTTCATTCTGCAGCCTCGAGAGAAAAGCCTCGAACCGTCCAAAATTGAGACCGGACAAGCCACCAAAGTCTCGTTGATTAAGGAGAGAAGCCTCGACGGGCGACACCCGAGTTAGGGCTGATTCCCGGCTGGCTGTTTGGCCCACCCCCCAGCGCACATGGTGGCGCTCAGACCCACTTTCATCTGTAACTTGTAATCTGATTGAAGGAATCTATTTGCTTGTTCTGAGACACTTCGATTTCCATGCCCAGCGCCATATCCGTGGGAGCCGAGGGTGAGCCGTGGGAGCCGGAGTCCGGGAGTTAGGGTTTGGAGTTGCAGTGTGCAGAATGCAGGGGAGGCAAAACCCTAACGTCATGTTTCCCGATCATGGATTGTGATATCCATGGACTCCCTCAGCGTGTTCGGCTAGTGTAGATCACACATGAGCCGTATCCTGAACAGTGTCTTAGTCTGCCATGCGGATCTCCTGAACCCCAATTCTCGAGATCTGTTACCAGCTGTTCATGGCGGTGGAACTCCGGTGAATTGTCCAACTCCACTGTCAATAGACAGACTAGACGCACTTGGGAACATCTCCGAGTGATTCTGAACTGATTCCCGAATCTGTGGCATTGACCATGGGAATCTAAGAGGATGAAATCGTTCTATAAGTAACGTGGTGATCGGCAAGCTCCTCTCCATTTTCAACCTTATCCCTTTCTTCATCTCCACCACCATGAAGGCCTGGACATTGACCTCTCTTGCTTTCGCTGTGCCAGCGTTGGCTGGTGTTTGCCACTTGGCTCGCGATGTGAACTGCCACTGCCTGCCTACCGACAGCTGCTGGCCTGCCCCTTCGGCTTGGGCTTCGCTGAACAACACTGTTGGCGGTCGCTTGATTGCGACCGTCCCCATTGGCAGTCCTTGCCACGCTCCTAACTATGATGCCGCTGCCTGTGCGACCATCCAGGCAGAGTGGTACGAGCCGCAGCCTCAGTATGTGGATGAACCCTGGAAAAAAAATGAGGTCGAGCAAAGCTAATCGTCACCCCAGCCTGAATTCGTCTTCGTCGATCATGCAGACGTACTTTGCCAACCAAACTTGCGATCCTTTCTCTGCCAAGTCGAAGCCCTGCACTCTGGGCAACTTTGCCACTTACTCGGTGAATGTCTCATCCAGCGACGAGGTTATTGCTGCTGTCAACTTTGCCCGCGAGAACAACATCCGCTTTGTGATCAAAAACACCGGCCATGAGTAAGTGTGGAACTTCTGATGTTTGGAATGGGCCAACATGACTGATACGATGGAATAGTTATCTCGGTCGCTCCACCGGTGCTGGTGCCTTGTCTGTCTGGACCCATAACCTGAACGACATTGAATATCAGGACTGGTCAGACTCGAACTACCAAGGGCCCGCATTCAAGGTCGGTGCCGGAGTCGTCGGCTACCAGATTCTCGAAGCCGCCCACTCCAAGGGTCTTGTCGTTGTTACCGGCGAGTGCCCTACGGTCGGTCTCGCCGGAGGCTACACCCAGGGTGGTGGTCACTCTGCTCTCAGCACCCAATTTGGCCTCGGCGCTGATAACACCCTCGAGTATGAGGTTGTTACCGCCAACGGAACTCTCGTCAAGGCTTCCCGTTCCGAGAACTTCGACCTTTTCTGGGCCATCAGTGGTGGAGGTGCTGGCAACTACGGTGTTGTCATGTCTATGGTTGTCAAGGCTTATCCCGATGCCATCATCTCCGGTGCTGAGGTTGCGTTTGCCTCGGCCAACATCTCGACTGATGTCTTCTACGAGGCTATCTCCCAATTCCACGCTCTCCTGCCGGCCATGGTTGACCAGGGTGTCACCGTGATCTACCAAATGGCTGCTAGCTTCTTCAAGATTGCCCCCGTCACTGCCTACAACCAGACTTCTGATGATGTCAAGGCTATCCTGAAGCCTTTCCTTTCGGCCCTCACCGCGTTGGACATCCAGTACGCCGCCACCTACACTCAGTTCGATTCCTACCATGACCATTACAACACATACATGGGTCCCCTCCCCTGGGGCAACCTCGCCGTCGCCACCTACCAATACGGCGGCCGTCTGATTCCCCGCAAGACTCTGGAGGAGAACTCCAAAGGAATGGGTGCTGCCCTCCGCAACATCACTCAGAGCGGTGTCATCGCCGTCGGTGTTGGCATGAACGTTACCGTTTCCACCGGCAACGTCAACAACGCCGTCGCACCCGCTCTCCGCAACGCCGCTGTCACCATGCAGATCGGCACTGGCTGGAACGAGACCGCTCCTTGGTCCGAGATGGTCGCCGATCAGTACAAGATCACCAATGAGTATGTTCCTCAGCTTGAGGCTGTCTCTCCCAACAGCGGCTGCTACCAAAACGAGGGCAACTTCCGCCAGTTGAACTGGAAGGAGACCTTCTTCGGTAGCACCTACTCGCCTCTGCTTTCGATCAAGCGCAAGTGGGACCCTACTTCATTCTTCTACGCCCTGAAGGCTGTTGGCAGTGATGCCTGGAATGTTGCCGAGTCTGGTCGTATGTGTCGCGCTTAAGCGAGCATGATTCTATGTTGCGATATGCCACATCAAAAGCGTTTCCAAGTGGTTGAGATGATTATGTATAGATACTCCATATAGTAATAAATGAGTTCTTTGAGAATCAATTTCGTGTGAATCTGTCGCAGCTAAAAAAAAACCGGTTGTCTTTACTAGCCAGACTGATTGTCTGGGCTTGCCTGCTCCACTGTTTTGTGATTTTACCGATGTGTCAAACTGGAGCCATCGCTAAGATCAGAAATCACACTTTCCCTGTTGGGCTTAGTGAGGTAACAGTTCATATATGCACGGCTAAAGACTGTTAAAAGGCACATCCAATACTTCATATCTTCTAATGCGCGTGGGACCTGCACACTTGTGCAGCCGCGTACTTTCTTCGATCTTCAAAATTCAGTCAGATTGGTTCTAGTGAAACGCCAAATAAAGATAAAAAATTACTTTAACCTAGAAAATGCTCATTCAATACTAGTATCTCTAAACCCGTTTTGCCATATGTTGTCCGAAATAACCCAATGTGCACCGTAAACCATTTTATACAAACAAGACGCTTAAGCATTGCTAGCGCAAGAGAAGCTGTTGCTGGAAGAATCGTCGTGGATTGCCTTGCCCGAAACATAGAGACCAAGGCCACACATGCAAGCACCGATCAGGATGATCAGAACATTGATCACAGTGAGTAAAATCTTCCGAGGTGAAGATAACCACTTTCCCTTGTTGATGTGTAGCCAGTAAACGCCACCGAGGCCGTAACTGAACCAACTAGCAAACAGAGAGCTGATCAACGACAGAAGGTCACTGAAAACAGGAATAGCATCAGCAATGATCCAAGCGATGACCCAGCAGGTGAGAGCGATGGCAACCCAAGATCCGACAGCAGTCAAATCACGCTTGTGCATGCGGTCAGTTCCACGGAAGAGTCGAACGTAGATGTATTTGAGACCAATGTGGCCGTTGACGACGCCAGCACCAATAATCTAGAAATTGTCAGTACTTCAACATGCTTTGAGACAGGAAAATCAACATACGGTTGGAATGGCAATGCCGTAAGCAACTTTCTTCAATACGGGACCAGCAGACGTTAGGGCAGGAGATGCGACATCCTGACCAACGTAATAGTAGATGACAATCGCAGCCACGGTGTAAAAGACAATTTCGAATGTCTGAAGCATGACCAGAGCTTTGGGAAAGTCCTTGGGCTCCTCCATCTCTGCAATCAGACCGAAGAAAGCGACGTGAGCGCAGTAGGCAAAGACAATGTTGGTGACTGCGCTGAAAGCGCGGAATAGATCAGTATCAATGGTGGCCTTGAGGTCAACACCACCCTTATTCTGGACGCCGACTCCAATCATAGTGATCAACACGGCAGTTAAAATACTGACAAAGGCTAAAACACCGTTAGCATGCATTCCATATTTCAGAGGTCAAAGCCACATACACATGCACGAAATGTAGGTCATATTCTTCATGGTCCGAGGAAGAGAGCACACGAAACAAATGACAAATCCAACAGTTGTGAAAACCATAGTGCAGGTGCCGTGCTCGGTAACAGTGTTCATCATGACACTGAAAGTCAAGATGTGACTACCCATGATGAAAATCGAGAAAAGCAGCTGGCCCAAACCAAACAATTCCCGGCCAAAGGCACCAAACAAAATCTCACCAGCATCGGCCAAGTTTTGAATATGGGGGTACCGTGCGCGGAATTGGTGAATGGTGTATCCGGTATACGTTGCCAGAATACCCAGTCCGATGATGAGAACAAGAGCCGGGGCGAGACCCAGTTCGGCGAGAGTCTTTGGTAGAGATAGAACACCGAGGGAAACAGATTCGGCAATCATGACTAGATGAGGTCAGAGGTAGTCCAGAGAGGTCGTTGCACACTTGATCAGTACTCACACATTCCGGTTTGCCTTGAAGGGTGTCGTTAGCATGTGTATTCCTCTATTATGATCTCGCATGTATAACGTACCACCACTTCATGGTCTTATATTTGACCTCCGCACCATCTTCATTTCCGAAGGCATCCTGGTATTGAGGAGCCACCTGGTTCTCCATACTCTTTTCTTTCCATCCTGACTCCGAGTCAGTTGGGTCATAGTGCGGTGTAACTCCCTCGACAATCATGATGTTAGAGCAAAAGTGACAACAGGGAAATGCCAATTGACCAAAACAATACCAAGAAGAAAAGAAGGAGAAAGACAGCTGATGTATGTGTGGAAAATTCTTGAGCAAGGTGGAGCTTAACGTGACACCCCGGGAAGTTGGGGCACGAAATTCTGGGGCTCGGAACTTCTGGAAGGCTGGTATCAGGGCTTATCTGGAGGAATTGAATTTCTATTGCCTATTTGCATTATGTTCCATGTTCAGGGTCTTTGCTCTGGATGTCGGAGTATCAAAGCACTTAAGCCTTGGTGGAGCCACTGGGCGCGGAAGAGGTTGCACTACGTCCACTGTGATCGTTCACCAGCCAATTAGCGCGTCGGTAGGAGAATCTTATTATCTAAAAAGAATCGGGCCTGTCGCGTGGGCCGCGAATAGCCGCATTTTATTTGACACCGAATGCCGAAAGCAGACTCTGCAAGTTGTTACCAAATGCCAAGCTTGGACGATGATCGGATGCCCTAATGAGAGGGATGGATCTCGAATGGCACTCTATATAATCCATGGATATCGATGAAGTATGCATGCAAAATGTTGAGGCTGATGGCGAATTTGAGATCGGGTATCATTTGACTACTTCGGCTTGAAGCGCCTTTTCGCCACATACAATAAAAATCTTTCTTGTCAAGCACTGTTGCCAAGACCGCCTAAAAGCGCCAACAGCCTTAGCCATGACCTTCTCTGGGTCAGGAACTCGGCTTTTCTGACAGGGACTATAAACAGGGGTCAGTGCGAGGGTTCGAAAGTGGAGGACTGGTGTCATAGAAACATAGTACTGGAGAACCCCCCAAAGGATTCTATATTCTTTGATGACCTGGATTCTCCAAAATTACTATAATATCCAGAACAAATTACGCGCGCAAGAAGGGATGCAATCACACGAATTCAAGGACAGTTTCCCGTTCGGGGTTACATATCATGAACCCTTACTCCATAACACGACCCATCAACTCTTCGGTTTCTCCAAAATCTACCCCGGATGACCCCGGGATACGAGAAAAACGAACGTAATTGGAGTCTAAATCCCCGAATCATCTTCTTGCGCACCGAGCCCCTTCTGGAAGGTATCCCAGGCTTCGCAATTGTAATGGAGGATATCGTAGTCAACCAATGCCTGGATCTCACTATACCGCTCCACAAATTGAATCGCAAATCCTTCCTCGGTATGCCATCCAATATGACAATGCATCAACCAAGCACCCGGGTTGTCAGTTTTGAATGCGATGACCAGATATCCATTCTCAGGCAACATAGCTGTATCACGCTTCGGCGGGGTAGCAAGGGTGCTTATGTCCCCGGTATACGCTCCACTTCCCTGGGCGAGAATCACAAAATCATGGCCATGAAGATGGATTGGATGCGGGACTGACATCGACGTTTCGATGACAATATAGGTCCACACATTCTTGTGGGGAAGCTCAATAACTCCACTGGAATTGGCCCAGTTATGGTGACCACGATATATCTCCAAAAGTGTTGGATCCGTCCAATCTACATGCATCGAAGTTGAGTTGAGCTTCCACCGATAAAGACTCCCTCCGTTCTTACCCAGCGAGACTGGCTCAGACTTATTATAGAAAGGACGAGAAACTATTTTAGAGACAATTGGGGTCAGGTTCGACATATCCTCATCAACACCGCTATCGGTGTACGCGTAACCAGCGGTGGAAGGTGTTGAAGGCGAATCACCATAATAGATGATCACCTTGAAATTGGCTGGGTTTGCGTTTTCCGAACAGGCATTTTGTGGAATCGCACGTAGCCAGAAGTTTTGGCAACGGATACTTGGTCGGCCTTGACAATGACGTCGTATCGTTGACCTGAACCGCTGTCAGTAGACAATCAAGAGTCAAGCTTGTATTAGACTCACCCATCGCTATGTTCAAAACGTTCGTCTTGTAAGGATGGATCGGTACAATATCGTTGGCAATGACTGTCATGGTGTGATTGTCGATAGAAAACTTGAAGTGCGTGTCACAAGCAGCGTTCACTAGCCGCAGTTGATAGGAAGTTCCTGCCGTGAACGAGGTATTGAACCGAGTCCCAGTTGATTCACGGTGCCATCAGTGCCGAAGACATTTGTGCCGTTGATCAGTCTTTTTTAGCAGTTGTGAATAGCTGGTCCACCGTGTTGTAATTCCAGTCATTCATGATAATCACGCCCTTGTCTTCATCGTAGTCTGCACTAGCTGGTACATTGATTACAATTCCACCAAGCAGCTCCTCCCATGCTTGAAGTCCAATGTGACTGTGATACCAACTAGTGCCGTATTGCATAGCCCGCCACTTGTATGTAATGGTCTTGTTCGGTGCAGTGGGACATTGAGTTATTGATACAGCCCCATCATTTTGGTTTATGTAAAATTGGCGGATGCCATGGAAGTGAATGCTAGTTCCATTCTGCAGGATGCTAGGCAGGCTATATCTACCAGTGTTAGAGGGAATTACTCCAATCGTTAGACCCATAGCATTTCATCCTCACCTATTCGTGAGGTGAACGATAACCTCATCGCCCCAATTTACTTTGATAGTTGGACCAGGGATAGAGTTATAGATTGAAATAGCCGATCTCGAGGGACCATCAGGGGCAACTGTTACATATTCAAGATTAAACCAATATTCACGTGTGATGTTCGTTTGAGGCACGATCGTTGTATAGTCGGTATTGATATCGTAGTCGCGCCATTCTTGACGACTGCTGGCGGTGTTTCCGGTGAATGCTGTCAAAGACGCACTGCCAGAGGAGGAGGAAGGAACAGCGGACAATGAAGGAGAAGGTGTAACAGATAAAGCCGACGAATTCGTTGTGGCAGAAGCAATGGCAATGATTGTGCAAAAGAGAAAATTTGGCCACCTCAGCTTCATATTGCCAGGTAGTCATTAGCGTAGAGGGAAAAAGTGGATTGAAAAGGATTGAGCGATATCCTGTATGACGATCAAAAATGGAAGTGATTCATTTGAATAAGAATGGTGGGAAGTTGTCATGTAATTAGATCACTGTCTGAATATCACGGGTAAATAAAGCTGCAGTGAATCCCAGAGAATTTCCCGGCAACCACTTCCAAATCTTGAAGCCGCAGTCTCTGAGACTCGAAATGATTCCTGGTGAAGAAACATCGAATGAAATAGGCCGTAATCGAGATTACGCGGCTTTGGAGGCTCCATATTATGCCTCCAACAATTAGATGCATCGAATTGCAGTGCAGATCAAGGATCTAAAAATGGATTTACTTCTTTCAAATACGTACTGCTGCGATGGAGATAATAATTTATCAGGAATTGAGGAAATTTCAACTGAATACGATCAAACCCAGATTTTCACTATCGCATTCACCCAGATTGGAAACATCTCCCCGCTTCTTCTTATGGTCTGTGAGCTTTCAACTTTTGTTCCCTGATGCGTATCTGCTTAGGCAGCCTGTTAAGTCCCGCTTACATTCTTGAGTGGCACAGAACCATACAGATAAATCAGCAATTAGTGACGTATTCCGGTTGAAGACTTGCGCGGAGCTGACGTTTTGCCCACAAGATCTTTTCCTAACACGAACATGCGGATCTTGGTGGGGATGTCGAGTTATGCAAGCTATGGAGACACTCAAATTGAAGCTTGATTGTGTTTATTGTGTGTATTCCATAGATCTGGGAAATTCGGGCAGCTTACATGCAGAACAATTCCCCGGTAAAGTCAATTTCTCATAGTAGGTATTTCGGCCTGTGTTACTCTTTTCGCTTCACTACTGATCGATTCCTTCACCACCCCATTTGCCCTGTTGATAAGGACTTTGATACAAGATCGTGATGTGGGCAAAGTCTCTAAATCTCTCTCTTGTTACTGGTTCCGCCGTGGCTGCTAGCGTGGTCAGCAAGCGCAGTCCGGAAACCTACAATTTGTACGCTTATGGTGAAAGTATTGGAGGACTTCCATTATACTATGCCGATGGTCAGTTTGACATATCTGCAAATAGTGCCTCGGAGCGCAACTAATACTTTCTGATGATATTATAGGTAACGCAGTCATTGCCTACAAATCCTAGACAATGCAACCAACGTTGGCAAAGTTGCCTGTGAGTACCACCAAGAACATCGAAACCTGCAACCAATTCTAATAAAATAATAAAATAGTCTATACTGGATCCTCTGGTCCACTGGTAGGCAATCCGGCAAATTCAACCGGATCTGATTCTGGCAAAAACCTCAGCCCACCTTCATTCTCGGACCAGCAGATGTTTGTCCCTAGTACCGACTCAAGCAGCCACCAGGTTGGCCGTACCAGGAACGCATCTTCAGAGGAAGTCACCTCAAAGTTTATCTGGTACGGACATTTCCTGCTAGTGGAAATCGATAACGGGGAATATACTTCCCTATTCTATACCAAAAAGAACAGTAACCAGGAGGGGGCTTATTCCTTGCTATGGAATATCACTGAAAATGAAGACGAGGACACGGAGTATTTTGTAGTCTCAATGAGATCGATTGCCCCATCAAATTCCTGATTGCTTCTTAGCATCAGCCAATTTGAATGCTATGCCGAACAAAGCGAAGTTGTATTTGACATTGCTCTAAATTCAATATCATGACCAATCTCCCATGTTCTCCTTGAAGATGTTACTCGGCAAGCATGAGATCCCGGAAAGGGATGTGGCAGTGCCAGCACTTGGCGCACCTAAAAATAGGCTCGCCTCAAATTCCCACAGCAGTGCCAAGAGCAGTGTGAACAATCCGCGCGGCGGAAAGGACTTGGCATGTTGGCCCCGATCCAGACCGGATTATTGGCGTCCACACAAGGGGCTTGCAAGGTAAGATGCCCACCTGCCCGAAGCTATAAGTTGACTTGGTGCTTCGCGAACAAGAAAAGCATTCTAATGGCCAAACTGCTGAGAACATAAATTCGCAACGCACCATCTCCAATAACAACTCCTGCTTGGATACGCATTATGACGTCCCTGTGTCCATGTCAGAGGATGTGAAAAGACACTCAGAATAATTGCAAAGACCACTGGCTCAATTCCAGTCTCCAGTCTTTTTCTAACCGCCCCCGGCACGCCGGGAAGGGGGCGGGGTAAGGAAGCCCATTCGCGCTTGGCATTACAGCACTCGTTCCGCAAGCGAAGGAGGAACCAGTGCCAAGCGCCCTGAAGCTGGGCAGTGAAGATAGGCAGCAGGATTCGTTGTGCCAATGTCTTGGAAGAGTCCCTTTTTCTTTGTAATCCCGCTCATACAGCGCCTCTTACCAGGTGACTTGTTTCAAAGTGATGATTTGGTTCAATATTATGGGGTTTATTCGCTTGTTGCACCCTTGATCTGAGTAATGTACTTTTATACTCTTCTGCTGGTATTGATAACCTCAGCAGTTGCTCTTCATCTTTCAGTCCATGCATTTCCTCCGATGTCGGTCGCCCATCTGCTCGCGTCAAATGAGGCCTGCGATCGTTTCAGGGTGGTTGCACGCCCTTCTTATCTGTCTTCTCCTACAAAATGCCCTCGCCATTGACGTGAACCCCGATGACGAGAGTAGGTTCATTCCACAGGCCACCCAATCAACTCAAATGACTTACATATACCTCTCCGCTAGGCTCTCTCAAAGATGCTGCCAAGACGGTGGCATCCGCCATGATTGACTTTTACAACGAGCGCGACTCGAAGGATATTCCAGGTAAAATGGACGATACCTGGTGGGAGGGTGGCTCGATGTTTATGACTCTTATCCAGTACTGGTATCTTACAGGCGACAGTCAGTTCAACGACGATATCCAGGAAGGAATGTATTGGCAAAAGGGCGAAAACGACTTTTTCCCCAGCAACTACTCCCAGTACCTTGGCAACGATGATCAAGTATTTTGGGGTTTAGCGGCGATAACTGCCGCAGAGGTCAACTTCCCAGAAAGAGACAATGAAGCCTCATGGGTCTCTTTGGCTGAGGGTGTCTTCAATGGACAAATTCCTCGCTGGGATATGAGCAGTTGCAGTGGGGGCTTGCGGTGGCAGATTTGGCCCTACCAGAATGGATATGGGTTGAAGAATGCTATCTCCAATGGGGGTCTATTCCAGCTGTCAGCACGTCTAGCCCTATATACCAAGAACTCGACGTATGCCGAGTGGGCTGAGAAGATTTGGGATTGGAGTGCGTCGACACCGCTGTTAAGAAAGAGTTGGGTCATCGCCGATACTACTTCTACCGCTGCAAACTGTAAAGATCACGGTGATCATCAATGGACCTATAACTATGCTACGTATATCTCTGGTGCGGGATATATGCACAACTATGTATGTTTATACCTGCTACTAACAGAATTTTCACTAGGACATGCAAGCTGACTGGGGGTATAGACCAATGGCACCGAAAGCAAATGGCTGGAAGGCGTCACAGGATTAATGAAGACATCCGATCAGTTTTTTCCTGACTCTGCTTCGAATCAAGTCATATCTGATATTACCTGCGAGCCAATCAACAAATGTGACCGGAACCAGAAAACGTTCAAAGCCTATTTCACCTCCTGGCTTGGATTTATGTCGCTGATTGTACCAGCCAATACCACGGCAGATATGATGGCAAGATTCAAAAGCTCAGCTGTCGCTGCCGGTCAGCAATGCTCTGGCGGGACCGATGGGAAGCATTGTGGGATCCGTTGGACAAAGAAGGCGGAATGGGATGGAACTTCAGGCCTGGAGCAGCAAATGTCTGTTTTGGGGGTTCTGAATGCTGTTATGGTCCCCTTCAAGGCACAGGGTCCTTACAATACCGACAACGGTGGCACATCCCAAAGTAATCCGCATGGGGGCACCAACACTAAGGAAACACTGGGGCCTGAGTCTATCGCGACAGGTGATAAGGTTGGCGCGGGAATCCTAACTGCAGTCTTCGTGGTATTTTGGGTCGGGGCCGTATCTTGGATGTTGAAAGGCCAATAAATAAAATCAAGAAAAACAAAAAGAAAAACAAACAAGATCTGTATATGAGTTTGACCTTCAACACCGATATTTTGCGAATGCCAGCGTTTGGGTAAAGATTTGGGGGTTGAATTCAGCCACTCTTACCGCTCTTACCCATAGGCTAAATGGAAATGAACAAGCTTAGTAGAATTTAGATAATCCATGTGCAGGGAAGTGTGTTGTAGCATTATATCAAATCCACCCGGCCAATAGACGTGGAGTGAGGTGAGAGAAATAGTTGCGTCATGTTGCAATCACTGATACTGGAACATTGAATGAATCAAGAATCGAGACATTAAGATTGACTGAGGTAACTTTTATGTAATATGTTGCAGTATGAACAATTCCTTTCACACCATGTCTTCTTCACTCTTGACGCTTTGAGGGGGTGATTTTTTGCACCAACGCTTCCAAGCTCTAGATGTGTCACCCATCGGCACTGAAAATGGAAGAGAATCTTCGCAAAGAGACTGTAAAACACAATAATATCCAGCTAAGCTCGCAATGAACCCGAATGCACCAGCAGCGGTGATAAGATGGGCACTGGTTTCAACTAAGCCATCGCCCAACGCAAAGCTAGACGCAGCATCGAGAATGAGACAAAGCTCAAGTCCGAGGAATAATATGATATAAACAACGTTGCTGTTTTGGCACATTAGCCTTCGTATTTGGAAGGTGACGATCATGACTCACATAGCGCAACTGGCGAGCAGAAAAAAGAGATTGAAAACCGCCCATACTAGACCCAAATATCAGAAAAGAACACCGAGGAGCACGACACCACACATCTTACTTAAAACAAAGAAGCCGAGGGCGTTGTGATATTCCGCGGTGTACCCGCCATACGCATCGGCGATGCCTAATGAAGGAATCAAAATTACCCCGTAACCGCCATAGAATAAAGCTAGAGGATAGGTTTCCCAGTTAGCCAAGCCATATGATGAAGAACCCTTAAGACACACCATATGCAGAAAGAACGGTGTACGAGAATGTATTCCCTCGGACCATTTCCCACTGCGCGGAAATCAGTAGACCGATTCCAGCCACAAAGCAAAGATCGCCCATGAAGATTGTCTGTGTAAATACCCCACGGAAGTTCATCATGGCTAACGATAGGGATAGAAAAGTGGTGGCGAAACCACCCATCGCCAAAGGCGCCTATTCCGAAAAACAGAGCATGTTAGTACGCACCCTGAATTCAAACACGACTAATTTCACGGCTCTTACGGGGTTTGCAAGATGGGCTCCAGGTTTGACGGTCGGTTGTGCTCGACTCGAGACCATGGTCTCATTTCTTTTCATGGTCGACATTGTGTCGGATGGAGGTCGATATGTTTGGGCAATCACAGATTGTCATTTTCCCTCTTCAAATGGTCGACATTATATATATGTTCTGGGTCCATGGAATCGGACCGACCGGACAGACCCGGAATCAATTGGCAACCCCGAGGTTGTTAGGGCTCGAAGAAACCGCTGTTCTATGACACATTTCACCCCAGCCCAAGGCCATCGAACTCCAGATCGGCGAGACAATGGGGAAAGTGGTGGGGACGTGCCGCCTTCCGAGCCACTCGGAAGACTTGCAGCCCATTGGACTGCTCAATCGTGGATTTCTATTACGCTACACTTGATTACTCCAACGTCGCAATTGTAAAAGCCGGGTCAAACTTGAGTTTGCAACTGAAGCCCCCAAGATCCAAGTTGTGCTGCATTTGCAGTATTCATTTCTTTAGCCTGTTCCTGCCCGAACGGTCGCGTCGATCTTGATCTCCCCGGCGATCATAAATTCGCGCACTTCGTTCGGAGAGGGTTGATCCACGAGTTAGTCCGTAAAATGTTTTCTTTCGGTCCAACACGGTGACTTGAATGAACTGAGCTTGCCAGGAAATACAAATCTCTGACTGGGGTATATGTCTCAAAAGCCAAACGGCTTGAATTAATTACCTTGGAAAAATTGGGGAGAGTCAACTGCTATGTCATGAACATGGATGTAGTCTGGAACGTGTAGAGAAAGTATTCCAAAGTAATATTTGTCAATGTTGCTTGAATTTCTAAACAGAATAAACCTCAGCGAATCCTGGATTTATCCTAGCAACCGTGCCGTGATTCTCTCACACAACGCCATCAAGGACGCCGCACTGGTGATCTCGAGGGTCGTCACTTCAACCTTCAACTCCAACCGCAACCAATTGTGGAACTCCACCGCCGCTAACGAGTCCAGTCCGTAGCTACCCAGAGATTTGGCCTCCTTCATTGGCTGACTCAAACGCAACACCGACGTGAATTGACGCGTCGTAACATCGATCACCGCCTGCTACACGACGCCAAAGTCGGCCTGCTTTTTGAACAAGAGCGTGAGCGCCTTGATCTCCTTAGATCCTTCTTGGGCCGCATCGCTTACGCCTAGATCAGTGCCGTTATCGAAGCAAAAGGCACTGAATCGTGCCTCCCGCAAAAATGGTGAACTTTGGGGAACCGCAATGCTCGTGATGGGCTGTGCGTAGCTGGCTGGATTATTGGTATTTAGCTGCTGACGCAGAGAGAATCCCACGATCTTGAGGAATAGCGCCTCGTTGATCAGGGTCCACGCGGCCAAATCTAATGCAACCAGAAGGTCGGAGTGCTGGCTCATATATCCGACATCCTGGATGGCACCTAAGTCAACCGAATTGGCCGCCAGTCCAAGTCGTTGTCGGTACGTGGCAAATGCATCTAAGAACGCGTTGGCCGCCGCATAATTGGCCTGGCCCTTTTGACCCATCACCCCGGAGACACTGGAAAGCATGGTGAAGAAGTCTACCTGGAGATTCTCTTCCAGGAGAACATTTTGCAGATTCCACGTGCCCTGGACCTTGCAGGAGACGACTTGGTGGTACTCCTCGATGGTCATTGAGGTGAAGACCTTGTCCTGTAGAGCGATGAATTAGCCGCCAGCCTTAGGCCGGGGATTTGGTTCAGAGGGTGAAAGTACGGGCGATAGACACCAAGGACAATTATATAGACAAGCTGAATGGCAATCGCTGCCAGACCCAGTCTGAATGGGTACTGGTCTATGGTTCCAATGACCTGGAGAAGCTCCTGAGTCAAAGCCATTATGACTATCGTCGACTTTCCTCCTCTTTGCCTGCTAGGGGAGGTTCAGTTGCCTGTATTTGTTTCGTCGGACTCGGAAACTTTGCTATCGGCGCGATAATTTCGTGATGCGATTAGTAGAGTCGAGACAAGCAAAATGTGGCTTCACTACCGATGAAATGTAACCTCGGTAAGATCAACCTTTGGAACAAACTGCAATGCGTCAGTACTAAGAAGGAATCAGCCAAGGAAGGATGCTTTGCATTAATTCATATGCCAGATCATGTTGCTGCAGGTATTTGCGTTGTATTGAGGATGTGTCGGGATATGGAATACCGCTTTTCCTTTTACAATAATTTACATCAATTCATTGATACGTATTCATGGCATAGTGAACTTCTTGTTTCTTTGCAGACTCCTATCATCAATCCGCGTCTGCTAAAATGGCATTGATACTGCTTCTGCTCTTGCTGGCCATCTAACTAGCCCTCTTGGTCTTATATCGTCTATACTGGAGCCCAATTGCCCCGATCTCGGACCAAGATTAGCCGCTCTGACGGGATGGTACGAGACTTTCTTTGATGTCTTCCAGGGAAGGTCGGTTCACTTTTCAGACCGAAAACTGGCATCATAAATATGGCAAGACAGAGTCAATATCGCGTAGATAAAGTCGTCCTCTAAAACAGCGCTCACAGGGCTCATCATTCGCATTAGCCCACGGGAGGTTCACATCTCAGATCCCGACTTCTACAATCAGCTATACACGGCGACAGCCAAATATAAGAAGCCCGAGGACTGACGCTTCCAGTTTGGACTGGAAAACTCGCCGCCAGCGCGACCGAGATCTGAGATCTATTCCCGACTACTCATTTACCAGGCATTTCGCTCGTGTATTTGAAAGGCATTTAGGCCTCGTGGGCCTTGGGGATCGCGCTAGGTGGCACTGGGGTGTTAGTCAGCTGGGTTCCGATGAAGAGATGGGAAGCACGTCCGTGGTCGGTTCGGTAGGTTGATAGGTGAGGAATAAAGTGTCGTGTCAGTTCCTTTTGAGCTGAAACTGTGCATGATATGGAGTTACCAACTCTATTCCAGGCGGACCCTGCCCCAGCGTCCGACTCGATCTTGATGGCTGTTATGTCAGAGTGATCGCAAGTAATCTATCGATGTGATGAAGTCTTCATATTGCGCTTCCATAGGGAGAGTGCATGGAAAGAGCATGTAGCTAGCGAGATATGATTGAACCAGCTAGATCAACGTGCCCAAGTCTTCCGAGGATTCGATGTGATGAGTAATACTAATAACGTAAGTTGAGAATCGTCAAGAGGAGCCCACTTCGTTATCAAAGATATCGCGGTTCTTAGAAGAAAGAAACCTCAAATGTATTGCAAACCTAAGGAAGACCATGGATAGCTTGTCAACCCACCCGTCTTTAGCTGTCCCGAGAAGAGAATCGAATACGTTGGAAATAAACTCGGTCTATTTATAAACTAACACCAGACGTTTTTCAAGAGAATACGTTCTAATTTACACCCTAGTGGAGGGATGGATGAAGTTGCTAATTCCGTAAGCCAGTTTACCAAAAGGTCTCCTCTCATGGTTGAAACCCTTCACTGAAGTAAAAACGATTGCACCACCGACTTAGATAAGACAAAAAAGAAGACTTCCGAGAACTGCCGAGATAGTCGTAGAGCTGGAAGCTGAGACAGCCACACCAGCGCTGATGGTAGTCTTTGTTTGTGCCGATGGCGTGCCTGCTGTCGAGTTTGTAGAGGCGGTGCTAGATAGGCGGACGGCAGTGACATTCGTATTGTAGTCGTTTTTCGCATCGATTGGGAATGGACTGGTGTAGTTGTATGTTGGGGAAAGGCTACCATATTGACTTTTGACGGAATCTAGAACGCCATGGCCAGCTGAGCATTTGGCATCAGTGATAGGAATTGGCCACACGGGTGAATATTTTCCAATCCAGCCAATGGCTGCAGGACCAGGGTATGTCTCATTGAGAAGCAAATTCGTAGTGTCAACTTCGTAGTTGACGTAACCAGTCTTGTTAGCCACAATCTCAAAGAGATTGGCTCCGCAGTCCCAGCGGCCAAGGGATGGAAGACCCCAATTGGCAGAAACAGATGCAATGCTGGAGTAGTGGGTGTAGAAGGTATCGTCCTTGGTTCCCTTCAAATGATCTGGAACAGCGCCACCAACAAGCACACTGAAGACCCTGTTGTTTTCGACGTACCCATCTTCGTCAAATGTCAATAGGACCATTGTGTTGTTCATGAAGTATTCGTTTTTAAGTAGGTTAGCCATATAGCCTCGCTCCCATTTGCCACCAAAAGTAATGTTGGTATCGTGCGCATCGTTGGTAACATTAGGTGTCATAAAAGCCCATTGTGGCAACTTCTTGTTTGATAGATCATATTCAAATTCGGTGAAACTTTTGATCTGGCGTGCGCGAGTCTTGTTGTTGGTAATTGACTTGAAATTGATCAAGGGATTATGTCTGCGAGCATAATCGTCATCCGAAGTGACCGGATTGGTGAAGTTGAATCCCTCGAACCCGGCATATGGCAAGTCTTCTTGGTACTCTCCCCATGAGATACCCTTGGTATCAAGGAGATCAGCAACCGTGGAAATGTTGGAAGGCATCTCGATGAAGCTGTCGTGGTCCATTCCCCAAGTGTCACCACCGACCGATGCGCAGTAATTAGGCATAGAAGGGTGGGTGACACCATAGTAGTTGGTGCTAAATCGCTCGTGATTAGTGATACAATCTCAAAAGGAGGTGCAATGAGTATTACAGAAGAATTCCCTGAGATGCTAGCCACTGCATGTCCTCAACGGCGGCTGCATCCTCGAAGTTCTAGTAATATGTTAGAAGTGTTCTGGCAGAAACGGTCGAAGCGATCACGTACTGTGTTCTCCATCCAGAGTTGGTAGAATCGGTCGAATGCAAGACCTTTAACATTGGAAACTGGCGACTCTGGTACGGTTTTGGCAGCTGAGGCCTCAATTTCCGAGCGTGTAGCCTGGGGAGGGATGGCAGGCGCATCCGTGGGGTAGGGCGGCAAACTAATTGCCAGAGCGCCTGTGAATAGAGAAGGCAAAGTCAACGCCAGGGCAGCTGTGGATAAAGACTTCATCTTGATAGACCAACACTATGAGGTTTAAATTAATTTTAGAATGAGCTGAGTATCAGGAAAACAAAGCGACGAGAGACTTCTACCGGGATTCAGCTTATATAGATATGCTGGATATAGAAATTATTGGCTCCTTGGTTTAACCGAAGTTCTATATTAGAACGAAGCAGAGTGCAAGGGTTCTTCCTTTTCCGATGAGACTATACCACGATGTGTAAAGGGGAGATGTGATAGGACGGAATACTGTCGCAGGGTCCTGCCGAGCGGACCGGAAAGGCTTGGCACGCGAGGTTTGACTCACTGGTGAAAATGATGGCGTGCACTATTCCTAAATTGGAGAGATAAATTTCTCACTACAGATGAAATTCAAATAGGCGAAGTTTGAGGTTGAGTTGCCGAACCCTGATATCCCCGGGCAATAACCCCCCGGCATTCATACCCCACTAAGACTTTCACTAGCGAGCCCGCCCTCGGCTAGAACCTCAACCAGACACCATTCATCTGATTGAACGAGATTACAATATAGCCCACCTCGCTTCCAGTTGAATTCTAGCCGAGCTTCTAGAATGTAGAAGAACAATAGATTTAACTGGACGGCATATCAGGTTGGGCCGCACACGTGCACGTCGCGACTGGCAGGACAACAACCATTTACTCACACGAATTACACAAAATTTATTTCGATAAATCACAAGCATTTCATTATCCCCGAGCATCCTCAAGCCACAGGCAAGACCGTCTGTGACCGATTCAGAATCACCGAGTACTCGGAGATCACAGTCTGATCACGAACGGGTAGCAGACATAATCCTGTGTATTAGTCTTCCTACACTACTGTTGCTGTTCGGAGAAGAAGAATGTCTGTCTTTCTGAAGTAAAGTTGGCAGTTCTGTTCCATCTGCTGCCCTGTCACTCTATTTTGTCGTTATTTCTCCCTTTTCTACTGCTTATGTGACAGTTTAGCTGAAGATTTCCCTAACCCTCCGCGAACTAGCAACGAGGCTTTTTTCGTCAAAGCTCGAGATGATTTGTGTTATGATACCCAGCAGATCCTTGAACAAAGCAACTTAAAGTGGCTGGAAGGTATGCGCCGATACAAAACACGAAAGGACAACTTACATCTGTAGTTCCACAGAAGCCGAACTTAGAGCAGCACATATTCAAAAGACAAAACACAGAATCGCCCCTTGAATATTCTCCACATTCGGCCATTGAATCGCAGTTGGAGATACAAACGTCTGATCGAGACTGATCTGGAGCATAACCACACACACCTGTCTAAAAGAAAAAAAAAAGTCTTCGCGCTCAAAAGTGGTCAAAGGTAAAAGGAAGCTAGAGTCATTATCTCACCTTGCTGCAACATGCATCATTAGAGCAAGTTATACCTAGAGCACAAGTTCGTATAGGAAGTCCATTGTCTGTTCGTTTCTGCAGACCAGTAGAAGAAGTATTCCCCGATTGCAAGGCCCTATCCCACGGGGGGTGGTGCAGTCTGGCAGACTGCAGGTTAGGGTTTTTCCTTAACTATGGGAGCAAAAGCTTGGCGTTACCCAGACTGCAGGTTCTTTTTCGACGCCAGACTACAGGTTTAATTTGACGTCCGATCAATCTGAAAATTTGGGAAGTTATAATAGACATAGCAAAATATCCCCCTATAACTATTCTACGTTGAACTACAGTGTAATTCTGAACCCCTCCATAGTTAAGAGAGCGGGAGCTAGGCTGAAAACCGACTAGCGTACACTGTTATTCAGGAAAACGGACACTGTTATTCAGAACTCTCCTCCTATCACTCACATACTATTTTTACTTTCTGAAGGCTGCATGGAAATCACAACAATCTTAATTCTAACTCTGCAAGTTTTGCAATCGCCGTATTCAAATTTGAGTGGTTTTATTCAAGACTGCTATTTCCGACTGTAGAATGTCTAGCCTTCCGACTATACTTACAACCACCCAACTCAAATATATTTCTGACCACAATCCAAGTAGAATACTAAGGAATTATATTAGTACTAAGTTAATACAGATTTAGGTCCTATCCTTTCTGAGTATATGATACCCTGTATTAAGCAGTTGTATACTATCACTATAGTGCCTTAATGTCTTACAATATCGGATTGCTCATATTTCTAACCAGTGTTATCACATTAATCCATAAACAGACTAGCGTACGGTGACATTCAGGGGAACCTATAATCATACTGATATCTACTATTCTACTTCTAATTAAATTTAGTATATCTATACCATCTACTATTTTTACTAGATTCTATAATGTCACAATCTAATCACGATCATATAAATTCTGCCACGGAGCCTAAAATTAAGACTGATAACCCCTTACCGTCGTATCTGCAAGTGCTACCGGAACTTAGGGTAGTCCTATGTATAACCCATGGTTCCTGCTACATTCGAACCAGTCTCTCTCGCCATCTTCGTAACAAACATTATGTTAAGAGTCAACAGCGGCAAACCATCGAGTCCGCACGAGAATTAGCTTGCGTGGCACAATATAGCACTGGAGTTATCTAGCCTCAAGATAGGATTTGTGAGATTCGCGGGTTGCCGACCGTGCTCGGGTTCATCTGCCACTTCCCCGATTGCGACGTTCGCTCTACTAGCAAGGACCGGATCCGCCAACATTATAATAAGCATCATTAGTGGCAGGTCGCGCAGCAGGGGGCGATTCCATGGTATAAGGCCTTTATACAGACGCTCTTTCTCTAGAAACAAAGCTAACAGTACTTTGCTATGGTTCTTGCCGACCAGATTCCGACCTCCAACCCTCAATATATATATCGGTATGCCAACGCTCCTACTTATGTACTACCATCTAGTTCCGAGACACCCCCTTCGTTAGCTCTTACCGGCGATATATAGAAATAGATCATGGGCCGATACTAGAAGAGTCTCTCTCAATTATCGCGGAAGTCTATCGCCGCAGCGCGCCATATATCCGAGGTCACTCCCTTTATGAAGCGGGCCGGTATCTATATCCACCTTGAAGGGCTCGAGGTCAAAGATCTTGGTCCTAGCTATCGAATACCACGACAGGACCAGGAGGCTTTACTTTTTGTTATTTGCGAAAGCGTCCAACGTGTTCTCGAGGGAGCAATGGCGGTCTTGGTATATGACCAAGATACAGAGGTACGCCAGCTTAGTCGCCGTAACGCACGGCTTCTCAACACTTTTGCCCGGGGAGAAACATCCTAGGACCCCCTCTCCGATCTCTAGAATGAACGTACGCGACAGAGATATATCACTACCTGGTAGTAGCTAGTATGCTACTAGGAGCGCGTCGTAGAGCAGCAGCAACTCTGGGACAATCTCTTTCAAGCTAGTACGCGGCAGCTTGAGGTATAGGTCGAAGTAACCGAGATCGTAAGTCAGATTGTGGATCTTAGTGGGTCTGAGGTCGATAGTCCGTATAGGGAGGATCTACGCGCCCGGCTAGATCATGCCGTACTTCAATTTAGCCTTGCTATCATCTAGCACCCGGTTTCTCGTCGAAAGTTTGATTTAGTCCTTGTTTCCTATGCCGTGGTTCGCTTCTAGAGCCCTACGCAAGGAGCATGGCTCGCGATTGGGAACTATATATCTATACTATCGCAGTTGATCTACGACTGTTAGATGGTCATCCTTGCGTCTATGTTGGCAGAGACGGCAGAGGGTAAGGATGCGGAGATAAGTACTATGATTATTGCGATCCGGGACGAATGGTTGTTGAACGATACCGACGGTCCTCTATCGGAGCTGCTCGAGAACCGACTGCTCGGGTTCCGCATTAGTTAGACCGAGGTCCCCCCGGCCTAGATCCGCTGGTATACCGATGGTTAGACTCTGGTCTGGTTAGATGTGGTCTTTCACCTCTCCGATATCCGCGAGATCATCTTTTAGCGGATTGTAGAGGCCCGGCGGATTCTCGAGGTTAAGCTTTGTCTTAGTGGGCGCTCTAGCCTAGTATCGGAGATCCCGACCATCGCGTATAATGAGCTGGTCGATAATTGGGACGCCACTGCGCTAGGCCAGTCATTTATCACCGATTCGCGCAATACGTGCCATCTAGACCCGGTCAAGGACTGGCTGATCACTCGGGTTGGTAGGACGCCTGCCCTATTCTATATATTCTGGTCGTAGAATGCCGAGGGTCATTGGGTTGTGTCCGCCGATACGACTCAGTAGTACGAGAACGCTGTCCAGTAGTTTCTCCGGGTGGTTATGGTCCCGTTCTTTCTCGGTTTAGGGCAGCAAGGACGTCGTACTGAGTTTATTGGCCTTCGGTGGCGGAACACTACGTTGACCACGCGCGATCTCTTCCTCCACGATGGATAGATGCTTTTCATCCTTAGCTATTATAAGTCACGGAATTAGACCAACGCCTCCCGCTGGCCTATCCGATTCCTACTGCCCGAGGTTGGGTAGCTTATCACGCAATATCTTGCCATCGTGAATCCCTTCTGAGAGTTCCTCTAGTAGGAGACCGGGGGACCCAAGCCGTCCGACTATCTCTAGTCTTAGGGCATTGACCCGTGGCCTGCTGATACCATGACCCGGGTCATTGTCGAGGCCGGTAAGCTAGTCCTAGGGAAGCATATCCATATCAAAGCTTAGCGGCAGATCATAGTCGGTATTGCACGGCGGAAATTCGCGGATATAGATGCAAATCTACTGATCGAAGAAGCGGCCGGAGAGGATGGTGATGAGACGGATACGGTCTAGGGGAGTATGTCCGATGCGCTTCACTGGCAGGCCAGCCATACGCCGCGTACGGGAAATCGGGCCTATAGAGGAACAGTGAACTTCCGTGGTAGGCTTACCGATGCTGGGCTGTAAGAGTTTCGGCACATTAGTCAAGTCTGGCATCGGTTCGTTCGTAACCCTATCAATTTCTAGCCGGCTTCCGCCACCCCGCAACGCTTCTAGGCCACGACCGCGTAGGAATAGGAGGTAGCTAAAGGGCCACGAAGCGAGCGCTGTTAGCCTAGCAATACCCCTAGTAG